GAAGGGGGATTACCGTTGTTGTTGTTTCGGGGGCCGTTGTTGTTATTGTTGTTGCGGTTGTAGTTATTGTTATGACCCATGTTTCTCTCTAGGCGATTAAATCGTTGGGTGATATTGTTGAGGGCGATCTGGATGTTGTCGATTTCCATGGGGGTGGCTTGAGAGAGAGCGGAGGAAGAGGTGAAGGAAGAAATGATGGGGGCGGAGGCGATGGCGAGCGAGTTGGTCTTGGGGCCGGTGTCGGGTTTGAAGGAGTAAATGCGGTCCATCTCTTGGGCGTATTGAAAGATCTGAATGAGGGTGATATTGGGGTTTTGAATAATGTGTCCTTCGATCATCTGTTGAAGAACCAAGGGGCAGTTGTCGATAAAGGATGTTTGGGCGAACTCGTTGACCGTGGTCTTGGCAGCGTCGGTGGAGGCATAACCAAGAAGGGCGCCCAAAAGTTCCTTGAATGTAGATAAGTAGGTCGAAAAGTTGGTGGTCATGCGAAGATTGGTGAGGTGTCGTCGACAGGAGCCCGCAAAGTTGTTGGGAATGTACTCTAGCTTAAAAGCAGGAGTAAACTCGGTCTCGAAGTTGCAAGTATCAGGGAGCCCACATCCATCAAACCATCGGGCAGGGCCAGGCGTGCCCAAGTACGAGAGAGCGTGGGGTGTTCGTTCAGTCTCACTTATCTTAGCAAGGTTGAAGTAGCGGTTAACCGCAACGAGCCAGGCCAAGGCAGAGAAACCGTCGCGGGCGCCTGTAAAGACAGGAGGGGGGTTAAGGCGGGCAGGGGTAACCATGACTGGTAGTGCAGAGAGAAGTGCGGAGAGGTCAAAAATGTCCAGAGTGTAAGAGGGTACGAAGGAAAATAGGGGCAGGGAATGAAATTCAGGGCTGGTGTGCAGAGAGAGCTGGGACGAGGGAAAATTAAAGTAAAACGCGGGCAGTGAAAACGAGGAGGGAAAAATCAAGAGGTCAGTGGAACGAGGGAACCTTTGCTACCATGCAACAGGCGAAGACTGGGACAGAGAAGTATAGAACGGGGACGAGAGTTGAAGCAGTGATGATTGATGTTATTACTATGGTACAACTAAATATATATACAAAGTCGCCAACTAGGTTTCTAGGTGTAGTGTCATAGTGAGTCAGAGATGATAGAGAGTGACAAGGAATGACTAACTAGAGAGCAATGATAAACCTAATATGTTGCACAGGTTCGGCGATCCGGAGCTGATGGTAACCTTGCTGTAGATCCATCTTGCTGAAATATTTGGCGCCTTGAAAACGATCAAAAAACTCGTCTAGAAGGGGTAGCGGGTACTTGTTCTTGGTGGTGATAGCGTTAAGCCCTCGGTAGTCAATGCACAGTCTTAGAGAACCGTCCTTCTTCTTGACAAATAATACCGGGGCGGCCCAGGGTGACGTGGACGGCTGTATATATCCAAGCTCGAGCAGTTCATCCAACTGCTCTCGCAGAACGCGGAGTTCCAGCGGCGACATCTTGTAGGCCTTCTTGGCCACAGGCGCTGCGTCTCCAGTAGGGATCTCGTGGTCAAAACCAGGACGTGGAATGGGGAGATCGGTCAAAGGTGCAAACACGTCGTTGGCATACTCTTCGACCAGGGCATCAACTTGTTGCCGTTGCTCAACGGTCAGGGGAGCGATAGGGTCCTCAACTTGGACGGGCTCGGATTGAGTGTCTGGTACTGCCGTTTGCATTACCCAAACCACTCCTGCGTCGATCGTGTCTTTCGCCTCGACGGTCTTGATAAACTTCTGCACATCATCGTGCACGGTGCCTAAGCGGGGCTCTTCCAGCTCGGCGAGTAGTTGTGGCGAAGGCTTCGACATAGCCTTGACCTCAAAGTCCTGACCTTCGTAGGCCCAGGATAAAGTGTATTGCTCCCAGTCCATGTGGGGCTTAAACTTGGCCATCCATGGAATACCGAGGAAGAAATCGCGCGCCAACTTGCGGACGATGGTAGCTCGGATGGAATGGGCCATAGTTCCAACGGTAATTCGGACGACAACTTGTCCGAGGGCACTGCTGTCTTTGCTCTCCCCGAGCGCAAGACGTAGCGGCAGTGGTTGGCTGACCCGCTCCTCGCTTTCAACAGCGGTGGGGTCCAGCAGACGAATTCTTTTAAGTGCCTCCTCTGAGACGACATTAACGTTCGCGCCATTATCTACAAGGGCTTCGAACTGAGTTCCGGCAGCATTGTTGCAATTAAGCGGAACAACGACAAGGGGGAAGGCGTGAGGGTCAAACTCGTGAGCCTCGACGACGGTCATGTGGGCGGCGGTTGGTTGGCGGCCATTGTGGTGACGACGGTAGTTCTGGGGTACCGACGAGTGAGATGAACCTCTCATAGGGCAGTCGGCTCTGTAGTGACCGGCTTGTCCGCACTCGTGGCAGATTGTTGGCCTCTTGCAATCAGCGGCCTTGTGATCGCCACGGCAATTGAAGCAGGAGATAGTGTCAACCTCCATAGGGGTGGGACCAGAGTCGCGACGGCCAGCGTTGCTGTCGCGGCGGAAGCTCACTTGCGGGGGGCCGTTTGGTCTCGAAAACGGGTGCACAGCACTCTGCCGGCGGTTGGTAAAGAAACCAGTATTGGTGTTGCCTGAGATTGAGTTGCGGGGGGCGGGGGCAAAAGGAGCAGGGTTGTTTCTTGGTGCTCGGTTAGGGTTGTACGTGGGCGCAATCATGGGAGGATTGGGACGGCCTCTCTGGCGCGTCAAGGACGACTGGGTTGTGATGCCCATCTGTTGAGCCATCTGCGATTTAATTTCGCAAGCGGTTTTAACGTCATCCCACGTCTTGACTTGTCTCTCGATCAGGTAACGCGACAGGAAAAGAGGACCTTGTGACTTAAACTGGTGTATCTTCTCACCATCAGTCAGCTTGGAGGCGATGGGGGCAGCAGCGAACTCGTAACGCTGAAAGTACGAATTCGGTGTATCGTTCCTATCCCAGACGACGGCTGCAAGGTTGTTGCGATGTGTAGACTCCAGCTCGTCAGTGCCAAACTGGCGACTGAAGGCGGCCTTGAACTCGGTCCAGGTGAGTTCAGGGTGGGCCTCGTCCAAGTTCTGTCCCCAGACTTGGGCAACACCTCGGAGCTTGAGGATAGATGCTGTCGGCCAGTCAGTGTCGGGCAACTTACACAGCTTGGCAGTCATCTCGATCTGCTTTAGCCATGTCTTGGCCGTGTAAGGGTCGTTCTGACTGAAGTCGAACGTCTCGGTATCGGACGGGAGGGTGGTCCTTCGAAGAGAGCTGGCCACTGGGATAACTTCATCGACCATGGTGGGAAAACGTAACGGGTAGAGAAGGGAAAAGAAAAAATGAGAGGGAGGGGAAAAAGGTAAAATAAAGTTGATCCGGAGGAATAGGGTTTTTCGTGATTTAGGAGAGGTAAAAAAAATGAATAGAGGGTGTAGGCTTGTAGTAAGAGCAAAAGAAAAAAAGAAAGAGAGCAAAGCTAAAGTAAAATAAAGTATGGATGTGGGGCTAATAATTGTGGAGAGCGGGAAAGAAAGAGAAACGTAGTGGAATGAAGGTGCCTTTGCTACCAATTTGTGGGGGCCTCGAGCAACGTCTGCAGGAGATACCACGCAGTCTCAACTAGACTGGCAAAGAAGTGGGGGAAGAGGAAGAGGAAGAGGAAGTGATCTCAACTAGATCACGCTCAGGGACGACAGGGGAATGAATGCGGATCTTCGGCGCAAAAAGGGGACAACGGGTTCGAGGTTCTCAACCTAGAATGGTATGATTAACAGTGGGGGGAAGATCTTTATTTAGTGGCTGTTCGGACAACGAGAACAGCCGTTGACAGGGGAGGGGGAGAGGAACTTACCTAGAATGGTATGATTAACAGTGGGGGGAAGATACTGTTCAATCATCCATTCCAGGTGTCCTTTTATACTATCTGACTAAGGTCGCTAAACTACTACTTGTGGGGTCACTGAATGAAAGAGAATAAGATGAAGACGTAAAAAAAGAGATGGCCCGGGGGAGCTACTACTAACTGGTGTAAGAGTTAACAACTTGATGAACAACGAAAGGAAGTAGGAAGGGGCCATCAACAACAAAGAAAGGGCCTTTGACAAAGAGGGTCTTTGTCAAAGGGATGAACAACATAAAAGGCAAGAAGAGGAAATAATAAAAGTGACTCGGGGCGATGGCTCCTTGTGTCACTGGGTGTTGAGAGCGAGCGGGGCGACGATAGTTGTCATCAACAAAGGGGAAAGGTGTAAACGAAAGTGTAAAAGAGGTAGGAGTCGCGTTTGCGGGTAAAAGGGAAAACGCAAACAAAGAGAGCAAAAAAGAAGGGAAAGGAAGGAAAGTAGTGGGAAAGAAGAAAAAAGGGAAAGTGGTGAATATAGGGGTGGCAATTCACGACATATCATCAGCGACCTTAGCTCAGTTGGGAGAGCGTCAGACTGAAGATCTGAAGGTCGTGTGTTCAATCCACACAGGTCGCATTCTCTTTTGCATCTTATTTTTTCTCTTTTGAAGACGATCCTTTTGGCATTGTCACGTCGCGTTGGGTTTTGGTTCACGCTTTCTACCTACGGAGCACCTCTTCGCATACAGCGTATCCTTTTTTTGCTCACCCACTAACGCAGAGACCCACCTACTTTTTGTTGTTCGCGTCAATACTTTTTTTTCAGCCATCAAAATGATGGTGGGGTGAGACTGATAAGGTGATTGTTGATGGATCAAAATATTAGTTATTCTGACATCCAATGTCATATTATCTTGATCGCGTTTGATCAAAACTTATTTCTCCTTTCCAACATTTTTTTTTGTTAGAATCATATACCCGCATAGTACATCGTGCGTGTACCTACCATGCCTGTGATCATCAATAAATACCCTAAACGAATCTTATTATTTTTTTTGCTCTTGTGCAACAACAAAACATAGCAAAAGCAGCAAGCAACTGGAATGCGTATCTTTTTTTTATTTACTACCAACGAAAAAAGAAACATGAAAAGAAACAACACTACTTCTCGTGTGCCAAGAGACCAGGTCGTCGGGCCTCGATCCACTCGGTAACAGAGCGATTGCCAAACATGGGGATAAATAGTTTTTGCAGATTAGGCGCGGCAATATCAACAAGCCAATGAGCATCTTGCATGGTCATTGTCCTCTTCAGCTTTGTGATCCGAAGACTCTCGAGTTCATGGGGTCGGTGAAGCCCATCGAGGACAACAGTCAGATCGAGGCTGTGGCCGCCGATAGTAAGATGCTTGACCTTGTCGAGTTGTTGGAGACGTGATTGGATCATCTCGTCGCTTCGAAGAGGCTGAAGTGGATCACTGTCGAGACGATGGCCGAGTAGAGTCTGCTGATGGTGATACTTGGCAAGGATAGTTTTGTTGGGAGAGACGAGATCAGGCAGGTGAAGAGTCTGCAGAGTGTCGCAACACGCCCAGGATCGAGGAAAAGATGGGAGACGGGTTCGAGAAACGAACGAGAGTGAAGGTGGTGGTGAAGAGGAAAATGAGAACGACTTGCTAGTAGGGGGTGAACCAGAGACCAAATCCATGGACACATCGGTCGTCACAATGTCGTTAAAGAGGAGACAAGATAGTCCGGCAATGAATCGAAGACTGAATGATGCGAGGCGCGCACAGTTAAAGAGGATGGCCTGGACGCCAAGGTCAGTGACATTCTGACAAGAGTTGATGTTCAATTGGCGGAGCGATCGGCATGACCGTGCCAATTCCTCGAGCACAGCATCCGAGAGGATGTTGTAGCCGATATCGATCGAGACCAGACTTGGGTAGCTCCGGAAGAGGGTCATAAATCCTTCAGGAGTGACCATCAAGGTGTGACTGAGAGAGATCTGCGTGAGGTGGGGGCAGATGTATTGGAGGCTTGAGAGGGAAAAGTCGGTCAGCTCACGACTCCAGTTCAAGGCCAGTTGGTCGACCGTAGGAGTGTAGGTCAACATCGTCATAATCACCGACTCAGGAATTTCGCCACAGTCTAGCGTGAACGATTGGAGCGACGATGGCGAACGGAGGGGGTTGGTGTTGATGCTAGCGGCAGGGGATTTCAATTGGGCTGACAGCAGCGAAGTCGAGGTCGATTGCGACAGAGATAAGGAAGGTGTCGTGGTCGCAGTGGCACTCTCTTGTTGGGCAGTGAGCAATGATGCAGGCATGCTCATGCTACCAGCGTGATTGCTGCCTTGTACGCCTGCAGTCGCAGATAACGACAAAGCCACTCCTCCTCCTCCGCCACCACCCCATCTTCCTCCAGTGTCCCACCCACCATGCTCAATCTGCTGATCGACAATATACACCTTTTCGAGCAGAATCGACCGCAAGCGAGGGCATGCTCCGAGCATGGGGATCAAGTCGCGCTCGAAAAAGTAGGGGGACGTAATCGTGTTTCCGACAAAGGACCCGTACAACTCAAACTCGCGCAGGTTTGACAGGTGGACCATAGGGCGAAAGATGTCCTTGAGGAGGACACAGGACCGGAACCGGACAGTCTGGATGGACCCTTGACGGCGCTGGAAGAGTTCAGTCAGATTCTCGGCCGAATACCGTCCGCCGATCAACTCGAGGACTCGGAGGTTGGTGCACAAGACACTAATCACGCCCATCTCTTGGTCTGTGATCCCTGTCGCGGTGAGCTCGTGAACCAGAGGGCCAAAGTGCCGAAGGCCCTTGAGGGCCTTGTTACGGCTTGAGTTGAGGAATGCATGTTGGACCAGCGTGAGCCTTGGACCGATAGTAGTATCAGCAGTACCGGAGGCAGCAAAAGTCGGCGAGGATGCACATATGACCCCAATTGAACACGGTACTGCTGCAAGAGACGAGGTCGACAGGGAGGACCAATTCGAAGAGCAGGAGGAGGGCAGCGAGGGCATTCCAGAAGACCGAGGACTGCCGGATCTTGAGGAGGTGGAATAGAAGCCAAAGTCTTCGTCGGTATCGTCATCGTCTTCGGAGAGGTGTTGGAGGGAGAGTCGTTTCCAGAGAAAAGGGGTAAAGATGGAGTGCCACTGCTTCGATACGCGTGTGGCACTGGCCAGGGTGGGGCGGTCAAGGTGACTGGCAATGAGGCGGTCGAGCTCTGGCAGCATAAACGGCGACCGAGGAGTTGACTGAGTCTGAGTTAGGGTGGGCATAGGTGAGCCCGGGACCCTGAAGGGAGTAATGAGGAATGGGGATTCCATGGCGACTGAGGGAAAGGGAATGCAAGGTAGAATGGAATGAAATGGGTATGAGTGTATGTCTAGCTGAGGGAGGTCTTTGTTTCTGTGAGTGTGGGGGAATTGAGAGAGAGAAGAAAATAAAAGAAGAGAGAAAAAAAAAGGGCGAAAGAGAAGCGAGAGAATAACAAGATCTTATCTTACGATGCCTCGGGTTATTTTTTTTCTTCTGTGGATTATTTCGAACCCTCGGACAGGAGCTCTTACTTGATTACTTGACTACGCTATCAGTGAATGACGGACAGTGACACGATTTGATACAAGTGACCAACAAATGCCTGTGTTCCCTATCCCATTTCCCTTCCCTTCCTCTTTGTCAAACTGTGCTATCAGAGGAGAAGTAGGCACTCTTCACCCTTCCTCTTCTTTTTTGTTCATGCTTGTTGCTTACTCCTGCATCTCCAATGCTTACCTGCTCACCACCATCACAAGCATACTTGAAGGTCTCAAACACGCAATAAGAAAATACCAGCGCATGTCCTTGCATCCCATTTCTTTTTTTGCATCATACCCTTGTGCATTGCCCTCTTTGTTTCTTTTCCTTCTTATTGCTTCGGTTGTCCTTTTCCCCGCACTCGGCCATCCTCTTTTTTCTTTTTCTTTTGCGCTTGTGTGAAAAGGAGTAGGATCAAAAAAGAGTAACATGGAGATAAGGAACGGACGGCCCATCGTTGACCCAGTGGAATATACAAATAACGCTTAAGAGCAAAAACATAAAACATTCAATTGTTGCACGAACATACAAACAATTGGGAGACACCAACCAACACGAGAGATAAGAAAAAAAAGGGAGACCGAAAGAACACCCTCTTATCTCATCCAACTTGCTCAGCACTTTCTTTTGTTGATGGTGCTATTTTTTAACCATGCAGGAGAAATAAAGCGTGAGCTTGGGGGGATGGACAAAAGAAGGAACGCGAACGTTGCCACAAGGGATCGCTCCAAATGGATTTGTTGCTTTGTTGATGTTGCTGTTGCTGTTGTTGACAAAAGATACACAACATCACAACAAAGTCGAGAGCCCTTTTACAAGGTTGCCACTGTTGTTGATTATTGAAAGTTTACTTTTTGTCGTATTGTGTTGCTCCCCCTTTCTCACAATACTCATACTCGAAACTCCCACACTCCCTTTTCTGTCGAGATGTTGCTCTTGATCTCGCATCTTTTACTTTTTAGCCTGGGATCTGATTGCACACGCAAAACCTTCTCTTTCCCTCTCTCACTTCCCATCCCTTCTTGGCCTCATTCTTCGATCAGAAAAATACCATTGTCCACTCATGACCAGCCGCGTCTTGAATCCAAGAGCACGTTTTTTTTAACTTTCCTCCTCGGCCTTGTGAGCGCGTGAATCCTGTACGACCATGCATCTCGCATACATACCGCCACTCCCTCCAGAAAAATCGTGTTCCTCCTTTTTACAATCGCTGGACCACAGCTGCGCATCGCAGCCCAATTACTCGCTTAACCTTTCACACTATTTATTTTACATTCAGGCAAAGAGGTGAGATCTGGAGAGGTCAAACCCCTCCAACTGAGGAACAACCATCTTGGTCGTCATCTCATCCTGCTCCCGAAACGCATCCGACCTTCGATACTCCTTATACCCAGGAGCCGTATCAATCGCCTCCTTCAGCCTCCATAACCCCGGCGCGACTTGCTCGTTCAGATACGTCTCTACCTCCGGGACACCCAGGAACATATCCATCAACACGGCGGTCTTGATATCTGCCAGCGATATCTTCTCCCCGACCAAGAAAGGCCCCTTGTTGGTGTTGGTGTTGGTGTTGGCGCGCAATTGCTTCTCGCAGTTCACGACCCAGTTCCGGAGCGTCACCTCCAAAAACGTTCCTAGGACCTTCTCCCGAACTTCAGAACCCATTGCAGAGGCAGGGACGATACGAAAGACCCAGACGTTGTGGATCGTAATCGTTTGTGACAAGGCGATACAGATCTCGAGTTCTTCTTCGGTGGTGGAACCCAGGAATCCGAATCGTTTTGAGAGAAATCTTTCGATCACGTCCGCCTCTGGGATCTTCTTCGTCGTCGTCGTCTCGTCCTCGCCATTTCCATGAATGTCGTGGACGGTCAGGATAGGGAGGGATCCGAAAGGTGTCAACTCTTTATCAGTCTTCCATGTCTACCATTAATAATAAACAAACATATCAACGCTCGTTCGTTATTCCCCGATTGGATACACTCTCTAGACAAACGGACAAGGCCGCGTCTCCGTGTTTTTTTTTACGGTTAGGCACTCTTTATGTAACTTTTTTTTTTACCTCGAAGGACTGGATGCGATCTTTCCAGTCTGCTCCTGCAATTGACAGGATCGCCCTCGACGTTGCGCCAAGCGCATGGATGGAGAAGTAGTGCAGCTCGAATGTTGATCGAGTCATCTCTTTGGCCATTGTGACGAGAAAGAGAAAGGATATGGTCTGATAATGGGTGTGGTAAAAGAAGGGAAAAGAAAGCAGAGGGCGAGTTGGTGAAAGAAGAGATCAAGAATGGAGAAAAGAATGGCAGGGTATTAAAGAAGTTTTCTGGGAAAATGCGTACCCCTGGGTGCTTACGTGTGCACTATAATGATGACGATGACAAAGTCCATGGCTTACCGAAAAAAACGAGCATCTGCCGTTGTCCCGAGAAATCAAAAGGGCGTGCATGGACCCTGTTGAACAATTTTGGGTTTTCTGAAGGACCGTTGTTTTTCTGTCTCATTGATTTGATGATTTGATCACAGAACAGAGCTGGGCGAAGCAATAGCGCAGATTGATCACTTCCCAGTTATCATCGACAAAAGACGCGTGGTGGCGTAGAGGCAAAGGGATAGTTTACAGGATATGGTACATTAAAAATTGAGGACTATATGGTTATTATGTTCTGTTGACCTAAAGATTAGACAGCGGAGAGATAGGAAGGACGAGAAAAAGATGTAAGGGGCTTGTCTCCGCGACAAACAGGAAGGAGCCAATGTCGTTCAACGGAGTCACCACATCTCTCACTCCCTCCATCTCTCCTTGTTTTTTTTCTTATTATTTTTTTTGCTGTGGTTGTTGTGGTCGTTGCCGTTATTAATTTTCTTTTGTGTCGTATTCTCTGTTATTCTTGTTCATTTTGTCTGTCTCCTGAGATTATGCCTTTCGGAAGAGGATAAAGATAAGCGAACATCCCAGAGCAACACTATTTTCATCAAAATGAGAGATTATTTCAACGTGCAACGATCCAGTTAGTTTCCTTGTGCATACATCTCTTTGCCATTTGCCGATCCTCTGTCCTTACCGCATCATGCAAGCACGCAAAAGACAATAGTCATCACGTTAATATTTTACCTTGCTCCATGAATCCAGATAATAGAAAAGATCTCGCTTGGCGTATTGTTATTCAGAATCTGTCGGCGAAAGATAGCAAAGAACAACATCATCAACCCCATGATCGCCGACAAGGACCCGCACAGGATCAGAATCGCCTTCATCCGCTGGTAGGTCGATTTGAGGGTGTTTAGCTGCCGCTCGCTGTCGTCCCGGTCGGTGTACTCCGAGTCGGCGCCGATCCGTGACGAGACCCGGCCGACGTTGTCGTTGATCGATGCCATGTTGGACGAGATAATCGTCAGCAGTTGCCTAATTTTTTTTTTGGATGAAGATGAATAAGATAGAGTCATAGTGATTGTTAGCGACTCATTTCATCTCATTACAGAAAAAAAAAAACAAGACTCAGTGACTAGCGCGCGTTTGTGTTACTTACTTTCCAAAGAAGATGTAAAGAACAAAGATAACAGCAGCAACAAAGGCCCAAACACCATACATCGCACAAATAAACGAATTATACAGGTCCAGTTCATCACGGTCAAATGCCGCACCAGCGAACGAAGCCAAGATCTGGTTCGTGATCAACGGGATAATCGTCAATCCTAACAGCGTGAAATTCAAGACCATGGGTGAAGGCAGGTAAACCCGCTTGGGTTCCATCATGGACGAGAACCGACCCGAGTTGTGTAGATCGTGGGCGTTGTTGTAGTTGTTAGTGTTGTTGTTGAGGTCGTTTGAGCGACGCTTTTTAGACGAGAAACCGTTGTGAGTCGAGAAGGATGCTGGCGTGGCGTAGATGATCCCGACTAAGTAGAAGCCCATTGCCCCCGAGACAAATACCCATGGCAAATCGGCCTATTGGTGTGGTAGATAGTAGATGGATAGGGTTAATCGTGTGGTGGCGCTTGTAGTTATGCATGCTTAATTCTCATTGGAGTTGAGAGAGCGATTGATAGAGAGAGATAGAGAAAGAGGGGCGTTTCAAGGGTGCAGTGTAGACCACAACTGTTCAAATAGGGACGTGGCGATGAGTGGCTCGCTACTGTTCGCTCCTATTTCACTAAGAGCATCTATGCAAAATCACTACAGGGAGGCAATAGTCGACACCAACTTACAAAATTCTCGAGGAGACCTCGTTTGCCCTCGTTGACACCAGCCAGGAGCAAGACAGACAACACACAACGGACTACAAAGGAGGGGTTGGAAGTGATGGAGAGAGAAAAAACGCGTTTCATTAGTACGTGCAAAGTGTCTCTGTGTCTCTCGTTTCTCCCCTGCTGTCATCAAACTTGATCCCTCCCAAGAGTCCTCCTTGCTATCTAGCCCCCTATCTCAGGGATCCCATATGTTCTCTTTGCATCAACACTAATGAAGCACACACGTCCTCTCCTCCTCCCCTTCCACCTCCCCTTTTTTCCCTGGTAATTGAAAGTAGCGCAGTTTAAGCTTGTACCCTACTCCTCCACTCCAAACAAGCAAGCTTACAGAAGAAATATCCGGTGCACCAAAAGACGAATCCTTCAGTAGGTCGAGGGCGGAAAGCGCGATCGTTCCTGGAAAACTCCCAGATCTTTTGACCTTTCCACCAGATGTTGTGGATGAGAATACCGACGGAGATGAAGAGGAAGAGGAAGGACGAGATGATGTGGGTCGTGTAGAGGAACGAGACGTAGGTCACGCCTTCACAGTTCCCTTGGCTTTGCACTCGCCAGTCGCAGAATTCTGTTGAATTGACGACGGGGTCCATTTTTTTTTGGTTCGGTACTGTTGGCGAGGGGTTTGTTGGTCGTTGGGTTGTTTGGGGGTTGGAGGGGTGGCGACGGTACGAGGAGGTTGGAGCGGTGAGGAGTGTAATTAAATATGAGGGACGGGCGAGAGAGGCAGGGTAGGAGGGGGAGGAAGGAGATGTGATTGGAAGGAGGTAGACTTCAAAGGAGCGGGATGTAAGGATGAGGAGTGAATGGGAGTTGATGAAGGTCAAAGGTATGAGGAGTGGAGTAGCACTGAAGCAGAGGTCGGAAGAAGGAAAAAGAAAGAGAAAGGAAGGAGAAAAGGAAAGAAGGAGAAGAAGAAAAATGGCAACGGCAAAGACAGTAAGTTTCCGGATAATAGGTAGGTCGTAAGTGAAAGTAGGAGGGAGACAGTGAAAGAGAAAAATAAGCGTGGCTTAAAAAAAAAAGGTTAAAGGGTGGTAAGTCTGGATGCCTTGTTGTGTGAGGTGAGATGGGGTTGGAGGAGTGAAGCGGAGTGAAGGTGAGTGGAAAGGAAACAAAGAGAGAGGCGACAATGGAGGTAAGAAAGCGAGAACAAAAAAAAACGAGAGAGAGAAAGAGGTGAGGTGAATGGAAAGGTAAGCCAGGAAAGAAAGTGAGAAAAGAAAGGAGGTAAGGAAAATGAAAATATATTTAAACAGAGTTGTTGTGCATGAGAAAAGCTACACGAGAGATGGAGAGAGAGAGAGAGGTAAGGGGAGAGAGAAGAGAAGCCGGAGCCGGGATGGACGCATGCTTGCCTGTGTCTGTATCTGTCTCTGCCTCTACCTGCCTGTCAGCCAGTTCTGCTAATGTATTCTCTTTCTTTTACTTTATTGCTGTAGATGCAGACAAGCCTATGCTTGCTTAAGTGCCGCACAACACCTTTGCACACTCGACCAAAAAGATCATGCGAGGATGTGTATGTCCAATGCCATTCATCCTTGAAGGATAGCCAAAAATATTATTTTCGAACAGTACGCATGCATCGAACTAATAAACAAAGAAAAAGAAATCCAGGACTACGTCTTTTTTTTACGGAGGGTCAGGAAAGAGTGAAGGGCAGGGAAGGACCCATTTCAAAAGTGATCACGCACAACAGAAGCGGGTGGCAAGGAATGGGGTCGTCGTCGTTTTTTGTCTTGAGAGAGAAGAGGAACCAGGCAGCCAGTACACATGTCGCACATACATACACCGAACACCGATGTGACCCCATTGAATGACGGACGGCGACTACAGGTTTGCACTGATTTGTTGTCCACATTTTTCAAACAGTAGGAGAGAGAATGAGAGAGGGAGCGAAAACAGAAAGCCGAAGGGGATGGGTGCCCTCTGGATGGAATTGTTGAAAGGGGGCAGTAGGAGAAGGGATAAGGGAAAATGAGGAGAGTGGAGAAGGGGGTCCAAGGAGGGCGGCCAGACAGACAGAGAGACAGACAGAGAGAGAGAGAGATAGGTGACGAGAGAGAGAGAAAAAGGAGAAGGACAACTACGAAAAAGTAAGAGAGAGATAGAGCGAGATAGAGAGAGAGAAAGTGAGGGAGGTGGGATCATGCCAAGGGGGGGAGGGGGGGTTTGTATGGGTCAATTGAACAGCTTTGTACCACCTTTTGGTGGCTCCATTCCGTCTCTATCCTTACAGTCCCACTCATGCTCCGTTCATCATAAAGGAATGTCGAGAACTCCACCTTCTTACATACTTTGTGGCATAAGAAAACCACATCTTGTGCCCTGGGATTCTGTGGTTTTCATCTCATGTGCAAGCTGTTTTGTCTTGTTTTCTTAGTGAATACGTTCCTGGATCATGAGCAAACAGGGGATTGCCCGTTTGACAATCAGGAACAACAGCAAGCAACAATTATCATCACCTCCTCTTCCCCAGTGCTTAAAACGCGTCTCATCGCGCTGTGCAAAGAATCGTTTACTAGCTTTGTGGTACAAGGAAAAAAAATGCTTCCGTTCATTTCAGCCTGCAAGCGTGGAGTAAGAAGCATAAAGCCATGGGATGTACGCTGCAAGGGTATCATTCCATGCCACAACTGTCGCTCTAGATGTACTTGAAGGCATGCACTTGTATTAAACGCCCAATGGTGCCGAGTCTTCTTGTAACGCTACCTCGTAAAGCGTTACTCGCATCGTTATATCTTTTCACATATCTCGTTCTCTCCCGCACATCGTGCATGTTTCTCAAACAACGAGGTTCGCCGCCTCCCCCTCTTTGCGGATACATGCATATCACTCGCTCCTTGGTTATCATGAGCCGTTGACGAATGGGACGGTCCTGAGTTGAGTGGTTAGGCAGTTGTTGGGGCCACCGACACCGTTACCTCCCTACCTCACAACTCTAGAAATAAAATCTAGGAGATGTAAAATATCCCTGAATTCGAGGTCATCCCGAGATAAAAGAAAGTCTTTTCCTCGCTAGACAGGGAACCCAATTGCCCCAACGCCGCTTCAGGAATTAGTTGGCTACCTATTGGGCGTAAGAAAGAGAGAGGAGGGATGAAATGGAAAGAGAAAAAAAATGACGGGGGATGAGGAGGTCGGGATAGTCAAGTAACAGGTTTTTTTTGAGAACACTGGGGAAATCAACAGAGCAATGATTGTCTCCTTATGATATTACTGTCAAGGACCACTTGTGCGCTTTTTACGAAAAGGAGTTCTTTCAGGAGACGAGGAGTACAACTTGTCTCAATTATCGAAGAACATAGTATTAGTACCAACGACGAAAGTAAGCAAAAAGAGTAAAAGCAAGGGTTTTATTGTGCTGTGCAAAAAAATAAAAAAGAATGTTTGATTTTCTAGTCGCGGCTGAATGGAGAAGACGAGGAGGAGGAGGAGGAGGTGTCGAGCATGAACAGCTCGATCTGACGCTCTAGTCCGACACAAAACTCGTTCGTCACCTGCGCTTTCAACAGCTGTCGTTTCCGCAACGTCTCCTTCTCATCCTCTTCCTCGTTATCTTGCTCGTCCAGGTGAGCAAGGCGCTGCTTGACCTTTTCGACATCCAACAACTCTTCCGACTCGAGCTCTCTCAAAAACGCGTTCTTCATCTTCTTCGCCTCCGGCGACAACAGTGACTCCTCACTTTCTAGATCCTTGTCGAAGGCTCCATCCTTCTCGGCACTCTGCAGTTTTCTCCTACGCTCCCATAGACGGCACCGGGTGCGTTCGTCCATGATCCAGTTGACATACTCAGTCTCTAACAACCTCCGCTCGAGCTGCTTGAGGACTTCAAACGTGACCAACAGATCATGCCTCATAATCCCAACTCGATCCCTCTGGAAAATAATCTTGGTCGCCCACCGACGGTGCTGTGGCAGCAGCCAAGGGTACCTCTCCATCGCATCACGTCGTTCATCAAAGGCGTCCTGGTAAGGAGCTCCTGTTGGTTGCGGCGTTGCTGCAGGTGAAACTGATGTTGTCGAGGCCGGGTAAGATTCTCCTGAGTCGTTTTGTTCCGCAAACCTCTCCAATGGGGGTTGAGGCCAAGTCCTGAACAAGTCTCTGACTTCCAAGAAGATCTCAAAGCTTGGCTGGTCAATCGTCTGACTATCGTCAAACCCTCCCAGCTCTCCACCACCAAGCATCTGCTCCTCCAAATCCTTCAAGAACACCGCTCGCGCCGCGACACGAATGTTCCTGGCATTCCAGGGCTGATCCGAGTTGTCCGTGCAATCCTGACCATGTACACGGTTCAGTGGTTCCGAGTAGCCTCTCAGCGGTCCTCTCAGACCTGACGATCCATGAACCTTCATTTGCCATGCCGTAGTCAGCATCTTTTGACTGTTGTAAGCCGCCCAAACGTTGATCAAGGACGACACGATCAAGACAAAGTACAGGAGCCTTGTCGACATCAACCGCCTCTCCTTGTCGTCCTTTGGCCGCAAAATCCCATGTATCGTCTGCTGAATCGTGCCAACGAGTCCATAGGGTGTGCTGGATGTGTCCTGTTTGGTCTGAGAATCCCCTGGAGAACCTTGCTCTACCAGTGAGCTTCGGCTAGGACGGCCCAAGAGCCTGGTTCGACTGGCCTTTGATCCAACTGGAACAAATGATGGTGGTGCTCCAGTGGGCCAATTACCTTGCACACGAGAGCCCGAGTAGATGACGCCTCCTGAACCTGCTCCTGTGCTGACAGTGTGTCGCCTGAGACCAGGACTCCGACCATCCTTGGATTTCTCGGCGCCAAAGTCCGAGTTGTTGCCTTCATCCTGCGGATCATGAATAATGCTAGGGCCGTCGTTGTCAGGGCCATGAAGAGAGATCATAATCTTGGCCGAATCGCTCCTTGAGTGGGAACCAGAGGCGCTGTCCTTGGCCGATCCTGGAGCTGCGCCACTTGCATTGCCCTTGCGTTGTTCCAGGTGGAGCTGGATAATCTCGGTGATGTCCCGAATGGTCTCTGCCGTGCCCTTGATGATTGCTCCCCTGATCATGGCCTTCACCAACGGGTTCTTGTGCCACTCAATGCCGCTAGAGCAGGTCAGCTTGCACTCGTTCTTGCCAACGTACGTGATGCAGTACCGAAGCACTGGTGTGAACGCGTCGCTGTAGGGCATCGCCAGGACACTGGACTTGACGATGTAAGAGTAACGAAGGTGATCCTCCTCGACTTCGCAGGTATGAGTCTCCACGCAGTCCGTTTGGTTGAGTTTGACCAGTGGGTTGTTGACCACCATCACAAACTTGACCGTCCTTGCCTTGTGACCACCAGCGTCTGACCATTCCCCAATGCTCTGGACTAGTAATGTAACAATTTCCAATAGGTGTTAATATTAGAAGCCTTCACTGACTGTAAAATGGCACGGTCTATCGGAATCTCATAGTTACTTACTCGTGTTGTTCCTTCGTTCGTGGAACTCTTTCCAGATCGGGCTGTTCTCACCAAACAACAAACGGTTCAATGTCTTTGCTGAAATCGGAAAGTTTTGATCTAGCTCAATCTTTTCTAGGTGGCCAGGGCAGTTGCAGGGAATAGGCCCGCTGGGTACTTGCAAGTTCGATGGAAACACTATGTGGATCGAAATAGGCAAACAAAAGATGAGTACGCCGTTGCTATTCTTCAAGCTACAATCTCCGCCTGTTGAACATTACTGGAGGCCATACCTTCTTCCTCGTCCTTCCAGTCACCGTCGAGAGAAGCCAATCCGGAAGTCGCACCTTTGGGGGTTTCTACTATGACACCGCCATTGCCTTCTGACGGGTATGTCATCTTGCCGTCCCGGTTCTTCAAGTGGTTAGACTCTGTCGCAGCCAAGGATCCCGATCCAGCGCTGCCCTTGGGTTTGTTGGTGATCAGCATTGTCCGCTTGAAAAGTTCCTTCACCGGCATGCGATCTTTGGACTGGCAAACGTTGGTCCAAATGAGATGTAGCACTTGATACTCTGTGTCCGTGAGAGTGAACTGACAAAACACGTGCTGTACGCCATCTACAGTCTCAATTCGCCACTCTGTCGAAATGTCCCTTTGTTCACACTCGATGCCGCGAATGGTCGAGAAGCGATACATCCTCTTGGTCTCGACGCTCAGTCCACGCGCATAAAAGTACATGCCGGATTGAGTCAAGAAGATCCTGCCGTAAATCATGATGGGCTTGTCAGGTCGTGAATCATCGAGGTAGCCACTGGTCCAAGAGTGCAGCACATACTCCTTCGAGTGTACCTTGGTTCCATGGAAGCGCAAATGGAGCTCTCTGTTCCGCACAACCAGCTCCATCGGGTAATGGGGAATCCTATCAACGGCGAAACAACGGCGAAACAACGGCGATGGTTAGTGCTTGATCCGTTGCTAAGACGCCTCTAAATTAGAAAAAACAACCGAGTACATACTCTGAAACGGCGAGAGGGGTTGCTTTGGGGACCAAGTGGAGTGCACTGGTCATCAAACGTTCAATCTCTGACTGTTGTTGGCTGTGTCCGGCAGGGCGATCGGGGTTGACTGTGACCTCCGTGCCAGATCGGGAGCGCATCATAGACTGTGGCTCGGTATCCAGCACAAGAGGGAGTGGTCCTCCGTCTTTGGATGGCAACATCAGTGTCGGAACGGTTGTGTTCACCGAAAGGGACGCCTGCGATTCTGGCTTTGAGCTCTCCGTACCAGCTTTGGCCTCAGAAGAATCTCCAGCCTGTTCAGCGCTCTTGTCAGCATTGTCCGCACCGTTTCGAGATGTCTCTGCTCCAGATCCAGGCTTTGTTGCTGCCGCTGGGGCATTGTTGCCGATTGACCCAAGAAGCAAACTGACGCCCGGTACATTGGCCGCCCATCCGAGACCCAACGATCCTGTCGGTCTAGAGTTCTCCGTTTCGCTATTGAGTTTTGCGCGTGCCGCATCAAGTAGGTCCTCTCCTGAGAAGGAGAACTGAGGTTGAGCAGAGTCAGGGATCATGGGCGAGTATGGCTCCTCCGGCTCATGAGGGAGAGGCAAGTTCTGTTGAAGGAACATGTTCCTCTTGGCGGCCTCAAACGTGTTGACCCAGCTCATCAAATCGTCCTCAGTCTCAGCTTGCAACAGATACGATCTAAAATGTGCCATCAAATTAACCCCTGTTAGCATTGAGTTTGAAACGTAATGCTTTGTTCCAAGGTGAAACTGCAAAGCAACTTACTGAGTTGCACATACGACTTCAAAGCAAAAGCGGCGTTCCATCTGAACCATGGCAAGTCCTTGACTACCAGACGAGGGGTTTCCTCCTCCGCTTAATGTCATCAGTGAGTTAGCAGACGTCCCGTAGCGAACCTCACAGAGAAGAACAGCAATTCGTTCACTCTGCACGACTTGTGAGCCCACAGTTGGGTTGGAGACAACACTCTCGAATCCGAACTCGCCTTCCTGGATGAAAAAGTATTTGCGTTGCCATACAGGTGCCCGGTTCTTGGGCTGAGGAATGCGGATGTTAAGGTATCCTTGTTTCGTTGTCGGGGTCCCCTCCTCAAGGTCATAGCTGGCGAAGTTGGCGAGAGAAGGCGAGTTGGAAGACGCTATGCTGTTTCCTGAGGCAGAGTTCGGCAAAGAGTTGAGAGAGGTGTTGTTGGCTCGGGACAGACTAGAGCTATTGGGTGCACTTTCTGTTCCGGCTTGGTCCTCTGATAGTGCTGGGTATGAGCCGCTATTGGTTTGTCCTGATGACAAAGTCGGAATGTTGGGTAATGTGAGCTGAGTCGGGATGGATGGTCGAGTTGGAGCTTGAGTTGAGTACTGAGAAATGGTTGCTGGTCGATTTATGAATGTGTTCAATGGTACTTGACCTCCAATCTGGGCTGCAAGAGCGGGTCCGATTGTGGCAAGACCAATGGTCGACTTTGGTGGAGAGACATTGGAGTAGCACTTGAGAGACCGACTTGGTTTCCAGTATTCCATCGCGTCAGCCGTATAACGCTCCTTGTTCTGCTCCAATTCTTGCAGTGCAACGGCGCTTGCTTCCTTGTGTCCCTTCATGTACGTCTTCAATTGGAGAACCTGCAGAGCCATGCTTCCAAAGTGATCTGCATTCCCGGAAAAGTAGTCGTGTTGCGTAGCGATCAGATCCAGAAACTATTATTGTCATAGAGGGAGTACGACGTTTAGATTACACGATCCAGTAATTCAAGGAACCGAACAGGGTAGATATGCAAGCATGAGCTTACTGTTCCGAGAACAAGTTGGTCGAGTGAGTCCTGAAACTTGATGCAGAGCATTGAACAGGCCATGGCGGCCTGGATGTATGCTTTCCGAGTGTCGTAGAGTTGGAAAGCTTCCTCTCTGAGTGCACTGGGTTCCTTTTGTCTGCTCTGGCCGTTGTATTTGGCGAGGGTGCTCTCGTACTTTTCCAGAGCCTTGTCAAATGTCTTTTTGGCCTCCTTGAACTCCTTGAGGTCAGTTTTGAGAAAGTCGTCGAGTGGTTTTACGACCTGGTCGTTGACCTCTGTGATGTATTGATGTTTGAGGGCGAGAGTTGTCCTGAAGGCACCCCCGACCAGTTTCATGGCGGGAATTGTGTATTGTGAACCTGTGATGAGCAAGCAGCAGGTAACAAAGTCATTAATGAATGCAATTTCCAAAGAAAATAAATAAGTCAAAAAAGGGAACCATGATCAGTCACATTGGTGGCAAAAACGAATGATTTGAGACAAAAGGCAAAGCTTTTCTTCCTTCTCCCAACTCCGAGGGGAGGGAATCAACTGACAGAATTGGATACAAAAGCATAACAAGTAAAAAAGAGGGGTGTGTCCTGTCGTGCGGATCGTCAGCTGGACCTGGCCTATGCTTCTTTTTTCTTTCCCCCAAAAAAAGGCTGCATCTCAATTTCCTTTATTTGTCTGTTTCCTCCACAACCCGGTTAGTCATGGCCCAAGGTTGAGTGACTTACTGAGCATGCCCTGGGACAGCAAGGGGACCTCGGCGCGTTTGTTCAAGATCGACGTGACTTCGTTCAAACCTATTGCGGGTTCAATTGAAGCCCCGGCAACCCATTGAAATAATGAAGAGGAGAAAGAGCGCAGGCATAATAATAGGGAACCAGATCAGTACCATGCAAGAAGTACTTTCTTGTCTTTCACCATTGCTCATTCAGTACTGCGATAAGTATTGCTGTCAATCATCCCCTTACGTTTCCACTCCTCGGTGAACAGATTGACGGATCGTTGCTACGGCAGAAATGTCCGGGGAGAAGGAGAGAAGGAAGGGCAGTGCAAATCAATGGTTAGACAATGCAAGTCTCGGCGCAGCCTGCCTAACCAGCCAGCCATAGCTTATCGCTTGTCTCGGAAAAAAAAGGCCAAGCAAGAGGGAAAAAGTACCAATGCAATCAGCCAGCTCTCAATGAAAAAGACTTGTCCCTCAAAGAGTCTGATGTTGGCACGAAAGTTGGGGTTGTCGAGCAGGGCGTCTTCGAGGGTGATGTTGGCGACGGGAATCATTGCAGCAACACCCTCAGTTGTGGTTGGTCCTGGTGGAACCGAGGGTGGATTAGGTGGCACAGTGGGCGCCATTCTTTCTTTTTGTGATGGAGATGGGTGTGATGACAGAAAGGTTGAAGTTTAGCGACTGCAGGGTCTCGTTTCAGACAAAAAGTAAGTTGAAGGAAGGGTCGGAGGTGTGACAAGATTGGGTGGAAGGGAGGGGGAAGCTACGACGAGGTGGTGGGGTAAGGGAAGGAGGAAGGAAGTGAATGGTAAGAAGGACAGAGGAGCGAGTGAGAGTGTGGGGGAGAAGAAGGAGGAGGAGGAGAAGAAGAAGAAAAAGGAAGAGTTGAAGAGAGAGAGAGAAAAGGAAGGGAAGGAAGAATAAGGAAGAATAAGGAAGAAGAAGAAGGAAGGATGAAAGAAGACTAAGCACGGACAGAAAAGAAACGACCGACCGTTGAAAAAAAAAAAGGAAATTGGAGTCCATGACGACGCGTTTGCGACATCCTGGGCCGGATACATTATCATTCTGGGCTCATTGCTGGGGACTAGTGAGTGTTCCCCTTCCTGTTCTTGTTCTTGGCACATCCTTTTGTTCCTTGTCGAGCCCCATCTTGGTCTTGGCACATCCTTTTGTTCCTTGTCGAGCCCCGTCTTGGCCTTGGCAGCATTTGCCATATATACTGGTCGGTACGGCTGTTGTTTGTCCCTTGTTCCCAGTTCCTTCGTTTCTGTCGGTGTCACAAAAGGGATGGTTTACCCGGTGAGGAAACACCAATAGTGACGCTTGTAGACGGTGCAAACAGTGAAGGAGATAAGGGTGGATTCAGAGAGAGGATAGGGGGAACATATAGAGAATGAGCATAGCCCTGTGCTGTGACAGAGGCGCCATGCTCGACTGAAGCTGGATACAGCAGGACACACTGGTCTTGCAGAAAACGGTGACGTCATCGACTTTTTTTTGAGAGTTGTTGATCTAACCTTTAACTGATGCACCCACACGCATTAAAATCTTACTCCACCTCGCCTCCAGTCCGCTTTATTGGTGCTCTTATCAGTCAATCGTTTCCTTCTTCCTTCCCTCCCCCACCATCAACAACACCCTCCAAAAAAACAATCCCATTCATTGCAATAACAACTACCTTTCATTGCAAACCCATCACTGCGACACAATCACTCCATCCACCCCCCCCTCACACAACCCCTGTCACAATCAATCAACAACACCATGGCCGACGGTAAGCGCAATCCTTACCTACGCACTTCCATGCAAGCAACAGCAACCAGATCTCATATTCTTAACCAAAACCGTCTCTCAACCGTAGATATCAGCGCCCAGATCAAGGCCGAGCAGGAAAAGAGAGCCAAGGACAGCTCCTCACAGCGTGATGACACGCGCGTTTCCCTCACCGGCGTCGGTTATGATCAGGACATCTATGGCAGTGGCAACAAGTTCGAGGGCTACTCAACCTCCTTACCCATGGACGACGACGATGACGAGGAGGACGAACTCTCACAGCGTGCCGCACAAAAGAAGCTGTCGTCCTACACAGCACCAAAGGAGGTCTATGCTCATTTAACCTCTGCTGAAGACGAAGACCACGATCCTTTCGCAGGACGATCAGAGTCTAAGAGAGTCATCGATAGACAGGATGATTACCATAAGCGTGGGTACAACCGGGCACTCTCCCCTTCGAGACAGGATGCCTTTGCCAAGGACCAGGGCGCAGCAGGATCGGAGGCGCGGACATATGCAGAGGTGATGAGGGAGGCTGAGCTGGAGCGTGAGCAGCAGCGAGTCTTGCAAAAGATTGCCGAGAAAAAGAAGGAGGCACAAAAGGCTACAGGACAGGACGCACCGCCACCCCCAACACCTACTGGAAGAAAGAGACGCTGGGATGTGGCTACGCCCGTTGTTGCTCCAGCAGCCACCTCCTCATGGAACGAGCCCGACGATCATGTCGCCGCACCTACCAACCGCTGGGAGGAGACCCCCAAGGCCGATGTCAAGAAGCGTAACCGCTGGGACGAGACACCAGTCGCAAGTAACACATCATCATGGGACGCTACACCTAGAGCTTCTTCAGGTGTTGCGGAGACACCCACTGCCAAGCGCTCTCGATGGGACGAGACACCCGTGGCGCCCTCGGGCATGTTTGGCGCAATCCCTATGGCTGGACAACTCGGCATGGTCACACCTAACCTGGCTGTGCCCATGACCCCCGAAGCGATGAATGCCCAGCGTTGGGAGCATGAGATCGACATGCGCAACAGACCTCTCACGGACGACGATCTGGATGCCATGTTTCCCACCACTGGATACAGGATCTTGGAGCAGCCTGCCACTTACACGCCCATTCGCACCCCTGGTCGCAAGTTGACTGCCACACCCACACCCTACACTGGAAACGGATTCATGATGCAGGACGAGAACTTGAAGCAGAACTACGGTATTGCTCCCACAGAATTGGAGGTCCCCGGCGGCGGCAACCTCCCCTTTTTCAAGCAGGATGATATGCAGCACTTTGGAAAGCTGCTCGACGAGAAGGACGAGTCGTCCATGTCGGCGGAGGATATTAAGGAGCGCAAGATCATGAGACTGTTGCTCAAGATCAAGAACGGAACACCAGCCATGCGTAAGGCTGCCCTTCGTACCATTACCGACAAGGCCCGCGACTATGGCGCAGGACCACTCTTCAACCAGATTTTGCCCCTGTTGATGTCACCCACACTGGAGGATCAGGAACGTCACTTGTTGGTCAAGGTCATTGACAGGATCTTGTACAAGCTGGACGATCTCGTCCGTCCCTTTGTCCACAAGATTCTTGTTGTCATTGAGCCACTGTTGATCGACGAGGATTACTATGCTCGTGTTGAGGGTCGTGAGATTATCAGCAACTTGAGTAAGGCTGCCGGCTTGGCCACTATGATTGCAACCATGCGCCCCGATATCGACCACGCCGACGAGTACGTCCGAAACACCACTGCTCGTGCCTTCTCGGTCGTTGCGTCTGCTCTCGGTATTCCAGCCCTGTTGCCTTTCTTGAAGGCTGTCTGCAACAGTAAGAAGTCGTGGCAGGCCCGTCACACCGGTATTAAGATTGTCCAGCAGATTGCTATTTTGCTCGGATGCGCCATCTTGCCTCATCTCAAGAACCTCGTCGACGCCATTGCCAAGGGCTTGGAGGTACGTTTGTTTGATCAGATTTTATTGTCGTTTTCCGCTTGAAAAGGATATTGTATGTTAATTATTACACTTACTAACCACTTTGCTCTATTGTACGTTTTGTATTACGGCCCACTAACATTCATCTTTACATTCTTGCTTTCAACTCTGTTAGGACGAGCAACAAAAGGTCAGGACTATCGCATCGCTGGCTATTGCGGCGTTGGCTGAGGCTGCCCACCCTTACGGTATTGAATCCTTCCACAGTGTGTTGAAGCCTCTTTGGTCTGGCATCAAGAAGCACCGTGGAAAGGGTTTGGCAGCTTTCCTGAAGGCCATCGGATACATCATCCCTTTGATGGAGGAGGAGTATGCCAACTTTTACACAAAGGAGGTCATGCCCATCCTGATCAGGGAGTTCCAGTCGCCTGACGAGGAGATGAAGAAGATTGTGCTCAAGGTCGTCAAGCAGTGTGCTGGTACCGACGGTGTAAGCCCTCAGTACATAAAGGAGGAGATCCTGCCCGAGTTTTTCAAGAACTTTTGGGTGCGCCGCATGGCTTTGGACCGCAGGAACTACAAGCAGCTGGTCGAGACCACCGTCGAGCTGGCTCAGAAGGTTGGTGTCACCGAGATTGTGTCGAGAATTGTCGAGGACTTGAAGGATGAGTCGGAGCCCTACCGCAAAATGGTCATGGAGACGATCGAGAAAGTTGTTACTCAGTTGGGCGCCGCTGATGTGGATGGACGTCTGGAGGAGGTGCTCATTGACGGAATCCTGTACGCCTTCCAGGAACAGACTACCGAAGATATTGTCATGTTGAACGGTTTCGGAACGGTCGTCAATGCGCTCGGATACCGCAGCAAGGCCTATCTCCCCCAGATCACGTCGACCATTCTTTGGCGCCTCAACAACAAGTCTGCCAAGGTCCGTCAGCAAGCAGCCGATCTGATTTCGAGAATTGCTGTCGTCATGAAGACCTGCGGTGAAGAAAAGTTGATGGGGCATTTGGGTCTGGTCCTGTTCGAGTACTTGGGAGAGGAGTACCCCGAGGTTCTTGGATCGATTCTGGGAGCATTGAAGGCGATCGTGAACGTTATTGGTATGAGCAGCATGACACCACCCATCAAGGACTTGTTGCCTCGCTTGACGCCTATTCTCAAGAACCGACATGAGAAGGTGCAGGAGAACAACATTGACTTGGTCGGTCGTATTGCAGATCGTGGAGCTGAGTTCGTGAGTGCGCGTGAGTGGATGCGTGTCTGCTTCGAGTTGCTGGATATGCTCAAGGCTCACAAGAAGGGTATTCGTCGTGCCGCTGTAAACACCTTTGGATATATCGCCAAAGCGATTGGACCTCAGGATGTCCTGGCAACGTTGCTCAACAACTTGAAGGTTCAGGAGCGCCAGAACCGTGTCTGTACAACCGTCGCTATTGCCATTGTCGCCGAGACTTGCGCACCCTTTACCGTTCTCCCCGCCCTCATGAACGAGTACCGTGTCCCCGAACTGAACGTCCAAAACGGTGTCCTCAAGGTTCGTTTTAAGGCTCCTGTTTGTCTATGATTGCATTTTCGGCTATTGTCTATATATTTTGTTTTATTAGACCATGTTACTAACCATTCTGTGTCGTTTGTCAATCTACTTGAATAGTCATTGGCCTGGGTGTTCGAGTATATCGGAGAGATGGGCAAGGATTATATCTATGCTGTCACACCGCTACTGGAAGATGCTCTTATGGACCGAGATCTTGTTCATCGTCAGACCGCCTGTACAACCGTGAAACGTACGTTCATTGATATGGTTCTTTATGATTTTGTAGCTATTGAATGTTGTCATTTCACGAAAGACGTCGTGTTGTGAAAGTGAAGCAACGTAATAACCATCTACCCATTTTTTGTTTGTTTTCATTCCACTTTTAATAGACATGTCGTTGGGAGTTGTTGGATTGGGATGTGAGGATGCACTGCTTCACTTGCTGAACTTCGTGTGGCCCAACATTTTCGAAACGTCTCCTCATGTGATTAATGCCGTGATGGATGCGATTGACGCACTGGCGGTTGCACTGGGGCCAGCGACGATTTTGCAGTACGTTGTCCAGGGTCTGTTCCACCCCGCAAGAAAGGTCCGTGAGATCTACTGGAAGATCTACAACAACATGTACATTGGCGCTCAGGACGGAGTCATTCCCTTCTATCCCTCGATCGACAACGATGGTGCCAACAGATACGAGCGCACCGAGCTCTTCTACGTCGTCTAAGAGGCAGCCAGGGACACTTGTTGCTTGACTTGCACAAACGCACTGTAAGCAAATAAAATCAGCTATTGTTTGAAACAAAAGAGATACCTCAAAGGACGTTCAGTCACACTGATCAAATGCATTTCAGGCACCCTAGTGATCATCCCTCAAGTGCCTTTCTTTGTAGCTTGGGCGAAGCAGCGTTGTTGGCATTTGTGCCCTCTACATATACACAGGCCATGAAATGAGAGGCACGTTTTCTTTTCAAAACCAACAACAATGTGGCGTGTGCGTGTTCTCCGAGTGTGCATTAGCATTTCTTTCAGGCACAGAATACCTCCATGCAGTCAGCGACGAACAGCGAACCTTTTATTGTCATGAAGTGGGTCTGCTTTCTTCTTTTCATCTGCCCCTTGGCTTTCTACAGTGATCGTAAGCTGACGCAAAATAGACCCGGCGGTATGTAAAAGAAGTGATGAGGAGTAAAAGAAAGGAAAAGAAGTTTTCATGGTTTATTGTTGACTGTGATAATAGAGCTGAAGTTGGTCAAAACCCAAAGACATTCACTGGGTCTTTTTTTTTCTTTTTTCTTTTGGGTCTGACTTTGGAGTGCCGACCTTGAATTTTTTTTTTTTGCTTAGAGTAAGCAGACAATGACAGGGATTTCGCTCATGTTACACTTTGGGAATCTCAACTCGGTTAGCAGGCCGTCCCTCGCCCGCCCCTAATTGCTCCAAGACCGCATATGTTCCTTTTCATGCAGGTTGAAGGCGCTAGAACAATTGACAAGCCAAGTGGGTGCACCAAACAGTTCTTCATCAAATCGCTGTTTGACTGACTGACTGATTGGGCCCGCGTAACTGCTTTTGTGTCTTGAAGCCGATCGGTACCCATTGTTTCTCTTCAAGTGAGGTTATCTATCACCATTTCAAGCTGTTCATATTCTTCGTCTTCGGATCAGTTGAGCGTCATGTCTGAAAAGCGACACGATCCATTTACTGGGGCCGGTTTGCGGAACTCAAGGAAAGTGCAAGGATGATTGCAATTGATTACGAAAAATGAACATTAAAGTCCCCGAAACAAATGCACAGAAGACATGGATCCATGTGTGTGGGGATCTGAGTTGATGGTGGTGGTGGTGGCGGTGATCCTGGCTTGTTGTTTTCCCGGGGGACAGGATGGTTGAGTAACGACGGGGATGGATATTAGTTGCTTCGTGCATAAGAGACCTTCTCCAGTTTTCCACAGAACCCCTTTTCTCATCTGAATGATGCGATTTTAGCAAGGTGGCAACAAGAAAGAAAAAAAAACGAGGGTACGAACCTCTTAACATCCCAAAAGAACAGACATAGCTTCTATCTTTAGTTAAGCCTTTGGTTGGCCGGGTTGGCCATGTTCTTGAGTACTTGGGTAAGAATACACCCTATTCGCCATCCTTTTTGTAGTGCTGTTGAAAAGCCAAAGAGTCCGATTTCTTTTTCCCTAGCTATTTTTTTCATGCGGCCCCCGCTGTACAAACAGAAAGAACTATGAGGGAAGAAACCCTAGGAAAAAATAGCATCGCCCTTTTTTTTGGTTTTTGTTTGATCGTGTTTCATCTGAGGATGAAAAGAATAATGTACAGCTCGCTGGCCGCTCCTTCAGTTGTCTGGTCTGCTTGCTGATGTGCTCTCATATAGGAGGAGGGGGAGGAGGGGGAGCGGGCTTTGGAAGCTGAGAAGAAGGGTGTGTGTGGCGATTCAGGTTCTGTGGTTGGTTTTCCTTCTTTCTCTCAATTCATTTCTCGCTTTTCCATCACTCCAAACTCAATTCATTTGGACAGGAGAACATGAGTAAGAGGAGCCACTGTGAGAAGAATGGATTCCAATAATCCAACCCAGCTAGACGGCCAGCCGGCTTTGTGGGTTCTTTTTCTTCTATTCGATTATGAGCACTTTCCTCACCCCATGAATCAGCATCAATTGCCCATCGAGGGGAGGGGAGAGGGAGGGAGGGGGGGGGGGGATCTCTAGAGATAAATAGTGACATTGGATGGGGATGAAAAGGAGCTAGAGATGCTGATTTGTTTGTTACAAGCTTCGAGATGGAAAGGGGATGGACGATGGGGAGGGTAGGTGCGTTGGTTGCATGCATGTATGACTAGTTGTGCGAGCGCAAAACTAAGGGGTCCTTTTCCTTCTGACCAAACGAGTAAACAATAACCACACAATAACCGTTGCAACAGAAAAGTACTGTACTTGCATGATAGACTGCCAGCCATCCCTATCTCTCGTTTCCTTTTGCCCTCTTGCCTTGTCCTGTTGTGCTCTTGTTCGGACACGAGCAAACAACAACAAGAAAGGAAACAAAAATGCATCCATGCAAAATTTAGAAGGAGGGACACCAAAACCCAAAAAAAAAAAAAAAAAAAACATTGCCCTAGCTTTTTTAAAGGTCCGACCGAGGATGGGAGAAAGAGAGAAAAAAAACTTTGCAAGGGAGGCCGTTGAATTTGAGTGCTGGCATGTCAGTCATGTCCCCTGTCCAAACACACACTTTGTTTGATGTACTGTGCTACTCTCACAAAAACAAGCTTCGGCGGACCTGCATCGCAGATGAATGAATGAAAAGAGAGGGTCGGAGGGATGGGTTTGCCTCACTCCCTTCACGTATCAAAGTACTTAAGACGAACCCACTCCCATCTTTTTGTCTTTTCTTTTTTCTTCTTTACAGTTAACTCTGCCTCCTCTTCCTCCTACACCCTCTGTCCTTTCTTCCTCCTCTTCCTCCTCCTCGTCCTCACTCCACCTTCTCACCCTCACCCTCACCCCCTCTTCAATTAACACATAAACGATGAGCGCATACAACAAGGAAGCCGCAGCCTACGAGCTCGAACAGTCCAACCAAGAACCTATCGACTCCGTCACATCCACCGGTGCCCAGCAGGAGAAGGCCAAGAAGCGTGGCTTCAACCCTGTCAAGGTCGTCACCAAGGGCTCCCAGGCTGTTGTTGGAGGTGTTGTTGGAGGTATTGGACAGGGTGCTTCTGCCGTCCGTGGCGGAATCTCACAAGGTAATTTACCTACATAGCATTGAAAAAAGGGAATGGGGCTGAAGGGTTAGCTCATATCTGGGGGTGTGTGTGTTGCTCACAGAGCAATGGGCATCGCATGAGCAGATCGAGAACAAAGATGAGCACATCCACCAACCGCCACATTATAACAACAAAAAACAACAACAACGTGAGCATACCAAAACACCACAGTGGATGAAGGAAGCAAAGGATGTGCCTGGATTTGAGATTTTCGCGATTGTTTTTTGTTTGTTTGCTGGAGTCCCCCAAGTCAACTCAACACACCACTCGACACCTCTCCCTCTCGAACCGATCGATGTTAATATCGCATTCCTCACTTACTCACTCACTCGCTTCCTCTAACTAACCCACTCACTCATTCTCCGCCTCCATCAACCAAAATAGTCGAAAAGGGAGTGTCAAAGGCCGGTGACACTTTGGTCAGAGTCCCCGGAGTCAACTATGGAGTCTCCTTCTTTTCCGACTACCGCAAGTTCATGGACCGAGGCAACGTTATCGATCTTGCCGTCGCTGTCGTTATTGGTATGTTTACTTTTTTTTTCTCTTTTCAACCACCCTGTTAAGTCATGTACCTTTCTGGAGGTTTCAATTACCCTCCGACAAATCGGATCGCAAAGGGAGGAAACCTCCCCTTCATTTATGATTGCGAATCATAATAATTTGTTCAAACGACTGACCAATTGCTTTTCTAATCGGCTTTTAGGTGCTGCTTTCACTGCTGTAAGTAAACATCTTCATACAGGGAAACTCAAAACTCTCACCAGAAGGCTCCTCTCGCGAGAGGGAGGTTTGTTACTCCAAAGAAGAGGAAGAAGAAAGAAGGATAAGAAAACAAAGAGGAAATCGGACTTTGGTTTTTCTGTTGTTCATCTTTCCCACTCCAGTTCTTTTCTTTGCTCAGTTGCATATACTGGCATCTTTCTTTCTTCTTTCCTGCTCTGCATAACGTTCCACTTGCTCGTTTTCTGGCGATATTGTTTTGCTCACCGTTGGCTTGGGTACAAACAAAATAACACTTCCACGGAGAAGAGTTTGCAGAAAGATATGGGGGTAATTGAGACGGAGAGGATTAGAGTTTTCTTTCCATTGGGCGGACGGTGTCATGCAAACAAACAAACGGATGGAACACTGAACCCCTTCACATTCACGCAGACAGGGGCCAAAAACGTGACAGGACAAACAGGTTGACCGACAATTTACTCACGAACAAAATGTACTCACAGAAATCTTTCCCGCTGTTATGCTTGCAAATGCACGCATCTTATTGACATACTCTAGATTGTTACGAGTTTGGTCACGGATATCATCACGCCCATCATCGCCCTGGCCTCTGGAAAGAACCTCGAGGAGAACTTTCTTATCCTCCGCCACAACCCCCTCACCGATACCACCGTAAGTTCTTGTTGTCTTGTCTTTTTTTGCACCGACCCGTTCAGGATTTTTTTTTTTTTTTTTTTTTTTTGGCCCTAACCGATCCCTAATCCACTCCCTTTTTTTTTTCTTCTCTTTTTGACAAAAATATAGTACTCGACAAGAGCACAGGCACAAGCAGATCACAGCATCACCTGGAACTGGGGAAACTTTATCCAAACCGTCATCAACTTCTTCATCGTCTCCGCCTGTGTCTTCATCATCGTCAAGATCTACCAGGCCAGCCGTAACACCAAAACTGAAGTCACCGAGAAGGCCTGCGATTACTGTATGAAGAAGATCCCCGTCGAGGCCGTCCGCTGCCCAGAGTGCACGACTTGGTTGGATTGGGATGCTTGCACTAAAGTCAAGAACATGGAACATCTTGCTGCTGGTGGGGGGTTGAACACAACCGGATTGCCTGGTATGCCCGTCCCTATGCCTTTTAACCCTAATGGTTTGGCCGCCGGTGCTGTTTCCCAGCCTTATATGGGTTCGTCGAATGGTGTTGATTCCCTTGGTCGCTTTTAAAGATGATCGAGTGCACTCCCCTCCTCCTCCTCCTCCTCCTCCTCCTTCACCTCCACCTCATCTTCTGCTCATGCTAAGGACCTATCCTTCACCATCTTTATCTTCTAGTTATTTAATTACTCCTTTGCTTTTTTGTTTTTTTTCTCGTTTTTTTTGCTTTCAATTTTTTTTTTGTCATTTGCCTTTCGCTATCCTATCCGTCTTTTTTTTTTTTCCCCCCCTTTCTCCCCTCAAACAAAGCGCTTCTGTACAACATCAAACAAACATCTACATACTTATTTTTACACATTGTTTTGAGGAATAAAAATGGCCAGACTTGTTATTTCATGAAAGACTTTTGGAGATGGGACTAATAAACGATAATGGAAACTAATGAACAATAGGGGGGAAAGGGGGAAAGTGAATGATACATACAAAAGAAGAACACGAACAAAATAATGAGTAGGGAGTGGAAAGAATCGATCAATCACATAGGACACAAAGTAAGAAAAGAAAAGAAAAATACAAGTAAAAGAACAAATGAATTAAGATACAAGAACACCGGGAGAGACGGCGATGAAGAAGTGAAAGTGAAAGTGAAAGTGAAAGATAAAAAAAACAAGTTGGTTATTCCTGGGAAGAGGGGTGCATGGCGTTTCGCGTTGATTAGGACTGGCAGGAGTGTTCTCCGTGTGAGGTTCATGTGGTTTGTTGTCGCCCTTCAGTCAAAATGTGAGAAAGGCCAGTGATGGTTGAATGAAAGTAAGGAAAGGAAAATGAGGGTTGGGAAAGAAAAATGTGAAGATGTAGTACGAGATGTCGCCGTCAGTCAAAACAAAAAGAAGATTGAAGTTTGACTTGGAGTGGCAAAGAGAAAATAAAGAAAAAATAAAGTAAAAAGTGTCGTGTCGATCGATGTGAACTAGGAAATAGGTGAAGGGTATCCAGTCAGTCGGGTCAAAATGGATGGCGAAGTAAACGCTAGTTGACTGGGTATCCCAATTAGAGAGTCGATCGGGTCCGCGTCGTCTACTCCTTGATGATAGGTAGGGCAACGGGCCCCTTGCACTTATGGCAGACAAGGTGAGCACGACCAGACTTGACTCTTTCGGCCTCCATAGCGGCGTACTCCGTCTTGAGGGGGATGTACTTGCATCCAACCTTGGCGCAAAAGACGTTGGACTTCTTATAACGGAGTCCACACGAGTTGCAGAGGGCAGAGTGGGCGGTGTAGCCGGGTCTCCAGCATGGAGTCTCGCTTGCTCCACAAGCTTCGCACTTCTTGGTCGCGGCCTTGCTCTCGCGCGCTTTGGCGGGTTTCTTGGGGGAGGTGCTCGACAAGGAGGGGGACGGGCCCCCGTTCGTTCCTGCTCCTGTAGCCGAGCCTGTGGAAGAAGAAGCTGAGTGACCTGAGGTGCCGCCGTTGGCCTTGGAGGACTTCTTGCCCGTTCCTGCAGCAGCAGCTCCTCCAGAAGGTCCCATCGTCGAGGTCGTCAACGTGTCCGACGTCATCATTCCGGGGAAGTACTGGTTTAAGAGGCCAGTTCCGTGATAGTAGGCGACATGGTCAGCCTCGGCCGTGTCCTCGTCGCCGTTGTAGTCCTCGTCCCAGGCGTTGAAACGTTTGCGACCTTCCTGCTGCTCAACAGCCATGGTGGCGTCCAAGAGAGGCTTGAGGGTCTTGAGGGAAGCACGGCGAAGGCCAGCATCAGCATCGACGTGATCTGAGGGGTCGTTGTTGCGGACGACTTGCTTTCCTTTCCCCTTGCCTTTGGTGCGGTGTCCGTCGTCGTTCTCCTGTTCGTCAGCATCTGCGCCGCGCCTCTTCTTCTTGCCATCCTTCTCCTTGTAAGCCTTCTTGCGCTTCTTGTTCTCCATCATCTCACGCGAGAGTTGCATGGCCAGATCGACCTCCTGTGGCGGGATGCGGAGGTGCTCAGGGACGTTCTGAAGGCGATTGTGGGGCTTGTAGGAGCTTGAGGCGCTGATGTGACGCTGCTGGGCAGCCAACCCTGTTCCGTCGTCGCAGTAGTCCTCATCGTTCATATCCGAAGCTGCGCCACCCTCAAAGTCGATATCCATCGCGTAATCCTCGACAACTGCCACACGACGAATAACTCTCAACTCGACTGGGGGTGCCAGCTGGTGCCACTCACGCTCCTGCCCATGGTGGCCAGCGCTGACAGATTGGCGGCGCTTCTTGTAGAGTCCAGTCATGTGTCCTGAGCGGGGTCTATCGTCCAGATCCTCCTGTGCCTCGTCTCCTGACTGTCCGTCATCGTCGGGTGAGGGATGACTGTGGGCCTGAGCTTTGGCGCCACGTCCCTTTTGGCCAGAACCACCCTTCTTGCGCTTCAAATTGGCCGTCTTGCTACCACGGCCACCAGTCTTTCCACCGCGACCAGCGGAAGCCGCTACATGCTGGTGTTGCTGCTGCTGCTCGGACGACTCCTCCTCGGATTCCTCAGTGACGTCGCTGCCGTCGAGGACGCCGCCCTTAGCCTGGATATCGTCAAGGACAACGTGGACCATATCCGAGATAAGGACAGGGTAGCTCAAGATCTTGGCTCCTCCGACCGTCTTCAGGCCCCTGCTCGCTGGTGGAAGGATTCCTGATCCGCTGACAAAGTCCAACTCGGGGCGAGGAATCGCCGACTGGCGACGGATGCTCAGTTGCCTCTGTGCCCAGAGGGGAAGGACCGAGTCGGTGTCGTCACCTTGCTCCTGGTTGACCTCGGTGGCCGAGCCAGTCGTCGATCCAGCGCGGTCTTGGCGGTCATCTGTCTCCTGCTGGTTTGAGGTCACCTCCTGCGCATCCTGATCAGTAGCGGCCGAGCTGCTATAAGGATGAACAACATAAAAAAAAGGTAGTAACGCGATTAGATCGGTTGAAAACATTCCACCAACATGCATCACAAGGTCTCTACTCCACCAGCCCATTATTTAAACCATCATTTTCTTTACAGGTTCATACCTCGATCCAAATTTGCGACTTGGGGTGACCGGGGTGGGAGGAATCGATCCATGCTTCTCGATCATCAACTCACGATCGGGTTGACTTTCCATCACGCCAAGAGAAGGGACCCTGGATGTCAATGGTGGCGTTGGCATGCCTTGTCCTTGTCCTCGCGATCCGCTTGCCTGTGACTCCGTCCGGTTGGCGGCAGAGGCTTCCTGTTCCGCGATGATGATGTCCCCAATGGACATGGCTGAGTCTTCGTCAGTGAAGGAGATGGGTTGGCTGGCAGCGCCCGAGGCTATCGCAGATGACGCCTCCAAAGGGTGGGTCGCGCCGAGCTCCTTGAATGTCTCCTCAACCTGAATGCCAAGACCAGATCGACGGTCAGGTGAGGGGGGTGTGGCCATCTGCATCACCGGTGAGGGGCAGCCGACGGATCCTGCTCTGGGGGTCATAGCTGGCATGGGTGGGGTGCCGAATGGCAACTGGAAGATGACTCCGTCCTGGGCTCCGTTCCATGAGGGCGATCTCATGGGAATCGAGCTCTTTCTCTTCGACCGCAAGGGGGTCACCGGGAAACCAGTGGCAAACATTCCGGGCGACAAGGTCGACGGAGATGAAGGCGATGGGAGAGGAGCGGCGTTGCTTGAGGACTCTGCGGGAAACTTGAAAGAGCTCATGGCCTCAGTATGAGTCGGGGTGGCGGTCTTGGGGGCGAGGGGCTGGCTGGGGAGGGAGAACAGGGTCAGACCGTAAGAAGCCTTGTAGAGGACACGGCGGTTACCCAGGAGAGAAGGGACCATGGGCGAAGCAGTCGCGATCGAGGCCCGACGGGAAGGGTCAAAGGCCAGCGTGTCCTCCGGCACGGGCGTCCTGTTGGCTGTCGATGCGTCAGAGTGGCGACGGAACCCGGTGCGATCATCTTCGATAAGTACGACCTGAGGCCCATCCAAGTGGGAGCAGGTGTCAACGATCTCGCCTTCGTGAAACGACGGCAGGGGACGTTCTTTGTATGGGATGGCGAGGTGGGCATCGGCGCCTCGTTTCCGGGTCTTTACAATTGAGATGGGCGTGCCGTTCTTGGGCCTGCCAGACGAGATGAGGGGAGCCAAGCGGGCAGCGATCGGCAACGGAGGTTTTGAAGAGAACTGGCCCATCGCGGGAGATGAAGCGCCAAAGGTATATGATGAGGAGGAAGGAGGTGTCGATGCGTCGGCGGGGACGGCCTGGGGGGAAGAAGGGAGGGTCGTTGCCGTTCTGGGCGTAGCCGAGCTGGAAGATGGTATTGATGTCGAGAGGGCACTGCTGGTCTGGATGTGATGTGAGGTGGATCGGAGAACACCCTTCAGCTGTAAAGCCTCGATCTCCTTGGGGGTGAGGGGGATCTTGCCTGTTGACGCCATGTTCTGGAGCGAGCTCAAGGGAACTCGCATCCGCCTGGTTGTCTGGATATTCGTTGTTGAGGACGAATCGGCGACCATATTAGGTACCGAAACCTGGGCAGACATTGTCGGCTCCAATGGATTGTTGCTGTTGTAGTGGGGGTGTTGTTGTTGGCTGATTTGGTGGGAGGAATGGGTGATTCGATGATATAAAGAGCAATGGTGTAAATATAAGGTGAGGTGTGAAGATGGGGAAGAGGTAGAGAAGGATATGAGGAGTGGAGAGAGTAAAGGAAAAACAAGAGAGAATGAAGAGAAGAAAAAAGGGCGGGTGAGTTGACTGGCATACAAAGAAGATACTACAATTTAGACGAGCCAAGGAAGGAAGCACGTTTCTTCTGTCTGTGTCTCTGTGCCAGTTGGATCTGCCGCACTCGGTTTGTTGGCTGAGAGCGAACTGGACCTGGGGAAGGAAGCGAGTGCGAGGGGAGGGTGGAATGGTGCACACACATAGACGTACAAAAGCGCAAAGCAACAAGGACAACGAAGAAAGAAGATTGAAAGAAGATGGAGATGGGATACACATTGTGAAGGGGAGAGGGGAAAGAGAACAGGCTATCTTTCTCTCTCATTTCTTGTTTTTGTTATCCTCATCGCTAACGTCCCCTTTCTGTAAAGTCGTCGCCCATCTATTATCGTCCTCTCCTCACCCGCGCTGTCCTTGTTACTATTTTCGATCCACCTCACCATACAAATGTGAGGCAGACCCAAACATGCGCCGACGGTATACATCAACAATCATCATGCAGCTCTGGATCTTTTTTGTTCTAGTGATATTCTTACTCCCACTCTTCTGCCCCATCCACTCACTCGCACTTTCTTGTGGTTGCGATCCCCTTCCTGTTGGATGCCCTATAGTCCATATATCTAAAGGAGTCGGTATAGGTTCTTACCTGAATAAAATCGATGAGGGAACCGGCAGCCGAGAAAAAAAAATAAAAAAAGAAAGAGCTTCCTGGGTTCGTTTTGTGGTTGCTGATGTGCGATTGATGAACTCTATATGATTTTAGTGGAAAGTGGTTTTTCTGGTCAGCTGGCTGAAAGTGGAGGATGATACAAAAACAACAAAGGCGAGAAGGGAAATGGGAGAAAGGATAAAAGATAAACAACAGGAAGAGAACGAAGGAAGAAAGAAAAGAGAGCCGATAAAATGAAATTGAAAGGGAAAAGTGGGTTATTTTGCTGTTTGTGTAGCGTTGCTAATCGTGTGTGTTTGTGAATGTGGATGTGATGAGATTGGAAGATTGGAGTGTGTTTTGTTTGTAGGCAGGCATACTTGAGGAAGGAATGGAGGAGTAGAAACGAGAAAGGGAGAAAGAGAGAAAGAGAAGGGCTGATCTGGTCTGGTCTGGTCTGGTCTGAGGAGAATGGATAAAAAAGGGTGGTGGGGGGCATTGATGTGCGATGTCAAAAGAAAGTAGGATATCATCGTCATTTTGGGAGGTCGAGAGGCAGATCGCCAAGAGAACATGAACATGACGGAGAGAGAGAGGCCAGACAACGAGGCAAGACATACAACATAGAGACACACATGCACAATCGACACTAGAGAAAGGGGGAAAGAGCAAGGAAAGGAAGAAGACGAGGTGATTGATGGCCATACTGCTGTTTGTTGCTTCCTCGATCCATACTCATACACTCTCCTTTCAGTCGAGGTGGATCGATCTGCTTCTTCACAGTGCCCGTTTGATCGTGGTAGAGAGGGAAGCATTCGTTGTCCACGAAGTGAGCCGAGCAAGTCGAAAAGGAGGGTATATAATGTTCATGAATATCCCATACCATCCCACTCCCTCCATTCAGCCCAGACCCGAGTCTGACTGCTTTAGTGCTGATGGCCTCCCTTACCTTTCAAGAACAAGAACGGTTCTTATTCACCATTGATCGTGTCTTCTTATTAGTTTCGCTCTCTTTTTATCACCGCCAAATCCTCTTTTTCATTTTTCTCCTTCGAGATGCTTGAGATGAATTCACGTTGAACCTGCTACTTCTCATCCGCTACCTTTCTTTGTTCGCTGCCTCGAGTCGAATGAATGCACACAGGTGTGGGATTCTCTTCGTTCGGGGTAGGAATATATGATAGCTGGGTGGTAGTAGTGGAGGGGGCGCAGAAAGGGGAGGAGTAAGAAAGAGAGTTGAAGGCCGAGACTGCTTTCACTCACTCCCCCACCGTTTCAAGGGAGTCAGGCAAGAGTCAAAGGTCAAATGGCTCGAAATCGAATCGAACTAAAGAAGCGCCCTTTTGAGTATTGGACAAAATAGAGTGGTGGCAAAAGGGTCACTCAGAGAAAAAGGTGCCTGGCAAGTGTTGACAGTTAACGAAGAGAATGAACGAATGAACGAATGTGTTGATTGTGAAGGGCTGGTAAATGAATGAAAGAGAGGAAGAGAAAGAAAGGACGGCGCCTTCGCAGCGAGCGAGGTTTGAAAAAAACGAAGTTGGGTTGGAAAAAGGGAATGAGACAAGGGAAGCACGAAGGGCAGAGTACGCCCTTTGTGTTTGCGGTTGTCTCGAAAGTAGAGTGTGTGTTGGGGAATGAAGGTGATGGGGATGGGAGTAATAGTACCTACAGGTCTTCGCGAGGTCGCAATGAGAGTGAGTAAGTAGGTCAGAGGGAAGTGATGAAGGAGGGGAAAGGAAAGTGAGACGAGGAAGAGAGTAAGAGTCAGTGAAAGCAAGAGAAAGAGAGTAAGAGTCAGTGAGGGCAAGAGTAAGGGAAAAGAAAAGAAAAGGGAAAACAAGAGGTGGATATGAAGAATGGCAATTGAGGTGTAAGTGCAAGAGAAAGAAGAGAGAAGAGAAAAGACAAAGAGTTGGATCGGATTTCGTGCTTTTTTTGGGCTTTCCTGCTCGACATTTGTGTTCCTGTCCTTTTTTTATTGTCCTTGCGACAGGTGATCAGAAAAAAAAAGAGAGCGTTATTCGCTTTTGGGAGACACACTGACAATGCAACATCGTCCGTAGTCATTCAGCAACTGATCCATGGTCTCTTCTTTGTCTTTTACTCATGGATCCATGTCATACCGGTACTGTTGCCGGTGCCAGTCATCCATCATCCAGGTAGGTTGCCCTTTGTCATCTTCCTCTTCTTCTCCTGAGGTAGAAAACGAACGTTACAATGAGGGAAATAGGCGACCGCCGGGCAAGCTGATCAGATTTCCCTCTCTTTAGTTTACAGTACAACTGAATTGACTTAAAGTACTCCTTATCCAATTCAATACAAACAGAATTACAATACAGAGCCGAGGATCCCCTTGTTGCTGAATACCTTTTTCAAGTCTTCTTGTTCACCATCCCCCCTCTCCTGCTCCTCCTTTCACTCCCTTTTCAATTCTCCTTTGTCGAATCAGAACCAGATCAGATGTCCTCTCCTACCAGCCCCCTTCTCTCGCTTCTCGCTATTCTTTTCTACGCTTTTTTTCATCATACCCTTTCTCTCCCCACCAAACATACCCGTCCGGGTTATTTTAGTAAAATAAAAACATAAAATGGAGCACAAGAAGAAGGGGCCAGCCTGTAGTACCTTTACCTGCGCTATTCTTGTCCCTTCGTCCCCTTCTTCGTCGAATCGAAAATGACCCTATTCATTTCTCTCTCTCTCTCTCTCTTCCCTCACATTATTGCCGAGGAGCAAATCCAAGGACGGATCGAAAAAATAACAACGACGAAGAGTATTGCCGACAGTACTACTAACAATAACAGCGACAGTAGCCACAATCGAAAGCAGAACAAAGTGATTCGGCGGCATAGAACCCGATCGACTCCCTCTTTTCCTTTTGCTTACTACGGCAGGATGATTGGGGACACACAATACGTTCATTGTTTTCATCATTATTAACAAAAAGCAAATCATCATAACCAACCAACCAAACCAGCACAACCAATCCTCCCACTGCGCTTCATCCCATAGAACTTCCTTTCCCAAAGTTGATAAACAATGAAGAACTGAACAAAAGGGAAGAAGTGGAGAGCCTGGGTTTGAGACCGGACCGGACCAGTCAAGTCAAATCAAAGAGTATCCACCCACACCTTGAACAAAAAAAAAAACAAGAAAAGGACATAGAGAAAGCAAAAGCATGCGCCTCTTGTTCTCTATCAAGAGTCAGAAAAGAAAAATAAGCGCTAGCTCGAATGAAGTACGAAACCTTGTTTTCCTGTCCCTTCTCTTTCCCCTTCTCTCAATTTGTGATCACAATAAGAAGCAACACAAGACAAGTTGTTGTGGTTGTGGTTGTTGTTTTAATTGTCTGGCATGAGAAAAAAAAAACTGGGCAGCTGGTAGACAGCGCGCGGATTGAGGAGTTATACTTAGTATGTGTGATCACGATGAGCGATGACCACTTTCACAAATTGGTTGTGAAGTTGAACATCCTACCAATACTCCAACCAGCCATCCCACAGGTCATTGCTGTAATGAATTAGGAACCCCCCTCTTTTCTTTATTTGCTCTCGCTACACTCACGAACAGCGATATTGGTGCTGATGAGAAAAGTAAAAAAAAAAAGAACCGCCCAAAGTATCAAAGTCACAAACAAGAGGGAAAGACGAGAGAATGCCAGTGGCAAACTCAAAAAGAACGAGCCATCCTTCATTCTCGACAGGTTGACAAGCGGAGCTGAGATTGTGGGACTGGATGTGGATAGACAGAGAAGAAGGCCCGTTCATATTTTTTTATTCATTCATTCGCCGAAGAGACAGAGAGAATGAAGTAAAAAAAAACGCCGTCGCAGTAGCATATGACGATACTAAACGTGTGGTTAGAGGAATCAAGGACACAAGGGTTTTTTGCTAGAAGGGATCGTACCTTTTGCATTTACGTTCGACAATGCCTCCTTTTTCCTTCGTTTTTTTTTCTTGATCTACTCTTCCCAAAGTTGCTGTAAGTGTTGTTGGCGGTGTGGCTAGGCCTGGCAGTTGGCATTTACGTTGACGTAGTGATCCAACGTGGTTCTTTTGGCGTGCAAGTGTGAGTGCGCATGCCTGTGTCTGTCATCGGCTGTCAACAATGCAGCAAGGAGAGTGATTGTGAGAGAAACAAAAGGAGAAACAAAAAAAAAAAAAAAAAAGAAAGAAAGGAAGAAAGGGATGACAGAGCGGAAGACAGGAGACAGACGAACTGACTAACAACACATCCTCACTCACCATATAGCCTCGAGTGAATGAAGAGGATAGAGAGAGGCCGATCTACGAAAACTACAAAAAAAAAGAGGATACAAATAGCTAGAATCGCATCATCGCCCTCAATCTTCTAGACCACCATCCTCCCTCTTCTAACACCACATCTCTCTCCCCTCTGAGTGTCTCGGACGAACAAACAATGCGAAGCATTCCAGCACCCAGATCGAGTTTCCATCCCTCATTTGCTCGCTTTTATCCCGTCGCCGTTCGTTTCTCATGCCTCTTTTTTCTTCCACTGCTATAGATTGGATAGTGAAACCTCATTTCGACTATCCAAGAGGTACAAGTCCAAGAAATATGTTCTCGGGTTTGCTTGAAATGAACTGTCAACGTACCACGGCGGATCCAAGTCCTTCCCTCCCATCCTTTTGGTCTCCTGTCATGAACACACAACACAATGCATCTGCAATGGCGTCTCTCTCTGTCCTCCCACTCGCATCCGCTCTTCAGTCATTCATATTTTGATCCGAAGAAGGGCTCATAAACAAGTTCACCTTCCCCTTTCCCCTTCACCTTCCCATCCTTCAAGGTCTCTGTCAGTCAGGCATTGACCCCTCGCCTCGTTATTATGCAAACCCGTCTGCCTTCCAAAAAAAAATATTCAACAATAAAACTCAATTGAATTCCAATCGTTGGCGTTAAAGTAAAGGTTCATTAGGATGCAAACAAACGAAAAGGTAGAGTAACCTGACCCCTATCCTTTTCATACAACCTTTTTTTTTATTTTTGTGTGTCCTCCACTGATTTTTTTTTGCTGAGGCGATGCGGGGACGGGCTTTACTCTATGTCAGCTTTTTTCGATCTATCCCCATTCCCCCCTATCTGTCGTCCCACTCTCATTCTTACGCCTCTGTCTCCTCAATCCCAACGGATTGTATGCTGCCTTTTCTCTTTTGTTGTTTTGTCTTATTTACAAGTTGCATAGCGAGGTCTGGGCGATCAGGAGAGGTGACAGGTAAACAATGAGAGTGAGTGAGCATAAGAGATAGAGAGAGAAGAAACGAAGAAAAGTAGGGCTACTCGAAATTGACAATCAGGAGGAAGGACATATTCTTTTTGTTTGTTCGTAATTTGTCGAAGACATCGTTTCATGATCGCTGATGATGGATAAAGAACAAGAACAATGAAAACAAGACGATGAGGTGGCCAGAGAGCCAGCCCTCAGAGTCGACGGATAGAGGATTTTGGAGCCATGCGTGTAATGCTGTTGTCGGCAGGATGTATGTGAGTATGTGAGCGAGTGGGTCTTCGGATGTGGATTGTGGATTTGAGTGTGGATGAGCAAAGAGGCAGGGCAATGCAAAAAAAAATTAAGTAAATAAAAAGCCAAACACATACAGTATCTTAACAGATCATAATCACAAATGGACCTTTCAATCAAACAACAACAACAACAACAACAACAACAACAACAACATAAAGGAAAGGTGAAAATAGGTTTCCCCTTTATCCTTTATCGTTGTTGTGTTTTCATTGTTGGCTTGCCTTTGTACGACTCATGTGGATTAGACCTTGGGACTTTTGACAGAAAAGAGAGAGTACTAAATTTGCGGCTCTCTTACATTTATTCAATCGATAAACAACGATAGACACACATGTCGACCTTTTCACTCTTCCTTCTCGATCGAGGCATATCCACTTACTCACTCGCAAGGGCGCAAGGACGCAAGTGTCAACAACAACACCGATAAACAACAAAGAGCTGCTTAATGAGCCCTTGCAGACTCCCCCCATCCCTCCTCTCCGCACTAGTAAAAGAGGAAAAAAATGTTGTAAGCAGGAATTGCATTGGCGTTGGTTCCAGTTGTGTTTTTTTTTTTTTTTGCAAAGTGGAGAAAATAGTGGAGACAAAGCAGCTAGCCCGGCCCTTTTTTTTCGATCCACGCTTTTGAGCGGCAAAAAAACAAAACAGAAGCCATGCAATCGAGGCGATCATTTTTTTATTGTATTTTCTCGTCTGTCTGTCCATCCTTCTCCACTTTCAAACACATACCCTTCACCGATCATGTGTTTATATAGCAACTGACAAAGAGATAGAGAACGACAGGATCAGAAATGTTGACAGGAGGAGGAAAAAACACGAGGGCGTTCAACTGGTCCCCTTCCGTGTCTGTCCATCCACCCCTATTCCCATGCGCTTTCATATTCCTCTCTCTGTGTTTCATTATTTCCCTCCTCTTTTTTTTTTTTTTTATCTCGCCCTTTGCCATGTGCAACAGAGAGACAGACTTTGATCGGACAATAGACACGCTCACCCATTCACGCATTCACTCACGTCACTTGCTGACCCATATTCACAGCATGTTTGAAAAAAAAAGAGAGCGAACAGGATCCCACTCCCCCCCTAGCTTTAGCCCACCTGTGCTCATGCTCTTTATTGTCTTCGGCATGCCCCGCCTTGGCCATCCCGGTGCATGTTTGTTGCTGTTACCATCTGAGTACGAATCCATCTTTTTTTTTTCCCCTCTTTTCCCTTCCTTTCTCTCTCCATCTTTTTTTTTTTTTTTTTTTATCCTTCAACCCTTCTTACAAAGCATACCGGAATCGACAAAAAAAAAAACGAGCGGGAAAAAAGCTCAAGCACAAAACAGGGGTGACTTGCACTTGAGATTGATTTTCATTAGTGGTTGTTGATCAGGGACAAGCAGGTCATTAGATAGACAGAACAAGTTGTGGGCGCAGAACTCTAATGAGTGACATGGACCAAGGTCTTTCTCTTGCAGGATAAGCGTCATCATGACCGCATACCACACCTATTTTCATACACATACAATGCACTCAAATAACGACAAAAATGAAGAAAGTGTATTTACAACAAGGTAGAAGGAAGGGAGGAGTAGAAACTAATATATATATATGTCCATAGTATGTGCTACAGAACAAGAAGTGAAAGGCTTACTTGCCGGTACCAGAGCTATTATTAGCATCATCATCCTTGAAAGCCGCAAGACCAGCAAGGACTGCGCCCACAAGGAAGATCAAGGAGATAATCAGCCAGATGAAACCCCACCCTTGGGCTGGGAAGATGCCGTACTTTTCAGCAAACTGTTCTGCGTCCGAGCCGTTCGACTTGCGAAGCACCAGCATATCCAGAATTTCCAGAATACTGTAAATGCAGCTCATCACACTAATTATCGTCATGGTATTGGTTAGGGGAATGGAACCTTGTTAGTCAAGCACAATACGACAATACGACAATACAGTTTTGGACTACTCAGTCAACCTTGCATAGAAAAAAGAAAAAAAAGAAGAACTTACCCAAGGAAGAGAGTAAAGTATTTGAGGTACTTGCCACCGTCGAGCCACCAGAGCAAGGCTGTAATACCGGCAAAGAACAAGCAGACACCAAACGCCAACAAGTTCCTAGCCCAAAAGATCGTCAGCACGAGACAAAGGATCAACATGATCGCTGCTCCCTTGGATGCTACCACGTTAAATGCGCAAAAGACCAGAATCGCTCCCAGAAAAGACGATCCAAGGTATCCAGCGGGAAGAGCCAGGCACTGTGTCCTCCTGTTGCCCACGTAGGTCGTCAGTCCACCCAAGTTTGGGTCTACAGTGATTGATTTGACCTTTCCACCACTCACACATGCCATGCACGCATGTCCAAACTCGTGTAGTCCAATCGTCACCAACTAAATAAGCATAAAGATGTTGCAATAGAAGAACTGTTAGAGAAAAGTTCATTCGTGCAATTGCAATTTATAGTGCTAGTTAATTAGCAATATTTGTCCGACAACAAACACAGTGGGCAGGGCGTTGTTGGGACTTGACTGGATTGGTTGAGTGGTGGTTGTGGTGGTTCAGGGTCACTGGAGTTGTTCTAGTTTTCCTTATTTTGGGCTGATGCCCTGTCCTTGTCCTGATTGTATTTTCCTGTGGCTGTTGCATTTTTGGTCTATTGATAGACACCGCCCCCTTCCCAATGTTTCTTCCTTGTCCGCACCCCATGTCCTCTGTTTCTGGGTACGGAAGAGAGGACTACTTGACTTTACCTTGAATGGGTACAAGATGTGCTTCAGGTAGGGCATCTGCCACAGGATCAAGATTCCTGCCATATATCCTCCACTATTGTTCAGCGAGAAAGTGGTCGTAAGAGCAAAAGTCAAAAATGTGAGTGTGAGCGAAGGCGTCGAGGATGGGGGTCAGTGTACATGTACAGCTAACCCTTTTGCCCCTATGATGGAAGGCAGGTGGTTCGCCCATGTTGCATTGTTTGTCTAATCCCTGGTATGGTGTAGCTCCCTCCCCCCCTATCCACCTTGTCCTTTTGCTATCGTTGTCTCGCGTGCCCTCTCTCCCTCTTTTCTATTATTCTCGTCAAATTGCTTTTGCAAGTGGTCTCGTCGTCGATGCGTGTTGACGGTGTCGAGAACTTACATGAGCCAGAGGATGGTGATTTGATCTGGAGTTGGTTTGAGCAAGTTTGTAGAGCTGCCATCTCCGTTCGTTGGTGTAGGTGCCATTACTGTTGTTACTGTTGTTGCTGCTGTTGCTGCTGTTGCTGTTGTTGTTGCTGTTGTTGTTATATTCAGGGAAGTGAAAGAAAGTTGGCGAGGTGGCAGTGTTCTATTTTTGTATTCCCGGGTATCAATTCTTTGCTTTGCTTGACTTTTGTTGAAATGAGATTATTGAGAGGTTGGAATGAGATTCAAAGCAAAGGATGGGTAAAAGGAGGAGAGGGAATGAATGTGAAGGGAAAGAGTGCGGTGGAGTGAAGAGGAATGAATAATGAGAAAAGTAGAAAGAGAAAAAGAAGGAAGAGAATTAATAGACCAGAAAAAAGGTTGTTCCTGAAAATATATACCAAAAAAAAGCCTCCTTCTGTTTGGCTTTTTTTTTCTTGGCTTGGTGATCCTGAAAATACATGCACTCAGCCCTGCATTGCCCCTTGCTGTCCTTCCCTGCCTCACAGTTCCCAGTTGATACTGTCCTCCGCCCATCCATCTGCCCCCGTCCTTTATGTTCATCGCCACAAATCTCCAAAAAAAACCAACATCCATCACTGGTATTCCTGTCTGTCTTTGTCAAGTAGAATCTGGCAGAGATATTCGATTTCCTACTCATTTTGTTCGTTTTTCTCTGCATCTCTTATTGACCCCAATTGCACCTCTCCTTCTCCTGGCGGATGGGTAATGGGATGAGCTGTCGAAAGACAAAAGGAACATGGTGCGCCGTGACCCAAATGATGTCACTATCAAAAATAAATATGGTTGCGTTTGTGCTCCCATTTTTTCTCCGAGATGACGGCAAAAAATAATATTGTTCTCTCTCCTACTGCTAAAGGTCTTCAACCAATCCTCCCGGTCCAGCATCATCACTTCTGAACGAATGTTCTGAGGACACTATTGCTTTTTGAATGATGAATTTCAATTCTACAAGAAAGAAAAATATGTCAAAGAAAATAATGAATGAAGACGCGTCCAACGAACCGCCTACGCCTGTGCGACCAGCGGCGTCCCCTGTTGCTCCTGTCCTTGCTGTTGCTGCACTGAAAGCGGCAACGTCAATTCCAATGGCCCCCCCGACTCCTGTACACTTCCACCTGCATCATCACTAGTAGTAGTAGTAGACCCACCATACCGGCCCAAATAAAACTTGACTAGATCCTTCTCGCCCGTCTTGTCGTTATGCTGGATCATCAGCTGGTATGTCTTCTTGCGCTGAATGTCCCCCTGACCCCAATCCTCGATCCCTAAAGCCTGCAATTTCTGATGCATCCTGTCCGTGTACTGTGTTAGGAACGCGATCTTGTCGTTTCGATTCAGGATCTGTTGCATCTTTTGCTGTGTCCCAGTGGTAGTAGTAGCACTCCTTGTCGTTGCTGTCGTTGTTGTCGATGTCGATGAGGGCGCTGTTGTACTGGTGTTATTGGAAGTAGTGTTGGTAGGGAGAACAACGCGAAGGCGAAGTGATTGTGATTGTTGCTGCTGCTGATTGTTTCTTCCCCTGGAATGTCTGAACGAAACATCTTGCGAGAACATTGACGATGACGACAGCTCTGAGGTCACACCCATCCTCCAAGACGACAAGCTACCACTATCACCGTCACTCCTGCCACTACCATTCCCGCTCCCGTTCCACCGCCCAGTACCGCCACTGCCGTTAGTATTCGTCTCGATGAGAGGAACAGATATCCCCAAGGGTGTCGCTCCAAATGCAGACTCGTTCTCCTTATCCTTTTCTCTCTCATGAAGCACGGACCAGTTGGCAAAAGAAGACGAGTGGGAGGCAATAGACAGCGGCGATGAATCTGTTGGTAGCTGTGGCTCCATGGAAGAAGACGAAGACGACGTATTGTTCTTGTTGTTTGTCTGCTGTTGTAGTGACATAACGGGAGCAACAGGCAGATATGACGACGAGGATTTTGTCATCGTTGGAATAAGAGTAGTCGAGTCGCACTGCATGCACTCGTCCGTGTCAACACCACCATCGACATCCATAGGTAGATCATTCATTTCTTGCATCCCAAAGGCAGCGGCCACCTCCGCATTGGTATAGTAGTCTCTGCTACTACCGCGCTCGTCAAACGTACGTTGAGGGTGGTGATAGTAAGATGCGCCCATACCAAAGTCTTGGTCCAGATCGACTGGCCAACATCCACGACGCGCCAGTTCATGAGAGTATTCCACATACTCCATCGCCTCCCGATCGCCGAGCAAAGCGCGCTCCTTCATCATCACTCGCAGGTTCATATGACGTTTGTTTCGACGGTCGACGGATCTTCGCCGTTCCTCTTGTACAACAAAAGAGGTAGCAGAAGAGGATGAGAATGAGGATATGGACGATGACGAGATTGATGACGATGAGGTGGAGAAGGAAGTAGGAGGTGGGGTTGTTTGAGAAGGACCTGGCAGAACAATCCCTGATATTGCCGCTGTTTCTGTTGTTGGACTACCTCTTGATACTGTCCCCTCAGTTGCACTTCCTCCTCCTGATTGTTGCGCCGTTGATCCAGGTACCACTGACGAAAAAACAGAGGTCAATGAGGTAGACGACGATGAAGATGAAGAGGAAGGTGGTGATCTCTGACGCTGGTGATGATAATGATGATAAAGATGGTGGCGGGTTGAGGTGGGCGAGAACGCACGAGTGGACGAAAACCGGGAACTTTCAGATTGAGCATGTTGTTGTGTCAAGGGTGACTCCCACCACGAGGACGAAGACGATGAAGGCATCTCTCCATCTTTGGATGGGATAGAGGGTGAGGGGCGCTTACGAACGTTTCGTGTGTGGGTCGTTCCCTGGTGGTGCTGCCGGTACTGAAGCTGGTGGTGTTGGGATGCCAGATCAGAGTAGTCAAGTGAGGTGGATCTTGATCTTGGTACATTATCCTGATCCTGCTGTCCGTCTTCTTCTTGATAAGAGTGAGAACGACCCGGTGGACCTTGTCCGCTTTGCAAACGAGGAGAAGGCGATGGCAACCCTGGACAGCAGCAATGATGACAATATAAGTAGAATGAACGAAAAGAAAGAGGGTCAGTTTCTGGTTCCTTTTTGTACGGTCATTCATGTTTATCTGCAGAATGAGCTGTTTCACCGCGCCCCGGCAAGACAAGGACATATAATGAAATGATTGGTCGCGCAACGGAGAATTACCAGAGGCGGATAGTGAAGGCGAGGCGTGATATATGAACGAGGGAGTGGCGGTCTCGTCCTTGTCCGCGTCTGCGTCTGCGTCTGCGTCTGCGTCTGCTGTGGTTGCTGTTGTTGTTACTGGCGGTGTGGAGTAAGAAGAGAACGAGGAGGCATGTCGGATAGGGGCAGGGGCTATATCTGAAGAAGGAGCAAAGGCTGGCAGCGAAGACGATGTAGTTGTTGTTGCCAGTGCTGTTGCTGTCTCTGTTTCCGTTACTGTTGAGGGTATAGGTACAGGTGCAGGTGCAGGTGGTGCGGGTTCTGGAGGGTCACAGGCCCCGCTGAGGACTAGGGCGTTGGTTGAGCTAGAAGGCTGAAGAAGCAGCAGCAGACGACGATGCGAGAAAAAACAAGTGTTAAAAAAGGGACGGAGGGACAGGATGGAAAGAAGGAGGGAAGGGGTTTAGACCGAACACAAAAAGAAAAGAAATTGGAACCAGACAGACGAACGAACTAAACAAACACCTCCTGCCCTCCTGATGGTCGCATCAGATCTGTGTATGTTTGTCTTCATAAATAACAAACAGCAGGTGCAGATCCATTAAAAGAGAAAAATTAAGGGAAGACTTACTCCAATGTGCGTCTTGTCAAGGGCATAGAGAACGCCCAACATCCGGACAGCATCGGACTTGGCTTGTCGTCTCGCCTTCTCTGCCACTTTGTGCAACTCAATCCCATCCATCCTCTGGTACTCTAAACTGGTGCCATTTTCAGAACTGTTGTTAATGCCACTGTCGACTCTGCTCAGGATAGCCTGGTTCAGCTGATAGGTGTTGTTGTTCAACTGCTGTCGCTGTTGCTGACAGTGCAGCTTCCACTTTTGCTCTTCCTGTAGTCGAAGTGGCGAGTCTGCGAAAAAGTCTTCAAAGATTCGTTCCAGCAACAAGGGCGCCTTGAATTGCATGTTGGCAAGATAGGCAAAGATGATGATCGAGCCGGACTGGATTGAGAGGCGATAGCGGGTCTTGAGGAAGAGGATTAGTTCTGCGGGGTGGAAGAGGTGCGAGTGGAGACGGGAGCACGTCTGCGAGAGGAAAGAGTAGTCGCAGAGCGAGAGGCTGTAGCTGATCTTTGAGAGGAGTTCCGGGGGCAGTGTTGTGAGTGTTGGACGACATCGAAGAGAGATGAACGATCCATTGTGATGTTGATGCTGTACGCAGCTGTTGTCAGGTGTCGAGTCCAAGGCTGTGATTATAGAAGACGAGGACGAGGACGAGTACGATATGACCGCATGTTTTGCAGTGTCTAGTTGATGGTCCATAGTGTGGTGAGTTGTTTGTTCGAAGGACTAGCTTGTGGGAAGGTCGATAAGTGGTGTCAGAGGAGGGAGAGACGGGAATGCAACAACATGAAAATGAAGAGAAAAGCCAGAGGAGAAAAAAGGGTGAGAAGTGTGAGAAGGGTGAGAGTGGTCTTTTTTTTTTAATTCTGGTTCAGAATGAAAAAAAAAGAGGCGGTCACACTGAACTTGGTGCACGGACATCGCCCACATGGAGAATGAATTTGATATATCTGGTTGATGATCATCTCAAGGCTTTGCTTGCCTGCCACCTTCCTCCCAATTGCTCCTGAGTGGCCCTTCTTGGCACCAACTCAAATGGCTAACATTGAGGCTCAGCGAAAGGACTTGTGGTGCCTGAGTAGTTGGAGCGTGATGAAAACGTGTTTGCACAAGAGAAGGTGCACGCTTGATCGATGTAGTAGTATTACACTGATTCGAGGCCATGGATCACGCTAATTGCATACAATATCGAACGCTTGTCCCTGAGATCCAGGTAGATCATTGATCGCTGCTGATCTACTGATATGTCGCTTCCTTTCAATTACAGGGGCAAGTGGAGTCAACTTCACGTCGCTGATCAAGTTGGACAGAGGAATGTGAAAGTGATTTTCTGTTTGCATAGTTCCTGTGCACTGCAAAATCACATCGCCCCCGCATTCGATAATAATTTGTGGCTTGCCTTTCCTCAAGACAGGGATATCAAGTCTCGTTTGGCTCGAAATCTTTCTGCTCCCTCTTTTTCTGCGTGCAATATGAAGGTGCGCATTTCGCTGTGACCGTTTAATTTCTCTCACTCCGTGATCACGTGTACACGTGCTAGAGCCGTGTAAACCATCAGCAGGATCATCGATTCGTCCTCAACTACCATGGATACGGATATACGGATGGGTGCAACCAACACCTCCCATTAATCCATCGATCGGCACATCGCATCATTCACTCGAGCGTGGAGTCGCCATGTCGGTCCAGGAACTGTCATCATCCTATGCGAGAACCATGGCCAATTTTTTTGAGAGGGAGGAAAGACCTGGAGGGGAACCTCTGCTGATGCTGGATGCAAAGCCTCGGTTGCTGATTCTGATCAGTGTTCTAGGAGTATTGCGACGAAGGCTGGGGGACGAGCTCATGGCAGTCCGAGCGGTGCAGGAGACATCAACCCTCCGGAAGAGAGGCATCTCTTACAAGACGACACTTTTTCGGCAGGAAGTCAGCCCTTCATCTCAGCAAACCACCTCGTGTTTTGCCAAAACGAAACGAAGGTCTACCGAGCAGACGGGAATAACTTTGCAGGACAGCCCCACCCTTCGACGGACCAGCAGCTCGAGGGCTTGTTGGAGCCTTGGACGAACAGGCACTGTCAGTTGTCTTGTACTGGACATGCAGTCGAGCCATGGGAGTGTGCCAGGGAGGCGTTACAAGAGCAAAGACAACAAGCAATCGGACTTTATTAGACAGAGTAACTGATCGTTGCTTGTACTCCTTTTCCGCATCATAATAGTTGAACATCGCCAACCCAGCCACTGGCTGCCAGAAGACCATCGATTTCGATGATGAGCGCAAGACGTAAGTTTTGGAGCTGGCGTACTTTCACAATGGAACGGAACAGGGGATTGCAGAAAGACAGGATCAACTCTACTCAACGACGTCGCTTGTGATCACATACTTCAGACGGGACGTTTTTTTTCTAGCGGACCTACGGGCTTTGCGAGACACCTGCTTTTCAGCAGGCACACGTACCCAAGCTAGAGGGACCAACTGACAGAGAGCGGCAAAAACATAGCAACCATATCCCGATCTCCTCACAACACAAACACGCTGTGTCAATGATAATAAGTTAGTCAGGAGACGAGGAAGGTTAAAGAAAACAGAAGGGTTGTGTTGCTCACACTCAATGTCTACACTACTTCACCCATTTTCTAGCCGTATCTTCTACGACAAGCGTATCTCCGCTGAGGTCGCTGTTGACTCTCTCGGTGACGAGTTCAAGGGTTACGTCTTCCGCATCACCGGAGGTAACGACAAGCAGGGTTTCCCCATGAAGCAGGGAGTCCTCCTCCCTTCCCGTGTCCGCCTCTTGTTGTCCAAGGGCCACTCGTGCTACCGCCCCCGCCGCACCGGTGAGCGCAAGCGCAAGTCCGTCCGCGGATGCATTGTCGCCTCCGACATGTCGGTTCTCTCCGTCACCATCGTCAAGCAGGGTGAGCAGGACCTTCCCGGTCTTACTGACACCACTGTCCCCAAGCGTCTCGGACCCAAGCGTGCCAACAACATCCGCAAGTTCTTCGTACGTGCCCTCTCTTTCGACCTCTCTTCAGGATATTTGGTGCAAGCAATGGGCCGACTTTTTATTCCACCAAAGACAGGAGTTTCTTTCGTGATCGACAAACAACACACCTGCATCACTCACAGCCACAACAACAACTTTCAATCGTTGATTCGATCGATCAGGGCATTTATCAACGCAGTGGACGCTTTTCTGATGCTTTGACAGGCAACATTGGGACCCTGGACTGTGGTGGTTTGAAGCTCGCTCAGACACTTGGAACCAACTAGGCCCAACAACATCACTCTGCAGAACTTGACTGCAAAAGAGAACGTACTACGTGTTCCTGAACAAGGCAACTAACCACTCCTCTTCCTTTTGCCACCAATTTTGAACACCCTCCAACAGAACTTGACCAAGGATGATGATGTCCGCAAGTTCGTTATCCGTCGCGAGGTTCAGCCCAAGAACGCTGAGAAGAAGCCCTACACCAAGGCCCCCAAGATCCAGCGTCTTGTCACCCCCGTTGTTCTTCAGCGCAAGCGCCACATCTTGAACCTCAAGAAGCGCCGTGCCGAGAACGCCAAGGAGGCCGAGGTCGAGTACAAGGCTCTCCTCGCCAAGCGTGTCAAGGAGGCCGCCGAGAAGCGCTCCGAGATCAAGAAGCGTCGCGCTTCTTCCCTCCACAAGGCTTAAGTTTGTTGTTTCTTCTTTCTTATCCATAAACGACATTTTTTCAAAAACAGCAGCATCACATACATATCCCACATTTTTTCTTTCTTTTGTGAAAGCAGAGAAAAGACAACACCTTCAAAACTTGAGAAAATGAGATAGACGACAAGGACTATGGGTGGATCCTTATCGTCTTTTTTCGTTTTTTGCTATCATCTTTTGTAACCCTAATGAAGTTTCCATGACCCTCACCTCACTTGCATGTATGCCCCGCAGTTCTTTTGCTTCCACATTTCAGTTGCTTCATGTTTGCGCCCACGCGAGCGTTTGTCAAACAAGTGATCCAGCCCAGGAGAACGAATTGGCCCTTTTTTTCGAGCCTGATGTGGGACCACAGAAAGAATGGTCACGTGTGTTTTCCTTGTTGTTTGTTCAAACGAGCAGTGGTGTTTTTTTCCTTCTCCCTTCTTCCACCCATCACTACGCCTCTTCTTTCTTTCACACCCTTCATCCACCAAATTCACCCCCACCCTTCGCAATTTATCACCCTCACTGGTCTAGCCACATCCTCCCCCCGCTGACCTTTCGATACATCCCATTTTCACCCCTCCTTTCCCTTTTCCTACTTCAACAAAACAACTTTCGACCATGAGCGCCACAGCACGCGCTGATGCCGTTGTGAAAAAGAAGACGGCCGCCAACTCTCTCAGCAGCAGCACCAAGCGGTAATGTTTCTTGTCTATTGCGAATGCCGCTCTGATAAGTGGCCCCGGAATACTGCTGTTACTCATTAAATATCGAATGGTTCCTCATTCACCCATCTCATTCAACAACGGAGGCGACTCTTTTTTTCTGGAAGTGTGTGTTCATGACCTCCGAGCCTTCTTGACACACTACTTCCAGTGGAGGTTGATGAGCGCAACAAATGGCTGCATTAAGCATGGATAGACTCAACAGCTGGACTCTTCTTCTTGTGAGAGTAAACATGGATGCTAACCGATGGTTCTGTTTTTTTGTCGTTGTTGTTTTTAGCATTCAAAAGGAATTGGCCGAGATCAACCTTGACCCCCCTTGCAATTGCAGGTACGATCATTTCACATACATTTAGTACACGTTATGTGGTCAAACTTTATCATGGACCAGAGGAGCTTCTCCCATTGCCACCGCATTCTTTCTTCCATTCATCATCTCTTTCTAACAATCATATCTGTCTCATTCACGACGTTGTTGTGCATTAGTGCTGGACCCAAGGGCGACAACTTGTACGAGTGGGTGTCGACCATTATGGGACCCAGTGGATCGCCCTACGCTGCCGGAGTCTACTTCCTGGACATTCACTTTCCTCAGGACTACCCCTTCAAGCCCCCAAAGGTATACATCGTTACCTTCTTATCTGTCTCACAATGAGGAAAAACTGCTCACATTCAAGAACACATGGACCTTTCTTTGGAGGCGCTGCATGGGACTCTTTCAATTGACATTTCTCCTCTGTAATCTCCCGATGCTTGTACGTTTGTTAGATTGTGTTCCGCACTCGCATCTACCACTGCAATATCAACAGCCAGGGCCAGATCTGCCTAGACATACTGAAGGACAACTGGTCGCCCATCCTCACCATCTCCAAGGTTCTCCTCTCCATCTGCTCTCTCCTTACCGATGCCAACCCACGTAAGCTTCGTTCTCTTCATCAATCTTCATACTAACTGTTGTTTTCGGTCATCGCAAAGCGCAGATGGATGTATTCACAATCAGTTGAGCACACGGGCTGACATTTATGGTTACCCTTTTCTTCATCTTCAACTGTTAGATGATCCTTTGGTCGCAAGTATCGCACATCAGTACCTGAACGACAGAGAGGAGCACGACCGCATCGCAAAAGACTGGGCCAAGCGGTACGGTCATTGACTTTTCCCTCTCAAGAACAATATGATACACCTTGACTGTGATGAAATATTGTGCCTTACCAGCTCTCACTTCTAACCCTACATGTATTAACATTTTCTCGCCCAATAGCTATGCCAGCTAAGCGTTCTCTCGACGTCTCACTCTGCTCTCCACAGGGCTTCACCAACCCCACCATTTGCTTGCACACACGTCTACATACTCTCATACATCCTCGCTGCCGTTTGATATCACCAAAACCATCCCATCGCTCAACACAGCTCGAGAACAAAAAAAAAATAAAAAAGTTAACCCATTATGTTACTAGTTTGCCACCAAAATTTTAGTTTGCATTCGCGTTTGTGTTTGCAGTCAGAAAGCAGTCCTTTGAGCTGGAAAATACGCCCATGCAGCTCAGAGACAAGGGTAATCGGCGCTCTTTTTCATCTCTCTGGCAGAGCATCTATGAAAGGTATTTTGAAGGTTTATTTTAAGCATGAAGAAAAGGCTACGACAGGGATGGTCTACTTGGAGACGGTGGCGATGCACTCGATCTCGACGAGGACATCCTTAGGCAGACGAGCGACCTCAACGCACGAGCGGGCAGGGAGGGCACCACCCAAGCGCTATTTTTTTTTTTTTGTTCAATTGAGAAATGGATCGTTAGGGATGTAAGAAAACACAACACGCAACAAAAGCAATGAAGGCGAAAAGTGTAACTTACGCGGCCGTAAACCTCGTTGACGACACCAAAGTCGTTCATGTTCTTGAGGAAGACAGTCGACTTGACGATCTGGCCGAAGGACGAGTTGGAGGCCTTGAGGACCTCGTCCATGTTGGTAAAAACTTGCTCCTAAAGAATCAAAGTGTCGCAGGATGGGAGTTACTTGAGCTGAGTGTTTTGTACTCATTGAGGTTTAGTCGCGCTTTGGGATATTGTTTTGAATTGTTGTTTTCTCTGATCTGAGTCGGACTTTTTTTTTTGTTGAGTTGTCCATCATTCCTTGTCTTCCTGTTTGAAAGTATATCCTGAGAATCCCGAGTAAGCAGATCCCGGAGATGGTGGAGTGCTTACGCTTGCGAAAGCCATCCATGCCCTTTGTCACCAATGAAAAAGATTCGAACGGAAGTGCTGCTGTTCCTTTCTGTTCCTTGCTGTTTGCCGCGATCCAGGAAACACATAGACGCCCGTTGTCAACGTCCTTGTAACCCCCGAGATCATCCGACCGCGATCTTCCTTTTTTTTTTTTTTGTTGGGCGACGATCAAAAGCACAAAAAAAATTGTGGAGCTTAAATCCTGCATCTGTCCTGGATCCTGCGAGAAAGAGGGCGTGTGAGAAAAAAAAAGGTTGGAGCGAATCGAGAGAGGAGGAGCGGGACAAGGCTTACAGCTTGCTCCTTGACGCCGCCGGAGACGACCTCGCCATTGGCAGGGTTGACGGGAAGGCTTCCTGAGCAGAAGACGAGTCCGTTTGCGACAATTGCCTGGGCTAGTATCGTACGCGTTGTTGTCAGCATTGAAGGAAGAACGGTAGAAACGTAGGGTGTGTTAGTCGTCAGTTCAAACGCATTATGTCCTCTGTGCCTTGAGAGAGGCAAGAAAACGAAGGGCGAAGAAGCCATGCAGAAAGAAGTAGAGGAGAGATGGAATGAAAGCGCGAGAGATTTACAATAGGGGCCGATGGCAGCGGGAGCGGTGGCGGTGTGGATGATCTTGTTGACGGTCGACATTGCACGCATCTGGTTCTTGATGGCGCTAAGGCGGTTGATGGCGACGGAGGACATGTTGTGAGTGGAGAGTAAAGAGTAGAGAGGATGTACGTTGGGTGAAGAGGTGAGAAAGAGAAGAGAAGAGAAGAAGAAAGAGCAAACTCCGTTCTTGTGTTTCATGACCACCCGACGCGTGGGAAGGTTCACAAAGGTGCTTTTGAATTTCTATCCAATTGGAAAACGTCGCAAAACCATAGTGTTGTTTCCAGTAATGAACACATCGTAAGAAGTGGAGACATAGACCCAACCTTCAAGAGCCAGTTAAACATAGCGAGGATATGGCATAAACCTGTCCTCTTCTTGCATCTCTCTTTCTTTTACTACAGTGAAAACACAATGGTACTATACTCCTTTGCAACGATACATGACTGTGATAAGTAAAAGGGGGTATCCACTCGTTTATTATTGTATATTCTTTCATTTCGTTCCAATTGTCATCCTCTTTAAACAGCAGTAGTAGCGGTGGCAGTAGAGGCCTCTGGCGCATGGGAGATATTGCCGTTCTCAGACTTGGCAGCAGCCTTGTGGTGCTGGTTCTCAGGGAGGGCGGGCGACGAGGTACGGCCGTTGGGGTTGGATGAGATTGATGACGCGCCGTTGACGGTTGACGAGTTGCTGCTGCGAGTGTTGGAAGGGGGGGCATCGATGGCTGCCTTGCCACCGAAGCTTGCCTTGTCGAACAGGAACCAGTCCAACCAGCGAGTCTTCTTCTCCGAGTAAGGCTATTGGAAATTATGTGAAAAGAGCGTGTTAGAAACAATGCTGATAGAATCCAATATCTTGGGAAACTCGTCGATAAGAAAAGTTGCGTAGAGAAGCGAGGTAACGTACAGGATATCTCAAGTCGTTGAGCTTCTCCATGCCCATGGACTTGATAAGGGCACTACGCTCGTGCGAAAAGACGTCGAAGGAACGTTTGCCGTGGTAGTTTCCGATACCCGAAGGACCAGTTCCGCCAAACGGCAAGTTTGACACAATAAAGTGAACCAACGCGTCGTTGACAACAACACCTCCCGAGCGAGTGTGGTCCAAGATATAATCGATCGCCTTCTTGTTCTTGCTGAAGACATACAGTGCCAGGGGTTGGTCGCCCTGGTTGACATACTTGACACCCTCGACAAGACGGTCAACAATCATGAGGGGCAGGATGGGTCCAAAGATCTCACCCTCCATCAACTTGTCGCCCTTTTCAACTCCCAAGACTAAAGTAGGACTGATGAACAGGTTGTCCTCGTCCAGCTCACCACCAACGACAATCTTGCCCTTTGTCTCGTCGAGGAGTCCCTTGAGACGCTGGAAGTGCGACTTGTTGACGATGCGGCCGTACGAGTTGGAGGACTGGACAGAGGTGCCGTAGAACTCGAGGATCGATGCCTTGAAGGCTTCGATCAGCTTATCCTCGATACCGCGCTCGACAATCAGGTAATCCGGCGCAATGCAGGTCTGACCGCAGTTGAAGAACTTGCCAAAGGCCAGGCGACGGGCCGTGATCGCAATATCGACATCGCGCGAGATGAAAGCAGGACTAATGAAGAAAACAACGAGTTTTACGAACTGATGAGTTACGATGCAACAACAAGCGAGGGTCGAGTCATATGAACCGAACAAAGCACCGGCGTGTTTGTGCACGGAAGCGGGTGGAGTGCAATTCAAGGAAAAGAAAGAAATTGGGCTCCAAATTAAAGGTGAGTTTTGTGTCACCCACGAGCGGAGGTAACGACACTTGAAGAGGTGTCCCCTCTCCCTGCCCGCCCAACGAGGCATAGAGTTTCGTTTTTGTCATCCAATACCCATACACATTTACGCAAAAGGCAAATGCGTTTGTGTAAGCAGCATTGCATTAGTGTCTAGACCATCATCATACTGCCAACAAAGGAGGGCAATAGAACTAGTTAACTGGCCATTTTTCCAGCTTTCATTCAAGTCCTGAAAAGGCGTAAAGAAAGATCCTGTTAATGCAATGTCACGTCCAGGTCAGGACATGCATCAACCCTTTTTTTTCTACTGAGAAAGGAGGGCGCGTGCGTGAGGTAGAAGAGTATGTGGAGAGATAAGGCGCAAGAGTAATGGATAATACAAAAAATATATTCCTCCAGCACCACTGCCGGCGGGACAGGATATCCAATGGAGAGCCATGAGTTGGTGGGGAAATAAAATGAGGGAACCATAACATGTGAAGAGAGCTGTTTGCCAGTCGAGAAAAATAAAAAGAGAGCGCCCTTTGAAACCATAAACTCGGCCCACCCACAAGTATCACCTCCCCGATGCTTCGAGAGAGCTGGCAAACGTTCAAAGGACAACTCAACGACGGGATTACCGTAATGCCTAATCTCTTATCACAAAAAAACCACCATCTCTGAACAATAGCAATGCATTACCCTTGCTTGTTCCCTTCACTCCTTTTTCCTTTTACCACATTGTTTTGTCGTCCCATGTAAAGAAAATGGTTGTGCGGAATCTGCATTTGAACACACGACTGTTCAGGATACAGGAAAGGTAAAAGACTCAAGCTCCATAAAGGCGTAAATTGAAACGGGTGGTAGCGAGAGTGGAAGTGGACGAGGAGGGGGGTGGAGGAGGGTTGGGTGAAGTTCTTACCTCTTGCCTCCGAGTTCGAGGGTAACGGGGGTGAGCTGCTTCGCAGCCGCGCCCATGATGATCCTTCCAACCTGACCAGAGCCAGTGTAGAAGATGTGATCGAACCTGTGCTCGAGCAACAAAGAAGTCTCGGCGGCAGCGCCATTGACGACCCTGTAGGCGCGCTGGTCGAGGTAGGCGGACAACAACTTTGTCAAGAGGGCAGCGGTGTGGGGGGCGACCTCGGAAGGTTTCAACAGAACCGTGTTTCCGGCGGCGATCGCGCCGACAGCAGGGGCCAACAGCAGATTCAGGGGGTAGTTCCAAGCGCCGATGATCAGGACCATACCCAAGGGGTCCTTGCGGATGTGGACATTGTCGAACTTGTTGACGATTCCTGTTTTGACAGAGCGGTTGGCGGCCCACTTGTCGAGGTTCTTGATGGCATCGATACATTCCTGCTTGACCATGCCCGATTCACCAATCATGAGCTCTGCTGGGGGTTTGTGGAGGTCCAGGAAGACAGCCTCGCGGATGGCGGCATCATTTTCGGAGATCATGTTGTACATGGCTCGGAGCTGCGTTTTGCGGAAGTCAAGCGACCTGGTGACACCGGCGTGGAACGCCGAGCGAAGGCCCTGGACGATCTGTTACAGTTGTTGTTGTTGTTGGAATGAGTAATGGGTGAATGAGTATTTTTTTTCCTTCTCTTCTGAGTCAAAGCTGAAAGGGATGAGCTAAAAGTGGCGTGGAGGTGTACCTTGGGGATGTCGCTAACTGGAGTGTATGTGAGGGACATGACGAATGGAAAGTTGTTTCGAGTTGGGTAGGGAGAACGGAGACGAGTGGAGATGACTGAGTGAATGAAGCGAGAAGTGAGAGAGTGAGAGATGGGCCGTAGTAATGAACGAGCCAGGCGGTGAATGAAGAAGGGGGAAGTAGAAGTGGGGTGAGGGAGAAGGGAAGAGGTGAAGGTGAAGGGTGAAGGAGTGGAAGGAAGGGGAGGAGTCTTGAAGAAGAATAAGAAAGAGAGAAAAAAGGGTGCACTCTTTGAGAGAGGGCGCTCTTTATGTTCATTTGTTCATTTTTCTGGCTCCTCCGATGCAACAGCACTTGGTTCTGGCTGGTTACTCCCGGCATCTAATGAATTAAACCCTAAAGCCTTAGGCACAACTTGATCTAATCCATCCTCCCCTCCTTCCTTCCTTCCACTGTCATTTGTATCTCTATCTCTCCGCTGTTCCTTTCGACTCTGTATTACTCTCTCTATTGCTTTGTTCGTTGCAATTGCCCTTTGCCAGAATTGTCCATTCCAGTCTTTCAAGTCACTCTCCTACGACGACCGTTTCGCTATAGTTTGATCAAAATATATTTCTAACCTCTCTCAGTTACTAGGACGGACAAAGTCATCAGTGACGGTGCCTGGGATCAAACCCAAGACCCGAGCAGAGGGGGCGATGGTGCCTGGAAGGATAATCAACCTTCTGTTGATCGTGGATCATTCTTGGGGTGAAAGAGATGGCTACTTGTATTTGTAATTGGCCGGTATTAAGCTTCCGTTCATTTATTCTGAATTTTTTTTTCTCTTCCTTTCTTTCTTTCGTTTGCAGCTGACAATCGTTCTGTTGGCTCACAATTGGCATGCAAACACACCTTGGAACGAATTGGAGTTGTATCCTTGCTCACAAAAGAAAAGTAACCAGAGAGGAACAACCATACTACCCAAGGGTGACCATCATTAATTATGCAACCGACAGACAGACACACATGCACAGAAAAAAATGTGCGCATTTATCACTAATCAACCTAAAAACTACGCCAGCATGGACCTTTTGCATTTCACCACTGGCGATAAACAGGTTTCCTTCTTTATTTCGCTCTAGCGCTTTGTTTGGAGACCCACCTTCGGTTCGGATCACTTTCTAGGTCCTGGCATGTACACACTCCCTTCGTCTAATTCACAACGTGGCGCAAGTACCATGCTACCCTCTCTTGATTATTAAGAACTAACACGAAAAAAGGAGGATGTCAACGCTGAAAACAAAAAAATCCCCAACGGCCTCGATCGCTTATTTTGTCGATCACATTTTTCATTCTTTTTTCATGCACACCCGAAACAGAATTTCTATTTTTTGTCCGACAAATGCTTAATTTTGCCCTGCAAGTTCAAGCGACAAAAGTGTTATATGAAGGAAAGGGGAGCGGCCTGGGTGCAGGGAAACGAATAGCCGAACAGGAATAAAAAAAAAATATGAAATTATGGCCAGTCGGTCCAGTCAGACTTGCCGTCATTATGAGGTGACGAGTACCCCCGATTGGAATCATGTGGAGAAGAAAGAGGAGAAACGGGCTGCCCAAACTGAAAAAGCGAGAGCAAAATAATAACACTTGCCTAGAACTTTAAACACAATCGCTGCTTCGCAGATTCAACCGCTAGTCAGCCATGATAACGCACTACTGGTATTAGGTCAAGGAACGACGTCAGAGATTTGAACCGACCTCATAAACAGTCTAGCTCTAGGCAGCTGCTATGAGTGAGAGCAACAAAGGACTCCGATATACAAGTGGTAAGCAGAGTCATTCTTACGCCCAAGAGCAGGTGCAAAGGTCTTCTTTGAGCCAGTATTACAATGTTGCTCGCATACTGGTTAGCCAAAGCACCATTAGTCATGCCACACTCTGTTGCATAAACAAATCGATGTGCATGAAACTGAATTTGGTATAAAAATTAGTGGCGTAGTAAAGTTGCTTCGCCGCATTACATATCAGTTAGTGGCGCACCCATTCCTTCACTTCATATCATATTGATCAGCTCCATCAGTCTCACATTCCCTTGATTAAACTTGACAAGAATATCGCGATAGAAAGCATAGACGCGTCTTACTTTCTCACCGTCAACAATAGTCGTGGTCCACAGCCTGCAGTTCACAGCGGCGTTGTGGTCGCATTACCCCGATGGAATGGACGTTTTCCCCTTAGCGTGTCCTTACAACAGACAAGCAGCTATGCAGAAGAAGAGCAGAAAAAGTGGAGGTCCAAATGGATATATTTTAGCAAATGACCCCATTCACAAAACTTTTATTTGTAACACTCATTTGGTGTCACTGCCACAAGAAGGAGTTGTATGCCGCATCGGGCAGAAACGTGTCCAAGAGGTCAAAAAATATACGTGAATGTGTTTGTTAATGTGACAGTGCCAGGTCCATTTTTTTGCTATAACCCTTGATGGCAAAGCCTGTGTGAATTGAAACGATAATGTCTGAACATTTACTGGGTTTCCTTGGCTATTGCCCGTCCACAAAAAAGAACTGTACCCTCACTTCTCACAATGTGCCACCACGAAAATTATGCATACCTTGTTTACGAGCATGCAAGGTCAAAAAAGGAAAAAACTTAGGAACTGGGGCTGGAGGTGTGAACGGAAAATAGCGTGGGCTGGAGGAATAGAGCTGTGTGACAGCGCAGTTAAGAAATACAAACAAACGTCAACGAATGCAAGAGTCGAAAAAATAGTGCCCAAGGATATTCAAGATGCTATTGTTTTTTACACCTTGAGGTGGCCACCAAAAATCTCTAAGCCCGGCACGGGCTTAGAGAGTCTTACATCTTACTCCCTTTTAGATGCCTCTGCTTTGGAGGGTGTGTCCATGATAGGAAAAACTATAATGAAGAGCAATAGATGTGGGCACTGCAGATGGACCGAGCTGATGGTGGCGACAGGCGTTTCCTGCAACAGTGCTGAGTTGTTACTCCAACTTTGTCTGCCTGTCAAGGATCATTGGTCCAAAGCACTGTGAGAACATTGACGGATTAAGTTTGTTCTCTGATTCTGGGAAGACCACTATAAAAGTATTGTCTTTCCCCCTCGGAAGGCATTCTTTCTTTCCTTTCCTTCTCTTCAATCTACATTGACGCTTCTCTACCCAGCCACAGTTCGCACCGTTCCCTCCAACAAGCAGTCAACCGTCTTCCGACCACCACCACTACCACCACCATCCTTCTCTAACCACCCACGTATTATACCTTCCCAACATGGCCAGAAAGTTCAAGGCAACAAAGAGGATCGCCAGAGAGGCCGAGGTCGCGAAGGCTGCCCAGGCCAAGCACAACAAGACCCTCCAAATGCCCTCGGTCACCCTGGTCGCCACCTCTGCCATGACTGCCGCCCGCAGAGCTTGTGAGGCCAAGGTCGACGCCATTGTCCAGGAATGCGTCGAGAACAACTGCCGCTTCCGTGATTCCAAGTTCGATCTCCTCAACGACCGTCGCAATTGCCTCTACAACTCCTTGATCAGCGAGACCGTCTACCCCGACATCGCCGGCACCAAGCGCATCCCTGATCTATTCCGCAAACCCGTATTCTTCTTGAACGGCGCCAGCCCTGATGATATCCAACAGGTATGTCTTCATGATTGAAGGAAGAAGGAACAAGGAAAGACAAGTGGGGAGTCAGACATGAAAATTTACTGATTCGTCGCTCACAAACACAAAAAAAAAAATTGTACTCTTGGCCCTGTCATCTTCCCGCGCAGACACCGCCCTTGTGAACAGCAGCGGGAAAGGAAAGAATGGACGAGAACAAAAAAAAATGGTCATGAAAGTGAAGGGTCAGACGGGCTGTAACAAAATCCATCTCTCTGCCTCCTGGGCACTCCCATCACAAACTCTAATGTCCCGCCACTCTTGTTTTTTTTACCTCTTGCTGAAAAACAACATAGGGCTCTGTGGGTGATTGCTGGTTTGTCGCTTCTTTGGCTGTCATCACCAACATCCCAGGACTCTTGGAACAACTCTGTGTCAAGAGGAACGAGGAGGTTGGCGTTTACGGATTCATTTTCTTCAAGGATGGCGACTGGGTCTCGACTGTTGTCGATGACCAGGTCCTGTACAAGATCGACCAGCAATCGGGCCGTCGTGTGCTGTACTTTAGCAAATGCCACGAGGAGCGCGAGTCGTGGTTGCCTCTTATGGAGAAAGCTTATGCCAAGATCCATGGAGATTACGAGTCATTGGACGGAGGATTCACTGCTGAGGGTATTGAGGATTTGACCGGCGGTATTGCCTCGATGATGTTTACCAGCGATATCTTGGATCGGGACCGCTTCTGGGAGGAAGAGATGAAGGAGGTCAACAAGCATACGTTGATGGGATGCAGCATTGGATTTGAGGAGGAGAACCCTGAGAAGCACGGAATCCAGAGCGGACATGCCTACAGTGTCCTCAACGTTGCCGAGTACCAGGGCGAGCGTCTTGTTCATGTATGTATTTATTTTTTCTCATGCGAATGCGACGAGTTATGAATAATCTTTTCAATTGCAAAGGGGCAGGAAAGTAACTAAGAAAACAAACAACTAAAATATTTTCCCACTTCAATCCTTTTTCTCAGGTTCGCAACCCTTGGGGTAAGATCGAGTGGAATGGAGACTGGTCGGACCAGTCCGAGAAGTGGACCCCTGAGGCACTCGAGACACTCAAGCACGAGGACAAGAACGACGGTCGCTTCTGGATGCCTTACAAGGATTTCTTGCGCATCTTCACTACTCTGGACCGCTGCCATGTCTTTGATGCCACCTGGTCTGTCGCTTCCAGCTGGATCCCCTACAACGTCTCGCCCCGCTCCAGTGGCCACTATGAGTTTGAGCTTACAAAGACCTCCAATACAGTCATTGTCTTGAGCCAGCCCGACACTCGCTACTATGGCTCCTTCAGCTCGGACTTTGACAACACTCTCTCATTCCATGTCTACGATGACGAGGGCAACCTGGTCAAGCGTGCCAAGATCTTTGTCCCTTACTCGAAGCGCAGCGTCAACTGTGAGTTACATCTCAAGGCCGGCAAGTACACCGTCATCCCTCATGTGATCCGCGAGCCCACCGACATCACCCACGGCGACGACGGCGATGACGAGGAAGAGAACGCCGTCAGGCCTGCGACGCGCGACAATGGGGTGGAGGTAGTGGTTGAGCAGGTCAAGATGGACAAGAGCTCGTACATGTTCCAGCAGCGCAAGGCCTCGTTGATCCGCAAGATGTCCCAGGCCCGTGTCACTGGCCGCACTCTGTTGGGTGTTGATGATGAGGACTACGAGGAGGAGAAGGTCGAGCTTGACGAGCACAACTGGCAACTGATGCTTGGTCTTCGCGTCTACAGCCACGACTCGAATGCCTCGCTGGAGGGCATCCCTGGCGAACATCCCTTGCGTAGTGCTACGGCCGCGGCCAAGGCTGCTGCGCTTGCAGAGCAGCAGGAGGACAAGGACGATCTCGAGGGTGTTACTGCCACGCTTGCGGACAAGAAGAAGCTGGTCGCTGAGCCTGAGGAGGAGAAGGAGGAGTAAGAGTGTTGTTGTATTAATATCATTGTTTGTATCTTTATACCATTTCATATAAAAGACAGTTCATGTACAGGGTTGCTGCCTTCTTTACGTGAGGCTTGCACCAAACCAAAACGCAAAAGAATAAAAACACCAGAGAACTGTTCCACGGGAGATGATATGCACCCTTACACGTGACCGATCAAGATGGCAGGTTCCTGAGTCTTTTTTCACTCGAGGAACCTGCCATCTCTCACTCCCCGTTCTTCCATTTTCTCTCATTCCCGCTCCCTTTAATCCTTTCACCTTTTTCATCACACTCCACATTCCTTCTCTTTCATTCAAGAAGAAGTAGAAAAGAAGAATGGCGTTCCAACCTGCGTCTGCACACCTGCAGACAAGGGTCGTCTCGACAGGCCCAACAACCGTCGCCGTCGTATCCCAGAACTTTCTCAAGGCCACCGCCCGATCCAAAACGAGCCTGACCCAGATCGAGTCCCTTCGTGCCTCCTATCCTCTCAAGCTCATGTCCCCCGCCTCTACCAACACCACCCCTTATCCTTCCGCTGCCGCCTCTCCTACCGTCCCTAATGCACACGTAAACTCCGAAACAACAGGGACTGCAACAGAAACAACGGCGGCACAATCACTGCCGCCACCACCAAGGATCGTCTACATGATCACCTACGGAGGCGGCCTACTAGCCGACGACCACCCAGACCTCCAATTTGTCCTGGCACGCCACGCAAAGCTCCTAGTCCTGGGTCAGGGTAACACCAAGATCTATAAAAGCCCCCGGGTCGATTACCCGCCCGCCTCGCAGACATTGCACAGTACTGTGGGCCCAGGAGCAGTGTTCTTGTTTCTGGGTCCTGCGGTTGTGGCGTGTGAGGATTCGAGTGTCTTTTTGAGGCATGAGATTGTGTTGCAGGCTCAGCGGAGGTCGCGTCTACATTCTGCAGGGACTGGAGCAGGAGCGGAAGTCAGGGATCAGGAGAAAGGAGAAGAGGATCTGGAGGAGGAGTTACCGAACTGTGTTGTTTTGGATTGGATTGCAGGAGGTCGTGGAGAGGAGGAGAGGTGGAAGGCTCGGAGGGCCGAGTGGCGATTGGTCGTCCGGTGGGCAGACCTCGAGCCAGAGTCTGAGGCAACCGCCACCGCTACTACCGGATCGAATCAACCCGAGACTCAAGGAAAAGCAGAGGATGATGAAGACGAGGAAGAGTTTGTGGAAGAAGAGGATCCTCGGGATGTTGCGGACAGGGCCGCAGGCGGTCCAGTCATCTTCCGGGACGGCTTCCTGATCGAACACAACCCACCCATGCCATCCTCCAAATCCAAGACGTCTTCTCCATCGTTGTCGCCTCCTGCAGGATCAGCTAAACCAACATCCACACCTCCAACTGCCGGCACGACCCCAAAGCCCACACTGGTCCCCAAGATGACCTCCTACGCGCCCTCACTCTACCCACATTCAACCATCGGATCGCTCTTCATCATGGGCCCCAAAACCGAACGTCTTCAACAATACATCCTCAAACGGTTCGAACACATCACCGTTTACCCTGGCCAGAAATCCGAGCTCCGTCCCGATTACCCAGTCCTCTGGAGCGCCACCATCATCCAAATCCCTCGACCCTCTGCCGCTTCGGATACGACTTTTGTGCCCAGGAGGAAACGGATGATGATGAAGGCTATGGTGGTCAAGATGGCTTCTCAGGGGATCGAACAAATGCAGGATTTCTTGAAGTCGTTGTTTGAGGAGCATGCGTTACAGGAGAGTAGGAGTAACAAGTTGATGGATGATAGCGATCATGAGGAGGAGGATGACGAAGAGCTTGCTCGCCGCATGAAGAAGTCTTCGATTCACGGATTGGGGACCGGAAACGGAGTTGGAGGGCTTTCGGTCATTGACCAGTTGTTTGGAGGACGTGTGACTTGGGAACGTGCATTCCGGTGAACATTCTCCGTTATTTTTGTGTAGACCTTAGAGCATAGATCTTCATTCCTTATTATGCAATAACGCCGTCGATCGTCTTCCATTTGATGGATCATATTTCCTGTTGATCCTGAGAACGTTTCTCTCAATGCATTGAAGAATTGTGAGTAGTAACTAATGCATGAATTAATGCATGAACGCAGAACCAAACAAGCAATCAAGAATCGATAGATGAGTGGAAAGGATGTATATTTTTCTTCTAACAAAAAAAGGGAAGTGAGAGGAGGAGTGGATGAAAAGAAACAAAACGAAACGAAAAAGTGTCAACGAGCAATATTTAGTGAGCATCCTCGCGCTTGGAGATGTACTCAACAGCCTGCTCGGCAGACTTGATCTCATCGGCATCCTTATCGGGGATCTCGATCGAGAACTCCTCCTCGATGGCCATGACAACCTCGACAGTGTCCAAAGAGTCCAAACCGAGGTCGGCGTTGAAGTTGGCCTTGAGGGCGATCTATATTGGTGGAGGGTAGGAAGAATAAGAGGCGAGTGAGTATTAAAAGGTCTGTGAAGGGAAGGTGTGTCTCGACAGGAGAGAGTGAAAGGTGTGTTGTCGTTGTATGAACGTCCTGATTTTCCGAAAGTTGTCTGCATGAGTGCCTGTACTTCTTTCAGGAAGAACAAAGAGCTGCTGAAGTCCGGTGAAGAGTATGTGTTACAGTTGTTGCTCCAGCGTTGAAAGAAAGGGTATGTGAATCGGTGTAATACCGGAATCCTGCGAAAACTACCCAATTGGTCATTTTTTTCCGGTATGGGTCTCCCTCCTCCCAACCTTTTTGTTCCTTTCCTTGTAGGTCCGGAGGAGCCGGATCAGAAGAAAAAAAAACAGAGCGCTGCGCACGCGATGGTAGAGTGTTTGTCGATGAGGCAGGTTGCAGCTGCGCATGATGGTGTCGTTCGGCACTCGTCGGCGCGTTTCGCTCTATGTCGTGAGAAGATCCGTCCTCCTGGGCTGGGTCCATCACACTTAATATTTTTTCCCTGTAAGGTACGGATCAACTCCACCCATGGCGGGACTTCGGGATTTCTGCTTTTTGTTGTTTTTTGTTTCTTTTTTTCCTTTCCTTGCAACTACTGGCTTGAGGTTGTAGTGATTCCTGGAAAAGTCCCGCTTGTTCTTTATATTCGCTCTGCGTAATATTTTTTGTTGTTCGTATGATTACCTTGTTGGCGTCGACCTTGTTGAATCCAGCCAAGATATCCAAGACACGCTTCTCGACATCCGAACGGGCAAGGCCGGCGGAAGCGTAGGTGCGGGCAAAGTTCAGGGCCATGGCGTTTCTGGCGACGACGGCGGGGGCAGTCTTGTAGAGGGCCGCAGAGCGGTAGAGGGCAGCGGGGCGGATGGCTCTGAACATGGTTGGATGTGTGGTTGTTGGGGTGGTGGAGGGTTTGGCAGGAGTAAAGGTGGAATGGAGTGATCAGTAACGGAAAGGATGCCTTTTCCCTCTCTGGGAAAAAACAGTGACGTCACATTTTTTGGAGCCGGCTTGAAGTATTTGCGATGAAATGGAAAATGTTCTTTGTTCAAGGACAGAAGCGATAGTAACCGCACTTGACAAGGCGACCCCGGATAGCCACGCCATGTCAGATCGACGAAGTACCGTTTCCTCAAGCTCAAATGACGAAAGCTACACTCAATGTTGGTTTTAAACTTTAGCCACTCAATGGTGCAAAATGAAGGCATAACAAGGGGCGCAGATCCTGATCTGAGGCACGACGAGCTGGGCTGCGCGACGCTGGATCATTCAATATGGCTCCCTTTCGTACGTAACCTTCCCTTACTTCACGCACGAACTCGGATCCAAGCAGTTGGATATGCAGATCCTATGCTCATAAGTTAAGAATGTATTCAACAAAGAAGAGGCGTCTGTCTTCGTTCAAATACTAAGCAAGGCGGCAAATGTCGCAAAAGGTTGGTGGCAACAATTTAGAAAATCACCAAATGTTGTGGGAGTGACTGTCTGTGGATCGAACGCCCTTCCCAAATCAAGCCGATTTATCTCTTCCTCCATCACCACCAACTCACACAACGCCAGCAGGAAACAACATACAACATGTTCGCGCGGACAGGAATCAACACAATCAGGGCATCAGTACGGACAAGTCAAGTCATGACCCAAGCTCTCAGGACAGCACCCACATACACACCCGCTACCTCAACTATAACGAGAACAATCATCTTCCGCCGCACCTTCTCATCCTCAAAACCCACCACTGCCAACCACACACCCGTCCCAGAACCAACCCGAGTCCCACGCCCGATTCCCATGGATATCGGAAACAGCCCTTCCGCCGCCAACTTTTTCCAATCCTCAGGTTCTTCCTCAACCGCATCCTCCGCCTCAGTCTCAGAAGCATCATCATCAGCATCACGGAGGTTCCGATCCTACGCAAGTGGTGGGTCCGTATTCGACAGATACGGTGGCCCTGTTTTGAACATTATCGTCTACTCGACCGCTGCGACGTTGCTATTGCACTTGGCCTATCACCACCTGGCTCTTGAGGAATATAAGATCTCATCGAACCGGAGGCTCAAGGATCTGGAGGATGAGATCTCGACACTCAAGGCGCTACGAGTCCAGCATCCCTTGGGAGGTCGAGGCGAGTTTGTCTGATTGTTGTCTTTGGAGGGTGACCCAGGGATTGACAGGGACAGGATAATCCAGTCGACACAATAATAAACAACAACCATCAAACAGCACGTGTTGCTTCACAGCAGGACTTTTATTGTATGTATTTTAAAGGAGGGTAGGGAGACGAATCGACACAGGAGAGTGACTCGCCTGCTCATATGTGCACCTCCAATGCAGAAACATAGTCTTCAGGGCACACTGCGAGGAGATCTCACATCCCTGGTGCGTTTAATGACGAGCCTCCAAACGATCGTCTCTCCTTCACAAAACTGAAAGCATCACTGCTATGAATTTATGTATATGTCATGATCACGGAACAGAAACATTGCAAACAAAAGAACACACTTCGAGATGCGAACCTACACTTGGTCCTGGGACTTGTCCCTTGGCTTTAACTCCTAACCTTGATTCTTCTTTGACCATATTTCTTTCTATAAACGCGTTCACGCTCGCGGTTTCTGAGGAGAAGCACGGCATGGAATATCATTTGGAAAAGCGAGTACCCAGACACACATAAAAAGGAGACCATGGAATATTTTTTACAATATTGTTCGTTTTTATTATTCGGATCATAGATTAGAAATAGATGTAGCAATATTCTATGCTTTGTATAGGGTCATCCTATTCTACGTGAACCGTTGTACGAGTTGTATGTTGTGTGTAGTGTGTGTGTGTGAGTGAGTGAGTGTTGGGGGTGGTGGTATATGTTAGGAAGGTATGTGAGATGCTCGATTCTTATTAACGTTAAAAGAAATAGAAAAAGAAACAGTTTAGTTTCCGAGACCCAAGACCTCCGCGATCTTGTGGAAGATCTCGGTGTTGTCCTGGACTCCGGCAAACAGGTTGGAACCGGGGCCGGAGGCAAAGACGGGGACATCCTGGAGGGAGTGGACACCGACGCCCTCGCTGGATCCCAAAGTCGCGCCCTTGTTGATTCCGTGGACGTCAAACTTGGGGTTGGCCTCGTAGACGGGGTAGTGGTGGTGGGAGGTGGTGGAGATAACGGCGGGGACACGAGTGCCGTTGATGCTGATCTGGAAGTCCTCACGGTGGGTGGGGAAGGCAGCAGTGCCGGCAGCCAAGGTGTAGCGGACATCCCAGGAGTCGGGGAATCCATCACCGTTGGCATCAACATACGAGGGCCAGCCAGAGTTCTCATAGGTACCGATTGAGTTCCTCTTCTCGAGCTCCTCAGAGTCGGAGAACGAGTTGAAGTACTGGGTGTCGACGGAACCGTAGACATCGAAGGAGTGGGCATGATCGGCGGTGACGAGAATCAAGGTGTCCTTGTCGAGCTTGTTGCGCTTGAGCCACTCCTTGGTCTTGCCGATGGTCTTGTCCAACTCCAAGAGGTCAGCAAGGGCGCGGTCGTAGTCGAGAGGGTGCATCATCTTGTCGACGGAGGCGGCCTCGGCCATGAGGAACCAACCCTCCTTGCGGTGGCGCCTGTCCAAGACCTCAAGACCCTTGATAACCATATCATCGAAATTGGGCTGGTTGAGGGCGGGGAGACCGGTACCGGTGGGGTCGGAGGGGGTGCTCTTGAGGTTCTCCTTGTAGACGTTGCGGTCCATCCAGACATCCATGTTAGTAGAGTGGAAGATTCCGAGGAGGGGGTCCTTGCCCTTGTACTTCAAGAGGGCGTCACGGTCGTTGACAACCTTGTAGCCGCGCTCTTTGGAGTAGGCAGCGTAGTAGTCGGTGCCGTTGAGGGACTTGCCTCCGGTCTTGGAGTGGAAGTACTTTCCACCACCTCCGAGGATGACATCAGCGACAACGGGGTTGGCGCCGTGAATCATCTGGTCGACAATGGTGGCCTTCTCGTCACGGTTGCGGGTGTGGGAGTAGACGGCAGCGGGAGTGGCATCCTGGACCTCGGCAGTGGTGACGATACCGACACCTCCGGCTCCACCGTTCTTCTTGGAGCGGCGGCGCAACAACTCGGCGATGAGCTCCTGCTTGGGGTCATCGAAGGGAGAGAGAGATGAATCGGGGTAGACACCCAAGGCACCGGCAGAGGACTTGTGGCCAGTGTTGTAGGCGGAAGCCGAGTTGGCAGAGTCGGTAATCAAGGAATCCAAGGATTGGGTCATGACGTGGCCGAGGACGGGGAACTGGTCCATGTTCATGTGTTTGGTGTACTTTCCGCTGGTGTGAGGCTTGGAGATCAAACGGGCAGCGGTGATCATGGCGGTGGTCATACCGTCACCAATGAAGAGGATGACGTTCTTGGCCTTGCGCTTGTGGGTGGGGTTGACAGTCCAGATGGCCTCGGTTTTCTTGCCGTTGTTGTACTTAAGGACGACCTTGTAGGTACCGGGCTCCTTGATTTGAACCTTGCGCCAGGCGGTTGAGGCGACGTGGACGTTGGTGCTGGCGGTCTTGTCACCGTCCTGGGCCTTCCAGTAAGCGGCGGCATCCTTGGTGTAGGCGAAGTCCCAGGACTCCTGAGCGCTGGGCTTGACCTTGGACCACTTGGAGAAGTCGACAGCCTTGGGCTTGCTATCGTGCTTGTTCTCCTTCTGGCTACCCTTGAGCTTCTCGATGGTCAAAGAGTAGGCGGTGTTGGGCTTGGCGTCATTCTCGGCGTGGACCTCGACGCGGACATCGAAGTGGGAACCAGCAAGGAATTCAGCGCTAAGAGGGAGGGGAAAGTGAGGAGAGAATAAATAGTCGAGCCGTTAGTTTTGTTACTTGTGTTTTAAGCATGCGTTGGCTCTTGTGCACGGATACAATTGTTGAGGTACAAATTAGTGCATAAAGGATAGAAAAGGGCGAAAACCCGGCCAGGCAGGCAGTGTATGTGAAGTATATACATGTGCGGAGAAGGAATAGAGCCAGTGGCCCATTGGCGAGAACCATTGTCACCAGAGAACGTTGAGAAGAGTACGTTGTCGTTTGCATGAATGCAAGTGAGGGATAAAAGTCGGACATTGGGGCCGTTGTTCAAATAGTAGATTGCCTGTCAGAAGGCCAAATGTATCTGCAAGAGTGCTCGAGAAAAGAAAAAAAAAGAAAGGTGCGAAGGTGAAGGGTGAAGACGAAGCGAGATTAAGAGGAATGATTACTTACTTGTCTGGGGGGAAGACACATCCGAGGGTGGGGCAAGCACCGAGGCGCTTGAACTGACCAATGGGATCAAGGGCAGCAACGGCCGAGATGGCGGTTGCGAGAGAGAGAAGGGTGAAGGAGATAGCCTTGACCATTGTTATAGAGTTGGAGAGGAGGAAGGAGGGGCAGAGAGAAGTGGAGTTGTTTGGTTTTGGGTGTGAGGAGTTGTTGGACTGAGGATCAAAGGGAAAAAAAAAGAAAAGGCGGGGGGATGGGATTGTCTTTATAGTCAGAATAGAAGAAGGGGCTGTCGTTGACGTCTGTCAAGGTAAGGGGCGAAGGGTTACCAAAGAAATAAAACAGAGAGCTCTTTGATGATGCCTATAGGCTGGCTGACTTTGGAGAGGAAGGAAGAGGGACAAGCAATGAGTAGGAATGGGACCAAGATGCGCAATTTGATTCTATTTCTCATGGGCGTTGTGCGCTCTCTGAAGGGGAGGAACGTGTCTACGGCAACGGTAGGAGGAGAGTGAGAGTACCCACTTCTTCCCTTCAGTAAATATACTGAGAGCAGTTGCTTTGTTATTGAAGTAAGAATGCACATGGGGACGATGGCAGGCACGCAGACGACCAATGCTACTAAGAGAGTAAAGAGAGCAAAAAGAAAAAGAAAAAGAAAAGGAAAAGAAAACCAGAGCGAGTGAATGCCGTTGTTAGCCAATGGAGATACAGAGCCATTCCCTTGTGCCGTAACCCTAGGCCCAGTCGAGGGGCATGCTCCCTCGACAAATGCCCTGATAGGGCCATACCAGGGATGCTTGAGTGAGCCTGCCAGCAAATCAGAGCTCACCCGGGGAGTCGTCTGTATTACCAAGGGTTGTCACTTTTAAATTGGTGCCTGATTGAATCAATACCGAGGGACTTGCACACAAGAGTAGAAACGGCACCAGGGATTTACTGCAGGAAAGAAGGGCTCAGTCAATCGACCTATTCCATCCCCGTCAAAGAAAAGAAAAATCGGCTCTCAAACAGAACAGACAACGACAGAGAAGGACATGGTTCGTGTGGGACCCTTGCCCTTGTCCAGATGTTCAGGCTTTGGCTGTTGATTGGCCAGCAGCTCCCAACCCTTTCTCATTTCTCAACGCTTCTGTTTACTCAGTGGAGGCACTAAAACTATAAGGTGCCTCCCCTTCTTTGCCTGCCTGCAGTTGAAAAGACTTGTTCCTCTTCTCTTTGGTGTAGTCTCCTGCATGTATGCATGCTGAACAAAAGAACTTTCACGAACAAAAAAAAAATCAATCCAGGTTCTGCTAAAGACGCATACAGAGCTACTCCTCGCTACTCCTTTCTTCCCTTGTATGACTAGACTGGTTGGCAAAGAAACAGAAAAGGGAACATCTTTTCTCACCTCCTTCGCTTATCCTTCCTATCTTCTTTCGTTCCAACGCGAACAACCCCATATATCTATCTCAGCGTGTGCACGCACGCACGTTGGCCTCACAACAAGTCTACATTTTTCTCTTAACACACGTTCATCATCGTCCAAACACCATGTCCACGAGGGTTGAGGAAGAAACATCGAAAGGTGGAAAGACGAAGAGAGCCTGGTGTGTTTTCTACATCCTTCTTTTCACTCTTTTCTTTTCCGGAGTATTTCTTGGTCGACAAAACAGCCATCTTATTTTTTTTTTCGACCATGCCACAAAAATAAACTAAACCGCAACATGAACACAACATCCAAACGGTAATAAATCTTCTTTGTATATCTGTTGACGCGCTCTTCGCCATGACCTCTTTTGTGCAAGTTTTCACTTCCGTTTTCGCTCATGGCGAGCCTATCGGAATGACACTCCACTGCATGCCATGCCAGTCCATTGTCCAATTGATTGTCTACTTTCGCTCTCTTCTCCCGTGTTTTGCCATTCTTCTCTGTTTCGCGCTCTCAGCCTTTCTTCCTCTCAACAGGACGAATTGAGCTCCATAAGAAGAAAGTAAAATGAGCAAACAACACCCGTTTGAGGGAATTATGAACAAGAGTAGGAAGGTAAGGGGGCGTGAAAGAAAATGAACGCCGTGTGAGATCTTACCCGTGTTGCAGCACAACCGTCCTTAACTGACGAAAGAGAGAGAGAGAGCACTTTTTTTTTTTTTTTTTTTTTTCAATTCTTCCAACACACGCCCTTCCAAGAGTTAGAACCCCACGTGTAATGCCTGTGTTCGAAATTTTCTTCGTGTCTCTTTGATTTCTCTAATGCTCTTCCTTCTTTGTCCAAATCTGGCGTAAGCCGTGTCATCGACACTTCCTTCCATCCTTCCATCCATCCTTCCATCCTTCTTTCCACCTATGATGGACAAGCATGAGAAAGAAAGAGAGAAGGAGGGGAGAAACACAAAGGCAGAGGTATAGCTCCGTCTCCAATGCTGATCGAGTATATCAGATACTGCATTGTTTTGTTTGTATGTTTATCCAGAGTCCCGACTGTCTGGTGGTTTCTATTCATATCCTACTCTCATGGATCACCAATAATACAAAACGTGCGCTTTGGCTTTAGTATTGATGTTGCTTTTATTCGTTTGGTATCTCTATGGTAGAAGGAGACAAACAACGGAAGGAAATGAAAGGAAAGAAACAAAAAAAAGGGAGCGCGAGAGTGATAGAAATGGAAATGTGCCTTCAGATCACAGCAGCCCATTCCTCACGCAGTTTGATCAGCCCCCACGCAGATATCTCACAATGGCCCGTAGCGGCGCTCGAGAGTGGGTTCCTACGATGATGGTAGTGCGGATGTTGGTAATGGTGTCGGTGGTGGTGACGGACTCCTCCTCCTCCACCACCACCTCCTCCACCTTCGCCTGCAGTCACACTGAGTCGACGGCTTCCGTGGTGCGCTGGTGGTGATGTTGTCTCGTTGTTGTTGGTGTGAGAATCAAAAAGATTCTGAGAGGTCGCATTGTTTCCGCCAGCTCCATGAAGTCCACCATGAGCACCTCTTCCTCCTCCTCCTCCACCACCACCTACACCATTGCCATTCCCGTGAGCAGGAGGACCGCCACCGTTATTGATCCCTCCAACAGTTGCGGCTCCGACTCGAATAGCCGTCATGACTGGATGGCTCATCATCTCCGCCGACAGCGCCTCAAATGGCATCGAGTTTGCAAACAAGTTCGCCGCCGTTCCTGCATTCTGCGGATTGAACAGCATTTGATTAGCAGCAGCAGCCTGAATCTCCTGCAAATCACGTTGATGCTGCGATTGGATCTGGAATAGATGTTGGAGCTGGAGTTGGTGTTGTGGCGTGAACCAAGACTCGAGGTGGAAGCTGGCCGCGATCCCGACTCGTCTGGGTGTGTTTTCTAGTACATCCAGTCGATCTGCCAAATGGATCCTTGAACACGACCGTCGACGCGAATGGGTGATTCTCTTTGACCCGGAGGAAGAGGAAGAGGAAGAACAGTCGGAAGTCATGGACGATGATGTCGATGACGATCCGGATGACGATGAGGACATGATGGTCGAGGTCGAGGAAGAGGACGTCAAAGACGACGCGGACGATCGACGCCGGTTTCCTAGAGGTGTTCGATCAAGACTGGTGCCTCCTTGTCGTGAGTATTGCTGTGGGTGCTGTGGAACGATATCGTCGTCGGTGTTGGTGATATTGTTGGAGGAGGTTCCGCGGTTCAGAAGCGGTCCTACATATCTACCTAGGCCCAACCGACTAGGGCTCACCAGAGGCGCAACGCCATTCATAAACCGCTGCAAGTTCTGGGACGACAGTCCGTACTCCTGAGGCGGTGGTTGTACTCCAGTCGACGACGCCATGTGTGGAGAGAACTGTAACAGCTGCTCCTGCTGTGGTGAATACTGCTGCTGGGAGCTGCTTGAAGATTCATCATCCTCAGAATGGTCGCTCTCGATCACAGCATCGCCCAAAAGATTATCAATACCAGTCGAGTCCATGGTTGAAGAGGCAGAAGTCGGGTTCAAAATCGGTCGCAGAGATTCCAAGGTCGAGCTCCACGACCTAGTCACGCCATCGCCGCAAAAGGACACGTCCAGCGCGCAGAGGTTCTTGAGAGACATCACCAAGGGTATAATACCAGCGAGCGTCATCTTGTCGTTGTAGGAGAGATCCAGTCGTCGTAGGTTGGGAAACAGGCAGGGGTTGGGTTGCTCCTGGATACCCTTTCCCTTGTCGTTTTCGGGAAACGTCGAAGTCCTCGAAGATGCTGCTAGAGTACACTTGGCCAAGGCTGTCAAGCAACCGTCCGTAAGAGAATGACAGGCACTCAGATCCAGTTCTACCAACGAACCAGCACACCTGGCTCCAATCAGTTGGACTACTCCTGAATCATCCAGACGACTTGCTCGCGGGATCGAGAGAACAGTCAGGTTAGGACAAACCGCAAGGACATGACCCAGAGTCTCCGAGTTGATGGCATTCGCATGATCGAGCCGCAAGACTTTGAGTCCCGGCCCGACTTGGTCAACAAGGGCGATGATGTCGCTGTGGCTCAGTGTATAGGCATCGTGGATTGAAATCTCTTCCAGAGTCACGGGTAGGGTGCGAAAGAACCGGCTCGCCTGACTCTGTGTCCTTGTTGATGCTGCTGTTGTAGCTACCGTTGACACCGAAAGCCCATTCATATTCTCGGCTGTAGGGGCCTTCACAGCAGGACAAGTAAAATCGAGCGAGACGAGTGAAGACCGCTGCGGCTCTAGATATCCGTCCTGTTCTGTACCAGCAGCATTGAGCTGCTCCGTGATCGCCGACAGTCCTGAATACGTGATACCTTTGCAGCCGGCGACACCCAACTTTGTCAACCGCGCATTCCTGGTTCTGACTCTGGAGAACGAGCTCAGGTGTGTCATCCGACCAGACGCTCGAAGAAGTGCCTCCAAAGACTTGTCGCCTGCCCGTTGACACTGTCCAATATTGATTCTGTGGAGTCGAGTGCAATGCAGCGCCACCTCCTCGATCGCATCATCCGTGACAAGTCCACACCCCTGCAAAGACAGTTCCTCAAGTTCGCTGCAGAGACTCGCCATCACTTGAACCGTCAAGTTGGTGAGCAGTCTACATTCAGTCAGATCGATACGTTTGAGGTAAGGCGAGGACAAGGTGATGAGCTGGATGACGGCCATGTCGGTGAGCGCGGTGCAATGGGACAGAGATATCGATGTGAGGTGGGTCAGTGAGGGCGAAATGGCGTTCAGATGTCGGTCTGTAATACATGAGGGGAGGTACGGAAATGGTCGAGGTGCTTGGCAATCGGTCGTTCCTGCAAGTGAGAATGTCCTGATGTATCCTTTTCCTGCATATCCAATCTGGTCTAAAATAAACAAACACGGAGATGGAAGAAAGAGTTTTTCATTTTTTCCGTTAGCGTCTTGTGGGGCAAAGAATACCGACGAGGAGGAAGGAAAGGAGATCCGGCTCTATTGTCACTTTGACTAACAAGCATGAATGGTGCCACTTTGCATTCGCTTGGTGTGTAGGAAGGGACTAAAAATCTCCCCGCCTTGACCCCAATAAGGTTCTTTTCGTTCAGTTTGCGAAGTGTGGGGTAGGACAAGAACAGCCAGCAAAAAAAAAAGAAAAGAAAAAAGAAAAGGAGACGTCTCCTTCCTCCGTTGATCATGAGGGTATCGTTCTTCTTTGTTGTCTCCATCCGTGTTTGTCGGAAGGAAAGGTAACTTGCGCTCTGTTCTCCATTGCGCACATGTAGTGGGGTTTCGAAGGGAACAAGTCCAATTGAGTCCGTATTTCCGAAGGTGGAGCGAGTTGCTCTAACACACTTTTGTTTATCGCCCTTCCCCCCTGTCCTGCCCATCGGTGTATCCTTGCAGTCATTCCTGCGGTTTGTTAGTCTGATTGTTATTGTCGCTGTCTCATCTTCCCCTTGTGCTGTGCGATTGTTGAGAGAATGCTCGCCCTTGTCTATTGTAAGCGATGGGTGGTGATAGGAGGTGATCATCCGTCCTCTGCATCCGTCTCCTAAACTCCACACTTGCAGATAAACAATGCCTTGTCCTTGTCCTTGTTATTGTGTTGTTTGTGTTCGTCTTTGTTGTCACTGTCGCTGTTGCTTCCTTGACTCCTGTCCCTTTGTCGAACACACACACACACCCTATCTCACTTTACCCCCGCCTCCCCCTATTTTATCGGATTAGATGAAGACTCTCACTCGATTGTCCGCGTTTCTTTGTTGTCCACTCCTTTTTTTCCGAAAGAGACAAGAAGTGTCAGTAATAAGAGCAAGTACCTGGAAGAGATGGGCCTCCCAGTGAGGATAGGGAGTAACATGAAGAAGCAGACGAAGACGAAGAAGGCGAGGTCGAGGCTGCTGAAAATTTCGAATTGGACATTGGAGACGGCGAAGTTGAGAATGTCGTCTCTGATCCTGTTTCTGCTACTTTTGCTGTTGCTACTGCTGTTGTTGCTGAACGACTCCTGAGGATATTTATAGCACCGCTGCTGTTGCTGTTGCTATTGCTTTCGTCAAAGTTGGTGGGCAGTAGCAGTTGTCGTCGTCGCACTTGATCCATGCATTCATCCATACCCTCCTCCAGCCCCTCGTCAACATAACCGCCACCACCACCGTTGCGACAATCCAGCACTTCTTGTTGTCGCCGGTAAACGCACAGCCTAGAGGGTGACTCCATGTACGAGAAAGTTGGATCTAGTGCCATGCCAAGCTGGATGAACGACTCGACGCTCTGAAGGTCCACGTCCCGCCATAGTGTGTCGACAGCTGCATAGTACCCTATGCATTCATTTTCATCGTTTGTTCATAGAGAGAAGACAACCGAGAAAGAGAGAGAGAAATAAAGGTGAAACCGGACATTCAAAAATAAAGGTGTTAGTTTGGTCTGAGGTTCTTTTCATTCTTTCTCCACACTTATCGTAAGTGAACATAGAAAGGAAGGACTTACAGTCCTGGCAGACGAGGGCGCAGGCGAGGATGTCGGTGCGGTCGAGGGAGAGCGAGGAGGAGAAGGAGATGGACGAAGTGGACGAGTGACGGTGTTGGGGTCGTTGTTCAAGGCTGTAAAAGATCTTGACCAGCAGCTCGTGTGGTAGCATTGTGTATTTGTTCTTTGTGTGGAGAAGGACACGAGAGCAACGGGCAAAAGTCCGAAGGTGCGTGTGGGGAGTGTTGCGGAGTGATTGACAAGGGAGGACTGAGGTTCGTTACTGTGTCGCGCTCGTGCAAGGTGAAGGTGAGCGGGCAGAACGAGAACTAAGGTGTGTTGTCGAAAGTGAGAAGTATTAACAAGGACGGTGGGGAAGAAGAGAAGAGGGGTGTGAAGAGAAGAAGAGAAAAGGAGAACAAGAGAACAAGAGAACAAGAGAAGAGGAGAACAAGAGAACAAGAGAAGAGGAAGGAATTGGAGAGGAGCAAAGGAGAAAAAGAAACCTAATATGAAGTGGAGACAGAGAAGGCGAGGCCCAACCACAACCACTGCGTTTGTGCGGTGCGCGTGACAAAGGACCATTCAAAAAATGATGTGGAGGGAGAACGAGAGAAAAGAGGTGAATGAATGTAGAATCGTATCGTATCCAATCTGCAGGGGATGAGAAAAAGAGGGGACCACTGGTGGCGTGCTCAACTCCTCTTTCTTCTTTTCGTTCTTGGCGTCTACCTCCTTTTTCTCTCTTTACTACTTAATTATCGCCATGCTGTCTTGTTCGCCATAACCGCAACCGCGTGGCCACCTCTCTCAAGTTGTTTTCTATCTTCCCTCCAATTGAGCTCCTCTCTGCCACTCCTGTCGGTCATTTTTCATTTTCCCGAACATCAAAAAGGCAGCTCCAGTGGCACGTGATGAATCATCAAACCAAGCCACCCACCCTTTCCCTCCCTTTTGCCAAAACAAATCCTCTCCCATCCATTTGACTACTTTCCCCTGGAACCCGCATCACCTTTGAACTTGTAGTTCTCCGACAGCTCCTCCACTCTCTCTCTCTTCTCTAATCAACACATTTCGACAATGGCATCCCCAGCAGCAGTGGTCGCAATGTCCTCCTCAGCCTCGTCCAAGGCTACCGCCGCCAGCTTGCGCAAGCTCATGTCACACCCCCAGGCACTCAACAAGACCCTCGCCGGTCTGCGAGTCCGCCCCGCGTCCGACTATGCTCACCAATGGGTCCCCGTCCCCGGCGTCGCGACCGCCAAGCCCAAGCGCACTCCACCATTCACATCAGGATCTTCATCAGTACCATCATTATCATCACAGGAGGGCGCCGCACCATCAATACTGACGGCTACAGGAGAGCGTACGAGGATGCGTTGGCAACAGTCCAAGGTCTCGGCTAGAGTCCAGGCTGATATTAGGAAGAGGGTTGCTCGTCTGGAGAGGGCCGGGATTGCTCTGGCAACTCATCCCGAGACGGGTGCGCCTATCCCTGCGGCCCAGATCTTGAACCTTCCTGCTCCCAAGCCGCTTTCGACCAAGACTGTTCGTATGGGCAAGCCTGATAAGGGCCGCAAGCACGATCGGACTGCTCCCGTGAGGTACACTATCCTGATGTTCTTTGCCGGCTTCGTTGGCATTTTGCGCCATAGTGATGTTCAAGGTTGCGGGTTGTTGCCTTGAGTTACCCGATTGATTGGAACTACTTCTAACATAATTCGCGTTCTATTATCTGAACATCCAGGAAAGCTAAGGTCGCCAAGGCCATCGCCGAGATGCCCAAGACGATTGAGACCTGGAAGAAGGTAAACAGCCTCTACAACAACACTGCGTGAATAGCATTCGGACGTGTTTAGCAAATGTTAGATCGATCTGGAGATCATTCATATTTCTAACGTCTCTCTCTATTACCCGATCTTATCATTCAATTGTCATTTTTAGGCCAAGGCTGCTGAGAAGACAAAGACCAAGAGCACTCTTCCTTTCTAAGCACCCCTCTTGCATGCACATAGGGATCTCACAATTCAATTCCGACTCACCACCCACGCACCATCTCATTACCACCCTCGCCAAGTTTGACGTATTCAGGAACCAGGGACTCAATGGCTTCATGGATCAACCTGAACGCAACAGCAGAGAGGGATACTCCACATATAGATTTTTTTTCACAGGATATCGCATTAAACCACATCCCATTTGACTTTTTCTCAAATCCGCGAGAACGAGGCGTAGGCACGGTGGCACGGAAGGCATCACAAGGGCTGTGAATTTGTATAGGCGCGTCATATACAATGGCGAGTTTATCGCGAAAAGGAGTTTGTAGGTGAGCTGTCGTGTTTTATTAGTGGGTTATTAGGGGCGACAAACTGGTTGTAATTTACAATGGTGGAAATGATAAAAAGTCTATGGGTGTGTGAGGGGAGGAAAAAAGGAGCAACTAAAAACGCAAGAAATGACAATAAAACACTGAATGAAGTACGAGCAAAGAGATAACAATGAAAGAAAAAAGAGCGAGCAAGAGAAAGACAAGCAATAATAACGAGTGGAAAGTAAGGAGAGGGCTGAAAAGAAAGAAGGAAAGAAAGGAGCTCGTTTTTTTTTACATGACATTAGAAGACTTGACAGCCTTTTTGCCACGATCATCAACAGGCGCCAAAAAATCCAATAACGGTCTCACTTGCAACTTGTCCGCACCCACATTCTTCAACCAATCCGGCAACGAAAACAGCACCTTCCTTTTCACATCTGCAGAGACGCCCTGAGTGTTCATCAGATGTGTCATGGCGTTGGTCATTTGGGCAGCGTCTTTAACAAGGGGTGAGCGACGACGTTGGTAGGATTCAAAGATCTTGAGATAATCTTCGTGGACGGGGACGTCGTCGAGACGGTAGAGATGGTTGGCGAGGTAGATCGCGTCCATGATGGCTTGTTCTGCACCCTGGCCTGAGAATGGTGGGAACTATTGGTATTTTTTTAAAAAGAAATAAAGTATGAAAAGAACAATGGGTGGGATAGAAGAAAAGAACGATTAGAAAGGTGTATGATCGGGGATTACTATCGGGGATAACTACTCATGATATCCAAGAGGGGGGATAAATATCGACCAGCACGAATAGCAATCTTGTTACCTTGTGACAAGCTAAGAAAGGAGCATTAGGTAAGAAGCGTCATCGCAAGGAGACAAAACGACAACAGATGCATGAGAGCGAACATGAGAAATAAGAAAAGACAAAAGAGAGAGAAAGGAGAGGAAGAGGGAAAAAGAATGAATGGTCAGTTTGTCAGAGAGCATATTTTTTTTTCAGCGCAAAATAATATGATCGATCAATCGCAGAAGCGCGGAAGGCGGAAAAAAACAATATGTTATTCCGCTCCAACATAACCCTAAAAATGTTTAAACATCCTCCCTTCGTTTTTATCATCCTTCAAAAGGCTATCAATGAATAAACAACAAAAAGAAGACTCACCTTCACCGATAAGGGCGACACGGCCATAATGCCATGTCTTGAACTGCTTCTCTTCAACCATAATCTTGGTCATATGATCCCTCTGCGTACACTCAATCAGATCTGCCAAGGTCCCACCCCAAGGGAGCTCAAGATCCTGGATCAACCCACAGACGGCATCCACAGCCTCCGGTCCAAACTCGGATTGCTTAAAGTTGGTGTTATCGCCATCCTCGGGTTTCAACAGATCGCCCGAGACCGACCAGAACATTCGGTTGTTGGTAAGCGGACTCAACCACAACGAATACGACGGATCCTTACCAACAACTACACTGGCTTCACAAAACTGTTGGTACGCAACCGGGAAGCGAGATCCATCCAAGGGTTGGCTGATACCAATGATGGCGTTCAAAGTATGCTTGAGAGGTTCTTGGTCCGATTTGGGGAGAAGGTTCTTGGTCTTCATGGTCCGGTAGATGTTTTGGCGGACCGCACTGTAAGCGCCGTCGGCTCCGATGATGATGTCCGCTTCTTCGACATAGCCGTTGGAGCACCGGACTTGAACTCCCGCGTTCCCATTGACAATCTCGAGCACGTATTTGCCCCACAGGACTTTACCCTGGGGCAGATGCGAGATCAGGATTCGAAGGAACTCTGATCTCAGGACAATGGATGCATAATGGCCATATCTATTTTGGAGAGATGGTGTACATTGAATTGGAGCAGAAAACAAAGGGGTTGGTTGTTGTCGGGTTAGCCCAGTCCATGTTAGGTCATGAGCACAAGAACAACGAGACAACAGAGAAAGAGAAAGAGAGAGAGAGCTTGCGATATGGAAAGGTAGGTGATAAAGAAGCGAGGCGTAAAATGGCAACATAAAATATGACTAGTGCCCACCTGAAAAAGTGTACACAGACGGATAAAATAATAAGAAGAGAAAAAAAAGTCGACTGATGACCAAAAATGTTTCAGTGCCAACACAAAAACTGAGAAAAGTGTGGAGCTGAGGAGTATGGAAGGAAGGTGGTACCGCACAAAAACAAAAACAAAAACAAAAAAAACAAACGCCCAAGAAAGGGAATGTTACATTACCTTTCTTTGTATAATAGGGCGTCGATACGACCACTAACGGTCATGTTGTGCTTCATGAGCGTCAGCCCCGAGACTGGCTTGGCAAACTGCATCACTTCATCCAAGAGACCCAGCTGTTCTATTACACGAAGGGTATTGGGCCCGAGTTGGATGGTGGTTTTGGGGACGGGGAGCTGTTGGGTTCGCTCGAGCAGGATGTAGTCAATCCCGGCGCGCTCAAGACAGAGTGCCAACATGAGTCCGCCGACACCAGCGCCGACGATCAAGACTTTACAGGGAGACTTTTCACGGGGTCCAAAGGTGTGGATGGATGCGACATCTGAACCAGTGGAGGAGAAGGTTGTTTGGGATTGAGAGTCGGGGAGTTGTCCCGAGCTGTCGCCCGAGTGAGTCGAGCTGAAGGAAGGTGCCATGAGGAACGAAATGTTGGCGGGGGATGGGGGGTGTGGAAGGAGGGAGGGAAGGAGGGAAGGGAGGAGAGTGGAGAAATCAAGAAGAGAAGTGGAGAAAGAGACGCAGAGTGGGAGAGAAAGAGGTGATCGATCGATTTTATTCAGGCACCACCAATGACTGGAATGGGTGATTGTTTCAGGGCAGTCAGAAAAAAGGGGGGCGAGAGAGATAGTTGTTGGTATTGATTAAATACAGGTAAAACCGACAAGGACAGTTGGGAGTAGGTGAAGAAGGCAAGGAGAAAGGAGGAAGAGGAATGAACAAGGAGGGATGAGAAAAGGAGACGAGGGAGGGAGAGAGAGAAAGAGAGAAAAGTGATGAGGAAGTGGAATGATGAAGAAAGAAGAGACCTGATCAGATCACAATCAAGTCTTTTCTATTCTTTCTTGCAGCAGAGAACTGTGTGTGAGTCTCACTTGCCTCTGTTTGCCTTCTTTGCATTGACGCACTCTTCTTTCCCCTCCTCACCCACCATCCTCCTCTCTTCTTCCTCCAACTCGTGGCTGTCTAATCCCACCCAGTCAACAATGAGAGCACCCACTTTCACTCGTGGCAAACTCAGTCTACTCTCCTCAAACAGAGAGAAAGTGGCCTCTTTTCTTTTCTTCTCTTCTTCTTCGCCAACCCAACTCTCTTCTTGGTCGCAACCCATCGTCATCATCCTCATCATCATCATATCGCTCATAACCTTCTTTTCTTTCTCTTGAAAGTACTCCGCATTTTCATTCGGCTCACACCTAGCCAGTTACCCAACCAAGGTACTTATCCAAAAACCGCTTACCTGTGTGTTTTATCTCCTCCTCTCTTGTAAAACAACATCAACTAAGAAAGACCAGAACAGAACAGAAGGAGAGAGGGAGCCACGCCATCCAATTGCTGTGCAATGGGGGCCTGGTCTGTACCCCTGTTTTTATTCCCATTCTCATTTCCATTTACAAAACCTCACCCCTATTCACTATTGTTTTTTACGTCCACCTTGTGCATGCAACTGTTTACCATTAACTCACATATCCATGCTGAGCTTAGAAACCATTGCGGCGCATGAAAATAATAATACGAAACTTCAACCCTGGTACTGCATCTGCTATTTTCTTACATACTTCTTATATTCAGCTGTCAATCATCATCCACCCCCTCTTCCACTCTGTCGTTATCAAGTAGACGAAAGTGGAGAGGAGACGCTTTCTTGCTCTCTCTCTCTCTCTCTCTCTCTCTCTCTCTCTCATCCTTAAATCCTCAAATCCCTCCTTCACTTGTCCTCAAACACATGCTTGTAGTTGGGTTCAAAGACTTGGCTATTATTTCATCTTTTTTTTTTTAGTGTTGGTAACTCTAACTTTCTAGACAAAACCAAGTGAACCCCTATTGGGTGGGTGCCGGCTTTCTTTTTCAAATAGGAGTATTTAGCAAAGTTGGGAACCCAACTTCCGCCTTTCGTCCCAATTTGCGCCGGCGCGACATCCCCACGCGAAAAAAGACGCTGGAACAAATCGGAAAGAACAACGGTACTCACACACCTCTTTCTTCCTCCCCCCCCCAAAAAAAAAATCGCGCGAACAAAAGTTGAATGAAGAGAATTGTTTGTTTTGGCGTTGGATGTATTGCCTTGTAAAACGTCCATTTCTGAAATAATAACGAACGTTGCAATTTCCTCAGCCCATACTACTCTAATGAGAATATCTGTAATCATATATGTTCAATGTACCATGAAAAATAGAGAAGTCTTCATTCAATATGAGTTGAGGAGACATTCACACTCACACACACATATGTATGTGGATGCAACTATAAACATCAATAATTTCTCTCTCGAACCCTACAGTCTGGAACAACCACAACCATAGAGAAAACATGTTCTACAACAACGTTTGTTTGTTGATACATCGAGCGCATTATTATATTTCTCGCCTTTTTTCTTTCTGTGTACAAATGATACGAGCTATGAACAATGGCAGCAGAACAGAACTAAGTGTACCGTGTGAAATCGACAACAGGCTCCAATCCCATGATACTCGTTTGGTGCTGCTGCTGACCCTGCTGGCCCTGTGAGCCAGAACCGCTACCTTGGTTGCCAGTTCCATTCGCTCCAGACGATGATGACGAGGAGCCCAATCCAAGTCCGAGTCCAAGACCCAGTCCAATACTCGAACTGATTCCACCTCCAGCAGCTCCAGAGTTGTTGTTGCTTGAACCACCCGATGGTCCGTTGGATCCAGCGCCAACTCGCGATCCTCCGTGCCCAGATCCACCAGGGCCGCCTCCAGAAGGTCCGTTTGCTCCGCCAGCAACACCTCCTTGGCCTGTTCCACCAGCACTCGATCCTTGGCCAGCATTAGAAGCAGCATTGGCCGCCAGTCGGTCCTTGACGCGCTTGATCTGGCGAAGACGCTCCTGCCAGTTCGAGACGTACTCAACAGAATTCTGCAAGTGCTGGTAGTAGACCTGTGCATAGATGTTGGCATGCAACGCCATCTGTCGCGTGAATCGAGGCAGCTCCGTCGCACTGATAATCTTGGACGTCGCCAGCGGTCCAATCTCAGGCATGTCGGGTCGTCGCAGCATCACCACCTGGAACCAAACATTCTTGAAGGGCTGGATCATGCTCTGCCCAGAGTTCGCGCCCATGGATGCAGTCGTCGGTACCAGCACCACCTCTTCACCGTCCCGACCCTCCGCCGACACAGCCTCTGCAATGTCGCTCGCAAGTCGCTGTTGCTGTTCCTGCTGCTGTTGTTGACTAACTTGACTGGCTGGCTCGGTAAAAGATACAGACGCCATAGAGACAGGAGTGACCACCAGCGTCATAAAGTTGAACTGACCCGAGATGGTTCCAAAGTCGTAGTCCGCTCCCGAGTCGTTGAACACAATCGTCACCCAGTCGTTTCCGATATGTCGCTTCTTGCCATCAAAGTTAACGTCGTGTGGGTAGTTCGGCATCATGGTCGCCACGTGGAAGATCATCTGAGTAATCTCGTCCTGATGAGAATACGCGTACTCGCCGTCCAGATCCATCTCCAAGTCGAGTCCTCCAGCATAGATCTTGGCGTTCTTGAGACGGACGAGGGACCCAAGGCCAGTCAGGAACTTTGTATACTCGGACGATCCATGTGTGTTGCCCAGAATTTCGCCTTCCTTGCTCTGACCCTTGCCGACATAAACAACTCCAATCTTGTGGAAATCAACGACAGGAGTACGATCCAAGACACCCAGGGCTCGATTCGTTGTGTCATCCTCAGCAAGCAGGATTGGGACATCCCGCGCCATCACATCTGGGTACGACGTCAGTTGCATGAACAGGAAACTAGGGTCAACAAAGGTTTCGACCTTGGCTTTCGAGAACGAACGAGCGCCCTCAGTGTTGCTCTCTCGATCAAAGTACCGCGGGGCACCTTCGTTCAGCACTGGAGGTCGGTGGTCGTCATGGGCCAGAGCGTACCGCTGAGCGCGACCCATAGCCGTTGTGATGCTGTTGTTGCGTGAGGAGGCCAAAGACATCGACCGTCGAACGTCCTCCCGCTTCCCAACCGAGTGCGAAAGCAACGACTTAGTCTGCTCCAGTGCGCTGCCCTGAGCACCGCGACTCAACTCTGCATGCTTGACGCCTGTCTTCTGCGATGGACCACCGTTATCAGATGCCGACTTTGACCGCCCAAGGTTACCCATGACTGCAGAAGCCGTGGCAGAAGACGATGCTCCCGCCGACGAAAAGGCGCCACCAATGTGAGTAGAGTCCGTCGACAACGAGGAGATATGGCTCTCTTTGACATCAACGTCGCCCGATCCATCGTCCTGACTGTGAGCCGGTGCGCCAGACTCCTGGAGTGGGTGGAGCGAAGGTGACGAAAAGACGGCAACATGCTCAGTGGGTGCTGTCTGAACACGATGATGACCTCCTTCAAATGCCAACTTGGAGGGCACCGCATTGAGGAAGGAGCGGGAGGGTGGTGAACTCGAAGGTGTGTTATCACCAGAGGGCAATGGCGACACTCTTGGTGTATGATGCGGTGTGTGCCGAGGAGTTTGGAGAGGTGTATGCAGCGGCGTGTGTTGGGGTGTTGACCGCGGAGACAACCAGGAAGGACGGGTCTCGCTCAGCCTCTGAGATAGTCCCGAAACGGCAGCCAGATGTTGTGCTTCCTCGCGTTGGATCTCTGAATCCGCGGAGGGAACAGAAACATGCTCGATGTCGGTTGGCGTGTACCCTCCGACAGATGCATTCCTGGGTTGTTGAGCTGCCGCGTCGATCGCCATGGCATCCTCCTGAAGTCGCAACAATCCTGGAAGCGAACTGAGTTCTAATCCATCTGCTCCGCTCATGAACATGTCGTTCTCGATCTTGAGCAGGAAAGAAACCGTGCCGGAAGCTCTCCGGACCGTGATCTCTGCCCATCCAACACTGTGAGCAGTCCGAACCGTGATAAACGCGTTTCCTTGGAGCCAGGTCTTGGTCACCGCCTTTCCAGTCTTTCCCGTAGGGCCAATGAGGATCTGCTGGATCAACGATGGCTTAGGTTTAGGCTCGCAGTTGGCATATGAGTAGCGGGCCAGCATGTCCATACACGTCTCGGTCTGCTCGTCCACGCGTTTCCCAGGTTCGTTGGCCATGAGGAGGTTCCTGACAATGTAGGGGACGTATTTCCTGCGCTCAGATAGCCTCTGAAGCATGAACCAGACATCAATGACCTGGTAGGCCATTATCAACACATACTGAGGGAGAGCACGTGTTGCTGCCGACGGCTGGCCTTGGGTAGCGACAACCGGAGAATTAGGCGACGAGACCGCGGAGGAGGGTGTAGATGGCGTTTGTGCTTGGGCAGTATTGCCGGCAACACTATGGGTGTACTGGATGTATTTGAGGGCGATACCAAACACGCGCTTATAATCGTTCTCGACAAAGTTGGAGTAAAGCATCGGCAGCCTCGCGACAGTAGACAGGAACTCGAGGATGTGGACACTGATGGTAGCGGTAGACATGATCTGCGATAACTTGAGGACAGTACCAGGGAGGTGCTTGGTCATCGATTGCGGAAGCTCGTAGCAGCAGACGGCCAAGGCATGGATACAGATCTTGGCGCATGTAGCCTGGCGCTGAAGACCCACCACGAAAGCGTGAACGAGATCGTGCAGCTCGTTCGTACTGAATTTGTTGTTGTAGCAGAGGAGGATCACCAGGACCTTGTAGGCAAGAATGTGGATGTTGTGTCGCTTGGCGCTGAGGGGCAAATTGCGGAGAGACTCTGGGAACTTGTCGCGCAAGGTCATGTCGACAAGCACACTGTGCAGCTTGGTGATCTGCTCAGAGCTGTTGCAGAACAGGTGCTTGTTGAACAACTGAGAGGGCAGCCGCTGGATGACGAACGAGTACACTTCAAAGTTCCGCTCCTGCTCCAGAATAGACATGATGCCGGTCATGTAGAGCGGGATGTTGAGGATAACCTTAGCACATCCGACAAGAGGCGCAGGCAAGGTCTCGCTATTCGGGTTGTCGGAGGTTGTCGATGCGATTTCGAGGTAAGAGATGACGTATGGGCTCGCTTGCATGGTCCTGCCATGCATGAGCTGCTGCCAGTTGTGTGTAGGATGGGCCGTCGACGGACCAATCTGTTGTCTTGCTGCGGAGGCAGCCTGCGCAGATGCCCCCAATCCCGAATTCCGCGCATGTCCGCCCGAGAGTCCTGGCCGATCGCCTCGATCCTGCCTTGCGTCCTCACTCAACAATTGCTCCGTTGCTGATGTCATGCTTTCGATGGTACTGGGTGTTGAGCAAAAGATCCTGTGATCCAGGTCGACGCGAAGGCAGAGGAGAAAGTCAAGTAGGACCAGCCTGCTTGCTTTGTGGACATCCTGGTTGATTGCAAGTCCGACTAGAAGGCTGAAGAACGTATCCACTCTGGAAGCACCGTTTGGGTCGTAGAGCGCATGCTGGAACAAGTCGATGATGCCAATGGCCGCCGACAGAGACTGGCAAGCGACGGCGGGTCCTGTTGGTTGGTGGTTTTGGTGGGTATTGGTCGAGCTGGAAGATGTCATGCCGAGTCGGGAAGCTAGGGAGGTCTGGGTAGAACTGGTAGACGTGGGTTGCTTGGGAGCATGGCAGCTGCAGCGAATGTTTTGTACAATGCGGTCTAGAAGCTTGGGGAAGAGGTCGTCTGAAGCCGTCCGTGTGGCACGAATGAGGAGATCCGATACCTGAGAGGAAAGTACTGGATCCGTCTCCGTGTCCATGTGAGCGAAAACATCCAGGAACACGGCGGTGACAATGGCATCGTGAAAGAAATCCATCGAGGCATCGTAGACATCCAACGCAATCTGCAGAGCTCTCGAACGCACTTTGGGCCGCTTGTCCTGAATGACCGAAACCTGGACGAGATGGTGCAGTCTCTCCAGCCAGTTGAGGGTATATGGGTAAAATTGGTGCTCCGTGTAGTAGTAGACGAGCAAAAGTAACATGGTGTCTTCAGGCAGGTGATCCTGTAACGACGCGAGCAGTGTCATCAGTCGAGCAGCGACTCCAGGGATCTTTTTGCGGTTGTAGAGTGCGATGAACTGGTAGAGAAGTCCTCCGTATGCGTCCCTGAAGGCGTTGTTGGGGTGGGGTTGGTGACCGGGGGATGTAGCGTGACCTCCCAGTCCGAAAACAAAAGGTTTGGTTGAAGTATGTTCTCCGACGGGCTTCTCGTTCACAGATTCCGTAAGTCGGTCCAAAATGTCCATGATAATTTCGTATTCCAGGTCTCGTATGTTATCGGTATGCGTCTCCAGTAAGGCGCTCAGACTGGCGACAATATCCTGGTTGACATCCTTGGATTTAAAGTCGACCGCGCTCTTCAGTGACCACAGGATTGTCGAAAAGGAGACTGACAGGGTGTCGATGGGTGTGCTGCCCCAGACAGACCTCTGCAATAGACGAATGGATCCTTGAATAACCCGTGTATGGGTTAACGAGGAAGCAACTTCGCCCTTCGAACGAAGATTGAGACAGAGCAGTCGAATCGCACTGTGGGCGCTGTGACTCTTCATCAAGTTCAGGGTAATCATCCAGGCTCGCTCCTGATACACGTCCGAGAGAGTTGTATGACACAGGATCTTGAGAAAGGTTGAGAGTCCCTCTTGAGGGACATATCCGTAGCGCACAATGACGTCCAGAAATCCAATGGTGTGGGCCGTATCCTCGGGTGCGTTGATGCAGATGGTGTGGAGAAGGTCGAGTAGGCTGGCAATTTCGAGCTCGTCGAAAAAGACAAAGTTGAACTTGACGACGTTGATAAGGAGGGCCATCGTTGTGTCGAAATGAGGGATTGGCTTTTGGAGGAGGATGAGCTGTGGTGTGCTGCTGAGTGATGCCAGTGAGGTGGTGGATTTCTGCATGCCAAGACGTTGTTGACTCACATGCTGGGCGACTTTGGCCTGTTCGAAACTCGAGGCGATCCAGTGAGCCAAGAGTCTCACGATATTCTTTTCGAATCCATAGACATCCCGTCCGTTGTTGGTGAGCTCCTTGAGGGCCTGTAACTTGTCGTCGAAATCCTCCCAAATCTCGTGGTCGTTGATGGCATGGTAAAAGACAGCACGGAGCATTCCAAGATCCTCGAACTGTCCACGGATACAAGCAATCATGAAGCTCCAGGCAGCCTTCCGTGCATTGTGGGGAACACCGGCCTCCAGCAAGTCCTCCACGGCAATCCAGAGTTCGCTGATATGTTGAAAAGGATAGCTGAGGATAATCTTGCTCAGTTCCTCAAGTGTCCTGAGACGCGACTGCAGTGAATTTGCTCCTGGAACAAGCTGTTGGACAATCTCGTTGGCATCGATGGGGTCGGACGGTTTGGCAGAGTCCAGTCGTAGGGTCTCATGTAGCGTCGTCTCCTTGGATGATATGCGAAACTTGAAGAAGTTGTTAAGTTTGGACGATGTCGGTCTGGATTTACTCGTCATGGCGAAGTATGAGGCGTAGTGCGCGCTTTAAAGGATGGCTGTATGATGGGTACATTAGGATTGACGTACGGGTGAGTCAGCTGTGTGTTTTTCCTGTCTACTCTCTTCTGTTTACTTTTACAAACACACCCGCAACAATCGCATGATACGGTTTGAACCATACCTCTTTTCTTACCCTAACCCTGTGCTTTCAGACTCGTTTTTTCAAGTGACGACGGCAACGCTGGTTGGACTTGAGTTGGACAGGACAAAGGACGCAGAAGAGACGACAGACTTGCGTTATTACTTTATCGTAATAGAAGAGGTGGTGAATGCAGCGGTCAGTGTGCGTATTTGGTGTGATGTGGAATCAGTGGCGCATTTTCCTTGAGCATTCTTCTTCCCTTGAGAAGACAAAAGTGCGGGTTATCTCGTACATGTAGAATCTAGTCAGAGTGATCGATGAGAAAGAGTCGCCAGAAGTGTAGGTGCGTCGAGGAGGAGGAGGATCGGTGCTCAGACAAAGGTGGTTGTAGATTAGAGATTGGAGGCGAAGGAAGGATGGTATGCTGTGAGAAAAAGTCTGTTGGGTTGAACGAGGGAAGAAGGGAGAGAAAGAAATTATCACACGCCTCTGCTGGAATAAAGAATACTTTGACTTTGTTTTTATGCTGAGGATTGTGTGCAATAGAACACTTGCTCTCAACGGGTTCCCAAGTCCCAGCTGTGCGCCTCTACGCCCAACCAACGACCCTCACAAGAGACACCGTGCCTCGCATACAAGACGGTATGCTCCAGGGCTTGCTAGGTATCCAGCGCAAGCTTGTCTCCAATAGCCACCAAACATCATATTTGACGCAAGCCTGGCGCCTCAAGTGTGCTCTTGCTTGTGCCGCATGAAAAATGGCGTGCACTGCAAGCAGAGGTAAAACAAAGTGACGAAAAAAGCATGCACCTCCCAATGGTAAGCCGCACCAAGCCATGGTCCATCTTTCACTTGTGTAACTACAGAGAGAGTGCAATAAGAAAAACAAGCAAAGCTAATACACTTTGTACCTTCCGCTGGCTATTCTCCTCATTCTTTCTCCTTCTCTCATCTCTTCTCAACGCTCGCCATCCTCCAGCTTTTCGCCATTCTTTTCCATCAACCTTTTCGCCAATACATCTGGCCAACCTGTCCCCTGAACCGAAGGAGACAAAGGTATCGAATAACTCAAGCGAGTAAGTAACCTTGGTGTGTGTGTTGACCGAACATGAAGACAAAAGGGAAGATGGTCTATTTCCTATGCGTGGTCTGTTCGTTATGGTCTGGTCTCTGATCTCCCACTCTGACCAACATTCGTTTATCAGTTGCTTCTCTTCGCATTCTATTTTTCACCCTTGCGCTCTGCCGAGCTGTGCAAGTAACGGAAATAAAAACCTGGCTAACAATCGCATTATCACTCTGTGCTTCATGCTTCAGGCACCCAAACCCACTTCATACCTCGCTTTCGCAAGAACCATTGGCGTTTATTTGAAAGGCCATCTCTACCAGGTAAGAGAAGAAAATATCTATCTTTGTTTTCTTTATTCATAGGCGTGTGTGAAGGGTTGCTTTTTGCTCACTATATCTATGAATCCCTCCAGCAAGAATAGGATAAACACACATTCAACACACCAATGACTAAACCTGCAGCCGCTGGTCCTCAGCAACCACCAAAAGTCTCCAAGACCAAAGAGTCGGCCTTCTCTCGCATCGCCAGCGCCGCCAGAAGGGCCACTCGTCCTCCTGTCAACATTGGCGATCGGTCTGTCAGGAACGGGATCGCTGCCGTCTTTGTGGAGCAGAGCAAGTTGCCCATCGCCCTCGGACAACAGCCTCAAGACAGCAAAACTGGCATTCATCCTGACAGTCTCATGAACAAAAGTCTTTCTAGTCCTCCTGTTGTCGACTCTACCTCTCTCTCCGCTGTTCCTTCTCCCAAGGGTTTCTTGAGCCGTGATGATATTTTCCCCAAGAACTTGTCAAAACCCACGACCAGAACCCGTTGGCCAAAGTTTGACGACCACGTCAACACAACACCTCAGCTCGTCCTCTGCGCTACCCTTCTACCCGATGTCTCAACTCCCACCGCGGGTTCCGAGGAGACGCCCAACCAGCCACCAAAGGAGGACGTCGTAGATAGTTATCATCGCGAGTGGATTGCAGCCCTGCAGAATTCAATTGAGCAGGACCGCCTCCTCTGGGTCGTGAGAGGGATTATCAGGACTTTCGTTAAAGACGCCACCAACGACTCGGAAGACATTGCTGAAGTTGTCTTGCTAGGACCTATTCTGGATCGTGAGTACTACCGCGAGTTACTCGAAAGTGTCGTCCGCAAGTTTGAGGAATCCGACAGCATGCTAAAGGAATCACTCCTCCAAGCACTGGTGCAGCTCGTTCAATGCGCCAAACCGAGGTACCTGGAAGCTGCCGACTTGATCAACATCCTCGGCATCCTCCGGAGACGCCTGCAGGCAACCCATTCCCAGTCGACCACGTATCTCTACCAATTGACTCTGGGTGTCTCGTCTGTTCTTGATGTCATGGCTGAGCACAAAGTCAACGATTTGAACCGCATTCAGGAGCATGAGCCGTTGAAAACAGTCCTGTCTGGATTGAGAGGGACCTCGGACCCTTACCTGCTGTACCAAGCCTCGTACGCCTTCCAAGCACTCCAGTATGTTCCCGACAACGAGTCGACAATCCAGGCACTAGGTCGACATACGATTGGGGTTATGGAGAGCATGGTCAAGCTGTCGTCTGTGCTCAAACTTGATCTGGGAGAGTTCTTCGAGGGTCTCAAGGGCATTGCGGAGGTTGCTGGGACGATGTTTGAGGGCGCCAAGACTGGATACGAGGCTGTGTGTTCGTTGGTCGAGAGTGGACAAGGAATCGTTGAGAGTCTTGGAGACGCGCTAGGCTCTGGTCACAAACGACCGTGGTACTCGGCTGTCCGCCGAGCAGAGGCTTTTGTTCGGGAGGGTCAATTGGCTGACTTTTATCGACTAGTCTGTGAGGCACCTTGTCGTAGGGATCCTTTCTTCCAGTGGGGGATTTGCCAGTTGCTCGGAGACATTGCGGCCGATTCGAAGTGGGAAGTCGATACACGCCAACAGGCAGTTGACCTTCTTTTCGCCCTCTTCAGGGATGAGACAGAGTGCCAGGATGCGAGCGTCAGAGCTTGGATACTGACTCTCCTTCAGCGGATCTCGGCCATACCAGATGACTCCTTCACGTTCGCCCCTGATACTTCTCGCCAAGACCAGGCTGTCAAAGGCCGCGCTCGTACCTTGCTAAAGGATCTCACCACCGACACTGTCGACTCTCCTATCCAGACTGAGTTTCCTATCAGATCCCGCATGCCACTACCAAGATCCTCGCGGTTGCTGAAACTGGTCCAAGATATACCCAAGATCGAATACGACCTGTCTCAGCTGAAGCGGCTACGGATGAACGACAACCGCAAGGAACTCTATGTGCCCCCTCAAGCCAAACCCTACCTCAAGGCCCCGGACAATATCACATCTCCCTTGATGGAGTCTGTGGAGGACTTTCTGGCAAGCAACCGCCTCGTCCTATTGATCTTGGGAGACTCTGGGTCTGGAAAATCGACATTCAATCGACACCTGGAACGCGAACTCTGGGACAAGTACCAGCCTGGCAACCAGAATGATTCCATCCCACTGTACATCAATCTGGCAGCTACGACCCAGCTCGACCAGGAAATGATGATCGACCAGCAGCTGAAGAGATATTATATCACCGAGCCCAACAAGATCAAAGAGTTGAAGGAGCACCGCCACTTTATTCTGATCTGCGACGGATACGACGAGTTGGGGAGCATGCAGAACCTCTACGTCCTGAACAAGCTGAACCAAGGACAGGGATACTGGCGCGCCAAGATGATCATCACCTGTCGGAGCAGTAACCTTGGACACGACTACCTGCTCCAGTTCAAGCCCTTGTCTGCTGGACGTTACAACAGCGATGCGGCGGATCTTATTCAGGAAGCGGTCATTGTTCCTTTCACGGAAGATCAGGTCAGGGAGTACATCGACCAATACGTTCTAGATGAGCGACCGGAGCAACCAAAGTGGCAGGCTCAGAGGTACAAGAGCACTTTGGAGCTTGTGCCCAGTTTGATGGAACTCGTCAGGAACCCGTTCCTGTTGACCCTGGCCCTGGACGCGATGCCGAGACTTGTCGGTAACGAGAAGAACCTGTCGCAGATCAAGGTCAATCGCCTCATCCTCTATGACAAGGTAGTGGAGGTATGGATCGATATGGCGGCCGATCGTTTTGTCGCAGGAGGTCTGAGCAACGTCGAGCGTGATGCATTCTACCTTCTGTGTCGCGGAGGATTCAAGCCCAACGTCATGGATCATCTCAAGAGACTGGCGAAGGCGATTTTCCAGGAGCAGAATGGCAACCCCTGTGTCAAGTATTCCGAAAGGAGGGACAAAAAGACCTGGAAGGGCGATTTCTTTGGTATGGACCCCGAGGCGACTGTCTTGCGTCTCTCAAGTCCGCTGGTCCGCAGCGGAGAACAAAACAGTTTTATTCACCTGTCGGTGCTGGACTACTTCTTTGCGAGAGTCGTTTTTGACCCAGAGGAGTCTACCGTCGACCATGCCTCGATTGCAAGCCATCCTTTCGCCCATGGGACCATTGCCAGTTACCCATCAATCCTCCAGTTTTTGGCCGAGCGCGTTCAACAGAATCCTGAGGGTGACTTCATGAACCAGCTGCTCGACATCCTTGAGAAATCGAAAACCGATGACAAAGGGAGCCAGGCCGCCGCTAACGCGATCACCATCTTGGTCAAGGCCGGGCAACGATTTAACGGCGTCGATTTAAAGGATGTTCGCATCCCAGGTGCAGACCTGACGGGTGGTCAGTTTGATTCTGCTCAGCTACAGGGAGCCGACTTGACAGGAGCGACACTCACAAGGACCTGGATCCATCAAGCCGATTTCAGCAACGCACAGATGGCTGGTGTCTGCTTCGGGGAGCTTCCGTATCTCAAGTCGTCCCACTTCATACACTCTTGCAGTTACTCACCTGACGGAAGGACGTTCACTATCGGTCTGAACAACGGCGACCTTGAGCTGTACGAATCCTCGACCTGGTTAAAGACTCGCACGTTCCGAGGACACACCGACTGTATCCTAAAGCTTGCTTACTCCTTGAGCAACCTGCACCTCGTCTCTGGTGGTCGCGATGGCACTGTACGTCTGTGGGATGTTCACTCGGACCAGCCACTTCTCACTCTGGACGACTACTCCGAACCAGTTGCCGCCGTTGCCTTCTCACCTTCTGGTTGCCAATTCGCTTCAGCCAGCGGCAAGACTATTTGGATTCGAGAGACCAAAACTGGTGCTCATCTGCTCGTCCTCAACGAACACACTCTTTCCGTCACCAGCGTTGCCTTTTCTTCCAGCGGGTTACAACTTGCCTCCTCGAGCAACGACGGGACGATTCGATTATGGAACCTGAAGGACTCGGGCAAATCTGCTCTTGTTTTCAGCCGCGATTCTGGTCCAGTCTACTGTATCGCCTTTTCTCCCGACGCAGGCAGTCGACACATTGTCTCTGGCCATCCGAGGGGGGACGTCCACCTTTGGGACACCGCTACCGGAGAACATTTACGCAGCTTGTCTGGTCACTCCTCCGGTATCACCAGCGTGACCTTTTCGCAAGACGGTCGATGGATCGCTACCTCCAGCGCAGACGCGTCGGTGAGGCTGTGGAGTGCAAAGTCTGGTATCCAACTGTCGGTCTTTGAGGGCCATGAGTCGGCGGTCCAGACTGTTGCCTTTTCCCTGATCCGTCAACAGATCGCCTCCTGCAGCTACGATCGCACCGTACGTTTTTGGGACATGAGCATCGCCGTTTCGGGGTCGCCTTCGAGTGCTGCTTTCGCCGATGGGTTGTCGTCAGGAATGAGCGGATCCGTCTGGTGTGTCGCCTACTCTCCTGACGGACAGAGCATTGTTACTGGAGGCAGTGACAAGGCAGTCTGGGAATGGAACGCGTCCACAGGCAAGTCGCGGCGGCCCATCCTTGTTGATTATTCGACGACTATTGGGTGCTTGTCGTACTCACCCGACGGCAAACAGATTGCGACAGCTGGATACGACACCGCGGTGCGACTGAACGATGTTACACAGAGAGGTGGCGGTCTTGAGCTCTGGGGTCACTTTGGAATAGTGAACGGGGTGGCGTTTTCTCCCTGCGGTCAATGGATCGCATCCAGCTGCTTCGACACAACAGTGAGACTGTGGGACACTCAAACCGGCACCCCTGGCAGCATCCTCACAGGCCATACTGGCGGCGCAACATGTGTTGCCTACTCACCAAGCGGCGATCAGGTAGCTGCAGGTGGCGAGGATGGGAGTATTCGGATCTGGAATTCCACCACTAGTTCTGGAGACGCTGTTTTGGAGCTGGTTGGTCATGAGGGTACTCTCTCTGCTGTAGCCTATTCTCCAGCTGGCCAGCAACAGATCGCATCCTGCGGTGCCGACAAGACCGTCCGCCTCTGGGACGCTCGAACCGGTAGACTCCAAACTATCCTCCGTGGACATACCGGCCAGTTGAGCTGTATTTCTTATTCTTCTTGTGGTGGATGGTTGGCGGTCGGTGCGATGAACGGGGTCGTTTATTTATGGAGGAACAATTACAAGCAACAACCTATCGAGTCAGCGACTGCGCCTGCGTCGTCGTCTTGGTCTTCGAGCCCGTTGGTGATCCGAGCCTTCCACGGAGTCGTCGCCAGCATCGCCTGGAATCCACAAGGCCATCCTGATCATAACCTCGAGTTCGTGACAGGCTGCGAGGATAACTCTGTTCGAGTTTGGAGGGTAATCGAGGAGAAGAACGAGAAGGAAGTAGAAGGCAGCGGCTCTTCTGTACGCATGGTGTGGGGCTCGAGCTCTGGTCGTCTGGTGGCAGGGGATGCCAATATCCAGGGTGCGATTGGACTTGCACAAGTCGACAAGAACCTGCTACTCCAACGTGGAGCCATCGAAGGAGGATCTGCTCCTTCTGGAGAGTTCTATGTTGAAGATCACACAGTTTGAAAAAAATAAATTGGTGGCATGTCTAAGCATGTATGCAATTAAGAGAGGAAGGTGGGGGAAGGGAAAAGACATGCGCCATGACGATGCGATAGAATAACAAGGATTCTGGTATGCAAAACGGGAGGGACAAGTGAGGTTGATTCGTTCAATTGCTTATGCATAACTAATAAACCGTCATCACTTTTCAAATGCATCCTCACAACTGCAAGCGCAAAGCGCAAACAAACGTTACCATAGAGCTGCTTTAGAATTGGAGTTTTTTTTATTTGCAAGTATTGACAACTGTACATATTTTCAACCATCAATCCTCCTCTGGCTATTCGCAAAAGGTGTTTGTCGGAAAGTGATGTTTTTGTTCAAATGCACAAGGTTGCATTTAAAGCTGGCCAGAGGCAGCAATGACGATCTTGGCCTTGGGGGTGCCGGAGGCGGAGCCGTACTTCTCGATCTCGGTGACAATATCCAAACCCTCGACGACGGAGCCGAAGACGGTGTGCTTGCCATCCAACCAGGCGGTCTTAACGGTGCAGATGAAGAACTGGGAGCCGTTGGTGTTGGGGCCAGCGTTGGCCATGGAGAGGATACCGGGGCCGGTGTGCTTCAAGGTGAAGTTCTCATCAGCGAACCTATCGTTATGTGGGGTGAGCAAGAATTATGTTTTGGTGAGTATTTTTCAGTTGAAGAAAAGGTAAAAATGAAGGTTGTGACGGGAACGACGAACAAACGACCCCAATCCAAAATACCACAATTGTGGCAGACAATAGTTTAGGGAATCCTGTTCTTCTTTTCTTCTCCAGTCCCTTTCAAAACAAAAAAGAGCAGGTAAAAAAAAACTTACTTCTCGCCGTAGATGGACTTGCCACCGGTACCGTTGCCGCGGGTGAAGTCACCTCCCTGGAGCATGAACTGGGGGATGATGCGGTGGAAGGCGGAACCGGCATAACCGAAACCCTTCTCACCAGTGCAGAGAGCGCGGAAGTTCTCAGCGCACTTGGGGGTAACATCGGCGCGGAGCTCCATGACAATGCGCTATTTTTGGGGAAGAACGAAGAGATAAACAACAGTTTAGCTTGAGAGGTACATGGGGACAAACGTAATCGTTTCGATTCTGGAGACGAGCCTCTTTGTCGGCGTAATGATTGGCAACGATCAGCTTGAAAAATAAAGTGTGCACTTACACCCATGGGGTTACCGTCTTTGGTGATATCGAAGAAAACTGGGTAAAGATAGAACAAAGGAAAACGAGTCAATAATCTTGCATTAATAGGAAGCTGATCGATGAAAGAAACTCGGCATGTCTTCCCAAGAGTAATATAACGAGAAGGACCGTTGAGAGAAAGAGAACCAATTCCCACGATGAAGTGGAGGCACAGTGAATCATTGGGGGAAAGGGAAGGGAGAAGGTCGGTGTGGGAGCGAGCGAAGAGACTAAACAACGATCCTTTTCCGCGGTATATGACGCGTCCAAAGCACGACCCAGCGAGGCGAGGCGATGCGATGGGATGCGATTATTCTTCCTGTTTTGTTTCTTGCGACGAACGGTAGCTTCCTTCCTCTTCTTTGTTCGACGGAGACGTTTCGTTTCTTTTTAGAACATACCTCTGGGGTTGGCGGCCATTGTGAATGAAAGTTGTGTTTGGTGAAGTGGAAGTGTGGATGAGAAGAAGAAAAAAAAAAAAAAAAAAGAAACGGGAGAACAAACAACTTTGTCCTTCCAATTCTTTCTTTTTCGCGTACGTGTCTCTGGGACTGGAGAGGATCTGGACTGAACCAGCCCTAAAACATTCACGTACACAAATTATTAGCGTGACATCAGTGCACGCAACAAAACGCGCGGGTCCCGCTCTCCTTTTTCTCCACCATCGTCGTGCCTCAACGCGCCCCTTTTTGTGGTCAAAGTGGAAAAAATAGATCTCTTTTTGTTAGTTTATTATCTAAAAGTACAAGACATCCTCACTCACGCAGCAGAGGGTGGTGGTGACTCGGGTAGGGGTGTGGAAGAAGAAGACTCGGACGCCGCAAGCTGTGTATTCTTGACGCCATCGTTTGAAGACACAGCCTTGGCAATCTCTCCTGGAGTGGCACGACGGGTTGACTGGTTTTTGTTCATGAGCCCTGAACCCTTCACCGTCTGCAACGCTGGCTCGGCATCTCCAAACCGCTCACGGATAATGTCACCAAAAACATCCATAGGAAGGTCGAAATCAACCCGATCCAACGACGGCACCTTCTCACCAAACGCCAATGTGACCCTGTAGCTCTTGCGGGATCCAGACGCAAGGATGCTTCCAGGCTTGATAAACGTCGTGATCGGCTTGGGTGGACGGGGTGGCTCCACGACGACGATGGGCTTCGCGATCGGCACAGTGGTCTTGGTTTGACTCTTGCGCGCAATTGGGGTGGCACCAGCTGGGGATGCAGACAGTTTCTTCCTGCGACGCTGCGGGGTGGTCGAATCTTGAGCGTCGTCCGAATGGACATCTGTCGCCTTGCGTCTCTTCCGGCGCCCCTCGTTTGCCACCAAACCGTCAGAATGTGAATGGTAGGACGACCTGTCCATGTCCGATGACACGCCAGCATACCCAGAAACAGGAGCCTGCTCCTGTCCGTCAGATCTGGTCGTCATTGATATCAGTCTGTTCTTGGTGCGGCTAAAGGGCGAGTATGCTGGTGCAGAGGAGATATTGGCAGAGTCCGCCAGACCCAGTTGCTCATAGCGCCTCAGGTTCTCCTCTGCTTCCTGAAGGAGTCGCCGATGGTATTCATCCTGCATAATCTTTGCTGCCGCAAGAGAGATGTTGTTGCTGGAGTGGTGATGATGAGTGTTGTCCAGACCGGCGCTCGCCTCCTTCAACTGTTCCTCCAGCTCCACTGTCTTTTGAAGAGACCGGAAAGCGCTGATCGGCATCAGCCGATTCACCTCCATGTGTCTCAGCTTCTCGACCACCAGTTGTTGTTGATACATGGCATGGCGTAGTTTCTCCTTCTCCCGATTCTTCAGCTTCTTCTCGGCCATCTCCTGCTTCCGGTGGCGCTTCTCATAGACCTCGTCCGATAAATTCTCCTCCTGAGCCGCACTGGAACCTCCTCCCATTCTACCTGATCCAACTGAGCCCTCAATCTTCCCGACAGTGGTATTAGTGGTTGTTGCCTTCTTGGCGTGTGTTGATGAAGACGAGAAAAAGGATGGGACGGCAGTCTGGACGCTGACGTGTTGGTTGTTGACAATCGCTTTGTGCTTCTGACGTGTCGAGACAGCTCTGGGAGTGGCCGAAGAGGGGATATCCGACTGTGACAATGCCTTTGCCTCTGCAGCTGCGTCCGCCTCTGCCTTGGCAAGTGCCTTGGTGAGAAGCTGCATCTTGCGCTTTTTTTCCTCTTGCAAGAACTGGGTGATGGAGCAGAGTTTGAAGATGGGTACCTCGATATGAGTTGTTGCTGGTGGTGGGGGCGCTGAGGGGGTTGTGGGTTGTGCTGGTGCTATAGAGGATGTTGAAGACTCTGCGGGGGTGACGTTCTCCGTTCCTCCATATGATGCCGGCGGGACCCGCTTGGGGTCAAGAGTCGTGCGTTGAAAAGTATATTGGTCGGCGAGATAGAGGATATACTCCCCTGCAGGGACGGGCGGAGGCTCTAATCGAAGGAATGGCGGTAAAACATTGTTAATACATTATTAGCCTTTTACGAACACAGGGACGTTGTTGATATCGTAAAGAAAAAGCAACGCGTTTACATCACGAAAATGAAAACAGTGGCGTACCAAGGAGTGAAGGCTCTATTGGGATCGTATTCTTGTCTCGAAGTAACCCTCCGCGTGAAGGGAGAACTCGTTTTTGTGGAGCAGCGTCAGGAGCAGACCCGGCTGCTGCTGTTGTTGTTGAGGGGGGCGGGGGTGTGGCCGTGGCATTGGCAGGGGTCGCTGGTGTTGGTGCTGGTGGTGGTACTGCGACTGCCGTGTTTTTTGATCTGCTTGCCTTTGTTGTCGCCTTGCTTGGTGCTTTTAAGGACTTTCTAGATTTTTTTGCTGTGGGGGGCTGAGTGGAGGTTGTTGGTGCGTGGTCGTGTTTGGTGTCTATACTAGTACCATTTCTGTTGCTTTTATCGCTTTCCCCGCTTGCAGGGCAAGGCTCTGCCACTAAATCAGTCGCCACTATTGCTGTTGCTATTGCCGTTGTTGACGTGATAGTCGCGGTAGCGTGTGCGTTCCTTTTCGAGGACTTTTTGGAGGGGGAAGGGGTGGCGACACTTTCGACAGGTGGAACTGGGGTTGGATCGGGGACGACTGATGCAGTCATGGAAGAATGGGCACCCGACCTTTTCTTTCGAGGTAAAACCTCATCCACGGTAACCACATCTACATCCGAGTTCATGTCAAGATCCGCGTCCCCTTGTTGTTGTTTTGGTTGCTGTTGTTGCTGCTGGCTCGGTCGTGGCGAGGCGAGGACGCGCTTCTTGCGCCCAGAGACAGCAATGACATACTCTTCCCCTCCTGCTCCATCTGCGCCTTTGCCGTATTGTTTCGAGTCACCTGAGCCTTTTACGAAGCGAACATGGTGCCCGTCAGCCGCAGTGGTTGTGTCGGCCGCGTCATCGGAAAAGTGGTTGGAAGTGCGTTTGTCGTTGGTGTCTGCCTTTCTTTTTCTGCTGTTGCTGGTTGGTGTTTTAGGGGTGTTGTTTTCGAGCGAGTGCGTGTGAGAGTGGCGTCGTGAGGTTGTTTTTGTAGTTGAAGTGGAGGAGACTGGATCGACTTTGCGATCAGTCTTCATGGTCGTGCCTGATGGGTTGTTTGGGTGGTAGAAGAGGCTGTTTGTGTGTGAGTTGTCGTTGTTGTCGTTGTTGTTGACGGCGTTTGGGGCAGAGTAATCTCGAGGGGGTGAGGACAGAGGGTGTGTGATAGTATTGTTGTTAATGTTATTGTTGGCGTGAGGGCGAGAGTATGCAGTCAGAGTGGCGGGAGAGAGATGAGCTTGTTGTTGTTCACGAGAGGTGGAAGTTGCAACTGGCATCCTTCTTTTTTGTCCAGAAGCGTGTTGCTGTTGTTGTTGTTGTTGTTTTTTCTGAAGAAAAGGAGCAGCAAATAGCAAAATCAACAGCAACAAACAACAACGAAAAAAATGTTGGATGTATCTTCCACTCACTCACTGGCTCGCTCACTTGGTCGTTCGTCGCTTGGTCGCTTGGGTCGTCGTCTTGTTCACTGGCAGGGTCTTCCTTGGCCACAGGCATAATTACCCTCCGACAAGCGTCCTGCTATCCCCCTTAAAGGCTCCTTTCCAATGCCTCCAAAGCAGCCTCAAAAAAAACGCTGCAAAGTTGCCTTGCTTTTCCCTCTGGCTATTGTTGTTTATCCATATCCCTGTGTTTGCATTCTTCCTGCTCTGGTTGCCCTCGCGTGGGTTTTTGTGCGTGTGCGTAGGCCTGTCTCTCTGCCTCGAATGAATTTTTCACATCTTCGTTGTCCCACCAAACACCTACACTGTGACCAAAAAACAACCCGTCTTGGCCATCAACCTCTTCACAAGTCATCCTGACACGATAAATACGCTCTTCCCCTTAACAGATCATTTCTCTCTCACCACCCATCTGTTGTATGTCGACCAAAACACTCAGAACTCCAAACAACTCACAGTATGTAGCAAATGCGATGCTCAAAACACCTCGGAGGTCTCATCAAAGAAAAGCGGAAACAGAAAAAAAAATAAAAAAAATAATAATAATGGCGAGAGCGAGAGCGAGATACGGGAAAGAGAAGACAGCCAAAACAGCCAAACAGCAGGAGGACAGAACACAACACAGAAAGGTGGAACGCTTTGGAATCTTCGAATGAAATAACTTGCATGCCCTCCTTCCTCTACTCCCGCCTGTCGCCATATTTGCCTTGTGTTTATGTATCCGACACGAGTATCATGTTCATTTTTATAAACACCTGCAGCGAAAGAAAACTACCTCTTCCTCCTAATCCACCCTTCGCCAACTCACCATGCACGCAAATGCAAGGCAAGGGCAGGTCGATATTCATAAAACATCCAAAAGAGAGCTGGTTTTTTTTTGTCTTAACGACTGAACCCCACCTCTCTTCTAATGGTGAGAGGGGGACAGTGCGATATTTATTGTTTGTTGTGGTTGTGGTGGTGATTTAAGAATATGTAATAATGCGAACGGGGATAGAGGTAGAATGGTGTTGTTGTATGGGTGATGTAGAATGCGAACAGTAAGAGACAAACTGTTTAGCAGGTCGACTTGAGGTAGGCAATGACATCGTTACGCTCCTTGGGCTTCTTGAAGCCGTTGAAGGCCATCTTGGTTCCAGGAATGTACTTCTGTTATTCGGAAGAGACAAAAGCGTAAAGGAATACCTTGTCAATAAACACGACCCTTTGATAACAAGCGATAAAAATACCTCAATTGCTGCCAATCGATCGATCGGAAAAAGTAAAAAGCAAAGCATTACCTTAGGGTTCTCGAGGTAGTCGTAGAGGGTCTGGTCCTCCCAGACAACACCCTTGTTCTTGTTGGCCTCGGTGTACGAGTAACCGGCAGCCTGGCCAGACTTGCGGCCGAAAAGGCCGTGCAAGTTGGGTCCGACCTTGTTGGCACCGCCCTATATTATCAAGTTCAATCAAACAAAGCTCGGATAAGTCCTCAATTGCTTCTTCCTCATGATCTCGGGATCCGTTATCTCGTGCCGGAGGGGAATCTCCGGAAGGTGAAAAGCAAAGAGTTGGATATGGGCTTGACTTACAGCCTCGACGGTGTGGCACTGGGCGCAGCGGGTCTTGAAGAGCTTGGCTCCTATTAGGTAGAAAGATGGCAAAGAAGCATGAGTATATGTTCAAAGTTGAAAAGAGAAAAGGTTGATCGGGTTGTTCGGAAAAAAAAAAGTTCGAAGATCTCGAACATCGCGGAAACCACGGAGGAGTGTGCTGATCAGATCAGATGACCGTGCTGAAAGAAAAGAGAAAAGGAGGTGGTGGTGGTTGTGCGCGCTGTTCGTTGCTGTTGATCTGAATCAGAGAAGTGGATGGCGAAAGAGTGGAGTGCGGGTATTGAAGCTACGCGCTCTACGACGGACAAGAGAAAATACTCACCGTTAACGGTATCTCCGGCTTCCATTGTGATATGTGTTGTGTGAGTTGAGAGTGGGGTTGGGGTAAAGGGAAAAGAAGAGAAAAAATTAGAAAATCGAAATCGCAAGTTATATGTTCCCGCTAATGACCGCACTCACCTCGGAATTGGTGACGGGACCTGGCTTAGTTGTCCAAGCCACTCGTCACTCTCCGAAAGTTTATTATTCCATTAGGCAATTGCGCCGAAATGACGAAAATAGATTGGACGGGAACTGATATGAAAAAACGTGCAAGATTGGTGGCACAGTAGTGTGGTTGGTCAACAACGTGTAAAGGAAAGGGCATTCAGCGATAATATCAAGGACTTTTTGTTGTCTAGGTAGAAACGAAACGATGGCTTTCTTTTGTTTTCAATGATGAGATGGGATGCAAGAAGTAGATAAAAAAAGAGAAAGAAAACAAGACACGAATAAAAAACACGATGAAAACGGGAGACAATGCATAAACACGAGAGCAAAACAATGAAATGGAACAATGAAAAAGAAACGAAAGGGTAAAAGAAAAGATAAATAGTTGGGTTCTACACTAAGCATTGGTATCCTCCATTGGCGACTTCTTTCCACCACCGGAAAATGACGCAGGGCCTTGACCTTGACCAGCAGAACGATCTACTTGAAGTGAAGCAGCATGGCCATCTACCACATGGCCGGGCGTAGACGGCACCGTCTGCAGCTGTCCCTGCCCGCCTTGCTGCTGCTGTTGCTGCTGAATCTGCTGAGTGAGGAGCTGTTGTTGGTGCTGATGCTGATTATGTTGTTGTTGTTGTTGCTGTTGTTGATGTTGTTGATGTTGGAATGCAAGTTGCATTTGTTGCTGATATGGTGTGCCATAAAGCATCGAAGCATTAAAGGGCCCATTGGGCTGAGGGTATCGTTTCGCTGCATTGGCCACTGCATTAGCCTGGAGAGCCTGCTGCTGTTGCTGTTGCTGCTGTTGCTGCTGCGCTGTACCTCCTACAATGGCGTTAGCGGGCATCCTAGTTGGGTCTCGAAAGAGAGGCTGCGACGACAGGAACTGAGGCGTAACATCCTGTGGCGAGGCAGGAAGGGACATGGTTCCGTAGAGGCGCGCTGTCTGTGCTGGAAACATGTGTGGTTGTTGTTGCTGGTGTTGCTGCTGGTGTTGCTGTTGTTGTTGTTGCTGGTGTTGTTGTTGTTGCTGCTGCTGCTGGTGTTGCTGTTGTTGCTGCTGCTGCTGTTGTTGTTGTTGTTGTTGTTGTTGTTGTTGTTGTTGTTGTTGTTGTTGTTGTTGCTGCTGCTGCTGCTGCTGCTGCTGCTGTAACTGCTGCTGTTGATTCTGCAGTGGCTGCGGGAAAGTCTGGGATAGCTGCAAATTCTGGGGGATAAAGATGGACGGGAACATTGGTGCGCCAGATTGGCCGCCTTGACCTTGCATGACAGGGTTGGTCGAGAGTCCTCCCTGTGACACAGGCGTCTGAGGCATGAATGTCGAATGAGGTTGTGGAGACTGTGACTGTGGTTGGGCGGGTATGGTGATGGATCCGAGGTCTCCGAAAGGCGCCGTCGAAAACTGTAATGGAGATGCCATGCCTCCCACGCGACCCTGGTAAACCTGTCGGGGAAACATGCTCGGCGTTTGAATCTTTCCTGGGGTTGAAGGCATCCTTGCAAGGCCACCTGGTGATTGAAGACCTGTGCCGGCATTCATCGCCCATGTCCTGTCGTAAGGAAACGTCTGCTGTGATGGCTGCGTACGCTGTGTTTGAAGCGCCCGAGGGGCAAACGTGCCAGACCCTTGGAGACTCCCCGGCAACGATTGCTGTCCCGATGAATTCGAGGAAATGCTGGAGGACCGTGGCCCTAAAATGTCCGAATCCATTCCGAGATCACTGTCGCTGGTGTTTCCGCTGGGAGAATTGGTAACTCCGAGGCCAATAAGCCCGGCCATGTTGCGACTTTTAGGATCCGCAGGGCTGTTGCTGCCTGCAAGACCTGTAGTCTGAAGGGTCAGGGGATGTCCAAATGACTGCGCATCAAACTTGAAGGGCGTCGCGGATTGCTGGACGCCTGATATGGCGTTAGATCCCATGCTGGCAAAGACCTGCTGTCCGAGAGCTTGATTTTGCACAGGGAAGGTTGTTCCAGGGAGCAGTCCGTACAAGCCAGCATCGATGAGCGAGTTGATTTGGTCATAATTTGTGGTCATGGCGTTGCCACGGTTGGACGGGTCAAGGACAGGGATACCCGGCGGCAGCGCAGAGTTGTAGGACTGGGACCGGGCTCGGGTAGTTCCGCTCTGCCGTGAGATCCTCTAATGGACGTAATTTAGGGTTGAAGTGGAGATCAGATTTTCGGTCTCATCCTCTTTCTCATTCTCTGCATGGCGGAGTCGAACATAAATGACTTGAGATATTCCGATAACTTACTCTTGGATAGTTGTAGCCTGGCTTGAGCTTGTAAAGTGCGCCCTCTTTCAAGAGCCGGCCCTTCTTGGCAGCCTTGGATATCGCCTGCCCACACGACGCGCGAAAAGTCTCTGGAACTGGATAATGCCTAGCAGTTACACATATGCAAAAACAAGAATATAAATATCATCATACACTAGGTGATGAGTTGCGTCGACAAGACAGACAAGGTCGATACTTACTCTTGAACCCAGTCAAGAATTGCTTTTGGAGCACTGCCAGCGTCTTGCTTGAGATCTGCGATGGCCATAAAGATCATTTCCTCGTACGGAGGCAGGTCCTGGGCCTTGACAGAGTGGTATGAACCTGTCAAGCCAGAAATAGGTGTCTGTCGTCCAGTATGGCTGGCGGCGTTCGGTGTTGCTGGCTGACTAAGAGGATATGGCATGCTGTTGTTGGTGGGGAACTCGGCACCATCAGAGGCAATAGGAGGTCTCGAGGATGATGTCACTGCTGCTTGGACGTGATTATCGGTATTGATCGACGACTGGGCTTTTCCTGACGATTGTCCTGCGGCAGGTGTGACATGGGCAACATACGGATCTACGTCGCACGACACATGATTACTTGGGTCAGAGGCAGAAGGGGGAAAACATGCGAAGGCTGACTGGTATGGTAACTCATTTTTGTGAACTTACCAAAATAGTCAGCTTGAGCCCCCTGCATAGGCGGATTGATTGGGCTCGATTCAGTATTGTCCTTGCCCGGGCGTGAATCAAAGGGCAGGATGTTCTCGGCAATGGTAGAAGACATGAAGCGCTCTTGGTCCAATGGTGTGGCAGAAGGGGAAGAGAGACGAGACGGGTACAGCTTGATGGAGGGTGAGCTAGATTCGATCCGGGTAATCAGCTTGACCAGGTTTGCCTTGGAGAGGGACTTTAGATAGTTCTCCTTGATTTCCTGTGAAACCTCCTCGCCTGAGAGCGTCATGTCCTCTGTCATCGCCGACAATCCCTGCGAGCTGGTGGTGCTGTGGGGTAAACTGCAAGCATAGCAAACCCATTCTAGCTCCGTGATCTCGATATATTTGTTGTCGATGTAGGGTCGATAACACTGCTGGTGGAATCCGCGGTCGCAGATGTCGCAAAGCACTATTTGGTTCCCGGGGCCATCAGTGTTCTGACAACACATGACGCAGCCTCCGTCTTCTCTTGCCGGCTGCAGCTGCAGATAATCTATGTAGCATTGGCAACGTACGACCAGTTTTAATACATAATGTGGTTTAAACATTTCCGCCAGTCAAGGTGGCTAGTACTTGAGGAATAACACGTACCATGTGCATCTGAAGGGATGGTGATCTGGTTCTTCATAAAGTCTCGCACCTTTTCACTCTACGTAAACATAAAGGAAATGATCGACAACGATATTATTAGCAAGGACGTAAGTGTGGGATGTTATGTTAATCACTGTTTTGCAACAAGTCTCCGGAATGACTTACTTGATGGCTCTGCAACTGACGTTTGTATGGTGGTGTTTGTCCATGTTGTTCGTCTGAAGGGTCAACTTCGTCTCCGTACTCATTCTCTGAATCCAGAGACAGAAAAAAATATAACAGTTAACACCATTGTTCTAGCATTAGGTATGCGTACAGGCTAACACGTTTCATAACCTCCAGACAAAAAAAACGTACCCGACTTTCTACTTTCTGACTTTGACCGGAGCCTCTTGACCATAATCGCAGACTTTTGAATCGTCTCGTCCATCTCGAAGGGGTATATTTCTGCTGACTGAGCGCAAGAAAAAAAAGAGAAATGACAAAGTGTTTCGTTTTCTGAGTAAGTATCCGCTGTGTTGACAAGAGCATCATCAGTATATGTCACAAATCAATGAGAACATACCATGTTTTGAGACTTCCTGCCAGCTGAAGTTGCCTTTTTGGCCTTGAGTTTGGTGGCGGACGGGTTGGAACTCAAGAAACCTGTCGCTTGCACGTGTGGATGTGAGAGACCGCCCCTAAGTCGCTCAGCCTCGTTTGTCGTCTCTATGATGGATGAGAGTATCGGTCCATTGTCGATCTCGGATGGGACGTTTCCTATCAGTGCAGGGTAGATATGAGACTGGTCCAAAAAAGTGCCGTCGGGTCCTTGTTCAGAATCTGCGCTGGTGAGGCTCAGGAGTGATCCTTGAGTTCCCGGGCCTTTGTATTCTGTGTCGGATGATTGTCTCCGGGAGTGGGATGAGTCTGATCCTTGAGTCGATCTTGATGAATGAAGCCGTGGTTTGCTCCTCTTTGTGCTCTTGCTGGGTTGCTCGGCCATTTGTCGAGGCGGCGGGGTGAGGTGATGTGTAGGCGAGTGCGCGTGTGAGTATGAATGTGTGTAAGTGCTCTAGTGCCCGGTCAGCAGTTGGTCGTACAGCCTTCCGCCTATATTATTACTAACGATTCCGCGAGGAATACGGAATGAGCTGACAAGGCCAAGGAAGGGGAAGTGTTAGTCTATCGTATCCGACCAGATATGAGCTTCTGAGCTTCTTAGTTTCATTGATCACTGATCCAAAGATCAATAATTCAATGATGCTCCGCCGCCGTGAAATATGAAAGGAGTTGACTCTCGTAAAAAAAAGTTGTCGTTTGTTCTCTTACCTGTGCAGCTTGAACGTCTAGATTTGTACGATTGTGCAACTGAAGGCAACCGTCCTTGTCCGTAAGATGAATATATTTGCTCTATGAAAAAAGTGGTATGGAGGGTATTTTCGGGAATGTAGCCAAGTGGAGATTTTTTTTAGTTTTCATTTCTCTTTATCATTGTAAACGACCATTTGGAGGGAGTGTCCTGAACCTTGACGCGTTTTGGCTCTCGTTTTTTTTTTCCATTCCAATCAGCTTCAAGGAAGACTGATAATCTAGTGGACCACACTCCACTTTTGTTCCCCACATCAACACCGCTTGCGAAACCAGAAATGAAAGAAAAATAGAAGATGGACTATTTGAAAAAACGAAACTGGAGTTTTTACTCAGCCCTTTTGGAATGATATCAGTAGGTCCTGCGGGGATAAAGGATGCACAAGTTGCGACCCTCAACAAGAATCACTGTCGTGCATTCAATGGAAATGAGTGTGGCGGCGAAGTAATAGACTCTTTCGAAGGTGAATAGAAGCAAAACGACAAGAAATGGACATGATGAACACAAGAAGGAGTACAGGGGAGAGGTCAAGGTGCATAGGTAATAGCGTGTGCTGCTGCTGCTGGTGGTGGTGCCGATTGTGGGTTGTTGTTGCGGTTGTCATTGCCACCTTTTTTGTTGTTGATTTTTCTTTCTCTTTGTTGTTGTTTACTATTAATGATATTGCCCTAGCATCAAATGCTGTTACTCGGTGGTTGTTGCTTAGAAGGGAAAAGAGACCGGGTGATACAAATGATGAGGATGGTAATGTTGGCGGGTGATATGCAAGATGTTACGGTAGGGCGAGTAGAATGATAGTCCAGATCCACTACTTGACTTTTTCCGTTCTGTGTCTCCTTTCTATATGCGAGTGTGAGTTCTCTTCTTTTACAGGTGATGGGGTTGTGCGTATATATATATATTTTTGTTTTTCACGGTGCTCAGACGAGAGTGAAAAAGAGCAAGAAAAAAAGAACGTGGGAAAGGAGAGAGAGAGAGAAGGACAGAGAAGAGGGGGTGGGGTCATGTCATGGGTGTAGCGCCTGGGATTGTTGTATATTTAGGCGGTATCGAGATGTGGATGTGGGAGAACGACAGAAGAGTGTTGGACCAAGCGCTCCAGCAGCATTGAAGGCGGGTTTCTGTCTGAACCCAAAAAATAATAATAATAGTAATATGAATGTGGATGTGAATGAAATGAAAAAATGACCGGCAAAAAAGCGAAAAGGAAAAAACGAAAAGGAAATCGGCAGCACGATGACAGGGGAGAGGAGAGTGAGCGAAGACAGACATATGGAGAACTGAGATTGATTGTTGACAAAAACAGATACACACTGCTCATTGTGTGTCTTGGCCACCCCCCAGGAACACAACAATGACAATGACAATGACAATGAGGCAGACAAAGGAGAAATAAAAAAACGCACACACCGACACTAAATTAAAACTCAATACTCGACCATCGGTCCGCTGTCCAGCCCCCTCTTCAGAACCGACTGTTGCTATTGTTGTCGCTGTTGCCGTACGCCTTCTTCTCTCTAACTCTCCCTATGTCCCTATGTACCTCTCTCTCTCTCTCTCCTATCTCTCTCTATCTCTCTCTCTCTCTACTTTCCCTCTTTCCCTCAGCCAAGCGATAGGTTGAATCAACCCTTCAGACTCATCCTCTTGATCATAACAAAAAGAGCAAAACAAAAACAAAACAAAAAAAAACAGCCATCAGATCTGAAAACCAAAAAAAGATGGTTCTGATCGACGCCCTGATCCAACAGATCCTCCCTGTGCCTGAACCCTCCCAAGGGAATGGGGAGCGTTTGTCTCATCCAGAGCATGGTGCGTCCCTCCTAATGAATGATGAAACGTCGGAGGTTCAGAACAGACCATGGCTTGTGCGATGGTGGTCATCCTGGCATCCCTGTTTTGTCAATTGCCGTCATCGGACTACTGCCCTGTGGTCAATGGCTCTCCAGTGTGTTTATGCTTTTTCCCTCCTTTTGTATTGTTGTCGTTGTTTTCTTGGCGAGAATAAAAGGACCGCAAGCGGTTTAAAGGGGAAAAAATGGGAGAAAAGGGAGGTAGCTGCTGGTATTGGCTCGGTGGTTGGGTGGGTGAATGGGTGGGTAGTGGTCATGGGCCTACCTTGGTGAGGCGAGGGTTGTCAATATGTGTCGTGGATGCAATGATATGCGGGGCGAGTAGAAAAGGGACTAAGTGAGAGATGTCAGGGGGGGAGGAGAGAAGTAGAAAAAAAAGTGAAGGGAAGGAGGAGAGGAGGGAAGGAAGGAAGACAAGAGGGGAAATAGGAAGAAGAAAAAAGAAGAAAAAGAAGAAATTGGAAAGCGCAATGAGGTCAATGTAGTAGGCTGAGAAGGGAGGAAGAAAAGGAAAGGAAAGGGACAAAGGAAGTGGAAAGGGACAAAGCAAAGACGAGGCAAGATGATGCTGTTGAGGTGATGGTATGTATGATGCCAATGGGGATTGAAGCTGGTGCACGGAGAGAGGGGGGGGGGGGTTTAATGAGAGTGATGGGCAGGTGAGCGAGCAGAGGTGAAGAAAAAAAGGATGGAGAGATAAATGGTGGAATAGGGCGTGAAGCAGGGAGAGGAGGGGGATTAAAACAAGGGTCAAGAGTCAAGATTGTTTGCCGCCGCTTATCCACTTTGACGAAAGTGCTGTCGACAAGTGAAAGGAAGGAAGAAGGAAGGAGAAAAAAAGAGGAGAGAAGGAAAGAGAGAAGAAAGAAGAAGAAAGAAGAAGAAAGAAGAAAGAAGAGGAAAAAGAGAGAGAAAAAATAAGGTGCCGCTCTCTCTCACACACTTACCGATTGAGTCGTGGTTGCCATCGATGCCCTTTTGTTGTTGGTTTTGCTGATGCTCCTCTTGCTCTTGCTTTGCGCTGGGTTCACTTCATAGGGGTATGTGCCTTCGTTCATTTCGCGCCCTTGTCGAAAAAATGTCCAATCACCCATCTGACCCCTGCCGCCCAACTTATTCTCTCACTCTTCGTCTCACACTGCACCCCTCGCACTCTCCTTCCACATCCACACTTCAATGTGTCGAACCTCCTCAATCGTCACTCGCACTCTCGCCCAATGGTAGACTATTTTGTTTACTTTTTTCTTCTTAGCACGGCTGACTGAAAAAAACGCACAGCTTTCAGAGAAGAGTCAGTTGAACTGTGCTGTGGATTATTGCGCATGTCATGTCAATAAGCCATTGAACAAGAAAAAGCCGAGACTCTTTATGGCTTACAGTTCTTACAGTTCGGGTCTGTTGTTTGAAAGTACTAGATCCACATTGATCTTTTTTTGTGGCCCACACTCACTCTCCTCACCAACTTACTTTGTTGTTGTTTGTGTGTTGTTGCCTTTTCTTTTGGCTCGATCCTCACCCAACAGACGCCGGTATGCCTCTTGTGGCTCTCTTAATTGTCTTGATAGTATTGATTGCAATGGCCACAACGAGAGCCTCTGTACAACTCTCCCACAGTTTTCAGCCAATTTTGATAAACAAATCCGCGATGTTCTTCTGGTCTGGTCTTTTGCAACCAGCTGGAAGAAAGGCAGGTATGGGGATGTCAAGATGACGATGATGAGGCGCGAGTGAAGAAGAAGACGTGTACTATAGGATTCTCAATGTGCGGGGAAATAATGGCAAAAGGTAGCTCGGGAAAATGCTGGCCTTGGCTGGATCTATAATTGCCTGCAGAGTAATAACAAAAAACAATGAAGCGGGTGGTCCAAGCTCTCGAATCTCATCTCGATGATGAGGCCAGGGCAAGGGTCTCTAAAAGGAGCAAGTGGGTGGGGTGTGGTTGGAAGGAAGGAGGGCAAACATGCACACGCAACCCAACATAACATCACATCACATCACATAACGCAACATAACACAACGTCACCTCTATACAGGGATCACCATCACCTCTCGTTCTCTCTCTCTCTCTCTCTCTCTCTCTGTCTCTCTCGTTCTTTCTCTTTCTCTCTCCTTTCGTGCGCGCGCTTACATCCAACACCGTCCCTCTCGCTCGCTCGTTTCTTCTTTCTTTATCTCTCCACTCTAACTTTCCTTTCTCCTATCTCCATAATCGTTTTTTCTTGTTTTTTCGTTCGACCAGACGCACGTACCCTGTGCATGCGCTCAGCGCGTACAGGATTGTGCATGACAAGCAAAATGGATGCCGACTAAAAGGATGCCCTTTCCTTCTCCTTTTTTTTATTGAACTTTACCCCCTTTGCCAATGGGTCGTGTCGCCATCGTTTTGACTGGACCCCTTTTCGTCGTCGTCCTCCCTTCCTTTACTTCAAAGGCGAGTGCGGTGCAGAAGAGATCATAGCCTACCAGCAATTGAATTTTGCCTGAACGGATCCAACCAAAAACGAAAGGGGTCTCTCCCACATTTTTCAGGCAACAAACTATCCCGAGGAGGAAGAGATGGAAGTTATAAACCATCCCGAGAGCGACTTTCTTGCTCTCCCACGTCCCGTTCTCATTCATTCTCTCACGCACATACATGTACCTACTCATGTACCCAACTCAACTTTAACTCTGAGAGCAACCCTTGAAGACTCTTGCAACTCAGAAACCCCACCTTTCAAAGGCTTTGTTCCCGCCTTCTCTTGCCTTTTTTTTTTTTTTTTTTTTTTTGAGGGGGGGCACCTACTCACACTTTCGATCGACTCGGAAAATCGATCGATCGAAAAATAAAAAAAAAAGTAGCTTTTGAAGCGAGACATTGGGATCCCATTCACATGATAATAATGAGTGGTATCTTTTTTCTTGTTTTATTCTAACCCGTGGAGCAAGCGTACCCGTGAGATAGTGAAGTTTTTTTTTCTTCATTCTTAGTTCAATCGGCGAATGGTTCGAGAGCACTTTAATATGAAGAGCTTTTTTGTTTTCATTTTATGATGATCGACACAGCCTTCTCCCTTTTCTTCGCTGCTGGCAGAAAGATAAGAAGAGATGGAGAGAGAGGTAGTCACTGAGAGTTATTTTTGTACTACATTAACTTGCATGGTCTGGAGAGACGATCTGCTGGGTGCCATGGTATTCAGGCGCTGTCTCGGTGCCACAAGATAACACACTGTGACAATGCGCGTCACATTCGGCAAGATGTCGGGCTGTCGGGTCCGTCACCGTCGTGAACGAAATCGTGTTCTGACGGGAGAGCATTCCGTTGTTCCCAGCTACTTTGATTCGCTGTCGTAGCTGTTGTCGCTGTTCGGCCGCCCAGAGCTGTTTGTGGAGCTGCTTCTTCTTGGCCGCAATCTGTTGTCGGAAACCCTCCACCTCGAAACGAGAGTAAGATGACTCTGCTAGGCGGTCGTGTTGGCGCAAGGCTCGGAACTCCTGAATTGCATCGTAATCGTCCTGGTCCATGTCATCGATGCTGTTGTTTTCGCCCTCAACATCGCCACTGGGAGTGGTCTGGGCCGAGAAGCGCCTTTGCTTACCATGCACAGCTAAGCTCAAGGCGATCCTGGGACACCCTTTAATGCACTCCAAGAGTTGTATCCTGCAGAGACTGAATGGGATTGGATATTGCCAGTTGTGGATTGTATTGGTTGTACCTGCAGTGCATACACAGTTCCATTCCAAGGTCTCGGTATTGCTAGATGAAAACACATAAAGTGTACAGAACATATCGGCGATAGGAAAAAAAGAGACGATTGTGTCAGCATGCGTATGACCTTTCTCTACCCATCATCGTCTTTGTCGGTTTATTTCCCGCCCTTCCTGCCTTGGGAACTGCATATTGTTTTTGAATGTGGCCGACAAAAAGCACCTTTATCGATATGAGATAAACCTGCGCATGCTTATTATTTCTCTCAGGTGCAAATCCCTCTCTCCATTCTTATTCTCCCCGTCCATCCCCTTGTCTTTCTCGCTTTTTCACACACACCACCACGCCCATGCACACACAACACCCTCCTTTCGGCTAGTTACTCTTTTGCTCAGTTACCTCCTAAAAAGTATTGTACCAAGGATTGTAATACTGAACATAGTCGAATCGCAACTCAAAATGCTACTGAAACATTACAGGTCCAAGTTGCTGGTATCATATCTCTTAGCGCCCGCACGGCTTCCATTCTTGAATGAAACTGGTTTTGCCATTGTAAGTCCTTAGTGCAATACATTTTGGGAAGCGACTGTTCGTCCAAACCAAACAAAAAATGACAGTTAGGTCGATGTTATTGTTTGTAGTTGTCGAATGGGGTCATACCAATCATTAGCCTGGACGTTGTTTTGGCACGAGGCAGCGCACATTGCGGCTTGGTTGGAACAGAGGGTTTCCCGCATGAAAGCGTCGACCTTTGTTGGGAGTGTTCCGGCAAAAACCGAGTCGACAATGGTTGTCGTTCCTGTGAGACTATTGCTGATACTGAGTCCGAGCGTTAGGAGTAATAGTAGTTGTGAGGTAGACGAGGAGATGTTCTTTTTTTGGGTCCGCATGTTGCTGTTGCTGTTGTTATGACGCTGCTGAAGTTGCTGGCAAGCTTGTTGCTGGTTTGACTTCGATGTTGGAAGAGGGCGGAAGGAAGAAGAGGGAAGGGGGTGAGTCCGTGTAAAACAAAAGAAAGAAGGAAGAATGAAAAAGTGAAATTGAGTGTGGGTTGCAAGGGGCGACAGCAGAGAGTCGTCTTATTGCCCCTTTCCTTCACAACACGAGGAATTCAAGGTGGAAGAGTATTCCTATCTATCCTTTACACCTCTTCATAACATTCCCCCCCGAGATTATCGGTACGGCAGCGAGAATATATTTGTTTAATTGTCATCCTGCTCAGTATCGATGGGGGGTTTTTTTCATCCTTGAATGTTCAGTGGCGCAGTTTACAACGATTATTAACTGATCAAACCATAGACTGATCAGTTCTGAGACTGACGCGAAAAGGTACCTGAGACGCCCATGATGAACACTCTGATCAGTGCCTGAAACTGACGCATACCTCTCTTCGTCTCCTAGCCATTTTGTTATTAAAAGAGAAACCAACGTGTTCTTTTTCAGTTTCAAAAATGAATGCTGGAAACATAGCGACATATTTTCATGCCATTCAATAATTCTGAGCATTGTAGCTATAGACTATCACACGTCTACTTTACCAGGCTATAGAAACCCTAGTAGAGCGTCGTAGGAGAAGCTCGTGTCATAGAAAATGAGCTTGGCGACAAAGCACAAAGACAGAGACAAGAGCGAAGAAGGCGTGGCGCTATCTTGACGAATCAAAGCGGAATTGATAATAAAACTGCGCAAGCTCCTTTATTACCTTTTTGGTTGCAGCCAAGACCCAAAGAAGAGCAAATGTGCCTGGGCCGTTGTGAACCACGCCACCTCCCTTCCCATCGTCAGTTTCTTTCGTCTGTTCTCACACAAACTCATCACCTCTTTACCATCCGCTCCTCTCTCTATTTTTTCAGGAATCGGCAAACACGACACCCACGCTGTCAAAGTGCTATTATGTCACTCAGTCGACTTGCATCAGCGGCGTTTGTGCCGTCTCCCAGGAGGACAACAGTGATGTCGTCGTTCACATGGTCAAGGATCCGGTCTCACGCAACAAGGCCTCATGTAATCCCAATCTGTCGACGACCAACAGCACACTCGACATTCGCCTTCTCCACCTCGACCTCAGTCCGTTCTTCCAAGCCCCCCCGCCCTCATCACGCCATGGACGACATTCAGACGAAGAAGATTCGACGGAAAGCCACTAAGGCCGTCTTCAGCGACGTTTCGACAACTTCAACAGCTTCAACAGCAGCAAAATCAGCCGCAAAATCAGCCGCAAAATCAGCAAAAACAGCAGCAGCAGGAGCGGGACGGTCCACGACAACATCAACAGCTACTAGTTCCTCGAGTCGTATTATGCCATTGAAGCGAGGCCGCGATTGCGACCACCATGGTCGCCACCACGACCCTTACTACTACAAGCGGGATAAGCACGATAGGCGTCGTCGCGAGGACAGGGATGACCATCAACACCAGCGGGACTCACAACAGCAACAGGCACAAGGACGATCAAGTCGCCTTCGATACGAAGACTTTGTTCAACCAGGTCACCACCGCCAGCACCATCTCTACCGCCAACGGTTCTGGCACTACATCCGTCAACAACAAATGCATAATCATGCTCGGGACTATGGCCACCATCGAGGAGGCGGAGGATTCAACCCACGAGATCACCGCCAACATGGCCCCGATGGATTCAACAACCCCTGGTGGAGTCAATGGAACCACCACTGGACGCCATGGATGCTACAGTTGCATCTAGAGGATGCTGCACGGAAGGCGTTCGTTGTCGGGATTGCGGTCGTCTGTGGAGGCTATGGGTTCTACCATTTCAAGGTCAAGAAGAAGGAAGAGTGGAAGAAAATGCGGGAGGACTTTTGGAGGATTCGAGAGAAGTTGTTGGACACAGGGGAGGACCCGCCTTGGGTGGTGAAGAAGATGGGGCGTGAGCCTTTTACGAGGCCGGATCCTTGGGCTGGAGCTAGTGGCGGTGGGAGAGGAACCCTGACTGCTCCGGGTACAATGACTCTTGGGATGAGCGGTTTTGGAGCTGGTGGTAGCGGTCCAAAGGATTTGAAGACAGGATTGGTGTCGCAAGGATTACAGGCCTCGGAAAAGGACCTCAGGATGCTGACACCCGAGACTCTGGAGAAACGACTCGGACAGAACCAGCGATCGTTCAAAATCGTCCCGCCACACCAGCATACTAGGAGGCGGAAAGAGGCTCCAGGCTACATGGTACCACGGTCCCGGAATATCGTCCTCGGATACACACTCAACCAAGTCGCGTCCAACTACCCGATCGAGGACGACATGTCACAACATTTCATCCGCAACTACAACTATCATGGCGAGGAAAACGAACCGGAGCGTTACTTCTTTGGCGTTTTTGACGGACACTCGGGCTGGTGCTGCTCTCAAAAGGTGGCCCAAGAACTGGCTCCCTCCATCTCCAAGGAACTCAACCTTGTCCGCAACCCTCGGGACCCTCAGGCCGTCTCAGAAGCGATCGAACGTGGGTTTCTGAAACTGGACCTGAGGATCGTTCAGGATTCTGTGAAAAGAGTTCTGGAGCACCCATCTCGACCTCTCGCATGCTCTTCACTCCTTCCCGCCATTTCTGGATCCTGTGCGCTGATGGCCTATGTCGACTCGAGAGACAATGATCTCTATGTGGCGAGTGTGGGTGACAGTCGAGCTGTCATGGGTGTGCGTGAGCCTACGGCTGATGGGCGAGGACATGTCTGGAGAGCTATTCCGCTGTCGTTTGATCAGACTGGACGCAATCCATGGGAGGTCAAGAGGTTGCAGGAGGAGCATCCTGGTGAAGAGTCGACTGTCGTCCGACGTGGTCGTGTCCTTGGTGGTCTTGGTAAGTTTTATTGCTAGGATCATTGCTTTCCTTCGTCTCATCTATATCATTTTTTTTCCACTTCTTGAACTTTGATCCACGGCACTTTAATTCTAACCTTCAATTCCCCTCAATTCTTGCACGAAATAGAACCAACACGCGCATTCGGAGATGCGCGTTACAAATGGACTAAAGAAATTCAGGATAAGGTCTTCAGTCTCTTCCCAGCCTACCGTGAGCCACGGCCCAACTACAAAACCCCTCCCTATGTCACTGCAAAACCCGTAGTCCGGCATCACAAGCTCCGTTCCGAGGATCGATTTATGATCATGGCGACGGATGGACTGTGGGATAAACTGACATCGGACGAAGCTGTCCAGTTGGTGGGACAATTGTTGGATGGCAAGACTGGGCATGATGAGATGGTCCTGGATCAGGAAGCCATTCTGGCGTACAGACGGCAAGTCAAGGCTAAACGCCAGGCAGCATCTCTTGTGGCGGTAGCAAGCTCACAGGTCGCACAGGCTCAGAAACAGCAACAGCAGGAGGAAGAAGAGGAAGAACTCACACCAGCAAACTTGCGGCCCAAAGGTCCCGCAAGTCAAGTAAGAAAGTTCACATACAGAGATCAAGCCAACGCGTCAACACACCTTATCCGCAACGCGCTCGGTGGCGCCGATGATGACAGATTGGCCGCGACACTATTGATCCCGTCGCCTCAAAGCCGTCAACACCGCGACGATATTAGTGGTATGTTGTTTTGTTCTCTATGTTTTGAATGTGGAGCTTTATGTCTAAGAGGATAGTTCATGCGTACTAAATTTCTTTGCTTTGGTACGACTAATGTGTGCGCTAGTGACGGTGGTGTTCTTTGGACGGCAGGATATCAAAATGGCTTTGTCGGATGCTCAAGATGCTACCCAGGGACTCACTCCCATCCGTTAAGAATCACACAAAAAAATAATAAAGAATGAAGAAAAGGAGCCCTCAGCATTGATACGTCTCTCTTCCACAACGTTTGAATAAAATGAAGACCATGGCATTCCTTAACTGCATCATGCACGGTCGCGGGCAAAAAATATGGAATGCTCACTGCAGGGATCGAACCTGCGGCCTTTGCGTTATTAGCACAACGCTCTACCGACTAAGCTAAGCGAGCTTTACAAGCCACCCATCCCATACCAATCACACAACCTAAGCGAGTCGCTATTGGCTGTGCAATTGATATATAATTAATTTTTACTGAATTATTTATAGTTACCGATATTTCGCGTCTAAGCCACAGTTCCTTAAGTGCAAGACACACCTGATGAAGGAATCTGGTTGGCAGCCGAGACCACCACTGAACGAAAAAAAAAAAGAGACCACCACTGAGATCTGGAAGAAGGCCACGGGCAAGATTAACGAGTGGGGTGTGCAGGCGACAAACAGCTACAACGCAGCCAGGAAGCGGGAATACAAACGCGCGGTGGACAGCGGTCGTCAGGTACCAAGGCCAGTACCCATACACTGGTGGCCCCCTTCGGATGCGGATCATGTACGAGGATTTTCCTCCATCGGTGGAGCTCGAGCCGTGCACAGCGGCAGTCCAGCTCTCGATCGAGACGAGAAACCGATGTGGAACGTGTCGGATCTCCTCCGCGGCATCACCCCCTTGAGCATGTTGACTGAATGGTCCGCGGTCTTCCGGACCCCAATGTCCATCGCCAAGACAGTCCTTCACAAGTTTGTTGGCTACCTGGAGGCGCAGGCCTCGAAGCTGATCTGGAAACCTCGGTGCTCCGCGACGATCGCGTGGGAGCAGACCATGGGTATCTCTGCCAAGAACAAGACATCCAAGTACACAGGCCCCCGAGGTGACTGGAGTCAAGGATACGGTTACATCACGCACGATGGTTTCTGTCCGTGTGGCGCTTCGCTAGCCACACATGATGAAGGAAGGTGCCCTGGAGCGACCAAGGACCCACGCGCTGCCGGCGAGCGGTTGTTGGACACACTGAAAAGTTTGGTCTATACCCTTTACTTCCGAATGTCTCCCTTGAGTCGTCTGTCGAGAAACAAAATTGTGTAAAAAAAAGTCTTCAACTGCATGGTTTGACTCTCCGTTAATGCATTGTTTGGATAGGAAAAACTACTAGATTTTCTTCAAAGGAAACTGGCAAGAAGGAAATGATGAAAGGTAGAGTGCTTTATTATCGTCTCTGCTGGTTTGGGTAATTTTGTTGATGTTGATGCTGCTGGGAGCGCTGCTGCATGTGTTGAGGAGGATGATGTTGGATATTCTGCCCCTGGGCGATCAGACCACGAATATTGTTGATAAAGTTCGCCGTGATCTCCAGGAACCGGTCCGGTTGTCTCCCTTGACTGTTTATCCGTATTTCACGTTCTCGAGCCAATTCCGCTGCGTTGACAAACTCAATCTCCAGTTCATGCGTAAGGTCCAGTTGGGTTTGTTGTACAGTTGGCCGCATTTGACTGTAGCTGGGTGGCTGGGCAGGGTTGTTGGGCATGTTGTTGGATTTGACTTGAGTGAGATCAATCTTGAGGTTGTTGAGTTGATAGGAGACACGGTCCTTTTTGCGTTCACGCTCTGGGTTTCCGCTAGGCAGGTCGACTAATGCATTTGCAACATAACACGAAAGACTATGATCAGCAGAGGTATCTTCAAGTATCGATTCTGAAGTCCAAGCAAAAGGTTGACTAGCCTCTCTCACAACAAAAAAAAAACAGAAGCTTCCCATACCTGGTTCTTCTACGTTGACAGAGATACGATAGTCAAAGGGTCTCCGGGGTGAGAAAATGTCCAAATCCGCGATCCTTCGTTTCTGAATACTTCCGATGACTGCATTGGTCTTTTGATCTCTGCTAACTCGAGTCTTCTTGCCCTGGACGGTGAAGAACTGATCCGTCTCATACGTATGTTTGTATGCCACCTATACAGTTACGTTGAGATCCAAATAATAAATAAAATCTGGTGAGTCCTTGTCGTCGCTTGATCGCGATGCATATCCAGCTCCAAAAAAACCCACTTGTGTTGGAGTTGTACCTTGGACTCTGAATGCTGAGACATCTCACCTGACTTGTTCAAACACCTATTGAAGTGAGCATGTTGTGCCTATGGAACAAATAAAAACACCGAACATTGATATCCGATGGCTAATTAATGTGCAGTCCCCAAGAATGATACATATCACGTCCATACCGTTTGAGAATCTTGACCTCTTTCATATGCGAATAATTACCACGGTCATGTCCGATGAAAAAGTGTACCATCTGCTACTTGTCTCTGCCAAGACAACCTCGTTCTGGACGGGCATCTGAATCCGCTGTTGAGTGGTCTTGTCTATTAAAATTCCGACCTTTGCCTCAATCTAAACACGATGCACACAGTATGAATAAACATTAGTGTAGTTCCTTAAGAGCGTGTTACAAACTACGCACGTTTGTCCCTGAAGCCTTCGCCATATGTCGCGTGCTATTTATTACCTCAACGTTTTCGCCGTGACAGCGGTCATACAAAAAGTCGGCGACGGCTTGTACCACATCGTCTGGGATGTTGGAACCGAAGAACAACGCAGGTCGTGGAGGACGCGGGCGCTGTTGTTGTTCAGGGTGTGGTGGCGCTGCTGAGGGTGTACCATCTGCAAGTAGAGAGGACGACGACGATGATTCCTCTGGGCGAGGCCTCTTTGAGGATGAGCCGTCTCGTCCTTCCTGACCGCTGGTAGATGTTGCGCCTGCTCCATTGGACGATGGGGCAGCTGTTTCCTGTGCTTCTTCCTCGCGTGGCCGCTTCTTGGTCGTTCCTTGATCAGACATGGGTTGTTGAATGAGTGAGTGAGTGAGAAGCTTGCTTGGAAACAATGGAGGGATGTTGAGTTAGACAAAACGCGGAGTAGTTGAAGCAGCAGCTGGCTGCTATTCCAGTCACAGCAGCGCGTGTTGTGGCAAAGCCACTTTAGCTTTCATTTTTCTCCTTTTTGAACCGAGTTAAAAAAAACGCGGGTTTACGTCTCAGCCCAACTCTTTCACAGCACAAGGAACTCATTCTAACAACAACAACAACAACCACACACGCACTCAGAGAACAAGGAGACAAAGGACAAAGAAAAAGCAAGAGACACAAAAGAATGGCACACGTTTGCAGGAATTTCCCTCATTCTCGAGGCACCTCATGGCTCCTCCGTACACCTCTCACCACCACTGCCACCAAACCCACCCATATCCACCTCTTACTGGCACGTCCCAATACCGCAGATGGACGACGACACTTCACAGCCGCTACAGCAATCATGAAGGACTCCTCGAGCTGGACAGATGTTACACCTACGTTTGGTTCACGGGACCGCCGATCCTCGCCTAGGAGCAACAGCAGGATGTCCGCTGCTGGTGGTGACGATCCCTTTGAAAGGCTGGATAGGGGCGACGGCCGCAACGACCGCGACCGCGATCACGGCAGGGACAAGAACAGGGATAGGAGCTCGGTCAAGTTTGGACGTTCATCTTTCCCACCTCGAGAATCGTCCTCTCGTGACCGATTCGGTCCCTCTTCTTCACCTTCGTCGCGATCCCCTCGGTCATACAACAACGACAGCGGGAACAGAGACAATGTGCATCGAGGAGGAAGCGGTCGGTCATACGATCCGAGCATAACTGATCGCCGCGGAGGGCCCAGTCAGAACATGGCTTCAGAACACGACTACCTGTATTCACCCAATGTGGTCATCCCAGCCCTGAGTAATGGCTTCCGCACCCCCTACAAGCTGTATTATTCAAATACCCTCATCCAGAACCGGAAAAAGTACGCAGGAGGCACCTTTTCTTGTCGTATGGACGTTTTCCTGACATGTCTTTTTCCTTTGGGTACATGACTAACGCGCATCTTAATTTGATCTCTTTTTTATTCTTTTAGGCGCAAGGAAGATCCAGTAGCTGACTGTATTGAGCTCGCCAAAAGGCATGACATCCCAGTTGTCAAAACAGACAAGCATCAATTGAACGAAATGTCCGGCCAGCGTCCTCACCAGGTAGCAATAATTAGGTTGTTGTTCTTATTTCGCCCTGTCGCTTGTTCCTCGAACTCCAACCTCGAACTCCAACCTCGGATCACTAATCCGTCTATTTCTCATGAATCCTAACAATAGGGTATAGTCTTGGAAGCATCCAAGTTGAAGGAGACAATGGTCGCAGGATTAGGACCTGTATCAGTCCATACGAATGACTACCAACTAATCTACAAGGCTGCTGGACGGGACAAATATTTGTCGACCCGGGAGAACGAACCTCCAGTATGGATCGCCCTTGACGAGGTGGTCGACCCCCAGAACCTGGGCGCTATCCTGCGGACGTCTCTCTTTATGGGCGTTGATGGTGTCGTAGTTTGCCACAAGAACAGTGCCCCTCTCTCGGCCGTTGTTGCGAAGGCTAGTGCTGGAGCTCTTGAGGAACGACCTACCTACGGTGTCTCCAGTCTCGTCAACTTTATCAAAGTACGACAAGGTGTTAAAAGAGGGGCCATTAGTTTTGGCTGTGGAGTGGGATCATACGTGGTTCTCTCAGTCTTCTGCAGTCGTGCAGCTGTACTAACCATCATCAATTTTTACTGGCGTTATTATCTCTCATAGAAATCACAAGAGAACGGATGGCACGTTGTGGGCGCACATGTAACATACGGATCCAAACGCAACCGTCCCCTTCACACCTGGCCCGAAACCGGCGTCGACCAGCCAACATTACTGATCATGGGCAGCGAGGGCAACGGACTCCGAAAACAGGTCATGAACCAGTGCGATTCGTTTATTCAGATCCCTACCTTGTCCGGCGCCCCCACGGGAGTCGATTCCTTGAACGTCAGTGTTGCCACAGGGATTATCTTGTCGAAATTAATGGGAGGACGGTTCTTGAGGTTGCCCAAGAACTTGAAGAAGTACCCGCATAGGGTTTCTCGTTTTGGTGCTGGTGTCGAAGGCGAAGACGAGGAAGATGAGGATGAGGAAGGTGAGGATAAGGAAGAAGAAGAAGAGGATGACGAAGAAGAAGAAGAGGAGAAGGACGAGGAAGACGAGGAGAAGCCTGTCGGTACTGGCCAGGCACCCAAGAAAAAGAGCAGCCTACCTTTTTAGTTGTACACCATAGACAATTTTTTGCATGCAAGAATAATTGTTTGCACGTTTTCTTTTTTGTTTGTTTGTCTGTTAATGCTCCACTGAAGGGAATGTACGCTATTTAAATGGTCATTGGTGACAAGGTCGATTGCACCAACTCAACGTGGTGGTCTTCCAAAATCCTACGCATCCGCATTTGTCGCTTCAACAAGTCCACGCCCTTCCACTGCCCGCCACAACCACCACCACTTACAACACCGCCACCAATACCGCCACCCTGACTACCTCCTGCCATGATAGTACTCTTCTCACAGACAAGCGTCCGCAGATGAGGCATATGCTCAAACATTTCCCGGATCTCTTCAGGACTCCACACCCGCCCCTGTTGGTTCAACAACGCCAACGACTGGATATGAACATTGGGTCCAAACCCTCTCCTCAATAAGTGTTCAATTCCTTTTGCCTGGACTCCCAGATGTTTGAGTCGCGGGAGTGTCTCGAGCTGTGCTTGCAGTTCGCGGAAGGGGTCGCTGAGGCGGTGGTACCGCCAGAGGTGGTACATTGGGTAACCCTGGTAGTGGGCGATCGAATATGGGTCGTGGATCACATTGCTGTTGTTGATTCCTGCAGTGATGTTGGTGGCGTTAGCGGGTCCTCCATTGTTGGTGGTGTTGGTGCCTCCGGTTCCTCCATGGCCGCCAAGAGTCAAGTCCTGGTTCCCGGATGGGCTCCGCATGTGGTGTGGGTTAGGTGATAGGTGGTGGTAGAGTTGCGGTTGGAGGTGCTCGCTGCTTGACCGGATCCGATCCACAAACATCTGTCCACCAACCTCGAGTCGCTCCAAGGTGCTGGCACAGGCCCACAGTCTCCTTTTGACTGCTGCTGCTGTTGCTGTTGCAGGTGTCGTCGTCGCCGGCACCGTAGCAGTACCAGTCGCAGCACCAGTAGCATTAACCCCGTTGAAGGGCTCATCCGTCAGATCCTTAAAGATGTTGAGCGTAGGCTTGGAGAGGTAGAGCGACAGATCCTGAAGTCGCTGGCAGTACATAAAGATGGGTAGGATCCCGACATCCGTGACGTGAGGGCACCATTGAACCGACAGCTTCTCAAGACAAGCCCCCTGATAGCGCGCAATCGTCTCCATAACGGTGTCGTTCAACTGTCGCAAGTACGCCAGTCGAATGCTCTTCAGTCTTAGACCCGTTGTCTCCTTGCTCGCCGTTAATGTTGATGCAGCACCTCCTGATCCATTGACCCCTGAAGATGTTGTTGCTGTTGTTCCTGGCGCATGTGAGCCTGCGGCTTGATGCGAGGCGAAAGCAGTAGTAGCAGTAGCGCTGCTCCTTGGAATCGTTTCAAAGAGCTGTTTCAAGGCATCAGCGTCAACATATGGGACAGACCGCAAAGAGAGCGACTCGAGGAGGGGAGAATGCTGGAGGATGGCAGCGACGGCCGGCTTAGTTAGGAGTCGACAGTCGTGCAAATTGAGTTCCTTCAATTGGGGGGCATGTCGGAGGAACCACTCGAACTCGCGATCTGGGATCACACAAGAGTTGAAGGAGAGGTACTCCAGTGTTGGAGGGAGGGACGGCGATGATGACGATGAAGAAGACGGTGACGAGGGAGAAGAGGTGGTTGAGGAGGTTGAGGGGGAAGAGGAAGTGGTTGTGGCAGAGGTGGTTCCAAGGAGACTGGCAAGGAGGGCAGAGATTTCAATGGCAGCATGTCGTTCGCGAGAGTAGTCGGTCTGGTAGACTTCGGCCCTGGTGAGGGCAAGAGACTTGAGGGTCGTTCGGCAGTTGCCCAAGAGCTCCAGGAATGTCGAAAGACCAATCCGTCCCGTCACCGTAAAGACAAGGTCCAACCGTTCAAGCTGGCCGCCCAGACGTCTAGCAATGACACGGATAACCTCAGGTTCTAGACCTTCCAAGGTGACTTGCTTGGGTTTCTTAAGCAAGAAACTCGACGGTTGCTGTTGCATGTATCCTCGACGGAAGCCTGATCCTGGTGACCCACCGCCACCTCCTCCATTACTACCACCACTAACACCGTGGAGTCCGTTGGCAGTAGCGATCTCGGTCTTGTTGACAACCTCAAACTTGAAGACCTTGAGGCGAGGCAGTGAGCTGAGGAGATCATCCAGTCTCTCTAGACTCATCACTGTTCTCGAGATGTCGAGCTGGGTCAAATGCCAGCAGGTTTGGATCTGGGAGAGATGGTCCTGCACGGGAGGAGGAAGAGAAAGGGAGGCAGGGCTGAAGGCGGACGAGGACGAGGATGGAGATGTGTGCGACGATACTGCCGCTCCTCCCGTCGAGCGTAGAAGAGGGACGGACGGAAGGCAGTACAGATTCGAGACCTCCAAGTTCCTGATCCAACGTCCATACTTTTGAAAGTTCAAAAACGGCGGAATATACTGCTGATGCTGCCCATGCTGCAAATGCAGGTGTTGCTGCTGAAGAGAGTAGTATCTGTGCTGAACGTATCCCTGATAATTGTCGCGGGCGGGAGGGGCAGCAGCGAAGCTATGAAAGGCCGTCTTTCTGGTGGGATCGAGTGAGCTGGAATGAACACCTAGCGGAGCAGAGGTCCGACGGATATGGCATCGGACGGTCGAGTAGAGCGAGGATGACCATGCTTCATGCCATGCTCTGCAGACCAGGGCAGCGGCGGCGAGGTCCTGGATTTCGAGATAACGTTCGATCTCGTAGATTAGTTCGGGTATCAGGAGCGAGGTTGAACGGGTGGTTGATTCGGTTGTTGTAGTGAAGTCGATAGCGATGCCCATGGTTTTAGAATCAGTTTTTGGGAAGGGGAGAGAGAGAAAGAGAGAAAGGTGAGAAGGGGCAAAGAGACAATATAAGGAGAAAAGGAGGGGTATGTATGTGTTTATATATGTTGGTAGGAGAAGGGAGTGGAGATAGGATGGGTGCGAATGGCAAGTTGTGGTCTAGAGTGGGAAGAGAGGGAGGAAGTGGCTAAAGTATGACGAAGAGAGAAGACGATGGGGATGGGGATGAAGAGTAACTAAGACAAAGAAGGGACAAGGATAACAATTGGGTCGGATGGATGGTCATGGGTGGAAAGAAAAGAGAAAAAAAAGGTCATGAACACACGAGTAGAAATATATATGATGGAAAGAGGTGTCCGAGCTCAAGGTTGCCCCTTGTGCCTGAACAGAAAACAGAAAAAAAAAGAGAGTGGGGCGGTGTTTTTTGGGCTAAACTTATCCACATCCATAATTGCCATTCATCAGGAAGAAGTGAAGAGGGTGAGGCGAATGGCAAATGGATACGAAGGGTCATGCCCTCGTCTCTCTCTCTGTCTCTCCTCAGCTCTGTCTCTCTCTCTCCCGCTCTCCACAAACAAACATCAATTGGCAGACTGAGCGACCCCTTACTTCTCTCACGCACACCAGGAGGTGGGATACACACACACTCGCATGAAGGCGAAAGGCGCCAAACGACATATCCAAACTAATTACAAACAAGGACATAGTCAGACAAGGAGGAAGGACGGAGACACGATAGATAGACAGTCGTGCCAGAAAAAGAAGTCTTCTCATAGCCACAGCCATGGACATCACTATCGACAGACGACAGTGCCATTGTCAATCGCCCCCTTCTCGTTATTATGCAACCATCCATACTCGTCGACCTCGTCGTCTTTTTTTGCATTATTCCATCCTGTTCTCATTACCATGTCTATCTCTCTCGCTCAGTTCTCCTCCTTTTCCCTCTTCCGCTACTCCCCCCCCCAGTCCAGCCTCGACAACGGCACACAATAAAAAGCAGATCTCCATCTTTTTTTCTCTCCCTCTCTTAAGGTTTCCTTGCGTATGCCATGTGGACACACAGGTATAAAACAAAAACGGGAAATGAAAAGGAACATACGTTGACGGACCCAGAAGAGCCCTCTCATCTTTCTGTCCGACTACATAAGCATAAAAGAATTGTAGAGAGACCGAGTTTGACTGGTGGATGGGAAAAAGAAAACGTGCCTTTTTGTTTGTTGGCAAATGGAAGGCATCGCATAACAACAATGAAGAGAGAACAAGAGACTCAAGGGACTAGGCCGTTGATTTTTGCCCGGACCTGCGATGGATCGGGAACCCCTGGGGATGCGATGCGGTGGGATGAGATGGTATGAGATGAATTTCTATTTCTCCTTCACTCCTTGCCTCTTCTGTTGACTGCCAGAAAAAAAAAGAGAACGAGGAAGCACGCAAGGAGAGAGGGAATAGTAGAGAGCATGAATGAAAAACGCGAGTGTGTTTGCCAACTCTGTTGTCCTTCACAGAAAAAGGGTGATTGAATGGGGCTGAAGGTGAATGGAGTAACCCTGACGGAGAGGAGGCATGATTTGATAAGGTTGCCTTCCTTACAGACTGACGAAGCATGATGAGCATTAGGTGCAATGGGATTGTGTGTTGGACGTCTCCTCGGACCCAGATGGAAAGATCCAATGACGGTTTGGTTTTTTTGTTTTTTGCTGGTTATCCGGATGGTTGCGTACTTGTCCCTGTCTTCGTGGGTCCCCTTTTCTACCTTTGTGTGATCGCATTCCCTTCCTCCTCCTCCTCGAAGCCTTGCAACTATTTATGTTGATATGTCTAACGGGTTAGAGGAGGAAGAACGTCATGCTAATTTGCACTTGTTCCTGATCTGTGCAGTGAGGGAACAGATGGATGAATGTCGTATTGAATGGACCATTGACCATCTCAGATTCATAAATCACCAACCAACCATCCTCCCTTCCTCGCCTACAAACACGAGCACACGAACACAAATAAGTAAACAATGAAGCAAGAGAAGGTACCCCTTTCTAGGTCTGTCCTAACCTACCTGCCCGTTATTAGACTCCCCAACTTTCTCGTTCCTTCTCCAGCGACGGTGTCGTTGAAAGGCAGTTCTAGTTGTGACCAAGGTGGTTTTTCTTTTCAATAACCTTCTTCTCCTTCTTTGCTCTCCTCTTTCTTCATCAAAGCTTCTTTTCATTTTCTTTCACCCCCTCGTCCTCACTTTTCTCTTGCCATTTCTCCTTCTCCCTTCTGTCCATTTGTCTCATTATTCAATGGATTTCTGTTGCGTTCTTCGTTGTAGCAGTTTGAAACAGCTGAAAACCCAGCTCCATGGATGACTCCATTCCGAATTTTAGCATTGGCGGCCTGTTTTCTTGCTTGCAGCTTCTATTTGTTTTTTTATTCCTGTTAATTCCCACAGCCTCCTTTGGCTTTGGAGGACAAGGTCGCACCAAAAAAAAGAAAATGGTGATAGGATGTGGCCGTGCAAGGAAGGGAGGAAATGAAAAAAAGGAATTAATGTGAGTGTTTAGAGGGGTCGGAGAGACGAAGAAGCAAGGAGCCACTTGGTGTGGGAAGACATCTCAAGAACTGCATATGGAATGGTATCCTGCATGCACACGACTCGTACACAAGCACCAATGCCTCAATTGATTCTAGTTCAAAGCACGGGTGCTGCGGTACTGAACGACATAGTGAAGGTTGTTATTTTGTCAAGTTTAGTGGAGCAACACAAAAACACGCGTGTGGGGACAAACCCTTCATATGCTCAACCTTGGGGGTGGGCAGGAACAACAACTGAGTGCAAAAAAGGGGGCTCTTTCGTACCCGCTTATCTTTTCCTTCCTCCTCCATTCTCGCTCGACCCCAGGTGGTCTAATCTCAATAGAACAGCTTTGCTTCTTCTCATGTATTATTTTTAACCCTTTGAAGGAAGCGCATTCTTTTTTTGTTAGAGCACAGGTCACATCTCTCCTTGAACAAAAGAAAAAAAAGGTACATCCACGCTTTGACTGGTAAAAAGAGATGGGGGAAAATAGTTCACCAAGGTGGTTGTAGGATCATGTTTAGAAAGAAAAATTACAAGACATTGCTTGAAAAACTGGTCGGCGACATCATCTCAGTTATTTCAATGAGGGTCACTACGAGGCACTTTTTTGTTCACGAGAGAATTGAAGAGGCTGGATATGTGGCAAGAGAGAGCCGTTCGCTTGAATATACTTCATTCTCCTATCGTCAGGAAGCGGTGGACATTTTGAACAATGAGGAGGAAAGAGAGTAGGCATCTTCGACTGAGGAGTGGCGAGGACTACGCCAAAGGAGGCGACACATTCGCCTATGTCTCTCTCGCTCACCCTTGCACAAAGTACGCTACCCGTACATATATGAGACATGATCGGAGAAAGGAATAAATCAAAACAAACAAAGGTGGCTCCTTTTTTCTTCTAGTCTTCGTGCAAGACGAAGAGACATGCGTTGCATGGGTATGGATAAGACTCATATGGGATGGATAAAGATGGATAGATGGAGACGACAGCCCTTGTTTTGTTCCCATGTATTCATTGAGCAGATGAATCTTATCCATTGTACTTTAAAGATTGCCACTTTTGTTTTCTTTAAAGGCGGCCAGCATGACCTTTCCTCAAAAATCCTTGTCCGACTATCCATCCTGTCATGGGTGCCAGTTTCTCAACTTTTTCCCACTAGTGCACTTCCAATGCGCATGTTTTTCAACATCATAGGTCCAGAAATAGCTTTGCGCCATAGAGTGAGAAAAGGGAGAACGTGTGTACTCCTTTCAGGCCGTCAGTCAGTTGGGCAGCAAGGTGTTCGTCCTTTTTTGTTCTTTATCGTCGTTGTTCTTCAAGGCACAAAATAGCCAACTAACAAGGAGTCTCCGATAGAAGACACCCTAAAAATACTAATTGTTCAGGCAAGTAGCACAAAGAAGGTGTGCGCCCACTTCTAAGTTCCAACCCACACACGCAGCACACACACCTTCCAGGTATTTGCACACTTCCAGGTATTTTTATCGGGATGAGAAAAGAAAATTATTTATATCCACGCATGCAGCTCCTTCTCAGTCCTGTTTCTCACTTTCTTTTTTTTTCAGGCACGGCCGAGGGTAGTGCGAAGAGAGGAAAGGTCAGGCAGGGAGTGAAATAGACTGGGTAAGAGTGCAGTGAGAGAAATATTGCCGGTTGTCCGCGTTTTGGTTTTCTTTTCCTTCTGTTCTCCTTATCCCTGGGTACCTCAACCAACCCGGCCAGCCACACATATTGTAGCTGGCAGTGCCTACAAAAGGATAGAAATATTTCCTACATCCGACCTGCTCTCACACTTTCTTTTCTTTCTTTTCTTCCGTCTCTTCACTTCTCTCCTTCTTTCTTTCCTTTCTCTCTCACACACATTCATATCTTTCCTTCCCTTCACTCTTCACATTCATCCTTCCATCTTCCTCCTCTCCACCACCTCTCCCACTCTTCGCCATCCAATTCACATATCCCTAATAGGTGAGTAGCAACATCAAACAGAAGAGTCGCCTGTGCTACCTAATCCTTCATTTTCAGTTCAGGATTCAACCGTTGATGGTTGACTCTCTTGTTATTACTGTTACTCAACGGAACACAACAGATCGACAAACAGACCCAAGTGTTTCCATTTACACCCTTCACTATCAACGCCTTTTTTCAGTTCCCGGGTTCGGACTATGGCCATATTTCACCATATGACGGATGGCTTCAATGCTAGCCTCTGACCCACAACAACCCCATGCCTCCTCCCCCTCGTCGTCCCTGCTCGTGCCGCCCCTTGCATTGCCCTTTTCCCCTCGACTAATTTTGTTTTGGGTAATTGAAATTGACCAAATAACTAATTTCATTCTTTTGTCACCTCTTATGTTCCATGTCGTAGTTTGAAATAACACATACATTCATACATTCATACATAATGCGCTTCTCAACCATTTCCCTGGCTGCTGCCATCTCGGCTCTCTTTATCGCCGGCGTCGCTGACGCTCAGGCGGCACCCGCCTGCGATACCACCAAGTGTATCTTCCCTGCCTGTGTCTGCCCCTCCGTCAACCCTCCCAAGGGCATGGACCCCAAGACCGTCCCCCAGTTCTTCACTCTCACCTATGACGATGCCGTCCAGGCCCCAACCGTCCCCGTCGCTGCCTCGTTGATGACCCCCCACAGAAACCCTAACAACTGCCCCATCAAGGCCACCTGGTTCGCCCAGACCCTCTACTCTGACTATGCCCTCATCCAGCAGTGGTACGCTGCTGGTAACGAGATCGCTGACCATACCATGAACCATATCGGTACCCCTCCAATTGGTAAGTCCACCCAATGGCATATGTTTTTCTCATATCATTCTGACGTGATATGATGCAGTGCACAAATTGGCTATTGGTTTTTTTTTTGAGCTCTTCCCTCCACTCACACACAGCATTTTTACATTTATCTTTAATTGCTTGTCTCATCCACAGAGGAGGTCACTGGTAACCGCAAGGCCATCAACGCCTTCTCGGGCATCCCCTACGCCAAGATGACCGGCTTCCGTGCTCCCTTCCTCAACTACTCAAAGTCGACCTTCGACGTCCTCGCCCAGGAAAAGATCCAGTACGACTCTTCCACCACCGCCACCACCACCGACGCCTACTGGCCCTACACCCTCGACTATGGTGTCGCTAACGACTGCTGGACCGGTATCTGCACCCAGGGTGTCGCCCAGCCTGGCATGTGGGAGATCCCCATGCACGCCATCATCGACCCCCAGGGTAACGCCTACTCGATGGACGTCCAGTTGAGCGGCTCTGCCAGCGTCGTCTCCCAGTGGCTCAAGGACAACTTCAACCGCCACTACCAGGGCACCCGCCAGCCCTTTGGTATCTTCCTCCACCCCGTTCACGTCGGCAACGCCACCAGCCTCTACAACGAGTTCTTCGCATGGGCTGGAGCCCAGAAGGATGTCTGGTTCGTCACCAACCAGCAATTGCTCGAGTGGATGAAGAACCCCGTCCCCGCCTCAGAGATGGCCAACCAGCCCTACATGAAGTGCCAACAGCCCGCCGTCGGCAAGGAGATCTGCAATGGATTGGATGACTCCAAGGCTGGATCGATCGACAAGGATACTCTTCAGATGTGCAACTTTGCCACGGGCTCGTGGTCAACCTGCTATGGATGCCCCACCGAAAACCCCTCGGTTACTGTCCCCGTCCCTGCTCGTGCCGTTGCTGCCGGCCAGACTGGTTACCGCACCCCTGTCCCCGCGACCTGCGCCATGGAGTGGTGGGACCCCGTTGGTGCCAAGTGCTTGTGCGACAGCTCCAACTGCACGTTCAACGATATTGCTACCCAGACCCCTACTGCCACCACCCCTTTGCCCACTTCGACTGGCTCCCCTAACGGAAACAAGGGTAACAGTGCTGCCGGTCAGGTCATGACTGGTTCTATGGTCACCCTCGGACTTGCTGCCGCTATTGCTGCTGGTCTTGCCCAGTTGTTGTAGAGATTGAAAGAAAGAAAGGCGATTTTTAGAGCGATTGTCGTTATTTTTTCATTCTTTTTATTTATCTTTTTTGTTTTATTTGTCTTTTTAACCATGTACTTTATTCTCATTCATCATTCGCAGTAAAATAAAACACGTTTGTTGCTAGTCTTTAAAATCCAATGGAGGAAAGGTGAAGAAACTGAAGAAAAGGAAACAACGGGAAACAATGAAAAAGAAATGACAGACAGAGGAGAATGGATGGAATGGAAACAGAAAACAAACATATAAATAAATAAAAAATAAAGGAGAGACAGCTCTGTCGAATATCCCCCTTGCGGCCTTAGTCACCGCGTTTAACCAGATCGAATCCAACAATCCTGCAAAGAAACTGTGAGTAGCACTGTTTGTGTCGTTCGCTTTCTTTTTTTTCTTCCTGCATGGGCGTTCTCGTTCAATCGCCAGAGGAATGGCCACGATAAAAGTAAGGTGCGTGAATAATTGGAACAATAGTATTTATTAGACGCGAGAATTAGTACAAAAGAGAAAAGAGCAAAGGATTGTTTTTTCTGGGTTTTCTAGTGTTGGGGATATAAAGGTATGCGAAGCATTTAGATCGACTTGCCAAGGACCTGCAAAAAAGATGATGAGGAAAGAAAAGATTGGTTAGTTTCTGTGTGTGGAAAAGTGGTTGAATATCGTCAATCACCAAAGAGAAATACAAGTAAAACTTACAAGGGCAAGGAGAGCCATGCGGACATAGAGACCATAGCGCATCTGGCGGAAATAAGCAGCGCGCTGGTCGAAATCAACCTCGGGCTCGATCTCAGAGACACGAGGCAAGGGGTGCATGACAATCATCTGGGTCTTGGCCTTGCTCATCATCTTGTTGTTGATAACGTAGGCAGACTTGACGCGCTCATACTCCTCAAGGTTCTCGAAACGCTCCTTCTGGACACGGGTGACATAGACGACATCCGACTCGGCAATGACCTCGTTCAAGTCGGTCAACTCGTTAATGGTAACGCCGGCCTTGACCAACTCGGCCTTGACATCCTCGGGCATGCGGAGCGAAGGAGGGGAGACAAGGTTGAGGGTGACCTGGTAGTAGGCAAGCAACTTGACGAGCGAGTGGACAGTGCGGCCGTTCTTGAGGTCTCCGACCAAGGTGATGGTCAAGCCGTTAACAGTTCCGAGCTCCTCACGGATGGTGTACACATCCAAGAAGGCCTGAGTAGGGTGCTCACCGACACCGTCGCCGGCGTTGATGATGGGAACCTTGGAGAACTTGGCAGCAGTGGCGGCGCTGCCGGGAGCGGGGTGACGGAGGACAATCAAATCACCATAGCAGCCCAAGGTGCGGACAGTGTCAGCCAAGGTCTCGCCCTTGACGACCGATGACGACGAGCCATCGGCAGCAACAACGGTACCTCCGAGACGCAACATGGCTGTCTGGAAAGAGCACGAAGTGCGGGTCGAAGCCTCGTAGAACATCGAGCACATGACCTTGCCGTGGAGCAAGTCGATCGAGCCATTGCGCTCGACCTGGGTGCGCATCTCGTGGGCCAAGCTGAACAAAGTGTGAAGCTCGTTGCGGTCAAACTGCTTTGACGACAGGATGTGGCGGTGCGAGAAGGGTGAGTTGTTGAGGATGCGAGAGATCACTGAGGGAACCTCACGGGCGGCGGCAGCAGCAGCAACGTGGGCAGGGACAATTGCAGTCGAGGAAGCAGAATGCTCCATCTGGACACTGCCGCGGCGACCGTCCGAGGGGCGGATCAAAGGAGTCGAAGGAGTAACAAACTCCGAAGGTCCAAGGCGGGGCGAGTGGATAACCGCGGCGTTGGAAGCACCGTGGGCAGGAACAGTGATGTGGGGCTTCTCGGTGGCCTTGGTGATGGCCTGGGCAACAGCAGTGACATCCTGGCCCTCGACACCAGTGGTATACCAAGCACCGTCCAAGTAGGCGGTGGCGCCGTGGAGGACAACGCGGTGGACGGTACCGGAGAGTGCCTTGCCGGCAAAGGGTCCAGTGGTCTTGGACAAGATGCAGGCACGGTCAGTCTCGATCTCGACGTACGAGTCCTTCTGCTCGGGAAGCGAGAAGATCTTGCGGGGGTTGGTGTACAACTTGGCAACAACATCGTCCATGGTCAAGCGGCCCTTGTTGACAGCATCGACCAAGAGGGGAAGGGTCTCCTCAATGCCGGCATGGGCAACGGGGATGCCCTTCTCGGCAGCAAGGCGGTAGGGGAGAGCACCGATGGTGAAGCAGTCAAAGACCTGGAGGCTGTTCCAGAAGGCATCCTGGTCAGCCTTGGAGGGCAACAAGGCAGATCCGGTCTCCTCGCGGGTCAAGAAGAGCGAGTAAACCTCAATGTCGCAGGTGACCTGCAATTCCTTGTCCTTGGACATCTGGATCAAGGCCATGTCGTCGCGGCTCGAGACACCGGTGATGTGGACGGAGCGGTTGTGGAGCGAGGCGAGGAGGAGGATCGAGGCAAGATCGGTGCCCTTGGCATCGGTGATGATGTGGCTGTTGATGGGCCACGAGTTGAAGTACTTGGCAGCCTCAGAGACGTTAGCCATGGCGCGACCAGCAACAGGGGAGAAGGGGATGAAGAGAGCGTTGGTCTCCTTCAAGCTGTTGTTGGCGTTGTCAACGTTGGCGTTCATCGACAAGAAGTAGTCGCAGTGGGCGTGGTTGTTGCCGTTGTTCAAAGCAATGGCCAAGCTGGCGCCATCCTCGACACCCTTGGGGATACCGGTGCCCATGGCTCCGATCATGGTGAATCCAGACGAGATCGAAGTCTTGGAGATCTCCTCAAAGTCCTTGCTGCCGGCGGTGGAAATACCGGGGATCAAGGCCTGGATGTTGATGAGACCGGGGAGGGTGACGGTGCGGTTGCTGGTTTTGTAGTCGACAGACTCAATCTCAAAATCCTTGTGGCGAGCGAGGGCCTCGACGAACAACTTGGCGCACTTGACGTTGGTGATCAAAGGAACCGAGAAGTCAACAGCCATACGACGGGTACGGTAACCCTTCGAGACGTAGCTGGCAGGGCGGCGGTAACGGTTCTTGGAGGGCAAGTTGATGTAGAGATCGATCAAGTTGTTGGCCAAGTGCTGGTTGAGCGAGTACTCCGACTTTTGGCTGTCGTTGTCATCCTCAAGGGCCTCGAGGTACTTGACAGGGACACCGTGCTCACTCATGAAATCGGCGGTACCAGAGGTGGCAAAAAGGTTGTAGCCGAGGGAGCGGAGGCGCTTGACAGCAGGGAGCATCTCCAACTTCTCCTTGAACGAACCGATCGAAAGAAGGATGTTCTTCTTGGGGAGGGTGAAGCCAGTCGAGACGAGGGCTTTGATGTAAGCTTCGTACTTGTCCTTTCCGAAACAAGCGACCTCTCCGGTCGAGGCCATCTCGACTCCGAGAATGGGATCAGCTCCAGAGAGACGCGAGAACGAGAACTGAGGGACCTTGATACCGACATAGCCAGTCTTGGGGATGGGCGACTCGGGGTAGGACTCGACGGGGAAGCCCAACATAGCGTTGGTGGCCATCTCAATGAGATCGACCTCCATGACCTTGGAGACGAAGGGCATCGAGCGCGAGGCACGCAAGTTGCACTCAATGACCTTGATCTCGTTGTCCTTGGCAATGAACTGAATGTTGTAGCATCCAGTGACGTCCAAAGCCTCTCCGATCTTGGCGGTGGCAACGACAATCTTGCGGATGGTCTCGGGGTCCAAGTCCTGGGGAGGCAAGATCAAGGTGGCATCTCCAGAGTGGACACCAGCGTTCTCGACGTGCTCAGAGACAACGTGCATCACCATCTTTCCGTTAACGGCAATGGCATCCATTTCGATCTCCTTGGCATCCTCAATGTACTTGGAGATGACGACGGGGTGGTCGCGCGAGACGGCAGTGGCCTGTCCGAGATAGTTGGCAAGATCGTCGGCAGAGTAGACGACGTTCATAGCAGCTCCAGAGAGAACGTACGAGGGACGGACCAAGACGGGGTAGCCGACCTTGTTACAGAAATCGCCGGCCTCGTCGAATGAGGTCAACTCCTTCCACAGGGGCTGGTCAACATCGATCTGGTCCAACATACGCGAGAACTTGTAACGGTTCTCGGCAGTGTCAATCATCTCGGGCGAGGTTCCGAGGATCTTGACGTTCTGACGGTGCAAGGGGAGGGCAATGTTGTTGGGAGTCTGACCACCCATGGCAATGACGACTCCCGAAGAAGATTCGATCTCGTAGATATCGAGGATACGCTCCAAGTTGATGTTCTCAAAGTACAAACGATCAGCCTCGTCATAATCGGTCGAGACAGTCTCGGGGTTGTAGTTGACCATGACAGTCTTGACACCGCGGCTGCGGAGGGTGCGGATGGCGCGGACAGCGCACCAGTCGAACTCGACCGAGGATCCAATGCGGTAGACTCCCGATCCAAGAACCATGACTCCCTTGTCCTCGAAGGTAATGTCGTGCTCAACGGCGTTGTAGGTCATGTACAAGTAGTTGGTGAAGGCGGGGAACTCGGCAGCGACGGTATCGATCTGCTTAACGAAGGGGGTGATACCAGCATCGGTACGGAGACGACGGACAGAGAGCTCGTTGCTCGAGATAGCAGTAGCGATCTGGCGATCCGAGAAACCCATCTGCTTGGCAGAGCGGAGCATGTTGGCGGAAACATCGTTGGCGGTGAAGCGACCGAGAGCCTTCTCAAGGTTGATGATGTTCATCAGCTTGTTCAAGAACCACTTGTCAATGTTGGTCAACTCCCAGATACGGTCGACGGTGTATCCCTGCTGCATGGCGTTGGCAATGGCAAAGACGCGCTGGTCGCTGGGGTGAGTCAACTCCTCCTCGATAACGGCATAGGTCTCCTTGGGGGCGAAACCGACCAACGAGGGGTCAATGGCACGGATGGCCTTCTGGATGGTCTCCTCGAAGGTACGACCGATGGACATGACCTCTCCGACAGACTTCATCGACGAGGAGAGCTCCTTGGAGACACGGTCGAACTTGGCGAGATCCCAGCGGGGCATCTTGACAACGACATAGTCGAGCGAGGGCTCGAAGCAAGCGCAGGTGACCTTGGTGACCGAGTTGGAGATCTCGTTCAAAGGAATGTTGAGACCAAGCTTGGCAGCAACGAAAGCCAAGGGGTAGCCGGTAGCCTTACTGGCGAGGGCAGACGAACGCGAGAGACGAGCGTTGACCTCGATAATGCAGTACTCCTTGGAGAAGGGGTTGAGGGCATACTGGATGTTGCACTCTCCGACGACTCCCAAGTGGCGAATGACGTTGACGGCAGTGGTACGCAACATGTTGTAGTCATCGTCCGAGAGGGTCTGCGAGGGAGCGACGACGATCGAGTCTCCAGTGTGGATTCCGAGGGGATCAAAGTTCTCCATGTTACAGACGGTGATACAGTTGTCGCGGCAATCACGGACGACCTCGTACTCGATCTCCTTCCAGCCCTTCATCGAGCGCTCGATCAAGACCTGAGGCGAGGTGGCAAAGGCCCTCGAGGTCAACTCGACGAGCTCCTCGTCGTTGTTGGCGAAACCAGATCCCAATCCTCCGAGAGCGAAAGCAGCACGGCAAATGACGGGGTATCCGATCTCGTTGGCAGCAGCAATGGCCTCCTGGACAGTGACAGCAGTCTGGGCCTGGGCAATCTTCTCGCCGATCGAGACCATGCGCTGGGCAAAGACCTCACGATCCTCGGTGGCGATGATAGTCTCGATGGGGGTACCGAGGACACGGACACCCAAACCGGCAAACTCGTCCTTCATCTTGATACCGACAGACAAGGCAGTCTGACCACCGAAGGTGACGTAGATACCATCGGGCTTCTCGCGGAGAATGACCTTGCGGACAAACTCGGGGGTGACGGGCAAGAAGTAGACCTTGTCAGCAAGACCCTTGGAGGTCTGAATAGTGGCAATATTGGGGTTGATCAAGACGGTGTAGATGCCCTCCTCCTTCAAGGCCTTGATGGCCTGCGAACCAGAGTAATCGAACTCTCCGGCCTGACCGATAGAGAGACCACCGGATCCGAGAACGAGGACCTTGCGGACGCTGACGCGGGGGTTGAGGGCAGCAGCGGCCTCCTTGGTGCCACCGGGCATGGTGATGGCCTTCAAGGTGCCAGTCTTTCTGAAATCATCGACGGCGTTGATGAAGACATCGAACAAGTACTCGGTGTCGCGGGGACCAGGGGTGGATTCGGGGTGGAACTGGACAGAAAAGATGGGGAGAGTCTTGTGCATGATACCCTCGTTCGATCCATCGTTGGCGTTGACGAACAACTCCATGAAGCTATCGGGGAGAGAGGCGACATCGACGGCGTAACCGTGGTTCTGCGACGAGATATAGCAGCGGCCAGAGATCATGTCTGTGCAGGGAATGTTGTGGCCACGGTTACCGAACTTCATCTTCTTGGTGGTGGCGCCCGAGGCAAGAGCGAGGAGCTGGTGTCCCAAGCAAATACCAAAGATGGGGGTGCGGGCGATCTGGAGGGCCTTGGTCAAGTGGGCGATGGTGATCTTGGTCATGGTTGGGTCACCGGGACCGTTGGAGATGAAGAGACCGTCGTAGTCGGTGTCGGCGTTGAAGTCGTAGTCCCAGGGGACGACCTTGACCTCGACACCGCGAGCAACAAAGCAGCGGATCTGGTTGTATTTCTGTTTTGTTTGAGGGCAAGGGAGAATTGGAACCATGGTTAGCGTTTGTTGTTTTTCATTCAATTACTTCCAAATGCATCCAATTGCTTCCTTTTTGCTCAATGTCTCCTTGCTATCAACGTACCATGCCAACATCGACAGCGACGATGCGAAGGGGCTTGCCGTTGGGTCCCATGATGGCAGTCGATGGCTCGGGGGAGTAGATCTTGGGCTGCTTCAAGGAGACTATTCAAATGCATATGCAAGTAAAGAGACAATTTAAGGTTATTTGATCATTCAATTACGAATGAGACAATCAATTATGGATCATTCAGTCACGTCGCATAAACAAACAAACAAACACTGAAAGAAAAAAAAATACCTTCAGCGACGAGGTTGCGCTCGTTGGGGTCAACCCAGTCAACGTTCTGGTACTCGTTCATCCAAGCCTCATCGGCAGGGACAACGGTGGGGCCAACAAGGGCGACGGGGAAGAGGATCTTGCCGAGCATGACTCCCTGGGAACGGATCTTCTTGGTCATGGCACGGGTATCGATGCCATAGATGGCAGGGATGTTGTACTCCTTGAGCCATGCGCCAAGAGACGATGTGGCGAGGTAGTGCGAGTAGTCCTGAGAGTATTGACCGACAATCAGACCGGCAATGTGGATCTCGTTCGACTCAAAGTGCTTGGGCAAGTCCTTAAGGATGGGATCCATGGTCTCGCGCGAGGGGACACCATAGTTTCCGACCAAAGGGAAGGTCAAGACGAGGATCTGGCCCCTGTACGAGGGATCCGTCAAGGACTCGGGGTATCCGACCATACCTAATGAGCAACACGTATGGTATTCAGTATGGAGGGATCCGTGAGAAATTTTGAATGTGTCTCGTTTGTTCGATCGACGATTCGTATTTGATTTTTCACAGCGCATCACTCATACCCCTCCTACAATAGGCCACTGATGTAGTGAACATGCATCAATTGTCGACATGGAGATAACGGTGGAAAGAAAATAAAAAGATAAATTACCAGTCTGGAAGACACACTCTCCGGAGATCGACTTGGTCTCAGCACCGAAAGAGATACCCTGGTAAGAGGAACCATCCTGGAGGACCAAGGTCGCGATTGTGGAGGGCTCGACCTGATCGCAGGGAGGGGCGGAGACAGGAGGCATGGGGTAGACGGCGGCAGCCTGGGTAGGAACGACGGAGCGGACTTGAGAAGGCATGGTGTGATGATGATATAAAGATACTTTTTTTGGTGGCGTGTGGAGAGGGGAGAAGTATTATGGAAACAGAAGAGAGAAAAGTACAAAGATGCGATACAAAAAAAGACAAAAGACAGAAAAGGAAAATAAACTAATGCAAAAGTGTGGGGAAGTGTGAAAGTGAAAAATGAAAAGTGAAAATGAACAATGACAATGAAAATGAAGAATGAAGAGTAAAGACCTTGTGAAGGGTGATCTCGATGGAATCCGCTCGGCTGCGTCGTGTGGGGTGGGTGTGGGGGAAGGTGAAGGGGTGAAGAAACAAAACAAACAGAAAAAATAGAAAAGAGTAAAAAAGAAAAAGATCTTTGAAAGAAAGTGCTGCCTTTTTATTGTCATCGTCGCTCGAACCCTCCCAGCTTGGCTCTTCAAAGAGGTGGTTTGTGTGCGTGTAAAGGTTGATAAGCCACAATTGTCGGATCACAATCGACATTTTTTCTTTTTTCTTGAGCGGACATTAGAAAATTGACTCGCAGAAAGGGTGCCTTGAACTTCTTTTTTCCTGCTGCCAGAAATATGAAAAAGAAGAGCGAAAAAGAGTCATCCTTCCAACTGACCGCGTCCTTGCTTGCTTTCTCTGGCGAGCAGCAAGATACAAGGCTGTCTGATCTCTCCTTCTCTTTGTCTCTCTCTGACACCTACATTCACATCTGTGTCTCGACAGGACAAGTAAAGAAAATCATTTTAGGCCCATGTCCCTTCCAACCCTTCCTTGCGTTAAGCTTAACGCAGGTTTATTTTCTTCCATGGTGACTGCTTCTGCTATCCACAGGGCCTCACACGAACAGAGGGTGCTCATCGGAGGAGGTCTAGAGCGAAGTCACCGCCCTCAAGACAAGCTAGACTCGATGCATGAAAAAAAAAGGTTATTTTCAACCGAAAAAAAAAGACCGATTCAGGAACTGCCGTCCTCTTACACAAACGATCATTTGCGAATGGTGTTGGTGGAATGATCACTGCAAGTGGCACTGGAACAATCCATCGATGATGTTCTCGCGCTTAAATAGCCCATCGCTGCGGATACGTATATTTTCTGCTTCGAAATCCACATAGAGACGAAGTATTTTCAAGCTATAAGATCGGGCAACAAGAGAAATCCCACATAGGTAGAATGTGAAAATATCAGATATGAAATATCAGATGTCAGATATCGCGACAAATGATGGGAGGAGTGATGGATCGACCAATTGAGAAAGTTCCAATGTCTTTTTCTTGATCAGTCCAACGTATTATCCCAGGATCACCACCCTGCCAGCTCGCCAGTCATGGAGTCATGGAACATTGACCTAGAAGGTGCCACATTCAGAGTCCGTCCCTGGAAGCGAAAAAAAGGATACTCTTCATTGGATCCCCCTCACCACGGATAGCCCGCTGGGTTCCCTCCGTAGGGAAGTAAAAATACCAAGTAGGAGTGTTGGGGTTTAGACGTTGTGAAAGTTTTGTTGACTCCAGCCTAGGAAGGAGGGTAAGATTCTGACTTTCATCTTGGTGAGGCTGTGTGTCTGTCCTCTATATGAATCTGCCACAGGCGCGAAGCTCGGGCGATGAGAGTCTGTCAATGTTGGAGTGTGCATTTGGGTGCTCTAAAAATAACAAATAGTTTGGGCAGGCTGGCAGAGCACGCAACGTGTCAAGTTACCAACGAGCTCTCTTTTTTTCTTCAACAGGTGCAAAGTTGTCAATGGCAAATAGTTCGACATGTGCGAGTACACCTACAGAGAAATAGAAGAAGCTTTAAAGTGAATTATCGCTCAATGGATGTTCAATGCCGAGGTGCTTGAAAAGTGAGAAGAAAAAGGGAGTTTTGGGCAGGAACGAGAGAGAGGAAGAAGATAGAGAGAGCAAGCGCACCCTTGCTCCAGGGCGCACGATTATTGGCTGGATCATTGTGGCTTTCCTTCTCACTCTGTCCCCGCTTCTTTTTTTCTGGGCGTACCACACTTTACCACTTTTTGCTCATCAGCTTTCATCTTCTTTACTCTTCATTCTTTCCTCCTTTACATCTTCTCTCCTCCTTCTCCTTTCATCCTCATTGCCTGGTGCTTTCTCAAGGACCTTCTTCATCCACTTAGGCACAGCCTTCTTTCTCATTTCTCCTTACTTGTTTACTTTTGAGGATTGTGATCATCTCAGACAGCACAATCCTCGTCATCTTCCTTCATCCCATTCAACTGACTCAGGACAAGGTCCCCCCTCACACTCGGATCAATTCACCAACTTCCATTGCTACCCAGCAGGAATAAGATCGCATATATACCCCCTCGTCGTCCATCAACTGCTTTACACTGATAAGCAATGGATATCGGCAATATCTTCGAGGAATGGGACTTTTCAGGAAGCGTGCCCCTCCCATATAGAGTCCTCTTGATGGGCTGCATCGGCATCTTTGCCTGGGCAAGCAATCTCCATATCCTGACTCAACTCCGAGTCGACGTCTCCAATCTCCTCTTCAACAGCCCACCGCTCTCAGGAGTCTATACGAACCATCCACGGCACTCACGGGAAAAGTATGCCAGCAAGTCCTCGCCCATCGTGGTCCTGTACCGATCCATCTATACCCTCGGAGTCGTCTTTCTCTTCATGGTCTTGGTCAACATGTGGATGTACAAATGGGTCGTGGCTGGATCAGAACCCATGGAACAAAAGAATACCAACGCCAAGTCAGGATCACCTTCGTTGGTTACAGGAGATGGTCGTGGAGGCATGGGATTGACTGGAAACCCAAGAGTTGGCATCGTGGTCCCGATTCTGGGCTACCTGTCTATTGTTCTCATGGTCTTTATTCCCTTCAATGTACTCTTCAAGAAGGAGCGCTATCGGTTCCTGAGGTACGTGCCCATTGTTCCACAATGCCTAGTCTTGTTTTTGTTGTTTACATGACTGAAATGAAAACCCCAATTGGAGAGCATTTTTGCATGCAAAAAAGATTAATCAGAAACAGGTGGTCCCCAATGGTGTTTTTTGTAGATCGATGAAGAAGGCTCTTTTTTCAGGATTCAAGACAGAGGTGACCTTTGCAGATGTGATCCTGGCCGATATCCTCACGTCCTTTGCACGTGTCTTTGGTGACCTGGCTGTGGCGCTCTGTCTGATGTTTCCGGATCGGGGTGGATCTAACAGCGACGCTTGCTATGGCAGTATCTTGGTTCCCATCATGACAAGGTAAGGCTCTTTTGGCCAATCTTTGTTTGCATTTAATTGGCGACTGTGGAGCATGGGTCGTGGACTGATGGGCAGATGGACAGGAACGATCGAAAAAGTCTAGTCTGGATCGGAATGACACTTTGACTGATCGGATCCACTCTTTTTTTTGCGTTCATTTTCTGTGCGCATGGTAGCATTCCTTACTGTATCCGACTTCGCCAGTGCTTGACAGAGTACATCGAGTCCAATTACACCGTCGAGAGGCACCTGATGAACGCGCTCAAGTACGCATCCGCCTTCCCCGTCATCATCATCTCCTTCATGCAAAAGTCGTCCAAGGCAGCATCGATGAAGGGGGTCGAGTACAACGGCTACTTTTCCGACAACTCTCTATTCCGTCTCTGGTACAGTCAACCTTTCTATTATTTTTTTCAGGTTGACTAGCATACTGGATCAATAGAGCAAAGGAAACGAACATACGAAAGACTAACAGGGAATACTTTTCTCTTTGGTTAATTATGAAACGCATAGGTTGTTCTTTGTGGCGATCAACTCTTTTTATTCGTTTTATTGGGACATCTACCATGATTGGAACTTAATCCAGGCACAACCTGCAGGACGACCCTCACCTTCTGTCGGTACACCTACCATCGCTGCAAGTCCAAATATGGGCCCTCACTCGCGCATGACCTCAGGGCCTCTTTCGCCAACAACAACACCAAAATCGGCACCGGGCACCTTTGGCGATGTCAATGGAGTTGCTAATAATAACAACAGTGGCAAGCCCCTTGGATCGCCCTCGCTCAACTCTGGAAACAACAACAATGCAGGCATTGGAAACGGAAGCATCAACAACGGTAACACTAACGACACCAACCGCAACGGCAGCCTCAATTCATCCTCGGCCTACGCAAACAGCAGGAAATCGAGTCGGTGGTGGGCGTTTGGGTGGGGCATGCGATCACAGCTCCACTATGAGGACCAGCTGTTCTACATCGTGGCGGTGATTCTAGATTTCTTGCTGCGGACGACCTGGATGCTCAAGCTGGTATCGAACATTCAGATTGAAGAGTACGAAGGAGGCGTGTTCACGATGGAGTGCCTAGAGGTTCTGAGACGGTGGATCTGGGTCTTGTTCCGTTTGGAGTCGGAGTTGGTGAAAAAGACGGCAGGATATCATGGCAGCGAGTCGGCGTCGAACCCTGCGGCTGTGGGGCTTTTGATGGGCGAGTCAGATATGGACGGGCATAATAGCGAGATCATGATGGAGGACCTCGAGTCATGGCAGAAGTAGTAGCGCTCTTTCTTCTCTCCCTTTTTTTTTTTTTTTTTTTTGGCATCTCTTAGACCTTTCCCCCAAATTAAAGCAAAAACTTTGAGCAAAGAAGCAAATCTGCAGAATCGCACAGACCTGAAAAAACCTCCCATGGAACTGAGAAAAAAGGAGTGTGCAGTCACGAACACATAAAGATCAATCAACCCCCTTGAGCATTTTTAAAAAATCTCATGTGTTTGACACGAGTTGAGAGCTAGTTAGCAATCCTCCGGGTAGGAATGGACGGTTCAATTCTCATTTATGAGAATTGGATTTTACTACCAGACACATCAACTCTTTACTTGTAGAGAGTCGTGTTAAGGCATCCGTCGTTTCTTGTCCATACCTTCGGGATGGCAGGGCGACATCTTAACCCCCACTATTTTATTCTCTTTAAAGGCGATCAAAGAAAACGGAGAAAAAAAAGGAAGAGAAAAGATACATGCCAGGTGGACAATAACGCATGCCCCTTTCTTTGATGAAGGATGTCTGTTAGGCCGTTTGGTTGTGAGCATGTAAGCGATCATGGGTTTGAGAAAAGGGGTGAAGGGAAGCATCCACCACTTCAGTCAAGCAAACAAAAAGGCTGACTGTGCGCACAAACCCCCCTCTTTACTGTTTACATTCAGGGGAGTGATGCTCACAGGGACATGACCTCTCCTTGACGCTTACTTTTTTCTGTTCACTTTCTTTACTTTTTTTTCTCTTCTTTCTCTTGTTCTTCCTCTTTCCCCGTCGACTCCTTGTCCACATTAGACCCTCCCTTTCATCACTCCTTTCGTCCGTTCACACTTCCATTTCCCTTCTTTGCTCCACCTTACTTAACGACCCCACACACCTTAACTCTCAAAAATTCATTCGCCGTCGTATTCTTTTGTGAACCATGGACACCAATACAACCGATCCTGGAGCGTCACCTCTACCAAGCACCACCGTGCCCACCTCCAAAGCCATGGTACTACCACTAAACCCTGAGCACTCATCACAGAACATGTCAGACATATCGACCATCAATAGCCTAACGCGACCTTTATTGCATCCAACGATGGACTATTACCATGCTGGATAGAGCTCTGTAACGGCGGCGTTTATCATCCTTGGAGTCACTGTGGGCGCTATCCTGCTGCACCTGCTCCTTTCCTATATATTCAAGAAGGTCGCAGAGAGGACTGTTTGGCAGTTTGATGACGATGTTGTCAAATACTGGTATGCCGCGCTTCTTTCTCTTACCCTCTCCCCCCATTGCTTCCTCTCGCTTTTGCATGATGCGCTATCATCAAATGGTCTATATTCCTTGCCAACTAACCCTCCTTTTACCTGCAACGGCTGTTCAATCCACAGCAAGAAGCCAACGTTTCTAATGTTTCCAACAATAGGCCTCCTAATCACCATCCAACTAGTCACCCTCCCCGTCGGCGTCTACGGCGTTCTCAACCACATTTTCCTTATCATCCTCATCTTTTCCATCACCCTCTTCGTCGTCATGCTCATCAAGTGTTGTTCCATGGCCGTCGCTAGGTCAAACTCTCGAATGAAGGAAACGGATCTGAAACGGGCGAGGGAAGTCGAGACACAGATTGTGGTCATGACGAGGATTGTCCAGGGGATGGTGTGGTTGTTGGGGTTGAGTGGGATTGCCATGACGTTTCCTAATGCTTGGCAGGTGGGAGTGTCGTTGCTAGCGAGTGCTAGTGTTACGGCGTTGTTGTTGGGCTTTGCTGCCAAACCGGGTATTGAGGTAAGTTGAAGAGAGGCTTGAAGGAGTGGGACGTAGAGTGTGGGAAAGGTTGGGAGGGTTGAAAGATAATGAATCAAACAAGGAGTACGGCAGTATGGTTATGCAGATACATCGATCGGATGATCTTGGATACGGGCATGAGGCAAAAAGAGGAGGGGGGGGGGGGGTTGTCAACAACCGCAGGTCCAAAACGATTTCCTTGATACAATGCGCTAATTTTATTTTATTTTGGTCCTTGACGGATAGAATGCATTTGCATCGCTAGCGATCGCGATGACACAACCGTTCTTACTGGAGGACCAGGTGGAGGTAGCCGGCGAAGTGGGACACATCGAGGAGATCCAGTCGCAGTATGTCATCATGCGAACCCTGGACGAACGTCGACTCGTCATTCCCCTCACCTGGTTCCTCGCCAACGTAAGTCAAGTCTGGATTGAAACCCAGGATACACCTCTCTTACATTAAAAGCGAGTAGAATGGTCTGTCTCATTGACCATTTGTTCCGTGAATGCCAATAGATATTTCAAAACTGGTCCAGGAACTCACCACAACAGATCGGGATATGCAAGATTTTTGTCGATTACACCACAGCGATCCCACGGATACGACAATACTTTCTTCGATTCGCGCGCGCTCACCCGCTCTACGACGGTCGCCACTGTTCGTTGCTGGTTACGGACTGTACATTAGGGACGATTGAGCTCACTTGTCAAGTCAGTGTGTCGAACGCTATGGATGTGATGCAGGTCTCGTCGGATATTCGGGAAGCCATGGTTGAGTTTATTGCGCGCTCGAGATTGGAGGTTTCGACTACTGGAACAAGTCCGGCTTCGATTCGGAGGTTGGCGAATCTAGGGGATGATCTTGTTGGAGGTGCAGGAGGACTGACAGGAGGGGGTGGAGGTGAAGAGAATGTCGTGAATGAGCATGGGGAGATTGTGCAGGCGCCACCACCGCCGCTGACGACGGAGGATGTAAAGATGGGCAGTGGAAGTAAGGCGTATCAAAAGATTAATCCGACTACGACGGCGTGCAAGGATGTTACGGCGGAGAAGGATGCGGATGGTGGTGTGGAGGGTGAGAAAGAGAAGCCTGTTTCTGGGACGACTACGGCGTTAAATGTCGGTCCTGGTGCTGCTGTTGGGTCAAGGAGGGATCACATCCAGGTCACGGTTGAGGATGTTGACGGTACTCCAGGGAGCGGATCTGAAACTGTAGTCCAAGGACTGACGAGAAGGACAGTTGGAGGAGGGCCGGATGCTATTGTCTCTTCGTTAAGCGTGGCAGAAAAAGGCGCGCTGAATAAAACCTAAAAGGGCTAGCACTCTCTGTCTGTCTGTTCTTCGCACGTGATCTACTCCGCCACTATTTTTTTTTTTTTCTTTTTTCCTTGACTTTTGAAAAAACAAACGGCTCCTACTATTCAACTCCATTGACCTTTCTGCTCCCAGGACCAAGGACGAGGACCCCATCGCTTACAGGATTCTTTCCTTTTCGTCAAACTTTCCCGCCACTTTCACCCAACACCTCACATTCTCATATAACGACAAACCCCAGCAATGACAGAGGAGGCACAACAAAAAATTCGTAGCATGGTCGACATGGCCATGAACTATGTTGTCGAGCCGCAGCCGCTCGTCGTCCCTGCCGTCCCCGAGACCCTCGATGCCCTCGTCGAGCAATTGAACTCTGGTCTTTCTCTTAACGATAATACTGCTGCTACTCCTGCGGCTGAGGAGGAGGCTTGGGATGGTGAAACCTTTGGCGTCCGCCTTGGTAAGGCATAGAACATCTCTCCCTTTATTTAGACCTTATTTGTCCTACAGTCCACATCTAACTAACATCTTTTTTTTTCGTTTCCAAATTCACAAACCCACCCCCCCACCCCTCTGACAGCGGGCCTGGGAAAGTTGGTGTCGAATGATATCACAAAAGTCTCCCTCGCCTGCAAACCCCCCGCAGACCCCAAAGTCGTCATCGGGATGATGGACGGTCTCGCCGAATCCTGTTTCCGACTCGCCGGGTTTGTCGATTCGATCCCTGTCAAGGTCGCCGGTCAGACGTATAAACGCGAAGTCCAGATTCTGGCGAACGACATCTTTATTGCGGTTGCCGGGCTTTTGAACGAGTTTTTGGATCAGAAGGTGGAGAAGGTTTTGCAGATCCAGCAGCAAAAGTCTGTTATTCGGGGAGCTGTTGAGGGGTTGCATAATGGTGGATCTTCTTCGCCTTCAAGATCGGGATCAGAGACAGGAACAGGAAAGTCTGGTGAAGGAGCAAAAGATGGGTATTTGATCAAGACGGGAATTGTGTGGGAGGCCTGTGAGATCTTTGAAGGTGCTAGTCGGTCGAACCGTCAGGCCGTGGCCAAGAAGTGGGGGGATATGATGTCGACCATGGAGGATGCCATTGCCGAAGTCCAAGAGATGATTGATTCCAACGACGACAAGAAGGATACTGACAACGATGGTGCAGGAAGTGACGATGATGAGGACAGTGGAAACGAGAGTGATGATAGCTGGAACGACGAGGAAGAAAAGTTGACCGAGGAGGAGAAGCAGCTGAGCATTCGGGCGAACGCCTTCCTGAAGTTGACCCGACTCCTCTTCAAGAAGCTCCAGCAGAGATGTCTCGATACCCAACCCGCCACCCCCGTCGACTCTTCGTCCTCTGTCACACTGAAGCCTTCAGTCCTGGCAAGGATGTGGGACCAACTGTATGATCGGGCCAAGGGGATTGTGGCATTGGCTGACGAGATTGCGACCTCGTTGTATGGCCCCCAAGACCGTAGTTCGATTATTGAGCTGCTGCAGGAGTTGAGCCGGAAGAACCATGATTGTATTCTTGTTGGACGGTTGTTTGTGAGGGGTCAGGCTGAGCATGAGAAGTGGATGGATATGTGTGAAGCCCAGTCCAAGAAGATCCTTGATACCGTCCTCCAGCAGTAGGAGGGGTTTTGTAGGAATGGCGGAGGGAAGAGGTGGGGGTGAGGACGTCAAGAATAAACTATAGCATATCATAGATACTTTCAACGCGTTTGTTGATACGGGGGGTTTTCGTATGGTGGGCATGCAAGGCCAGCGAGTTAATGTGGTGTGACATTTTGGAGGTTCTTGAGGGAACGAAAAAAAAAAAAAAAAAAAAGGTTCTTGAGGGAACTAGGTCCATGGTTTTTTCTTCGTGATAACGAAATAAGTGAGAGCACAGCTGCAGCAATATGCGAACATGAGGCAAAGAAAGAAAGAAGGACCCAGCGGGCGGAGGATATGAACGTCCGACTCGGTAATTGGCGATTGGCATATGAAAAAGTGAGGAGCATTGCACCTTCACGCAGAGGAGGAGGAGGGGATGCAAGAGGGACTTGATCTTTGCGATATATCGAGAACACGCCACCCTAACTATTGGGATGCGTTCCCTTCTTGGTGATAGACCAAGCAGAAGCACTTGGTCGCCTAAATGGGCCATTGTGAATGCTGATGATGATGTTGTTGTTGTTGCTGTTGTTGTTGTTGTTGTTGTTGTTGTTTGTTTTTGTCCGAATTGCCTATGAGCGGGTCGGTTGAGGAGGAATGGGAACAAAGAGGGGACAACAAAATACTGGAGAGACAGGAGTGTGTTACAGATGGTTGAGGTGCATGGATCTAACACGGATATTTTTTTGCAATCGGCTGAGTTGAATGAACAGCGGGAGGAGAGGGTGGCCTGATTTTTTAAGGAAGGTCTTTGAACATGAATTGTGACTGGGTTGGGCGATTCGCAAACACGCTCAGGCACCGAGAGTGGTTGTACTGAACTGAAGTTGGCTGGCTATTGTTTGTATTGCTGCCTAGTAAAGAAAGTACCTTCTCTCTCATCACGGCAAGAGGTCAGTCATTCATCTTTTACAAGTTCACCTCTTCCTTCTTCACTTCTTCTTTCTTCTTCACACTTGTCTTTCCCCTCGTCCTCTCCACTCTCTCCCTTTCCTTAATTCGACCGTTGTTCATATCCTCAATTGAACATTTTTCTTACTTTCACCTCTCTGTTCTGCACTACATACCCCCTCCCTCACCTCACACCTACCTCCTCCTCTCCACTCTCATACCCTAACTATGCCCGGAAACGTAAAGTTCATCTCCTTCCACTGATCACTTTTTTTTGACAAGCGCTCATCTCGGCTCCTCATCTCAGCCCTCATTAACTCTTCACACCATTCCTAACCTCGTGTCCCCTCTTATCTTTTCCGAAACCAAAACAACGTGCAAAATAGGCCGTGATCCCCTCGTTGGCGACAGAGCCAGTGCCCGCACATGGATCGACATTCGACATTATCGTTGTCGGTGCTGGAGTGCTTGGATCTGCCTTTGCGACCACCTTTGGCAAGCAGGGAAAGCGCATTCTCCTTCTCGGTGAGTTCTCTTTTCTTACCCTCTCTACGTTTGTCCGTTTCAGGAACGGAACAGTGCGACAAACAAATCAGATCATATCAAAAAGGGGAGGAGGGGTGGCAATTGGTTGATTGTGTGAATGTGTGTGAGAGAGAGTGAGAGTTGATTTGCTGTGATGGTAGATCATAGGCTTGAAATCAGGGTGGCCTGATGGCCTGACCTGATTTTTTATTTGTTGTTTCTTTCTCCCTTTTTTCAACAAACAACATTCCTAAATTAAGCGCTGGGCCGGATTATGTTGGAAGGAGGGGTGTGGGGGTTGGTGAGTGCTTGCTGCTTGCTGCTTTTGTGGCACAGAACAAAAAAAAAAATTGTTGTGAACCAGGACTTAGCATTCGCATTTCACGAAAAAAAAACTAACCAAACCTCATCGATATCAACAACCTAATAGAGAGAGACTTGAATGAGCCAGATCGCATTGTCGGAGAACTGCTTCAGCCTGGTGGATACAAGGCTTTGAAGGAACTTGGACTTGAGGACTGTCTGGAGGGCATCGATGCTATCCCCACTTATGGATACGGCATCATCCGTGGATCAGAACATGTCCACATCCCATACTTGATCGACCCCAAGACCGGAAAACAGGATCAGGGATGCTCTTTCCACCATGGACGGTTTATTCAGAAGCTTAGAACCGCTGCTTCCCAGGCACCGAAGTAAGGAACGAGGATATTGGCTGCATTGGGTGTTATTCTTGTGTAGAAGTAACATGGCATTGACCAAGGACTTTTTCTTTCATTCTTTGACATATTAGTGTCACTATCGTCGAGGCGACAGTGAATGAGACGATTCACGACGAGGATGGCGTTCGTGTGATGGGAGTGAGCTGTACACCCAAAAAGAGCAGCGGATCTGGGGAATCCACAGGAACTTCAACGGTCACCACTCAGTACTTTGCACCCCTGACCGTCATTGCTGACGGCGTCTTTTCAAAGTTCCGCAAGCAGTTCATCACAAAACCCGTCTCCGTCACCTCACACTTTGTCGGGTAAGAGCTGCACTTTGAGCTGCACTGTTTTTTCTGAGATAGGGTGTTCAGACGGTTGACATACTTTGAATAGGAGTTGTACGAGGGAGGAAGCTAACCTGGATGTATTTTGTTTGCAATAGGTTCATTATGAAGGATACGCCATTGCCATACCCTAACCACGGCCATGTCCTGTTGGCCTCCCCCTCGCCCATTTTGATGTACCAGATCTCAGAACACGACACCCGCATCCTCGTCGACATTCCGGGAAAGCTCCCCTCGGCCAGCACAGGCGCATTACGCTCCTACCTCGAAACCATCGTCCGCCCTCAATTGCCTGAATCCTGCCAAAAATCCTTCATGCAAGCTCTTGAGACTGAACGTCTCCGGTCCATGCCCAACAGTTTCCTCCCTCCTTCGACGAGCTCAGAGTTGGGAGTTATTTTGTTGGGCGATGCGATGAATATGCGTCACCCTCTGACTGGAGGTGGTATGACGGTGGCGTTGAACGATGTTGTGTATTTGAGGGATATGTTGAATGGCGATGTGACCAAAGATCAGGAGGAGACGATGGTCCAGATGGAGCTGTTCTTCTGGAAGCGGAAGGAGCTCAGTGGTGTCATTAATGTCCTTGCTCAGGCACTTTATGCCTTGTTCGCTGGTGGAGGTTAGTGTTCTTTGGTTATGTATGCTCTGTACCTGCTGCTAGCTTTCCTAGTGTTGGTGTATCAATTGGCCCTAACGATCGTTTATTCGCTTTCTCTTTTTTTCAATTCACAAAAAAAAACCTACAGACGAGAACTTGATTGTGCTTCGCGACGGATGCTTCAGCTACTTCAAGATGGGCGGCGAATGCATTAATGGCCCTGTGGGTCTGCTTTCAGGAGTTACACGTCGCAGGATGGTGCTCGTGTACCATTTCTATGCGGTTGCGTTGCATTCGATCTGGTTGATGTTCCATAAGGCGACTTGGGCCGAGGTACCGGCTACTTTCTTCCAGGCGTTCAGTGTCATGTGGACTGCTTGTGTTGTTCTTCTCCCCGTTATGTGGAGTGAATGCAAGGCATAAAGTGGAACGAGGGGAGTGTATGAAGAGAGAGGGAGAGAGAGGATAGGAGAGGAGGAGAGGAAGTAATAGTAGACGCGTTGTTGGCTGGACATTGATGAGGACGCGCCAGCGAGAAGTAGAAGCATTTTTTGTAACATACCATCACCATAACTTATATTCTTCATTAAACAAACAAAAAAAAAACACTCTTATCATCATATCGTGACTCATTCATGACAACCGCAATGGCTTTACCCATGGTTGCCGAAGTGCAGCTTTGACTTGTTTCGGTTCTTCGGCAAGAAAAGGTTATGAGTTTGTAGCCAAGTTGCCTGATTGGGATGTAAAAACCGTTGTGGGCTGACAAATTCTGAAAATAGCCTAACGAAACAAGTCGTTATTTTGTTTGTGGTGGGAAAAAAAGTGGGAAAGAAGGAACCTTTCCGCGTCGACGCAATGGCCAACGGAGCAAAGCCAAGGGGTAAAGGGAAGGGGTGTTTGGGAGGGTAAACGACAGCAATGGAGGAGGCGGCCGATCCATCAGAAATATCCTTAGCGTCCTGGCCATTTAATGCCTGAATGTGAGAGTGGTGTGTGTATTTTGCCACGACCGTTATTTTATGATCTATTCTTCTTGCTTGAAAAAAAGTAAGGGCCATTATTGCCAGAGCGGATTTGACTACACAGCGACAAACCAGCTCGTCGACGACACTACAAAACAAACGACTTCGGCAAGCTGAGCCGGAAATCCATTCAAGCCCAACTATAGATGCACATAAAAGAGTTATTTATTTTTTCGACAAGACATTGCCTTGGGCGGAGTCAGTATTGATTCGACTATGTATTCACATGCTGTCGTCGCCCAAAGATAGGAAGGCTTGACTTGTCGGTCGGCCTTTGACTTGTAATCTCCCGTTGTCTGAGGAAAAAGAAGGGGAGGAGAAAGAATCTGGGGAAGGAGCCTGGGGAAAGATGAGGGGGATCGCCTAGCCAATTGATCCACCAGGAGGACCTCGCGTTTATTTATTTTGACTTTGATCTGGTCGACAAAGGATACTAATAACCATGACGATTTGTTTGGGATGTATGGTTCGAATTGCATGACGAGGCGAGATAAGGAATGGCAGATAGGCCTTTTTTTTTTCTTGTTGTTCCTGAAAGTCGTGAAAGTGGGGTTAGAAGATGCACAGGAAGTTGCGACAAGAGAAGACAATGAATAATGAGCGACAATGAACATCCTGTCGATTTTCGATAAATGTCGATTCCATCCTTCTTTTTCTCCTTCTTTTTGTCCTTCATTTCTCGCTCTCGCCTTCACTTTCTTTTTCATTTCTCATCCTCTTGCATACTTCAAGAATATCATTCCCTACTCCACATTCTCCCTCCCTTTCGTTGTTTACCACTCTCTCGTATTCTCTCCACGATCTCGGGTCTTTTACATTTGTTCTTGGAGCCAACAGAAAACACCAAAGTACCGGTATGTCTTTTTGAGTGTTGTATTCAATCAATTGAGATGGGGATCCATGGTCGAGTGGGGGAACGAATGTTCCTGTTCGTTATCTTTGGGTGTTTGATTATGTGGCCCAGTGTTTGTATGTTTTGTCCGTGGGGTGGTTTCAAGGTACTTTGTTCTTTGTACCACGGAAACTGGCACGGTTGAAGAGTGAGCATTGTTGAATTCAATTATTTGTACTCTTTGTTTTATTTCTTGAATAAGGGCATTGCCTTTTCGATCGTGATTCGAACTAGTGGAGCGAAAAGAGGAGAGAGCGAAGGTGAGGGGTGAGACAATAGTGATGGTCGTTAGTGTGGGTGTGGTCAGAAGGGAGTGGGTGCCGTACTAGATTGCATTGTTGATGGGGCGGTGATCAGCGGTCCCCTTTTCTCGCTCTGTCCTCTTTCCCTCCCTTTTTCCACCCCCTCTTCCTCTTCTTCCTCTTCCTCTTCCTCTTCCTCCAATCTGAATTTGACAATCTGACACATGAAAAAAAAATACTTTGTTATGAAAGCCTCCTTCACTCTTCACCACCGTCACACTTCATTCTGATCTCCAAACCAAAAGAAACCCTCTCTTCTCCTCTTTTCAACTTCTTCTTCGTTTTCCTTACTTCTTTTCTTCACTAATCCTTCTCTTCTTCCTCTGACTCGCGCCCTTTTAACGTTTTCCCTTCATTACTTTCTTTCATTCCATACCTCAGTCCTACCTCTCCTGATTACATTCACTTCTCTCAACAACACCAACAATACCAATGTGGCGCCGCATTCCAGCAACAGGTGCCCGGCACGCAACCTCCTTCAGGACAAAGGCCGCCTACGCCACCGCAGGAGCAACCACCCTCGCTCTCTCAGGATACTACTACAACCTCAAGCAGCAACAACGCGCCTTCGATGACGCGTTCGAATATCCTCCCCAGTCCTCCATGATCTATCTCGAGCCTCAGCAGGCCTCCAGAGATCCTACTCGCCCACACGCCTTCTGGGCCCCACCCTCGCGTGAGGATATGATCAGGATGCTTCAGGAAGGTCCCGGTGCCATTATCAAGGAAAAGGCTGCCGCCGCTGCCGCTGCTGGAGCTACTCCTGAGTCAAAACCTGTTGCTGATGCACCAGCAACACCTGTGGAAGACGACGAGGACTCGGACGTGTTCGATCTGTTGATTATTGGAGGCGGTGCCACCGGAGCTGGATGCGCCGTCGATGCCGCGACTCGTGGATTGAAGGTCGCCATGGTGGAACGTGATGATTTCTCATCTGGTAAGTTACTTTTGTCCGTCGTTTTTTTTTGTTGTTTTCATGTTATTCTGATCTTGGCAACGTTTGGACGCGCTCCCATTTGAATGGACATCCCTTTTGGGTGTGAGCGAGAGAGAACGATAAATACAAAAGTACTTGACAGAGGGGGGCGGAGGTGTAGGGTATTGCTGAAAATTGGCACTAGCGGAGCAGTAAACAAGGGAAGTAAACAAACAAGGACGATAAGACAAGGGACAGACACTCACTCATACGCGGACAGTAAAAAAGAATCTGATCTGGGGGCCCGTTGTGTGTGTGTGTGGTAATAGAGGTTCGCTCTCAACTAGAAACGACTATTGCAACCCTGAAGGAAGAACACTTTCGTCAGCGAGCGACTAACAATGACAGTACAGGAGACTCAAAGGGAAGTAAAAGAGAACCGGCCGCACGGGCGGATGAGAGCCATTTGTTCTAAATGCGGAAGGTCTGTCTGTCATGATGAAGGGGGTCATCAAGAATAACCACCAGGTGTTTGGGGATGGATATGATGTTGAGACACGAAGTAAAGGAGGAGATCGCTCTCAATTGCACACTGGCATGATTGCCTTGTTGTCTCTCTACCCCCTTCTCTCCCCTCCCCCCTTTCATTCCTGGTTCCAATGGGCTGAGTCACAGAGAGATGTGAGAGATGTGGTGTGTTGTTGAGCGCGCGTCTATTCTAGGTGACGGTCAAACATAGATGCTGAATTGCAGATCATATCAAAGGGGTTGGATGAAGCATTATGCGGGGTATACATGCATCCTGCTCAACATGTGTGGAGGCAGTGTATGAGAGGAAGAGAAAAGTCAAAGGGAAAAAAGAAGACTAAGGGCACCACTGGTTGTTTCTCTGAGAAGGGAAAGAGGAGTCCGATTTTCCATTCATCACAGAGAGTGGACTCCACGTGGATCATCCGAGAATGATTGCATTTGTATATCTTATGTTTCCCTCGCTGCCTTGGCTAATGCAACAAAATGCCTTTTTTACGGCAATAACAAAATGAAAGATGAGATTGAGGAATACCAAAAAGCACGAAATAACTCACATGTTTATCTCTTGAATACAATTGCTCTTATTAGGAACATCGTCCAGATCAACCAAACTCGTCCATGGAGGAGTCCGGTATCTGGAGAAGGCTTTTCTCGAACTCGACATTGAGCAGTACAAGCTCGTCAAGGAGGCACTAAACGAGCGCGCCAACTTCTTGAAGGTCGCTCCTTACCTCAGCTACCAGCTCCCCATCATGCTGCCCATCTACAAGTATGTATCCACCCTTGTTATGTGAAAAAGGTGATAAACATGGTCAAGAAGAGATGACTAACAAAAGTGTATCTTATTCCCTCGAATACATCTAGGTGGTGGCAGATGCCTTACTACTGGGTTGGATCAAAAGCCTACGACTTGCTGGCGGGTCATCAGGGCATGGAGAGCAGTTACATTTTGAGCAGAGGCAAGGCTTTGGAGGCATTCCCTATGCTCAAGAACGACAAGTTGGTCGGAGCCATGGTCTACTATGACGGACAGCACAACGACTCCCGCATGAACGTTGCCCTCGGATTGACTGCTGTCCAGTACGGCGCTGTCATTGCCAACCACGTCGAGGTTATCGAGTTGCAGAAGGACGAAAACAAGCGTCTCTGCGGTGCCCGTGTCCGTGATGTGATGACTGGCAAGGAGTTCAACGTTAAGGCCAAGGGTGTCATCAACGCAACTGGACCTTTTACTGATGGAATTCGTCAACTGGATGACCCCTCGATCGAGGCGATTGTCGCACCCTCCGCTGGAGTCCATATCATTCTCCCCAACTACTACAGTCCCGGCAACATGGGTCTCTTGGATCCCGCGACCAGTGATGGCCGTGTCATTTTCTTCTTGCCCTGGCAAGGAAACACCATTGCAGGAACCACCGACTCCCCCACCGAAGTCACTCCCAACCCCATGGCGACCGAGGAGGAGATCAACTGGATTTTGGGAGAGGTCAAGAACTACCTCAACCCCGATGTCAAGGTCCGTCGCGGAGATGTCTTGGCTGCCTGGTCGGGTATCCGCCCCTTGGTCCGTGACCCTGCTGCCAAGAACACCGAGGGGTTGGTTCGCAACCACATGATCAATGTCAGTGCCAGTGGATTGTTGACGATTGCTGGAGGCAAGTGGACCACCTACCGTGCCATGGCTGCCGAGACGATCGATGAGGCCATCAAGGAGTTTGGTCTCTCACCCGCCCGTGGCTGCTCGACTGAGCGCGTCAAGTTGATTGGATCCCACGGATACAGCAACACCATGTTCATCCGTCTCATTCAGCAGTTTGGTCTCGAGACTGAGATTGCTCAGCATTTGGCCAACAGCTACGGAGACCGTGCCTGGGCCGTTGCCTCGCTCGCCCAGTCGACTGGCAAGCGCTGGCCTGTCTTTGGACGGAGAGTGTCGAACCAGTACCCTTACATTGAGGCTGAGATCCGCTATGCTGTCCGACGTGAGTATGCCTGCACTGCTGTCGATGTGTTGGCCCGCCGACTCCGTCTTGCCTTCTTGAACGTCCATGCTGCTTTGGATGCTCTCCCCAGGGTTGTTGAGATCATGGCTGAGGAGTTGAAGTGGGATGCTGCTCGTCAGGCCAAGGAAACTGAGGATGCCAAGGCATTCTTGACCACCATGGGATTGCCCGTCAGCCCTATTGCCTACCCTATTAATGTGCCCGAGGCTGTTGTCGGACATCCCGTTGGTGAGGGTGAGAATGTTCAGCAGACGGGCTTCTGGGGTCGTATGAGCGGCAAATCTGCATCTGGAGCAGATGTTGACGACTCTTTCTACTCGCGTGCCCAGTTCAACCCTGAGGAATTGGCTGAATTCCATAAGGTCTTTGGCGCTCTTGACCATGACGGAGATGGTCACATTGACGGACGTGATCTCGAGAAGGTTCTTGGTCAACTTGATGTTCAGGTTGAGGCCGGTGTTCTCAAGAACATCATCGAAGAGGTAATTGCTTTTTCTTTGCCATTGTTTCATTGGTCGTGTTCAATTAACCATTCGCAATTCTAACAATATTGTTATTGTCATGCTATTACAATGTAGGTTGATTTGGATAACTCGGGATCAATTGAATTCAACGAGTTCTTGGAGGTGATGGGTGGACTGAAGGAGCATGCCAGCCGCACGGCGTTCTCAAAGATTGTTGTTGAGGTTGAGAGTAAGCGGAATGTTGACTATGGTATCAAGGCCAAGACCACCGACCGCAGTGGTGGCGGAGCTTAAGTGCCATTTCTTTCTTTCATAGTTATTCCCTTTTCTCTTCATTGTTTTTATTCATTTTTCATCAGTCTTTTCCTTCACGACAAAATAAATTATTTGACGCCACTAATTCCTTCGCGTGTGTGGGACTGCCTGTGCGTGTGGTGCGACAAGCCACTCAACAAACAATTTGTGGCACTTTTTTTTTTTTTTTTTACTTTACCCTCAAGGAGCTAAGCTTTGCCATTACTCGCACCAAACGCTTCAAGGACCAAAGGAACTCATTGCGACGACATGTTCAACATCAGGCGCTTCGACCTCGAAGCTGAGACTACTCAAGAGTCTTCTTCTTCTTCTACTACTACTACTACTACCACTACAACAACAGCTATACCAATTAATGACCGACTCGCCAAACTGAACGCCCGTCTTAACAAGAACAAGCCCCCTCCCACCACCACCACCTCCACCACAGACAGCACTACCATCCAGGACTCAATACCCCGCAGCAAGGACATCAAAGACGCCAAACACCACAAAAGGGACCGCGACTCTACTACTACCACCACCAAGACAAATGAGATCTCGTACAAGCGGAGTCGCGAGGAGGAAGATGCCCGTGTCGCACGAGAGGAAGCCCGGAGGCAGAAGGATCAGCAGGCTGGAAAGCAGAGGTGGGAGAAGAGGGCCAAGGAGTTGAAGGATAGTGATCTTATCCCGAATGATATCCGGTTGGCGATGAAGGCTGAGGTTGAGGCGAGAGATAGGGCAAAGAGGGAGGCAAAGAAGAATCCTAATGCGATTGCGGTGGCGGCTGCTGCTGAGAAGGAAAAGGAGAAGGAGAAGGGGGATGAGGATATGTCGGATGTAGAGGCCAATGAGGAAGACAATGAAAATCAGGATAACAAGGGCCAGGAAGAAGAAGAAGAAGAAGAAGAGGATCGCCCAGCATTAGAACTCGAAGGCGTCGAACGGTTCGCCTCCGAAGCCGCCGCAGACGCAGCGCTCGCAGAACTCGCGGCCCTCGTCCCCCTCCCGACCTTCGAAACCAAAGAAATCACGGCCCTCGAAAAGGAACGTGCCAAATCCATGGGTATCCCCGACTGGCTCGCCCACCCGACCCTCATCGAACCGGACGAGTCTAATAACCGGCCGATTGAAGATCAACAGTTTGGGTTCTCAGAGAGGTTGATCAAGCAGTGCAGGAAAGCGGGTATTGAGGAATGCTTTGCGGTTCAGACAGCTGTGATTCCAGTGTTGATGCGGGCTAGGCATTTGGGGGATATTCGCAGGGCCCCAGGGGATCTTTGTGTGAGCGCTCCGACGGGTAGTGGAAAGACCTTGGCATATGTCCTTCCCATCATCGAGGTAACTTTTTTGTTCTTTGTTGGGGTCATTTACTCATTGTTGTTTTTATGGCTGCCTTGTCTAACTGAGAGCTGTTTTAAACTGGTATCGTTGAATGTAGATTCTGTCACAGAGAGTGGTAACGCGTCTGCGGGCCCTCGTCGTCCTCCCCACTCGCGACCTCTGCATCCAAGTTAAAGAAACCTTCGAAACCTTCGTCAAGGGCACCGACCTCAAAATCGCAACCTCGACCGGCCAAAACTCCTTCGCCCACGAACAAGCCATCCTCGTCGGTGAATCTCACTCCAACCCTAATTCCCCACGGATCCTTGGAGGCCATTCCCGAGTCGATGTCCTCATCACCACACCCGGTCGTCTGATCGATCATATCAAGTCGACTCCGAACTTTACATTGCAGCATTTGAGGTTCTTGGTGATCGATGAGGCGGACAGGCTGTTAAACCAGAGTTTCCAGGATTGGTTGTTCCATATCTTGAATGCCATTCATCCAAGTCCCGAGAGGAAGTTGTTGGGGGCGGATGGGTCTGAGGCCATTCAGGTCAAGCGCGATCACCTCGGGTAAGTTTTATCTACTTTTTTTTTTTTTTTTACCCCATCTTTCCTCAATATTCGTCAGTGGACGATGTAAACGAATCGATTACTAACCCCCTCCCTTCCATTGGATAAAAATAGGTTCCCGATACACGACGCGATCGCACCAGGATTCCTCTCGTCATTCTTCCAGCTCCCAGAATCTGACGTCGAAGACCCCAAGGCCCTCTCTGTCCAGAAACTCTTGTTCTCGGCAACATTGACAAGGAACCCTGCCAAGATTGCCAGTCTCCAGCTTTCGGACCCTCAGTATGTTGCTGTCCAGGAGGGCGGACAGGATGGTGATGAGAAGCAAAAGTATACCACTCCTGCTGGTCTTACCGTAAGTATTTGTTGTTGTTTTTTTTTTGTTAATTAATTTTGATCCTTTACGATCAAAAAAAAAAAAAAAAAAAAAAAAAAAAGGAAAAAAGGAAAAAACAGAACAAGGGGGAGGGGATTTGTTTGCTAACGTCTTTTTTTTTTTCTTTCCTACTATTGCGAAAATCCTTTACAACTCATAGGAACATATGATTGTATGCGAGACGTCAGAGAAGCCATTGATGGTGCTGCACCTGTTGCACCACCTTCAAGTGCGGTCTGCGTTGTGTTTCACCAAGTCTGTCGAATCTGCGCATCGTCTTTACAAGCTTATTCAGCTTTATGAGAAGATCCGGACGACTGCTCCTGTGGAGGTACCTGTTGTTAGGAAGGAGGCTGGAAAGGAAAAGAAGGTCAAGGAGGAGCTTAAGAAGAAGGGTGGTAAGGATCAGGATGGTGAGTCTGGAAGCGAGGACGACAGCAGTGACAGCGACAGCGACAGCGACAGTGAGGATGAGAACGATAGCAGTAGCAGCGATAGTAGCAGCGAGGATGAAGAGGACGAAGGCGAGGACGAGGAAAAGACGAGTGATGTGGAGATGGAGCAAGCAGAAACCTCCACGAACGCTATGGACATCGACACCACTACCACCACTGTCGCAACCCCAACAGCAACGGATGCGATTGTTGTCGCAGAATTCTCATCCGACCTCCCCAAATCCAAACGCCAATCCATCCTCCGAGCCTTCAACAACGGCGAGATCCACCTCCTGATCTGCTCCGACCTCATCTCGCGCGGAATGGACCTATCCCCAGTCTCGTCAGTCATCAACTACGACTCGCCCGTCTACATGAAGAAATATATCCATCGTGTTGGTCGTACTGCCCGTGCAGGCAAGACAGGAACTGCCTACTCGCTGGTCGAGATGCAGGAGGCTAGACATTTCAAGGAGATGATTTCGAAAGCCGGGCATTGGGACAAGATTGGAAGGGTTAATGTCAAGAGTCAGGAAGTCAAGGATCTGGTCCCAGGGTATACCAAGGCTTTGGCTGGATTGAAGGATGTTCTTGTTACTTCGAGCCGCCGTGCTGGCTCCAGACGATCCTTCAAGTAATTCTCAACATCCCCCTTTTTTCATTAATTAAAACCTGTAACACCAACACCATTGCATTTCAAAAACACGCGAACCCCCCCACATGTAGTTTGAAAGTCGTTATATTAAATTTTTGGATAAAAAAGAATGCAAGGTACATTTTACTCCATCATGTTATCGTCTCTTACGAGACCCAGGCTTCCTTGGGAGGCATGATCACACAACTCTCCTCATCCAAAAGCCCCTGCCCAATCAAATACTGCTTCAAATGATCAAACAACTCCATCTGGTCGGTCCCCTTCAACTTGATCGCATGTGACAGAACCAACCCCGTCGTCACCGCCGAGGTCTTGATAAAACTCTGGTAGTACATGTACGAGAACAGGCCCATCAAGAATTGGCAGTCCATCCTGTCAGTGATACCTCCATGACCCGGGATCGACTGTCCGAAATCCTTAATCTTAAAGGCGCGCTTGAATCCTGACGCGAAAAAGCCTCCAAAGGGGGCGATGAGGGATGCGAAGCAGGCCATGATGATGACGTGCCATTGGAGGGGGGCGATCATGACATATGTGGAGCGGAAGCCGATATGGCCGATGAGAGAGACCATCCAAGGCTTGAGGTTGTATCTGACCGGGATGAAAACTGGGTTGGGGTCGCAGGTCAGTCCACTGAAAGCGCTCGCCCGCAAGTCCTTCACTGGGCAGATCATATATGGGTACTTCAACAAAAACGTCGCAAACTAAAGGAAAGAGTGGCAAATATGAATATATGTTAGAATAGTACTTTCAACAGCTGAACGAATAAGGCGGATGAGAAAAGAAAGAAACAAAGACTTACGAGCATGCCAAAGACGATGGTCATGACCCAGCCACCAACGAATCCCTCGACAGTCTTCTTGGGCGACAACTTGATCAGGGGAGTCCGGCCCATAAAGAATCCGAAAATGTAAGCCCAGATATCGTTAGCAATGACCAGCGACGCGGGGAGGAAGAACCAGATAAGACCCTCAAAGATGTTGTTGATAATGAAGTGAGATTGGCAGACAACCAACAAGAGCGTCATATGTGTCCATGCAAACTGCGAGAACTGGAAGCGGTAATGGCCCTTCTTCAAGTTCGCCACAAAGAACACGAAACCTATGGGACACGTGAGGTTACATGGGATGGACGTTAGTTCAACGTTATCCACAACGGCGAGCAATGGCAGATGATCCGGTAGATATTCCAGATGAACATACCGATGACATAGAGAGTGAAGGAGATGAAGCGGTGGTGCGTGGCGAATGGCAGCAAGAATGCGTCAACAAAGACGATGTGCTGGAAGTAGTGGATCAAACTCTCGCCATAGAAAAAGTAGTTTGTGCTGAACAAAAAATACCTGTTACACATAAAAGAACCGAGAGAAAACGTCAGTCCGTTTCTTCAAAAGACATCGTTGACGATGCAACAAGGTAAAAGGTGACGCTTACCAGTGCATGGATCGGAACCAGGGCAGCTTCTTCTCCTTACTGGGGACGGTAGCCAAGAAGATGACCTCCTTGTAGACGAGACCCTGAACCATGACGACCAACAGAATGACAAACAATGGTCCTGCGGCAAAACAGGCAAAGAAGCCTCCAATCATGATCAGCGTCCACAGTGTACGAGTCGACCAGTTGGCCCACTTTGCCTTGGCAGACTGGTCGGCCAACAACACGACAGCCTATCAAGCAGTAGAGAGCGATGCAAAATAAAAGTGTTAGTGCAAAAAAAGAAAAGAAGGTTCGTTGCCTTCTTTTTGAGGGATAGATGGGAGAGGGTAACTAAACGAGTTTTTCGTTAACAATGGCGGGAGCAGCGGCAAAAGAAGAATCGCAGAGCATTAAGAACTGGATATTAATATTTCCGGTGAAGCGGTAAAGTATGGTCTCGTTTCTTTTATCCTTGTTTGTTTGTGTTTTCCTGGAAAGAAAGGCTGCCCATCCTATCGAGACAAACAACAAAGAGGCAAGCAAATTCACCCCTCCTGTCCTTTCTTTGTCTTTGACTTCTCTCCTCCATTACTGCCCTCACTTGACCTCCCCTGTTTTTTGTTTGTTGCTTTCTTGTTGTTTATCTTTGTGTCAGCCATTGTGTCCACCAACCAAACCCCCCTGTCATCAGTTTCCTCCCCTCTGTGTTTCTCTCACTGTCTCACGGATTGATGGTTGTACCTCTTTTTCTGATCCCTTTCCAGAAGTAGCCGTCTCAGATGAAGTGTGATGGTGGTGATGGTGATGAACAAGTGGGTGTGAAGAGTCGATATTGTTGTTGCTGTTCAAGAGAGGACTGGCGACAGCGACAGGTGACGATGGTGGAGAGGTCCGTTTCTGCTCCTCCTGGATCCGTTGAACGTGTCGCTTATTTAGCGTTCGCTTTAACAGGGTCGAAGGTTGTTGCCTTTTCCGGACCGCCTTTATGTTGTTATTGATTGAGTTGCCGGTGGCAGTAGCGGTTGCGCGATTGCTCTTGTTACTGTCCTCCTCGTCTTCTTCCGAGGTCTCGTCATAATCCAGGTCTGTCTCTTCCTCCGAGTCCTCGTCCTCGCTGGGGTAGTTGCTGACACTGCTATCACTTTCGCTGTCTTCGTCCGTGTCGCTGTCGTCCTCGCTGCTGCTGCTGCTGCTGCTATCAAATCTGTCGTTCTCTTGTCCGGATAATTTTTGGTCGCGTCCTCCAGCTGTTGTCGGTACAAGGTCATGATGCAGATTGTCGAACAGATTGGCGCTCAAGTATCCGAATCCGAGAGCAGACGGACTCGGCAGCGACGTAGACGATTGACTTTCGTCGCCTCCTGACGCAGCAGTGGCAGCAGTGGCAGCAGTGAAACCCAAAGACCCAGTTGTAGCACACAAAGTAGTAGTAGAAGAAAACCCCGTGGAAAAAGTTGAGAAAAAGGAAGATAATGGAGAAGTGGACGAGGATGGATTCCGATCCTGACCAGCCAAAGCAGCTCCACCGTCGTCGGTTGTAGTCTTGTCTGTTATAATCGCAGTGAGCTTGTGTTTTTGCTGCTGCTGTCCTAGCCGGGTATTGCTGTGGTTGTGGTTGTGGTTGTGGTTGTGGTTGTTTACCTCCTTGGAAGCGGCGGTAGGTCCGGCGCCATTGCCGTTGTGATGGTGATGCTTGAGGTGTTTGGGAGATGGAGGCGGACTACTTGGCGAACTGGGGTTGCTTCCATTAGTTGCGGCGTGAAGAGCGGCGGCGGCGGCTCCGATGCTTGTGTTGATGGTTGAGGTTGTTGTTGAGCGGGTTGAGGGGGCTGGAGGGGACGCGCCGCGTCTTGGTGATTTCGACTTTGTCATTATGTCGAAGTTATATGAGGGAAGGGGAAGGGGAAGGGTGAAGGAATGAAGGAGAGTAAAGAAGAAGAAGAAAAAAAAGGGGATCAGATTCCGAAAAAGGCAAAAGTAAAGAAGAAAAAAAACTCGTTACAGGTTTGCAGACACAACGGGTTTTGTTGTTGAGAGCAGAAGGGGGGAAAGGAGGAGAGGACACGGATAGAAAAGAATATGACCGCGCGGGAAGGACAATCGAAGTGATTGAAGAGGGGAAGGAGAGGAATGAGAAAGATATAAGGAGGAAGAAAGGAAGAAGAAGTAGCAGAAAGAGCGAAAAGTATCGGTACCTGTTACACGTGATGGGAGGATACATGGCGCTTGAACGAATGTCCGATAAAAAAAAAGGGGACAGCGGATCGAACATCCGTCATCTTCATCTCTTTTGTTCTTTGTTGTTCTCACTTCTACAAGGCTCTTTCTTGTCGTTGTCCTCATGGTATTCGCTACTCTGCACTTCGCAATCATGCTCTCTCTCTCTTCATCCTACAATCTCTCTTCCTTAGCGCGCTTTTTGTTTGTTTGTGTATGCTCTCGACCCCATCCCATCATCATCAAACGGTCTCTTACCCCCTTACCCCACCACCTGCCTATCTTTACTCTCCACATACTCAACCCTCATGCAATCTGCATGCACCTCTCAACCCTCAACCACTTTGTACACGCACACCCCCAACTCTCAAACAACTGTGCTCACAAAAACACACACTCGCAGCCTGCCAGTCATCTCTGTGTTCCAACCTGCATTCCTTCTCCCTTCTTCCCTCCCACAAAAACCTCCCCCTCCCCCACAGAGACGGCTTCCACGGGACGGGGGCCTCGGTTCGGATGAACATAGAGTGCGCAACCACTACGAAACCCAAAGAAACCCGAAAAAAGAACCAAAAAAGAAAAAAAAAAAAAAAATGAGAGCCTTTGTCTTCCTTTCTTTCGTTCTCTCGATCAAACGGGGTTTCCTTACCCTTTGGTTCTGCGCATTGAGCAAGACATGTGTGTATCGCACGGACAGCCCCCACTCCCTCCCTTCTACATTAGCCAACAAACAGTTGTACCCTTTCGTCTTCGATTGGCTTGACTTTCATGTGGAATTGTGGAAAAAAAGATACTCGGATTCTTTTACCTCTTTCAAAAGTACCACCACCATCCTTCTCTTCTCCACGCCCCTTTTCGTTTCTCTCCACAACTTGCTTTTCTCCGCCACTAGCCTTGGAAGAACTTGGACAGGAACCTGTTTGCTGGCACACACACAACACTTAAAATATTGTGCGCTCGCTCAAAAACATGAACCTGACTAAAGCCAAAGAGACAGAGAGGGTACATCTTAAAGTGCCACCAAAAAATTAAAAAAATATGAAGAAAGCCCATTTTTCACGCGTTTTCATTTCCATCACCCTTGTTGACTTTTGGGCGTATGCGTGTGCGAGGTGCGGTGCGTTCGCTTATGCAAACGTGCAATGCGCCATGGGCACATGCTTCCTTCTCCACTCTCACTCACCTCACTTAGGGCGAATGACACCTAAGTGCCCTCTTTGACCTTTTCCCTTCTGAAATCAGACCCAACTGCTTGTGTGTGCGCACTGTTCCAGGGAGTAATAGTTTATGGTTTTTCCAGCATGCGATAATAGCAATAACGAAGGAAAGGAAAGGAAAGGAAAGGAAAACAAAACCAGCGTGACAATCTTCAAAACAACAATGATTAATGTTGATTCTAGCAAAGCACATAAACCACCTCTTGCGTGTCAATGGTTTAATATACAAGGAGTAACGGCGCGCCTTACTTCTTTTTATATACGTTGAGGCGACTATAGAACTCAGTCACTTTGGGGTGCACCATCACCCTCTTCTCGACAAAGTTCAGCACCTGCAGTCCCTCCAAAGACGTCGCACGCGACATCGCCACATATGCCTGACCTATTCAGCCCACCAAGAAAAGAAAATAAAAATAATCAGCATCAACTCACAGTAGCATTCTATCCTGTACCACAGTGCTTCTCCAAGGGTAACCTACCTTTCTCAAAGACTTTGCCGAGGTCGACTTTGACTTTAGGAAGCGTCTGGCCCTGGCTCTTATGGATACTCAACGACCAAGCCAAGCCTAACGGAATCTGAATCCTCGACCCCTGGACATCACCATTCGGCAGCTCAATCTTCCACTCCTCCCGTCCAACAACCATCTCCCGCGTCGTTCCATTATCCATCGTGAACTTGACCAACGGTAACTCTTCTCCTGGAGTATTGAATGATCCTTTGCTTCGTCCATCGGATCCAACCATGTTATCGTTCTCTGCGGGTCGATTCACAAACCCGACCACTACACCCAAGGACCCATTCACCAATCCTGCCACGCCTCCTCCAGACTGGTTCTTCAACATCATCACCTGCGCATTGACTTTGAGTTGGAGCGTCGTGGGAGCCAAGGTGTTCTGTTCCATCTTGTCCCTCATCGGTCCCGAATCCCGAGCCTTGTACACCATAATGTTCCCTGGAAGACTCTGTAACATCCTGTTGTTCGCCTCCTCGACTTGATTTCTCAGTGGGAATCTAAAACAACGCACATGTAACCGTGTCAGTCATATGCATTACAAGAAGCAATATCAAAAGCCTGCCAAAAAAGACTTACAGTTCGGTCGGCCGGAGACCATCGTCTGTAGGGAGTGGTCGTGTCAATTGACTGAACTTCCGGATTGTAGTCGCCGACATCTGTCCCAAGCGCATCTCATTCAGCATATCAGCAAAAGCTACGTAACACACACACGGAGAGAACGAAATGTCAGTCAACAATTAATTCAAATGCAAACAACAATAGCAGTATAAACAAAACAGTAAGCTTACACTGATCTTTCTGACGAAAGACTTGCTGGAGCTGAATGGTCGAGGTAATCGTAGAAGCCCAGGACTGACCCTCAAAGCAGAACTTGACAGCGCCATTCTTAGAGACCGGCGGGAGCTGAAAGAAATCTCCAGTTAGAACCACTTGGATCCCACCCCAAGGCTGCTCGTTCCTCCTGACCGCTCTCGCCAGCGCCTCGACTTTATCCATAAAATCAGAATCAATCATCGACACCTCATCAATAATCAACACCTTGGTATCTTGCCATCTCCGGATGGTGTTCGAGTTTTTGCGCACCTTCCCGATCAGGGTCGGCAGAGCCTCCGTGCCCAATCCAACGCCAACAAACGAATGCAGTGTGCAGCCTCCGATATTACAGGCCGCGATACCCGTCGACGCCGTCACGGCCACTGCATCGTTAGTGCTCATATTCTCCCAATAGTGCGATCCCTTGGCATTCCTGTACTTGGTCCGTAACCGATGAATCAGCTCGCGCAGCAACACCGACTTGCCTGTACCAGCCGATCCCGTAAAGAATACGTTCCGACCATACAGAATGACCTGCTCCAGAACATGCTGTTGTTCCTCCGAGAGTCGCATTCCATCCTTGGTCTTGTCTCCCGACATGTTTTGATGGGCCGTGGGTGTAGAAGCTTGAATAGCAACTGTTGGTGTCTGGGCAGCAGGGGATGACGACCTCGGTCGAGTAACCCCCCACTCCTGACTCTTGGCAAACGACGAGCTCCGTGAGTAAGCTGGTGCGACGGCGGCCACAGGCTTGTATCCAGAGACAGTCGATGGTAGTGTCCGCGACTTGACGGTACCTCCCGTTCCGCTACTTGTGAGTCCCGTGCTACCTTTGCTCAAGCTCGCGAAATCCCCTGATCGCTTCTGACTGAATGATGGGACGTTGGAAGGCAAAGCTGTCCGACTTTGACTTGACGATCGAAAGCGTGGAGGAGACATATCTGGACCTCGATTCCCTTCCAGTCCTCGCAGCCTGTTGTCAAGACTTGACGACGCCGAAGCGAACCCATCATCCGAGACTGTAGAGTGGCTAGAGACCAAGATGGGTCGATGTACACTCAAGCCCTCGCTGAGCTTGGCCTTCTTGATTGCGGTCTCGTATCCGGGCAACGGGGCAGTCGATCTGGGGAGGGGTTGTGTGCCCCTGGGGGTAGCCATCTGATCCAAGAGCGAAGCTCCTGTACTCCTGTTTGTCGACTGAGATGACTTTTGTGTGCTAAACTTGCTGCTGTCGTCGTCCTCATCGCTGTCGAGTGCAACAGGGCTCGTCTTGGATCCATGCAACTCCGAGTCCGCTTGACGCTTCAACGGACGTTCTGTGCCGCTGTGATGAGTGCTATGATATCCGCTACTCCCGTGTATGTCCCGATCTGGTGTATTAGCATCTCCATTCACTAGTAAAGGGGAAAGCAAGCCATGACGAAATACATGTTAGCCACGCTATTATTTTGTTTGCCAAAAGAAAAAAAAGTGCGCAATTGGAAAAATAGTCTTACCTGACAGGGGCCGGGAAGGAGGCTTGGCGGTGAGGTCTGCAGAGGTGGGTATAGAAGATGCCAAGTCTTTTGTCGAAAAGGTGTCCGGGCTTGTCCGACCACCGCTCATACTTGGTCCATTGCCCTTTGAGACGCCGTTGCCACCAATTTCGTGCATTACTGTTGTTGCCTTTGTTGGATTCACTTTGCTGCTGCTGCTGCTGTCATTCGAATCTGCTCGTCTGCTGAAAGAGTTTTCTTTTGAATATAAAGCTGAAGACACCACAGAGGTTTTGGTTGTGAATGTTGCCGTTGACTTGGAGACAATACTGCTGCCATTGGCCCTACTGCTGCTGTTGTTGCTCTTCGTGTCTCTGTTGAGGATGGACATGTGTTGACGCGGTGGCTCAGAGGTCTCCATGGTGAAGAGTGCAGGCGCCTTTGTGGCCGAGACGGGCTTGAAGGACAGCTTCGTCTGGATGGTTGCTGGGGCCTTGTTCTTCTTTGGCGGCATGATTGGTTGTGAGGGATGTCGTTTGTCGTTAAGAGGAAGGAAGGAGAGGGTGCGTAAAGAAAGAAAAAAAAGAGTCTTCTTTTGGGAGACCAAAAAATCAAAACAAACAAACAGCGCAGAAGACGCGTTTCATTTATCGCTTCAGGGACCGCGTAACATGGTCACAAAAAAAAAAGAGGCTAACGTGTATTATGAAGAAAGTAAAAACAAATAAAAAGACTACTTGGAGGAACGAATACTGTCAGAGCGGATGCTCGATCCATGTAAGCTCGCGCCTCCACTAGCAGCAGCAGCACGGGCAGTCTCGATATCCAACAATCCACTGTGGACCTTCAACAACACAAACAGCTCCAAACTGTTCTTGCCCTTGCCTCCCACCAAACCTGGCAACCCAATCAACGTTGTGTTCGACAATCCCAACAGGTACTTGAACCGAGTCTGGGCATCGTCCAGACGACCCTGGTGGATCCAGATCTTGGCCTTGTAGTAATGCGCAAAATAGTACGTGTAAGTGTCGTCCTTCATCAAGGGCGCATACCGGAACACCGTCTCGAACGACTCGTTCGCCAGGTTGCACATCTCTCTGTTGAACGTCTCCTCGGGGAAGAATGCAATGTGATAGGCAACCAGACCCTGGAGGAAGAAGGCCAGACAGTAGTCGTCGTAAAAGTTTTCGTAGTCGGCCACCTTGCTGTCCTTGATGATCGCATTCTTGTTCGAGAACATGCCACCAAGCATACCGCCCGCAAAGGCCTCAATGGTTTGGTCCTTGGCAGCTAGGGGTTGACTCTCACGGTCCTTCATCTTGGCGGGGAGCAGGGCCTGGAGTCGACGGACTTCTGTCGAGATGTTCTCGAGTGCCTTCTGGAGGACCTTGGGCGGCATCATGTCGTAGGTGTTCCACAACAGCATGAAATCGTAGCTGGGAAGAAGCAGGTGACCCTCCTTCATGTACCTCTTGGACTTGCGTGCACAAAAGTTCTCAAAGAACAGGTTCATGCCGGCGACCTTCTGCATCCCGCCCTCGACCTTCTCCATCAAACTGTCAATCTTCTTCTTTTCGCCCTGGTCTCCACGCTCATACCCAGTAACGGCGGTCAGGTAACGGAAGCAGCACTTGGACCAGCGGGACTCCTTCAAGAGCTGACGACTGTTCTCGCAGGCCTTGTTGTGATCGTTCTGCATCATCGCAATCATTAGCTCTTCAAAGACAAAGATGTGACCCAGTTGATGCCAGCGGGGCTCCTCGACCTGAACAGATTTGTAGGTCGCCACGGCCTCGTCCAGACGCGAGGTCACCTGGAGATGACGGCCCTTGAAGAAGAGGAAGAATGGCGAGTCCGGGTAGCGCTCGAGGTTGTAGTCGTTGATCATCTGGGCATAGTTGAGGTCGATATGGTTCATGGGGATGAAGGACGACACAATGACCTGGAAGATAATTGGGACCATGTCACAGAACTGACGACGGATACCGTCGTTAGCAGACGAGGCCAGACGCTCGGCATGCTCCTTGGCCGTCTCTGGAGGGGCCATAGGATCCCAGTCTCCACAGGCAGAGAGCAAAGCCATACCCCAATCACGATCCGAGGGGAAACCAATGAACTGAAGCATCTTGACGAGAATGTCAGGCAAGAAAGAGATGATGATGTTGTAGAGCGAGTAGGAGAGAGTGACTCCAGAGACGAGGTGCTCGTCGATCTGGTAGTGGTCAATGCTCTTGCCATTCTTGAGGTCCGACTCTGCAGAATCCATGAACGACTTCAAGCCCTGGATGATGGTGAAGGCATGACGGAGGTTGATGCACTCCTCAACAACCATCCAGACATCGAGATGGTAGAGGACACTCAGCAACGAACGCAGAATCGTCGACTCTGCATAGATAAGTTCCTATATGACCATCATATTACCAAATAGCAGTTGGTTAGCATTTATCCGGAGTAATGAATCTATTGTCATAAAATAAATAACCTTATGCAACCTTACGGCGTGCTTCTGGACTCGGGTCATGCCCTTGAAGGAACCGGCACCAATAGTACCAACAACAAACGATCCTACAGCCTTGACAGAGCCCAAGCCGAGCATTGATCCCTTCCGTTGCTTGTCCGCCGTCTTGATCGCCATCTCAAACGCCTTCATACCCGCCTCAATCTCGAACGGGTCAAATGTGACCAGGGCTCTAAGGCCTTGGATGATACCCTTAGCCAGCTCAAAGTACATCGACCGAACCTCCTTGGATCCTCCTTTCTTGGACGAGCCTGTAGAGGAAGACTGCGAGGCGGACTTTTTCTCACTTTTCTCATCCTTGTTGGCGGAAGATGGTGCAGTCGAAGGAGCGGAGGAAGAGGTGACACTCGAAGCATCATCACCCTTGTTGTTGTTGTTACTGTTAGCAGTGGCCTCATTAGCCTTCTCCGAAGCCGTTGTCGTCGTCGCTGCTCCTGCTCCTGCTCCTGCTGCTCCTGGAATAGGAAGTTCCTCGCCCACAGGAACAACACCCTTGGCAAGGATAGCCTCCGCCTCAGCCATGCGTGAGTTGAGGAAGAGGTCCATGATATGACGAAGTATGACGAGGTCTTGGTTCATCTGCTGCTCCTCAACCGACTCGGGGGTCTTGTCCTTGCTCCATCGGACCAGATGACGGTAGTGAGGGACGGGCTTCTTAAGCTTTGGTGGGGGTTGGCGACGACGGGATCCGTTGACAGAAGGGAATCCTTGGTCCTGAGCGAATTCTGTTTCTTTAGCACTTGGTGGCATTATTGTTGTAATGGGGAGAGGAGAGGAAAGGGGAGTGGGGTTCTAGTTTTTTTTTTCTTGGGAGGAAATGGAGGAAGGGAGGGGCAAAGCAAAGAACAAAAGAGTGTGGGCGACAGAGAAGGGTATTTATGTTGCGATGGAAAAAAAAAGAGCTCAGTCCACAAGGGCAGAGCAGGCGTGGAGAAACCGTTGAAGTTCAAGAAGCAGTAAGCAAAGCAAGTGGAGAAGAAGACTTTCCCAAGTGCTCTCAATACACCCACATAAACATGCATATACGCATACAAACAAAACACCCGCCCACCCAAGCTGCTAAATGCACCTCCACTTTATCGAAGCGAAGCAAATTGGGGACCAAACATAACTTAAAAGTGTTTCTTTCTTCCTTTTTTTTTCTTTGAGAGCACGAAACGGAAGAGAGGTATCATATGCCATTTTATTAGCACCGTACATGTGTACATGGGGGTCATTACCTGTCCTTCCGCCGTGATATACATTGTGGAGGAGAGTGGACTGGGCAATAATAGCCCACTGACCAACCGAAGAGGAGCCAATGCTTTCGAAAACAGTGGGGGAGGAAAGTGTAACCGATCGACCTTTTTTTTTTTTTTTTTTTTTTTCTCCAAACAGCTTTCTGGGAGTGGCCTTTGCGTACCTTTCGCCTCGACACAGACTTGGCAAATAAACCACAAGGAAATGAATAAGTAGGTCACTACGAGCAGACTCAGAGATACATACAGTAGACCATACACAGGCTTGTTTGTTTGTGCGCTAATGATTGCATAGTGCTTGTGCATCTGCCGCCATTCTCTTCGGCGAAGCATGTGTGTAAGCAAACCTGCGTGGTCTTCTTAGCGCCGCACCAATACATGATTGGTCATTGACACTACACAAGGGCGCACGCAAGGGTACCTAGAGTATCCCTGCGCCATCCTTCATTTTTTTTTTAAAAAAAAAAAAAAAGTATCAACGAAAAGGTTGACGAGCTTTGACCGTTAGACCATGGAAAGAAAAAAAAAAAAAGGGTGCCAATCTTTTCCAAAAGCCCTTGGCTTGGATGGTACCGGTCTTCGCTACCAGACTTTATTACTCGCTTTATTGCATTAACCCTGTCACTTCTTGCCTAGCCTCTTGAACGAACAAACGGGCCAACTGACAAATGAGTCAAAGACGACCGATACCATGAAGTGAATGGTTTTTATGAATACATGACGACCAAACCAGAGCAAAAGCATACCCAATTTCCCTTTAGTGTCACACAAAACGCTCAAAGAGCATACAGGCATGTGAAGCGAAAGCGAAAATAAAAAATATCAAAACCCGGCTCGCACCATGGACCAACAGAGCGGTTATGAGCAAACAGGTTTTTTATATACTCTAGTATGAGTTGTACATGGGCGGTAATAGATATCAATAATATCATAACTTGAGAAGGGAGTACCCCTTGACCCTAGCGAGAGCGTACAAGAGGAGTCGTCTCGGTAGGCTCAGCCTCTCCTCCATTCTCACCCTGCTTATTTTGCTTCTGGGCTCCACTGCCATTAGCACGACGAGCTTCATGCGACGGCGACTGCGTCTGCGATCGAGGAGGCGAAGCGGGAGGGGTCTGTGAAGGAGACTGCGAAGGGGTGCCCTTGTTGCTTCGAGAACCAGGGCAGCAGCAACAGAGCACGTTACTCAGAGTCGTTGATGCTCGCTGTCCAAAATCGCGTACGGATTTGGGAATGATGGATTGGGTCTTGATGATTCTCTCTGGGCGCAGTCTGTCTGATGAGTCGAAGCATACCCTCAAGCAGATCTAATGGGGGGAAGATGGTGTTAGGAATGGGCAGTTGTCTCAAAGTGTCACCTTGACAAGACTCATACAGAATAAAAGAAAGAAATAACTATCAGACGGGAATCGCTTACCAAGACGGACGAAAGTGTGCCAAAGGCAGCAGCGCCTGAGATGAGGAACATGATAATGATCTGGGACTTGGCCGCATTCATGACCGATGCTCCTGCGATAAGCTGACCCGTCATCATTCCCGGAATCGAAATCAATCCAATAATGCTAATTTTGTCGAAAAAAGGGTTAGCTGAGGATCAAAGCAGTGCGTTGTTTTCTTGTCAACGTTCACTAGGGGCGCATATGCAAAATTAACGAAGAACAAAAAAGAAAAAGTCATACCTCATTTGGTTGATGGTGGGGAGCATGGCGCGTCGCATGGCCTCAATCGCAACGGGACGACAGGCCTCCCAGCGAGTAGCACCCATTGACAGGTACAACTCGATTCTTTCTTTGTTCTCGCTATTTGCAGCCATTTTGAGAAATGGAAGAGACTGTTAGATATGCTGACAACTATCATCCACTTGACGAGAACCAAACGTGCTACTGCTACAACTACGATGAATTACCTCAATTGACTAAGGCACTGGTCCAGGCCCAACGAAATCGCGGTCATCGTGTTGCCGAGCAGCATTCCAAGCGCTAAGAGCAAGAAAGCGACGACATGTCAAACGTTTAGTTCCATGCTTCTCAATTGCTATTTAACAGGTAAATCGCCATTTGCATACAATGAACAAGGGGGTACTTACCAGGGATGAACTCCTTGGGCGAGTGCAACGGATCGACCCCCATCGCCAGTCTCGTTCCTAATTGGGAAGGGAATCGACAACGATACCGCAATATCAAAAAATATTAACAAATTAAAAAGGGTGACGGCACGATGACCCTCGTCCTTTCATTATCCAGACACATAAAAACACGGTAGCCAGCAAGGAGGAGAGGGAGACATACCAAAGGTTCCGATAATCAAACAACTGCATCCCATCGACACCAACACCGACGGGAACTAATTACACGCCAAGGAAGAGGTTATTCCTATTAGCGAAAATGACATTCCCCTTTGACCATGACGACTCATCAACGCAAAGAAAAAAGACGTTCTTACCATGTAGATGTGCCGACGCTTGCTAACATTGAACACCGCCTCGTTGGTTCCCAATGTAATCAACAACACTGCCATCCATCGTCAAAATAGATGAAGGGCGTTTTAGTATATCTTCCTCAAAGAAGATAGATGAATGTGCATAATACATACAAAACAGCGCAGTCCAGAAAAAATTTGCCACAGAGGAAAAGAAACGGACTTACAGGCCATGAGAAGCACAAAGACTGGGTTCTTGGCATCAAAGATGGTTTGCAGCACCGTACCCTACTCATATGTACACAGAGAAAACGATATCAGACATGTTAGCCATTGAATGGCTGTTAAAAAATGTAGATGGAGGAGATATCGCCTCTCCAGGGTATCTGAAGCCTGCATCTACATCTCCTCTCTTCATCTCACCATCTTCAGAAAAAATAACATGTTCGGATTGGGCAAGCGAGAGAACCCGTATAGAAAACCAGAAAACAAAGGTTGTATACGACAACGACACCTACCATGATAGTCAATTGGACAACACAACGAGTAGCGCTGATGAACAACCGCTTCTCAAGTCCAAGTCCCAAAGCAAACGAAAGCGCACCTATTCAACCAAAAACAAAAAAAAAAAAACGCGCCAAGAATGTCAACAAATCGTACACGTGTGCTATTGCAATCCTCCGGCGATAAAGTGAAGTTGCTTTTACCGTTGACGAGAATGAGGACAGAGGCGATGGCGACGTGGTACCACTGCAGCTCGACCATAGGCTTCTGTGGACCGCAGTCGCCGTCCTTGTCACCGCCGATGAAAGGTAGATAGAGATCCATTGAAGGGTATTGTCGAAGGGTAAATAAGTGTTGAGGGGGTAAAAGATAGAGTGCTGGAGGAAGAAGGGTGGAGTGTAGTAGTATGAAGTCGGGAGGAGGAAAAGTGAATGAGGAGGAAGGTGAATGAAGAATGCGAGGAAGGCAAGATGGAGAAAAAAAAAAAAAACGGTGGCTGTCGTCGGACATCAGCTGCCTTTTTAGGACAGGAAGGTTTTGGGTTTCAAGATCAAGAGATTGGATGAAATTTGTTGTTATCATCAGAGTACAATTCATTAGGTTCTACCATGCTCCTACAACCTTGGCTGGTGGCTGATTGTCCTGGCTATGACTACTAGTATCTTCCGCCGACGCGTCCCCCTTCTTCTCCGCAGCAACCGCAGACTCTGCAGACGACCCAGCAGCGCCCAAGAGCCTCGAGGTATTCGTCAGCTCATATCCTCGCTTCGCATCGCGTACCATCCCGTATCCTTGCTTGGCCTTGCTCCACGTATGCCTCACAATAATAATCATAATCGTGACACCCTCAACAATGTAGAATAGCCCTCGGATCACCCACGACAGCATGATCAACAGAATATCCATCCAGGGGTTCTCAATCCTCTTCAGGTTCATCACCTGGATCTGATCCTCGACCTCCTTCAGCTTGACGAAATACGATTCGTTCCACTCGGCCGTGAACTTGTCCACAACCTCCTTGAAAATTGGCTCTTTCTCCCTCAACTGTGTTCCCGTGGCCTCACGAAGCTGCTGGAGACGCTGTCGACAGTCCGCCAGCATCACCCGCATCTCCTTGACTGACTCCCGAGTCGACTCCAGACTGGTCTTGAAGGTCAGGGTGACCGACGTATGGATCGACGACATCGATCCTCCCATCTCCCGTGTCGACGTAAGGGACAAGTCCTGCTGTTGATTCCGTGCCTTCAAAGTCTCCAGAGGTACGATATGTGGCGTAAGTGTAGGTCTGAGCCTGTGATGCTTGGCCGCGTCGCTCACTCTCAAGAATACTTGCGACTCATCATCCTCTCCCACAGCTTCTTGTTCGAGTTCCTCGACCACAGGACCATCGTCAGAGATGGGCCAGTAAGCTTCTGGATGCTCAGCTCGCTGATGGCGCTCAATCGAATCGTACTTCTTATTCGACCACGCCACAATCTCCTTGATCCACTTCTCACTATGGTCTTGCTCCTGGTCCAGGCGGAGCTCCAGCATGTCCCATTTCCGTGCATGGTTCTTGGAATCCACATCCCTACGCTCTTCTAGACCCAGTATCAAATGAATATCCAGGACATCGATGTTGCTGAGATGGCTGGGGTAGATGTTGGACTTTTTGATCGCCGACGAGATACCCAAGTACTCGTTGTATGTTGGCAGTGGCTCCTGCGACGTCAACAATGGACTCAAGTCAACTATTGAAAGTAACGAATCGTGAAACGTTAGGAATTTTGTCAGACAATTGATCCTTAAGTTGCCAACAGTATACAAGCAAGTTTACCTGTTTCAGATGCCCAGTCAACTAAGGCAAGGTCGGGTCGTTGTTTCAAACGCTGGAGCATCCGCTTTGGTATCCGGTCGCTCTCAATCAACAGCTGTGGCGCCACTGGAACAGCCTGAGAGCCATCGGGGTTGAAAGCGTTGCCAACAAGCTCGTCTCCCGAGAGTCCGGGAACTGGTGCTATAAGTGGCGACTTGTCGACGGGTGTTGCGTTCAGCAGAGGGGACCTGTCTGCCCTGGCGGCTGGATTGGGCACTGGTGCCTTTTCACTCCTGATTGGGTTGAGCATAGTTGGCTTGTCGAGCCTGCTTGTAGATTCGTGTGCGTTTGGGAGAGGGCCGACTCTGGGTGATCCTGCATTCGCACCATCTGGAGTCTTGATGCCCTCCAAAACTGGCGAAGAACTGCTGCTCATGACCCTAAGGATATTCTATTATAACGGTGGTTCCAAATGAGAACGGTTAGTACACTGTAGTACAATGTAACATCCTCGCTTGAAACGAGTTCTATGTGCTCCGTCCCGTATTGTACCTTGGGACGCTGGGCTCCATCCAGTGAGTTCCTGCTAGAAGAGGGTTGACTGGACGACATGCGCCCACTAGGCTGACCCTGGAGATGAGCAAGCGCAGGATCCAATTTCTTGCCCAGCGACTTGTTGCCGTCAGAAAACAGCAGCTTCCCGTTCGCTGGGCTAGTAGGACTGTAGGTGGGGAACTCTCCTTGCTGAATAACGGAGAGTGGCTTGTGGCCTCGTTTCCACATCATCTTGTCGGTGAAACGGCGCAGTGAAGAGCGCTATGTGGATATGGTCGTGTAAATAACGGGTAAATAACGGCAACATACACATGTTCACATGTCAGTTCACGTAACTGCGAAGCGGTAAACTAATCATACCTTAGCTGCAGCTGCGTTGCCTACACTGTCGCTTTCATCCTGACTCTCATCCAAGCGCTCGCCTTCTGCCCACTGAGCAGGCGGGGCCCAGTGACCTCCTGTCTCGTCGTCCGTCAGCATGATGTTGGGGTCGTTCGGATCTACCACTCTTGGCATTGACTGGTCAAGAGAGGCTCTGTGTATGGCATCGGTTTGGACTTGGCCAAGGTTCCCTGACGGTGAGTTTAAGAGTGATGGTGGGATCACTTCAACTGTAAGAGCATACCGCTGTCCCTGAGGTGGAGGAAGAGCTGGTTGAAGAAATGAACTGTGCTGGCTGTCGAAAGAACGTCGCTCATAGACCGGGCCAGCTGCCGAAAGTGATGGACTGCCATAAGAAAACGTCGGTTGTGATTCCTGATGATGATAGAGATCCGTATCCTGTCCGCTTTTTTTCCCCCGCCCACTGAACATTGCAAGAAAAGAGTTTCGTTTTGAGGACGGGGTCCCCGCAGCCGGTTGCTCCAGACCCGATCCATAGCCATTGTATACATCCGATAAGGAAGGACCTTGATTAGGCATGTTCGACTGGATAGGAGGACCTGTGGCCACACTATCCGAAAATTGAGGTCTAGAGTCCTCAGGGACGTCCTTTGCTTGGGTGATAGAGATTGGCTCAAGGGACGAGTATGATGATCCGGGAGCATAGCCTGGATTCGTAGAAGATGATATTGTGCTGAGGGGTGATAATCCTGCCTGGTCGTTGCTATGCTCCCTTGCAACCTCATTGGAACTCTCCTGCTGCTGTCGCTGTTGCAGCTGGTGCTGTTGTTGATGGATGTCGCTCATTATTGGTGGTCCATTAGAGTCTCCAGAGGTAGAGTGCTCGACACCAAAGCTTTCCATTGACGTAGATGACAGATGCTGCTGGAGAGAGTCCTGAGAACGTCCGTTCGTGGCCCTGTGGAGATGCTGTTGAGATTGAGAGCCATCGCTACTCAATGTTGGCAGTCGAGATAATGCTGCCGCCTCCGCTGCCTCCGCTTCCTTGACCATGCGATCCACATCCCAAATACAGCTCAGCTCCTCGACCTTGTCCACGAACCGATACTTGTCGTGCTTTGATCGCCGTGGGCGTGAGTGTCCTGCATCCATGGAGACCTTCCCGTCGTTGCCTGACCTGGGCGTGGATGTTGCTTTGACTCGTGGAAGCACCTCCCTCAACTTTTGCAACCGGTTCACTGGGTGACCAGCCTTGATCGACCGAAATAGCTCCGAATACCGCGCTTCGAGGGAACTCTTGCATTGGTTTGACAGCTGAAGCGACTTTTCCGACGGTATGAATTGAAGTGCTAATGTGGAATCCACGAGAGCGATACAGTAAGTGATCTATTCCAACTCGTCTTCTTGTTGTATTTACTCACCATTTGCACGCATGATCACCACTCCTATTTTTTCTCTTGCACATCCATGTTCGTCTCGACTGTACAACCATAATTTACCTGTAGAGGGGTCGTTTGTTGATAGAGAGGCCACGCGCGGTCGTTTCTGTGCCGGGTTGTTGTGCTCCACTCGCTTTTTGGTCATTTCTGTGAGCTTGAAGACATGGTCGTCATCAATCGATTCGACAAGGCTCTGGATACTGTTGGACGGCTCCATTTGCGACGTGGGAGGGAATCCTTGGTCGGCTGTGTAGCTGTTGTTGTTACTATTCTTTGGTTCAAACTCCCTCCGTTTGAACCCTGTTGGTCCATCCGATGATCCTCCTCCCCCTGCAGCAGCAAACAGACCGCTGTCGCTGTAGTTGTGGCTGTTGCTTCTGCTAACAGCCCCATCCAATTGCCATCCTCCCAGGGTCCTGTTATGCGTATCAACAATCCGATCTGATCCTAAGACTCCTCCTCCTCCAAAGCCTCCTCCGCTTCGTTCTGGTGTTGCCGGAGAGTGGTGTCCGCCTGGTGGCGCGAGCCGCACTCCGCGCGGGGACTTTGAACTTGGAAGTGGGGAGGGTTGTTCGTTATAAGGGCCTAGCCAACCAGAAGGGGCTTGTTGATGGCGAGGAGAGGGTTCGGTGCGGACTCTTTGGCGACCAGTTGTTGCTGTGGGCGAGTCGTCTGGATGAGAGGGAGAGGAGGCATTATAGAGCTTGTTGGAAGAATGCTGCTGTTGGTGATGGTGGTGGATGGGTCGTTGAGAGTGTGGTGTTGTTGTTGATGAGGGTCCTGAGTCGTGTGTGTGGTTCATTGTTTCTCCTTTGTTAAGAACAAGTCAGAGAAAGTGTCTTTTGGTGTGAGAGTGCGTAAGTGTTGGGAATGGGGGCGTCGTGAAGGTGAATGTCGGTGAGGAGGAGGAGGGAGCAAACAGGTAGTGAGGCAGAGTGGAGTGAGGAGTGGAGCGGTGATGAACAGATTTAGAGAGAGAGAGAGAGTGAGAGACAGAGAGAGCTGGTAAGGTGGGAGCACACACAAAGATAGATTGGTACTTCAGTGAAATGAATAAAAGATGTGTCCGCCTGCATTCATTTCTTTTATCACACACTTATCACACACCAGCAGTCACCGCACTTGCACTAGGCTTTGACATCGGAATATCGGGGCTGTTGCATGCCAACTTAACCTATCCACCCAGCCGTTCCTTTCTTTCATTATTTTCAAATGTTTTATTTCCTTCTTGAAGTCCAACACGAACTGACAAAAAAAGGGTGCTCAAAAGAATCCTCTGTTGACACCTCCCGAGGAGAGAGACGACAAACCGCCGTGCTGGGCATTTTGCATACGAAGCATCGCCATCCGCTGCTCCTCATCGTGAAGTTGTGCCATCCGCTGCTGCTGTTCCCTCAGCACACGCTCTGCCGCCAAAATGTTGTCCGAATAAAGGTTACCACGGTTACGCAGCCTGGAAAACGGAAAGGGATAGGATACGGTAAAAGAGAACATAAGATGAGTTTTAAGCCTTCTTACAAAACCAGTAGCAAACACAAGGCAATTGCTGAACTTACGTTCCGTGGACAGCGCTCGTCAAGAGCTTCATAGGTCCTGCAATTGAACTTGGCACACGGCTGACATTGTTTGGTGTCTCATCATGGATGATCGCCTCAGCCCGCATCGTAACTCGAAGAACCTGGTCTGTTGGATCACGAAAAGAGAAGGGACAATATTAGTTTCTCTCCTGAACAAACCTAAAGCCAGCTGTCCTTAGCCTACTACATTTCGCTAAACAGAAGGATGTCTTACTGTTGTCTGCCTTCTTGCCGTTCAGATTTTCAATTGCAGCCATGCCTGCTGCCTTCCTTGCATAGGTCACCTGTGCAAATCCATTAGCGCAGCCGCACGATCTAATCTCTCCGAATCTGGAGCACACATACTAATCAACCAAAACAATATAATATATAACATCAGTTAGGGATGCTTCCAAAGTAAAAAAGAGGAACTTGTCAATATACAGAAGAGACATACCTTCACGTCATCGGTGGTGGTGCCAGGGTCAAGGTTCTCGATCTCAATCGTCACAGGTCCGCTCTCGCCACGGAAGGCGACAGACTGTTGTCCTGGTGCAGATCCCTTAATGGCGATTGGATTGTTGTCTACCTCCATGTCCAGATCCATAGACATCGAGGAAGAGGTGGCCGCAGGAGGAGCCCGTCCAGCTGGTCTGTTATCCTGACGCGCAACTGACTCTGGCACCCTGGGGTAGGCTTCTTGTCTCCTGACGTTATTTGCGTTGTTGTTGTTAGTGTTGTTGTTGTGGGCGGGGCTGTTGTGGTTGTTGTGGTTGTTGTTGTGACTAGTGAGGTTGATGGGGTTGTTGATATTGTTTTTGTTGTTGTTGGTGGGGATGCTGATACGACTATTGAGATTTCCGGAGCGAGTTTCCTGGTGTGGGTTGTTTCCTCCACGATCACGATGATCGCCTGAGTGTTGATGAGTAGGGTGCCTGTCAACTTGACGGCCACCAGAGGGATTACCGGGTCCTCTACGGTTGTCCACGCCGCGGTTTCCACTCGTGTGTGCCGAAGTTTCTGGAATCCTGGGACCGGTTGGGATGCGCTCATCTCGTCTGTTATTAGAAGCGGCGGCGGCTTTGGCTTTGGCAGCGGCAGTGGCGGAGGTAAGACCTTCACGTTTGATCTGCTGAGTGGTGACCATGCGCATGGAATTTGTCGTCAAAGGCCCTGTGGGTTGCTGTTGCTGTTGCTGTTTCTTGCCAGTGGTGATTCCGACTTTGCGGTTGACAGTGACGAGTTTGAGGTTGGTTGCTGGTTTGGGGATGTATCCTGCGGTGAAGATTTCCTTGATGGGCGCCTTGGCAGCCTTGAACGACGCCGTGAACAACGCAGTCTCCTTCTTGACCTTTGGAGCCTATTCCAGGTGCAAGTATAACGCCATCAGCTGTCTTGTACATCGAGTTGCTCGTTGATGTTGTAGTTGTGTGCAGAGTGTTGCTGTCTAGGCCATTCAACTTACCGCGTAGGGTGAGTTGGGTTTGGCGGTTCTGATGGCTCTATCGGTCCTGATGGCAGCCCTGGACTTGACGCCTCCTGCCTGCTTCTTTGGGATCTTTGTGTCCTTGGCTGGAGTGGACTTGCCCTTCATTTTCTTCTTCTGATCGCGCTGCCTTTTGATGAGGTCGTCGAGGCTCTGGTCGATTTGGTTCATGGCTGTTAGTCTGTCTGTCGGTTGATTCAGTTGATCGGTGAAGTGGGTGGGTGAGTGGGCGGAAAGGAATGAAAAAAGAGAGGGAGAGAGAGATAAAAGGGAAAGCGGGGGGGGTGAGTAAACCAATGGAGGGGTGAGGTGAGCAGAGAGCAACAAACAGGTTGTTGCCCTTGGCCGCACCACTCACAAATCGCGTACAAGAAGCAGTCTCTTTATCCCTTCTTTCTATCAATTAAGGGTTCTCGTCGCACTCCTTGACCCCTGGATCCCTTCGTTGCATTTGAAGCTCCGCCATTCTTTTTTTCTCTCCACTCTACCTTGTCTGTTTTGAATGCTACCTCGTACAATTAACCTAGAAAGGGATGTACAACTTCCGTTCTCCGTGTATCTCTGTACCAACAAACAATCGACTGGAGCAAGTCAATTCGCTGCACGAAGGCAATGAGCACGGAGACACACACACACCACACACACATCATTCATTCTGCAAAGGTGGAGAAATGAAGGAACAAAGGTAAACACTAATGAATGAGGATATCAAAAAGTTAACTAGCACCCATAGGCCTCGATTGATTCATTGCCACATGGCTCCCCATCTCTCTTCTTAAGCTATCCTCTTTAGACATCTTGACTGTGTTTTTCCGCTTTCTCGGCTACTTGGATGTCGAACATTCCTCCTTGGCCATCACACCCCCATGGCTCTTTCAGGATGACAAAAAACGTAAGTAGAAGGAAGGTTGGCCGTACTGTACAATGGGAAATAAACTTTATATTGCCTATGAACGGTTGAAACAGTAAGCACGGTGGGCAGAGGTAGAGGGAGGGCTTTGAACATGACTACAAGTCTCGCATGGCCCTTCCCACCCGAAGCAAAGATGATCCGAGTTCAATGAAAAGACATGGTGCGCGAATAAATTGTATTTTGTTTTTCAATCAGTCGTGTTTTCTCACCTTACCACCGCGTTTCTTCACTCTGCCACCATGTTTCTTCACTCTACTACTACCATGTTTCTTCACTCTATCACCACGTTTGTTCAATCTACTACCACGTTTCTTTTCTTCCTGTTCTCTTCCTTTGGTGATGGATATTTTTTTTATTCTTTCGCACAACATACACGAACACTCACCTCTTTCTTCTACTATCCATTCATTGCGGAGACATCTCTTTCAGCTTTTTTTTATTATTAGGGACGCGTAAAGGTGTCTATCACATTTTGTATTAGTGCCCTTCTTGCTCCAGGGCCAGGACAGAGAGACACGCAGACAGGAAGGCAGGATTAGGATTCAAGTCATATGGTATGGGACCAAGAAATACCACCATCAGGGCTATCCCTTTGTCTCATCTCATCGCAATGTTATGTGCACCGGGCACCCCTCTAGTCAGCCTCCCTCCTCAATCGTCATTCAAGATTATCCTCTCCAACGTGGTCTTGGACTCTACTCCTGCACTTTACCCAAGCTTGTTCGATACACATTCTAGTTCTTTGAACAAATAACCACACTACCATTTTCAAAGTACATACATAGTCATCGCTTGCTTGGGTTACCTGCTGCTGAACGAGGGCCATTCACAGAAACGAGATCCGTAGATGTGCTGCCGACAACCTACGGAAGCGAAATCCGTAGGCACTGGAGAAGGGCGTTCCTGAGAAATAAGAAGCTCACGCGCCCTCGCGCATTCTCACGGATCTATAGAAGCACGTTCTGTGTTTGTTTGTTTTCCTTTAATTTCTGGCGTTCTTGGGAGGGACATTGGTCAGCCTGCAACGCTGTAGTCATACCATGTACGTGGGTATGGAAGGGAATGGGGAAAAGGAAAGGGAAGGTACAGAATGAAGCACAAAAATTTGTCTCTCTCCACCTTCTTGGAATTCCTTCTCTCCGGCAAGGTTTACTTCACAATGCACATCTACCTTCTGCAGAAGCACGAAAAAAACGTCAATGGCGAACAAGCTTTGCAAATGGTCAGCCCTGTCCCTCTGGATCGACTCCGATTGGACACAAGAACGACACAAGAACGACACACACACACGCCCTTCTTTCCTTTAATCCAAAACTGCATCGATGGGGCTCGGTCTCCTTTCTCTTCTTTTGGTCCGACGGTCGGTCAGAATGAGGCGTTATCGTTTTTTTTTTTTTTTTTTGTGAGCCATTTTTGTTGCTTTTCGGTAACTGACGATAGTGCGTACAAAAAAAAAGGAAGAAAGAAAGGAAAAGAGGAAGGGTCAATCCTCGGTAATAAGCTCGGCGGACAAGGCGTTTGTTGATTTGTTCTTTCGATGCGCTTCTCCTATACCTGTCGCCGTAGAACAACAACCTGTGAGTGTGTCATGGACTAGTATTACAGGTAGATTTGTTTTGAACTCGACGTGGTGAATACTGTAACTGTTGGAAGAAAAGGAGGAACATGCAAGAAGAAATGAGGGTGGATGGATAGAAATGTAGAATAAAGGGATGAGTGTATGAACTGCCTGCGAGAGAAGAACACCCACATTATCTCACATCCATTTATCTGGTCATCGAGGAGAGATGTAGTCCTTAGAAAATAATAACAACAAACGGTTGGTTGCTCTTGAGAGAGGACAGGTATAGAGGCGATTGGAGATGGCTTAATGAGCATTGAGTGATCAGTAGAAAAAAGTAACGGAAAACAACAAAGCCCAAGAAAAAAACCTTTGAAGCTAATGGATCTGTTTCCTATTCGCCAGCGTTCATGAATGCAATGAATGAAAGAAAGGATGGGTATATTCTCTGCTTGTCAAAAAGAATATTCATCTGATGTGTTGTATCGATCTGGTCTGTCACCGTGGACATTGAATAATGAGGAATGCCTGAGTCTTGGGTGGAAAGGACAGAGAATCGATGAGGCGATTGGACCGAGAAAGTACACAGGAAGAAACAGGGCAGAGTCGCTTAATGAGAATTGAATGGCTCAAGAGAATAACAGGCAGTTGAATACAACAAAGAAAACAAGAAGAGAGCTCTGGGATAATGGATTTGCTTCCTATTCGTTAACACTCAGGGATTGACAACTCCTCTGTTGCGGAAGATTCATATGCTATCTGATATTCAAATATCTGGCTGCTGTGGAAAAGGGCATGCAGACAAGAGATGTGATTATGGGAGAACGCCAGAGTCTTGGGAAAAAAGGATAGAGAATCGACGAGCGGCTGGATCAACAAAAATGAATACCAAGAGAAACTGTTCAAAGTCAAAGACTAAAAAACTTCGATGGGATAGCTCTATGGGCATTGAGTGGTTCAAGAGCAAAAGAACAAGATGAATAACAAACACAAGGGAGGTGAACTCTGGGACAATGGATCTGATTCCTATTCGTTGGCAACCAGGGAACAATGGATTTCTAAGAAGATCCATGGACATCAACAACAAAACTCAATAGTAATTGTAATAGTAATAGTAATAGTATAAGCAAAAAAAACAATAGCAATAAACAAACGATGCCATCGATCAAGTCAGTATTACCAAGATGAACACATTTAGAGTGGCAATGGGCGAAAAAGGAAGCAGGAGAGGCGAAAAAGGAAGGAGGATATACCGAGAGAGGGGGGCGTCGTGTACGGTACACACACTTACACCAGTGGCAAATGGTTCTAGGAACAGCAGCATTGGGGATATGGAAATGGACGATAGACCATGAGGAGATAAAAAATGGATGGTCATTCGAGACATGCACTGTCACATACATCCTCGGATCCCATGCCGAGCTCCTTCGTCTGACCGGCCTTGCCTGATTGGACAACGGTGCTCGCTCGCGCGTGACAAAAAAAGGACCAGGACTTTGTCTTCCGTTCTAGTATGCCCTTTTGTACCCTGTTCGCTGTACCAATCGATACTGGGCTGAAGGATAAGTAGGGAAAAAGAGAGAGGGTGCGTAACAAGGTAAAGCAAAATTGGAATTAAGGTTACAGGTGCATCCTCGGTAACGATGGAATCTCAAGAAATGTTCCGTCGATTTACTCCCTCTCATTTGAGCTCTCATTTTTCATTGTGGGTCCGTTCATTCCCCTTCTTATTCTCTCGCTATCCCTGTATCTCTGTGCTGGGCAGTCTAAACGCCTTTACCTTCGGTGCAAGTTTGGTCCGCTTCCTTGGGGAGGGAGACAGTATGCAGTACCCATAGGATTCCTCTATTCCTCTCTTGCTCATCGTGATCGAGTGTTCTCGCCTCATGGGCGGAGGGATGCCCAAAACACAACAATTTAGTGAGCTACGAATCTTTGGAAATGTACGCTATCCCGCACTTCCCCTCATATCCCCGTGGTTCATCCCTCTTGAGAGAACTCGATAGGGCAACAAGTACTTTCCTGAGTCATGTGCACCCTTTTTGCATCCTCCACCCATCGGCTCTTCCATTCCTTCGGAGTAGTCTATTATTCTCGTTTCTCGTCCGCGCTTTCATGGAATGACCGCCGATTGAACTACTTTCCAATGGTATCCGCTCCTGGTTGGATGTACCACCCTTCACATAGAGGCCATGAAAACTTTGGTGTGAATGAGCCAAATGAGAAGCATGGCTGCATCGCGCGAACAATGAAATGTACATGTACCAGTAACCTGTCTAGGCTCACACAATGGTCGCCTCCCGACTATGACCCGCTCACACATCCCAAATGTGCGAAATGAAATGACCAAACGGGCAGCACATAACACGCAGAGACACAAGCAATACACAAACGAACAAACAAATATACCAAAACAAACAGACACAATCAAAGCCAATGCAAGCCAAACCACAAACTTCAATTTTGGATTATCTCGACTGTTCAACGAAGAGACGAAAAAAAAGGATGCTAAAACTTTATTCGATCAGTGGTGGGAAGAGAGGTATGTGGATGGTTGGTTCTGTCTTTTTTGTAGGGGTTCTGTACAACCCATCCCCATCCCCGCCGAGAAAAAAGACAGCTGTATGGTGCAGTAGGAAGAATGGGCTTCTCACAGAGTTCTTTTGGATACGAAGAAACAAAGAAGAAAGAAAACACGCGGAAAGCGGGTTATGGATCCACTTTCTGAAGAGACAAAAAAGCGAGAACCTTTAAAACAGGAAGATCAAAAGTTGGGTCTAAATCAGAGACCGATTAGGTCTGCGAGTGATTGATGGTTGCGCTATGGTTGAATGAGGGATCGCCGAGGACGGTGTCCTTTCAGGTGTGATCATCAGTCGTCGTCGTCGTCGTTCGCGTTTTGTCTCTTACAGAATTGTACATCTACCTTTTTTCCTCAAGTCCAGACCTGTCCTGGAGGACTATGGATCGAAGGTGAGACATTTTAGACGTCCCCTTGGGCGTGGCAGTATTGATATTACAGACTGAGCCCGCCTCGCTGGAAGTTACCGAGGATTCCGCCATTTTTTGTGTTGTTGTTAGCGTCGATTTCACCTTTTATTTCTTTGTTGATGTGAGGGTACACAACCTTGTTTTCCCTTGTCCTATGATTCACCAGTTCGCCCTGCAGGCAAAAAACAACAACACTGTGTTTGAGTATTCCTCTTACTCTTCTGTCTCTCTGTCTCTGTGTCCACAATGCGCCGTGTGATGATTGATGACCCTCAATATTGCCCCTTGTCCCTTTGCCCATTCATTTGTTTTTCTTGTGTTGTTTTTTTTTCCCTCAGGCCCGTTGCTGAGAAAAAACAATCCCTTCAGAAACTCCCAGCGCCACCTCTCGTTTGCAAAAACACCCGGCTGACTGTTTTCTGAACAATATTGAGCCCTCTTTATTTTTTCTCTATAAAAGAGACTCATCTCCCCACTTCCTTTATATCTTTGTCTACGGCTGCCCTTTCCACTCCTCACCCAACAAGACCCTCTCCCCCCTTCCTCCTCCCTCCTATCCGCCCCCTTCCCTTACTTTCTCTACCATGGCCGACAAGCAGGAATTCTCTGCTGACAAAGAATTCATCGACGAGAAGTTCGACATCGAGCGTCAGTCCGTCGTCCTCGAGGAAGAGGAGAACTCTCCCATTCCCGAGGTCGCCGCCATTGTCTCCAACAAGGATGACCCCACCATCCCCGTCATGACCTTCCGTTACTACCTCATGGCTGTCGTCTTTGCCTGCATCCTCTCCTTCTTCAACCAGTTCTTGTAAGTCTCCTCTTCATTTCCTTTACATCATACTTATTGCTGAACCAGTCACAGCTACAGCAACATCCTCCTTACAAAATATATTCTCGTTATTACTTCTCCTCCTTAGCTGGTTCCGTACCCACCCCATGACCATCTCCACCTTGGTCATCCAGTTGCTCTCTTACCCCTTCGGAAAGTTCTTGGCTCGCGTCCTCCCCGCTGGTCGCCTCAACCCCGGTCCCTTCAACATCAAGGAGCACGTCTTGGTCGCCTTGACTGCCAACTGCGCTGGTGGTGTTGCATACGCTGTCGATATCACCGTCATCCAGAGGGTCTGGTATGATCAAGACTATGGTTTCCTTGCCAACTTGTTCCTCATCCTTACCACCCAGATGTTGGGTTACGGAATGGCCGGTGTTCTCCGTCGCTACCTCGTCTACCCCGCTGCCATGATCTGGCCCGCCAACTTGGTCCAAGTCGCCTTGTTCAACACCCTCCACAAGGATGAAGACCTCCTGCCCGGCCAGTGGTCTCGCTTCAAGTTCTTCTGCATTGCCACCGTTGCCATGTTCTTGTACCAGTGGATCCCTGGTTTCCTTTTCCCCGTCCTCTCCTCCATCGCCTGGGTCTGCTGGATCAATCCCAAGAACCACATTCTCTCGACCATCGGTGGTGACCGCGGTCTCGGTGTCGGTGCCATCTCTCTCGACTGGAACAACATTGTTTCTTTCTTGGGTTCTCCCTTGATCGTTCCCTGGTGGGCTCAGGTCAACATTGCCATGGGTTTCTTCTTGATCGCCTGGGTCATGGTCCCCATTGCCTACTTCACCAACCTCTGGGAGGCCCAGCGTTTCCCCATCCTTACTGCCAAACTTTTTACCACCGAGGGTGACACATTCGATACCAAGTATGTCCTCGAGAAAGGCACCATCAACATGGTCAAGTACGAGGAGCAGGGTCCCCTTCGCATTGCTACCTTCTTCGCTCTAACCTACGGTATCGGTTTCGCTGGTCTCTCGTCCATGATCACCCACACTTGGTTGTACCATCGCCACAAGTTGGTTGCCCAGTGGAAGCAGTCTCGCACTCAGTCCGAGGATATTCACCACAAGCTCATGCAGGCCTACCCCGAGGTTCCCGACTGGTGGTACGGCGCCCTGTTCGTTATCATGACCGCCATTGCCCTCTTCACCTGCGAGTACTACAAATACATGCCCTGGTGGGCTGTCCTTTTGGCCATCCTCATCGCCGTTGTCTTTGCCCTCCCCGTCGGTCTCATCCAGGCCTTGACCAACCAGCAGCCCGGTCTTAACATTATCACAGAGTACGTTATTGGTTACATCCTCCCCGGTGAGCCCATCCCCAACGTTACCTTCAAGACCCTTGGTTACATCTCCATGGCTCAGGCTATGCTGTTCACCTCGGATCTCAAGCTCGGTCACTACATGAAGGTTCCTCCCAAGGCTATGTTCTGGGCCCAGCTCCTCGGTACCTTCATTGCCGGTCTCGTCAACTTGTTGACAGCCAACTGGCTCTTGGGCTCTCAGGAGGGTATCTGCACTGATAAAAACAAGCACTTCCAGTGCCCCTCGGCCAACACCTTCTTCTCTGCCTCGGTCATCTGGGGTGTCATTGCTCCCAACCTGATGTTCGGTCCCTCCTCGATCTACAACGCCATCAACTACTTCTTCTTGATCGGTTTCGTCCTCCCCATTCCATTCTACTACCTCAAGAAGGCCTTCCCCAACACCTGGATGGACTTCATTCACATCCCCGTCCTGTTGGCAGCCACCGGAATGATGCCTCCCGCTCAGGCTTACCATTACACCAATTGGTTGGCTGTCGGTTTCGCCTTCCAGTTCTTTGCCCGCCGCTACCACCCCGAATGGCACTTGCGCTTCACCTATGTCTTGTCGGCTGCCTTTGACTCTGGTGTCGCCTTCATGGTTCTCGCCTCCTTCTTCATCTTCACCATCCGCGAGAAGGATATGGTCAAATGGTGGGGTAACCCTGCGGCCCCCATCTGCCGTCTTGATTCTTACCCCTTGATCTCCCCCAAGAGCGGCAAGGTCGATCCTTGGGCCCCTGACCCCTCCGCTGAGGATGCTCCCATGTACGTCTTCCCCAAGGCCTACTACGCCTCCCCCGATGCCCGCCCTTAAATCGGGTGTGCTCCTTGAGATACCGCATAAATACTCAGTATCGATAAACCTTTTTTCTACTAGTAAATAAACTACTTTAATGCTCTACTGAGCTTTTTATTCACCCCCACCTTTTTCTCAATCGTGTCTTTTTTTTTTTTCTTGTTTGTTTTGAATTTTTTTTTTTTTTTTGGTATTTCACTCGTTCTATGAAAAAGTGTGCCTGGTATTTATTTTTCTTTCTATAGCGTGTTTTGAATCGATTGATTTCATTGTCGTGCAACCGTCGACTCCTTTGCTTGATGGCCTGCGATGTGGGCCTGTGAATAAGGTAGCTGAGTGGGAAGGAGAGACAGAGAATGTGTAGGAGAGAGAGGGCGCGATGGAAAAATGATTGTGAGGGCGAAGTGAGAAAAAAAAGGATTTTTTCATGAGGGATAATTGAGGAATGGTAGAAGATTAATTGGCAGGAGGATGGCTGAAGATCGATTGGTAAGGGGATGGTTGAGGAATAATTGAGGGATGGTTGAGGGATGGTTGGAGGATAGTTGAAGGATAGTCGAGGGATGGCTGAGAGATGGTTGAGGGAAGTGAGGGAAGTGAAGGAAGTGAAGGAAGTGAAGGAAGTGAAGGAAGTGAAGGAAGTGAAGGAAGTGAAGGAAGTGAAGGAAGTGAAGGAAGTGAAGGAAGTGAAGGAAGTGAAGGAAGTGAAGGAAGTGAAGGAAGTGAAGGAAGTGAAGGATGTGAAGGAAGTGAGGGAAGTGAAGGATGACTGGTGGATGGTTGAAAGTCGGTAGAAGGAGTTGATGGAAGCTTAGGAAGAGAAAGGAAAGAAGGAAGGTGAGGCAAAACAACGAGGTATTTATACTTGCCAGGAGACAAGCAACAGACCCAATAGAAAGGGCAATTCCCATAGGCTGGAGGGAGAAAGAGAAAAGGGAGTTGGTTCCGAAGAAATATAATATATACAGACATGATGTTACATTCATGAAGGGGACGGATGGACAATCCGAAGTGGACGGATGCAGAATCCGAAGTGAACGGATGTAGAATCCGAAATGAACGGATGCAGAATCCGAAGTGACTGAGCGAGTTGCGACAGACGAATGTACAGGCTTTTCTTGTGACACCACCATTCCTTCTATGCTGCTGTGGGCTTTTTTTTTCTTTTTTTGGCATGCATCTCCCACGTAAAAACTTTATCTTGGACGAGAAAACAAAAATAACGGTCGCACAGGAACAAAAAGAGAATACACACGTCCCAAGGTCGACACACATGTATTTTTCGTGCGAAGAAAAAGACAAGAAGCATCTGTGTTCATGGGCGCAGGTGTAAAAGAGTGACAGTTCAACTTGAAATCAAGCACGCTCAGCAAACACCCTCATACGCGAGCTAAAGGGCACAGAGGGCGCCGTGTTTTGTAGCCTCTCCGCTCGCTCGCCAAACCACAACAGACACGCGACTCACTCTTTCTTATTTCTCTTTCACCACGGCATTATTCAATCCAACACACATTCACCTTAATTTCGTCTCTTTACTTCGTCTGGTGAAATACACTTCTCATGGAGAAGCAAAGGATTCACCTTAACTATGCTTGGATTTACGGATCCAGGAAAATGGGTGCGAAAATTACGTCACCGGAGTTAGAAATCGACCGCCCTCCGTGCGAATCCCCATTTAGAAAAGATGGACAGGGTCTGGACGGCCAGTTTCCTAAAATGTTAACTCGGTGTCCACTCACCTGCTATAAAAGGCAGAAATAGGTGTCCAGGCGCATAATTGGGGTGTTTGTCAATTGCTCGGTGTATAGGCATGCTAGCAGCGTGCGGTTGGTCTCTTTGGGTAGCGGTGAAGCATAGCTTCCTTCCATAGAAGTTGGTGACTCTTAGAATATGTATCTCCCACCTAGCAGTCGAAAAACAAAAAAGAAACGCCACGGGTGTGTCGCGTAGATCTTCGCGCGACATGCAGGCAAATTGCACGCCAATCATGCATGCATCCACTACTAAAAACGAAAAGAGGAAAAATATGTAAATAATCCAGGGAATCCATCTTTTTCTTCCTTTCTTTTCTCCGTCCTCGGCGCCCTCCATCCTCTTCTTTCTTCCTTCTGTCTTTCTTTCTGTTCCCATTCCTCATCCCTCTCTTCTTCCTTACTCCCTACGACCCTGTTCAGTCTCTCACAATCTCGCATTTGTCTTCTTCTTTGACTTTTATTGTAAGCTCCATTCCTTCCTTCACATTCACACCTGCACTTCCGTCATCGTCGCCTCCCGTGCCATCATGACCAAAGCCAAAAAAAAAAAAAAAAAGCCTCTCAGCCACCCCTAGTACGTTCTGCTGTTCATATCTGCAGGTTGACGGGACAACAGAACGTACTAGGGGTGGCTGAGAGGCTTTTTTTTTTTTTTTTTGGCTTTGGTCATGATGGCACGGGAGGCGACGATGACGGAAGTGCAGGTGTGAATGTGAAGGAAGGAATGGAGCTTACAATAAAAGTCAAAGAAGAAGACAAATGCGAGATTGTGAGAGACTGAACAGGGTCGTAGGGAGTAAGGAAGAAGAGAGGGATGAGGAATGGGAACAGAAAGAAAGACAGAAGGAAGAAAGAAGAGGATGGAGGGCGCCGAGGACGGAGAAAAGAAAGGAAGAAAAAGATGGATTCCCTGGATTATTTACATATTTTTCCTCTTTTCGTTTTTAGTAGTGGATGCATGCATGATTGGCGTGCAATTTGCCTGCATGTCGCGCGAAGATCTACGCGACACACCCGTGGCGTTTCTTTTTTGTTTTTCGACTGCTAGGTGGGAGATACATATTCTAAGAGTCACCAACTTCTATGGAAGGAAGCTATGCTTCACCGCTACCCAAAGAGACCAACCGCACGCTGCTAGCATGCCTATACACCGAGCAATTGACAAACACCCCAATTATGCGCCTGGACACCTATTTCTGCCTTTTATAGCAGGTGAGTGGACACCGAGTTAACATTTTAGGAAACTGGCCGTCCAGACCCTGTCCATCTTTTCTAAATGGGGATTCGCACGGAGGGCGGTCGATTTCTAACTCCGGTGACGTAATTTTCGCACCCATTTTCCTGGATCCGTAAATCCAGGCACAGATACTGGTTCTTTTCGCAAAATGGAGTGTAAGGCATCAAGGTCCAAGGATAAGAAAAATAAGAGGTAGAAAAGTTTGCGCAATGGTCGATAGATCATTTTCCTCCAGAATATCGCAGTGTTGAGAGATGGTGCTAATTAACAAGACGCGTTGATTAACATTTGAGACGAACGCGTTTTTATCAATGATCAATGATATGACGGCAAAGCATTGTCACTCTCCAGGAAGGACAATACCCGTCTCTCCTCTTTTTCCTTTTTACATTTTATTTTTTCGTTTGTTTCTTCGTTCCTCCTTCTTTCCTTTTTTCTTCCTTTCCCTCCTTTACTTCCTTCCCTCTTACCTCCTTCCTTCCTTTCATTTTTTTCCCTCCTTACATGCCAGACGCATACTTTCTCTCCATCTTACTCTCCCGGCCCCCCTATCTTGCATTCCCACGCAACCATACATCCAACGCTCGAGTTTTTCAGAAACAGAGAAAGAGGTGAGTAAACGAGTACCAACGAGGGCACCAGGAACGAATACTAAAGAACATGTATTATTTTATAAAAACGGACTATAAGGTGATGTGGTTTGCTATTTGTAGTTTGTGTGATAGCTGCGAGGTGGGAGTAAGATTAATTTTGTGTCTAAAAACTCCCACGTATCATGGATCCATCATCCTTCCATATTTCTCTTTCATCTTTCCTTCCCACCTGCCTCTCTCATTCACACAGGCTCTCCCTTCTTCCCCCACCCTCCTTGCGCCCTTGTTTCCTCACCATTCGCAGCAGAAAGAAAGGGAAAACGTCGAAAAATACCTATTTTTTAATGCTTCGCGTCTATTTCGATGTTTTTCTGGTATTTTTTGACGAGAGCGGAGGCAGTTTTATACAAAATCAGAGAAAATAAACGAAAAACAAGCACAGAAGAGGTTCTCTCGCCACCACAAGGACTTCAGCGGCACTGCCATCAACACTGCCTCTCTCCTCACCATCTTCGTCATCGCTGACGGTTCCTATGTTGGTAAATTGTGTCAAATGTCACTGATCTTCCCTTATTTCAGGCAGTCGACTTTGTTGCTTTAAATTTCTGATGCCGCTAGTGGTCGTGGTCCGTGGACTTTGATCGCTGCCGGGGTACGGGTTGGACCTTGTCCAATCGCCGCCAACATTGTGGCCATCTCCACCTCACCTTTACTTTTGCTTAGGGTTATCTCACCGACTGTATAGTTCTCATGGTCTGACTTCTTCCTCCCTCCCTTTTTGCCACCATCTTTTTTTTCTCTCCGTCCACGACCCAATGCCCAAAGCCTTTCTACGAATTGCTATATGTCTCATTCGCCCTCTCATCTTCTCATATTGTTTTCTATATTCGCATCCAGACCGTTCTTCTCGTTCTGTTATTATCGCTTCCCATCTAGAAGCGCCTTTTTTTGTTGTTGTTCGAAAGGCGATCACGATGGATTTTTTTCATGTGTGAGACATCATTGTTCGAGGTGCACGCAGTTTCACTCTAGTTCTCTAAAATTAAGTAAGGGCAACGATGTGCGCTGGCCAATGCGGGTCGGGAGATATGCCCGAGATATCGATGCGATGAATCACCACGCTTGTGCACGGACAAAGTAATGAGACTCAAAAGGTAACAACCGCGTGGTGTCCAATCAGAATCAACGGCGATTTATTATTTTTGTCCTTCAGAATGGTCCAGATCGCTCTCCTCCCTCCTCCCCCGCTTGTAATCAAAACATTGTTCCCTCTCCCTTCTTTTCTCTCCTTTTTTCATCCACCCCAAACAATCATAAACATATTAACATAAACAACCACAACAGCAGAGCACAGCGCCAGACAACAGACAACGGACAACACACAACAAAGAGCAAATGGGCCCTATGGACCACATGCAGGAGCATTCTGCACACCAGGGCTTGCCCAATTCCTCCAATAAGCGCGAATCCACTGACAACATCCTCAGTAACGACAACGGCGATGATACCCACATCTGCGCCAATGAGAAGAAGGCCGACGCCGAACAATCCTACCTCAAGCCCGACGGCGACAACGACGAGAACTCGCCTATCCCCGAGGTTGCTGCTATTGTCTCGAACAAGGATGATCCCTCTCTGCCGGTTATGACCTTTCGATTCTATGTCATGGCGATTGTCTTTTCGCTTATCCTGTCCTTCTTTAACCAGTTCTTGTGAGTTTCTTTTGTTTGTTTGTCTTTGTAGAGAGGTGAGGACGTTATTTTGTGTGTCCGAGCGTAAGCAAACAAAATTTCAATCCAAACTGACCTTTTTTTTTACTTACACATGCTCATCCATCACATCTCCATAAAAATAGCTGGTTCCGCTCACATCCAATGACAATCTCGACCCTCGTCATCCAACTGCTCTCCTACCCGTTCGGCCGCTTTCTCGCCGCAGTCCTCCCCCATGGCCGTCTTAACCCAGGCCCCTTCTCCATCAAGGAACACGTCCTCGTCGCACTGACCGCAAACTGTGCCGGTGGTACCGCTTACGCCGTCGACATCACCGTCATCCAAAAGGTTTTTTACCATGAGGATTTCGGCTTCCTTGCCAATTTCCTTCTCATCCTGTGTACACAGATGTTGGGATATGGTATGGCTGGAGTTTTGAGACGGTACCTTGTCTATCCAGCCGCCATGATCTGGCCTGCCAACTTGGTCCAAGTCGCACTGTTTAATACCTTGCACAAAGAGGAGGATCTTCAACCGGGTCAGTGGTCTCGCTTTAAGTTCTTCCTTGTCGCGACTTTTGGAATGTTTTGCTATGCTTGGATCCCTGGTTTCCTGTTTCCGGTCCTCTCATCCATTGCTTGGATCTGCTGGATCAAACCTTCGAACCTGGTTCTCTCGCAACTCACAGGGGCAGGTGGACTCGGCATTGGTGCCATTTCACTGGACTGGAACAACATTGTCTCCTTCTTGGGTTCTCCCTTGATCGTCCCTTGGTGGGCGCAAGTCAACATTGGTATCGGCTTCTTCCTCATCGCCTGGGTCCTTGTCCCCATCGCATACTACACCAACCTCTGGGACGCCAAGCGGTTCCCGATCCTCACTCCAGCCCTATTCAGAGTCGACGGGTCCCCTTACAACACCACCATGATCATGACCGACAATGTTCTTGACGTAGAGAAATACGAAGCCTACGGCCCTCTCCGGATCTCGACCTTCTTTGCCCTCACCTACGGCATTGGTTTCGCTGGCTTGGCTTCAATGGTCACCCACACTTGGCTCTACCACCGCAAGAAACTGGTCGCCCAATGGAAACAATCCCGCGAACACTCTGAGGACATCCATCACAAGCTCATGCAGGCCTACCCCGAGGTTCCCGACTGGTGGTATCTGGCTCTCTTTGTCATCATGACCAGTATTGCAGTTGCGACCTGCGAGATCTGGGACTACAAGTTGCCATGGTGGGCTGTCCTCCTTGCCGTCGCCATCTCAGCATTCTTCTCCCTTCCTGTCGGTCTCATCCAAGCCATCACCAACCAACAACTAGGACTCAACATCATCACCGAGTATGTCATCGGTTACATCCTCCCTGGTCGTCCCATTGCCAACGTCACCTTCAAGACCCTTGGCTACATCTCCATGGCCCAGGCCATGACCTTCACTTCCGACCTCAAACTCGGCCACTACATGAAGATCCCCCCTCGCGCCATGTTCTGGGCCCAACTCCTCGGAACCGTCATCGCCGGCCTCACCAACCTCCTCACCGCCAACTGGCTCCTCCGCTCTCAACCCGGGGTCTGCACAACTGCCTCCAAAGATTTCTCCTGCCCCTCGGCCCGCACCTTCTTCTCGGCCTCCGTCATCTGGGGTGTCATTGCTCCCAACCGAATGTTTGGTCCCACATCCATCTACAACGCCATCAACTACTTCTTCCTCATCGGCTTCCTCCTACCTATTCCTTTCTATTTCCTCAAGAAACGTTTCCCCAACTGCTCATGGCTCGAATTCGTTCACATCCCCGTCCTCCTCGCCGCTACGGGTATGATGCCACCCGCCCAAGCATACCATTACACCAACTGGTTGGCCCTCGGGTTCTTGTTCCAGTATGTCGCGAGACGATACTACCCAGATTGGCATTTAAGGTTTACTTACATCTTGTCGGCGGCGTTTGATTCAGGCACGGCATTTATGGTTCTGTTGTCCTTCTTTATTTTCACGTTGCGGGGGAAGGAGATGACGCCTTGGTGGGGAACGCAGTCGGATATGTGTCCGCTTGAAGGTGAACCCTTCTATCCTGTTGGGTCCCATACCGACTAAGTTTTTTTTTTTTTTGTTTGCAATCACTTGTAGAAAGAAAGAAAAAAAAAAGTTACCTTTTCTTTTTCACTCTTCCTGTCGCAAATAAAAAACATTGTCTTTTCTTGTCTGGATCCTTGACTCTAGTCTGGCTTGTGGGTGTGGTCCTTGCGTGATATCAAACTGAGCCCGGTGAATAAAGTCAGTTGTATGCCCATCCTCGCCCCACTCATATCGTCATCTATTACTACCGACATATGTATAGAACCCCCCAAGGAACCGCCACATGAAGAAAAGCAAAGGTGTAGGATGGAAACGAGGACAAGTCGCCTTCTTAGTGTGAGAGCAAGGTAAATCGGGGTTTTTTTGGGATGATCACTGCCACGGGATGAGTACCCTGCGCTCGACTGGACAGGTGGAAAAAAAAAATACACAAGGACAGTTTGGTAGGAGGGGGGTTTTTTTTCTTCGTTCCATCGATATTCGGAAATGAATGAAAGCGGGCATGCTCTTCTCTTCTCGTTTTTTTTTTCAGATCAAAGAACCAACGTTTTGTTGCCCTGACTACAATGGCCCAAGATCCACACAAAAAACGTGGTTCAGTGTTAGTCAGTCTCTGAGAAATGGCGTGGAGTTTTGAATGAGGCTAATTGAGTCAAGGAAAAAATTATAACGATGTTACTAGATCACCCATCTTACCCTTCGTGTAATGCACGCACTCCATATTAAAAAAAAATATTTCCTCTTTCTTTATTTTTACAAGACCAGCTTGACGAACGAAAGGGAAAGAGGAGAATCAATAGGGCACGGCTTCAAGGGAACCCCCACCCAACAACACCACCACCAGATTCAAAGTCACCCGGCCCACCCTGCGAATCTTCGTCGTCCTCCCCATTGAGCTTGAACGAGATCTTGAGACCTGATCGTAGTGTCGCCGACATGACCTCCGGCTGCTTTTGTTTCTCTACTGCCTTCCCCAACGACGTCCACTTCTTCTTCTTCGTGTCCTGTTCACTTGATCCCTCGGCAGTAATTGTATCTTCGTCAGCGGCGGAAGGGGTAGTAGGAGTCGGACTGGGTGACCGGGATCGCTTCCGCTTAGACAGAGATGGTTCTGAAGGTATTGATAAAGTTCCTGTGGTAGACGAGGTCGCTGATCTTGACGACGACGCACATGAATCTGCCATTATCACTGCTGGCAAATACGTCGATCCTGCCTGACCACCATCGTCATTGTCGTCCTGGTACAAAGGCTCCGGCTGCTGATCCACGAACCTCCCACGCTTGATCCGATGCCCAACCTTGGCCTCGACTTCCTCAATCGCCTGCTCCTGCGCAAGGGTCGCCTGCGGGGGGATCACATCATTCGACCGGAACTGTAACTCTGTCAGTCTGGGGAACAAGTTGCCAATCTCGATGATCGTCGCCCACGGCAAAGGATTCCTGAGTTTAGCAATATCCAACCGTTCCAGCTTTGTCAATTTCGAGAGTTCCGTCCGTCCTTGTTCCAGTATCTGTAGCGAGAATCCATGTCCTGATAACTTGAGGGTCCGGAGATCGGTCAGAAGACCCAATTGGTGATACATTGCGGGGAGGAGCGCTGATGCGACTGAGGTATCTGCAGAGTAGGAGGCGTGGATTCCTGAAATGTCGAGGTATTCTAAGCCCAAGCAGCCCCAGGACGAAAAAGGTGTTGACGCTGAAGTTGACGACGAAGAGGCGGAAAAAGCAGACGAGGTGGATGGATCGCCAAAGATGGTCAACATGATCTTGTCACAGAACGACAAGTCCAGATGCACAAGTTTTGTACAATTCTGCACAATCGCCCGGATACTCTTCTGCGTCAAATTCCCACAAAACGGCAACTTGAGCGACTCGAGCTGCGGGCACCGATTGGCGACCAGAATAATATCGGCATCGTGAACCTCCGTCAATCCCAGATCCAGGAACCTCAAATTGGGCAAGACCGCTAGGAGTGCCTGGAACCCATTCGACTGCAGAGATAGACAGAAATGAAAGTTCAAGTACTCCAGCTGGAAACAATAATCGGCGACTCCGATCAGGGCCTTGGAGGTCATGAACTGGTGTAATGAGACCGAGAGTCGGAGGAGATTGGGGAACTGCTTTGCGAAGGCAATGAGCTCATCATCGTCGAAGCGCGGGTGGGTACAGTCAATCTTGGAGAGAAGCGGTTGAGTCCGTGCGATCGCCTGGAGGAGATCGCCCGTAAAGTTGTGTCCTGAAATATGTCGGATCTGTGAACAGCCCTCCAACAGTTGCGCCATATCCGAAGGCTCCCAATTCAACAGGTTCGTCTCGAACTGCTGCAACCTCTTTCCATACCTCCCGATCACGGTCGTCAGAATCGAGCTCTTGACCTCCCTGGGCACCTGGACATCGAGTCGTTCAAGATTAGGTGTCCTGGACAAGATACTCTCTAGCTGCCGAGCCATCCGTTCCAGGTCGACCTCCTGCACAAGTCGAGTCGACTGCGAGAGTTCGAGCGAGAGGGCCTTGACATGTTCTCCACGACGGTCGAGGAATGGCCAGAGATGAGACAGATCGTGGATGTACCAGTCGTTGGGGATGACGAGTTGGTTGGCGAGGATGATGTTAGCGAGTCGTTCCCATTCCTTGCAGACGAGGGAGGCCTGGCGGAGGGCGGAGAGAGTCATGCAGTCAAAGATCAGGCACAGGATCTCGGGGATTGCGAGTGTCTTTGTTGATGCCAGCAGTACCGGGTCAGACATTCTCCCTTGGTTTGTGGTGGTGGTGGTGGTAATGATGAGTTGATCTTGTTACTGGCGGGAAACAAGAAAGCAGGTTGGGATCGGAAGAGAATGAAAGTTGGCTGAAGAAAGAGGATAAAGGAAGGGGGATGTGGATTCAAAAAGTGAGCCTTGTTGGGGGAAATTATATTGCAATTCAAACGCCCACCCCACACGACCCCCAACTGGGTCAACACGGTGGGCCAACAGTGAACGCAATTGAAGCGATGGGAGACCGTGAGCAAAATAAGCACACTTTGATTGCGAGTTGGTAACGCAAACAAACAACCCAGTGGTATTCGGTGTAGCATACATACTTCGCCCAACGAAGAGGTAGAATAAAAAAAAACGCGCCAAGCTATGCTCAGGATGCTGTCCTGTCCAAAGCGCATGTCGCAACTAATCCCCGCTCCCCATAATGGAACGGAATTGAACTCTATTATCGTGCAACACCTATCACACTCATGAGAACAAGGGCCATGTTAGTGGTCGCCGTTTACGACGTAGAAATGCATGGTTTCATTTTTTTGGCCTTGGGACCACAAACCCCTGATTTTTTTTTCTTTCTTTCTCTGCCACCATTCGACAAGGGGTGCGACCACGGCAAGGGACAAACGAATCCAGAAACGAATCACACACAGAAAAAAAAAAACGCGACAATTCCTTCCGATAGCCACGTTCTTTAGAAAGATTCGTACAAGCAATACCAGACGCGCGAATTCTTGGAACAAATATATTTATTGAATGCGAGTATTTTTACAAAAGCGAAAAGAGCAAAGGAATGTTTTTTCTGGTTTTTCTAGTGTTGGGGATATAAAGGTATGCGAAGCATTTAGATCGACTTGCCAAGGACCTGCAAAAAAGATAATGAGGAAAGAAAGATTGGTTAGTTTCTGTGTGTGGAAAAGTGGTTGAATATCGTCAATCACCAAAGAGAAATACAAGTAAAACTTACAAGGGCAAGGAGAGCCATGCGGACATAGAGACCATAGCGCATCTGGCGGAAATAAGCAGCGCGCTGGTCGAAATCAACCTCGGGCTCGATCTCAGAGACACGAGGCAAGGGGTGCATGACAATCATCTGGGTCTTGGCCTTGCTCATCATCTTGTTGTTGATAACGTAGGCAGACTTGACGCGCTCATACTCCTCAAGGTTCTCGAAACGCTCCTTCTGGACACGGGTGACATAGACGACATCCGACTCGGCAATGACCTCGTTCAAGTCGGTCAACTCGTTAATGGTAACGCCGGCCTTGACCAACTCGGCCTTGACATCCTCGGGCATGCGGAGCGAAGGAGGGGAGACAAGGTTGAGGGTGACCTGGTAGTAGGCAAGCAACTTGACGAGCGAGTGGACAGTGCGGCCGTTCTTGAGGTCTCCGACCAAGGTGATGGTCAAGCCGTTAACAGTTCCGAGCTCCTCACGGATGGTGTACACATCCAAGAAGGCCTGAGTAGGGTGCTCACCGACACCGTCGCCGGCGTTGATGATGGGAACCTTGGAGAACTTGGCGGCAGTGGCGGCGCTGCCGGGAGCGGGGTGACGGAGGACAATCAAATCACCATAGCAGCCCAAGGTGCGGACAGTGTCGGCCAAGGTCTCGCCCTTGACGACCGATGACGACGAGCCATCGGCAGCAACAACGGTACCTCCGAGACGCAACATGGCTGTCTGGAAAGAGCACGAAGTGCGGGTCGAAGCCTCGTAGAACATCGAGCACATGACCTTGCCGTGGAGCAAGTCGATCGAGCCATTGCGCTCGACCTGGGTGCGCATCTCGTGGGCCAAGCTGAACAAAGTGTGAAGCTCGTTGCGGTCAAACTGCTTTGACGACAGGATGTGGCGGTGCGAGAAGGGTGAGTTGTTGAGGATGCGAGAGATCACTGAGGGAACCTCACGGGCGGCGGCAGCAGCAGAAACGTGGGCAGGGACAATTGCAGTCGAGGAAGCAGAATGCTCCATCTGGACACTGCCGCGGCGACCGTCCGAGGGGCGGATCAAAGGAGTCGAAGGAGTAACAAACTCCGAAGGTCCAAGGCGGGGCGAGTGGATAACCGCGGCGTTGGAAGCACCGTGGGCAGGAACAGTGATGTGGGGCTTCTCGATGGCCTTGGTGATGGCCTGGGCGACAGCAGTGACATCCTGGCCCTCGACACCAGTGGTGTACCAGGCACCGTCCAAGTAGGCGGTGGCGCCGTGGAGGACAACGCGGTGGACGGTACCGGAGAGTGCCTTACCGGCAAAGGGTCCAGTGGTCTTGGACAAGATGCAGGCACGGTCAGTCTCGATCTCGACGTACGAGTCCTTCTGCTCGGGAAGCGAGAAGATCTTGCGGGGGTTGGTGTACAACTTGGCAACAACATCGTCCATGGTCAAGCGGCCCTTGTTGACAGCATCGACCAAGAGGGGAAGGGTCTCCTCAATGCCGGCATGGGCAACGGGGATGCCCTTCTCGGCAGCAAGGCGGTAGGGGAGAGCACCGATGGTGAAGCAGTCAAAGACCTGGAGGCTGTTCCAGAAGGCATCCTGGTCAGCCTTGGAGGGCAACAAGGCAGATCCGGTCTCCTCGCGGGTCAAGAAGAGCGAGTAAACCTCAATGTCGCAGGTGACCTGCAACTCCTTGTCCTTGGACATCTGGATCAAGGCCATGTCGTCGCGGCTCGAGACACCGGTGATGTGGACGGAGCGGTTGTGGAGTGAGGCGAGGAGGAGGATCGAGGCAAGATCGGTGCCCTTGGCATCGGTGATGATGTGACTGTTGATGGGCCACGAGTTGAAGTACTTGGCAGCCTCAGAGACATTAGCCATGGCGCGGCCAGCAACAGGGGAGAAGGGGATGAAGAGAGCGTTGGTCTCCTTCAAGCTGTTGTTGGCGTTGTCAACGTTGGCGTTCATCGACAAGAAGTAGTCGCAGTGGGCGTGGTTGTTGCCGTTGTTCAAAGCAATGGCCAAGCTGGCGCCATCCTCGACACCCTTGGGGATACCGGTGCCCATGGCTCCGATCATGGTGAATCCAGACGAGATCGAAGTCTTGGAGATCTCCTCAAAGTCCTTGCTGCCGGCGATGGAAATACCGGGGATCAAGGCCTGGATGTTGATGAGACCGGGGAGGGTGACGGTGCGGTTGCTGGTTTTGTAGTCGACAGACTCAATCTCAAAATCCTTGTGGCGAGCGAGGGCCTCGACGAACAACTTGGCGCACTTGACGTTGGTGATCAAAGGAACCGAGAAGTCAACAGCCATACGACGGGTACGGTAACCCTTCGAGACGTAGCTGGCAGGGCGGCGGTAACGGTTCTTGGAGGGCAAGTTGATGTAGAGATCGATCAAGTTGTTGGCCAAGTGCTGGTTGAGCGAGTACTCCGACTTTTGGCTGTCGTTGTCATCCTCAAGGGCCTCGAGGTACTTGACAGGGACACCGTGCTCACTCATGAAATCGGCGGTACCAGAGGTGGCAAAAAGGTTGTAGCCGAGGGAGCGGAGGCGCTTGACAGCAGGGAGCATCTCCAACTTCTCCTTGAACGAACCGATCGAAAGAAGGATGTTCTTCTTGGGGAGGGTGAAGCCAGTCGAGACGAGGGCTTTGATGTAAGCTTCGTACTTGTCCTTTCCGAAACAAGCGACCTCTCCGGTCGAGGCCATCTCGACTCCGAGAATGGGATCAGCTCCAGAGAGACGCGAGAACGAGAACTGAGGGACCTTGATACCGACATAGCCAGTCTTGGGGATGGGCGACTCGGGGTAGGACTCGACGGGGAAGCCCAACATAGCGTTGGTGGCCATCTCAATGAGATCGACCTCCATGACCTTGGAGACGAAGGGCATCGAGCGCGAGGCACGCAAGTTGCACTCAATGACCTTGATCTCGTTGTCCTTGGCAATGAACTGAATGTTGTAGCATCCAGTGACGTCCAAAGCCTCTCCGATCTTGGCGGTGGCAACGACAATCTTGCGGATGGTCTCGGGGTCCAAGTCCTGGGGAGGCAAGATCAAGGTGGCATCTCCAGAGTGGACACCAGCGTTCTCGACGTGCTCAGAGACAACGTGCATCACCATCTTTCCGTTAACGGCAATGGCATCCATTTCGATCTCCTTGGCATCCTCAATGTACTTGGAGATGACGACGGGGTGGTCGCGCGAGACGGCAGTGGCCTGTCCGAGATAGTTGGCAAGATCGTCGGCAGAGTAGACGACGTTCATAGCAGCTCCAGAGAGAACGTACGAGGGACGGACCAAGACGGGGTAGCCGACCTTGTTACAGAAATCGCCGGCCTCGTCGAATGAGGTCAACTCCTTCCACAGGGGCTGGTCAACATCGATCTGGTCCAACATACGCGAGAACTTGTAACGGTTCTCGGCAGTGTCAATCATCTCGGGCGAGGTTCCGAGGATCTTGACGTTCTGACGGTGCAAGGGGAGGGCAATGTTGTTGGGAGTCTGACCACCCATGGCAATGACGACTCCCGAAGAAGATTCGATCTCGTAGATATCGAGGATACGCTCCAAGTTGATGTTCTCAAAGTACAAACGATCAGCCTCGTCATAATCGGTCGAGACAGTCTCGGGGTTGTAGTTGACCATGACAGTCTTGACACCGCGGCTGCGGAGGGTGCGGATGGCGCGGACAGCGCACCAGTCGAACTCGACCGAGGATCCAATGCGGTAGACTCCCGATCCAAGAACCATGACTCCCTTGTCCTCGAAGGTAATGTCGTGCTCAACGGCGTTGTAGGTCATGTACAAGTAGTTGGTGAAGGCGGGGAACTCGGCAGCGACGGTATCGATCTGCTTAACGAAGGGGGTGATACCAGCATCGGTACGGAGACGACGGACAGAGAGCTCGTTGCTCGAGATAGCAGTAGCGATCTGGCGATCCGAGAAACCCATCTGCTTGGCAGAGCGGAGCATGTTGGCGGAAACATCGTTGGCGGTGAAGCGACCGAGAGCCTTCTCAAGGTTGATGATGTTCATCAGCTTGTTCAAGAACCACTTGTCAATGTTGGTCAACTCCCAGATACGGTCGACGGTGTATCCCTGCTGCATGGCGTTGGCAATGGCAAAGACGCGCTGGTCGCTGGGGTGAGTCAACTCCTCCTCGATAACGGCATAGGTCTCCTTGGGGGCGAAACCGACCAACGAGGGGTCAATGGCACGGATGGCCTTCTGGATGGTCTCCTCGAAGGTACGACCGATGGACATGACCTCTCCGACAGACTTCATCGACGAGGAGAGCTCCTTGGAGACACGGTCGAACTTGGCGAGATCCCAGCGGGGCATCTTGACAACGACATAGTCGAGCGAGGGCTCGAAGCAAGCGCAGGTGACCTTGGTGACCGAGTTGGAGATCTCGTTCAAAGGAATGTTGAGACCAAGCTTGGCAGCAACGAAAGCCAAGGGGTAGCCGGTAGCCTTACTGGCGAGGGCAGACGAACGCGAGAGACGAGCGTTGACCTCGATAATGCAGTACTCCTTGGAGAAGGGGTTGAGGGCATACTGGATGTTGCACTCTCCGACGACTCCCAAGTGGCGAATGACGTTGACGGCAGTGGTACGCAACATGTTGTAGTCATCGTCCGAGAGGGTCTGCGAGGGAGCGACGACGATCGAGTCTCCAGTGTGGATTCCGAGGGGATCAAAGTTCTCCATGTTACAGACGGTGATACAGTTGTCGCGGCAATCACGGACGACCTCGTACTCGATCTCCTTCCAGCCCTTCATCGAGCGCTCGATCAAGACCTGAGGCGAGGTGGCAAAGGCCCTCGAGGTCAACTCGACGAGCTCCTCGTCGTTGTTGGCGAAACCAGATCCCAATCCTCCGAGAGCGAAAGCAGCACGGCAAATGACGGGGTATCCGATCTCGTTGGCAGCAGCAATGGCCTCCTGGACAGTGACAGCAGTCTGGGCCTGGGCAATCTTCTCGCCGATCGAGACCATGCGCTGGGCAAAGACCTCACGATCCTCGGTGGCGATGATAGTCTCGATGGGGGTACCGAGGACACGGACACCCAAACCGGCAAACTCGTCCTTCATCTTGATACCGACAGACAAGGCAGTCTGACCACCGAAGGTGACGTAGATACCATCGGGCTTCTCGCGGAGAATGACCTTGCGGACAAACTCGGGGGTGACGGGCAAGAAGTAGACCTTGTCAGCAAGACCCTTGGAGGTCTGAATAGTGGCAATATTGGGGTTGATCAAGACGGTGTAGATGCCCTCCTCCTTCAAGGCCTTGATGGCCTGCGAACCAGAGTAATCGAACTCTCCGGCCTGACCGATAGAGAGACCACCGGATCCGAGAACGAGGACCTTGCGGACGCTGACGCGGGGGTTGAGGGCAGCAGCGGCCTCCTTGGTGCCACCGGGCATGGTGATGGCCTTCAAGGTGCCAGTCTTTCTGAAATCATCGACGGCGTTGATGAAGACATCGAACAAGTACTCGGTGTCGCGGGGACCAGGGGTGGATTCGGGGTGGAACTGGACAGAAAAGATGGGGAGAGTCTTGTGCATGATACCCTCGTTCGATCCATCGTTGGCGTTGACGAACAACTCCATGAAGCTATCGGGGAGAGAGGCGACATCGACGGCGTAACCGTGGTTCTGCGACGAGATATAGCAGCGGCCAGAGATCATGTCTGTGCAGGGAATGTTGTGGCCACGGTTACCGAACTTCATCTTCTTGGTGGTGGCGCCCGAGGCAAGAGCGAGGAGTTGGTGTCCCAAGCAAATACCAAAGATGGGGGTGCGGGCGATCTGGAGGGCCTTGGTCAAGTGGGCGATGGTGATCTTGGTCATGGTTGGGTCACCGGGACCGTTGGAGATGAAGAGACCGTCGTAGTCGGTGTCGGCGTTGAAGTCGTAGTCCCAGGGGACGACCTTGACCTCGACACCGCGAGCAACAAAGCAGCGGATCTGGTTGTATTTCTGTTTTGTTTGAGGGCAAGGGAGAATTGGAACCATGGTTAGCGTTTGTTGTTTTTCATTCAATTACTTCCAAATGCATCCAATTGCTTCCTTTTTGCTCAATGTCTCCTTGCTATCAACGTACCATGCCAACATCGACAGCGACGATGCGAAGGGGCTTGCCGTTGGGTCCCATGATGGCAGTCGATGGCTCGGGGGAGTAGATCTTGGGCTGCTTCAAGGAGACTATTCAAATGCATATGCAAGTAAAGAGACAATTTAAGGTTATTTGATCATTCAATTACGAATGAGACAATCAATTATGGATCATTCAGTCACGTCGCATAAACAAACAAACAAACACTGAAAGAAAAAAAAATACCTTCAGCGACGAGGTTGCGCTCGTTGGGGTCAACCCAGTCAACGTTCTGGTACTCGTTCATCCAAGCCTCATCGGCAGGGACAACGGTGGGGCCAACAAGGGCGACGGGGAAGAGGATCTTGCCGAGCATGACTCCCTGGGAACGGATCTTCTTGGTCATGGCACGGGTATCGATGCCATAGATGGCAGGGATGTTGTACTCCTTGAGCCATGCGCCAAGAGACGATGTGGCGAGGTAGTGCGAGTAGTCCTGAGAGTATTGACCGACAATCAGACCGGCAATGTGGATCTCGTTCGACTCAAAGTGCTTGGGCAAGTCCTTAAGGATGGGATCCATGGTCTCGCGCGAGGGGACACCATAGTTTCCGACCAAAGGGAAGGTCAAGACGAGGATCTGGCCCCTGTACGAGGGATCCGTCAAGGACTCGGGGTATCCGACCATACCTAATGAGCGTACGGAAGGTTGCCATCGATGGTGGAAATAGAAGAGAGAAATTTCATGTTCGTGAGAAATTGTTTTCAAATCACACAACATATCCATCATCTCTGATTCCCACAACCCTTTATGTAAATGCACAACACGCATGCAACATGCATTGACCTTGCATCATGCGGAAGCAAAAACGAAAATATAAACGAAAACAAAAAGAAAAAGAAAAAAAAATGTAAAACAGGCTCACAACCACAACCGGGAAATGAAAAAAGTATCACTTACCAGTCTGGAAGACACACTCTCCGGAGATTGACTTGGTCTCAGCACCGAAAGAGATACCCTGGTAGGAGGAACCATCCTGGAGGACCAAGGTCGCGATTGTGGAGGGCTCGACCTGATCGCAGGGAGGGGCCGAGACGGGAGGCATGGGGTAGACAGCGGCAACCTGGGCGGGAGCGGCGGAGCGGACTTGAGAAGGCATTATGGTTTAGAGTAAGGGCGTGTGTGGATATGAAGGTTGATAAAAGTAGTGGTAGAAATACAGAGTAATACAAGTGAAAAATGCAAGAAGTGAAATAAATAAACAATGAATGGAATGAAATGCAAATGCTAATGAAGAGAGACAAGTCCCCGATGCTTGAAGGGTACTAGGTTGGAAGGGGAGGGGTGGGGCAGGGTGGTCGCGTGTGAAAGGTTACATGAAAAAAGAAGAAAGAAAAGAAGAAAAAGAGCAAACAAACGCACAAACCGGTCGCTTTTATAGTCCACTAGGTGAATCGCAGCTGCAAAAAAATACAAAGTGGCGTTTTGTTTGTCTTTTTTCCAACGCGAGTGACTGTGTCTTTTTTTGTCTGTCAGTCCAATCAGGACCTGGCGCTCCTTGAAAAGCAACCAAAGTCAGCTTTCTCCGCGAATGTCTTGCAAGATAACAGCTCCCTTACACTTCAGGTTCCTCTTTCATGTTCCCAGGGGAACCACTCACTGCAACCCCAGCTGACTATATATTTACGTGGTAGTGCCATCGAACGCCATCACATCACGGAGAAAGCATAGGTTTTTAAATAAGAGTGGTATGATCTCTAGGGTATCTTATCTACAGTGGCCATCAATCATTCTCTAATGATTGATGTGCGCCTCGAGCCAGGCAATGTCGCCTACAACCTCAAGTCCACTTCCTAGAGACTGGTCCTCAACAAGCACCTCTCCCGACTCGACACGCCACAACCTAACATCCGTCGTGGCCACAACCGCCTCCTCGACCCCACTAAACATCCTGCCCTTGACACGACTCGGTGCTCGCAACGGCACACCTGTTCCGATCTCGCGAGTGACATTCACCTGGAGAGCAATTGTTTCCTTTGGGTTGTTGGGGTCCTTGGTGGTCGCCATAAACGAGAATGTCTGGGTGCCTCGCTCGATGTCTATCGAGGTCCTGAGTGACTTGGCGCGTGCTAAAAAGACGTAGCTGGAAAAGTTGTACAGAGTTTTTGTCGCAGCGTGGTAGAAAATAACGAGACGTCCCGGGACATTGGTGAATGGTGATAGAATGGGTATATTGCTTGTGATCCAGTCGCTAAAATCTGGTCCCAAAACGGGGATAGATGCCACCGAAATCTAGTTAATTAGGACAACGCAAGATATTCCGTGAGTTCGTTTACAATGGTGATAAATAACAAGAACAAGAAAAGCAGCAATGGTACAGGAACAACATATCCTTGTATGCATGATAAACATGCTTCAACCAGCGTCACCAAATATCAGTCGCCTTGAGCAGAAAGCAAAGATATGAGTACCATCAAGGAGGAGCCTGGAGTAGTGTCAAACATGTTGGCTTGGGCCCAGACCCATGTCGAAGGAAAGTTAACGCCCCAGTCCTTCTCAATGTAGCCCACACCGCCATCAAACTTGGCCTCACCCAGGACCTCATTGTCACCGCGGTGAGCGACAAGATGACCTTTGCTGATAGTATGGTGCAAAGACGCAACGCCGTGGTTGCATTCCAAGAAAGGTAGATAGGCAGTAATGCCCATGATAGAGGGCCTCCATCGTGATGTGGGCAAAGGTATCTGTGTCGAGGAGGGGAATTGAAAGTGTCCGTGGACAGCAATGGGGTTCTGGGTCTCTGCCTCGGTCAATGTGTCTGCGCTTGGAAAGAGTCGTCGAAAGTAGTCGTGGTTGTCAATTGAAGAAGCGGTGCTGTTGGTCTTCCTGAGTTGCACTTCGTACTGGCGGCTAGCCTCGGTGTAGAATTCCTCAAGTTCGCGGGCGGGGACGCGATCGAACCGATTGGCGGGGAGGTTGAGGATGAGTTCATCGTGTGAAAAGAAGCTGTTCCCGATTTGAACCTTGAATGCCCCCTTGTTATTGTTGTTGTTGTCACCGCCTTGAGTATTCCCACGCAGGTCCGTGAATTCACTGACAGGGAAACGAAAGTAGGCAGCAGGTTCGGGTCCAGGGATACCGACGACTATGACAAAGGCGTGTTCCTCGTCGGTATTATCAGGACTGGGGCGATGAATTCCCGGGATGATGGCCATGGATTGGATGGGGTCGTCCTTTGTCTTGCCTTGCTTGACCATCTTGAAGTACCAGCCCTCGAAAAAGGCTGTCGAGATGTCGGTGCCGTGGTATTGAATGGGGTTGTGCAGGTTCCTGACGTTAGAGACGAGATAGGCAGCCTTGGGAGAGAGAGCCAATTGGACCAGGTACGCCGAGGTAAGGACCAAGAGCGCAGTGCGGCCCAGGCTGAGAAGACGCGTCGACGACCATGACGAAAAGGAAAGGATTGGTGTGTCCTGCGGGTCTTTCATGTTGTGTTTGAGATGGATGGAAGGAGAAGAAAGGAAAGGAAAGGAAAGGAAAGGAAAAGAAAGAAAAGGAAAGAGAGGTGAATGAAAGAAGGCAATGAGAGTGAAAAAGAAATGAGTAGGTACACAGTGGGTCAGTGTACATAGTGAACGGGCTTGGGGTAAGAGAGAGGGAGTAGATGTTCTAGTTGCGTCAGGGACCCTTGGTTTTGAGAATTGAGAGCAGGTAGGGTTGCATGTCCTCCACAGAGAGACAAAGTTCAATTTCAAGGCGCAAGGCAGGAGAAGAGAGAGAGAAAGGCTTACCCATTGGACAATCTGAGCAGGGAAATGGAATGGGTAATGGCATATGCACTCGTTCGATCAGTTGCTTTTGTCGTACAATAATAACAGTGGTTGGTTGCTGATACTGATAGACTGATGGACTGATATGTGATGTATATGATATGGATGGGTGTAATTCCGATCCCTTTCTCTCCCTTTGTCTCTGCCCAGAGAACCACGTTTTCTTCCTCTTCTCCTTGGAGTGGAGTGGTGGTAGTGGTGGCGCAGAGGAGGAGGAGGAGGGGCAGGAACAGCAGGAGGACAAGGCGGATGTGGTGAGATGGAACAGAACGATGTGGTCCCTGTGGCTGTCGATGCACCGTACTACTGTCCTCAGTGCTCACTCCGTTAACTCTGTTGTTGCATTTGTCTACTCATGCCCCGTCCCTTGCTTTCCCTCCAACTGGACCCCCTCCTTTGCCACACTATGATCACTTCTCTTTCTTCATCCTTCTTTTTCTTTTCTCATCATCCCCTTCTCCCTCTCTCCCTCTTTCCCATCTCATCTCCCTTTCTTCTTTCTTTACAAAGTTCTCTCTCTCTATCTCTCTTTCTCATCCTTCTTCTCATCCTTCTTTTCTTCTCTCTTGCCTTTTTCTCCATTGCTCACACTAACATCTCCAACTTCAACTACTGCAACAAAAAACTGGGCGAGCCTTGCTCCTCCCTCCTCTCTTTTCACTCTCCCTTCGTCACTCCCGTCTTCCCACCCTTTTCTTTTTATCTTCTTTTGCCTCCTTTTTTTTTTTCTTTGTTCGCCGCTGTCGGTCTACTACACTTTTTCTCCTTCTTCTCTCAGCTTACGCTCACTCGCAACCTTTGACTTTTTTTTTTCTTTTCTCCCTTTGGCTCGTACCTGTCTGCCTGCTTGTTGTGCCTGCCTCAGCCTGGGACAACAAGCTCTTTCGCTGCTCAGCCTACCAGTACTACAATTACCATTATTATTACTGCACAAAGCGAACACACACGGATACACACACATTTATTCACGACAGACAACAAGAATAACATTGCGTTCGTTCTCCACCAACGGTTCCCTTTTTTTCTATTCTTTGTTTGTGGCTCTCTTTTTTCTCGTTTCCCTCCTCGTTAAGAAGCGCTCTTTTCCTTTTCGTGCGCTTGGTTCTTTCTGACCGTACAGTGTACATACTGCATCTGTGTACCTAAACTGTACCTGTTCCCTTGTTTGCAAGCAAAAGTAAGTACTCGCATAAGTCTTTGCTCAATCCAATGCCAATCCCATAGCATTGGCGCTGTCAATAGCCATTTGCTACTCCACAAATATCCATATATATCTCTCATTGCCACCTTTTTTTATCGTTGTAACTTATCCTTCACACTGCTGACGGATGTACCCTTTGTCTGGTCTGCCAACTTGCCGTGTCTTTTTGAGCCGCGGTCTCCTTTTTTTTCCTTTCTTTGACCTTTTCTTTGACCTTTTCTTTGACCTTGTCAACCTCGTCGTGTTTGTTCTCGCCTTACTACACTTCCCGCCTTGCCTTCCTTCGCCGTTCAATTGCCTCCCTTTTTTGTTGTTGGAAAAAAACGTCCTTCCTTCCCTCTTCTTCCCTTTTCTTCCCTTTGCACCCTTTCTCTTTCTCTATTTGTACTTTTCCTTATTCCTTTCTGTCTTTCTTTACCTCTCCACAACTACTTCTACCCTTACCTCTTTTCAGCTACACCTGATCACTCTTCCTCTTAACACTACTAATTAAACGATTCACACAAACGCAATGTCGTCCATAGGATCCCTTCCACGCCCGGAATCCCCTGCGCCCAACAACAGTTACTATAACATTGTCCATTCCAGCAACTCCAACACCGCTACTACCTCCGACAGCCGCCACTCATCCGAATCAGATCCGCCTTCAACCCCTCCTTCTCCTCCTCCACCCTCTCTACCATCCCTTCGCCTCTCATTCTCACCCCTCTTTGAAATGAACGGAAACTCGGGCACAAGCCAAATCAACACCTCAAGTGTCCGCGAGACCTCGCACCACTCCCACCCTCACCCTTCATACAAGCACTCCAGTCTCATAACACCCGCCCCAAAGCACTCTTCTGCCGCCCCAGGCCAGCTTCAGTACAGCGCCAGTCTCCGGAGCATCAACAACGGTAATGGCCTGACTAGGAGCGCCAGCACCAGTCCTGGAGGAGGTCATGGCCACAACCACAACTACAACAACAACTACAGTCAACATCACCACAACAACCAACACCAGCACCACCACCATAATAACCAGCTCACGTACCAACAACAACTGCAGCAGCCACATCTGAACTACAGTAACGGGCTGTCAAGTAGCGCGCCTCTGCCTCGTAACCTCGTGCCTTTGTCCAGGCCGTCGTTTAGCGGCAACCGACCCACACCCCAGACACCAGGTGAGTCTGTCGTCTTTGTTCGTTTATGCAGGCTCCGGAGGCAAATGAAGAAAAAAACTGGTTTGGCTTGGCTTGCGCCAAGACACACGTCGTTGGTGTCAACAAGAAGAACAAGTAGACGGCTTCTTCTTTCTTTCTGTTCCTTCGGATATTGTTCTTCCTCCTCTGTGACAAATAAGGCAACAGAACAAAAACCAAGCAAACACTAACCTCAATCTTCCTCGCTCGCTCCTTGTCCTGTTGTCTCGCTGTCCATTGTCCCCTATTTTTTTTGTTCTCGTTGTTTGTCCCTCGTCTACCTCGCTTCTTTCTTCTTTCTTTCTCTCCTCCGTTATTCCTGTTCAATCCTCACCTCACTTCACTTTATCCCTGCTGACCACGATCCTCACTATCCTTCGACAATGGTTGCTTCAACGCTTGCTCCTCTTCCAGACGGCCTCGTCCCCCAGCGTCAGGCACCTCCTCCACCGAGACCATCCACTTCCTCCAGTAAGTGCCTTCTCCAATGCTCCTCCTCCTCCTCTTTGATGCAAGCTCAAAACAAAGAGACCCTTTCTCTGCTCCCTTCCTTCCCCCTTGAAAACGTTCTTTTGTCTCAATTGCTGTTTCTCTATTTTCCTTCTTCGAAACAGATAGAGAGTCCGCCCCTGTGCCTCCCAGGGTCCCTCCTCCAAAGAAAGGGCCTCCTCCACCACCCCTGAAGCCAGGCCGTCAAAGCGAGTCGGCCTACTCCCACAGCAGCAGCACGACCCTCATCAACAATAGCAACAACAGTAACAGCAGGATCAACAGCAACATCTATGCGTCGTCGACGTCCTTGGCAGCCCCTCAACACCGTCTGAACTCGCCCCATGACTCTTTACGATCCAATCACTCGGACAACAACCTGACCTTGCTATCGTCCTCCCCAAAGTCTACCTACAGCCGCGCACATCAGCAATATGACAATACGGAGTATCCCTCGAACCGCAATACGTTCAAAGGTGTCTTCAGCAACATTGTCAGCTCGATGTCAGGTACGAAGAAGAGTGAGTTAACCTTCCTGTTCCCAATACCCCAATTGGAACATTTTTTTTTGTTGTTGCCAATTGCTATTGTCTTGTCTTGCAATGAGCCATGGCTGTCTTGCAATGTATCTCTCCATCCTCTAGAGTACTTACCATTCCTCATCGCTCTTTCGACGTTTTAGACCTGCTATCTTCGGACAAAAAAATTGAGATCTCATCACCCTACAACCCTGTCCATTTGACCCATGTGGGCTACAACCTCGATACGGGCGAGTTCACAGTAAGTATTGCACCTGAGAATGAACTGGGAGAAATGAAAATCCAACGTACGTTGTGATATGTAATGTTTACAAACGAAACTCACCCAAAGAACTCTATCCTGTTGACGTTATAGGGTCTTCCCAAGGAATGGCAGCAACTCTTGCAGGAATCTGGAATTTCAAAGCAGGATCAGGCAGCACATCCTCAAGCGGTCATTGACATTATTGGATTCTACACCGACAGTCAGGAAGGCAAGCAGAACGATGCCGTTTGGAAAAAGTTTGCCCATCCTCCCGAGGCACAAAAGCCCGCAAAGCCCATTGCGCCACCACGACCAACACCGCCCCCACCAGGCCCTGCTCGCGCCGTTGCTGATCGGCCAGTGCCTCCTATACCCGCACCTCGCCCTGTGTTTGAACAACCTGTATGTATCGATTCGTTCGATCTTTCATTTCGCTTTTACTGTATACGTTGAGGATGACCACCATTACTCACATCATGCTTTTCCTTCCTTGTAGCGCGCTCCTCCAAACCCTCCCCCACTCAAGAAGCCATCGGTAAGAAAAGTGATGCTTTATGCAGACAGGAGCTTGCGAGATGATTGAACCAACAGCCATGTAACTGACCTGTCGTCACTTTGTATTTTATAATCACATAGACTCCAAGTGTCCGACAGGAGAACCAGGAGACGATCGACACTGAACCCAGCCCAGTGTCACCCCCGACTCCAACGCCAACATCAACGCCAATATCGTCACCTGGAACAGCAGCGGTGACGATTCCATCACCAGCACCAGTACCAGTACTGTCTGTTGCACCTCAGCCAGCGCCCTCGCCCAAGGTTCCGCCACCAAAACCTAAAAAGATTCCTAATCACCAGGGCAACACTGTCGGCTCGCCTGCCTCCAAGCCCAATCATGCAGCTCCTACAGCCAAGCTGCGTGAGAAGAAGGTCGACAAGGATGCCGTCAGCTCGCAGGAGGTGATCCGTCGGTTGAAGGCTATCTGCACGGACGCCGATCCTACCAAGCTGTATCGCAACTTGGTCAAGATTGGCCAGGGCGCTTCAGGAGGTGTTTACACAGCGTACCAGGTCGGCACCAACCTGTCTGTGGCGATCAAGCAAATGAACTTGGAGCAGCAACCCAAGAAGGATCTGATCATCAATGAGATCCTGGTCATGAAGGAGTCGAGCCACAAGAACATTGTCAACTATATCGACTCGTTCCTGCACATCGGAGACCTATGGGTTGTCATGGAGTATATGGAGGGAGGCAGTTTGACGGAGGTTGTCACCACAAACGAGATGGCCGATCCTCAAATTGGAGCCGTCTGTCGCGAGGTAAGACTCTCGCGCTGTCCTGTCACGAAAATGTCTCTCAATGCTCAGAAGAAAAATCAAGGAGAACTGCGAACTTTCCAAAACATGCTCAGCCTTTTTGCTCTCTTTTGTTTGGATTTCAATGACTTCTAGACTTTGCTGGGACTTGAGCACCTTCATTCCAAGGGCGTTATTCACAGAGATATCAAGTCGGACAATGTCTTGCTTGCTCTCAACGGAGACATCAAGCTGAGTATGTTTTTTCCTCTCTTTTCCTTTTTTTCGAGTTACTTACTCCAATGATTTGCCATTGCTATCAAAAGAAAGTGTGTCCATGAGCACTTTTGTGCTAGCGACCAAGTGTACATACTTACACTTCTTGTTCTTGCGTTTTCGCGCTCAATCTCAACCATAATAGCCGATTTTGGATTCTGTGCTCAGTTGAAGGAGAGTCAAGGCAAGAGGACGACGATGGTGGGAACCCCATACTGGATGGCACCTGAGGTTGTGACCAGGAAGGAGTATGGTCCCAAGGTCGATATCTGGTCCTTGGGTATTATGGCCATCGAGATGCTTGAAGGCGAGCCCCCATACCTCAACGAGAACCCTCTCCGCGTAAGTCTTTTTATCTGATCTCTGGTTTTTCTTGTCACTTCTTGTGTGTATGAGTGAAAGGATTGAATTAACATCTCATTTTTCTAACATGGATATTAAAAAAAAAAATAGGCGCTGTATTTGATTGCGACGAATGGAACGCCAACATTGCAGCACCCCGACAAGGTGTCTGCGGATTTCACGGACTTTTTGCACCAGTGTCTGGAGGTCGACCCAGAGAAGCGTCCCACGGCCACGGAGCTGTTGAGACACCCCTTCATCACCAAGGCGCACTCTGTCCGCACCCTCGCGCCCCTCATCAAGGCCGCCAAGGAAAGCCAGCGCAACTAAGAGATCAAGGCATCAAGCCCACTACAACAACTACAACAAAAAAGAAAAAGGCAGCTTTCATCATGCGAGTGGATGCTGTTTTTGTTTTCAAATGATCGACATTCTTGTACTATCTTCTTTTTTTTTTTCTTCCCTTTTTTTATGTTCGCCTCCCCCCCCCCCAAATGTCGTTCGTCGTTGACCGTTCGTTCGCTCTATTGTCACCAAACATTATTTTTTTTTTCGTTCGCACCAAACCCAACTTGTACCAATAAAACTCCCACATTTTAAAATGAACCTGGCGATCTGTCGTCATAAAGAACTGGGAACTGGGTTGATAACAAAAATGCATATTCTTTTTTTTTTTTATTTGACAAAATGAAAATAAAGGATAGGGAGGATTTGTTTCCTGTTCCTAATCCTGCTGCTTCAATTCAATTCCATGACAACATTCCTCTCCTCCTGACTTATTAGCCGCGCGCGCGCGGCACGCCGTCCCGACATCATTAAGCCTCAAGACGAGGAACATGGATAACATAACCCTTCGTCCCCTTATCCCCGCCCGGGGTATGTTCAGGCCCACCTCTCACATTCTCCGCAAAGATCGTCACCTCCAATCCACCAGTATGATGGTTAAAATAACCATGAGAATAATTCCGCCTCGGCAAGAGCTTATCCAACTGCAACGACTGTCCATTCACATCCGTTGTAAACATCGGGTACATATCCTCGTAAGTCTTGACGCGTCCATCCAAGATATGGACCTTATCCTGGAAGTGCAAGAGACGGATGACGCCCTCTGGTGGGGGTTCGTTGACGATCGCCGACGAGATAACTTGGTACATCAGTTGGGGATCCTTTTCGGGTGGCGAGATTTTGGCGGTGAAGCGACCAATGCCGGCGCAATGGACGTCGCCCGAGATGAAGGTGATGCGGATCTTGCGGTCGTTGGCAAAGTTTTGGAGTCGGACGATGAACTTGTTTCTCTCCTGCTTGTGTGCCTTGGCTATTGTTGAAGAGTCGTAGGAGGTGAGGGAGGTAGGGGAGGGGGGGGAAGAAAAATAAATGGATTGTTAATATTCTGATGCCACTCTCTTTCATTACAGAACACAATTACCCAAAAAAACAACAACACGAAAAAAAAATACATACCGGTCCAGTGGTCGTTAAGATCATCAAGCAACTCGGGCTCGCCATTAATCTTATTCACCACACTCTTCGCACTCGCCAACCCACCCAGCACACTCCCCACACTCCCCATCAAATTCTCTGCGAAAACCAATCTCGGGTACGCAATCGGGACGCCAATCTGGACCAACAAATGCCTAGTCCCCTGGGGAATCTCATTGTACATCTTTGCAAACGCCAAATCATACGTCTGATCCGAACAGACGACATTCTTGGTACGTTCAGAACGGGCGTCAAGGGCGAGAATGGATGTAGAGGGTCCAAAGGACGCGAGGATGTTTTCTCCGACGCCCGCAGAGAAGAATCCGTGGTGGGGGACGAGGGCGGGTGTTGTGTGCTGTTGGAAGAGGAGGTAGAATTTACGAGAGACAGCGCCGATGGTTGTGATGACGGAGGATTTCATCGTCGCCTCGGGATACGATCCGTATCCGTCGATCGTGCTAATTTGTCATGAAGAACAATAAACGTTAGGAAAGAAAAAAAAAAAAAAAAAAAAAAAAGAGAACAGCAGACGGCTGTGGCACCAAGGCTACTCCATTACACCTCATCGCCCTTCAAAACTCCGAACGAAAACCCAAAAAAAAACTTACTCGTGATCATCCCACATGTTGACAGTAGGGATAGCAGCAAGCGCCTGGCCAAAAGTGCCCTGGGAGAACCAAGTACAATACCGGTTAAAGTAATACTTTTCAATCGCATGAACCCAATGAGGCTTACAGGTAGCCTTCTCACGCTCTGAGATGGTTCCGGACAACCACTCCTTCATCTCGGGCTCATCCAGAAGGGAATCACAATAAAGTTGGTCGCCGCCTCCGACCATGACATGGTAGGGGTGTTCGGTGTGCTTGGCCAGTGCATCGTTCCACAACGGGTTCGCTCCTCCAATCGCGACTAAGGAGTGAGGTCCAAAGAAAAATGCGGAAAAAAGAAAATGCGGGAAGAGGGTCGGTTAGAGAAATAAAAAACGTAATTCCTCGGTTTGTTTGTCTGTTTTGGAGTGCGTTGGCAGATACATAGTATGCAGCTGACAGTCAGACAAACAGACAGCGAGATCTCGGTGACTAAAATGTCACCGAAAGGAAGGGAAAAGTTGTTCCCCCGCTGGACTGATAAGAAAGTAAAAACAACTCGAATGGGCAGGCCATTGTCCTGTCTGTTCGTTCGCCTTTGTTCGTGTTGTGTCCACTGTAATCCATGGCAACTGTTCCTGCAGGCCCACATGCCGACTAACACGCAATGTTTGCATCGTCTCAGTCGGTCCTATCCACAAACCACTCCAAAGCAACAAAAATGCTCTCAAAAAAACAACACGACTCGCAACTAAAATCCAAAAGGCAACTAAAATCCAAAAGACACCTAAAAAAAACAATAACAACGAGACGTTACCTGAATCCGTAGCGGACGAGAAACCATTGCAAGAATAAAACATCCAGCGGAAGGACTCGCTCCGTCCGGCAACGAAAAACCAGTAGCTGGAGCCTCCGTTAATAGAGTAGGTGATCTTCTTGGTGACTTGAGGGTCCTGAGGGATAACCAGAGCGAATCGCCAAAAGATCGACTGGTTGTATCCGTCAATAGCCAGTCCTGTAACCTGCTGAGGATGGCTACGACCATCGGACCAGGTCAAGACGGGAGGAGGACCCTGTTGTCCATGAGGATCGGGCTTCGAGACCATCAAGACAGAACCCAACCAGTTGCCCTGGTGCAAATCCATGTTTTGGTATCGGAGCAAAGGTCCGCACAAGAATCCATATGTCGTCGAAGGGTTCATCGTAGGTGGTTGATGTTGAGAAGGTTGAGGAGGGTAGGCGGGTTGTCCGTAAGGGCTGCTGTTGGGCTGGACAGGGGAGAAAGGCGGGACCATGTTTCCCTGGGAGTATTGGTTCTGGACGGGCTGGTGCTGAGGGTATGCAGGTTGTTGACCATACTGGTGTGGGCTGGGCATGCTCATGGGCATGCTCATGGGCATGCTCATGGGCATTCCTCCTCCTCCCGAAGGGTTGGGCGTAGGAACAGCAGCGGGCATTCCGCTAAAAGGAAGCTGGGCGGGGGGTGGGTAGGCTCCTCCTGCGTAAGCTCCTCCTGCAGGGGGTGCGCCGGGTTGAGGGAGTGGTGGGTACATCGTGCCGCCGGGGTAACCTGGCGTTGCCTGCTGCTGGGGTGGGTAGCCTGCAAGGGGCTGGTATGCGGTGGGCGGTTGGTATGCGGTCTGCGGTTGGTAAGGCGGACCTCCGGGGGCAGGGTACATTGAAGGTGGAGCATTCGTGGGGGGAGCATAGGCCTGCTGGGGGGCTCCTGAGCCTGGAGGAGGGTATTGGCCTCCTTGCTGGTTGTTCTGGTATGGGTTCGGGTACATTCCGAGACTGATCCTTTATGTCGTTGGGTTGATGGAGTGGAAAAGTGATGAGGGGAAGGAAGAAAGCAAAGGGATCAAGAAAGGGAAATAAGAAAGAGAAGAAAAGAAAAAGGGAAAGGAAAAGGAAAGAGCGGGAAAGGTTGAGACCCGAGGGAAAGGCACTTCAAGGTTAACGCTCTCTTGTACCCACCTCTTCACACCCACACCCCTCTCCACGCTCCTGCTTGAACACACGCTTCATTCCCACTTGTGAGTACAAAGGATCACACACACCAACAAGAAGTAGCTCCACATGACAAGAAAGAATGCAGAACGACCATTCTCACCCTGGCTTTGTCGTGCTTTCCTCGACTCTCTTTTACTCTCTTCACTCACTTTACTGTCAAATGTGGGTGTTAGCCCCTTCCCTCCTCTTTCAACCACTAGACCAAAACAAACCCTCGTGCGCACAGTCGCTCAATTCTCCAATGCAAGCCACATCAATGGACGTAGCCAGCCCAGAGCACGAGTCGAAGATGAAGAAAAAGCCGTTGTCGCTCCTCCTCCATCTCGCGCTCTTACGCTTTTATCCCTATCTCGATCTCGCTCCTCGTTTGTTTGTTTTTTGATGACCAGCAAACAATAAAAAAGTCAGCCCTATGCGGAGTTGTGAGACCCCAAACCAACAGCCCACCAGCCCGGCACACAGCTCACGGTACATAGCTCCTGGCACACAGTCAAGGTTCAGGTGCAGGCAACCAGCGCCTTCGTCTTCTTCTTCTGTCGTTATAAACCTATGTCAACAGTCAGCCACCATGAATTAACTCCGCTAGCATCAATTGCCTAACCCAGTGGCGACCTGGGGACCCCAGGCAACTCAGCACCTAGGACCCAGTGCCCAGTACCCTGTACCCAGGTTAGTGGCTGATAGGTGGCAGGTGACGGCAACTCTGAACCATGGAAACAAGGGTATCTTTCCTTGTCATCCAGTCGCCTTCTTCCTTGAGGTCATCGTCCCAATCGTTTGTGACCTTACCCAATACTCCTTCCAAATATAAAAAGGGATGAGGACCTTTTCTGCGCACATACTTGAGGACCTTTTCTGTGCATTTACTAGGGGCCAGCTGCACGACGCTCTGAAGTGCGTTTCCACCTGTGTCTACCGTTCGCTACCTTATTTGGACCCATTGCTCTTTTTTTTGTTTTATTTCATGTATGTACAGAAGAAAAAAATGGCGTGTGTGTGTGTTTTTTGTGGTAGTGTGTGTTTGAGAGAGAAGGGGTATGTGGGAGAGTGCCAATAAAAAGGAAGGGCGGCTCTGGTGTGAGGTTCCCACGGTGTGTGCTCTACTGCTGTTACTCGTCCTGCTGCTTGCTCCCTTCCTTCTGAACTCGTCCTCGTCCTCGTCCTTGTGTCGTCCTCTCTCTCCCTTCCTTCCAGTCAATCAACCAAGATTACTTCTTGGCATTGTAACCAAGACCGAGCTCGGGATACTGCGAAGGAGTATGGTCAAGATGAGGACTCAATCCCGTGAAATCCAAAGGCACAGGAGTCCCCAACCAAGTAGCCCTCGAAGAATGATCGGCCAACTCCTCCCTCGTCAAGGGATGGATCAGAATCGAATGTGGGCCCCTGTTCAACACAAACCAGGAATAGCAACGTGCGAAATCCTCCCTCGCACACCAAACCTCATAACTTCCAATAGGGTGAGGACCTCTAGGGGAGGTATTGACACCGTTTTTGAGGGGGACCACTTGGAAGAACCCCTGACGGACGAGTTCGAGGATCCGGTCGCGCAGTTTGACGGCGGACTCGTGTGAGGCCTTGTTGTTCTGGAACCAGTAGAGGTGAAAGTGGAATTCCTTGATCTCGTTGTCGTAGTCGGATTGCAGGTCGGCATTGGACGAAGTCGAGGTGTTGGTGTATGGAACTGGGCCGGATGCAGCGGGGCGGTGGTCTGAGTCTGCGCTGATCTGCATGTTTTTTGGAGATGGAGAGATGGAGAAAGTGTTTGATGAGTAAGAGAGGAAGGAAGGAAGGAAGCAGAGAGAAAGACGAAAAGAATGAGGTGGGGGGGAAAGAAGAAAGAAGAAAGAAGAAAGAAGAAAGAGTTGAAGGAAAGAGTTGACGAAGAAGGAAGAGACGATACCTTATTTGTGCGGCGTATGTTCATTGTTATCAGATGGACAAATTGAACACGTCTGATTGGCTGGAATGGAGGACCGCACTTTATGGGCAAATCCTTCCCCTGAAGTGCGCCATTCTCTCTGTCCACAGTACAGCAGTGTCACAGTCCATGGGACATGAACAGCGAGAAGGAGGGGGGGAGGAAGGGTACTTGATCAAGGTACTTTCTCTTTGATGTCTCACACACAACACACTTCGCATAGGCTATTGCATTGGTCCCCTGTCTTTACATAACCATAAGGCGCGTCGTCTTCAACGACTGCGCTCTCATATTTCCGATAGAACTGTCACGGTGCCTGTGCGTAAATTCAAGTCCAATGAGGTTGCCGATTGGATGTCTGCGCCGCCACCTTGTAGGTATTTCGATCATGGTGGCACTTCAACTTTGTCTTTGCCTCCAGAAACGACCATTACCATCGAATCATTCCAAAGCATCACATATCACAATTTCGCCATGAACATGCGCACTTGTCAGGTAGAAGATCTGTGCGTATGTGTATCTATTCGCTCCGTCGCCTTGGCCAGGTCAAGGCCCTGATTCACACAGTCAAACGACGAATGACGTTTCGTTGTGTATGTACTTGCAATTTTAAAAAACAGTTGCGACGTGGCCCATGGGTACGAATTTCATTCTCTTTTCTCTTCTCTCCCCTACTCACCCACACACACACACACAAAGTACGTTCTGCCCTTATCATCATCGTCGTCGTTCGTTCTCATGCTTATTGTTATCTTTGTGCCGTGGCACCTCTTCGTCTTTTCTCCTGGTCTCTACCTTCAATTCTCCACACGCACCTGCACACGCCTTGCAGTCATCTTGTATTCTCTTCACACCCTCGCTATCACCGTGTCACGGTTACTGGACTGCCTGCTATCTTTTTGGACTGTATCGACCTTGGTTGAACTATTGTGCGCCTTCCTTGCAGGGTTTAGCTTTGTCTGTTCTCTCTCCTCTCGCCTTCCATCATCTCCGTTCTGTTGTTAACAACGTTTTATCGTTCTGTCGCTCCCCCTCCCAGGGCTATACCTTTCAGTCCTCTCTTTTCCACTTCTCCTTTTTTTTGACTTCCCCCCTCTGCAACAGCTGCATTTCTCACGGTCGATAAGGACGCGTTTGTGATCATAGTACAACCAACTAACCATCTCTTTACTCTCTCCTTTTCTTTTCGCATTCCTTTGTGTCGCTTCGTTATCAGAATGGTAGGTTTCGGTGTCGAGAAGCCTGCCCTTTTCTTCAACCTCAGACGATGATACATTACAATATGGGCACCATTTTTTTTATTCTGCTCCAATCCGCACTGCACTGCAGGAACTAGAAATAGCTTTTCTAACAAAATCTCTCTCTGTTTTTTGTCGTTTGTGCTCTCTCTCTCTCTCTCGCACACACTTTCACTCATACTTGCACTTTATAGGAAGAAGAAGTTGCTGCCCTTGTTGTTGATAACGGTTCCGGTATGATCAAAGCCGGTTTCGCCGGTGATGATGCTCCCCGCGCCGTTTTCCCCTCGGTAAGTCCAACGACGGTGGCACATGTAACAAGTAGTAAAACAGAAGAGAGTGGGGGGAAGTTGTGACGTTGTGAGAAATATTCATGCATCAAATTACAAGTCGATCCCTGGACCCCAAAGCAAAAATGGAAAAGAAAGTTGCATTCCCTTCGGTTTCCATTCGACTCGTCGACTTGCGAGGGTTCTCACAAAGGAAATCACCGTTTGATGAAAACAAAACAGACCCAACTCACACGTTGTTCTTGACATTTCTTCGTATGGATTCATTAGATCGTAGGTCGCCCCCATCGCCAGGGTAAGAATGACTCCTTTGTCGGTGATGAGGCTCAGTCCAAGCGTGGTATCCTCTCCTTGACCTACCCCATCGAGAACGGTATTGTCACCAATTGGGACGCCATGGAGAAGATCTGGCATCACACCTTATACAACGAGCTCCGCGTTGCCCCCGAGGAGCACCCCATCCTCATGACCGAGTGTCCCCTCAACATCAAGGAGAAACGCGAAAAGACGACCCAGATCATGTTCGAGACCTTCAACTCCCCCGCCTTCTACCTCTCCATCCATGGCGTCCTCTCCCTCTACGCTTCCGGCCGTACCACCGGTATGACCGTCGACTGTGGTTATGGTGTCGGTCACGCCATGCCCATCTACGAGGGTTTCGCTCTCCCCCACGCCATTCTCCACCTCAATTCCGCTGGTCGTGACTTGACCGACAACCTCATGAAAATCCTCATAGAGAGTGGTTACCCCTTCACCTCTGCCGAGCTCAAAATCGTTAATGACATCAAGGAGAAGCTCTGCTACGTCGCCCTCGACTTCGAGCAGGAGATGCAGACCGCTGCCAGGTCCTCTGCCCTCGAGAAGTCATACGAGCTTCCCGACGGTCAGGTCATCACCATCGGTAACGAGCGTTTCTGTGCCCCCGAGGCCCTCTTCCAGCCCTCGTTCTCGGGTTATGAAGATCTCGGCATCCACGAGACTACCTTCAACTCAATCATGATGACAGATGAAGGTATCCGTCGCGATTTGTTCGGAAACATTGTCATGTCTGGCGGTACCACCATGTTCCCCGGTATTGCCGACCGCATGCGGGAGGAGATCGCCAGTATGGTCCCCAGGTCGATGAAGGTCAAGGTTATTGATCCCCCAGAGCGCAAGTACTCTGTCTGGATCGGAGGATCCATCCTGGCTTCCCTCTCTACCTTCCAGAATTTGTGGATCTCCAAGCAGGAGTACGAAGAGTCTGGTGCCTCCATCGTTCACCGCAAGTGCTTCTAAGTATCTGGCAGCCAGGATTAGCAACTTTTTGTCGAATCGCGATCAACATCAATATACCTTTGAATAAATCTTGTCCTACAATTTCTCTCCATAAACACCTTTAATGGTCTTAACATGGCATGACTACTGATTCAATGGGCTCTTGTGGACCTTCGTTCAACTGTACTACTTACGACCATTTAGCTTTCCGTGACCGGTTCATACCGACCTTATCGAAGAGGACGTCAGAGAAAGCGGTCAGACGCGGTGAATAAAAAGGCCGCACGTTCAACTTTGAAATTGCCGGAATTCGCTTATTCTCGACCAAATGGCGATACCACCTGCCGTTAAACTTGAACGAGACCTTTGGCTTTGCCTTCCCTTCCATCCATCAAACTCGACACACAGGATCTTTTGAAAACCGCATCGGTAGTAGTAAATCGCGGCCATACTCCGGGGGTGGTATACTCCACCCAAAAGACCGCACCGGTACTTGGGGATACGACAAGATCGAACATGTTTGAGACGTGCACTTTGCCATCAGGTTGTTGTGGATCTATCGGTCGGTCGATCGACCATTCGAGTGTTGAGCTGTGGCATTCGGCTGCTGTTGATGCTCCACCGTTTGGTTAAAGAAGTTGAGATATGAATAAGGGTGAAGGATTGTCAATCGATTCTGCCCTGTTTCATGCTGTGCTATTTGTTATTGTTGTTGTTGTTGTTGTTTTTTACATTGCGAAGCCAGAGCTTGAATACGGAAGGTAGAGGGTGGTGTTGTTAGCAGGCAAGGCAGACCCGACGCTTGCAATGAAGACGGTAGCTAGAACGGTGAGTCTCATCTCGAATAGGGTTGTTGAATGTGTGTGTGTAGATGTGCAGGTTTGTTGCCAAGAGAAGAAAAAAGGAGAGTGTGTAATGGGAAAGTTTGGATGGTTGGTCGGTTCGGTTGATGTTGGGAGGGGGGGCAGATGAAGAGGGGCCCGTTTTTATACCCGGGCATGTTTCCGGACCTCACACTCAAGACTGACACGGTCGATAGAGTTTGTGTTTGTGCTTGTGTTTGTGTTCGTGCTTTTGATTGCATTTGCACTGTGCATGTATTATTCAGAAAAAGCGTGCGTTCTCGCAATTCCTCTTGCGCTACACACACGCTCTCTACGACTCCTTCCTCCTCGTCCTCCTCCTCAGGCTCTCTCCTCCTACTACCTCTAATCAACACAGTCCCAGTATTCAAAAGTCTCCCTCACGGGTCCAATTGGCACATCAGCATTCTTTCCATTCTCGATAGCATGAAGATACCACTTTAAATTATAGTTTAAGGCCACCCGTGGGTTCTTTTCCCTCCATCCATCAAACTTCACACAAATCAACCCCTTTAGATCGCACTGTTGGTAATCGCGGCCATACTCCCGGGTGATGTGTCCCAACGTAGCGATAGAACTCGTGCTGTAATCTATGAAAAGCACGAACATATTTTTGACTCGAGCTGCGCCATCGGCGTATGGCGTCATTCGTTGGACGCCCCAGAGGAGGGTTGTGCTATGACATCCAGCTGCTGTTGGTGCTGCTCCACGGCGTGGTGTCAAAGATGTTGAGCTATATTATCAGTTTTTTTCAACGACAAAGGAGGAAGAGGGGGGGGGGGGAAGAATGGTCGGTCATTTTAGCTTTCTGTCAGCTGTACTTCGTAACGCGCTTGAAGAAGGAGTGAAATGTTACTTACAGGGTGGTGTTGCCCGTAGGCAAGGCATAAACAACAGATGCGACAAAAGCGGCAACCAGAACGGCAATTTTCATCTTGGAGCAGAGGTATTTGTGTGTGTTTGTGTGTTTGTTTGGAGGGGAGAGAATGATGCGGTTGAGAAGAGAGGTATGTGATGAGAAAAAGGTTGGACGTTGGTCGGGTTGGTCGGGTTGGCGGATGTTGAGAGCGAAAGGATCAGGCCTCTTTTATACCTTACCCCGGATATGTTTGCTCTCAATTGCTCGCCTTGAATTCTGGGTCTTTTGTCTTTGTGTTTGTGTTCGTGCATGTGCATATATCTCGATTCTCTTTTTCTTCTTCGCTTTCGATGTGTCATTATTCTAATACATCATCATTGACCTCTTCTTCTTCTTCAGCAAAAAGATGAAGACGAGAAAAGCCCCGTTGTGAATCATAGACATGAAATAAAGAAAACAATATATTGAAATGAGATACTGGGTTTTCCTACTTCCTACTACAGCACTGTACTTTCTCTGTACGACCTTTAACTCATTTGGAATTAAGATAATCCTAGCGCTCAAAGTTGTCCTTCAGAGCACCAGGGTGCGATTCTAGGAACCTAGCATTCTCCGAGACATGGGTATAAAACTGCTACCTGAACTCCAATGAAAGCTGTGACCGCTCTCTGTTCTCTTTTATTCCATCAAAGGTCACACAAAAGTGCCGGTTGCGATCGCAACCGTAGCAATCTATTGTACTGTATAATGCCATGGAAGGGGGAGCGCGTGAGATTTACAGGGTGGTGCTGCTAGCAGGCAAAGCGGAGACAACAGACGCGGCAAAAGCGGCAACCAAGACGGAGAGCTTCATCTCATGGCAGGAGTGAAAGCGAATATACGTGTGTGTTTGTTGGGCGGAGAGAAAAAGGCAAGGGAGGAGTGGTATATGGTAAGGGAGAGCTATAGATGCAAACGTCTGATGAGGAAGCACTTTTTATACCCCTGAGTACAGTACATTTGCGGCTCTCATGCTCCAGCATGGAGTGTTTGGTTGTGTTCTGCATGCATTTGTTTCTCTTTTCTGATTGTGTTTGTTCTCGAGGCGAAGAAAAAAAAAAAGGAGTGAAGGAAGAAAGAATCGTTGGTCATTAAGCTTATTTCAGGGCTGAGCTTTTTTTTTTGTTTACAAACGAAAGCCTAGGTATTACCTAGAGGGTGGTAGCCACTGTATTTCCAGTCGGCAGTTCAGAGGCAACGCTCGCGGCCAAGGCAGCAACAAAAAAAAGTCGAAGACTTCATCTCAGATAGAAGAAGGAAAGGAAGGGGGATGTTGTGATGGGAAAGTATGATGGGTGATGGTGAATGTTGCCTGATGAGCGGGCCTCTTTTACATCTGAGTATGAATTGTGGCTCTCAAACCTTGGTCTTTTTTTTTGTGTGTTTGCGTTGGTGTTTGTGCTTGTACTTTGTACTTGGGTTCGGTTACACTTCGTCTTAATCAGGTTCCTGTTCGTCTTATCTCCATCCTCGTCTTGTGATCCTTTATCTTTGGTAAACAAAGTGCAGGGATCGACTGTTGTGATGTACAGATGTAACTAGCAAAAAACCTTACATTAGAGATAAAAAAGGTTACGCGTCTTCCTCCTTCACTCCTATGCTAGCTCTAGAAGCTAACGTCATTTACTACTACAACCAACTACCAAGCAACACAATCCCAGTACTCCAACTTATCCCTAACCGCCCCCTCCGGCCTGCCCCTCTTCACACTCTCCTGCTTATGGAAATAACACTTTTACGGCACCCCCACCGGTCCACACCTGACCTTCAACGCCACCCGGTTCCCTTCAACCCTCCCGTCAATCCTTACACAGAACCGTATATCTCCCCGATCATCCTGTTACCTGTACTGTACGCCATTTATGTCCTCCTCACCATGACTCAGCACAATACCAGAAAAAAAAAGGTACTGTAGGTGGATGGAAATGTCTCCTAATTGTTATGATGTGTGATGTTTGCAGTCCAAACGAAAAGAAAGAAAAGGTTTATGAGTTGCTAGCCGCCCCAGGGCCTTTGGTCAACTTTGTTTGATGGGAACCAGGGAAGAACGCCGCCCTTCCATCATGTCCCCGTTTTTTGCTCATGAAAAAACATCCATCCATTCACAAACATAAACATCTACAAACAAAATAAGGAAGATGATAATTATGATTTCAACTCAGAACAAAGTGCGCTGTTGCGTTGCATCAAAAATCAACTTTGTGGAAACAACAGCGACCACAACACCCACTTGGTTTTAAAACAAGGGGGATTGTGAGCACCGCCCCCACAATGGTCTTCCTTCCCTTTACCAATCATCACTCATCCGCGCACGTTTTTCGTCTTTTCCCATCAGATGCAAAAGTCGATCAAAAGGAAAAGAAGATAAGGACAGGGGAACAAGCCCCTGGTAGAAAAAGTATATAAGTTTTAGTTTTCGCGTTTTATTCTTGACTAGCGTGTTTTTTCGTGACAGCGACCAAGAAAAAAAAAAGAGGGGGAGGGGAGAGAGGACACAGAGTCTACTTCAACTTGATGTGATGCAACAAATGGCCTCTATCCTTCCACACAAAGCCTGTGTACACCCCCGCAGCAGCCACAACAACCCCTACAGAAATACCAGTCGGTACCACAAACACCGCCGGATCCGACCATACAATCGTCAACACATACTGCAACAGGTCAAACAGATTACACGTACTGTACTGCCACCCAGTGATACTCGTGATGTGACTTGACGAAGTGTATTCTTGAAGGATCAGCGACTCTGCAATGTCAAACATCCATAGCCCCAAGCGACTGACCGCCATACCGCCGAATATCAACACAGATGTGGTTGTAGGGGTGTCGTGGGCTTTGTTGACGATGGCGATGAGTACGAGGGAGAGAGAGAGGGAGAGTTGCCAAATGGACCAGAGACCCGTGCGGACGTTGCCGATTCGCTTGGAGAGCAAGGGTTGGGCATAGGTACCTGCGACGCCCATTATTCCTGAGACAGCTTTCATGATACCAAGGAGGCTGTTGCTGTAGCCGATCATGGCCAGGTAGGAGGTCATGGGGCCGCCAAAGGAGAGGACGTTGATGTAGAGCATCCCGACGGAGAGGGTTATCAGGAATGTCTTGTGGTGGATATATTCTCGGAAGCTGACAGGGACTGATGCTTCTTCCTCCTGTTCCTGTTGGTTCGACTCTGCTTGAGTTGCTGATGTTGTTAGTGTTGGTGGTGTATATGGCGCTCGGGAGTGGAGTGCAGGAACGTCATTATAGATCTGACTGACAAGGATATACTCCACCACAGCCGAGACAGCAGTCCAGGCACAGATGACGATTGTGGCGACGAGGGGCGAGGGAGCTGCGAGTAGGAACCCTACAAAGACAGGCGAGACGGTCTTGCAGACCAGATCGATCCTTCTCATGGTCGGCAGAAGGACCTCGAGATGACCCTCCGAGATAACAAACGCCCAGTCCTTCTCGATCGCAATACAATTCCCGATGAAAGACAGCTTGAGCGTGCATCCTAGGACGGTTATCACCGCGTACAGTCGATTGCTCGATCTATGTAGTGTTCCACCGCTGTCGTCGATGTTGTTGTTGTTATTGAGGACGAGGAGGTAGTAGAAGAGTACAGTACTAACAACAATACTAATCTTCTGGATCAGGAGCGTGACTCGATAAGTATTCAACCTCGAGAGAATATTGATCCAGTTGCCAATCTGGTTACTGAGGATGAGGGCCGTAAGGGTGGTGGTGAGACCGTAGACGGAGGCTTGGAGGAGGGAGGAGGTGTAGATTTTTGAGATGAGGAGGTAGGACGCGAATTCGAAGGAGCGGTCGACCCATGATGTTAGTGCATGGGATAGGTATAGCTTGTGGTTGTTGTTTAGTACCATAGGGTTGGTGTTTGTCGGAAGTGGGATGATGAGCGATGAGGAAAGGAGATGCAGCCGAACAACAAGTCAATCAGACGAACAATCAAACCAGCCAATCCCAAATGTGAGACAATTCGAGCAGTTCCAGGGGTCTAGACCACCAAATAAAGAAAATTGAAACGAAGTCACAAAACCCTTAACCTGTTATCTTGCAAAAAAAAAAAAAAAAAAAGCTTTATCCTGCTGTTTTGAGACCCTGGCTGTGTGTTTTTATTACACCAGCCAGAGACAACAGTTTCGTTCACAAGGTAACACCTTCCTTGGGAGTCATTTTGCAGCGGGTGGAATGTCTTTGTGTTGTACCCCCTTCCGTCGCTCCCCTACACCCTTGCACATCGATGGTCAACGCCCTAAATTCAGGTACAGAGTTTTGAGTCAAACCAAGGGGGTATTCTATTCGACCTCACTAGCCGTCTCGCGCTTCGCCTAGCCTGCACAAAGGAAAATAGAAGGTTAGAATCGTCACCAATGAATGACCGGAGAAAGGAAAAAAAATGAAAGCAAAAACATAACGCCCACTGGAGCCATAACAGATACGTTTGAGTGAAAAGACGTAAAGAACAATCATTTTGCTAGACTCTCTCTCATTTGTCCCCTGGCAGGTATGAATTTACCCGGGGAAAATACATGACTGTGCACAGTCGTGAAGAGGTATTTGCTCTCAAAAAACCCTTTTTTTTTTCCGTCAAGTATGGTCAATCCCTGGAGAATGGAGTTGAAAGAGATGTTAAGTTGCAAGTTAAAGAGAAAAAAAAAATGGAACCAGGTTCTTCCCACCCTAATATTAGACAGAACCCACCCTCAATCATATTCAGTTCTGGGTCTAAATTCAACGCCCTTGTTGATAGAATCTGGCTATCCAAGTCTGCAACTCACAGAAATGATGTTGTTTTGCTTAGTGCCAAAAAGAAACAAAAATGGAATGAGAAAAGAAGCTCATGGCACTAGGTAACTCCTAGGCTGGTGAGCATTTATTACATTAAGGCAATCAAAAGACCAGTTGGACTAGTACAATATCCCATCCCTGGGTTTCTGTATGTCCAACATGTATCCCTGGTAACTGAACCACCTGTCAGCTGGACATTTGCATATCGTAACAAAAGCAATCGGACAGTGGTTGTTTATTGTGGTTGATTCGTTTATTATTGAGTGTTTTTGCACAAAGGATGATAGATGGGTGACGTATGAGAATGGAGTAGAGATATGCAAATGCATGTAGTTTTTTTTCTTGTAGGAGTAGAGGGAAGAGGAAGGTAGTCGTAAGGTAGCTAAAACAGTGAGATAAATAACAAAAAAGCCAATGCCTAGATAAAGGATGGTCCCTCAAGGATATTTTTTTAGATGGCAGCGGCGGCAACGGCAACAAGGGCAGCAGCAACACCAGCAAACAAGGTAGTCGCCGAAGAAGCCTCAATAGAACCAGCAGCGTTCTTGTTGGTAGGGTTGGATCCGGTGGGGGAGGCACCTGCACCTGCACTGGCACCTGCACCGGCACCAGCACTAGCACCGGCACCAGCACTGGAAGAGACAGAGGCACCGGGGATGGAGGCGGTGGCGGTTCCGGTGGTGATGATGGGGGCGGTAGGGGTGGCGGTGGTGTTAGAGCCTGCGGGGGGCTTGCAGGCGGATCCGTCGGCCATGGTGTAGGTGCCGGGAACGACGTTCCAGCAGCCCTTTGTCGAGATGCCTATTCGTTTTGTAACAAATAACGGGGAGAGGTACATTGCATTAATTTCGATTGTTTGTTTGGGCGGATGCTGAATGGATGGTGATTGGTGTGCGGTTGGACAGGGAGGAGTGGATTTATTTTGTCACAAATTGTTCAGTTGGACAGGGTGCATTGCATCTCCTTTTGGAAAGATTAAAGCGAGGATAGGGATCGAAACGCACAAGCAAAAGCAGGAGAATGAATGAATGAGAAACTTACTGGTGTTGCAGTCAGAGTTATCGGTCGTCATACAGCAGCGAATACAGAAGGTATTCGTCGCAGGCTCAAGCAGCGACACAAACTTGTTGTACCCGGCACAAGAATAAGGCCATCCGTGCGAATCCATCTGTCCACCATCGTCCAAGGGATCCTGGGCCCACACCGCAGAGTCGATACATCCAGTCACCTGGACATACTGGGCGGTATCGTTCTTGAGGTAATTGGTAGAAAGAATGTAACCATCGGGCATTTTGAGACCACCGTTCGTTTGTTTGCCGTAACAGTAGACAGCTCCACAGCCTTCGTTGGGGGCGACGGGGGCGACTCCGTATCCGGTCATGAAGGTGCAGAATTGGCTGGCAGAGTCGATGGAAGTGATGATGGGCTGGGTCGCGTTCTTTGTTGTGCAGGTCACTGGTTCGTAGGCCAGGACGGTGGCGGGGGCGGCGGCGAGGGCAGCGATGAGGAGGGCCTTCTTCATGAACATGGTTGCTTTTGATGTGTGTGTGTTGTTGTTGTGAGGAGGTGAAGTGATGTAGAGAATGGAGTTGTTGGTTCGAGGAACAGGAGGTTTTTGGAGGAATAGATCGGTAAAGGATGAAGGGAGTGAGATGAAGAGGGAGAAAAGTACAGAGGGTAAGAGTGGAGAAAGATTGAAAAGAGAAGAGGCGCAAGGAGAAGGATCCGCCCCGTTTTTATAGAGATCGCAGGATCGGACAAACAAACAGGCCGGGCAGTTTTCAGGAGTGGAAGCGAGAGTAAAAGGTCAGCTTCGTCAGTTCGACACAAGAACCCCCTTACTCTCTCTTTTTTTTTTGGGCGTTTATTTTAGCTGACCTTTTTGCCTCACTCTCTTTCTCCGCTCTCTCCCTTCAGGAGTAACAATAGACAAACAGGAATTCAATACATGAAAAAAGGGACACAGACATCGAGGACGACATAAGCATACAAAAAAGGCGGTTTCTTAGAGTAACAGAATAACATAAGAAAAGGCATGGTCGTTTATTATTAGATTGTTGTTGTGTTTACCTTCGTTATCATCACATCGTGGTCATACACGACCAAGAGAACTAACAACAGCCGACTTGTGTACGGGTAGATCACTAGCAGATTGTAATAGCCCATTAGAAAAACATGCTATTCCCGAATCAGTGCTGGCAACAGAGGTAAGCAATAGTCTTTTCTTCGCTAGCATTGTCACTCTTTTGCTCTTGTAATCGGCCTAGCTCTACAGTCCCTCGTATGTTCCCTTCCGGATGTATATTTTTTACCCAAGTTAATCAACTTGAACGGAGGGGATTACTCCAGCTCCATCTGCCGGAGTAAGACAAAGCACCCCCACATGGAGATGGACAAAGAAAGAGAGTCAAGCACAACGAAACGAGGGCTACTTGAATCACAGAGGTCTCAATCTCAGGATAAATTGGCCCCACACCCCCGTTCATCAGGAGTCGCAACAACTTTCAGGAACGTGCAGCACATTTGAAAAAATGGAAATACAAGAACTGGAGACGAGGAAGAAGGAGAGCAAGGAGGTAGAGTAATTAGGTGTGACATGCCTGTCAGTTGAGGTGTCAAGAATGTGATGCGCCCTTACTCAGGCACCATACATATATTCACACTCGCCTTTATCAGAAACATCAAGATGATTTACCCGTATCCTTCATCTCGAGTACTCCCGAAGCGCGCAATAAGGCCGTTGGCTCAATGTGTATGAAGGTGTGTACAGTACTATGGCTCTTTTGGTGTGGCGCAAATGCTTATTTTTACAAGGCTCTTTACTCGGTCACCACATATCCTAGTAGCAAAAAATTCTTCCAGGAAGCTGTTTTAATCCTGTTGTGTGAGGTGTGGAATGGTGTCTATCGTAGACAAAAGAGCTTTCATTGCTCTCTCATCGAGCGCGAATACTCACAAATAGAATGCGCTCTTTTTTTTTTTTTTTTGGCAACCACTCTCCTTCCTATTCCAACCACGCATAAAAATACTGAGAGCCAGGAGTGAACATCAACAACAACAGCGACAACGTACCTTTTCTGATATCCCTCGAGCCAGACAAGAATGAACTCCCTAAGGAGTCCCATTCACAATATCAATAGAGAGGAGAGAGCCAATCAAGGAGATATCTTTTATGCTCCCTTTGTTACGACTCCTTTGAGGATTCTCAAACACGCAACGTGATTGATGTCCTTGCAAAGCCAAAAGGCCTCGTGTACCCGCACCTGCCTTGGCCCCCCTCCTTCATCAATCATTAATCATGAATCATCAATCATGAAAAAGCCTTGAGGGGGTCAAGCAAACTGACACATGAGCAAAGAATCCATCTCTCATGTATTTGTCTGCTCGGACCTCATCGTTGTTTTGTCCGCCTGCCTTCCAAACACCTAAAATGGGAACATCCACCCCTTTCCCCCTTCTCATGAACCCCAAAAGAGCGAAAAAAACACAGCATCATGAACGAAGAAATACGTAAACACGTAAACATGTTTTCGCGCCCAGATCAGCTTCTGACAAACATAACAAAATTTCATGCGTTATTTTTAACCCTGCCACTTGTGATAAGGGAGCGGCTGTGATGAGGGCGTCAAGTGGTTTGTCCCGATGCACCTCGCCCCAATGGCGTTGACTTTGACTTTTATGCGTTTCTGTGCTCCCCCCCCCCCCCTATCTCCCTCCCACTCCATTTCTTCCTCCTCTCATCTTCTACGCCCTGTCAATCGTTTCATTTTGTTCCATACCCAACAAAGGTCCGACGTTAGGCGCATGACCCACACACTTCTATTTCCAGCCAGCGATCAATGCCTCATGTCCAAAGAGAGACCAGGAAGGAAAAAAAAGGCAAGATGTCAACAAATGATGACACTTTTCCAGGGGCACAAAACAGAAAAAGGGTTTGTGCCATCTGCCGTCATTATCAACGACTTGTTCCACCTTCTTACTCATCATTACCCTTACCGCGAACATTGCCATTACCGCGAACATTGCCCTCACCACGAACATCGCCCTTCACCACGAACATTGCCCTTCCCGCGAACATTGCCCTCACCGCGCCCATTGCCAAAATCACGTATTCTAGATTTTTTTTTTTTTATATTTCAAGTCACCATCGCATCACAAGTCTAGGCAACGTCAATAAAGTCTACCACTTGACAGCCAGAGGGTTGACCAAGTTCTGTTCAACAGCATGATAGCCCGTCCGCAACTGCTCTCTCGCCTTTAGTGTATCAACACCACCAAGCCACTCGCGATATAATTGCTCAAGGACAGGATTCTCTTCTGGTTTCCGTGCCAAGACACCGTTGCGGTACTGCCCATCCACCTGAGCAATCCAACCTTTCAACGGAACCGCCACAAAATTGTCGCCAAGGGGTTTAAGCTGGCCTCCTCCGTTGATACATCCAGAAGGGCAGGCCATGACCTCTACAAAGTGGTAGGGCGATTTGCCTGTCTTGACCTTACGGACCAAGTTCTGGATGTTCCTGAACCCGTAGGCGGCAGCAAACTTGAGTAGCACCTCACCGCTTCCAGGAACCTCCAACGTCACCTCCCTGAAATCCGAATTCCGGACCGTCTTGACCTCAACCCCTACAGCCTTGTCAACATCCACCCCATCAATTCCAAAGATCTCCCGTGCGGCATACTGCATTACATACTCCAGGAATCCACCCGAGGCATTTCCACTAGCTCCGATAAGAACCTGGTCTGCTCCCGTGTTGGGGTCCTTGATCACAGAGTTGTAGCCCAGGTCAAGATCCACTTCTCCAAAGACAGACATGTCCGTCTGTCCTTGCTCCCCAAACATCTTTTCGACCTCTGTTGATGTGATGACGCAGTCGACATCCCGAGTCTGGTACAGGTCCGAGTAAAAGTCTGACCGCGACGCCTCCAGCTTCTTGTCGTAACATGGCATCACACACACATGGTAAATCTGATCCGGGCTATACGCAATAAATGTAACGCAAATATTAGAAAGGTGGTCTTTGTATACAATTTCTGATGTACCAAGCGAGTTCATGGCAGCAAAGGAACTTACTTAAGGCCAAGCTGAGATCCAAAGTGGTTCTTGACCATAGAGCCCATGATCTGCTGAGGAGACTTGGTCTCACTGATGTATGGCAGCATGTATCCGTGTGTCTTTTCCGCATAGCAAATCCAGCCTAGGAAGTTCATCGAAGAAAAGATGCAAACATTAGTTCTATATCCTTTAGTTGATATTATGTCAGAGCTGTAACACACATTCAGGTCGCAACATGACGTTACCTGGACATGCGGAAGCGAGCATGGGCATGGCGCTCTCGGTTTCGACTGTGACTGCGGGCTCGTCATTGGTAGCAGCAGCTCCTCTCCGAATAATCCTCTTCCTAGGCTTTGGTGTATCGACCTCCATACCGCCTGATGTTGCTGCCGCTGCCGCCTCCGAAGAGGATGCCGCAGTTCCATTCATGTTGGGTGGTTTAAGAACGCCTTTGGCAATCGCTTTTCTGTACCGCTCCACAAACTCACGTCCAGTCTCCAAGAGTGCCAAATCTCTAGAAAAGGATGTATCAAATACCGAATGCACTCCGAGTGACTTGAAGAACCAGGTCAACTTGCGGGCGACCTGCAATGGTGTCTGTTGGTATTTTGCTGCAAATGACGCACGAGTCTGCGGGGAGATCGAGACAACCACTGTGCGATGTGTGCTTAGGTCGTTTGTCTAGTAGCACAGAAAAATAAACGTGTAACAATATTAGTAAACGGCTGATCTGTATTTCATGACAATCTTTGAGTAACATCTATCATATTACAAAGAGATGTAGATGTATTAGTCTACCTCAATGGCAATCTTGTTCTGCTTGAGGATACTATACAGCTCTTCTTGAGATTGTAGTGTGACCAAGACACTCTCGGCTGAGGTGATGCATCCACTAAAAAACCATTCAAGAAAAAAAAAAGGTAGAGGGATTAGTCAAACCTTCTTTTTTTTGCCTTCTCTCGATTGTCCGAGATTTCCTGACACATCCCTCTTTTTCCGAGCAAATGCTTATCTCTGTAATGTGCTGGCCTTTACCTGCAAGCGAGGCAGTCATTCAAACTGATTGTGGCCGTCTCCAGCTTTGTTTCCGATCCGTCCTGTGACACTTCATAGTACGATCCACTGTTATCGACCTTGATCGCACCCTAGTGTTGGTACGTTCGTATCAAAGGAATATGACACCATTTTTTTTTTTTGGATTAGTCACATAGTTGTCTTTAACAGGAAAAGAAAAAGAAGAAAGAAAAGGACAATGCAAACTGCGCAGGTTGTGCTTAGGAATGAACAACTGTAGGTGGTAAAGATGCTGAATAGAAGAAAAAAAAACGAACCTGGGTCTCTGAGGTCTTTGAGACCTCGATGGGTTTGATGCATGCCTGGGATGGCGAAATAAAGTCGTTCAAGTCGGACAAGGTCAATGCTCCTGAGAATGCCATGCTATTGTGTCTGTTGTTGATGTGGAATGGGGAGAAGGGAGAAAGTTGGCGCTGATGGCTGAGTGCTGAGAGGGTTAACTTGATGAGCTTCCTGTCGAGTGATGAGTCAGTGGTTTGTTGACTGGGTGTCAGCTTTGAGAGAGAGTTGAGTTGTGAGGAGAGAGGGAAAGAGGCGGCAGTGAGCAGTAAGATGCCTCGGACAAGAACTGATTAAAATGGATAGACAACACAATCTCGCCCGCAACGGATCATTTTTTTTTCTCGCTCTGTGGCTTGGTCCGCACCGCACGCTGCTGGGCTAAATCACTGATGGGAGATCTCGGAAATGAATCAAACCATTCACACTTTATTTAGTCTGGTCATCTATTGGCGGGGCAGCTGTTGATGTGGATAAAAGCGACAACTCTTCAGTCTCTAACCGCCGCAATTCCTTCTCAATCCTTCCCAAGATATTCACATCCTCCTCATGATCCAAGTCCTTCTCATCTGACTCTCCTGCCCCTGACGAGGATGATGTTTCTGTTGTTGTTGGCTCGCCAAAGATAGATCGGTCCGCTCCAACCACCGTATCCACAAACTTGGACTTTTGTTTAGGGAATAGCTCGCGCATCTTTGCCGAGAACTCGGGTATCTATCACATCATAATCACGCACCACCTCAGAGTGTTTAGTGGTCTAGTCTTTTGCTTACGAGTGACAAAAGGCAATATCACACGGCCGCCTGACAAACTGCTGATAAACTTCCTTACCGTTTCCACATCAAGTGCCCAGCGAGTGCCGCCAACAACAAGGAACGCGCCCGAGATACACATGGTCGTCGCAATCGCAAAGGCCTTGACGCCCAGCAATCTGCCTTCCTTCAATAGTGACTCTGCCATCTTGAGGTCGTTCAATGATTGCAAACTAGGTCCTACTGGTGTTCCTGCCGCCCCCCGATCTATTTCCAAGGATGAGAAAGTACAAATTCAACCGCGTATCAGCCATTGAGCAACGTTCAGCCCATTCCTTGCATGAAGTCCAGAAAATAGAGAGTATAACGTCCAGACAAATAAAATAGCGCCGCATGACCTGAGAAGCCTCAATTGCTTTTGCTTTGTCACATACTGATGCCTTTACGCTTCTCCTGTCGGCCCTGGTACCAGAGCGAACCAAAGATACCCGTCAGGAAGGCGGTCCCTGATGCCACGAGCAGTCTATTGGTGAATTGCGTACTTGGTGGATTGGATGCTACTGGTTTTGGGTGATCTAATCCCATTCCTGAAACTCCTGCTGGTCCTTGTTCCTGCGAGCTCATTGTCGTTAAATGGTTTTGAGAGGGGACTGAAAGCTGATCAAGGAACGATTAGGGCAAAAAAGTGCCAGGGCATGGTTGATGTTGCACGTGACATTTATTACATGATCTCGACTTTTTTTTTTTTGGCTTCAGCGACGACGGGTTGCCACTGGAGACCATGCTTGTGGTTCGAACGAGTCGCCCTGTTGCACCTGAGACTTGAATCCAGCTAGAATAGGGTAAAATGACAATGAAGAAAAAGTCAGCATGCAGCACAGAAAACCACCATCGAACATATCCATGACCGACCGCCAATCTTCTCGATAACTAACCTTTACGTGCCGCCTCTCTCTCCTCGATCTGCTTTTTCGCCGCACTCTTGGCTGGATCTGCCTCATCCGTACTACTCGCTGCTGATGTTGTTGTCTCCTCTGGATTACCCGCCTTTGATGCAGAAGAAGCCAAACCTAAGATAGCCTGCCGTCCTTGAGCCTGCTCCAACGCCAATTCCGCCTTCCTATCCTGCCATGCCTGATCGAGCACCTTGGCACGCGCAACCGTCAACAGCTTACGGGCCTCGTCACGTTGGATCTCTGCCAGTGTTGGGGGTTCCTTGCGTGTATTCCTGAGCCATGCCTGCCATTGCACTATTGTATTTCCGGGTGATTTTGAATGTTTAGTTAGTGTTAAGTGATCTCGGGTTCTTCCATCGTCAATGCCAACAGGGGGGAGGGGTGTCCGGTGTGTAGTTAAAAGAGTGTGTTGAAGTTCCCTTCTTTCTTCATACCGGAAATGTTGGCATCGTCGTAGTTGGCCTCTGAGAGTTCTGGGTTCGAAAGCTCGACCGTCCTCCGAGGGTACCGTCCGCCTACATAGCGAAAAAATAAATAGATAAGAATACCCCGAGCAAAAAAGATGTCAGTCTCCTTAAAGATCAGCATGCGACTCCCAATCTTTGTACAGAACATAGTAACGCCTCCTCAGTCGTCTCCGGTCGTGCAAAAAAACATGTCCATGCAATTGGCGAGAGTTTTTGCATTAGCCGCTGTGGGGTCACAGGCAGGTCGCTACCATTGGGATCCGGCTTCTCAAAGTACAAGTTCCCTTCAAAGTCCTTCCCCGCCAATTGACGTCCTTTTCCTGGAGCCACAGCCTTCCATGACATGGCGAGTCTTCGCATCAAGCCCAGATTTGACATCCTGCGAATGTGTGTTGTATGATTGTGTTTGTAGTGTGAGTGAGAAACGAGCTCGGGATCTCGGGGGACGTGTGTGAAATAATTAATAGTGGCGTATGTTTGAGGTGTGATTCTCATCAGAGAACACTTCCTTTTCTTTTGCACGAAGTGGCTTAACCACGCTCCTTGAGCAAAAAATCAAACCTCATTGGACCTTGGTCCAAGCAAAGGTGTTGTAGGTAAAACGTCATGCATATAGTGCACGCGTGCAAAAAACCTCAGTTGGATGCCATTGCTGGCTCTTGTTCAGTTAGTTTTGCGGAGCTGGCCTTTTCCTTGTTTGAACAGGAGGAGAAGGTGTTTGCACTTGCATAACTTTGTTCAGCTTTCGTTGTAAGGATACATCACGTGATTGTATAATATGCTCGATAGAATAACAACTCAATTCATTCAGTTCAATTTCGTTTAGCTTAACAAGCTATCCCCTAAAAAAAAATTGGGTTACTTGTTTTCTCCACCTACGATATCTATGGGTTACAGTGGGATCTCCAGAAAGAAGAGTGTGTGCGTTTTAGAATGAGAGAATGAAAACGTCGAGTGAGTGTGAGTTAAAACCGGGGACCAGCCATGTCCCTGTCTATAATGAAAGAAGAGAAGAGTGAAAGGGTAAAGAGATAGTCTCCTCGCCCATAATGGCGTCTCGAGAATAACGAAAGAAGAACTCCACTAGACCACGAACGCGATCGTGCATACGATTTTGTTCGCGCTCTTCTTCTGGCGTCTCGTCTTTCATGATATCCTCTTGCTTGTTGAAGTCCAAGGCTGTCGTGGGGATGGTAAGAGTTCTTGAAACATAGAAATTGTTGTTAAGCGGAAGGCGAAGATTACCAGGGAATATGGGGATGGTCATAAGGATGTGTTTGCAGAGACGACGGTACCGGAGAGAATACTCGCACGAGCAACTATTGATCAAACCATAAGTCAGCGACAAGCAGTAATAAATGGCTGAAAAGGTGATCGACTCGATAACGTAACAACCATCAAAAAAAAGGACATGCATCTGGATAGTCTTCTCTGTCATAGCCTGGACATCTCGTCGGCGTAGAATGTCGAGAGCCTCGCCTTAGTGAGGCATCCCAAGTGCTTGGAGGACTGGAAACCCTGGTGACAATTTTTACCCTCGCCTTCGTCTTGATCCCGGGCTTGCCAGCGCAATGACAGTACTAGGTCTGTCTGTATGAGAATGGGCTGGCGACCGAGCGAACCTCGTTTGTCACCTACAGCCAGTGAAACAAGTGCTATGTGTCTATCCATCTCAAACCATTCCTAGTGCGTTCGTTCGGGATAGTAAAAGATCTTGGGTTAATAGTCAAAATAGACGTTCCTCGGGGAATAGGGCGTCTGTAAAGTGATAAGAGGATACGTAATAGAACCTTCAAGCCATGGAGCTTCGACAGCGAGACGCGCCTTGGGGGTGTTGAAGGCGGCGGGTTCGTCTTGGTATAGGAGTGTAATTGTCTCGTGCTCCTCCTTGACGTCGTCGTCGTCGTACTTTTTTTCTTCTTCCTTCAAAGCAAGAGCAAGTCCTGGAAGAAGTTCAAGGAACTTAGCTACGCCCCGCTCACGAAGGTTCATCGACTCCACAAGGCTGGAATATTGTGGTAGACAAAGGATTGTCTTGTTTATTGTCCATAAGGGCTACAAGCAAGAAACCGCGATGGATACTCAGTTAGTTACTCGATAGAAATAGTTACGCGGGGCTTCGGATAACAGTTTTGATAGTAATAGAGCTTGTTTTTACCTGTTGCAGCAGTGGGGAGGTGCAAAGGGGTAGGAAAAAAGCGTTTTGTACGCGGAAAGCCCCTTAATGATAGAGACCGTTTTCAAGCTCGGTTGCTTCAGGGAAGGAGAGAGAGGGAGGAAGGAGAGACTAAAGAGCTGGGAGAGATTCAGCCCATGGATGCCTACTGCTTCTTTTCCTTGACTCTTACATCTCGCCCACTCCCTTGCCGTTGCATCTCTGCGAGCACCCTCCCATACACACAGTTCAAATAACCCCCGGACACATTCAGGAATTAGGAGACTAGTAGAATGAAGATTGGTAAGGATCCTCATTGCAGGAATCAACAGGAGCAACAGGAACACTAAACACGAGGGGAGAGCGGAACAGTCAGCAAGCGAACCAGGAACCGACCATCTGTGAGAGCACTTCCTCTGTATGACCTGGCTACTGAAATTGTATGCTACTTGATTCTTTTTCATCTTAGCTTGCTTGCAGTTCGCGCCGATCCTAGGAGAGGTCCAACGGAACATTGACCATGTTAACTCAATGGTCGCCAAGTATGCTACTATTCTTCTCAATATCGCACAGGCACTATCAGAACAAAGAGACATATGCCACAGTCGCGAAAGTAGGGTTGGCACTGAGTAATGACACTATCGCCCTCATTCTCTTATTATTTGTTGTTCTCGAGTAGACTCAAGCCAGAAGATGTCGATGTCCTTGTCCTTCCAGAGATGGCGTTCTCAGGTTAGTAACAGTGATGTTTACACCCTATTGATTAACACCTACATGGTTCCGTCAATGGAAAGGTTTTCAAAGACGGGAAAGCTGAGACTGATAAAGAACAAACGGTCGTTGATCAACCCTGCCCTTCCATTGACTGAACGTATTCGTAGGATACATGTTCACCTCCAAGGTCCACGTCCGCCCGTACCTAGAGGATGCAGAGACTGGTCCTAGCATCCAATGGGCTAAAGCACAAGGTAATAATACCCCCCCTTCGCCATATTTACATAAAAACATTATTCATCTTCACGAGATCTAATAATAATATTACCCGAGGTATCTCATTTCCCTTAATATAACTGACTCCTTTGATTAGCTATTCGTCTGAACGCTCACGTTCAGGTGGGATACCCAGAGAAGAGGGTTGTCAACAAGACAAAGCCGTTCGAGGAAGAGTATTATAACTCTGTCGCCTTTGTCTCTCCCCAGGGTGTTCTTCTGAATACCTATGCGAAGCACTTTTTGTATTACACGGACGAGAACTGGGCCGAGGAGGGGCCTTCTTTTGAGTCTATGCCCGTTGAAGGGCTGGGCCAGGTACATTAAGCATTCTGAACGAACTTGAGGGTGTTGTTTTTTTTATTTGATGAGGTGCTTGTAACCATGATCGGGGTGATGTAAAGCAATTATTGGATCAAAGACTAAACAAACGCTTCTAATTTCCCGCATTTTTATATCTCTAACCCCTTCATCATTTATCCTCTCACCGTTGCCCTCGGACTTTTTCTCTCCTGCTCCTTCTTATGTTCTCGAACATCTCTCGAACCCCTCTTCATGCCTTTCCTATCGAAACGGGCCATAGGTGGGATTCGGGATCTGCATGGACGTGAACCCCTACCAATTCAAGACCTCCTTCTCCGATTTCGAATTCTCTACTTTCCATGTCGGACAAAGGTCCAATTTGCTCTTGTGTTCCATGGCATGGAACAAGGGTGAGGAAGCACCCAGGAAGGAGAAGGTCGTGCCCAAGCCTAAATCGGAAAAGTCCAAAGCGCGATTGGAAAGTCAAAAAGAGCAGCGGAAGGATCCTGGCGAGTCGGTTGATGATCCGCGAGTGGCGGAGACCGAAGGTGGTGAGAACGATGCAGCAGAGACGGAAGGGGATGAGGATGAGGGAGAGTGGGAAGATGAGCAAGACGAGGCAGAGATCGAGAGGGAAGCGCAAGAACTTCAGTATGAGACGATCCATTACTGGGCGGTTCGGATGAGCCCATTCTACAAGCAGCAGGAGAAGGCAGGTGGCAAGGAACCATTCCTGGAGACTTATCTCGCCATAGCCAACAGACTCGGAACTGAATCCGGTAGGGTGTGAACGTTGTCGTCAGTGCGATTGGCTGCTGTTGGAGTGTTGTTGTTGTGTCCACCGTGTCATGCCGCGAATACTTCACACCAACAACAACAACAACAACAAAGCAAAAAAGCAAATCAACAACGTGAATCGTAATTTACCCAATTTCCATTCACCCATGCACTCACTCCACTTCATTTCATTCCATTTTTTTTTATTTAGGAGTACTTTTCGTGGGAAGTTCATGCGTGATCAAGCTCACAAAAGAAGGTCCAGAATTGGTGGGCGCTCTTCCCTCGGATAAAGAGGGTATCCTCCTTGTCAAGACCTCTGATTAGAAAAGCCTAATGCAAGCCGCTGCTGGGGACATCGCCTCATCCTCCTCGCTCGGCGAGACAGATAGACGGAAGAAGGGAGAGTAGGAGAGCCTTGTGTTTGATGAGAGGAATAGTAAAAACCAGATTACGATTGTGTTTCCCTACTTCATTCCTTCGGTATCCGTTAGCCAATGAAATTCGTTGTACCATCTCGTCAAGTATTACACACACAGAGAGAACAAGAACGAGAGATATTATTATGACAGAGAAGAGAGTAGAAAGAGTACAAGTGTAAAATAAAGAGAGAGCCGTGGTTGCTGAGAAACAAAATGGTCGTCAAAGGAGATGAGATAGAACACAGGTACGGATAAGGAGAAGGCGTAAGCAAAGGAAAGAAAGTTGAGAAAGGAGAAGTCCAGTAACTCAAGGGAAAAGCACTCTCGTGGAAGGCGTGAAGGTGCCTAGACCTTGACTTTGAGCTTGAAGAGCTTCTTTCTTTCTAGGCCGCATGCAATGCGCCACAATGTTGTGTGGAAGAACTATCCTCTTCCTCTTCTTCCTCACTTCTAGCGCGAATGGCGAATGACCTGGAAAAACTACAAGTCTTTTCGCTTGTTTGTTTTGTTGCTCGTTACACAGTCGAACCTAGGTGCAGGAAAACGGGGAAAGCACCGGCACTGCAGGCGTGTTTGTGGACCATGGTATGGAAGGCTAACGAGGGTGTGGTGTGGAGTTGGTAAGTATCTTTGACAATTTGCTCGGTATGAGACTATTTCGCTACCACTAGAAACCCCCCAAAGAACCTTTTTGCCCTTCTCCCTGGGTACTGTACCGGTACATGGCGAAAAGCATGAAAGAGATGAAAAGAAAAAAAAGGGTTAAGCGTAAGCGCAGTGAGAAAACAAACGGCAAAAACAAATAACGAGGCAAGGAGGGCGAGCCAGTAGCGGAGGAGCCGAATTGCATTTCTGTCAATCGGAATGGTTCCTGGATGCTCAGGGGGGAAAATCAAATAAGACTTTTCTCAGGAAGAACAATGTGCGCGGAGGCAAGTGTGAGTCCGAGTCCGAGTGTGGGTGCGAATGCGAGTCAGGGTGACCACAAACACAAAAAAGAGGTTGGTGGTGGGTGTATGGGCCAGAAAGGGACGATAAACCTTGGTAATGAGCAAAGAGAAACAGCGACGCCCTTGTGAGAAGAAAGTATGATCACACGCACGCAACGGAAGAGAGAAGGGAAGAAGCTCAAGACAAATCACACGCAACGAACGGAAGCTTGAAGCGAGAAAGAATAACAAATCACACGCAATTATCGATCGCCTCTGTTTTCCCTTCCCTCTTTCCAGCAGGGCGTGCGAGAGAGAGTTCCGAGAGATAAAGAGAGCAAAGAGACAGAGCTTTCAATGTCCGAGAGAAGAGGGAACGCTGTTTCCCAGGCTGAACAGACGAGGACAAAGGCAGAGGGTGTGCCTGTCCAACTGGAAGCGCTCCGATTCGCCCAATGTGTTGTGCACAAAGAGGATGGTGAGAGCCGATATCCCCTAAACGAGATTTCATTCGACCAAATTAGTGTTTTCTTCTCTCCTCTCTCTATTTGTCTCTCTCTCTTCTTTGTTATTGTGTGTTTGTTTTGTGGTTTGCTCTCAAAGGACGACAATTGGACAGACAGCCTACCAAAGGAAGGAAGTGAAAAAGTGAGCATTCAATAATCGCAAATGACAAAATGGAAGGTGGGCTGGGTGGTTGCACTCATCCTCTCATTTCCCAGCACAATTAAAGTAAGTCCTTTGAGTCAACAGACCGTTCTCGACTCCGATAAACAAAAGCAAAAAAGACATGCGTGTGATGTCGAATGGACTCTCCTTCCTTCTCTTTGTCCTCACGCCCACTTTTTAGCGCCTTCTCGGGACACATCCGAAACCAATCATATGCTTTGTATCTCTCTCAAGAAAAACACAACGAGAGCAAACATGTCCTCCCTCCGATTCCTGGTTATTCCCCATCTTTGTCATTTCGCAGAGAATTAAAGTGTGGGCTTACTGCACCCCTTCAGAGCGGACAAAGGTTCGGGGCAATGACACAATGCACCATAGACAGGGCGTAGGGCTTGGAGGTCTTTTTTGCCGATAGGGAAAACTCCATAAGCTAAGATTACACACACTTCCAAGATAACACCAGTGCCAGTACCTGTACTGTGCAATACGCCATTGAGGAAAAAGGTCGCCCCTCCTTCATTGGAATCATGAAATATCCGGACCTACCACACCGAATGAATACAATTTCCCATTAAACGTCCATTTGCCTTTCCCATTGTGCACACAAACCCTGCCCTCTTTGTCCAGAAGGTATCATACCAAGTCCGATTTTGATTCGCAACACAAACACAAACAAACAGAATGGGATGAACAGGTGCTTGTTGGACACAGAGGACGTAGAGGCGATCGATGGAAATGGGATGAAAGCAAGAGAAAGGGGAGCACAAGAAATTGGGTTCAGGGCCTAGATTGGGCACAACAAACCCCTTCTATCTTGCAGTTGACTCTTTTAGCCTTGCAGAATGAGAGCACATCGTTATTTTATTTTTTGTGCGATTTGGTTGGTTGAGCTGAAATAGGGTCAATGGAACATGAAAAAAGAATGGAAAGGCAAGGCAGACTGACAGACTGCAGCAATGCACTGTACCGACCTGTTGATATGTCCGTTAACCTCTGACTCGTTCTGATGTTACCGGGTATTGGCGAAAATTAAAAAAAATTAACCCGACCAGAATGCTTAATCTCAAACTCATCCTTCGATGCCCAAAAGGCGAATGAATGTACGCTGCTAGAGAACCAAGAGTGAAGTTGACTCCTTCACCTCTTCATTATTGAAGTTCAAAAAAAGAGAAAGAGAGGTAAGAAAGGAAGGTTGAAGTCTACTTCGCTCGAAGGAAGCCGAGGACAACGGAAAAAAATAAGAACAAGTAGACACAGACAAGGACGAACGAGGCGGCTTGAGAGCAAAAAAAACACACAGTTTTCCTGGTAAAAAGTGCAAAACAAGCGAAGTTGCAACCCGCTCTTGATTGGACTAACTCCCCAACCATGGACCTTTCTCTCGTTTCTTTTCCTTTCAAACGGCCATTGTCCACTCAAAGGCGTGGTCGCATGCTCTGTCTTTCCCGGGCTTGCCGTCCTTCTTTTTTCTCATCAGCGAACTAAGGAGGAAAAAAAGGTGTATAAAAGGAACGACTTCCCAGGTTTCTTTTTTCTCCTTGTCCCAGTACCATCCTTCTCACAAGCACCCCTTCCCTCGCTTTCAACAAAGAAAGACACTCTCTCTCTTCATTCGCCCCTCCCTTACCTTCACTACCATGACCGACAAGCAGGAATACGCTGCTGAAAAAGAATTCGTCGACGAGAAGTTCGATGTCGAGCGCTCGTCCGTCATCCTCGAGGAAGAGGAGAACTCTCCCATTCCCGAGGTCGCCGCCATTGTCTCTAACAAGGATGATCCCACTCTCCCCGTCATGACCTTCCGCTTCTGGCTCATGGCCGTCCTCTTCTCCTGCCTCCTCTCCTTCTTCAACCAGTTCTTGTAAGCCATCCCCCCTTCCACTTTCCCTTACAGATATATCCTTCTATCCTTATCATACAACACAAACACATGCTCTAAGATACAATTTCTCACCATGCATTTGCCTTCTCTTCTACTTCTGCTCATTTTAGCTGGTTCCGTACCCATCCTATGACCATCTCCACCCTGGTTATCCAGTTGTTGTCCTACCCCTTCGGAAAGTTCTTGGCCCGTGTCCTCCCCTCCGGTCCCCTCAACCCCGGCCCCTTCAACATCAAGGAGCACGTCTTGGTCGCTTTGTGTGCTAACTGCGCTGGTGGTACCGCCTACGCTGTCGATATCACCGTCATCCAGAAGGTCTGGTACCTCCAGGACTACGGTTTCCTTGCCAACTTCCTCCTCATTCTCATGACTCAGATGTTGGGTTACGGTATGGCTGGTGTTCTCCGCAAGTACCTTGTCTACCCCGCTGCCATGATCTGGCCCGCCAACTTGGTCCAGGTCGCCTTGTTCAACACCCTCCACAAGGATGAGGATCTCCAGCCTGGCCAGTGGTCTCGCTTCAAGTTCTTCTGCATTGCCACCGTTGGCATGTTCTTGTACCAGTGGATCCCTGGTTTCCTCTTCCCCGTCATCTCTTCGATTGCCTGGGTCTGCTGGATCAACCCTAAGAACCACGTTCTCTCCCAGATTGGTGGTGCCAACGGTCTCGGTGTCGGTGCCATCTCCCTCGATTGGAACAACATTGTTGCCTTCTTGGGTTCTCCTTTGATTGTCCCCTGGTGGGCTCAGGTCAACATTGCCATGGGTTTCTTCTTGATCGCCTGGATCATGGTCCCCATTGCCTACTACACCAACCTCTGGGAGGCCAAGCGTTTCCCTATTCTTACCTCCAAACTCTTCACCACTGAGGGTGATGCGTACAAGGTCAAGGACGTCATGACCGGTGGCACCATCGACATGGACAAGTACCTCGTCCAGGGTCCCCTCCGTATCTCGACCTTCTTCGCTCTTACCTACGGTATTGGTTTCGCTGGTCTCTCCTCCATGATCACCCACACCTGGTTGTACCATCGCCACAAGTTGGTTGCCCAGTGGAAGCAGTCTCGCACCCAGTCCGAGGATATCCATCACAAGCTCATGCAGGCCTACCCCGAGGTTCCCGACTGGTGGTACGCTGGCTTGTTCGTCTTCATGACCGCTCTCGGCATCTTCACCTGCGAGTACTACGGCTACATGCCCTGGTGGGCTGTCCTCTTGGCCATCCTCATCTCGGTCACCTTCGCTCTTCCCGTCGGTCTCATCCAGGCCTTGACTAACCAGCAGCCCGGACTTAACATTATCACCGAGTACGTCATTGGTTACATCCTCCCCGGTGAGCCCATCCCCAACGTTACCTTCAAGACCCTCGGTTACATCTCCATGGCCCAGGCTATGACTTTCACCTCGGATCTCAAGCTCGGTCATTACATGAAGGTTCCCCCCAAGGCTATGTTCTGGGCCCAGCTCCTCGGTACCTTCATCGCTGGTCTCGTCAACTTGTTGACTGCCAACTGGCTCTTGAAGTCCCAGAAGGATGTTTGCACCGCTGACAACAAGGAGTTCTCCTGCCCCTCGGCCAACACCTTCTTCTCTGCCTCGGTCATTTGGGGTGTTATTGCTCCCAACCTCATGTTCGGTCCCACTTCGATCTACAACGCCATCAACTACTTCTTCTTGATCGGTTTCATCCTCCCCATCCCCTTCTACTTCCTCAAGAAGGCCTTCCCCAACACCTGGATGGACTTCATTCACATCCCCGTCTTGTTGGCTGCCACCGGTATGATGCCTCCCGCCCAGGCTTACCATTACACCAACTGGTTGGCTGTTGGTTTCGCCTTCCAGTTCTTTGCTCGTCGCTACCACCCCGAGTGGCACTTGCGCTTCACCTATGTCATGTCCGCTGCCTTCGACTCTGGTGTCGCCTTCATGGTTCTCCTCTCTTTCTTCATCTTCACCCTCCGCGGTGCTAGTATGGTTGAATGGTGGGGCAACCCCGAGACCGAGATCTGCCGTCTTGACAGTTACCCCTTGATGGCACCCAGAGGCGGCAAGGTCGATCCTTGGGCCCTTGACCCCTCCGCTGAGGATGCTCCCAAGTACGTCTTCCCCATGGCTTACACCCCTTTCCGCACCGACTTGCCCGCCTTGGCCTAAGGGTGATTTTCTTACCATCTCTTAGTCATTGACAATACCCCTAATAAATCTGTGCGCTCTTATGAGCAGTAATACAACCCTCTTGTTCCTTTTCTTGCTTTTTGAATGTCTGACCTCGTCTACCCTGAGAACAATAATGAACTCGTTTCTTCTAGCTTTGATCACTGTGTGATGTGAGTGATGTCAAACCAATTGGTTTTCCGTCTCATCAACAACTTTTCTTAGTCTCACTTTCTGATGCGACCATTGAACCCTGGCTTATGGGTCGATTTGATCACTGATCAACCGCCCTTCCTTCTTTTTTTTGATCATCTCAGGGACTTGGTCCACCAACAGTACCCCACCTGCCTCCCCATTCCCTTTCTTCGTTCACTTCCATTCCTCTTACTCTTTTCACTTCATCTCCCACCTCATTCACATCCCCCACTTCATTCCATTTTTCTGTGCTGACACCCTGCTCATTTTTTTTGGATTGCATGCTTCATCCTCCAAGCATTAACTGCCCTTGTGTGTCTTCATACACCAAGACATCCAGTTAACATATACGATCCCCTTCCTTTTTCTTCTTTTTTTCATTGCTCCTGCTGCCCTACCATTACCTCCTCTGCTGCTGACTTCTTTTGTCTCATCCCTAACCTCTTCTGGGGAAAATATATTATCAAGAAGACGAAAATTGCATGGTAAAGAATCACTTCAATGACGGTATCCATTTCATGTCGCAAAAACTATCGTCCACCCACATTCTACCTGGATGCACAGGACAAAAAAGTCGACATGTTAATATATCGTACGCCCCCCCCCCCCCTCGGCAGAAAATCGATCCCAGTCATGACGATATGTTTCCACACCTTATCATCAACATCTAGGTGAATGCCAATGACATTGATGCAAACACCCTCCAATCGGGGAAGAACAAGACTTCCCAGATTGATGATACGCAGTTCCTGCGCCTGAAGTAGCGTCAACAAAGAGGATAGTGATGGTCTACAGAAAACACTATGAAGATCGATGGCTCTCAAGCGCGCGACCTAGAACTACGCAATGACACGAGAGGGGGGATCGACCGTTTAGCCTGGGAATGATAACCGAAGCACAGACAAAAAATAAAGAGAGAAGGCAAGAAAGGCTCCATGTGTCGTCTGTTCTCACCGGATCTGCATCCGAGGGGGAAAAGTGATACTTTTTTCTCTCCGCTTCTCTATCACAATTATTAATAACACACACAAAGAGAAAGAGAGGCGTACAGGTGTACACTGTCATATTACTTTCCCATATTCCATATACGTCGTACTGAATTACGATCGATTGAATGATTACACAAACTGTGCAGATGAGTAAACAAAGGAAGTTCAGTTTGGGTCGGGGGGTGCCCAACTGACCTTGGAAGATGTCCTTTTTTGAATTCTGACCAAGCGGAATAGGATCCTCTGGGTACTGTTGGACAGAATTTGTGTTCCCATTCAATGAGAACAACAGAGTACAGGAGGATGGCATCGATCGATGAAGGGAAGGGAGGGTTGAGAGCACCTCAATACAGTTTTTGGGTTTGGTGTGAATATTTTGTTGTCTGAGAGTGGCCTAGAATCAAGGAGCTGCTTTTTTTCTTTTCACTCTGTCTTTCTTAAACAGAGAGCTATGATTCACCTTTTATTGGATATTACCATTTACTTGCCTGATGGGAAAAACTTTGGGTCCTTGGGATATTGCGCAAGAAGCAAGAGGTATGACTTAGTCGAAGAAAAAACAATTATTAGGGACTCCTAAATAGTGTAGGCTGTTGCAGCAAGGCTGTGCATGAGGTCTAGTTCCATCCAGGCTTTGAACAGAGCTGTTGGCGGAAGAAATCCAATGTCGAATACAATACCCCCCTCCTTCCCTCCTCGTCTCTATCCTCACCACTCCTTTCTTTCACGATTTCATTTTTTTTTCTTTTGTCGGCTATTTTTCTCTTGTTTTTATACCGAGGGACTGACAGGGGATGATGATCGATACTGAGGCGATGATAAAACGGCAATTTTATGATTTCAAGGAGGTTGGGAGAGATGAAAGAGACTGTGTGAGAGGAGGAGGGGGGGAGGAGGGAAAAAAGTCTCTACTTGCATGGTTGCGTGCTTGATTACTTGTTCATTGTTGATCGAGGAAGACGGGCACAAAAATAACAAGGGTAAAAACAGCTCTTCTCGTTCGTTGTCACAGTTGCTTGTTTTCCTGCCCTCTTCTTTCTCGTTCTTCCTCTCTGCGTGTGCTCAGAGAGAAAAAACAAACAACAACAATGAACCAAATCATGTGCCAACTGTGAAAGCCAAAAAAACATGGCCGCCCTCGGTGTCGTTTCCAATTTTCCCTTCGGTGTCTCTTCCACTCACTCCGTTGCACCTCACACTCCTCGCAATTCTTCTCGGCTTCTGATCCGAGAAGAACAACCAAGGTTGAAGGCGTGTCCGCATTGGTCGAGAGAAAGCTCTCAACATCTGTCGACATGGTCTCCCATGTACAAAAGTAGCTTTGTCTTGAACTAAAAGGGACGCAATAGTCCACCTCTCGAGAGAGCATGGAATCTTATTGGCTCTACCCCTGTTGTCCAATCATGCCCAAATGTCCATATTGGTCACTCTCACTCATTGCTCTCTTCTCTTCTCACTATCACCATTCATTCGTTTATTCATTCGTTTATTCATTCATTCATTTCATTTTAACCGATTCATACCCTTGGCCGTTTTCTTCTTTTTTCTCACAAACACACTTACACTTCCCATACCCAATCCTTTGTTCTCCGAGGCTAATCGCCTTTTCGTTTTTGCTATAAAAGTGGCAATCCCCCGGCTTGCTTTTTGTTCCTTGTCCCAGTACCATCCTTTCTCTTCAAGCATCCACTTCCCTCCCCTACCCCTCTTACCCTCCTTCCTTCATCTCCTTCCCTCCTCCCTTCACCCACAAAATGGCTGAACAAAAGCAGGAATACACTGCTGAAAAAGAATTCATCGACGAGAAGTTCGACATCGAGCGCTCGTCGGTCGTCCTCGAGGAAGAGGAGAACTCTCCCATTCCCGAGGTCGCCGCTATCGTTTCCAACAAGGATGACCCCAACATCCCCGTCCTCACCTTCCGCTTCTGGCTCATGGCCGTCCTCTTCTCCTGCCTCCTCTCCTTCTTCAACCAGTTCTTGTAAGCCATCCCCCCTTCCACTTTCCCTTACAGATATATCCTTCTATCCTTATCATACAACACAAACACATGCTCTAAGATACAATTTCTCACCATGCATTTGCCTTCTCTTCTACTTTTGCTCATTTTAGCTGGTTCCGTACCCATCCTATGACCATCTCCACCCTGGTTATCCAGTTGTTGTCCTACCCCTTCGGAAAGTTCTTGGCCCGTGTCCTCCCCGCCGGTCCCCTCAACCCCGGCCCCTTCAACATCAAGGAGCACGTCTTGGTCGCTTTGACTGCCAACTGCGCTGGTGGTACCGCCTACGCTGTCGATATCACCGTCATCCAGAAGGTCTACTACCTCCAGGACTTTGGTTTCGGTGCCAACTTCCTTCTCATTCTCTGCACCCAGATGTTGGGTTACGGTATGGCTGGTGTTCTCCGTCGCTACCTTGTCTACCCCGCTGCCATGATCTGGCCCTCGAACTTGGTCCAGGTCGCCTTGTTCAACACCCTCCACAAGGATGAAGAACTCGAGGCTGGTCAGTGGACTCGCTTCAAGTTCTTCTGCGTTGCCACCGTTGGCATGTTCTTGTACCAGTGGATCCCTGGTTTCATTTTCCCCGTCCTCTCCTCCATTGCCTGGGTCTGCTGGATCAACCCCAACAACTTGGTTCTCTCCCAGATTGGTGGTGCCGGCGGTCTCGGTGTCGGTGCCATCTCCCTCGACTGGAACAACATTGTTTCCTTCTTGGGTTCTCCTTTGATTGTCCCCTGGTGGGCTCAGGTCAACATTGCCATGGGTTTCTTCTTGATCGCCTGGATCATGGTCCCCATTGCCTACTACACCAACCTCTGGGAGGCTAAGAAGTTCCCCATCCTCGACTCTGGTCTCTTCATGGAAAACGGCAACCGCTATGCTGTCAAGACCATCTTGACCGATGACAACGTCTTGGACCTGGAGAAGTACAACCTTCACGGACCCCTTCGCATCACCACCTTCTTCGCTCTTACCTACGGTATTGGTTTCGCTGGTCTCTCTTCCATGATGACCCACACCTGGTTGTACCATCGCCACAAGTTGGTTGCCCAGTGGAAGCAGTCTCGCGAGCACTCTGAGGATATCCATCACAAGCTCATGCAGGCCTACCCCGAGGTTCCCGACTGGTGGTACGCTGCCTTGTTCGTTCTCATGACTGCCGTTGCCATCGTCACCTGCGAGGTCTGGGACTACAAGCTCCCCTGGTGGGGTGTTATCTTGGCTGTCGCCCTTGCCGCCGTCTTCTCCCTCCCCGTCGGTCTCATCCAGGCTATCACTAACCAGCAGCCCGGTCTTAACATTATCACTGAGTACGTCATTGGTTACATTCTCCCCGGTAAACCCATTGCCAACGTTACCTTCAAGACCCTCGGTTACATCTCCATGGCCCAGGCTATGACTTTCACCTCGGATCTCAAGCTCGGTCATTACATGAAGGTCCCTCCTCGTGCCATGTTCTGGGCCCAGCTCGTCGGTACCTTGATCGCTGGTCTCGTCAACTTGTTGACTGCCAACTGGCTCTTGAAGTCCCAGAAGGATGTTTGCACCCCCCTTAATAAGGAGTTCCAATGCCTTTCGGCCAAAACCTTCTTCTCTGCCTCGGTCATTTGGGGAGTTGTCTCGCCCAACCTCATGTTCGGTCCCGGTTCGATGTACAACTCTATCAACTACTTCTTCTTGATCGGTTTCGTCCTCCCCATCCCATTCTACTACCTCAAGAAGGCCTTCCCCAACTCCTGGTTGGACTATGTTCACATCCCAGTCTTGTTGGCTGCCACCGGTATGATGCCTCCCGCCCAGGCTTACCATTACACCAACTGGTTGGCTATCGGTTTCGCCTTCCAGTTCTTTGCTCGTCGCTACCACCCCGAGTGGCACTTGCGCTTCACCTATGTCATGTCCGCTGCCTTCGACTCTGGTGTTGCCTTCACTGGTCTCCTCTCTTTCTTCATCTTCACTATCCGCGGTGTTGGTATGGTCGAGTGGTGGGGTACTCGTGAGGATCTCTGCCCTCTTGAGGGCAGCCCCTACATCCCTGCCGAGGTTATCCCTGATGCTTAAATTACCTAATAGTATTTAATAAATATACCATAGTTCATTTTTTCTCATTGAACATCTCTGTTTGCATGTCGCCCTTGCATATGATAGCATTATTAAAAAAGAAAATGAATTCTTGTGTCTCTGGATCATGAATTACCTGGAGATAAACAAAAATAATAAGAGTCCAAAGGTCCCTTTGGGTGAACGCGCTTCCGCAGTAAGCTGCGCCGTCCTTGGGCGTCCACGCGTCGAAGGTGAAACTGTGACTGGTGTGTGTGGACGTTGCCTTGGGGTAATAGTAAGTGCTGACGGAGGTGTTTCTTCCCCATATGATCCCCCCGCAAGATAGGTTTTGGTGAATCATTTTAACTTCAAAGACTGATGTTTTCCCTGTCGTATCGATTCATGACTTCAACCCTTTAAATAGCATGGTGAATTTCGTGTCACATTCTTCTTTCTTCACCTCCATTCCTTTTTCACACACATCAGCTCCTTGATTCAACAACAGCAACGACGCAATCAGCATCATGGTCACAACCCTGCCAACAGAAGTCCTCATCCAAGTCTCCTCATACCTCAATCCCGCCAATTTAGCCTCAGCCTGCTGCGTTAATCACGCATGGTTCATCCCATTCGCCAGCAAACTCTGGCGCTCCCTCCACAAGGACCAATTCTCTCAAGAAGCCCTCCTCGGAGCACTCCCCCGTTACTCCCTCTTCGTCCGCGAATTGCACTGTTCCCGCTTCGCAAAACTAGAGCGTCTCGGCCCAGAATGTACACGGCTCATCATCATGGAAGCCCCCGTCTTGGGCCCCACAGCCGGACGAAAGTACGGATATGCGATTGAGATTTTGGAACGGAACCCGGATCTGGAGGAGGTGTCAGTTTGGTTCCCGAATCCAGTTGAGGCGACGAGGCAGTTGATGCGGGTTGTGGGGATTGTGGTGAGGATGAAGAAGTTGAGGAAGTTGTGTATTGATGGGTTTATGGCGCCCGAGGGGGTTTTGGAGTATTTGTTGGAGATGTTGCCTGGCTTGGAGGAGTTATCGATTGAGATGTGGCAGGCTAACCCGGATGCGGTGCTGGATCCGGATTTTGTTACGTGGCGGATGCAGAGGATGGCATCGGAAGATGCTGGCAATCGGGATAGGGTAGGATTGACCCCGACAGCACCTGCCACGTCAGCAACCACGTCAGCAACACCATCAGCAATATTATTGCCAGCGGGAGCATCATCATCAGCAGTGACAACGTCAACAACTGAACCACCACGCCAACTACGAAGACTTTCCTTGATCGACATCGAGTTCTCCTTCGAATACTTCCTCAAGCTAGTACAGGACTACCCACTCCTGGAGTCGATCACTCTGGAGGTATCAGAAGAATCCGCTCATTTCCGGCCAGGAGAATCACCCAGCTACATCCCCTTCTGTGAACAACTCGGGATCCTCTGCCCAAGACTGGACCAGCTCAGCCTCAGGTCTGTGGAGATCAACAGCGACGGTCTGGAATATCTTCTATCTGCGTTTCCCCGACTCAAACGTATTGCGATCGCCAACACACCCATGGCCGACTGCGATATCCTTCGAATCCTGTTGAATCGCTCGGGATACTCTGAGATACTAGAGGAAATTGATCTGACCCAGGATTCATCGAGACCTTCGGGTGTAGAGACTCTTGAGGTGTTGCGGAGGTTCCATAGGTTGCGTAGGCTACGCGTGACAAGCGGGACCATAATGGTGGGACCACTAATTCAAGTCTTTCTCATTCAGCGCCTTAATGGTGCCGATGACGAGCAACAGCAGGAGCAGCAACCACTACAGCAACAGCAACAACACCCACCAGCGGCATCCAATCAGGCCAACAGTGAGGACCTCCAAGGTCAAGGTCAAATGCACGCCACCCCTACCCGACCAGGAGAGCATCTGGAGAAGCTTGAGGTCACGATTGTTGGACCGTCAAGGGGCTGGGCACCCCCAGCACTTTTTGTAGACGAGTACGATGATAGGTACGGCCAGCAGGAGCGTGATGCCGATGACGCGGATAGGACATACCCCTTGTACAACACCCTCACGACACTTCTCAAGGATAAGACTTTGCTGGATATGGACGGCCTGACCCTCGACTATGAACTTTAGTCGGCATGGCGAAAATGAAAATAAAGTTTTACAGTAGTGCTGCATTGTTTTTGTTAAGAAACATGTCCTTTTGGAAGAATAGGGTATTGACGAAGGCGACCAGTACCTCGGTAGGTGATGAATGGACAAGAAACCGTAGTCAGGGGTGGGGGCTGGGAGCCTGAATGACAGAATATATCTGTCATTCCCCTTCACGCAAAAGGACAGGTGTAAGAACAATCATGCAGACCAAGCCATGAGCCAATGAAAATCAGGAAGGTCCTGGCGCTGGCCACTCATGGACAGAACGCCAAGCGCGCAACATGAAAAATTTATTCCTGTCGCGTCGCCGGTTTCACATCCAGCAGAGACAACTTTTTTCGCTGCTTATCTCTATTCGTTTACTTTTCAGGATGGGATGTCATCTGTTTTTGTTTGTCTGTGTTCACTTAGCCTGAGATAATCTTGCTAGATGCAGGATGCACAGTGGTTATATAAGCGGTGGCTCACCCTCAGACGCGCACTTTCCCTCTCTGTTTTCCCCTTCTTCCTTCTTTGCTGTGAATTCCTTTTCTCCCTCTTCTATTTCCTCCCTGTTACTCACCACTACCTCGACCTGTTGTACATATCCATCACATACTTCTTCACTCACTCATCATCCCTACTTCAAAAACCTTCTACCGTTCTTCTCACTATATCTCCATCACCGCTTCACCACCTACTTCTCCCCGTACCTCTTGACCTCTTGACAACTCTCTAATACTAATAAGAACAACCACAGCCGCAACCATATTCTCACCTCACTTCTGTCCCTCATACTAAAAAAAAAAAAAAACGACCATCATGCAGAACAAAAGCGACAGACTCGACATGCCTGGAGGATTCAAGGACAACATCGCCGACGACACTTCCTACTCCTCCTCCTCCTCCTCCTATGCCCGAGGCACCTCGGCCACTGACAATCCGGACTCAACCCCCATCGCAACCGCCATGCGATCCGCAACCGCCATGCGATCCGCAAACGTCGCCAACCCGCGCGGATCTGCTTACGAAATTGCCGGCCCCACCACCGGTGGTACAAGTCCTATCCATAACCAAGCCATGGACACCATCAAAGGTCAATCTTTCAGCGACCCCGCTGGTGCGCCTAGCGGCACCCCCGCGCATGGGTTCGCCGAGACTGTGAAGGATAATGCGACTGCTGCTGCGACGGGCGCTGCTGCTGCTGGGGTTTCTGTGCTTACTGCGGCCAAGAAGTTGATTAGTGGACGTGGTGGTCATGAAAACGAATTGGGCGATTATACTCAGCACGATAGCAACTTCCAGCCGATCTCCAACATCAATAACACCATCAGCCCAGTTTCTCCAATTGCCTCATCCCGAATAACCTCCAGCGCCACCTCAACCCCATCGCCCAAACCCCTCGGCCCTAATGACCGCCCACCCATCAAGGTTGGGGTCCTTGCTCACAAGCCCAGTGACAAGGCCACTTACGGAAACCTCGGTTCCCCTGGTGCCCAGAACCATCCGGGCCCGCTCTCGGATCGAGCTCTGGCCGATACGCCTCCTCCCTCGTCAACGCCCAAGAGGACGATTGCGGATCCGTTTGGGCCTGTGATGGTTGCGAATTGGAATGATCATAAGCGACAGGCGGATGTGTCGACCCCGACATCAGAGGATTTTGATAGCCCTAATTTAGGGACGCCTATACGGTCGTCTACGGGCCCCTCGGGACAGTCGGCTGCTGCTGCTGCTCCTCAGCGCATGCATGCGCCTTCGCCTTTGAGAGTAAGTACTTGAATTATTTCTTCTCAGCACCGGCGCACAGATCCATCTGGTTTGCACTCTCAGACCACATGAAAATTTTCTCACCATCAGTTTGCTTACCGCCTGATATTCATTTAGGAGGACATCCCGCTAGTCAAGAAGGCTGATGCAGTTCCCATCGCACAACCAAAAGGCTATTTTCCTCATGCCCAGAACAGCTCAACCACGGACGCAGCTACCACTCCTCTCCACTCCTCAGCCATGGCCGCCGCCGCCCCTCCTCACGAAAACAAGGAACACTTGACCGCGCGTATGAAGGAGGTCTTCTCTCACCACGATCATTCGCACACACCAGCAATCGCCACTACCACTGCTGCTGCTGCTGCTGCTGTTCCGGCGTCGCACCAGCCCACTGTTTCCGAGACCCCGCAGACGACGACCACCACCAAGCCTGCGGTCGTCAAAATCGAGCCGTTGAGTGAGCGTATCAAGGAAATCTTCCATCATGAGCCTCATCCTACCGTCGAAGTTCCTATTAAAGTCAACACAGCCACGATTGCTACGACGTCGGCTGCGCCTGAGGTCTTCATCAACAGGACTGTGTACGCCCCTGTCGAGAATTTGAAGGCTATCGATCTTACCAAGGTCGCTCAGGCTGCCTCTCACATGCAGCCTGTCCAGACGACTGCCCCCGAGAAGACTACTGCCACCGCTACCTCTACAACGCCGGCGGCAAGCAAGCCCGTGAATATCAAGCGTAGAGAGTCATTTTCTGATCGCGTCAAGGAGATATTCCATCATGACAACTCGACCCCAGCGACGGTTCATCATGACGAGCCCATCAAGGCCGCCGCTGCCACTACCACAACCCCCCCTGTCGAGAAGGAGTCTTTGGTCGGCCACATCAAGGATGTCTTCCGCCATGATGGCCACTCCTCCGAGACCGCCCCCCACACCACCACCACCACTTCTTCATCACACATGTCAGCAGTACCCGTCGCCGCCACTGCAGCTACTGCAGGTACCGTCGCTAGCGTCGCAGCTTACTTGAAGAACAAGGACTCCGATAACACGACCACTCCAGCCGACGCCCACGATAAGGAGTCCGACAACATGACCACTCCAGCCGACGCCCACGACCATCGTGCCTACTTGCCCCCTGGTACCAAGTCCGCCATCCCTACGACTACCACTGAGCCTACCCCTGCTCATGAGGAGATCAAGTCACTTGTGTTCATGCCTGTGGATGCTTCGCCCTTGAAGAAGCGTACTACAGTACCTGCACCCGTCTTTGACATGACTTACATGAACACTCCTGCTCAAGCTCCTGCGGCATCCTCGACTACTCATTCGTCAACTCCTGCTGCCGGGGACAACCGCTCCATGGGAACTAAGGTCAAGAATGCCTTGGGGTTCCATGACTCCTCTGAGTATGGCCCTGCAGACCCCAAGGACTTGCCCCTCTCAGATCCCAAGACCGTACACTTAATGGATTGCGCCCCCGTCGCTGCTGTTGCTGCACCTCTAGTCGCCAAATCGATGACGACCCCCACAACGGCCCCCGCTGGGGATGCTTCAGTTGCTGCGCCAGTTGCTGCACCAGTTGCTGCCTCTGCCATTACCCCATCCACCGCTACTGGGCCAGGCACAAACGAGATACAGTTCACAGACCCCAAGACCCTTCGCCCCGTGACAGAACAACGCACCTGGGACGTCCCAACTACCGCAGATAACCGGTCCATGGGAACCAAGATCAAGAATGCCATGGGGTTCCATGACTCCTCCGAGTACGGCCCTGCAGATCCCAAGGACTTACCCCTCTCAGATCCCAAGACCTTACACTTAATGGACCGTCTCCCTGTAGCTGCTGCCGCCACTGCTGCCGGCGCTGCTGCTGTGGCTGCACCTCTAGTCGCCAAGTCGACGACGACCCCCACAACGACCCCCGCTGGGGACGCTTCAGTTGCTGCACCAGTTGATGCCCCTGCTGTTGCCCCTGCCATCGCCCCATCCACTGCTACTGGGCCAAGCACCAGCGACATGCAGTCCACAGACCCCAAGACCCTTCGTCCCGTGACAGAACAACGCACCTGGGACACCTCAACTCCCGCAGACAACCGTTCCATGGGAACCAAGGTCAAGAATGCCATGGGGTTCCATGACTCCTCCGAGTACGGCCCCGCGGATCCCAATGACTTACCCCCCTCAGATCCCAAGAGTTCGCACTTAATGGACCGTCACCCTGTAGCTGCTGCCGGCACTGCTGCAGGCGCTGCTGCTGTGGCTGCACCTCTAGTCGCCAAATCGACGACGACCCCCACAACGACCCCCGCTGGGGACGCTTCAGTTGCTGCACCAGTTGATGCCCCTACTGTTGCCCCTGCCATCGCCCCATCCACCGCTACTGGGCCAAGCGCCAGCGACATGCAGTCCACAGACCCCAAGGCCCTTCGTCCCGTGACAGAGCAACGCACCTGGGATACCTCAACTTCCGCAGACAACCGTTCCATGGGAACCAAGGTCAAGAATGCCATGGGGTTCCATGACTCCTCCGAGTACGGCCCTGCGGATCCCAATAACTTACCCCTCTCAGATCCCAAGAGTTCGCACTTGATGGACCGTCACCCTGTAGCTGCTGCCGGCACTGCTGCAGGCGTGGCTGCTGTGGCTGCACCTCTAGTCGCCAAGTCGACGACGACCCCCACAACGACACCCGCTGGGGACGCTTCAGTTGCTGCGCCAGTCGCTGCACCAGTTGTTGCCCCTCTCATCGCCCCAACCACCGCTACTGGGCCAGGCACCAACGAGATGCAGTTCACAGACCCCAAGACCCTTCGTCCCGTGACAGAGCAACGCACCTGGGACATCCCAACTCCCTCAGATAACCGGTCCATGGGAACCAAGATCAAGAATGCCATGGGGTTCCATGGCTCTTCCGAGTACGGCCCTGCAGATCCCAAGGACTTACCCCTCTCAGATCCCAAGACCTTACACTTAATGGATCGTGCTCCCGACGCTGCTGCCGCTACTGCTGCCGGCGCTGCTGCTGTCGCTGCACCTCTAGTCGCCAAGTCGATGATGACCCCCACAACGGCCCCCACCGGGGATGCTTCAGTTGCTGCCCCTGCCATCGCCCCATCCACCGCTACTGGACCAAGCGCCAGCGAAATGCAGTCCACAGACCCCAAGGCCCTTCGTCCCATGACAGAGCAACGCACCTGGGACATCCCAACTCCCTCAGATAACCGTTCCATAGGAACCAAGGTCAAGAATGCCATGGGGTTCCATGACTCCTCCGAGTACGGCCCCGCGGATCCCAATGACTTACCCCCCTCAGATCCCAAGAGTTCGCACTTAATGGACCGTCACCCTGTAGCTGCTGCCGGCACTGCTGCAGGCGTGGCTGCTGTGGCAGCACCTATCATCCACAAGGCGACCACTACCACGACAGAGATCAAGCCAGTCGTTGTAAAGGAGGAGAAGCATAACCCCGTCCTCTCAGCTCCTCGTCCCGTCATCCCCGTCACCACAGCAACCACAGAGCCTAACCCGGTGCTGTCGGCCCCACACCCAATCATCCCCGAGAAGAAGATCTCCCCGACCCAAGTCGATCCAACACCCGTCCAGATTGCACCTCGTCCTATGATCCCTGCCTCAGCGATCGAGAACCACCCTACTACTGGTCGCACCGCGTCTCCTTCTCATCCCGTCATCCCTATGGCCGACAAGCAGACGACAGCAACGACGACTTCTCACCACCCGGGTCTTGAAAAGGTCGCCCCCCCCATCATCGCCGCCGCTGCCGCTGCTCCCATTATCCAACATCACCAACAGCAGCAGCAGCACACGACCCCCGCCCCCGTCGTCCAGCAGCACACGACCCCCGCCCCTGTCGTCCAGCAGCAGCACCAGATGCCCACAACCACAGCCACAACCCCCTACAACACCAACTCCTATAACACCAATTCCTACAACACCCCAGCTCCTGTAGCACCAGTCTCCACACAACGCATACCACCAACCACAGAAGTCCCCGCCGCCAAGACCGCATCCGCGGTCCCAGAATCCTACTCTGGCCCGATCCCAGAGGTCCACCCCGGTGAGGAGATTGTTTGGGTCAAGACTGTCACGACTACAGATTTCTATGATGATAAAAATCTCCCTGCCCCCCCTGGCACTGTCGTCAACAACACCAAAAACAACGGTAGCAACCACAACAACGGCAACGACCACAACAGCGGTGTCGCACCTGTTGGCGTGCCGGCGAACACAGTGCACGATAACAAGGTCCATGGTAAGACTCATAAGAGACTTAGCGGGTTCTTTGATAGGTTGATCCATCGCCATCACGATAATGTCGACAAGGGCAAGCAGCGCATGTAGTTTTTGTTACTCTTCATTTTTTTACCTATTAAAATATGTATCTTCTGTGAATAAATAATAAGAATTGATAATTTAAAACACGAGCATGTCTGGTTTATTATGCCGCTCCGGTTAGTTGCTTACTGTTTGTCGATTGTAATAACCATGACATCCTCTTTCGACTAGTTAATCCGCAGAGCCTGGACAATCTCGGTAGAATAGATTTCAAACTGATGCTTCAAATTCTCCATCTGGGCCGTAACCTCCTGCGCATACTTCTCCTCCTTCTGCCAGATCTCTGCCTGCCTCTTCCGTCTCTCCTCAACCAACCTCCGACTCTCCAACAACCTCGTCTCGGCCTCTGCTAAGGCCTTATCCTGACTCAACACCTCGGCCTCATGCTGATCCCGCTTCTGCTGCATAGTCTCCCTCAACACTCGATTCTTCTCCTCCATATTCCTGGTCAACCGCTCCGTCTGTTCCAGTTTCGACGACAGCGTCATATCCGTCAGTTTCCGGTTCTCAATCGTCGATTTTAACGCCTCGAGTTCGTCCGCTCCTTGGTGGTACTTTTCGAGGAGTGAGAGAGTGACGGCCATCATTTCCCGGATCGCGTAGAGTTCTCGGGGGACGGATTCGATGCGTTCGACGGAAGAATATTTAGTCTGGACTTGTCTGCGATGTTGTTCAATTTGGGCATTGAGCGAGATGAGGGATTCAGGGATTTGGGCGAGGTCTTGTTCTAGGGTCTCTGGGACGTGGACCCGCTGTGCCTGCAGGACGTCCAGTTCCTTGGTCGCCTTTTCAATCGCCGCATTCAACTCTCTCTATTGTATCCGATATTTGAATGTCGTAAAAAAAACGTGTGAGAGTCCCGAAAATTGAAAAAAATCTTGACAGCAAAAAAGCAAAGCGAACGTAAACAAAAGCAAAAAAAAAAAAGGGTTCTTACATTGCGTTCGACAAGTAATGATCTCTCCTTGGTGACTTCGTCCTTCAAAAGTGTGGTGTCAACTTCCTTCTTCTTGTACACTTCCATCTCCAAGGCTAGGTTCTGGTTGATAACCTTTAGTTCCTCTACCCGCGGCTCCTGAGCAATTCTCCTCTGTCTATAAAATAAGATAACTATCGTTAGTAAACACAGAGACTAATGAGGTGCAACTGTCTCACAGACCGACACGAGAATGGTCTCTCAAGTTTGAAAGGCAAACATCCAAAAAAAGCAAAAGAAGGAACTTACTTGAGGTTCTCGAGCTCTTGGGTCATTTGCTCATGTTCCTTCTCCCGGTCGACAATCATGTCTATGACCTCGTCCGTATTTTGCATCTCCTGAAAGAACGCCGGCTGTCTGTCTTCTCGGAACTTTGCGAAATTGATGACGGCACTCAGCACCCGTCGGACTCGTTCTGCCTCGGGTTTTGTCAAGTCCCTTGATGTAAAGTCGTTCACTCCCACCTCATACATCATGCTCGCCCTGTTGAAAGTGAAGATAATGAAAAAAAAGGATTAATTACGGCGTGATTGTTAATGGATTCTCAGTGATAACGATAGCAGCTGGTCCTGTGGGTGTCTTTTTTGAACGTACAGTTGTTGGAGAAAGATGTAGAACCTGACGCCATCCACCACAAAGTCCTACAAGAAGCAGAAAATGCGACGCGCGGTTAGCTTTCCTGTCATCGACGCTTCACCACAACCACCTTCCAAAAGCACAACCCGAGAAAGCAAAATAGCTCAAAAAGACCTACAGGGTGCTGAACAATCTTCATTTCCTGAATATCCTCCATGTAACAATCATCCTTGATACATCCCGTGGCAACATCCATAAAGGCCTCATAGACAACCAACACCTTCTGAGGCGTCGGCCTTGCAAGGTCATCCTCCGTACAAGGGACTTGGACATCTGACATGCACGAGACAATGGCTTGGGGTTTCAGGATCGGGAAATGGTACGTCTCTTGGGCATTGCGGGTTGAGTGAAGCATGCCACCGCCTCCACCTCCACTACCACCTCCGCCGCTCCCAGGGTTGAGGTTACTGCTGCTGGAGATGGCGCCTGAGGGTCGAGGGATGTTAGATCCTGGTCTGCCAGATATTGATTTGCGAAAGTTGTTCATTCCGTTGAGGGTGTGGGGGTATATGCGCGTAAGTTTGCTTGGTTGGAGGAACGGTTCCTGAGATAATGATTGTTGTTTTCGCTGTTGTTCCTTTGCAGAAGATTGTCACGCGATTGCTTGTCTGTGATGTGTTCTTGAGAAAAGAGTGCGTTGAAGAGTGAAGAGTCTCTCTGTCCTCTTGGGTCTGCCTATTATTTGTGAACACACTCTCGCGTTTCGCAGTCACCCCAACAGCTTCGTTGATGGCAATTTGGTGGCGTCTTTTGCCCAAAAAACATGCGCATTAACAAGTGGGCTGCATGTACGGCAACTGGACGACCCTCGGCAAGCTTCTTATGGTAGTGAAAACAAGTTTAGAGCCATCCATTGGCGCTTGCTGCAAGAGGATATTGTTATCAATGAGGTAAAGAGAGGATTCTATTTAGGTGGGTGCTCTGTTTTGTGTCTCGCTTTATATCATTATAGTGAGCGGTTTTTGGTACTCTGGGCACACCATACGCAGTGGTCGTACTCTCTTACACAAATAATGACCATTCACTTCAAGCACCATCATTGATCACTGTATCTGTGTCACTCGTAGGTAAAAAAAATCTCAGGCCACTACCACTCATTTGCTCCTTTTGCATCTCAAATGGATACCCTCTGGTGAAGGCAGTCCTGGCAAACAACAGAGAAGGACGAACAAGCAGGGAAACGGCCTTCCCGAGATGCAAATAAAGATCGAAAGGAATAAAGAAGAGAAAGGCAATTAACAGGCGAGGGAGAAGGAGGATGGGTTGGCAACAAATACATGTAAGTCCTTGGGGTTTAAGGAACATGCATCAAAATGAAGCACCTTGATCATGTCACGTGTTGGCCCATGACCCTGGCATCCTTTTCCTTGAGAAAAAAAGTCCGAAAATGCGATTCATTTCTGCAACCCTTTTTATCCACCCCAACCATCACCCAAACCAACAGTAATGGACCAACAAAAGGCGGCCAAGCAGCGGCACACAAAGAACCGCATTGACAACGACCAACATAACGACCCCCGGGCTGATGGAGCCAGTCGACATTCATCCAAGCAGTCAAGGACAGCAGCAAACACCTCGTCCTGGAAGCAGTCTGTTCTTCAGGGGTTATGCCTCTCGGTCCTCTTCTTCTTCCTGGCCTCCTACCTCGTCACCGACACCTGGCTCTGGGGCTACAAAGGAAAATACACCAACCTGCGCCATTGGTTCCCTGTACGAAAAAAAACTCAACTCAAGCAACATGTCATGGAAGCATGGACCATGAACCTTGCTCCTTTCTCGCGACTGAGCAGCACCGTCTTCTAACACCTCGTTTACCTTTGTCGTTGTACAACCATTGTAGCCAAAGGAAGTGGTCTTCACACAAACGGAGTTGCTGAAATACGATGGATCGGATCCCTCAAAGAAGATTTATCTGGCCATCAAGGGCGAGGTCTTTGACGTGACCGCCGGACGACCCTATTACTCCAAGGGCGGTGGGTATGGCTTCTTCTCGGGTAAAGATGCATCGCGTGCTTATACCACAGGCTGTTTCCAGACCCATCTGACGCATGATCTCCGTGGCCTTACTAAACAACAACTCGCGGTAAGTCTTCGCCTTCTTCTTCATTCATTGTGAGGCTGTGGATCTAGTGTGCTCTGAGAGTGAGAGTGTGAGAGTGTGATAGATGTGGGATGGCGCTCAGTAGAGTATGGATGTGGGCTTGTAAGGTTCCTAACGGATCTATTTCTTCTATCACGACCAAATACACACACGCGCTATGTGCTTTGAACCGTGCCATGCATACAAACAATAGGATATTGACGGGTGGGCCAATTTTTACAGGAATCATCAAAAGTACTTCAAGGTTGGCACCGTCATCCTCGACCCTATCGATCCCGCCTCGCCCATCCCTGAAGATTGCCATCAGCCCGTCGCTCCCAAGCCATCCTCTTAGACACGACTGTAATAAAAACAATACCCTCTCCCTTCAACACTAGCTATCGTGACTGTCCATTTGGCTTGTCTATTATTTCGTGTGCGAAGAGCAAGTTATCAAGGCTAATGGACACTCCTGTCGGATCAACTCTGGTCCATTTCTTTTTCTCCTTCTCCTCCTAGCACGCGCGGGCCATGCCGAAGATAACCTTTACTTCACTCGCCATTCAAGTTGCTCTCTCGCCCTTTTATTTACCCTTTGACCTCCTCTCTCTTTGTCAATCTCGCTCTATCGTGCGTAAGGTTACATGAGACAGAAGCCCGAGTGGGGACACTAACCATTTTTTGTTCAAGGCATTGGCGATAAGTTTTTTTGTTGCGACCATTCCTAGTTGGACACAATGACAAAGTGAAGGACTTATCACAACACCCGCGTTTTCCTTCACTCACACACACTCTCACTCCTTTCACACTTTTGCTATTGCGCTGCACAATCGCCTCCCTCATTTTCTCCTCTTCTCCTGATTCCTCTTTTCTCTCGCTTTTTCTCTCTCTCTCCTGCTTAGGCTCCCATGCCTACAATATGAGGCGGAAAAAAGGTGGTACCTTGAATTGAATAAGGTCTTTTCTTCACGACAGACCCAGACCCATCACCGTCCTCACTCTTGGTGCCCCTCTTCTTTTTTCAATCTTTCAATCTTCTCTCCCCTCATTACTTATTTCATTGGACGAGTGTCGCCTCTCCTTGAACTATTCACCCCCTTGGATCTAGCAACCAAAAATAAACCCTTTATTTGATGACCTTGAGATATTAGAGGCACACATTCAGCCGGGCTATGAATACACAGTTATTGTGCCATGTTATACAACGGTTGATCTCCTTGTGCAGAACATGACAAAGTACCTAAGCCAACGGGTTTACTATGAAACGAAAGAAATAAATGCCATACACACACACATACGCGCGCGCGCACAAAGACAGTATACTCCGGATGTGCGTTATCCTTTTCCGTGATGTTCAGCCAGGACATGTCCTGTGATGGGTATTTCAATAGCTTCACCCATGCCAGCTCCGTTTTTTCTTCTTTTTTCTTTTCTTCTCCTCTTCATCTTTGCTTTCGTTCAAGTCTTCACCCTTCAAACACCAGAGATTACAGGAGCCTTTTCCCTACCACACACATCCTTAACCTTCTCGTCACTCCACTCGCCCTTTCCACCCTCCCACTCACATAACACAACAATGATCAAGTCAATTCTCGCACTGGCAACCATCGCCACCATGGTATCCGCCCAAGCTCTGACCCACATCTCGTTCACACAACCCGTGGGCGACGGCATCACATACGTGGCCGGCACCAACCAGACCTTCTCCTGGACCATGGCCTGTACCGCCCCCTCAACCCTCGTCTCTGCAACCCCCAACGCAACCGAAGTCGATTTCATGGACTCGAACAACATCAGCAACGCCTTCTTTGTCAAGAAGGTCGGTACCATCGATTGCACCAAATCCGTCGGAAATCTCGTCTGGACCGTCCCTGCCGACACCAAGGCAGGTGTTTATGCGCTGCAGTTCCTGCTGACCCCCAATAATGCGTATTCCGGCCGGTTTAATGTTACTACTCCTGGCGAAAGTGGCAGTGGTGATGGTACGGCTCCTTCGACTGCCACTGGTGATGGTGCTAATGCGCCTACGCGTACTGCTGGCAGTGGCGCCGCTAGTTTGGTGGTTAGCAGTGTTGGAGCTGTTGTTGCAGCTGGTGCCGCTCTTGCTATGCTTCTTTAAAAAGTACTCTTTTTTTCTTCCTGTCCTCGAGATGTTCTCCCGTCGTCTCTTTTTCTGTCAAGGCAGTTAGTCTCTTTCGGTATTGTGTCTTTTACCCCTAGGCAGAGCACAATATTCTTACCATATTTTTACTTATCTAGCTTACACGTCGTAGACACAATAATCATAGCATGCAAACTCCAGAGCATTCATGTCATCCCAAAATTCTTTTTTTCACTCGTGCTCTTTTTTGTTTCTGATGCTGCAATTTGAGACGGCGTGTGTGGAGTGTACGTGGGGATGGCAAAGTAGGATGGCGGTGTCTGTGTGCATAAAAGTACATGAATTGCAAGAGTGTCCACAATTGTTATCGCAAATGGTCGATTGGGGCCACGTTGACAAGGTTTTGTTGCTGGGAGTGTTTCTGGACGCACAAACAAACGGTGTCATAATGAAGGAACAGAGAGATGAAAGGGTAATTGGAAGATTGGAGGCGGAGCAACCTTGATTCCGGCTTTGTCGACTCTCTGCTCAAAATTATCCGTTCTCAAGCACAGTGCACACAAATAGTGGCAAATTCAAAGTGGGCTTTTTGTTTTGGTGTTGTGGAAGTAAGGAGCAATTGAGAGGAGAGTGAGGGGGTTGGGTGGGAAGGCCTAGAGGCAAATAAGGCAAATAGCTTGCAATCGTATACGAGGTCGTGTGAATGGCAGGAAGTGTGAGTGTGTGTGAAAGGGGGAGTGATAAACAAGTATGGCAAAGTCAAGGTTGATTGCATATGGCGCAATGGGAGGAGTATGATTCCGGTTTGTGTCTGATAGACAGGGCACAGGCATACAGAGTGTGCTCACTGTCTGGAAGGGAAAGAATTTGTCTTGGCACTGGCAAGAATAGCAAGAGGCTGACAATCGAACACGTTGCAAAACATTTTGTTAGCCACCACTACCAGTCCTGCTTACGCCCCGTAATGGTGCACCTCCCCATAAGAAAGCCCACTCCCCCACCTTTCTCTCTTCTCTCCACTTCACTTCACTCTTTGAACCTTTCTCCTTCTGCCACGACACTCTCTCTTCTTCTTCTCTCAACCCGCTCTCTTCTTGACACGTATCAAGCACCTTTTCTCAACCCACCCCACCTTTCTGTATATAAACCTTTCATAACTTCGTACCTCTGTCCGGGCCATCATGTTCTCGACAACAAAGCTTCCCACCTTGCCTCACATGATGGCCCATGCCTCTTCTGCTGATGCTCCCTTTGACAGCGAAGTGCTGTCCAACGCAGACCTGGACAGCCTGGCATCCGTGACAACCCCCTCTGCAACCACCCCTACCACTTCATTGCATCTCGATATCGATATCCTTGCACAACTCATGAATACAACACCTTCAACTTCTACTTCGAACAGCCAGAACAACAGTGCAACCGACCTTCTCCTCTCCGACCACAGCATCCTCGCTACTTCCTCTTCGACATCCTGGACTGCTTCGCCCTCGATCAGCCCAATGGTCCTCAAGCTCGAGTCGCCCCTCCTCTCCCACCTCGAGGTCCCTTCCTCCTCCAAGAAGTCCTCCCGCAGGGCCTCTACCTCTTCGACTGCCACCGCTACCACCGCCAACAACAGCAGCAGTCGCAAGAGGTCGGCAGTAGAACCCGCCGACAAGGAGGCCAAGGCTCGCGAGCGAGTGTTGCGCAACCGCGCGGCGGCCCAGGAGTCAAGAGACAAGAAGCGCAAGTACGTCGCCGAGATCGAGGCCTCGAACGAGAACCTTCAGGAGGAGAATTGTCAACTGCTCAAGCGTCTCAAGACCGTCGAGTCTGACAACCTTTCTCTCCACCAACGTCTCGAGGCCCTCACCGCACAGTTCGCACAGATGCAGCAACAATTGGCTTCGTCGTCCCCATCCGTAAAGTACAACACCAACAACCAACCCGGAGTCGGCTTTTGCCAGGTAACCATCGTGTCCACTTATCCATCATCCATTCATTGTCCTCGATGTCCATAGCCTACATATCCATCCACTGTCCTCTTTGTTCCATGCCTACATTCATACCCATCCATTGCGACCTTGTATCCATCCATCATACTCCAACCAGTTCAAGCATCACTAACGGATACTTCTTGCTTATGACCTTCAACTAATAGTCTGCAGTACTGGCAAAGAAGGACAGGAGGTCCCGTGAAACGGACACCTTGACCAACTCTCCGCAGCAGAAGCTGGCTCCAACCCAGAGGAACCCTCACACCACGATTTCCACCAACAACAAACCCCGAAGAGTCTATTCGATGACGATGAAGACCTTGATGACGAGCAAGCAGAGTCTGAACAGGGAAGCCCGTTCGTTGTCGGATCCGAGTGCAGCTCCGCAGAAATGGATGGAGATCAGCTGTCGGCCTTCTTGCAACAACAACCACAATTGTCGTCGCAAGAAAGCCTTGACGCTCTCCTCCTCTGCAGCGGCCTCTTTTCCAACAACAACGCTCACTTCAGCGGTCCCGGCAGCAGCGTATATGATGGTCTTCTTGGCCAACATGGTGCTGCCACAGCTGATGCTGAACTTTTCGACTCTTTTCTTGATCTCGACTGGAGCGCAATCGAGCAATCCGCAGCTGCTTCCTCCGCTGCCCCAGCAGGAACAGCAACTTCGGCAGGCGGTCCTCACTTTTATTCAACAGCGCCAGCGACTCTTCTCGAGTCCTCTGTTGTCTAACACGCCTACCGTCGCTCCAAGATTACTCCAGTCCCAGCCGAGAACCATTAAGGACGACATTACCAGTCTACACCCGTCGGTGATTGAGGATATTGTGACAGAATTCCGTCAGGGCCGCAAAGAAGCAGCCCGCGGTCTTTTGGTGAGGGCGTTGGTCTCGAGTCGATTAACACTTGATTCCGACGAGATCTGCAAGCGTCTGTCTTTGCTTCGCAAGAAGTGAATTCCAAGTCGTTTTGTAGGTTGCCCCATCCTTGTCCAAGTTTTTCACACACTATGGTTGTTTTTTTTCTTTACTTTTACTTTACCACTTTTCCGATAGGACGACTTTAATAGCTACTTTTGATTGTTTGCATACTTGTGTTTTTAGTACGGCTTTCGATGCCCTTCCTTTACTCTTTTTTTTCTTTTTTTCCTTGTACTTCTCCCTTTTTCTTTGTTGTAATGCCCCTCTAGTCGCGTTCCCTCATTCTGTAAATTACCTTTCCTTAATAGCATTCTCTCTCAATACAAACTCGCCTCTTCTCTACAAAGAAAAACAACTTGTCCCGACCTGTCCTGTCCTGTTGTTTGCTTGCATGTGATCTTGACATTTTTTTCTTCACCAGTGGTTAAATGGAAAGCACATTCTCAAGATCCGCAAGCAAGACGTTGTAATCGGCTTGATGACTGATGACCATATTCTTTCAGAGAATGTAAGTTCGGGTATCGGTGACCAGTCAGTAGATCGCGCACCAGCAAAAATTCGTACTGAATGACAGTTGTCAGGACCAACTCGAAAAGTGAACGTTCGTTCAGTTTTTTAAACAGCATCTTGAACAGGTCCAAGAAAACATCCTCTTTTTTTATTTCTTCTACAATCCTTTCATCTTTCACATTCACTCCTCTCGCTCTTCCCTCATCACCTCTTGACTCCCCCCCTCCCCCCTCCTCCTTCATTCAACCACACGAGCGATCTTTGACAAGAAAAAAAGTGCTATTGTTGAGAGGAGCTGCGGTGGATGCAGTGGGAGGGGGGAGTGGGAGTACAGTGGCCCAGAGCCCCAGTCATCACAATGCATTGAAATAGAATCCCCGGTGTTGTGCCTTCTTAGGGCGAGTCCTTGGACGAAGACCTAATTCTATTATTCATGGTAGGAGAGAGCTACTTCTGTCGCAACCTCGCCACCCTTTCACTCTACACGTAAGTTCCACATTTCACCTCCATCGTTCTTTTAGTAGGGTAGATTCACCTACATATACCGTTTCCATTTCTTTTTTTCTTTTAGAAATAAAAAAGAAAGATACACATAAGCAACTCTCTCGAGCTGCTGGATAAATAAAGATAGTAGCTCGACCACAGCATGATTATTGCCGCACCCAGAGACACTGAATACGCTATCGTTTTTTGTGGCATGAGTTATTGTCAGTTTCGACCCTTTGGACCGACTTTCGTCATTTCTTTTTTCTCTTTTTTCAATCACTCACCAACGGGACACGCCGAACCCTGATATTTAAGAAAAGCCATATATGGTTGATGTACACACTTTTTATCAGTGGTTCTTGTGATATTGCTTTGCAAGATGGAGCTATAGAGATACCAAGGAGTGGGACGTCGAGACATCAAAGCAGTCTAGGAGGGCGATTCTCCTTGCCTCCCTTGAACATGAAGTCGCTAATGAGAGGTTGCTGCAAGGGCGTGGAAACAGATGGGATATTCGATAGGACAGAATATTTGTGGGTTGTCCACTGTACTTTCTTGACCGTTTTCAACTTTGTAGCCATTTTTTTCTGCGGAGCCTTGGTCGTATCCAATTGGGATTTTGCCTTTTTCTGCACATGTTCGACCAAAGTTGTGTTGCTCCTAGATGACTTGCTGTACTCGAATGTAGGAGTTCGAACGTGGCTCTGGACGGTAGATCCTAGAGAACGTGCATGGAAATTTTTGGGACGGAGGATGCCGTCATCCCTCTTTTCCAAAGAGACAGATATATCATGGTCGTGAAAAGATGAACTTGAATGGAACTCGGCCGACCTGCCGTCAATGAATTTCTGGAACGTTTTGTCGTCACTCCGGCGAGCATCTTTCAGAGCGCCAAAGGACTGCATCGGAGTGGCCAAGTCATGGTCCAGTTCAAAGAAAGAGTCATCGTCGTCAATGCTATCGAACATCCAGAAAGAAGACGCAGCCTCCTCCTCGGACTCCCATAGGTCGATCTCTGGAGAAGTAAAGTAACCAGATTCGGGAGCATCCTCCCCATATTCGACCGTGTTGTCAATGTTGTTGACCATTCCCTGGCTGTTGTAGCATTCCAAGGCGTTGTCGCGACCGGTTTCGTATTGATCGTAAATGTTCTTGACAACTTCTTCTACTGCTTGAACATCTTTGTGGTCGCTATCCTCGACACCTGCAATAAGTGCCGCATGTTCTTCCAGTAGCCTATAAAGCAACGGCAGAAAAAGTCAGTGTTTATGGCTTTGACGTTGTAATTTGCTCTATTCATCTCTCTCTCTCTCAAAAAAAAAAAAATAGAAATATAAGGGAAAGACACTTACTTGGGAAGACGATGCTTCATTTTCTCCGCAGTCTCGATCATCAAGTCGCGGAGCATCTTAATGCCTTTTCGACAGTTCTCCAGATCGGTCCCCTGAAACAGCTTTGAGGTCTTGAAGTCGTCCAGCAATTCCTTTGCAAAGTTCAGACCTTGAGGAATATAGATGCAGGCTCCGAGTCGGTACTGTCCGTCGCTGGAGAGTCGATCGATATTTCCTGGCTGACCAATCTTCGCCATAGAGAGACCAGAGCAAAGGTCGATCCCCTTGCACACTCGCAGGAAGTATCGCCACTCGTACTTATTCCAGGCAATACGTTCTTTCTTGTTGCGCTTGTTACCATTAAAGGTCCGCCAGCGATACTCGTCGTGATCCGTAAAGGCAACCCTCATCTCCTCTTCCAGACTAATCCCTTCAAAGAGCTCCAGGAGAATGGCATCCGCCTTTCGGAATCCTTCCTCACGCCTGTCTGGGTCGGACCAATAGAGCATGTACTCGATCCGTTTGTCAAGGGCCAAATCCAAGAAAAGCCTACAAGAAAAGATGGAGTGCTTGCTCAGGGATGGAAACGTGTCGAAGACATACATGTATTAACCAATAAATGATATCAACTTACACATTCTTCCATGTGGATGCTGCCACTGTGCATTGACGAGGATGGGAATAGGGAAGCATCTTCTTGTTGCTACCGGACGTAATACGATCTGTGGAAAACTGCTTCAACGGATCACCATCACCTGCTAGCAAATGCTCATGGTCATACCAGTCAACGGAGGCACTATCTCGTGCCAGGAGTCGAAAGTGCGCCAGCTCATGGCCAGAGAGCTGTGGCACACCCACGCATACACCGTGGAGAAAAACTGTCAAGACAAAACCGTCAGCTTGAACGTTGCTCTTGAAAACGAGCTTCCTCCTATTTGACCATTGCGCGAAGTATTTTTCTGCTCTTTGATCAAGGATCGAGGAAGACGTCTGCCTTTGCTCGCACTCCTTGCAAAGCGGATGATACCAGCTCTTGTCGCGGAAGACTCCAACCTTGCAGTTTTCCAAACTGCAGGTCTTGCCACAACCCAGACAAGTCCGTGACTTGGGCCCCTCAGGTTGTGCACCAGCATTAGCTTTATAGCCCATTCCTCATTCCTCTAACAAACAGAAGTAAATGGATGAGTGGATGAACCTTTACCTCAAGCAAGTAAGAATGAAGATTCTTATAACCTACCTCATGATATCGTCGCTTGCCTTGGCATCGAATACAAGTACCACCAGAGGATTGGACGATCAAGCTGGATCTCCTCTCTCGTAGTCCTTCATGCCAATGTCCCATGTCACACTGACAGGCATCGCATTTTTTACCACTGAAAGGGGTTGACACGAAAAAGTCAAACTTGAAGAGCAGATCGAACCATCGTTTTTCGCCTAGGGAAAACTTTCGGCCATCTACCCAGTATGCAGGATAGGGGAAATGTCCCTTGTCCTTTTAGACAGTCCTCGGACACTGTCAGAATGATGTCTCATACATAATATAAATCAAAGTTTCAAAGAAAATTGCGGGTGGTTTTGTGTCGTTCTTACATCTGTCTCCAAAGGCGTCGTGCCTGGCTCATAGATGAACTCGTACCACTTTGTTGTCAGTTCGATCCCTTGGGTTGGAGATCCCTTGTACACGACCGCGACCCTGAACTCTGTTGAAAGAACAAGGTCAGTTTCTGTTAGTGTATATAAACTTTGCTCTTTTTTTTTTTAAAAAAAAAACGCCACCATTTTTTGTACCATTCGGGATCGGGATCGTAGTCTCCTTATCGAGGAGGGGCTCTGGAGGTGGAGCAACAGGAATCTGATTTGCTGAGGACTGAGAGTTGGAACGGGGCTCGTTGTTGCGTGTATGGATCTTCTGGTGTGCACGAAGGGTCCTGAGCTGGGTGAATCCTTTATCACAGTCTGGCTCGGGACAAGGATATGGTCGATGCCGCTTCTGGTGCAGCTCCCAGTTCTGTGTTCCTTTGATAGACTGGCTGCAAGGGTCGCTCTTCGTGCCGCGGCAGTGGTAGAGCTCGTGGATCTTTCGCTCGTGAGTCTGACGATTGCCTTCGTCGCTGTAGATATTTTCGCAGTCATCAGAGCGACAAGTGAACGTTATGACAGTGTGTATTGCTGTAAAATGGTGCTGCATGCCCTTCTTTGTCGTGTATGTGTTCGTGCAGTCTGGGTCTGCACATGGAATGCGGTTGTTACTGCTCATGTTTGAGTTGAGGCGGAAGCAAAGGTCGTGGTGAAAGAGGTAGAAAGTCAAAATCGAGAGCCAGGAGAGGATGGACCGTGGCCGACCCATAAATGCTATTGGCGGGGACACCGTCACACAGATAGATTGCACCTTTCACGGCAGCGACCGTCAACACTATTTCGTCTTGACGCCGACCGCGACCTGTGTAGTTCTTTATCCGTCTTTGTTCATATTCCCTTGATCACACACAGATATTGACCCCTGATCGCTCAGCACAATAGGTGTATAGCAATATATTGATCCGTCATTGTTCATATTCCCTTGACCACACACAGATATTGCAATAGTATAGCTCAGCCACATCCCCTCCACAGTTAAATAGTCAGTCTTAGCAATCTTCAATATAACGACTTTTCACTTCCTATTCCTCAGTTAGTCCCTGAACACCTACATCTTTATCCTATTGCACTACCCATAAACTCCGAGTAGCCCGGGAGCTCCAAAGTCTCTGGCTACTCCAGGACTCCAGATACTCTGAGCCTCCAGCTCCTCCATTGTTCAGGCCCCGCCCCTAGCTAGTATAAATAGTCGCCATGCCATAGTATTGACCCTCGGTTCCTATTTTCCCTTCATACCCATATTATTATCTTACTCCATGTCTTTCATCTATCGGACCTCCATTTATTTATCCCTACTTTTTATCCTTTTCCTTATCGAGCTCGTCTCAACCTCTGATCCTGCTTTCTCCGATTCCTACATCACTTCCCCACTACACAGTCTCAAACCCTCGACAATCCAACAATCCAACACATATCAAGAGCAAGATTCCCGGTGCCACCGAGAGCCGACTCTGAGGTCCCATTGGGCCAAGTATCTCTTAGTCTCTAGGATACTTCACATGTACGAGTGCTTGTCTTGCTCACTTCTTATTCTTCCCGTAGCAGAGAAATGTACCACACAAGCATCCAAGTTGACCACGTCTACCAGCTTCAGTCTTACGTAGCTCCAAACTTGCTTTCACTATGTAATATATTTTATTTATCACAGTATCAGCTCCACTTTCCAAGAAAACATCCTCGAACATACAAGGACAGACTTGGAGAATGGCCCAGCTTGCACTTGAAAAGGTCAGACGGCAATTGGGGACCTGCAAGCAGTATTTGAGGACCAACAGTCGGGACAGGAAACGCACCAGGGTCATGTTCCTCGCAAAAGCGATGTCTCGTTCTGGACCTTGTTACTCCACTGTTTTTTTTGTCTATGAAATCAGCAAGCTGGCTGAGGTCGCTTGACCCACGATCACTCTTCGCCGCGTTGAAGTAGAATCCCCATTGCAAACAAAGCATCTCGATCATCGAGCGAGTTTTCCCGCACCCCCAAAAGATGGCAAGATATCAAAAAGAGATTGTTAGTCTGTCGAAAAACAATATTGCGGCAAGCACAATAGATGTACAGTTGATCTAAAATAGCAAGGTACGTACCGAGAGGGTTATCCTGTTTGTCCTCTTTTCCCTTCCTCTGCCAATGACATCACCAGGAAGGGAAAGGGGAAAGGATGAGGGAAAGGGAGAGAAATAGGCCGAACACGGGGAGGTCCTGTGCTTGCATGCCTTCCAGCTTGCTCAAAAGAACATTTGACTGAAACCGCTCTGGAATCGGATCGCCAGCGTGCAACGGAGGGTTGGTAAATCCAAAAAAAGAAGACTTGTTCCTGAATCCTGGCTGTCAACAACGCCTCGTCGTAGAACTCTAGGCAGCCCTTGATCCCACTGGTAGTTACAGGCAGCGCGTTTTCACCCCGCACATACGTGTCCAGAAAGTCAGAGGCTGGAGATCCAGTTGCAAAGAATCGGTCCGCGACCTTTTTGATGTCAGCGCGGAGGTCGCCTGTTGGAGAAAGAAGGCAATGAGAAACGCGTGTTAATTACAAGCATGTCAATTAGATTGAGAGAAACATGAAGTGGCGTCATTCGCATTTACCAGACAGCGGCGTACCAGGACGAGAGACATCAGAGGGAGTTGATAGAACAGGGGTAAGAACTCGGGCAGGAACAGGTGCATGGACTATGTTGCATCAATTAAACGTGGAGTGGCAAAGGTTAGAACCCCGGCTAATGAGCAAAGCATAATTGAGACAGAGCGCGTCGGCATTACCTGGTTGTGGTCGCTGGACAGTGATGTGAATTGTTTTTTTGGGCGGTGTTTCTTTAAAGACATCAGAGACATCGTCTGTCCCATCAAGTTCCTCCTTCGAATTCGATGGGATATCAGCAAACGAGATTTCCTTGCGGTCCTTCTTGTAGGACTGGGATTGTGGCGCGTCAGAGAGTGAGCATGTCTGCATTAACATCGGTGAAAGCGATGGTTTTCTCGGCCTTGATGGCTTTCTTGAGATCACCGATTGTCTCTGTAGACTCGATCTTGACAGGAAACGGGGTCGCTTCGCCATCGACGAGGCAGAACAGAGTCAGGAGACTGTTGTTCATGGTGTTATGAAGCATAGAAAAGGTGGTGAGGGATTAAGGACGTAGGTGAGGGATGAAGAATCAAGCCGAGTGAAGAAGCAAGGGTGTGGGAGCATGGGGGCGGTAGCAGTGGCTAGAGAAACTCGCATGTGACAGAAGCATAGTCATGGTGGAAATATCCGGTGGTGTAATATACTTCTAAGCCACAAGAGAACGCGTTACATACTCCACCTTGTTTTCGGTCTTTGATATCTTTTTTCGCCACCTTCAACATCATCACCAACTTGCTTTCATTTCGATCGCGGAAGACTTTTCATCTAACTGTCGGAAGGTAATCACCTCATCTCCACTACACCTTTCTCATCGTCCTTCCACCCACCATCCAACATTTCCCTCTACCTTTATGTGAGGTGATTCATCAAGCTTTTCTCTTTTGCATTCATTTGCCTCGATCTTTGCCACACTACTCTTTCCTCGTCATTCATTTCCCCTCACCATGGGGGTCCTTGCTCTTTTGGAAGTTACTTGAAGAGCAAGGATATGATGCCGCAAAAAAATCCTCACCACAAACCCCTTACCAAACACTCTTTGCTACATTGATCTTCTAGGCTCCTTTTTCAACTCGGCTACAACCCTCATCAAGCTTGAACCACATTTGGTATCTTGCCAGTGCCCCCAAATCAGCAACCACTTACAGAGAAAAGCATCACCAATTCCTCACCTCTTTTCGGTGTTTGTGAACCGGACCTCCCTCATGATCAAAGGCACATGGGTAAGTAGGTCTTTTGCTATTTCATTAATCACGACTAGAGTATTGAGGCCTCTGCCAGCTGATGCGTTGCGATTTTCCTAACGCATCGGTGTTGTAGCTCACTTCAACATTAACCTGGTTGGCTCGTCATGCTAGAGCCATCCATGGTGTTGGTCGTGTACTTGCGGCAGAGGTAAGATTACCAACAGCTAGCCGTACTTGAGCACAGTACCGCTTGTCTGCCCTACTGTAAAGTGGGTTGCTCGAATTTTTTTTATCATGCGCAGTATCGAGCATTGAGGCCTCTGCCAGCTGATGCGTTGCGATTTTCCTAACGCATCGGTGTTGTAGCTCACTTCAACATTAACCTGGTTGGCTCGTCATGCTAGAGCCATCCATGGTGTTGGTCGTGTACTTGCGGCAGAGGTAAGATTACCAACAGCTAGCCGTACTTGAGCACAGTACCGCTTGTCTGCCCTACTGTAAAGTGGGTTGCTCGAATTTTTTTTATCATGCGCAGTATCGAGCATTGAGGCCTCTGCCAGCTGATGCGTTGCGATTTTCCTAACGCATCGGTGTTGTAGCTCACTTCAACATTAACCTGGTTGGCTCGTCATGCTAGAGCCATCCATGGTGTTGGTCGTGTACTTGCGGCAGAGGTAAGATTACCAACAGCTAGCCGTACTTGAGCACAGTACCGCTTGTCTGCCCTACTGTAAAGTGGGTTGCTCGAATTTTTTTTATCATGCGCAGTATCGAGCATTGAGGCCTCTGCCAGCTGATGCGTTGCGATTTTCCTAACGCATCGGTGTTGTAGCTCACTTCAACATTAACCTGGTTGGCTCGTCATGCTAGAGCCATCCATGGTGTTGGTCGTGTACTTGCGGCAGAGGTAAGATTACCAACAGCTAGCCGTACTTGAGCACAGTACCGCTTGTCTGCCCTACTGTAAAGTGGGTTGCTCGCATTTTTTTTTATTGCTGGACAGTCTCTCTGCGAAAGTAACCACTCTGTTTATAGCTAATTTCAATTACGTCACCATATAAAGGCGTCGATGAAATTCGGTGACGTAGATAGCACAAGGGGGGTGCAGGACGCCAATTCATTCTCTTCCCTTTGCCAATAAAAAATATCACTCTTATCCATATACTCCTCACCACGTTCACACTCCATCTGTCAACTTTCTTTTTGCTACAGATTTCTGCTATGAGCTCGAAGACCTCGACGCCATACTGGCGATCGTACCTCGATGCACTGGATTCTGAGGCTCCTATCGACACTCAAAAATACTTCTCCATGGTGTCCAGCCCTTTCAAGCTGAACCAATTCGAGCTGTACTCAGCTGTGAAGCCGACCTTGAATGTGCGCTCCGCTCTTGACCGCTGGTGGGTGGACGTTTATAAGAAAATGGAAACAAGCCGTGATGAGACCATTAGGCGGGTCGGGGCAATGCTTCGAACCCAGCAGGGGCAGGACAGTTTGACAGGAAAGCTTGATACGTTTTGGAAAGAAGTCGAGGTCCATCAGGCGGTCGAGGAGGATCGCCTTGTCAATTTGAGAATGACTACTGATGCCAAGAGAGACGCTTTGATGTTGAAGAGTCGTGATGGCTCCGACATCTTTCCGAGTAATTATTTGTCTCAAGTATATTTGTCAATGTTATTTTGAAAATCATGAAAGAGAATTAACTCATTTTTCCTTGCACTTCCCTCTTCTCATGTTTCCTGCGCTCTCAGCAGCCGAGGTACGACTGCGATGTCGCAAAGACTTTTGCTGACTGAACTTTGGATAGTATGAGAAACCAACGAACTTGGTCGTTGAACTATTTTTATAAATAGAGCTCAAAGAGGCAGAGGCTCGCTCCTAGCCATGCTCTGCAAGACCAAGCTGAGGATGAGGATCTCAAGGCCAACGAGGGCGTGTGCACTCCGCCTCGAAAGCCAATTGTTTATGGGGATATTCCCCTGGTCTCCGAGTATGCGACTTATTATTTTTGCCTTTGGACTGACAAAAGGTGTCATCGCTTGCTGCAGACAACTCACATGATGTACTCACTAATCTCGATTTTGTAGCACGACTGCGATTTTTCATCACGATGCAGGGAGCGATAGCGTGTTTGACCAGCTAAGCGAAGCTGACCTGATATTGCTGAACTCCGCGACCACCTGGTTCAAGAAATTAACAGCCAGCGGCATTGATCAGGCCATCATCTTGATGCGAGAGGAGCGTTTCCCAATTGCTTGGATTCATGACCTGCTCTATGATCGGTAAGTTAACACTATCCTCTGCTTTTCGTGGACTTTGCCCTTCATTCCTTAATGATTTTTCTTTTTTTTTCTTTCATCTTATTTTAGTCTTAAGCTCATTCGAAAAGGTGTGCAGGCCACCTGGGACGAGAACACTTACACGTCGTTATGGGTGAATTTGGATCTTATGGCTTTGTATACTGGAGTTGACGACTTGATGACACTTGTCTTCGCGAACGAGAACCACTTTTCCCCCTCCGCATGGCGCCGATCCCTGGTTCGAGATCATCCAAATTCAAAGGGCACGAATGTAGATGGTTTCTATGCTGGAAAAGATGGGATGATCGACATTGTTGTTGAGAATGTTGGTTCACCATCCTGTTCCAACTATACCAAGAAGCTGGAGGACGAGCGCAAGTGTTGGAGGAACACTGCAGATGCATTGCTTGAACGGTACTACCTCTCTACAGGTTCTTTCGAGGTAGCGAAGGAGTACAATGTGATTTCGATGGTCATTTATGGTAAGTTGCAGACTCACAATGCAAGGTATTACAATGGTTCATTTTTAATGATTGCTTTATTAAATCCGAGAGCAATCGGTCCTTTCTGCAGGCATGGGAGTGTCTTTGTATACCACATCGATTTTAGGCACGAACTTGTACCAAGTGAAGAAAATCTTCCATGGGCAATATCATACGAACAAGGACGCCTACCTCGTAAAGATCATGCTTCATCTCAAGTTGTGCCTGGTGATCAAGGTAAGCTATATTACAGATCGTATATTCGTATTGTACTCTTTCCATTTCTTTGCTTAACTATTGACATTATTCTCATACTTTTAGAGTGTCATGGAGAGGAACCAAGATGTTGCGAAGAGATTTGATGAAACGATTGATTCGTTGCTGCCCAAGGATGAGCAGGCTAGTTTCAACCTGGCGTTGCACGTGACCCCTTCCAAGACGACCAAGGATGTGTAATCAATAAAGCGTTGAAAGCCTTGCCAGGATAATGGATTATCATGACGGTAATTTTAGGACAAGGGTACAAGATCAGAGGAAGCTGGGACAAGAACATAATTTGTTACCAAACATTCAACTCGAAAGCAGATGAAAATATAAACAAACTCATAAAGCGCAAGCAAAGGAGAAAATAAAGTGACTGAAGAAGTTTGATTTTCGCGGCTTTAATTCTCCATGTGCAAAAGCACCAGACATAGGAGGCAAAACTCAAACGTGGTGATAGACAGATTGGTGGCAAAGGAGCTTCCTTAGTAAAAAGGGAGATTGTGTCCCAGCCTCTCGTTAGAATTTTAGCGGACGAGGACCAGCTGGGTTCAAAGCTTCTTGCAAAATAAAAAAGGAAATGATGAACCTAAAATATTCCCCTGAGGGTATAATAACTGGCTTGTGGCAGCCAAGCGTTCATGGCGACGTTGCTTTTTGATCCTTCGATGTCGGCTCTTTCTCTCCTCATTCGATGTTGCGTCGTCGAGTGCAGTAATTTTTTGGTTTCTTGCAATCAAAAAATACTTCAGAGTTTTTTGCTGGACTACTATAATGAAAATTAGTAAATACTTTTTTTGGGCGTAATTTGGTTTGCGAAAAAGCTGCATGTAACAAGACGAGGGCGAACGGAAGGGAGAACGAGGCGAGTGGACAAGGAAAACGAGGGAAACGAGGGAACGAGGAAAACGTTACATGGTGATGTCTTGTTTAATAAAGAATGTGAGCTAATAACTGAAGAACTAAACTGGCTGCAGACTATGACTATTTATATATACGTGAAGAAGCCGGAACGACTTCTAAGGCTTTCTAGGGTCCTTTTGATCAGTCAGCCCTTGATCAATCATCAAGGGAAGGATCTAGGTAGGTTGTGGCGAAGTTCGATGCCATGACCTAGGGTCACGTGGTCAGTAATATCAGAGTGGATACTCTGACTGTGTAGTATCATTCTGGTAACTTATGGACATGGTTGAGAGGCCGGAAAAATGTATAAGTCGAGTTGCCTCAGACAGCGCCTGAGCTCAGTTGTCTCCGATCGAGTTGCTGGACAAGTTCAAAGTGGTCAGAGCCGAGTTGGTCTTGAGTGCCTCAGACAGCGCCTGAGCTCCATTGGATCCGATCGAGTTGAACTCCAAGTTCAAAGTGGTCAGAGTCGAGTTGGTCTTGAGTGCCTCAGACAGCGCCTGAGCTCCATTGGATCCGATCGAGTTGTTCCGCAGGTAAAACGTGGTCATAGTCGAGCCGCTCTCGAGTGTCTCTGCATGTATGCGAACGGTTGATACAACTATCATCTCAAAGGATAACTTGCGAAGGTGGGGTGGTCTTTTTGGAGTGAAGTTGGAAAGCTTGATGAGATCCTTTGGAAGAACAATATGAACCGATTTCATATTACCAGGTTTCATAATACGACCGAGGACTTCATATCGTTTGGGCATCGATAGTAGTTTGTTGCTGAGGCTTGGTCGAAATTGTTGGAGATCAACATGAAGAATCGATACTACTGATTTCTGGAGTGCATCCTCTAAAGCTTCAAGGTCGCTCCCGGTGCAGGCCCAGTCCAGGATGATATCGAGCTCATGGACGGAGCTCGCCTTTCCCAACGCTAAATGCAATTGGTTGGCCGACACTCTTGACTGAAGTTTCACTTTCACTAGACCATTGTTCTCGTCAAATGACCCTCCTACTGCATCAACTGCACGTCGGAATGCTTCGGCTGCCGTCTTGTTGTAGTTCTCGCGGTAATGGTCCATGCACACCCATTTGACGTGTCCCTCATCCGTTACAGTCCTGTACAGATTTCCCAGCACCTTATTTCCATCCCTGTCCTTCAGGAACGTCTCCAACTTGCGCAGATCTGCACCCTCCAAAGCCTCCTTGTTTTCCACCTGCCCGGTAACCCCCTCGATACCTTCGCCATCGTCCACAGAGACCTTGTCCATCCAGTTTATGACTTGATCCACCCCAGGTACGATGGTATCTTGCAGCTGCTTCAAACCATCGATAGTCTGGCCAAGGACGTCTGGGCTGATCAATTGTGAAAATGCAGGCATAGCAACGCCGGCGACCGTGACTCCGAACTTGAGCATCTTGAGGATCGTGAGGACATAGGGACCGTATTGCTGAAAGAATTCTGAAGGCCGAGCAATCTCGTAACCTTCATGCTTAGCGAGATGGATGTGATGAGGGATCTTGGTCTTGCTGTTGATTGACTTGGTGTGTTCTCCGCACTCGCATAAAAAGTAAAGACGGAACTTGTTCGAGAAGGGATTTATGGAATCCCAACCGGAAGGGTCTTGAGGAAGGACAACAAAAAGACGAGGGATCGGGTACTCGTGGAGTTCGTACGTCTGAGTCAGAACGGCTTGCACACGAGATTGGAGCGCGGCCAACTGATCAAGAGCTCGCTGCTGCAGCTGCTTCATCTCTTCTTGGTTGCTAAGGGCTTGCTCCTGCAGCTGCCTCACTTCTTCCTGCTTGGCAAGCATTGCTTCCTGCAACTCTGAGTTCTTGACCATCATAACCTCCAGCTTCTGAACGTGCCCACTCAGTTGCCTAAGCTCCGCTCGACTAAGATCCCCCTGACCGCCCTTGATAGCCATGGCAAACGCCTGGTAGATGTCCGACGAGGCTCGAACTGTTTCTTGTACTTCAGGGGCCAGAAGGGAGATAAATCGCTGCTCGACCTCAGATTCACGTGCCTTCCTAGTCGCACGTGTTGCAATGTCCTGGAACAATGTGGCCTTGGAAGCAGCACTGGTGGCAGATGGACTTGATGATATGTCGAGAATGCCAGTGTCGCTGACGGGTGGGGTAGCCCCGAGAGCAACAGTCACTCTGTTATCAACTGGAGCACCGGCTGGAGCATTGGTTTGACGACCAACTGGATCAAACTTCGCAGAGTTGGCAAGAACAGGTTGGACAGAGGTAGACAAGACAACGTCCAGGTCCAATCGAGAACAGTGGCAGATGCTATGGGGCATGATTCAGAAAGGAAGAGAACAGAATGATGGGATGTTTGCTCGCCAAGACATTTCGTCTCAATTCATTTTTACGTTTCCTTATTACCTTTGTTGATCGGAACCTCGAAGAAGCTTGATTACCGAATTGCCATTGCGAACGCGCTTAACTCCAGGAAAGACTTGCTCGATGTCCTCCCAATAAACGATGTTCTGTCCGTCAACATGGTTGAGAGTGATTTCCATGGCGGCCTCTCCATGTGCAAAGGAGATAACAAGGCATATACAAAATATCCAAAGCCCAATGAATACAGTGTTGACTTCCATAGCTGATGTATCTCTTTAAAGTCGGCAATAGAACATGAAATAAAATAGCAATAGATAGCACATGTTTTTTTAAAATGTAATCTCTCCCCTGTATTTCACGACAAAATACAGCTGAGGATACAAGTGCTTGAGATGATCACATACAAGAAGTACTCCCCTTAATCTTGCAGTGAGGGTTACAGTTTAATAGTAGATGGACACATTCAAGAGATTGGTGTGCGAAAAATAAGAAGACTTTGTTGTTTGGAGAATAGGTTGGTGTTTAGTAGGATAGTTATGCAAGGGATGTTACAGTGGTTGTTTTACATGGTGGATATTATATATACACTATCCTCTAATGGTCGCTGTAGATATTGTCAAGGTCTGCAGAGATGTAACATATACTATATTACAATTTGGACTTGAAAGGCCTCCATGGTATCCATGGTTTCAATCAAGCGAAACGATTGAGTATCCTCCATTGCTCTCGTTAGATGTACTGCGTGTAGGGAATATGGGAATGAAGAAAATGGCGACTATGTGTGAGAAAAGGAAAGCCAGGAAGAATGAAGAAGAGTTTGAAAGAGACGAAATTTCAACGTGGACCCTTTTGACTCGAAGAGTGTGCTGTCGTCCTGCTTCGCCATTTCTTTATCGTTTCTGCATTTCCCTTGTTGGCTCTACTAACAAACCAATGACCTTTTATGCACGATATGCTTTGGTATTCGTCAGTCAATATCGATCATGGTTGCATGAAGAAAATTTCAAGGGATCTGAGGGAAAATTCGAGGGCACATTGACTGATCACTTACACAATGTGATAATATGCAGACATGCCTTTTACACTTGTTCAGGTTGGGGCAATAACATTTCTCAATATCTGCTCCTTTATGTTGCCATCTGTCACTACTGTTTGCTGCTTCGCCAACCGAAGTTTTACTCGTTTTGCATTGCCAACTATCTCTCCAATTTCTGCTTTATCAACTGGCTTATAGCAGCCAAGCGTTGCTTTTTGATCCTTCGATGTCGGCTCTTCCTTTCATACTGAAGCAGAATTCAGTAAGCGTTGGATTGTTCACCCACTAATAGGGAACGTGAGCTGGGTTTAGACGGTCGCGAGACAGGTTAGTTTTACCCTACTGATGAAATGTTGTTGCAATAGTAACTGAACCTAGTACGACCGTTCATTCGGATAATTGGCATTTGGGCCTGCTTAAGCAGGCAATGGCCCGAAGCTATCATCCGTTGGGTTTATGGCTGAACGCCTCTAAGTCAGAACCCGTGCTAGAACGCGACGATTACCGCCTTTTTCTGATTTCTAATTGAATACGAATAGATCCTCGGGTCCAAGATAATAATACGTGGGCACGGTGGGATTACGTTGCAGAGCGGAAAGGCTTTGTAATGTTCCTGCTAATGTTAATTTCAAATATTGGAAGAGATAAATCCATTGCGGGCGACTTTAATTGAATGGGGTATTGTAGGCAGTAGAGCAGCCTTGTTGCTTTTTTTTTTTTTTTTTGAGGGAAAAGAGAGGATTTATTGTGGCTTAAACAGCCTTGATAGAGTTATTTTATGCTATGGTTTTGGTGATTTCGCGAAGTATGGTGTGGATGATATCGCTACTAGATTGAGTGTGTTGATGAAGAAAAAGAACGGTGTTGGCTGATGAAATACCAATGAGGCAACAAGCCAGCAATTGTGGGATAGTGATGTTAAATTGGGGTTTGATATCAAAGGTTGGAGGATGGAAAGACAAGACCTTATCAAGGTCATCATCTGACCAAAGTGGTTTGGATGTGTGTTCCTTGAGGATTGTTTGCCAAGCGATGTATTTAGGAGCGCACTGAAAGATGTGATGCGCCTTGTCCTCACGTCGCTCACGACATCCGGCCATGTTACAATGAGGATCCTGCTTCCAGTTTTTTTGACGTAGAGTTCCGCAAGGAAGCCAATCCCTTTTAAATCTCCACCACGTGGTCCTGGCCCGGTGTGGTATTTTAGCGCTCCAGAATTGGCGCCACTGTTTCGAGGTTCCCGTCTCTGGTTGGGTTGAGGAGTTTGGGTTTAGTGGTGTGTCTTGCCTCAAAAAGGCTCGAAGGTGTTTGTTCGTGGCCGATTCCAGAGTGATGGGATTACTGTCGTTTGGGATCAAGACAGATGAGAGGATATGCTGTGCCAATGTATCATCCTGCGTGATCTTGGGTGGGTTCGAGAGTGCTTGCTGCATACTGTGGCGCATTCGACGACGTTCTTGGTAGGCCTGGATCCCTAGTTCCACTTGAGCAAGGCGGAGCTTGGGGGAAAGGTGTGTTTTTCTGACCAGTTGGAGGAGCCCATTGTTGTCAGGAGAAAACTGAAAGAGCTCTTCCACTCGGAGTCTGAGGGTCTTGATGGTGGTATCTGTCGTTTCAAACCACCATTCGATTGGTGAGGAGGCAAGTGTTACAGAGTCCGGCAAGGGATCAGCAAGGGCCAGTGCTTTGAGGGAAGGGAGGAGGGACGCCGCAGATACCAATCGTTGCAGACCGGGAAACCCTGCCAATAAGGATCTGTACTGTCCGTCCAGGGGTGCTAGGAGGAAGGCAAGGCGGTGAGACGTTTTGGTCCTCCATCGGATGATATCAAGAATGATGTCCTTACCCCAAGAGACATTAGTGGAGAGAGCATTGCGGATATGCTTGAGTTGGAAAACATGGCATTGAGTAGCTGGGTCAATAACGCCTAGGCCACCCTTGTCCCTTGGAGTAGTGATCACCTCCCATGATGGCCTTGGTTTAAAGGAGCATACGAATTTGGTGACTGCAGCCTTCACCTTTCGCAAAAAGTCGAGCGGGGGGTTGACAATCCAGGATAGGTGCCAAAGTTTGGAGAGGATAAGAGAGTTGATGATGGTGGCTCGGCCCAGGACGGAGAGGGATCGGGAAGAGTGTATGGTTATGGCTGATTGTATCTTCTTCAGAGTCTTGTCCCAGAAGTCTTTTTCCTGATCGCGGTTGAAAAAGATAGGGAATCCAAGGTAGATCAAAGCATCGGCGGAGTTGTAGTCATGCCATCGCACGTCCAAATGTTCCAGGTGGGTCTGCAATTCTTTGGAGTAGGAGGGGGCCATAGGAAAGGCCACAGTTTTGGACAGGTTGACTTTGGCATTGGATGCGCGGCCATAGGTCCGTAGGGTATCCTCCAATGCTGACCATTCGGTTGTGGAGGAGATGAGAGTCATGAGGTCGTCTGCATAGGCGCTGAGCTTGATGGGATCCGTGCGACCAGGGATTTCAATACCGTGAATAGCCGGGGATCGTTCGATAGAGGCAAGCAACGGTTCAAAGGCTATGTTGAAGAGGAGGGGAGATAGTGGGTCACCCTGGCGAAGTCCTCTTGATTGTGGGAAGGTGTCTGACACAAAGCCGTTGATATTGAGTGCAATCCTGGTAGAGAAGAAAAGTTGAATAATCGACTCCGTAAGGCATGATGGAAATCCAAGTCGTTTCAAGACCTGTTGAAGATAGGTAGGATGCACACGGTCGTATGCTTTTTCCTGATCCAGTAGTACGCCAATATGTCTTGTCCTTCTTGCCTTGCAGTAATCTCGGAGTGTTGAGAGCACTAAGCCATTGTCTGCTATATGTCGTCCTGCCGTGAATCCTGTTTGGTGCGATTCTGTCAGCTTGGTCATGTACGGTTGAATCCGTAGGGTAAGGATTTTGGTGAAGAGTTTGGCATCCGAGTTAATGAGTGAAAGAGGTCTCCAGTTTGCCAGTTTTGTCGCATCGCCCTTCTTGAAGAGGAGGATCATCACTGTCTCTTGCCAGGATGTGGGGAAAGAGGCAAGTGTCAGCGCATCGTTGATAATTGCGGTGAATAGTTCCTTGATCCAGGGTATGAGGAGGATGTATCGATAGAGCTCAAAGGGTAAGCCGTCCTTGCCTGGGGCCTTATTAAGGGGCGTCCTGCTCACAACGTGGTCTAACTCATCAGATGTGATAGTCCCTTCGAGTCTGGCGCGATCCTGGTCAGATAGGGTTGCATGTGGGGGGATGGCATCCAGTAGTCGGTTAGTTGCATTCTGGTCGGAGGGGTCGCAGGAGTATAGGCGCGAGTAAAAGTCTGTTGCTACTTCCAGACGTTCATTGGTTGAGGTTGTCAAGGCATCGGTGGCAGGATTGTGTAGGTGTGGGACGAGTCGTTTTTTGTTGCGTTGAGAGATGGCTCGGAAGAAGTAGGCGGTGTTGCCTTCTCCTTTTTCACGCCATAAGGTTCCCGACCGGAGGGCATAGGCATCCAGTTCTTCCGATGTATGTTGTTGAAGAGATGTTTCCAAAGCTTCCAGATCCTGAATGATTGCGTCCTTAGTTACACAGGTTGCAAGAGGGAGCTGGGCTAGTTTGTTTTGGCGTTGTATGTTGAGGTCTCTTAGGGCGGATTGTCGATCCTGTTTCCTTTTGATGGAGGCTGAGATGCAGAAACGTTTGATTTCCATCTTGACCCTGTCCCAGTGTTGGATCTTGCTTTGGTGAGGACGGGGTAAGGAGAAGGTCGCCAGGTGGTCGGTGAGATTCTTGATAAAGTCGCAGTTGTTGAGGAGCTGGGTATTCATTCGCCATATCCCTCGACCTGTCATGGGGGCGGAGGCGGGGGAGAGTGTCAGTAGTAGCATGTCGTGATCCGAGAAAGGAGATGCGCAGAGTTGCTCAGATTTAGATACCTGTGAGAGGAATTGGATAGAGGAGAAAATGTAATCAATGGTATGACGGACTTTGTTTCCTGCAGGGGTGCAGGTGGGCTTGGGGTTGGTATGAAGTGGGGTGATGCAGTCTACAAGATGAGTATCAACCCAGTCCTGAAACAGGGGATGAGGACGAGGGTGAGTGTAATGTATGTAGTTAAGATCGCCTAAAAGAAAGGCCTTTGGGGGAGGGGAGAGAAAGAAAGGGAGGGAGAGACAGTTCAGCATGAATAGCCTTCGTGCTGTCCTGTTGGCTGGGGCATACATAACACAGAATGTGGCCATAAAAGAAGAAGATGAAGAGGTGACGGTGGTAATAATAATCCTTCCTTGTTCTGCGTAAGAGGTGTTAGAGAAGGAGAGGTCAGGATTGCGAAGGAGTGCACAGTGGGGGGACCAAACAGAGCTGTGAGTGTTGAGATATTGGTTGTAATTGATCTGATCAGCAGTGGTTGGCGATGTTGGTAGGTTGATTTCCTGAAGGGCCATTATGTCAAAATCCGTTTGTCGAAGCCAGGTGAAGAAATGAGGTGGACCGGTAGCATTGTTGTTTTGAAGGTGCTGCTTACGTAGACCTCGCACGTTCAAGCTTGCGATCCGCATTACTGTGACCGATTGTTTTTAATTGTAGAAGTAGATCTAGTGGCAGGTCTACCTTCTTTGGTGTAGATGTTGTTGGATGTCTTGGTGATGGTCTTAACTGCTGTGGCGACCGCGGTCTTGGCTACGGAGCGTCTTGCCTTGATCCGCGCTGCTATAGAAGCAGCCATAGCATCCTCCATGGGGAGGTCGTTGTTGTCGGAGGAAATGGAGTGTTCAGTATTGTAGGTAGCTCTGTCAAGGTCTCCCAGGTTAGCTCCCTCCAAATTGAAATCCTCATCAAAGACCTCTTCTCCTTTATCCTGAGCCTGATCATGACATTCGGTCATAGTGATGTCATCTTTTGGTGTGTTGGAAGGAGAAACCACTAACTGGGACTGATGGGTCACATTGGTAGTGGTCAAAGCGAGATGGGTGTTTGAAATTGTATCAGGCGGTACAGAAGCAGAAGCAGAGGAAGTAGTGGAGGAAGGAGAAGAGAAGGAGGTTGAAGAATCAGAAGAAGAGGAATCATGAGAAGAAGAAGAAGAGGAAGCAGAAGAGGAAGAAGAAAAGGAGGAAGTAGAGGAAGTAAAAGCTGAGGAGGATTCAGCGGAAGAGGTGGAAGTGGGTTGCCCTCTCACAGGCATCTTACCTTTCGCCCTCTTAGCATCTCTAGCCGAGAACCTTGAGCAGGTGAAGCTGACGTGGCCATTCGCATTGCACGCACTGCATACGATGGCCAAGCGCTTGGGACAATGGAGAAGGAGGTGCCCGTGTCCCTTGCAATAGTTACAAAAGGGAGAGGCTCCCATCCAACTGATACGGCAAGGAGATTTTTGACGGTTGCCCAAGGAGAGCAAGCGGTCAATCTTGAATTCGTCCGCAGTCTTGTCACTCTTGACATAAACAGCGAACTGGCTGCGAGCCTCGTGGTTGCCGTTGGGGGTAGGGAACAGAGGGATCTCGATCTTGATGACTTTGCCCATTCTCTTGGCGTCCTCAAAGTACCAAGAGCAGAACTGCTCCAGGTGGGTGCCAAAATCAAGGGAAGTCTGGAACTGGTAATCCGTGAAGACGAAACGGGTGATAATGTGAGGAACAGTCGATGAAAGGGGGGCAAACTGCTTGTCGTCGACGGTAATGGGAGTGGTGTAGTGTCCAGAGATTCATGGTACACAATTTCAATGCGATGGTGGACATTGTCAGCGCAGGGGAAGGCCATGTTGCTAAGAATATGGAGAGGTGCTATGTCATCATGGGCTTTGAACAGAGTTGAGTGGGTGGATCTGACTGCATCCGAAAACGCGCCAGAAGAAATAGTTTTGGGGACGATGTATGCAACAGCTCTTGGGTTCACCAGGTCGCCCAGTCGAGCTCCCTTTGGTGCAAGAGCGGCAGCAGCAAGGTGACCCTCTTCGGGGTCGGTAAACACTGAGTGAATGAGAAGTTTATTGTTACTACGGGTTCCAGCTGCCATGGAGGCATAGGAAGGGGATGGTGGGGACCCGATTGAGGGCAGGGGTTGAGAGGGTGGGTCACCATCTCCGTGTTGGTGTTGATGTTGCTGTTGGGTTGGCATTGTGGAAAAGAGTTTGCAGCCTTGTTGCTACGATCTGTTTTTTTTCCCTCTTTCAGACGCCTAGCTTAAGGGCATTAGGTTAGTCGCGTAGGAAGGAATCAAGTCATCTTTTTCTTTTACACGGCTCGCGCACGCTCTTGCTCATCTTTTTTTACATGCGCCTGCTCATCCATAGTGCGCGAAAAACTCCGTGCTTTTTTTCCTGTCCGTACTTGATACCGACCCTCTCACACATATGGTGGGCGATAATTCCACAGCGCCAAGTTGCATTTTTTGGCTGGCTGGACTTTGTGCCCAAAAAAAAAAAAAAAAAAAAAAAAAAAAGGGCGAGAATTCCATAGCTCCAAGTTGGATTTTAGGCTGGCTGGACTTGCAGTCTTGGACCTTCTTGGACCTTGGCTGGCTGGACATTATCCTGTTAGACTTTAGTCAGGCTTGGCCTTTACTCTCTTAGACTTTTGTCTCTGCCCACACTGGTTGCGGACCTACTCATACACATACACATGGTGAGCGAAAGTCATATCATGTGCGTCCCCACGTTGCAGACTCAATTAAATGCTTGATATTTATTTATTTATTTCTGTGAATGGACAAAAAAAGGGTTTCAACACATGTTCTAAACGTTATGACGAGATTGCTGTTGATCTTGCTGTTCACGCTCCTGGCGCTTGAGGTACCCCTTTGGAGGCCAAGACCGCGACCTGTACTGTTGTCTACCTTCCCCGTCGTCCTCCTTCTCCTCGTCCTCCTTTCTGCGCCCAAGACGCAAGCGATCCCGGTGATGATGACGATGGTCTTCACGCTCACGGTCGACGCGGGGTCCATTCAACGACGACGACGACTCTGAAGCCGAAGAAGAAGAAGAAGAAGAAGAGGGGACGAATCCGTATGCGGCGGCAGTAGTCTCCCGCTGTTTCGCCTCAGCATCCCTCAACTCCTGTCGGCGCTCTCTCCTCCGATCGTCTTGGCGTCCTCGTCCTTGGTCGCAGTCTTGAGAGGTGTGGGGGCGTTCGCGTTCGCGTTCGGCGCGGAGCTCTTCAAGGAACTCGCGGTGTTCTTGGCGGCGTTGGGCCCAGCGCTCTCGGAAGCTTGGACGATGCTGGGATGGAGATGACGACGACGACGACGATGAAGGTGGAGTAGGAGGAGTGGATGTAGAAGCGGCGGCTGAAGCTGAAGTGGTGGTGGTGGTGGCTGCGACAACTTTGGCGTCATTCTGCTGTTGTTGTTGTTGTTGTTGTTGTTGTTGAATAGCAACACGGTTCAAATGGTTCCGATAAGGGTTCTCTCCCTCATGACGCGTCTGAGGCACCGGCTGCTGCTGCTGCTCCTTCTCCTGCGCATCGCGCAATGAAGGGTTGATGCGGTGGGTAGAGGATTCAAGGAAGGACCCGTCAGGTCGTTGGATGCGGGTATGTGTCTCGGTAACTCCGGACTGCCGGTTAAATGTCACGGTCTTGGATTCGACGGTTCCATCTGGGCGGGTGATCGTCGTCTGTGTGAACGACTATTGTGTGCGAGGAGTGAGAAGAGGATAGGATAATTTGGATGTTAGTGTTTTTTGTTCGTTTGATATATGAAAAAGAATGGAGGGGGTAGAAGAGGGGAAAGAAAGGGAAAGGAAGAGGGGGTGTACCTCGGATGGACGACGTTGGTCCTGGCGGCGGTGGGGTGGCCACTCTCTCGTTCGAGAAGGAGAATCTTGGCTGGTATTGTTGTTGTTATCCCAGGACGGTCGGACCTCCATCACCTTGTTGACCAACACCGAAGAAGGAGCTGCCTCTGATGGCTTGGCAGGGACAGGGGCGGCAGAAGCAACTGCAAGCTGGTCCACAACAGTAGAAGCAGCACTTGTTGCGATGACAGGAGACTCGATTTTGGTGGCAACAGGTTCAGGCCCCGCTCCACCAGAAGACTCGGCAGTTGGTGGCGGGGCTGTACTAGCAGCAACCACGACGACAGGAACAGACGACAAGGACGACGGGTCTTGGTCTGGAAGAGGTACCTGCGGAACCACCTCATCAACAACAGTAATGACAGGAGCAACAACCGCAGCTGCGGACTCTGGACTCTCATCGCTACCCTTCTTCTCTTCAACAGGAGGTGTGCGGAAGCCATAAGGCTTATCATAGCTGACATTCAACAGCCACTCAATGACACCCGTCGGCATCATCGCCGTCGTCGTCGCCACCTTCTTCACATCCTCCAAACCAGCCCCCACCACTGCTTCAGAAGCAGCAACATCAGCGGTAGAGGTCGCGGAGGCGGAAGTGGAGGCGAGGGCTGAACCGTCGGCAGAAACCTCCCCCGGGAGTTCCTCGATCGTGATCCTGTACCGCTTCATCGTGCCCCTCGACCCCGTCGTGGCCGCTTGGAGTTTCTGAGCCCACGACCATGGCCATAATTGGTCTCCTCCTCCTCCACCACCTCCTCTTGCTATCGCGTTCGCTCCCTCCGTCGTCTCCTTCTCTATCATCGTCAGGTCGGTCGTCATCATTGTCGGGACCTCAGCCTTGTCAGTCGAGTTGGTGGACCATGGTCGGTACCGCCCCTCTGAAGAAGCAAGTGCCAAAGCCTTCTGATACTCCACGGCATGAATCTCGTGGACCACCGACCCCGCCCCACCGAGAAGGGAGAACCCCTGGAGAATATTAAGTCTTGCAAGACCTGGGATATTAGGCGGCTTTGTATCATCCTTCTTCCATGGTTGATTGTCGTGTGGGTGGTTGGTTTTGAACCAGGGCCAGTTGGCGTCGTTGTGAGAGGGTGGAGAACTGTGGGCGAGTTCTTCGGGTGTGTTGTCGGGGTTGTAGAAGAGGACTGAGGTCATCTTTTTGTGTGTGTGTGCGAAGTGTTTGGATAGAAGGAAGAGATAGAGTGAGGATGAGTGTATGAGTGTATGGGTGTCTATGGGGTGGAGTATGAGTGAGTAGGAGAGCGCGAGTGTGCAAAAGAAAACAAAGACAAGAGTAAGTGTGAAAGTGTGTGAGAACAAAAAAGAAATAAAGGACAGCAGGGGCATGGCCTTTAATGAAGAATCGACTCTGACCAATTAGGAAATTTTGTGCTTCTTGGCCCGCCTTTTTTTTTTCTCTGTCTTGTCGACACGTCGCACAACGCCCGTCATAGAAGCACTTACTCTTCTGCATCAATGGATCTATAGGTCTCTTGTTTTTGCCTTTTGTAGTCGACGAGGTAGATCGGGGGAGGAGGAGGAGGGGGACTCGTCATCTCTGGCATACGAAAAACAAGTTTTCCTTTCCTAGCCAGCATCCACGTCCCACTCCGATCCCGCTTATTCAGGCACTCCTGGTCCGTTTTTCTCCATGCTTTAATTGAGCCATACAGGAGGGACTCAATTATTTCCATTCATATTATTATCTTCTTGTCATAAAGCAAGCACGAAAAAAGCAATGGTGTAATTAAAGATCGACGGCCACTACCGAAAAGCACGGAAAAAATAAAGATTTATTAATGGGTATCAAGTAGAAGGAGGTTGAGTAGAATTAGCAGACCTCATAAGCCCAGCCCCAGCACCTCCATATCCATATCCATCCTTTACAACTCCGGGCATCGCGTAAGGCGGTTGTTGGAACCCAGCAACAGGCGACATCATCCCCTGATGGTGATCTGGAGGATAGGGCGCCGATGGATACTGTTGCTGCTGCTGATAGTATGGCTGATGATGATGCTGAGGTTGGGGGGGAGGAGGGCCGGCCAAGGGGACAAAAGTTCCCGTTTGTCCCTGAGGGCTCGGCATAATATGATGTACAGGCTGTACCGCCGGGGCCACAGGCATGGGGGAAACGATCTGATGGTTGTATCCATAAGACTGAGTGGAGACTCCGAATAGTTTCTTGAATCCATTGGTGAGTGGCCGTCTGTAGTATGCATCGTCTGTTCCATGGTTGTTGCTCGGGTGGGCAGCTACTGCTGCTACGACTGTTGGTTGGGGGTAATGGTGCGCGTACCCGCTGTAAACTGGTTGCTGTTGAGGATAAGGGTTATGAGGATGGTGATGGTGTTGTTGAGGCTGAGGGTAGTATCCATGGTGCTGTTGCGGTTGCTGAGGCTGCGGGTAATAACCATGTGGGGGTTGATGGTGCTGCGGAACAGGAGGAACAGGGTGCTGTCCATCGAGATGAGAATCCGGTCGAGTCGAGTACCCAATCTGTGGAGCTGCGTATGCCGTCAACGGGGTATGTAATCGTGTACAGACCGCGAACTCGGAATCTAAAAGTCCTCCACATTCCTTACACTTGAAGTTTGTCACCAGTCCTGGTCCTCCTGGTATTGTTGCTTGTGGAATAATAGGTGTTGGCGCCATTGTGGTATGTTCGGGTGCGGATGGTGACATGGGAAGCTTGCTGGGTTCTGGCATCGGCATGGGTACCGGCATAGACACACTACCGCTATGATGAAGTGGTGCAGTTGGTAAGGGTCGGACTACAGCTGCAGGGGAGAACATGGGTGCGGTGCTAGGTGGAGGGTAATGACTCAACGCCGGCGAGGGTGCAGCGGCAGGCGGTGGGTAGGACGAAGTAGGAAGGGGGTGGTACATCGCAGGCGTTTCTGCGTACCCCATAGCTGGAGATGAGACCGGATTAACGACGGATGATATTGAATGAAGCTGCTGGTGTTGGTCAACTTGCGGCGAGAACTGGGGTGCTGCAGGCGGCCGGTAGACCACTGGCGCTGAATGTTGCTGCGATTGGTAATATGGATCAGGCTGTTGTTGTTGATATTGTTCCTGAACGGGCTGCTTCACGTCCTGCAAAGGTTTCTCTCCTTGCTTGTTAGGGAACACTGGAGGCTGATAGTACGACTGAATATCGTCCTTCTCCAGTATCCCTGCAGCCACTCCTCCACTAGCCGCAATCGACTGCTGCTCCTGCTGCTTTCCCTGACCAGGCTCGTCCTCTTCCCGAGTATCCAGCTGTGGCGCCCTGGGCCCAGTAGGTCTCGCAAAATAAGAATCAGGTGCCGCATCATACTCCGTTCCGGACATATCAACTACACCCTCCCCATACGCCTGTGGCGCTCCAACCGTCCCGCGAAACTGTGGTGCCCTTGGTGTCCTTGGAGTACGGGAAGGCAATGCAGGAGGAGCAACATCACCACTATGCGGTACTGGATTCGCTGATCCAGGCCCTCCCGGCATCGTTGGAGGGAATTGGAGTTGTCGGAACTGTGTCGCTTCTCCTGCTCCTGCTGGTGTGTAAGTTGCAGGTGTGTAAGTGTAGGGTGGAGGTGGAGCCTCTTCCTGCCGCTGCTGTTGTCCCTGGTGCTGGGAGTTTTGGGACATATACGACATTATTGTTGGCGGCGGCTGACAGAAGGAAGCGGTTGGTTTGACTGTAAAAATAATAAAAATAAAAAAAAAAGCTGACTCAGAACAAGGGGCGAGGAAGTGTTTTGAAAATAAAATAAAGTTTTATCAATGGCCAGGAACACTTCCTGCAGGATGGCCAGCTGGACATCTCTCTGGCATGAACATTGTCGTTTGTTGTACCTTGATGGGGCAGAGGGTATGTAGATGCTTGAAGTGAGAAAGACAGATGGATTCAGAGGAGTGATGAAAGTAAAAAGATGTGAAGGGGAGGAGAGATGTGGAAAGGAAGGGAAGGAAGAAAGGAAGGAAGGAAGGAAGGAAGGAAGGAAAGGAGGAGAAATAAAATGGAGGCAAAGTAAACCACCCCTCGAAAAGAGAGCAATGACAAGGGTCGAAAAATATTCATTTTTGTGCCTGTGTGGCAGTGGCAACAACAGACGGCCCAGGCTGCATTTAGCAAGTCTCGTGGCACTCTTATTTCTGGAAGATGAGATTCTCCCTTTCTTTTCTCCTTGTCTCTCTCTCTTGCACACACAGGCGCACATGTAGAAAGCGAATCGGGTTGACAGCGATAAAAAAAAGAGCGACAGATTTTTTTTATTCGGCATCGGGAAGTGAGGGTGTGGTGTGGTTTTTTTAAGACATTGCACAAAAAAGAAAAAAAAGGTGAGAAAGGGAAAAAAAAAAGTAATTATGGTCATAGGAAAACGATATAATATAAGATGGGTAAGAGGGACAGGTAAAATGGCTTTTCAGGCACGCAGAAACAAAAAAATATATCAGAAACACAGAGCAAGTTCATCCTGCTGCTAAGCAGTAGTGGCGATCAGAGTCTTGATGGTCTTGGGTGTCGTGGCATCGTTCAAGTGCTTGGTATTGAACCGTAAGGCAGAGATCAGGTTGGGGGTATCCGTCGCGTTTCCAAAGGTATGAATGGCCTTGACAGAGTTCTTGATGTTGATCGGCGACGACTTGTTGAACGCGCCCTGGGGCTCAATGTGGTCATAGATAATGATCGAGATCACCATCACCCTCAGACAAAACGCCGTCGTCTCGGCCCGCTGGTTGGGCTTCTTCTTGCTGTTGTTCACAGTGTGATAACATACTCCCGCCAATGTCGCCAGACACTCAGAGACACTCCGGCGGACACGGTGCTGTCCCACAAACTGGGTTGTCACTTCCGTGACCGTCTTGAGCATCGGTGTAGGGTAGGCGTAGAACATCGAGACGTGGTTGGCGAGTTCGTCCTCGTTCATCGCCGACTTGAGATCCACCTCGTTCGACAGCTTGCCTCGGGACAAACAGCGACGGTAATACGAAAAGTCGTTCTGAATCTGAGGGGTCTTCATCTTGAGCGAGTCAAACTCAAACACAAAGTCGAGCAATTGGCACAAGATCCTTGCCAATCCCGGATGCCTCTCCAAGTTTTTGTTCACATCACCAATGCACAGCGTCTGCAAAATTTGTGGCAAGCATGATTCTAATTAGGCGAAGAGTTGAATATCGCGTTAGTAATTATTTCAATATGCTATTGAGCACCTTCTCGTTTTAAAATGAAGAGATGATAGCTTACCGATGGAGGTGGAGTACTTGTAGAAGGTCTTGAGCTTTTCGACTGCAGGACGGACATGGTCCCATGCCTCTTGCTCTGATTCTGGGCCAGGCGATCCAATTGCCTATAGAATGGAATGTTCATAACATATAAAGTTGTCATGTTAGCCACGTGGAATGAAAATGCTATGAGACTAGAGGGTAGAATGTCGGTCGGAGAATGTTTCGCGGTTTTCGTTTGTTGCTTCCATGGCTGTCCTGCCTTCTGTCCTGCCTTCTGTCCTGGAAGGGATTCCACACTTTTTCTTGCTTGCTTGAGTGAGGTTTCTCCACTTGCATTCTGCAATGAAAGTCAAAGAAAAAGGTGAAAGACAAAGAAACGCTGAAATAGAAACGGGCTCTTGGGAATGAACTACTACAAGTAAAAATAACTCCCTCCTCCTATTCATTTCTCACTTGCAATTGCCATTCGAACAAAAAGGATGCACTCCACCCCCGCGAGGAACGAAAATAGTCAAAACGAAAGTACCCTTCCGTCTCCTAACTTTTCTTTCCTCGTTGACAATTAAACATACGCGCGTATCCTCAATGTCCAGGGAAATAGAACAAACGAAAGCACCACTACACCGTGAGGCCCCAAAGGATCGAATCTCAATAAGCCAGAGAAAAGAACCCAGCCCACGAAGGAATGAACATGAAACAGGAACAACCAGATAATGTATATGAAGGAACAACCAGATGAACACTCTTCCTTTCCAGACAAAAGTACAAAACGGAAGAGGAATGTTAGCAAAACTAAGAATGACACTGGCATGTAGTGTGTGTCTCAGCTGAGGTTGTTGTTTCCACCCATGGCGGCATGCCATAGTTTTTCCTCGTGAAAATGCAATCCCCCATCTTCCTCCTCTCCTTCCTGCAGGCAAGTTTAATTGAACCCAAAATTAACAGAAATTGTTCCCCTACCCCCGATGGATGCATGGTGAAAATAAACGCGAACGACCGAAACCCATAGAAACGCGTAAAAATATAGTGTGTGTAGGGGCATGAAGATGTGTGTGTGTGTGTGTGTGTGTGTTTGTGAAGATAGAAGCGAAAGGACAAAAAGACCCATCCCATCAAACCCCCGACCAAGTAGCTTGTTTGGACGTCTGCACAGACAATCTGCAAGAGAGCACCATGTAATAGGCCATTGTCCTGGGATGAACAAACAATATTGAGCACAACACAAAAAGGAGCTTGTAAAAATAACCACAAAACAAACATTGCTCGGTCATGTCCGTGGAAGAAAAACAAATGAATCGTCTCTGGACTAGTGAACTACTCTGGACAACAACAACGCCTTTGATCAGCACTCTCTTTTCAGGCGACACCCTCTCACTTGTCCATCTCAAAAAGAAGGATCCTTCTGAAGAGAGATGTCGCTGTTGTCGGTGGGATAGACCGCTGCCTCGCTCTCCAATATAAGATCCGAATTCCCTTTTGTGTCAGGTAAATAATAAAGATCCCAACATCACACCTTGTTGTTGTTGTTGTTGTTGTTGTTGTTGTTGTTGTTGTTGTTGTTGAATGAATAGTACAGTAACAAGCCGACTCCTTCTTACTCTGTCCTCGAGTTCTCTAAACCTTGCCTGTCAATCGCAACAAGAGCGAGAGAAAAGCAGGGTGTTACAAAAACACAATCTAACAAAGGGCGCATTCAATCTATCCACCTTTCCCGTGCATGACAAAGCCATCTCCATCGCTCTCTCCTCGTAACCACCGTCCCTTCCTCCCCTTCACAATGGAACCACTCGTAGCCTCTCTCTCTCTCTCTCTCATTCGCCCACTGACCCGAGTACCACACCCAGCAAAAGTCTCACAAGAGTATCATCCTGTGTCGCGTGTTCCTTGCCATTGTTGTCTGTGAGACGTACGAGTACGTACTTCTGTTTTTCAGCACCGACTGGACGCTTCATTCTGATTCGTCCATCAGATATGGACGTCTAACCCGACATCCCATCCAAGGCATTTTGTTGGTTCCCTTCTTTTTTTGGTTTTTGTCCTTATTGCTTTGCCCTTCGGTAACAAGCCCTCTCCCCTGGTTGTGGATAAAGAGATTGCATGAATAAATAAAAGACTACCAACGGTCGTTCGGGTGGATGGGAAGAGAAGGTGAGAGGGGATAATAAGGGGAAGAGCTGGGAAAATGGATGAATAGGAGGTGGTAGAGTGGTTCGGTAGGAAGAGACGAAAAGAAAAGGAACCAATGATGATTGAACAGCCACCACCCCTTCACGACCTAAACTAGCAAAAATATCAAGCTGCCCCGATGTCGCGACAGAAAGGAAAGGGAAATGGTATGATTCCAACTCTCTGTCTTGTTCTTCGCACTTGTCCGCTCTTGGACACAACCCCTTCTTCAACCCCCCCTTTCTCTCTCTCTTTTCCAAAAGGGTCCTTTCAAAAAGGAAAACAAACAATGAGAAAGTGCCCTCCTGATGACAAAATGTTACTTGCTATCCTGCCCATTCTCTTGTCTTTTTTTTCTTTCCTGAAGGGCTATTCCGGTTGAATGTTATCCAGATAGCAGTGGAGAGTGATCCTGTACAAGTCGCAACGCCTTCTTTTTCTTGTTGTTCCCGTACTCGGCGACATGCTCGTAGTGTTCCTGTGTGATGTAGCATGATGATTTACCTGACGGATATATTCTCCACAACCGTCATAAGTCCTGAGCATCTGGAGCAGATCCGGTGTTGGTTCCAGCAGGTGCAAAACGTTTGAGTATGACTCGAGCTCCTCCTCGGTCATTGATGAATCTAAATTGTAATATCAAGTCGATTCAATACACAAAGAGTCAATAGAGGCGAGAAAAGAGGACGTTGGACAAGTGAATACAAAGGAATGAAAGTGAACACAGAAGCCCAAAAAAAAAAAAAAAAAAAAAAAAAAAAAGCAGCAAGGCATGTTGTTGGTTTCAGTTTATCCTTTCATTTGTTAAAATGTAATTCCTCGGGTTTAGTTGGACATCGCTCACACAACAATGGTGCATACACACATACAACAAAACAAGGCCGAGATCTCGCTTTCATACAATCCTCGGATGATTAGTTATGGACGTTCATATGTTTTACCTTCAAAGTCGAGCTGGACATCGGGCACTTTGGAATCGGCGTCTCTGTTAACAAGGTCGTTAAACTGTGAAAGAAAGTTTCCCATGGTTGCTTCTGTTGTTGTTGAGGTGGTAGTTGTAGTGCTGTTGATATGCTGAGTGGTTCAGAGAAAGGGGACGAAAAAAAAAAGGTTGACCGGCAGTTGAAGGGGGTGGAAGGAAGGGGAGAGAGAGAGAAAGAGAGAGAAAGAGAGAGAGAGGGAGAGAGAGAGAGAGAGAGAGAGAGAGAGAGAGAGAGAGAGAGAGAGAGAGAGAGAGAGAAGACGAATGCAGAGGAGGATGTACAAGGATAACGATGATATGATGCGAGGCTGCGTTATGTCACTGTCGTCGTCGTCGTCGTTGTCGTCCGGGATATGGTATCGGGAAGAAGAAGAGATCGGTCGGTCGGACAGTGGTGGTGGAAGGTAGGGCGAAGTTGCAGTAACAGAAGCAAGCAAGGAAAAGTTGAAACGGGACGGAGAGGATATTGGGCGAACGGGAAATGGAATAAGGGCGTTTCGTGAGGAGGACTAGGGAAGGGGACAGGATAGTCGACTATTGAGAGGAGTGGTCGTTTCTTTTTTGTTGTAGTTCGTTTCGATGATTCAAAGTGCTTGGATGTTGTTGAATGAACAGGCGATCTATTGCCAACAAGGTGCGCAGGAGGAGGAAGACGAAAGCGGGCGTGATGATAAGTAAAGTTAGCATAAATTGAACTGCTTTCATTTCTGGTACCTACTATGGAGCCCAACAGCAAGCAAGGCAAAAGAAAATATTTTTGTTGTTGTGCTTTGCTCAATAAAAACAAGCAAGTGAGGGAGATCTACAGCCCCAAGTCATTAAAGAGAGACGACAAGTACCAATTAAAAAAAAGAGTTGGCGGATGGAAAAAGGTCGGAGGGTTTGGGTGAGATCGTTAATGCAACGAAGTCAAGTGGGAGCTGATGTGGAAGTGGTTGTTAAGAAAAAAAAGGTTGTAGATGGTGTGATGATGTCGTTAGGTTCAAGCGAGATATGGACGTTTCATATCAATGTGGAAGGGGGTCGTTAAGGCGGAGTGAAGGGAGGGTGGCGAGGAGGGAGAGGAAGGGGGGAGAAGGGAGGGGAAGGGATGGAGTGAGGATGAAAGAAGAGAAGAGAGATGATGGAATGGATGAGAAGAAGGGAGGAAAAGAAGGAAAGAAGAAAGAGAAAGAAAAATAAATAGATTGGACGGAGGACAGTAAACAGTACCACACACACATACACACACACCTTGGCAAACCGAACACACGACCAAGTCATTAGAAATGAATAGGTGGAGAAATGATCTGTGGATACAACACAACACAACACAACACAACAGGTAGCAAGGTGAAGAAAAAGACATGGAACAAAAAACGATGAGAACAGGAACCACCGGGGACGGGGGAGAGGCGTTCATTGTTCCCGAAATAGGATCATTCCTAATAGCCTATCCATGAGTGAATGTACGAAGGTACGAAGAAGCATGAAGGAGGAATGCCCACCGTCTGCGCGCCTGATTCCCCGAGAGATACCATACCAGACCACAGACCCACTCGCCCCTCTATGAGAGTTCCATTCCAATGGCGCAAGTGCTCGCAGCCGCCCAGTTTAGCCACTGGCCATGCATTATTGAAGTATTCTCCCTTCCAAGAGACAAACGCGCCGCTGATATTCAGGCACCATCAGGTCCATTTAATGACCGTCGTCGATTCATATATCGCCATTACCCGTCATACCTCCTACTCTTTCTGTTTCTTCACTTTCTGCTGGCTCTTGTTTGACAATGACTTTCTCATTCACACACACAATTAATCTTTCTCATTCGCGCATTCGAATCTTTTCATTCCAAAGGGGGGTTTGAGGGTGATGGCTGCTGCTTATGCGATGATCACAAAAAGAATAAAATAAAGGAGACACAAGGAAAAGAAAGAAGACACTCACTCTGTTTGGGTATTTGTTGGTTCAGGTCCAGTCGAATAATGAAAAGAGAGTTTAAGGTATCGAAAAATATGCAAAAAGGTGATTCGGAAAGTGGTGAAGAAAAAAGGGGGGAAGAAAAGGAAGAGTGCAAAGGCGGAAAAAAAAAGAAGAGGAAAACAAAAACAAATAACAAACAAAGCAGCAAAAAAGACAAGAGAAGTATAAGAGAGGAAGAGAGGGAAAAAAGAAGGAAAGTTAAGTTGCTTTTTGTTAGCTGCTCTACATGATAAAACATCCACCCTCGCTGGGTTGTGTGAGTTGAGTTCGTCGCTAATATTTTTTCTGCGCGCTCTCAATAATATTAATGGTGCCTCTTGCCTGTTTGCCTGACTTCCTTACTCATCCTCCTCCATTTGTAACGGTCATCAATTCTGTGTCTGTGTGCGCCGCCGCGCGCTCAAGAAAACATCAAACAATGCGCCACGCCACTTCTCCTCGCAGTCCAAGGGCAAAGCCTAGTCTTGTCTTTTCCATAGCCTAGCCCAGCAACGATAGTAATTTCCGATCCCTCCTCACTCCTCCTCTTTCATTCTCCCATCACCAACCTCAAGAGCTGAATGAGCGCGAGCAAGTTTGCTCCCCTTCACCCCTGTAGTTGTTCCACTTAGATTGACATTGCCATGATTGCTTTGTCACTTTTTTTGTTGCAGTTTTGATTGTCACCCTTTTTCATTTAATTTGTTCTGCACATCACTCCTAGATCGCGCTTCTTCTCCTCGTCCCGACTCTTTCCTTTCTTCCTTGTAACAGTACCCATGTCTCGATGTATGGTGTATCCCATAACTCAAGCAACGAGAACCTATTCTTGGATAATGGTTCTCCTCATCCTTCATCGCCTTTCTCCACCTGTCCTTTTTTGCCCCTCCTTTCATTTTTGTTTCCTTGCATATACTCTGTCTCGCTATTCTAGACGTCTAGAGTTTTGACCATGTCCAATGTCTTATTTTTATCATCTCATCCTCCTTCAGTGTGACCACCTCGTCTCACGCAGGTTTTTTTTTTTTTTTTTTTTTTTTTCGCGCCCAAGTGTTGCACAAGTAGTTTCTCATACTCAACAGGAATGTTAAAAATAAAATCGCAAATCAATTGACATGGCACTTGCATGGACGCCAGAACCCTAGGGCGCCCAAAAAAAAAAGTAAAAAGAAAAGCTGAGCGTGACAAAAAAAAAAGAACAGAAAAGCCATTGGGCAACCTAGGCATTGTCATTCACGGAGAATTTTGATTCTCCTAGAATTCGCTACCCGTACTCGTACATTTCTTCTGATGATTCAGAAACTAACTTCAGGAAGAAGGGAGGAACGAAAGGATTGGGGAAAAGAAGGTTCATGACAGCACGACAAAAAAACTACTTGCCTTCCTGCAGAGAACAAAAACAGCCTCCTCGACGTTCCTACCTCCCTTGTTTATGTTCCTGTTTTTAGATTTATCCAGAAGAGACAGAGATGGAGAAAGAGAGAGAGAGTGTCTGTGTGGAAAAGGAACACGTTTGTTGGACCAAGTATCCTCCGTCACAGATGAAAACGCGTTGCTTCCTACACCCTTTTTCGGCAAAGAACGCAGATCAACTAAGGACGTCTTTCTTTGCTTCTTTGAAGGCTACATCTCAATCAAAAATGGCTTACTGCTGCTGCCTTCTTTTGCCTGCCTTCCAAAAAAAAAAAAAAAAACATTGCATAGGATGTCAACCCATCATTATAACCACAGACCTCCCAGAACACCACCACCACCACCACCATCCCCACCACCACCGTTATTTTTATCCCATGTACTACTATTATACAGAGCTCACATCGGTCTCAGCTTTACATAATACAGCTCCCTATCTTACGCCTCATTGACCGACCGAGTTCGTTTTGCGAGCAATGACTGTAAATTTTGAAGCGCAGGAATGAGGGTAAAGGTCTAGTCCACTTCATAATTTTCCCTAGTGCTCTCGTTCTCGTTGCTCACACCCTCGTCGCAGAAAGAAAAACGAAAAAAGAAAACGACGGGACAGGTGTCCGACGCGGCTCTCACCTCGATCACACTCTCTTACAAATGATGCTTATTCAACCTACCCACCTAAAATTCTCCAGCAGCTGGACTAGTCCCCTTACCCCCCCAACTAGCACTCTCCCCCCCACCCATAGCTCCTCTTCCTCCGCTTTCCTCCAGCAGAGCACAACCAAAAAATAATAATGCAGAAGCGCACACTCCTCTTCCTCCTTCTCCTGCCTCTCATGTAATATCCATGTCTCGCAAAGCCCTCCTCCTTCCTCCTCCCACCACCCCCTTTCACCCAATTGCATCTCATTTGATTTGATTTCCTCAATTTGATGTCATGGCCATGCTTGTTTTTTTTTTCATGCCTTGTTCTTTGTTTGCAATTGCCTTTTTTTCTTTTTCCTTCTGTTTTTTGCTTATCAAAGCGCCCTGCTTTTTTGTTTATTCTCAATTGTGAGCACACTTTTTTCTTCATACAAAAAAGATCCTTGTCCATCTCCATGTTCACGTCCCCTGACTCCTGTGCATTTCGAAACAGGCCATCGTTCTTTGGCCCGTGTACCATCCTATACATCCTTCATGTCAAATCATGTCAATCATGTCAATCATGCCTTGCGTTGATGTCCGCTAATTAGGGACCCGCATCATCAAAAACCACCACCTTCCTCCTCATACATCTCCTCTTCTCTGCATCCTCCTAATCCTCCTTACATCCTCAAAACCATTGACGCAATGCACATGCATGTTTTTGGTCCATGGTCGTATTTATTGGACATATTTCTGTGTTTTGTTACAAACTATTTCGAAGAAGAAAAGAATAATACAAGATGCTTTTTGAACAAAAAAAGTAAAGAAAAAATGGAAAGGGGGAGAGAAGAAAGAAAAATGAGAGTATTATCACGCGTCAGCCTTGGAAGCAGAGCGAATGGGGGGTTAGAAATGCGAAAAGAGATACAGGAGAGTTAGAGGTGCTTGTTGTGCGCTGGCGCTGGCGTAAAAGCTTGGTGGGTGTTTCTTGCTGTTGCTGTTGCGGTTGGCGTTTGATGTTGTATGATATTTGCTTTTTTTGGGGGGGAAGTGGTTGTTGTTGATTGCGAGCGTGTGTGATATAAATGTGTGTGTATTGTGCAAATGTGTGTGTGTGTGGTGAATGAGTGTGTGATTGATTTCTGACGTCTAAGGTTTGGCAGCCTTGGCGGGGTCCATGCCGGCGGCTTCGAGCAACTGGGCGGTGTATTTGTAGGCGTTGGGGACATCAATGGCGGTATCGGGCAAGAACTCGAGGGGATCAGCAAATCCAGTCTCAAAGTCCTCAGCAGAGACAATCTTCTCCGCGGCAAGCTTCGTGAACACCTCGGCAATGCTGTCAACATCAGCCGCCTTCATCTCCATCGACTGGTTGATAAACTCCGTCACAAGCAAGGGGCGGTAGACAGCATCCAACTCCTTGACGCTGGTCAACATCTCGTTCATATCCTTCAACGAGAGGTACTCCTTGAGTGTATTGGCAATGCTGCGCTGAGCCTCATCCTTGGACTTCTTAGGCGCCTCAGGGGCGGCCTCAGCCTCGGACTTCTCGGAAGCAGCCTCGACAGCAGCCTCGACAGGGGTAGTGCGAGGAAGCAAGTTGAGACGGCGACGCTCAGTGGGCTTCTCAGCATCTACGCTGCCGCGGCGATCACTGGTATCACCCTCCAAAGCACTATTATCAATCGTAAAGTACAATTCGAGTGTTAATTAAACATACAAGATAAATCAAACTAGTGCAACAATCATACAACTCAAAAAGAAAAGAGACTTACGCGAAGATGTTGGTGGAGCTGAGCTGGCGGGGAGCCTCAGGCTGAGGAGCAGCCTTGGCCTCACCACCCTTGGTCTTGCGGAGGGAGCCGAAGACAGACTGGGAGGGTCCGAGACTGGGGGTACCGCTGACCTTGGAGCGAGCAGTGTTACCGAACGACGACAGATCACCGGCCTTCTTGGGCAAGTTGGAAACAGTGGACCAGCCATCCGCACCCACCTGAGGAGCGTTCATGTCGTGACGAGCATCTCCAGAGCCACCACGGAACGAAGGACCACGGCTCAATTGCTCGCGGCGGTTGGGGAGACCACGGGCACCACCAGAGGAGGCGCTGCGGCGCATTATCTCCTTTTCCTTCTCCTCGGCCTGACGGGCAGCCTCCTCGTGAATCGCGGCAATGGTCTTGGGACCAGTGGCGGCACGGCGGTTGACCCAGTTGTTGGCGCGGAGATCGATGACATCCTGAACCATGAAGCGGATACGGCTGGGAAGCTTGAGGTTCTTGGTCAACTCGGTCATGCGGACAAAGTAGATATCCATGAAGCTCTTCGCCGCGGGTCTGTCGAGCTGGAGACCAACAGTGGTCATCAGCTTGCAGAGACCCTCAGTCTCCTCCTCCTCGGGATCCTTGACGTTGGCCAAGAGCTTCTTGACACACTCGTGCATGATCTTCTCGGTCAACATGTTCAACTTGAACAGCTCTCCGATAAAGTGAATGAGACCGAGACCCTGACGCTTGGCCTTCATGAGGACGTAGTACTCGTCGGTCATCAGATCAGGACCGTCTTTGTCGTTCAACGAGACACCGCCAGCGGCAGCCTTGTCCTTCCATCCCTTCATGAAATCCTCCTGACATCTGTGAAGAAGGTACTTGCGGAAGAGCCTTCCTCCGGTCGATCCCTCAACACTCACATCCTTGACCTCGGGAGAGATCTTCTCCATGAGCTTGAAGCACAACTGTGCATAGACGCCTCCAAAGTTGGGCTCGTCGGTGGCCTTCTCAAAAATGATCTGAATGCAGTGCTTCAAAGTAGTACCATCGTCCTCCTTGGAGCTGAGGTTGGCAATTTCGATGACCTTGTCCGAGATGGAATCGAACTTCTCCAAAGTCAACTTGTTCAAGAGACCCTTGACCTTGCGAGCAACAACATCCTGGGAAATAGGCTCCTCGCCGCTGAGGGCAGCAGGGGTCTGGATAGCGTTGACAGTAGGGGTCCAGGCGTTCTCAGTCTTCTCCAGAGGGACGATATCGGCCAAGGGAATGGTGAGAGCGGGCTCCTGGTGTCCACGGTCGCCACCACGTCCTCCTCCGCCACCACGCTTGCCACCACGAGATCCACGCTGGGAAGGAGGGCGGGAGAGGTTGTTGTTACGGGGAAGGAAGTTGTTGTCGCTGGAGGAGCGGTTGATGCGGGTGTCGCCGCTGTGAGTGCGCATACCCATGGGGACGCCGTTGGGGCCACCCAAACCACCCATCTTGTTGCCGAAGCTGAAGGAGCCCATAGGCTGGGCGGGCTTGCCACGGCCATTGGGCATGGCACCACGGGGACCACGCTGGGAGCCACCGGGCGAGGGCATGCCGCGCTCGTGACCATCACCACCCAAGACATCGAGGGAGGGGAGGGAGTCGGGCTTGTCTGTGCAGACGTTCATGAACTGCATCAAGAAGTCTCGGTCGTATCTGAACTTTCCTTGAGCGTCAGTGTTGCCAGGAGACTGGATGTGCGAGGGGTAGCTGACTGCTCCAAAGTTCTCAATGCGGGTCGAGGGGCTGGGGGTAGGGGCAGAGACGGTGCGAGCAAGGTCGACAGAGAGACCAGACTTGACAGAGTCGGGGGTAGCCTTGGCCTCGGCAGCCTCGGCAGCCTCGACAGCAGCCTTCTTCTCGGAGGCGGCAGCCTGCTCCTGCTCCAGCTTGAGCTTATCGGCCAACTTGGCGGTCTCCAAAGCAATGCGACGCTCAGCCTCGAGCTTCTCGGCACGCTCCTTCTCCTTGGCAGCCTCAGCCTCAGCCTCGGCCTTCTCCTTCTCCAAGCGAGCCTTCTCGGCAGCTTCAGCCTTCTCGCGGGCAATGCGCTCTTCTTCCTCCTTGAGCTTGCGCTCGGCCTCGATGCGCTCCTGCTCCTCGCGCTCTTCCTTCTCCTTGCGCTCGCGTTCTTCCTTTACCTTGCGCTCCTTCTCCTCCTGTTCTTCACGGATGCGGCGCTCCTCGGCCTCCTTGGCCTCGCGGATACGGTGTTCTTCGGCCTCCTTGGCCTCGCGCTCGATGCGCTCCTTCTCCTCACGCTCCAGGCGGTCCTTCTCCTCCTTCTCCTTGAGCTCCTTCTCTTCCTTCTCCTTGCGTTCCCGCTCCTCACGCTCCTTCTCGGCAGGGTTGACGATCTTGATGACGTTCTTGACGGGAGGAGGAGTGATGATGCTCTTCTTCTCCTCTTCGGTGGCGGTCTTCACGTCAGCAACGTTGGCCTTGGCAGCCTTGCTGTCGAGAGAGGGAGAAGAGGTGGCCTCGGGCTTGACCTCGGCCTTGGTTTCGGGGTTGATGATAGCAATGCGCTTGGAACCCTGAGCCTGGGGGGTGAAGGCAGGAGCGTTGGTGTTGAAAGGCTGTCTGTTGGCGATAGGCTGACGAGGGGGAGCGCTGTAAGTAGGCATGGCCTGAGTGTACATTTGAGGCTGGTAGTATCCGGATTGATCATAAGCGGGCATGTACTATTAAATGAGCCGGAAGGAAAATTGGTTTCTGATCAGCTGCGGATTCTTTTGTGTGGAGTTTTTCCCAATGTATCAAATGACAATTTACATTACGACCCATTGTGCAGTTCAAAAAAAAAAAAAAAAAAAAAAAAAAAGAGTTGAGACTTACGTATTGGTTATGCCACTGAGGTTGAGAGTGCTGAGGGTGCATGTGGTGACCAGCCTGGGGGTTCATGGGCCTCATGTTCTTGATGGGAGGCTGCTGAGAAGTAAAGCCAGCAGCTCCAGCCTGGGGAACACCCATCGAGGGCATCATAGGAGCCTGAGAGATAGTAGGAGGCACCTGAGCACGGTAGTGGTGCTCGTTGGCATGTGCAGAGTTGGTCGAATCCGTGCGTCTGTGCTGGTTCTGGGAGCCATGTGCAGAGGCGGGCTTGAAGGTGCTGTGGTGAGACTCAGCAGGCACGGGCTGAGTAGGCTCCGAAGCAGGTGCGACAGCGGTCTGATGAGAGAGAAATTACAAAGAATTGGATGGGTTAGGCAAAGACAACATGAAGACCGAGGATGTTTTTGTTTCTTTGAATGAGGGTCATGCCCCTTCCTGCGGGCTTGCACAAAACACAACAGTTGATTTTTATAAAAGTGCGACTCACCTCTTCTGGCTTGTTGCTGGAGATCTTCTTTGTGGCGGTGATGCTTCCAAAAGTCATGGCGTCCTCGGTTGCGGTGGCAACAGGGGTCTCGTCGCTCGAGGCTGCGGGTGCTGATCCTGAAGTCGAGTCGTTGATCGATCCGAACTGAACTGATGTGGCTACAAAGAGAGGATAAACATATCAAAAGAAAAAAGCTTATCAGTCAGATGACGGATAACAACTCGGAAAGAGCGAAGAGTGATAAAGTACTGCTCGACAAAAAAACGATCAACTTACCAGTAGTAGCGGGCTTGGCGGCGGCGGGCTGGCCTTTCACGGCTGCCGCAGCAGTGGGTGCCTGTGATCTTCTGTTGGCACTGTTTGTTGATCGCATTCAGAGAGAGGGCGTGCAAATGGGTTGTAAGGGAAAAACAGGAAAGAGATTATAACAAAGAAAATTAAAGTCAGCGATTAGCTTGTGTCCGGGATCATATGTTATCATCGGTCAGTCCTTCCGTCGGTCTCTGCAGATGCCCTTTCTTGGATACCCAGTCTTTTTGGAGTCTCCCAATAATCATAACAACCCCAAAGGAAGAAAAGAAAATAGTGCGAACGGGCCACCAAAAATATGACAAGACGAACTTCTTGTCATATAGCAAGATCAGAGGTGGTGCCCAGATGAGGGTCCGAGTGGATCTCGCTCATAAAAGCCTGATCATAAAACAGTTGATCTCTGCTGACAGTTGTTGTTCCTCTTGTGAATCCCGCAGTAAACAAACGCATGAAAATCCAAATAGGAGCTCTTGCAGCTGCTATTGTTGTTGGTTGCCCTGTTGTGTCTCCTGTGTATCGGCTGAAGGGTTGTTTCTTCCTGTGTTGTTATTGTTGGCGGCTGGGATGACCATATGAGGCGTGGGTGTGGTGTGTAGATTGGGATCGAGTGGAATACAGCACAGTCGAGTTGACATAATAAAAAGTAGATTGTAATGACCACAGAGATCACAACTTGGCGCAGACACCACACCCACTCACGCTGACTGACGTCTGCGCCGAACAAAGAACAAAAAGAAGAAAAAAACTTTCCGAGTCTAGATCCATGAATCCACGCCAGGGGCCAAGAAAAAGGGTATAGAATAAAAAAAAACCCAACAGATATGCACAAAGAACAACAAGAGCAGAGGAATGAGCTTGTTTTTTTGCAGGTGTGTGTGAACGTACGCATGGTTAGCCTTGGCGGCTACAGCAGAATAGTTGCCATTGGCAGTTGAAGGAGTGGGTGTTGAGGTGGCGGGCTTGGCCGAGGTAGGCTTTGAAGAAGGTGTGGTTGAAGAAGAGGAAGAGTTGTTGACAGCAGCAGCCTGGCTTCCTGAAGACGGCGTCGTGGCAGTCGACGTGGGAGTCTGAGAGGCAGCGGCGGGGGCAGCAGCAGCGGCGGAAGAAGGGTTTGCGGCGGGGGTAGCAGGTGTAGTCGTCGTGGCTGGTTGAGTCGGGGGGTTGGCTTTGTTGGTGTTTTTCTGGGCAGCCGCGGCAAAGCTGATGGGAGGGGTACCGGATGTAGAGTGTTGGGTCGAATTCCTTTTCATAATAGGTGATTTGTTTTAATACATAACCCACGGGGGATGGAGTTACAGTGGGAAGAGGGGAGGGGTGAAGAGGGGAAACGGGTGATGAAAAGAGGGGAGGAGGGGGGGATGGGTGAAGAAAGAAGAAGAGTAAGAAAGAGAGGACGTCTTAAGAAAGAGACTGTGAAAAAAAAAGAGATTTCGAATGACGAAAGCAAAATAAGAAAAAAAAAGGCTATGTTGGTGTGTGTAGCCGTAAGAGGGGTAGGGTTGAACGAATTCAAGTAGAGAGTGGGGGGTGGAGGAAAGAAAAGAGAAAGAGAGGGAGAGAGAGACAGGGAGATTCCTAATAAGTAGAGGAATGAGATCTACGCCTCGCACTGTTGTTGATCAAAGACTTGAGAGAGAGAGAGAGAGAGCGCCTCTTTCATTGCTCCTTGGCCACCCACACGCTCTTCTGAAAGACACAAAGACACGGTGCTAGCACATACAGCGGACGAGCCTATGCAACATGTAACATACAACATATCCGCACTGATGTTAATGATGATGCTTGTTGATGACACCACATTGATGCGAGTTTCGCTTCCCTTCTCTCTTTCCCTCTTTATCCCTGTCCCTATCGCTACCCCAAAGACATGGCAAAGTCAAACCATGCTATTGTTGCTATCACTGCATGCCATCAGACACCAGCTGAGACTATTGTTCAGACCCCTTTTCTTCGCCTTGTTGCCAACACAACTGTGCGCCATGCCACCCCCCTCTCTGTCAAAAAAAAAAAAAAAAAAAAGTCTTTCAAACCCAAAAATGTAAACAACCAGAAAATTCATCAAGGGGCTCGTCCCTTCCTTTTGTTTGTCCTCTTCTGTTTCGTCTCCTTCCCCCCCGCCCTGCAGCCCTGCCAGGATTCTCCCGCAAACAAAAAGAAATATTGCGCCCCTGGTCCATCTACCGCTTGCTTGCTGAACTCCTGTCTCTTGCTGAATACATGTGTCTTCTCCAACAATTCTTTCCCTTTTCTTTCCCCTTACTAATCCACTCGCAATATCCCCCTTCCTTCAACCACGGTTTCCAACCTTCCTTTTTCGCATTCTAAGCTCATATGTTTTATTTTCAAAACAATAATAACAATAAAAGGCGCCAGTCTAGCTTTTACACTTTGCCATAGATACGTTCAAGTTCTTCATCCTCCTCCTGCTCTTTACGCTCCTGGTCATCATGGTATCGATCCCTCTCCCGCTGCTTCAATCCAGCCTCCAAAGCCGGGTTACGCACGTCCATAACCCCCGTCCGACGCAACTTGTCAAACAGATCCAACAATCGTCCTGCCTCTTCTTCCTTTTCTTCCTCTGTCATATCCGCCATCGCCGTCCGGATCGCGGAAGGGTCTGGGTAGTAAGCTCCCGTGATCGGGTTCACAGCTGCCGAGGATGCAGAGGACGTCGACGACATGCGACGGTTCAAGGGCGCCGACTCGATTGTCGTCGACACTGCTGCTGTCCTTGTTGCTGACGACGCCGTCGTATGTGTGGGTGACGTTGCTGCGGCGGAGGTCGCTGCATAGGAAGGTGGGAAGGACGATGAAATCGCAGAAGTGGGAGTTGCAGGTGACAAAGGGCTGGTAGGCGATGCTGAGACCGCTTCTGCAGCAGCTGCGTTCTTCTTGGGCATATCCACCTCCTCACCTTCGCCCTCTTCCTCGTCATCAGAATCAATCCCGCTCACAGAAGCTGGTACGCCCAAGTTTCTATTCATCAAGAATCCTGCAGCGTTACCGTATCCAACATGACGCGTCAACAGCGAGGCTAAAAATTCACACAAAACAAAAAAAGAGGGCGTGTGCATTAGCATGCGCAACCGGCGTGTTGACCATTGGGTACGTACATGAGCCATTTTTTCCCTCTCCCTTCTATTCCTGCAGGCCGTCCGCCCCTGCATAGGAAGATTTTTTGTTTCTGTCTCAGGAAGGGAACACCACTCCAAGACCCCCACTGTGGTTGACTTACGATCCTCGTTGCAGACCACAAACAACAGTTGGCTGACAGTCTCCTTGATCTGAGGGAAACGCGCCGACGTCATTCGTCGAATAAGTCTTGCTGAAAAACTGTCACCCTTTTCCAATGGACGCGATCGATCACTATCATGAAAAGATACAGTATAACCAGGTGTTAGTGTTCGCAGTGCACGAGCGTACATATGTAAAGATCAATATGTCCGTGTCTGGTTCATTTACACGTCGTCGGGCAAGAGCCTGGCCTTCATGGCTTTCCTGCCTTCTCCTCCAGCCGAAGCGATGTTGGTCAGAACAATAACCAAAGGGGGCACAATCTCGTCCAGTTCAGTTCCGTTGCTCATGCCATCAGTCGAGGCCTCGTCGTCCGTGTTCAAAGAGTGCTTGAGGGTATCATCCAGGATCTGGAGCAAGACACTCAACAACGTCGCCTGCTGAGAGCGTGTCACCAACAAAGCAGATGCTGAGATGGGAAAGTTCAGCAGCACATGGATAGCATGCGAGTGTGGGGGTTCCAGTGGGTTGGGATGAGATGTGGGGATCGTAATGATGATCGAAATAATCGTCGGCAGCAGACTACTCAAAATATACGTAACGGAAGAAAGGTTATGCGATTGTCAATCTTTGGCGACATGCCCAACAAGGCAACTACAAGTCATAGTTAATAAAAGAAAGGAAACTGAGTAGAGAGGAGACGGTACCTTTGAAATCGCTTTCCTGAAGCTTCAGCCTTTTGCTCTGCAGTAAAGTCGGCCTCCTCGGGTCTATCGATCTTGGGGTCCCACATCATCAAGTTGAAGAGATACTTCAAAGCCTCGCTCAACACCATCGATTGAGTAAACATGGTGCCATCCGGAGACCTAGCCAGTTGTGTTTTCAGTACCTACAAAAGGACCAAGTGTGTTGGACGCTAAGGGTTAGATAAACATTGATACAAGTGTGCAGTGTCGCGTAGATGGTATAACAACGCGCATATTGAGATGCACTTACGACGCCAACGTTGTTGACTGCCTGATGATGATCTAACAAGCTCCTGACAACTGTAGACGCGTCAATCGTCATCAAAAAGAGGATGCGACTGAACAAAAACTGGGATTCATTTGAAAATTGCGATCGCTAGTAGGAAAAAAGAAAAAAGATTCACGGTAAATATGGTTTCGGAGCACAAGCGGAGCAAATTGAAGAAAAGCGATCGCCCAAAAATAAATAATTCATGATATAGTACCTTGAGCAATACACTACACTGACTGTGTCCTTCCAGTCGTTCAAAGGTTGGTTTTGTTGAGGGCTTGAGAAGGAGTGCGTTGGCCAAACATTTCAGTGCCTCTCTCGAACAAGTCTTGTCAATGTTGGCTTCCGTGGCCTTGTGCAGTCCCGAATGATACATCAACGTGCGGATTCCCTAGTGTTCCAATAAAAAGAAAGGACACGGTCGCGTTCTATAGTTTAGTCTTTGTAAAAGGCAGCTTCATTCCATCATTGGGGGCCATTTCCACCTTGCCATAATATCATAACAAGAGGGTCAAGAATAAAAATCAAGGGGTGGCAGAGGAGAGGGGAGTAGCTCCAGCCATGACTACTAAAAAAAACCAGGGCGTTAGCTCAAAATATAGTGAGCAATGTGAGGGGGAAGGGTAGTCCTCGCACTCAGGGGTTTGACAAAACAACTGGATATTGAGCCGAGGTGGAAAGTGAAGGGGCAAAGCTTCCGAGAACACCACCGCGCAAAGTGCTTTCTGTATCCTGACTGGATGAACCATGCGCCGAAAGGGGGGAGGTCACCATATTGGGTGTAGTCCCTCTTCCTGTTTATTGGCATCCCTCCTGACAAAAAAAAGATCGTTTGGTAGTGAGTGGCGTACCTCTTCAGTGAAGATGCTATCACAGCCTTCTGTCGAGCGACCAAGGGTTTTGAGAGCTTGGATGGCCAATGTGCGCTCTATCAAGCAATTGATGATACGGCAAGTAGTAAGAAGAGTGTTTTAGTCCAAGGCTTCGACTCTCAACCGCCAGTCGCTGTTTAATGGATAAGGGACGGGAAGACATCAGGGTTGGTTCTCACCTCGCTCGTTCCAGTTCCTGGCGACTCCTCCTTCCTTGAGGTCGTGAATAAGGGCGTCCACAGTAGGTTTGCGGTCATCATAATCGACTACAATGCTGCCTATTAGAGGTCGCAACAAAGGTGGAGCAATAGTTGTGTTTTAGTACAAGGAGCTGTAACGAAGTAGTGCGGTGCAGAGCAACTGTTGGTAGGTGGGCGGAGTGAGGGAAGATGTTGACCATGGTGAATGTGCGGGACAGAGAAGGTAGATGGAAGTGCGAAGAGAAGAAAAAGTACCGGTGGCGATGCTATGGAGCATAGAGACGACGTTTTTCCCTGCCGCTCGGTCGTGGATGGAATGGTATGCCATGAGAACAGGGAGGGTTTGGTGTTGGTTGTTGATGGAGTGAAGTGGATGGAGTGTGAAGGAAAAAATAAATCAAAAAAGAGAGGGAAAAACGAGACAGAATAAAGTATCGAGGCGAAATAAAAGAAGGTTGAGACAAATGGCGAGGCGTTGGAAACGAGTGATGGGTGTCACAAGTCAGTCAAAGCACAAGAGTGGGGCGGAAAGGGGGTTTCTTTTTCCTTCTCTCGCGTTCTTTTCATTGTTCGTGTAGTCGTACCTTTTCCTCCCTCCAGTTTCCCCTTCATCCCAGTGCGTATGTTTCCATCTCTTTCGCTCTCGGTTGTGTTTTTTGGATGTTATTTTATTATTAATTAGACATCGCATGATGTTCGGGGTCAAAGCAACCCGCTGTTGTTGTGATCCTCCCGAGCAAGGCTCTGCGTCAGATCTTGGAGCGTAGGCGAAGGGACAGACACAGGGAGAGCAGACAAAGACAGGCCTGGAATAGGTCCTGTTACTCCCTGAATCCGACGAAGAGTCATCTCCTGTTCTTCTAGATGAAGCTGTGCCACCCGGTGCTGCTGCATCTTCAGCACCTGCTGGGCCATCATCAATTGGTTCGAGTAGATTGAGCCCGCATTCGTGATACTACATGGAGTGAAGAAGGAAGGTGAAGAGATGTTAACAGACAGGCTGCAACAAAAAAAATCATACTACGCAAAACCGACTCAATTGTAGGAGTAAAAGAGAGATACATACGTTCCCTGTACGGCCCTTGTCAAAAGCTTCATTGGTCCTGCAATAGAGCTCGGTACATGTGGAGACGGAACGATGGCCACGCTATGGAAAATAGGCGCCTTCAGCATTGTCACCCGAAGAATTTGGTCTATTAGAAAGGAACAAGCAAGGTTAGTAAACAAATTGCTAACAAATAAAAACCACAACAGCCAAGATACAGTGAAGAAAACCACAGCTCGCTCAAATGTTGTTCCCAAGACACTTACTGTTGTCGGCCTTCTTGCCGTTCAGGGTTTCCACCGCGGCAACGCCTGCTGCCTTTCGGGCATACGTCACCTGAGAGAATCCATTCGAGCACACGCATGACTTGATCTCACCAAATCTTGAACAAACCACCTAAAAGAAAGAAAAGGAGTGAGCTGTCATTGCCTTTGCCATAGTCTATAACCAAGAATAGACACCACTACATGAAACAAGACGGTAAAGAACAAATCACTTACCTTCACATCTTCTGCAGTGGTTCCACGATCCAGGTTTTCAATCTCAATGGTAACAGGCCCGTTCACAGCATCCACCTCAACCGGGGCAGCTCCCTTGATCGAAATAAACTGTTCTTCCTCTTCCTGTTTAATTTCCACAATGTCCATATCTCCATCCTCAGACTTTGATGACAATGGGGCGCTGTTGTCCACCGAGCGCGATCCTCTACGATTGTTGCCATGGATATCCTTGCCCTTGCCATTATGGTTATTGTTGTGGTTTTTGTTGCTGCTGCCACCGTTGCTTTGAGACTTTTTGTTGATGTACTTCCGAACATCATCAATGCCCGTCCCAGAGACAGGTGCCGACTCCCTAGTGCTGCTGCTTTTCCTCCTGTCGTCCCAGTTTCCAAGACTCGCAGAAGACGACGGCAATCGAGCTGCATCTCTGCTATTCCAGCGTTGCCTGCTCTCATGACGCCGAGATCCGGAGGGCTCTGGTCGATAGAAGTCGCCCTGCGATGACTTTCCTCCTGCCTTTGAAGCCGCGGGTCTATACGTGTCCGTCCAGGTTCGATGTGAGGTTGAAAGTCGAATCCCGCTTTTTGTTCCTGGTTCATAATTCAAGGAGGTCGATGCGCCGATGTCGTTCCTTGTTGACTTTGAGGTGCGATCATTGTAGACAACTAATTTGATGGGCTCTGTCTTGGGCACATATCCTGAGGTGAAAATGGCAGCGACGGGGGCGTTCCAGGCCTTGTACGTCTCTGAGAACAGTGGGGCCTCCTTGTGCACCGGCCGCTATGGAGTTTTTTATCCCATTGAAAGAGTAGAGGACGAATGTCAGCAGAGAAAAGATTGGGCTGTTACCGCTGCCAAGACTCTGAGGATAACCCCGCAGGAATGTCGAAAAAATGAATGATTCGTTGTTCAGAGTGAAATCTTTCCTGCGCATGCGGCTGCTCAGGAGTGAATGTCTTTCCTAGCGCCGTGAGCGTCCTTGCTGTTTAACTTACTCCGTAGGGCGACTTTGACTTTGAGAGGGTGGTCCGTTTGGGTGACTTGAGGGGAGCCTTGAGGGTTGGCTTCTGGGTGACCTTTTTTGCCTCGAGCTTGTTCAGCTTGATGATGTCGTCTAGACTTTGGTCCATGAGCACCATGCGGGTAAGTTGATCCTGTAGAAAAAGTGCGGTGAGGGAGTAAAAGAAAGGAAAGAGAGGTAAGAAAAGGAGGAAGGGTGAAGTATGAGGTATGATAAGTGAGATAGGGGTATGGGCAAAGAGGGGCAATTAAGGAAGGAGGGAGAGAGGAGAAGTAGAGGGGAGCACATACAGGCAACAACAATGGCAAAAATGAAAAATAGAAAAAAAGAAAACACAGGAGGAGAGGAACGCCGATTGGCTGCTGACGATGGAAACCTTAATATGACTTGATGATGTTCACCAACAAAGCTCAGGCACCACCGCTTCCCTTGCCCCCGCTGGAGCCCAACTGGGACTTGTCTTTGTCGTTTTGTACCACCTGGCCTTCAGACCTTAATCTCATTCATCCATACAAACATTGTCCATTGGTCAATCCAGCCAGAAGTCCTTGTGTACAGCCCTATATCTTATGGGCATATTGCGCAAGGCTGCGCCACCACATGTCTCTTCCAACCGATCGAATATGTATATTCATTCTTCTTCCCTTTCTCTGTATTCTCCCGCATTCCATCACATTCCTCTTCCCTTCCCTACTTTGTAATCCCAGACACTCTTTTCTTTCTCTCACACCCTTTTCTCTCAATCCTGTCCTCCTCCTCCTCCTCCTCCTCCTCCTCCTCCTCCTCCTCCTCCTTCCCCACTCACCAACAGCAACCACAATGCCAAAGACCAAGCGCAATCCATACCTCTCCCCCAAAGAGATCCAATTGACACTCGCAGCACCATTAGTTCCTTTCACACACAACCAGCACTCGCACCCACACCCGCCCTCGCCCTCTATCCCACTACCACAACCACACACACCTACATACACGCCGGCAACTCAGAACCCAGTATCGATCTTTGACATCCCTTTAATCTTTGATCTGATATGCGCTAGTCTCTCCAGCTACGACATTTGGTCATGCATGATGGTCTGCAAGGAGTGGAATTTTCTCTCAAGACCCCATCATTGGCGTTCCATCCACTACACCTACACCAACGTCCTATCCCGCCCTCACGACAAGCGACAGTCTCCCATCGCGGCAACCATGCTAATGCTAAACCAGCTGCAGGAGAACGTCTCCTGGGTTCGGTCCCTCACTCTTGACTTGTCCTGCACTCCCTTACTGGACATGCCCTTCTCTAACCTCGTCTGTTTTCAAATAAACTGTGAGGCACTCTACGAGTCCGAATACCCTGCTGAGGAAGAGCTCAAGGTCGTGGAACTTCTTTGCCGGAACCCTCGACTACAAGAGCTCACCATCAAGAATGCCTGGAAGCTGGTGCGACATTTCGATCATCGAGCTCTCCAGTTTCTTCGCACCTCAAGGCTTCGATTTCTGGACATTGGACATCTGGAGCACTCCAAAGTCGCCATGACACAGGATATCTTAGGTAACTGTCCGGACACACTGGAGGAGCTTCGGCTTGACCTGACGGGTGGCTACAATGGCCTCGACGGCCCACTGCGACTCGATGCACGAGCGGGTGCTACCCCACGGACACTGCCCAGCCTCCGCCTCCTCTCCGTGAGTTGTCCAAGACTCGACACCCAGCTGGAGATTGTTGTGTGCTACTTGATCCAGTCTTGTCCAAGCCTACAAAAACTGAATCTGAACCAACTACGCCTGCAGACCCAGATGACGACATCCAACATCTTTGGTGCCATTATCGACAGCTGCCCTGCTCTCACCTCGCTCGATATGGGTCGCACGGAAATCTCGGGGATCGACATGCTCGCCTTTATCGGACGGTATTCAAAAATACGTAGCCTCCAAATGTGCATCCAGCCTGATCGTCTGAGGGGCGTCATCCGCAGTCTTTCCCGACGATACAATTCCACCCTGCAGGTGCTCCGCATCAACACCAACAATCTTCCTCCGAATAACCATGGATTCATTTCCATGATCCTGAGTCACTGTTCTGCCCTCAAGACACTTTCCCTCGACCAAGATCTATCAAGTAGTCCAGGAGTAGACCTTAAAGATCTTCTCGCCGTCAAATGGGCGACCACCAGTCTTGAGAGTCTCTACCTGCCCATGCGCGCACCAGTCCTTGATAAGGGTCGCTTCTTGGAAGAGTGGAGACGAGATCGATGCACGTATCTTGGTCATGGCAACATCGAGCCTGAGAGCGCCATTGCGAGCTTCTACAGCCAAGTGCTTTTGGTGAAGCAGTTCTGTGAGACACTCCAGGCGCAGCCTAACCTGAGGAGCATACAACTGAAGTGGAGAAACGGATGGCTCGTGATACCTCTGGAGTTTGCCGAGGAATGTACCAATGGGTACTTGACAATCGAGAGACTGAGTTGGATGACCCTCTACCTTAGTCCACTCTACGTGATTGACAAGTTGGTTCGGGCGGCTGCGAAGAAGCAGGAGGAGGAAGACGAAGAGGCCAAGCTCAAGGAGAAGTTGAAATCTTGCAACATATCCGTCGTCTATGTCCGCCGACCACTATTGCTTCACGCGGAGGGCGAGGAGAGGGAGGAGGTAGAAGAAGAAGAGAGTAACAATGATAGTTTGGACCTACTATCGTCTTGGACGCCCGAGGACCAGGAATACTCGGCCTACAAGTCGCGTCGAAATCGAGTAAGAGCCCACCGGGAGATGAACAAACAAAAGCAAGAAAAAAAATAAAAATCGCGTGTCGGAGCACGAGACAGTCACTCATTTGTAGGTGCTTATGTTAGTCGACATCTATTTGTTGTTTGGGTTCCCTTCTCCTCTTTGTGTCCAGCACCCCCTTGTTCATGAACACTACATTCCCACGCTCCGGCATGCAGACAAGGCGACGACAAACGCAAGTCGCCAAAGCCGACCCCGAATCTCACACCGCATCTTCGGTAGACCAAGTCATGCGTGACGACACCATCGCGGAATCAACAAAAGAAGATGAACCCATGGAAGAGGCCGTGGCGTCGGTACCTAAACTCCCGGTGACCCCGGTGAAGACTCGGAGGAGGCTTTCGGAAACCAAACGTGCGGCAGCAAGCCCGAAGAGAGCGAAAGTAAAAGCAACTGCGGCTGGGTCGTCACCTTCTTCGATGCTGCCGAGGTATTCTCGGCCGATGGAAATCCCACACTCGGCTATATTGACACAAGTCGTCTGGGTCTTTGATGACAAGTACCAGTGGTGGCCAGGGAAGGTAAGGGCACATCGTTCTGAGGAAAAGAACTTATTTGTCATTCTTCCGTTAGACAAAGTATTTTCAACCTTCTAATTCTTGTTCTTTGCTTCATAGATTAAGCCATATCCTCCTCAGAACAATCAAGCTAAAGTAACGAGGTTTGGTAGCGTCAAGCCAAAGTACGTTCGATCCAATTAACATTTTTCCAGTTTTGGCCGCATCGAAATGGAAATCTCACCAAATGGCCCTAACTCTTTGGTTCAAATCACATAATCTCCAAACATAGGACAATCACAGTGGAGTGTGTAGAGACAAGTATCTTGCCGTTTGAACACGTTTCAAAGGAGCGGTTCCGACAGTCTGGCTCGATGTCGTCGCATGTCCGTGCGTTCCAGGATGCATACAAGGAGGCAAGCGCTGAGCAACTCCAGGACGATGATGGTCTGCCGAGCATGGACGATGTGTTCAGTCAACTGTCAGCACTTCCGCCAACGTCCAATTCACCCAGCCTGAAGGACACAGTCTGTCAAAAAACGTACGCACGGCACTTGAATCTCATAGAACAAAGGAACCCTTTACGCCACCAACAATTATTTACATATATCATTCTTTTGACTCCTCGGGATTAAATAGGACAAACCCAGTTATTGAATATGTCCCGGACCCAAGGTGAGGACATCAATAGGCAGTTATTGCTAACCACCAAGTGGAAAGATTGGATAAGATGCTAATGGTACTTCATCATTTTTGCCTCACAGCTTGACGATACCCGGAGAGTTACTTCTTGCACAGGCTGAGCGGGGACATTATTATCCAGGACGCATTGAGTCTTTCAACAGCAAGACAAACAAATACAAGGTACTTTGCCGAGCGGTCGTTTTCCGTGAGTAGATCTGCAGGAGACGACTTGCGGTGCTAACAATGGCGATTGTATTTCGGCTCCCAATAGATCGAACTGGCAACTGGACACTACCCTTCTCTCGAGAGAAAACGGTTCTACACGAGATACCAAAAGGAGTTTCTGACGTGTCAGGTACACCCTATTGCAGTTGCGTTTAAAAACATTGTCAAACAAGCTGTGTTGTGAATATCATGCGCTAATATCAACTTTGTGCCCGTGTAATCTTAGCTAGGTGAAATGACAATGGCCGAGGTGGATGAAAACTATGAGGATACAGAGCTCGAGTCAGAAGTCGTTGATCTATACCCTACACTCTATGCGATTGTTGCAGGAACTTACGACGAAGCAGGGCGGTTGAAGGCCTTTCTCCAAGGAGGAAACGCCAGGAACCAATTGGCGCGGAGAGTCGGCCCTGGCGACTTTACTCAGAATCAGTACATGTTGCTCAGCCGGATTCTTCAATCAGAGTTCCTGCCAGATTTAAACACCACCAAGCGGATATCCAGGTTAATGGAGTATAGTCCGTCTGCAGCAGGGACAGAGACAGGAGGAGAAGGAGGATTTTCTCCTATGAAACGCGACGGAGATGTTACGTTTGCATATTCAGGGATCAAGCGGGTGCAATTTGTGACGGAAGTGCTTCTTCCCGAGACTGTGACGCGTCTGACGATGCGGCGGAAGGGTATGTCGTATGCGGAAGCCGACAAGGATGTGTTCAAGGCTGTTCGGTCGCGCAACACGGATCACTATTGGGTTGAAGACATCCTTGCTGCAAGGGAGTCTTTTCTTGACGGCACTACAGTGTGATCATGCCATCCGCATTTTGATTAAATTTCATTGGCTGTCGCTTTGTGCTTGAATTGCAGGGACCACTTTTTCTTCTTCGTCTTTCAGTCTTCCACCTTTCTCCTTCTTTCAACCCCTCTATCTCATTCACATCACCGGCACCATTACCACCATTACCACCACCAACTACCACCACCAACTACCACCACCAACTACAACAACTTCAATGGATGCCTCTGCTCGCTCGCTACTCTTAGACCTCATGGCAAAGTCCAAGAAGGGCCTCTCGTTCGCAGAACAACTGTGCAGTCAGGCTCACGACGAACTGGATGCATGTCAGGGACACTCTACCGAAATCGAAAAGATCTTTTCCAAACTCTGCTTCGTCTCTCGGCAAATAAAAGTCCAGATTACGGTACTCTGTCACTCCATTCATTCACTTGCTTTCGGGAATGTGTTCGGTAGCTGAGGCAACCTTGGGATACTCATGTGAGAGTTGAAAGGACTGTGGACTAATACCATATGGACATTTCTCCACTTTTGGGGCTCCGCTTGGGTTGGGTTGCGTATGATAGACAGTCGAGTCGTTGCTGAGGATAGGACGTTCACGCCTCAGCGAGCTGTGGACTGCTTCCAAGGTAAAAAGAGAACGACGCTATCTATGTTCATGTAACAATTGAGTCATATCTCTGCAATTGACCACGCTTGAAGACAGAAAGAATAAGACAAGCAATTGCACACGTATGTTAGGATCTGCAAAGGGACCTGAAGAGCGTCTCAGTCCGGATGGAGCTTGCCCTTCGAGCACTCAAAGGCAGACAGGTCGATCCCGAAATTCAAATACCACACCCAGACAACAACAACAACAACAACAACAACAACAACAACAACAGCAACAAGAGGAATAACGACCTAGAAGGAACAACACCAGGAACTGCGAGCGATGATGTCACGACCACTGCGCCACCAAAGGCAACGGTTCTGTTTGACTTTCTGGACGAAGTCAGTCTACAGCGGTTACAGCAGGAATCTACAGAACGAATCCAACGGATCCAATCGACGACGCAGCGGCTTCAGGAGCTGGTGATTCATTTCGGTAACCAGCGGACAGAGTTCAAGGGGTATATGACGAACGCCATCACGTTGGATGAGTCGGCGTTGTCGTTTGCGAGGGAGAAGATGCATTTGCAGGAGCAGCAGACAACTACTATGGCAGAGCTGTTGGTTTCGTTGGCGAAGCATTATGACCAAGTCGTCCAAGTTTTGACGTGAGTATCTTTCGAGTTTGATTGGGTTGATGTGGGTGGTCAGGATTGTTGGCTAACATATCGATGTATTTGTTGTGATATTCTTAGAGCGGACATCCATCCAACGGACGAGGAGCTGGAACGTAAGGACCACTTCGCGCGCCGTTGATTGTATTTCTGGACTAATGGCAGGCAATTTTAGGTCCTTGAGTCAAACCTCACATTTCATTCTTACCTTGTTTCATATAGTGCTGAGGAACGACACGGATGAGGTGCCGATTGTGATGGAAGAACTGGAAGAGTCCTTGGCGCTTGTGCAGGCCACCACGTAAGACGCCACCTGTTTAACAGACAGCTTGTTGCGACACATTAGCATGCCTTCTCATGACCAACACACTGATCCCTTTTCTTTGCATTGTGCGTTATAGCGAGGAAGTTGGGGTGCGGGAACACTTATACACGACGGCATACGAAGAAGCGCTGGGGTTCTTCAAGAAGATTGAAGCACTGGAACCAGACCTTGTTGAGCTGGTCGATACATTTCGGTTGGCCGAGGGACTGGAAGATGACTTTAACGCCACCGAGAAGCTCATCGGAGAGATCAATAGCCTTGCTATCTGGTATGTTCCCGGTTGTTTAATGTGTGCTTTCAGGATGTTGATTGTTCAAAGAATGGCGTCAAAGCACTCATATGAAAAACGACTGGCTTATTGAAATAGGTACGAAGAGTTCCACAACTCTTATGGGGCATTGATGGTGGAGATTGTGAGGCGACATCAGGCGCACCAGAATCAGGAGAGAATCGTCGCAGACTTTATGCAAAAGATGCAGGCGAGCTACAACGATGAGATGAGTCAAAGAGCTGTCTTTTCTGAGCGACACGGAAAGTTCTTGCCTGTGGATTTGTGCCCGACTTTTGCTGTAAGTGACCGACTACAGCAACCTTTTTTTTTTTGTGTATATGTCAAATTGTCAATGAGCTAATTGAAGTTTGATTGTAACATATTTGTTCAACTTCTTCTTCCGTAGGACATGCCACCACAATATGAGGTATTGACACACGGAGAATGGACGCTGCCTATGCCGACACGGGCGACGCTGCAGCTCGTAGAAAGCCATTTGGGCAAATTAGAATAAAGAATGGTGCAAGTCGCGACTGGTGTGAACAGTCACGGTTGTTTGTTGATAGAACGCGCTTAAATTAACATGGTGGCAAAAGGGGACGAGACTGTTGCAGAACCTCGACTGGCCATCGTTTTGTTTCTTTCATTCCCCACACTCTACCAAAACCATCGACCCTCCTCCCTCCCTCATGTATATCAAGCAGGTATGAGGGTCAGGGAACTATATCAAGACACAGGAGCGAAGGACGCAGAGCAGGAGAATAGAGTGTAACTCATTAGGTTTCGGTTTTGCTTTTGCACTTTTTTGTGAATGTAGATCATCATTCAGGGCTTCAAGTCCTACAAGAATCAGACGGTCATCGAGCCCTTCAGTGGAGAGCATAATGTCATTGGTACGCTAAGGAGACAAACTTCTGAATAACTTGTGGTTACCGTGTGGCGCATCCTTTACTGACTCTCCTTTCTTTTCCTCATTCCAGTCGGACGGAATGGTTCTGGCAAGAGTAACTTCTTTGCAGGTATGACCAAAACATTTTGCCAATTTTTTTTTTCTTTTGCTGAAAGTATGACCCTTTGAACTATCTTGAGCTAACCCTGTAACTGTTGTTCACTTTCTGATAGCGATTCGATTTGTTTTGAGTGATGCTTACACCAGCATGGGCCGCGAGGAGCGCCAGTCCCTTCTTCATGTAAGCAGATTCTTGTCTAGCAGCAATACTTTTACATTGCCACTTTACGCCACCAATTTTTGGGATTTGATTTTATTGACTAAACGCCTTTTCATTTTCGTTTTTATTCCAAATCATAGGAAGGATCGGGAGAGGCGACCATGTCAGCATATGTTGAAATCATCTTTGATAACAGCGACAACCGTTTTCCTGTATGTTGGACTCTTCGTTGTACTTTTGAGTATTGTCGACAAGGATGGCTTGTAAAAGGGAATGAATACAGGGGCTAATGGTATTCTCTCTCGATTGTGATAGACTGGACGGGATGAGCTTGTGATGCGTCGCACGATTGGACTCAAGAAGGATGAATACTCCATGGATAAGAAAAGTGCAACGTAAGTGCAGCTGAATCTATTTGTTTTATAGCCTTTTGGCGATCGATTATTGGAGCATGGAACACTCACGAGATATGCCCTTTTACTTTGTCCACTTTTAGCAAGGCAGATGTGATGAACATGCTGGAAAGTGCAGGATTCTCTCGCTCCAACCCATACTACATCGTCCCTCAAGGAAGAGTATGTCCTATGACCACCGTCGACTTTGACCAGACATTGGAAGCTGAGGATAGCAAAACTGGTTGAACTGATAGAGAAATAATTTACTCCGCCGTATTAGATCACATCACTCACAAACGCCAAGGACAACGAAAGATTACAACTGCTCAAGGAGGTCGCCGGTACCCGTGTGTATGAGACACGCAGACAGGAGAGTTTGAAGATCATTACCGAGACTGGTAAGGATTGCTCATTATTCTTTGATATTCGTGTCTGGATATGTGCATTAGGACTTTGAGGAGCAAAGACTAACACTTCGTTGGCGCACTGTCAAATATCAATTAGATTCCAAAAGGAAGAACATTGAAGAGCTCTTGACATATATTGAGCAGCGCCTCGAGGAGCTGGAGGAGGAAAAGGAAGAGCTCAAGTTATACCAGGAGCATGACAGACGCCGCCGGTGTCTTGAATACACAATCTATAGCCGCGAGCAAAAGGATGTCACTGAGGCTTTGGAAGAGGTAAGACTACCGTTCATTATATTAATACTATATGAGTTTAGAGTGACGAGGCTTATTTAGCCACAACCTAATATACTTTTGTCACTGCGGATATAGATGGAGGCGGGTCATAGACAGGAACTCGACGGATCTAATCAGCAGCTAAAGGATCTTGAGGACAAAGAGGCACGTATCAGCCGGTTGGAAGCCGAGATCGTGGAGCAGAGGCAGAACATCGAATTGTTGCAGACCGAAAAGAGACAGTTGGGTCATGAATTGGAATCGGCGATCAAGGTCAAGGCACAGATCGAGCTCCGCATCAAGGATCACGAGGAGAACGTCGAGATGAGTACAGAGACCAAGCGACGTAACCAGGAAGAGCTGACTGTCATTGAGCGGGAGATTGAGGCCAAAGAGCAGGAACTCTTGCAGGTGGTCCCTGAATTCCAGAACCGTGAAGCCGAGGAACGTCAGCTTCGCGAAGAGTAAGTCCGCATGGCACCTCACAGCTGTATTCCAAGACTATGGCGTTTTTAGTTTCTGATCTTTGTGCTAACGTGGTATGTTTTATACTATACGCTAGACTTGAGCAGACAGACTTGCAGAGACAGGCCCTTTATTCCAAGCAGGGACGATCTGGACAGTTCCAGTCCAAAGCACAGCGTGACGAGTGGATCCGCAAGGAGATGAGCGATATTCAACAAGCTTTAAAAGTTCAGACAGCACAGAGCACCCAGGCAGAATCTGATCTCCAGACATCGAGGACCCAGTTGGTACAGGCAACAGAAAAGATCAAGAATGTGAGGGAACAGGAGATGGCCAGGAGGAGCGAGAGTGAGGCACTTTCTGCAGAGTTGATGACATTAAAGGCCGAGCGAGACAAGCTCACGGATCAAAGAAAGTAAGTTCACGTGTAACGGTTTTCCTTATGCGCAAACCTTTTTATAACATCGCCGAGGTGGTGAAACGCAATTATGTGCTTACGAGTACTTCAACGACAACTTTTAGGGACCTGTGGCGCGAGGATGCAAAGATGGACTCGATCCTGAACAACCTTCGGGAAGAGCACCGCAAGTCCGAGAGAATGCTGGGCGCTTCGATGGACAAAAACACCAGCGCAGGATTGGCAGCCGTCAACCATATTACTAAGACCTTGAACCTGACTGGTGTTTATGGTCCTCTCTATGAGCTCTTTGATGTCGAGGACGAGTACGATACCGCCGTCAACATGATTGCAGGAGCCAGTTTGTTCCATGTCGTTGTAGATACTGATGAGACTGCCTCGCGTGCTCTCGAGGCCTTGAACAAGGAGAGGGCTGGACGCGTTACGTTTATGCCTCTCAATCGCCTGAACCCTCAAGCCTCGACCTACCCGGAGGCAAACGATGCCATCCCCATGATTAAGAAGCTGAACTTTGACCCCAAGTACAGCAAGGCTTTTGAGCAAGTCTTTGGACGCGCATTGATCTGTCGCACATTGGAGATTGCTGCCACCTACTCAAGGAGCTACAATCTCAACGGAATCACACTTGACGGCGACCGTGTCGATCGCAAGGGAGCTCTCACAGGAGGATACCAGGACACCCGTAACTCTAGATTGAGCTCGATCAAAACCATCAAGTCTTACAACCTCAAGTATAACGCGGCTACGGAGCGAGGCCAGGTAGTCAAGGCGGAGATAGCCAGCCTCGACCAAAGAATTACAACGCTCTTGAACAGGATTCAGCTCATTGAGGTGCGCAGGAAGCAATTGGCCGACAAGCGGGATGAGAACGCGGCAGAGTACAGGGCACTTGTGAAGGATGAGACTGCACTGAAGGAGTCTGTGGAGGCCAAGGAGAAAACCCTTCGCGATATTCAAGCTGATCTCAAGACTTTGCAGACGCAGCTTCAGGTGCTTGATGACGAATCGAAATCGGAGATGGTTCAAGCTCTGTCGACTGCTGAGCACCGACTCTTAGGCGAGCTCATTGCCAAGGCCGATAACCTCAAGGAGCGTCTATCGGTGTTGACCAGCGAGCGATCAAAGGTACTTTACTTGAAAGTGGTGATTTATGTTTGTTGGCACAGCGGTTCAGGTGGGATTGCCAGCTTATTAAATAACGTCAACCATTCAATTTGCATTAGCTTGGAACTCGCAAGAACATTTTGGAGATCACACTCGGCTCCAACCTCCGGCCGCGTCTGGAGGAGCTTCGTGACAAGATTGAGCACGGCAACATCTTGAATGATGAGGGACTCGAGAAGCGCCGTCAGGATTTAGCTATTATCCGGAAAACTCTGGATGAAATCAAGGGTCGCACTCAAGGTATGTCAAGTTACAGCAGTTTTCATTTATTATTTTGTTGTGAGATCAAAGTCGCGCTCCGAGAGGTAGAACTAACGTCGACTTGCATCGTGTTTTGTTTCCTGTGTAGAAATCGATGATGAGCTGGAAAGGGTCGAGAAGGATGTTACAGATAGGGAGTCATCACTGGAGAAGGCGCGGGTAAGTTGCTTTTTGTCAGAGCTGGACAGCGTGCCAAAATGTCCAAGCGAGCAGACAGACTGATATTGGTGGACTTTTTTTTTGTTGCATCTTGTGCACTAGACGGAACAACAGGATGAGTCTCGCCAGATGCGCAGGTCTTTCAAAGGTGCCGAGAAGTATGTCTCGAGAAGGAACCTTTTGCTCCGCAAGAAGGAAGACTGCATCAAGAACATTCGTGAGCTCGGAGTCCTTCCCGAGGAGGCCTTTGAAAAGTACAAGAACACCCAATCGCAGAAGGTATAGCACTCATTCATAAGTAACACATCCCCGTGAAAATCTTGTCATTAAGTTGCTTGTGCCCAAACTGACAATATATACCCCTCCATTCCTCGTGTCGCGTAGCTGTTGAAATACATCCACAGGGTCAACGAGGAGCTGAAAAAGTACAGCCATGTCAACAAGAAGGCGTTTGAGCAGTACAGCAACTTTACCAAGCAGCGGGACGCGTTGCTTCAGCGCAGGGATGAACTGGACGTGTCCGAGGCTGCGATTCAGGAGCTGATCCAGACTCTTGATCAGCGCAAGGATGAGGCTATTGAGCGGACGTTCAAGCAAGTCGCCAAGAACTTTTCTGAAGTATTCCTCAAGCTGGTTCCAGCTGGACGCGGAAAGTTGATCATGCAGCGCAAAATAGACCAGGTATGTCCCTCTCATTTTTGTACGCGTGCACTATTGGAACGACGCCTGAATGGGTGTACTCATTGACGAATGTCTCACATTCTATGTATTGACCTTGATAGACGCCAGATGGAGATGAGGAAGAGGATGATCATGAGACTTCGGCGATAGACAACTACACGGGAATCGCGATCCAGGTCTCTTTCAACAGCAAGATGAACGAGGGTCTGAGAATGCAGCAACTCTCGGGAGGTCAAAAGTCACTGGTCGCATTGACACTGATCTTTGCTATCCAACAATGCGACCCCGCACCGTTTTACCTGTTTGACGAGATTGATGCCAATCTGGATGCGGCCCACCGGACAGCAGTTGCGGCGATGATCCATTCTCTGTCGGAGCATGCACAGTTTATTACGACAACATTCCGACCAGAGATGTTGGCTAACGCGGATAAGTTCTATGGAGTGACCTTCCAGAATAAGGTGTCACTCGTCAATGCGATTACTAAGGAGGATGCGCTGGACTTTGTTGAGCAAGAGCAGGCTCGTTAGAAGTATGTGGCATTGGCGGAAAGTGAATAAATTCGTAATACGATGAGTTCCAGGTAGTGAAAATAGCCGCAGGCAGTTCAACAGATTGCTCAACAAGATGATGTTGTAGCGAAGGGAGGTCGTTCACATTAGTACAATGAGAGGTTGGTGACATGGTATCATTGATAACATGTAAGGTGGTGCACACTACTGCAAGTGCTTGTTGCGAGGGCGTCGACATGGGCGTCTTGTGGATGTTCTGTTAACCCGTGCTATTAAGAAAATAATAATCTTGTTTTTGGTGGCGGGGATTTTCTAGTGGTTCTCAATTGAGCCATGGCTCATTTTTTCCCCCCTTTTGTTGTATTCTCCGTTGCACCTTTTTTCTATTTCCTCTTACCATACTGTACTTCACAGTCGACGATCCATGACTTATTGAATTCAACACCCCACACATACACGCGTTCTCCCAACATTCAATGCCTCCAGAGAACAAGCAATCCTTCTCACCCGACCACCACAATACCAGAACAACGACAACTCCCTCACGATCCTCTCTAGCCTGCAAGAACAATAGCAATTCGCTACCGACATTGTTTTCGGTCCTCGCCTCAGAACCATTACGACAACACATTGCGATCCTTACAATGGACCCCTCACCACCGACGATTGTGCACATCACTGCAAGGACTCCTATACCAGACGACCACAACGACGTGGTGGCGGTACCAGAGTTAGAAGCATTGGTAGCATTACAGGAGGAGGAAGAGGAAGTAGTGGAGGAGAAAGAAGAGGAAGTAGTAGAGGAGAAGGTGAAAGAAGAACAAGAAGAACAAGAAGAAGAGGAACAGGACACCGCGCATGAGATGTCGGATTCGTCCAGCTCAACGGTTCAGTCATCACCCAAGATCAAGGAGGAAGCGATGTCGCAGTTGGTCAAGAAAGAGCGAGAGTGGAGTGTGACTATAGAGCTACCAACACCGCCGACGACGACGACGGTAACGGAAGCAGCATCAATAGTAGGAAGTGGAAGTGGAGGAGTGAGAGTCGAACTGGAAGCGCAGGACGGGTCTTCTGGAAATCATGCTCCTATCAAAACAGAGCCGAGACAGGACCCTCGCTTGTCCTCCCAATCCACTGGTACAAGACTCGTATTATTCCTTTCGTTATTAATTATTTACAACAGACGAATTGAGTTTCAATGACGCTCCTGCTAATGGTTTTTTTTTCGCGTTACGTTGTCTGTAATTTTAGATGAAGAGGAAGGAGGAGGGGCAGCAGACGAGTCGTTTATGAGTGAGGACCAGCCATTGGCCTCGCAGCGTTCAGAACTGGGTGAGTACCTGTCGGCAGAACTCTTTGGGAGCGGTCTTTCGCTCGATGGTGGTTCAACGCCTGTAAAGATAAAGAAGGAATTTTCACGGACACGGAGCGATCAGGATATGCGGTTACGATCCCCGGCTTCACCACTCATGTCGCCCTCATCATCGACAGCGGCGGGGATAATGTCTACACAAACAGCAGCAGCAAAGTACAAGACTAAGACTATCACAATCACCAAGAAGATTGTCGTTATCGATTTGGACGACAGTGATGACGACGGCGGTTGCGGCAGCGATGATGGTGCCGCACAAACACAGACAGGAGAACAGGAAGCAGGAGACGTCCGTGCAGCGATGGAGCTAGTTGAGGATGAGGACATGAACACGACGGAACCATCTATGCCATCGCACCGGGCTACACCTTCAGCAACAGTGCTCGGTAAACGCGTTGCAGATTCACAACACGTTGACGACTTGAGCCTAGCCGATGAGAGACTGCCGAAGCGACAAACAACTTCAGGATCATCTCTGACCTGTCCGGTGGAGTTGTTGGATAGTGATTCAGAGGATGAGTGGAGTCGTCAGGACTTGACGTTTGTTGGTTCAAATCGTGGGTGGTCATCGGCGGCAGCAGCACCTGCAAGGTCAGGATCGAGTTCAGGACTAGGGTCAGGATCGGGAGTATCGCTGCGAGGGCCTCAAGCTATCCTGAGGAGGGAATTGACTGAGTCAGATCCGAGACAGGAGGCACCGTCGCTTTCACAACAGATCAGGTCGTATCAGCTACTGCAGCGCGAACGATTCGTAACGAGCCAGATAGCAGCAAAGCGCCAGCAGACTCCTACTGCAGCTCCACCGGCACCACGCCAGCAAACTCTTGTTGCGGCTTCATCGGCACCACGACAGCAAACCTCGGCTGCAGTTTCGCCGCCATCACACCAGAAGGTTCCAACTACAGCTCCACCGGCATCGCGTCAGCATACTCCGATTGTAGCTCCATCAGCTTCACGCCATAAGGCCTCAGTTTCAGTTCCACCAGCACCATGCCAGAAGAATTCAGCAGCAGCCCCGCGGGTACCCACTCATCAACCAGCAACTTCAAGGGTCTCCCAGGCGCCTGAGCCACATGGCGCAAATATTGAGTCCCCGCCACATTATCAACACAACTCTGACGACAACATGGAGGAAGGACTTCCACCGGCGTATGCTGTTCGTGGACCAAGACCTCTCGAGACGGACTACCCAGCCCATATGACAAAGGACGGATTCGAGCTGACAGAAACACAACAATACGTGCTGGACCAAGTCATCAACAAGCGGCAGAACGTGTTCTTTACAGGATCTGCAGGAACAGGAAAATCGGTGCTATTGCGAGAGCTCATACTGCGGCTACGGGCCAAACACAGTCGCTGGAGACAGACCAACGAAGATTGGGACGTCCTTGCAGCCGGGCATGTTGCAGTCACGGCATCGACAGGTATTGCGGCCTGCAATATTCGTGGGTGTACACTCCACTCTTTTGCTGGTATCGGACTCGGCGCGGAACCCATTGAGAAGCTGTGCTATAAGGTTCAGAACAACAAAGGTGCAAACAACCGGTGGAAGTCGACGGCCGTCTTGGTGATCGATGAGGTCTCGATGATCAGTGCAGAGTTGTTGGACTTGATCGAGCAATTGGCTCGCTTCATTAGGAACGACAAGAGACCATGGGGCGGGATCCAGGTTGTGCTGGTTGGCGATTTCTTCCAGCTGCCGCCGGTCGAGAGAGGCAAGGAACCGCGGTTTTGCTTCGAGGCGGATGCTTGGAGTACGATTGATCAGTGTATTCAGTTGCAGAAAGTCTTTCGACAGCGTGATCATGGTATGTACTTGCTTTATTGTTTTACGCTTACTCTAGGCGACCTTGAAGTACGTCTTCTCATGAACTGACTATTTTTTCTTCTCTTCATTTCTGTTTGACCTTAGTGTTCGTGGACGCGCTGAATCAGCTTCGAGTCGGGATATTAGCACCTTCAACCCTCAAGGTATTCCATAATTTATTCAGGCCTGTTCCGGAAGGTGACGGTATCAAGCCCACAGAACTGTAAGCGAGACTACAACGATCACGTCGCTGATGCTTAGTTTTGTAATGTCAAGTGCAAATTATCCAGGTTAACCAATACCTTGACTGCCTTTTGTATATGATAGGTTTCCGCTCAGGAAACAGGTTGAAGAGTCGAACGCATCGATGCTTGTGAAGCTGCCAGGAGAATCCCATTTCTATGTTGCTCAGGACAGTGGAATGATGGCCGCTAAGATGGAACACAATTGTATGGCGCCAACAAAACTGGAACTCAAAGTCAATGCCCAAGTCATGTTGCTCAAGAACCAGAGCGGCGGATCGTCGGGGCTGGTCAATGGGAGTGTTGGAGTCGTCATCGAGATGACTACACAAGCTGCCACAAATGTCCGGACGAGTAAGGATGGGGAAGCGTTGCCCTCACTCAACACACCTGGGGAGCTCTTGCCAAAAGTCCGGTTTATGCATGACTCTGGAGGGCACACGGATATGGTTCTGGGGAGGGAAGAGTGGACAGTCGAGGCGCCCACGACTAGGAGGGTTCAAAACAACGCGGAGGAGTTTACCACAGAAATTCTAGGTCGTCGTATCCAGATCCCCTTGTGTCTCGCCTGGGCCATGAGCATCCACAAGAGTCAGGGCCAGACGTTGTCAAAAGTCAAGGTCGATCTTGGTAGAGTCTTTGAGAAAGGTATGGCATTGGGCTTTTGACATTCGATCGTTTCTTTTGCTCTTTGTTTCCTTCAGGCAACGCGTACTTTCCTTGGCATTCGATCGGAGTAACATATGTCGTTAATAATTAATCGTTTTTTTGGGGGGACGGGTATTTGCGTGCGCGTCTGTTTGTCTTTGATTCTGGAACATATCTGTAGGTCAAGCATACGTAGCATTGTCGAGAGCCACTTCTTTGGAAGGATTGCAGGTCACCCACTTTGACGCGCGGAAAGTTCTTGTTCACCAAAAGGTCATCAACTTTTATGAACAGATTGGAGGTGTCCCTTTCGGCCCATGATGACCCTCCCTCGCCTTTTGATTCGACATTTTTTTTTTCGCAGCCGCTCCTTTCGTGCACGTCTGCAAAGCAGAGATGTCGGATTTTGTATATATATACTCTATCACTTGCATATCAATATACCTTAGTATCACCTTGATGCACAATCGTCCGTTGGCTTTTGGCATGTACATGTAGGTCGAGCATAGAACCATGTGCTTCGATGCTTTTGCTTTTCACATTTTGCGGTATCGAATGCACGGACAACATGAAAACAAAGGGTGAACTCAATGACCACATGCGAGTATGTCACGTGTAATGCCATTTTTCATGTGCTGCATTCTGCAGGTGAAAAAAAACTGGTGGGAAAAGGTGCATACTACATTTATTTCAAAAACCCCCTTCTTTATCTTTTCCTTCCTTCTTACCTCAATCCTTCACTCACACATTATCAGTCCTCCTCCTCCTCCTTTGGTCTTTTTTTCGCTTAGGTAAGTAAGGAGCCATCAGTGCTGCAGCTTTCAAGATAGGATACCATCACTGTTTCCATCTCACGCACACCGGGGGTTCTTGTTTGTTTTGCTTGTCATAAACTCACTTTTTTTTTCCGCTCTTTTTTTTTCTTTTTTCTCTCTGCTTTCTTGGATAACACAAAACACTACAGCTAGCACCAATAACAGAGGAACCCTGCGAACACAGCGCAAGAACACGACCTTCCTCTACCGCACACACACACTCCTTCACGCACGAAGCAAAACAACAACACAGCGCAACAACCAAAAAAAAAAAAAAAAACGACACAAAACAACAAAGCACAATATGACAAAGTCAAAGTCGCCAAAGCGATCCACACCGGTAACAAGTCACAACAACGGACACGGATACAGCACAGGGACCAACTTAAGTTCACCACTGTCGACGTCGACGGATGCAGAAGGAGCACAAATAGAGCGGCCCGAGACTCCTCCTTCAAGCAACGGGAAGCACCATAATCATCATCATCATCATCATGGACCCACAGCTGCTTCTAAAGAGGTAAAGACCAACACCTGAAAGAGGGGGGGTGGGGCAGGGTTGACTTTTTCTTTTGGGTGGGTTGAGAGTTGGGTCAACCCAGGTTTATTCGTTTCACGTACCCACGACGGATTGGAGCGATGACAAGAGGTGGTCGGTGTTTGTCTCGAGGTTGGAGATTACCTGGGCGAGTTCAGGAGTGTGAATGGAATGAACAAGACGCGAACAATGGAACCAGGAAAAGAAAGGACATGCAAAACAGCAAACAACTCCGAGTTGTTGTTTTTGTGAGGAATGAGCACATTTGGGGTTAGGAGGAGAGCCGGACAATGAGTTTGACCGAGAGGCGAGGGGGGAACTCAACAGTCAACAGTGCGCGTACATATGCAAAAACGGACATACTCAGGATCAGGTTTTATATTTCAGGAGGACCGACAGGAAGTGTTGAGTTATCATTTCAATGGTCTGTAGGAGAAGAGATGGGGGGGGGGGGAGGGTATTGTTGGGAGGATAACGGTTGGTCATTATACCCATCGTACTTTCGTACCGTTGGTCCAAGTTTTTTGTTGTTTTCTTTGCGTCCATGTGTGTGTCAGTGTGTCTGCGTGTGTGTCCACTACAAGATTGCAATGCACAACCAAACAACTATGACGAAGGGGATGACGATTGGCATATCGATACCAGGGTATGGCAGCTATCTTTCAACATTGCTGCTCGCACTAAAACAAGTCTCCTCAAAAATCAAACATCCGCTCAGGACAAGTTACGAAAGAGAGCGATGGAGGGATCAAACCAAATCATGACGCTCTCATCCACATATTTTAATTATTGGGGTAAAAAAATCGAGACAAGGCAGGACATGGAGAACAAGGAAGCAAGGAACTGGATGACATGTGTATGAGGTCGTTGGAAACCAGAGAGGAATGTCACTGTGGAAACGAAGGTTACTTACTGGACACATCAACAACCAAAGTGATATACGTGAATGACCAATGCAACTAATCGATCCTCAATCTACCATTGAACCAAATAGGCTGTGGTGTTATTGGCGGACGAGACTGCCAAGGCAAAGTGGGCCAACTGGTCGACTCGTACACTCTGGACACTCATCATGATCGGAGGCTTCTTTGCCTGTGTTGCTGCTGGACCCGCTGCTGTGATTGTGTTGGTTGTCGTGGTCCAGGGCCTCGTCTACAAGGAAGTCATCTACCTCGCCGCTGTCCCCAGCAAAGAGAAGAAGTTGCCCTGGTTCCGCGCCATGAACTGGTATGTGTGAGCTCGTAGTTTGTTACATTTTGGATGACGGAGCACTGGACATTGGCAAGATTACTCATTCCATTTCATCTTATTTGGTATCTTGTTTTAATAGGTGGTTTTTGTTCAGCACGAACTACTTTTTCTACGGCGAGAGTTTGATCCATTACTTCCAGCACGTCGTCTTTGTCGACGCTTTCTTGCTGCCGCTCGCCACACACCATCGTTTCATCTCCTTCACCCTCTACGTCATTGGTACGTCCACCAGGAACATCTGCAGGATCGTTTGCCGTTGTTATGGACAGCCCTTGGACAGTTTCAAACCGAGTTCTAACAACATCGCCCTGATTTTGCCTCACATGTGATATAGGTTTCGTGTTCTTTGTTACCAACTTGAAGAAGGGCCACTACCGCTTCCAGTTCTCGCAGTTTGCATGGACCCATATGACGCTCTTGTTGGTTGTCTGCCAGAGTCATTTCATCATCAACAACATCTTTGAGGGTCTGATCTGGTTCTTCCTGCCCGTCTCGCTCGTCGTTGCCAACGACATCTGGGCGTACATTTTCGGATTCTTCTGGGGCAAGACTCCCCTTATCAAGTTGTCGCCCAAGAAAACTGTCGAGGGATTCGTTGGTGGCTGGATCATGACCATCATCTTTGGCATGCTCGTAAGTCCTTTCTGGTACTTTACGTTAGTCTCTTTTGTATATGTATATTTACCGCTGCAGACATTGCTAAGACTCCTTTTTTCTTTTTCAATACTCTAGTTTGCGACGTTGTTCCTGAAATATTCATACATGATCTGTCCAGTCAAGGATTTGCGTGCGACGGCATTCAGTGGACTGACATGCGACCCCAACCCAGTCTTCATCCCTGTGAAGCACAACCTCAAGCCTTGGATGGTCTCGCTCATCCGTCATGTTGGCGTCCGCTCCACCCATGTCATGATCGCTCCTTTGCAGTGGCACGTTATCATCATGGCCTGCTTCGCGTCAGGCATTGCACCCTTTGGAGGCTTCTTTGCTTCAGGATTCAAACGCGCTTTCAAGATCAAGGATTTCGGCCAATCGATCCCTGGACATGGAGGCATCACTGACAGGATGGACTGCCAGTTCTTGATGGGCCTGTTCTCTTACATGTACTACCAGAGCTTCATCAAGTCGTCGGCCATGACTATTGGGTTTGTGCTGCAGTCTGCGGCCAAGTTGAAGGGAGCAGAGCAAATGGAACTGTTTGACCATTTGAGGCAGTATTTGATTGGGCAGGGTCTTTTGGATGAGGAAAGTTGTGTGATCATGCCCCCCAAGGAAGCCTGGGTCTCGTAGGCTCGATGGTCATCTAGCCAGTGCAAGCACTACAAGCAAGCAAGCAATAAACATATAAGCATTTAAATCAAATTTGACTCGCCCCTGTTCCTTTTTCTTCTCTTTTCCCACATACACACGCCACCAAAATCAATTTTCTAAGTCACACACACTTCTTCCTTTCTTTCGTCCCTTTTCACTCGCAAAAGCATACAGCTACACATCCTCTCGCATACACACACACACACGTACACGCTCTTCTCTACAGTCTTCGTGATGTCGACCTTTGCTGCTTGGCACAGGCAAGTCTTCTTCGCCACCCCGACTTCATTATACGCAGTCGTCCAGTTCCTCGTCCTCCTCCAGCAAGAACCTCGTCCCAACGTCCAACACAGCAACCAGAACATCAACAACGCTGTTGTTACCCAGCCTGGAACTGCGTGCAACAGATCCGCTATCTGTTGCCCGTCCTCCAAGACACGCCAAGTCCCGCTCCCGTGCTCGTCAACCTGCCCTGCCTGCCTTCGACACCATGACCACCACCTCACCGGACAAGTCGGGGCTTGGCCGTCCGAACTTTCTAAGATCCCTGACCAAAATGCTGTGACCACCCACCCTGGACGAGATCTGAGGTACCTGGCCCAGCTTGCGAGTGTTTCCAGGGCCTTCTACGTCGCTGTGACACCTATCCTGTGGTCGCACTTGGACTGGACTACTACGCATGGGGAGAGAGTCGACAGACGGCTTGTGTCCTGGTTAGAGTGGTATCTCACGACGCATGCTGATATCAAAAATGGTGGCGTCAACTCGTCCGTGACTGAGTTCCGGACGGCCGCAGGAGGAGGGAGAGGAAGCTCTATGCAGTGGATGGGGGCAGGAGGGCATGTGAATGTACTCCAGATGTCGCGATCAGTCTGGTCACTCCTTGACCGCAGTGCCTTTGAGGCGTTGGGCAAAGCTTTCCCCAATATCACTGTCCTGGAACTTCTTGAGGATTCTGTCGACCCGGACGAAATTGTTCAAAACGACCGCATGGAGGTGATCTTTGGTGCCATGAACTCGCAAGCTCAGAACCAGTCTTGGGACGGAGATTCGTTGGCTGATCTGTTCATGGCAGGACTGAAACCCTCAAGTCGGATCCGGCTGGGCAGTGACCATACAAATGACTTTTACCGTCCCCGACTGGAGGATCTTGCACTGTGTTTTCCTTTGCTTAAGAGTCTAGTTCTCCCCGAAGGTGGGTTGACCATGGGCGCGTGTAGCTCGTCAAAGGAGTCTCTGGGAGACAAACGGAAGAAGGGGGAGGTTGGTCAATTTCAGAAGCGAGTCAGAACAAACGAGTATCAAACAGCAACTGCTACTCCTCGTCATCTTTCTGCTCCCCGAGTGTGGTCTTCTGCCCCTGCTGCTACTGGTCGAGGATGTGGACTTCGCCAACGGTCCTCGCTGTCCATGACTGCCTTTGCTGAGAAGATGAACTTGATGTTTCCAAACCATTCCGATGGCGACAGCCAGGTCCGGTTCGGACAGCTTCAGCATGTCAGCTGCTCCTTTGATCCGCAGAGTCTGGACAACCTGGACCGCATACTGAGCGACCTCTGTGTCTCGAGTCTCACCAAGGTTGAGGTACGCGTCCGGCCCATGACTTTGCTCTGGCTTGTCACGACGGTGGACGCGTCTCAGAACACCAACCACGGCGAGGGTGATGGAGCGGAGGGGGGTTCATACCTCATGTCCTGCATCCGCAAGGTACACCGCACCCTCGGGGCAGACTGTCCCAAGAAGTTGGAGTCGATCTCCATTCCCAATCTGGACGCGTTGTACAGTTTCGGGGTTGACATGGACTCGGATGAAGGAAACCTGGCCGCGGGTACCTGTCGAGCCGAGGACAAGGAAAGATCCTACGGGGACTTTGTAACAGAGGAGATACGTCATCGCCACTATGAAGATATCAAGGACTCTCTTTACATCCAACCTGATCCTCTGGATATTCACCCCCAGTTCTTTTTCGTTTAGACCGCGTTCAGGCCGTCGCTTTGCTTTGTTGGTTCGAAAACTCTGTGGTCATCTTTTTTCATGATATTGGTCAACTGGGCGCTTTCAACTATGAACTCTTGTCAAGTACTTTATGTTTCGATCTTTCTTTATCATTACACTTTTCTTCATTGGGTGAGAAGAAATTGACTTTTTTTTTTCTTTCCCCTTTGTCGCACACGATCTATTAGCTAGTACTACTACATCACGATTTATTTGCTCATAAAGTTGATCCAAAAAAAATCGCGAGAGGAATGAGAGGTAGATTCGAACGACCTGCGAAGAAAGAAAGGGAAATGGGGTAGGGGGGGAGACAAGGAGCTCTCAAGCACAATTGGGCGAAGCAAAGGGGGGGGGGGGGGGGGGGGGGGGGGAGGACAAGTTTGAAAAAAGGGAAGAAAGACTACAACCAACACGGTGTCAGTTTTATTGTTTACCATCCGTCCCATGTCGGGGTGTTGCTTGTACTCCTTTTTCAAACCTCGTGATCTCTTGGAAGTTTTGGCTGCGTCCCTTGTAGTCGAGGTACTGGGTGACCTGAGTGACCAGTTCTGGGATCACGAAGAAGCGAGCCATCGGGGGGACTTCATGGTTGTTGTTATTGAGGTTTGAATATAGGCGGATGCTTGTTGTTATTCGCACAGAAGTGAGTTGTCAAGAGGGGGAAAAAGGAGGGTCGCTTAGAGATCAGTACGCTGATAACTTTAGATGTGTAGGTGAAAGGTGATCATCCAATTGACGGCCCTGTCCTTGGCATGTGATTTTTTTTTGTTCATCCGTTAATGAAGTTGAAGAAACAGTTTATGATATGAAAACAAAAAACAAAAAAAAAATGGCACATAATATCGTTTTATTCATAAGGAAAAAGTTGTAATCGCCCTTCAGCTCTCTTTCTTTTCCACCATGGGAATGGTACTGGGAGCCTCTCATCATCATCATCACGAAAGAACTGCCCTCTCTCCAACGATGGCCAATGCTGTTCCATCCAGATCACCTCATTCATCCCAATCGTCGCCCTGGCCTCCTCAGTCGTCGCAGAGATCGATCCGCTCAATGATTCTAGCTTGGTGAGGCCGCCCAACAGCTGTAGGTACCCCGGTCGTCCTGCCTCGTTGTTCCAGAGTCCGAAAAGTCCCGGAAAGGTAGTGTCCTGGACAGAGATTCCACGACCTTTCTCGGCTGGATCGTAAAAGAGCGCTTTTAGATCGAGCGATCGTAGCTCCGTCAACGCGCCTATTTGTCGGTAGAAGGATCCTAATGACCGAAACTGTGCTGTCTCTGCCCGCGAGAGTCTCGTTGGTGCTGGCCGATTGTAATAGGGCACTACGCCGTCGGCAAGATGGTGTAGTGGTTCGTCAGGAATGGCAATCCATAGGTCTAACCTCTGCAACCTGGTACATCCCCACGAGAACTCGATGGCGTCTTCCAGATGAAGGCAGAGTTGTCGTTGGTCGCTTCCAGTCTTCCACGCAATCAGTAAATCCTCTAGTGCCTCACAGTCAATCAAGATCGTCTGGATCGCCTTGCTATCGATGTTTCGACAGCCACTCAGCGAGAGTGTCCGTAAGGTACTCGAGTGTTGTCGGAAGATGTATCCTACCTCAGCACCGCTGCCAAGGCCCTCGGAAGTAAACAACGGAAGGTGGTTGCAGTTGAATCGGGTGACTTGTTGAGGGGGCAAGGCTTTCAGGATCAATAACAACAGCTCTCCGGTCACTTCAGCCCCCTCTCCGAATGCGTGGAAGGACAGATCGCACAATTTTGGGCAGTAACGAGCAATATCCTGCGCCAGGCGTTGAATATCAATGATTGCGGAAGGAATGGGGGATATTTCGAGGGTCATAAGATTCGGACAACGTCGGAATACCGATCGGATATCCTCCTCCATGGTCTCCCCAGCCAAGGCTCCGAGCGACAATGTCTTCAAATCCAGCATGGGTTCCTGACGCCGTGGTGTCGTCATCTTCAGTCCGCACTCCTCATCGCTCTTTTCCCATGACTGCAAGTCTCCTGGTGGGAGTTGCACAAACTCGTCCGTAAACACGTCAATGTCCTCTTCGTATAGATCGTCAGTCCTCACGGTCCAATTTCGAAGAGTTGGCGGACAGGCGAAAAACAAGTCGACCCCAATGCGAGACGTCCACGGTCCAGCCCACTCGTCCCATTGAAAAAAGAACACAGAGAGGTTCTGCAGTTTCTGTAGTCCCGAAATCGTCCGTGTCAACAGACCAGCGTCCCGATCGTCCTTAATAATGAATCCGTGCAGCTTAACATCCAGCAAGTGAGGGTTCGATTCAATGAGCCAGCAGAGTTGGGTGATAGTCGCCTTGGGATCCCGATAGCTGGGCAGGTAGTACGGGCACCCCTCAAACTCGCCCTGCTCGCCAAAGAAAAAACTCAGCTTGGTCAATAGCGTCATCGGCGGGATAGGCACCACTTTACAGAGATGAGGATCCCGCGGAGAAAGCCAAACAGGTCGTGAAAGCGAAGGCTGGCGACTAACTGTGGAGGCGATGGATTGTTGCGTGGCAAGGAGGTCGAGGAAAGCGGTGACGCAGCTGGTGTAGTAGACGATGCCGTGGCGCCAGATAGTCAGTTCTCGGACACGATGGACGTTCTTGGCAAATGATTGCATCGAGTCCGTGGTGCGGTCATAGAAGAACCTCCCGGGCTGTACTCGGCGGTATTGAGCGGGCATGCATAGGTCGTGCATTCGTCGACTTGTGAGCATCAGCTTGTAGATTCCTGGGTAGTCGAGGTATTTGGTCAGATGATCGACCAGCTCGGGCATGTCGAAGAAACGCGTTGTTGCGGGCTCCATGACGGCTGGTGTTGTCGTTGTGAATGCCGTTGGGAGGTGTGAAGTATAAAGTTACAGACCATGGGAGTAGAACAAAAAAAAATAGGGAGTGGCTTGTCACTTAATTTTTGGAAATTGTCAAGGTGGATGCTCAATGGGTATGGGGTTTATTACAGTTATGGGTTATGAAGAAGAAACGGAGAACAGGGTGAACGTCAAACAGGCACCGCTTGTTGCTCCTCAGTGTATCTGCTGGAAGGTTTTTGAGGAAACGGTGGGAGGGATCCACGATCTGGAACACGAGGAAGGAACGCCACTTGAGGTCTACAGGCCAAAACGAAAATAAAAAAAAGAGACGGGTCAGATTATGTGAAGGTCCTAAGAGCGGCTGCCATTGTTAACAGATAGGGTCGCCACTAATTGTACCTGTATTTTGAGTCCTTGACAGATAGGCTCTTTTGTACACTCTTCGGCAACAGATTGAGCGTGCCCTGTCGAAGTATGCGCTCCAAGAATGACTATAGGTATGACACAAGAGAAAAGAAATGGATATGTTTAGCTGATTGTCCCTGTGAACGGCACGATAGAGTTGTGGCTATGACGCTGCACTCTTCAGTCGACAGGCAGACCGCAATAAACAGGGCTCAAACGTACATGGCCATAGATGACTTTGGCGTTCCATTGACTGGCCTCGTACTGAGTCTTGACATGGTCGAAGCGTTGTTCCTGGTAGTCCTCGAAAGTCGCCTTGACGTCTTCGATCGAGGTTGTCTTCATGTCATATAGACAGTTGGCTAGGATTGCCGCATCTTGTAGTGCATTCACACACCCTTGTCCTGTGCTTGGGAGTAACTATAGTAGGTTACGTTCAATTCAGAAAAATAATCAGAGACACAAAGGAATGTGAGTTACGATAAAAAAGTGAGCGCGATGAGCAAATACTGCATCTCCAAAATTCAATCGGCAAGCTCGGAATTGCTCTCTTACCTTGTGGCATGCTTTAGATGTAAAGAAAGTAAATGTCCACGAGATTGAACCAAGTGAGCGGGAATAATCAAAAATAGGGCACAAGAACACAAAACAAACCGAGGAAGAAGGGATTACTGTTAGTTTCAACCCATGTTACGCTACACACCAGATGAGTTCCCCAAATGTTGTCGATCCAGCCCTTCGAATTTCTTACCATCGCCGATGAGCACCGTTCGGTCATGATGCCATGTCTGATACAGCATATCCTCCAGAAAAACACGAGAAACAGTCTCCTTGGGTGTGGCGTTGATGAGCTCTCCCAACGTGCCATAGGGCGTCTTGAAGTGAGCCACGCTCTTGATCATCGGCTCATTAGCTTCGGGACCCCATTCCGAATTCCTAAACTGCTCTTCCTCGGATTCCTTGGCGGTCAACTGAATGACCAGGCTCCAGCAAACTCTATCGCAGGGCACCGAGATTGTACTCCACTGAGGACAAAAAAGGGATATGGTAAGTATGCGTGTATAATCGGAGGAATGTTGAACTAAGGTTAGCTTTCGGGGCGCGTACTCTACTAAATATACTTTCATGTTGCTTCCAATAAATTTGCTGCTGCTTCTGTTGAAAACGCTGTTTCTTACCGAATGAGGAGAGTTGTCAGATATAACGCACGAGGCATCCGAGTAAGCCTCCCTGAGCTGCGGGAACCTCACAGGATCGAGTCTGTCCGTTGTTCCCACCAGACAAAAGTAGCCCTTGTTCAGCGATCGTTTGTCACATTCAGGTAGGAGCTTTTCTTTCTCAAGTCTGCTGTATAGACTCTGCCGTACTCCACTGTATGCACCATCGGCTCCGACCAAGATATCAGCAACATAGACGGACTTGTCCTGACACCGCACGGCGACAGCATCTTCGTCCTGAATCATGGCGACCACCTTTTTTGAGAGATGAATCTTTTCGGCTGGGATCTTTGCCAAGAGAAGATCGTAGAGTTCAGGGCGAGAAAACACTAGCCTTTCGTATCCAGTTCTATAAGGCAAGACAAAAACATAGAAAAAAGATACATTGGGTTTTTTTCGGTAAGCGTGAGAGACGAAGAGAGGAGGCGCTAGAAGGTGGTTGAAGACAATTAGACGACCGACGGCGGAAACAACTGTGAGAGGTGGGGTAAAACGAATCATGGATTTGAAACCGAGGGAGAAAATGGGAGAGTGGAACGTACTCGTCTTTCTCTTCTCTGCCTTTGAGGTGGCCGATACTCTTGAGGTCATCGGAGAAGAACTTGAAGTCATTGATCGGTTTGGATACCCCCATGAGGCCCTCGAGCAAGTGCAGCTGCTCAAAGATGCCGAGCACCCCGGGGGATAGTGCCATCACAGAACCTAGAATGACCATTTGAAGCAAAGGAGAAGTGAGAACGGGATGTGAATGATGAGCCAGTTGTGATTATACCGTTGCGAGAGTACAATGAGGCTGTGTGAAGGTGTTTGCCTGTGTCTGCGAACGATAACGACAAACTAATGATCATGCATGAACGACTGGATCACCTACCTAGCGGCTTGACCTCCTTGGCTCGCTCGAGGATCAGATATGAGATGTCTGCCTTCTCCAGGAGAAGAGCGAGCATCAGACCCCCCAGGCCACCACCTGAAATGAGAACATGGGGCACATCTCTGCGGCCACTTATAGGGTGTTCTGCGTCCTCAAGGTGGAAGGCGAACTCTTGGTCGTCCATCAGCATGGTGGAATGAAGATGTGTGTTTGCTCGAATGAGCAAAGAAACGAGGGGACAGACGAAAGAGTAGAAGAGGGGAGGGGGTTTAAGAGTTAAGGAAGGGTGAAGGAGGGAAGGGTAAGAAGGAAGGAAAGAAGGAAGGAAGGAAGGAAGGAAGGAAGGAAGTAGGTAGGATGAGTCTGATGGAGGGGAGTTGGGGAAGAGATGATGTTTATGTAATTAGGCTGTCGGGATGGGTCAAGTAGTGAGTGTCGAATGAGCAAGTGAATGAGAGAGTATTCTTTTTCTTAGAGTCTCTCTCTTCCTTGGAATCTTTTTCCTTGTTCTGAGCCCGTGCGAGAGAAGGGGAGGAAAAGAAGGAAATAATTCAAGACAGTTTGTAAAAGAACAAAAGAACGAATCGCTCGTTGAATACACTCAAGGCGAAGGAAGAAAACGCTCTCTCTCTCTCTTCCCTTCCCTTCCCTGTTGTCAATATTAAAAAAAAAAAACGAAAAAGGTGAAAAAGGGCTCAGTCTGCGGCAACAATAACAGGTTGTGAAGGAAGCACAAGAATTCAATTGCTCACCTAATTGTTCCGCCCCCATTCCTTTCTTTCCTAGGGCGGACCCAATGGTGCTCATCAAATATCTTTCTTATTGCCGTCCCTCTAGAAGAGATCCTGCTATTTTTGTACGCCCTACACAAGATCTATATCTCAACGGTGGTTTAGACAAGTCGCAATGCAAAACCATGCCGTCTTTACCTATGCCCGTCCACCTAATTATTTTTCCTTTCCGCGCAAAATAATAATCGTCTTGTCAATTGGCCTTCCCTTTGCGCATTTGACTTTCATGATTGATCTTGCTGCTCAAATGAAACGCTGACAAAGGAAGGCGTAGCTTCCTCATAAGCGTGCTCAGAACGTTCAACGGCTCGCAAAAAAGTAGCCAACCAATCGATCATGGATTAAGGAAGCTGCTCACCAGAGAGAGTAATCGCAATTGAAAAGAAGGGTTTACGTCCTCTCAAAAGATTCGTAATCGGATGAGGTGAACAGTAGGGGTACTAGCGCATCCGTATCGATCATTATCAAGAAAGGGGGTTTCGTGGTTTCGAAAGTGTGAAGGAGCTTTTTACTAAAGTACAATGGATTAAAAATGCTGCTGCAATGAAAGGAATGACAAGTGATGCAAAAAAGAGCGATGGGAGGTGATATGCCGAAGTAGATATGGTACAAAAGTGAATATGAGGGAGTGAAAACTAAAGAGTTGCGAAGGAGAGAAGAGAGTAGGGTATGAAGAAATTCGATCGGACGACAGACAGATATCGATCCAGGGTTGAGTTTTACTCCTGCATGGCAGAGCTCTCCTCAACCTTGGGGGCAGGGGCAGAGGGAGTCATCTTGGCGACATAGCTGGGGTCGTTCAGGCGGATCATCTTGATACGGTCGAGAGAGTTCAAATCGCCATCCCACTCGCGGAGTATAACAACGTTCTTAGGGCTCGAAAAGTCAGGGATTTCTACAAAGACGAGACAAGTATTCATATCGTTAGTATGGCTATTCAAGTCCAAATAGTGTTGCTGCAGATCCTTCCATGGCTCCATGGACTCTCTCTCTCACTTGGTGAATTTTTGTCTTTTTGATCAGTGATTGACGCTTAATCTCATTACAGATCGAATTGAGCTGGGTTAAAGTAGCATTAAAGCGAATATCATCATTTGAAAAAGAAGAAAGGACCCATTGTGTGAGAGAGCAACATTCCGCCCAATGGAATGGAACACGGGCATATAACCAACCAACCAACCCTCTATTGCAAGAAACACAAAGTTGCAAACGTACCGAATCCAGAGGCATACTCCCGACGCTCATTGGCAATAAAAGCGGCCAACATATCCTCGCGGGCTGCCTTTGGGCGGACCTTTCCTGGGCGGTGGAGAGCAACGAGGGAATTGTACTCCTCGTTGTAGCGGGCAAGGTACTCCTCGATCAGGGCATGTTGCTCCTCACGGGTCAGCGTCTTGACATCCTCGGGGACAGCGTGGCGGAACCAAAGAATACGCTCGGAGGTCGAGAAGGAGTTGTTGGTGCGGACCTTTTGACGGTGCTCGAGACGGTCCTTACGGAGGACGACACGCATAACCTGCTGGGCCTTTCTGGAAGAGGGGTGAATCATGTCCTTGTTCTTGATGGCCTTCATCGTGTGGCGCTTGTTGTTGGACACCATTGTTGCTTGATTGTTCCTGTCTGTCCGAGTCGAGGGGGTGTAACTGTTGTTGTGGGGTGTTGACAAGGAGTCTTTCTTTTTTTTTTTTTTTCTGAGTATTGTTTTGTCCAAAAGAGGACGGCTCCGATGACGCAGAAGAAGCAACATATATCGCAGGGGATATCGTAGACACAGTCACGGGGACAAGTGGGAGTTGCAGCCCGTCTGGACAATGCTGGACGCGTTTCGAACCCAGAGTCGTTCATACCACAGCACTATTGGATGGGCAAGAAACAAAAAGAGCTCACTCCCTCCTTCTCTCCCATCATCACCCCCCTTTTGTTCGTCACTAGATCACTTTTGTGTCTTTCCTTTCCCTTTCGCTTCAAATCACATCAACACCTCCAAGACCCATCAAACCTCGCTATAACCTCTCCATTATTATCCACACAACTCTAATTAACTCACAGCCTCTCCTGCAACAAAGAAGGACCTACGAACAATGTCCAGCCAGCAGCCTGACCCCGCTCAGGGTCCCTCTCGGCCACAACACCCCCAGGTCACCGCCACCGCCGAAGACACAGCCAACATCAACAGCATAAACCTCAAGGTGCCACACGACCTGCTGACTAACAGGCCAGAGTCGCCCGTCAACAGGAAAAGGACTGACGACCACTCGGCCACTGGTCAGGATTCGCACCACCTCGACGACGGGTCGCCCAATAGCCACTCGTTGCCACCGACTAAAAAATCAAAGACATCCCCTCCTCTCGCCCCAAGGCTAGACAATAACTACAGGACCTCCAGGGACACGATCGAGGACGTCATCTCGCCCCAGACCTCGCCCCTCCTCGAACCCTCGTTGCCCTTTGCCACCCCTTCAACATCAGAAAAGAGATACTCGCCCGCCACCAACGCACCTACGCAGATCAAGGCTCGCAAGTTGGATGACGATAGACCTCTCTCTCCAGCGTTCAGGCCTACATCCCCGTCCTTTGGAGCCAGCTCGCCTCCTTTCAGAGCCACTTCTCCTTCTTTTACCAAGAGCGCGACAGCGATCCTTGACAGTCTCTCTAAGCCTGGAGAGAACTCGCTTGGCAACTTGAACTTGGGCACACCGACATTGAACAAAGCCTCAGTCGCAGAACGCGCCATGGGCGTGATCACCAGTCGACCAGGATCGCGTCAGACCAGCCCAGACCCACTTGCTGTCAAAGCAGCAGCAGTTGCAACCGAACTTGAGCCTGGCATCACTCACTCTGGAGCTACCGCCCCCGCGGACACATGCACAGGAAGCAATACGAGTCCTTTGGAAGCCATGGTGACGAGTTCAGACGATGACGAGCATCACCATCTCTCAAGCTCACTGGGGATAGAGGCTCAATTGAGCGGCGTAGGTGATGACTTTGACGACGAAGAGGGGATCTTGTCAGGAGATTTGGCCTCACAGGAGCCATTCGTCTACAGTTCAGGAAGTGAGGATGAATATGGATCAGAATCGATGGGCGAGATCGACGTTGAGAATATTGCTATGGGAGACAGCGATTTTGAACTGGAGCATGAAGGAAGTCCCTACATCGATGTAGACCCGTTGTGTGAGGATCGCATGACAGCAGAGGAAGCAGAAGAGCTTCTACACGACGCCAGGATGCGAGGTAAGTACAGAATGAACTAGATCATGCCATTGGCCGCGCATGATTAAGAACAACGGTAATGTAAGGTATTGCCATTTGGGCGTAGTGTGAAATATAGGGTCAACATTCCAACAGTTCGCGCGCTTTATGTTCTCCATAGGCATGGAGTTTGTGATCCGCAAGTACGTCGTGTCAGGGATGTACACGGCCAAGAAGCTGCTTCTGCTGACGATCCCTGACGCAGTAAGTTTTCATTTCTTGTCTAAAAAGCAAGACACATTATTTCCAACAATTGACCCGCCACATTTCATTTCTGCTGAAAACGGTGCGTAAATTTAACATATTTGCTGTGCTTTATCTAGCTTGAGATTCCAGACCACTTTACAGAACAGGACCTCCTCGTTGCAGCATCAGATCGCATCCGGAGGGTTTTGCGAAAGCGCAAGAGATTGGACTACGTTCACTCACTGCAACACGTCGTGGAGCTGCTAAAGAATTCCAAGCGGATCATGGTTCTGACAGGAGCAGGGGTGTCTGTCTCGTGCGGTATTCCAGACTTTCGTTCCAAGGACGGTATCTACTCTCGTCTCTCGGAATTCGAACTAGACGACCCTCAGCAGATGTTTGACCTGGATTTCTTTCGGGAACGACCCGAGATATTTTATTCGTTTGCGCGAGAGATCTTTCCAAGTAACTTTACACCAAGTCCCAGCCATTACTTTATCAAGCTGCTGGAGGATCACGGAAAGCTGCTCAGGAACTATACACAAAACATTGATACCTTAGAGCAGAAGGCCGGAATCCGCAGCGTGCTGCAGTGCCATGGTATTGTTTGTTTCTTTGGGGCAATATGGTTGCTAGACGAAATTGATTCTTTAAATGACAGCCCTCTAACGTCCAATGGCTGTTGTGTGATCCATATAGGTTCCTTCGCCACGGCAAGCTGTGTGCGGTGCAGAAACCAAGTGCAAGGAGATGAGATAAAGGACTCGATTTTCAAACAGGAGGTGGCCTACTGTAAAGTCTGCAAGAAGCCAACCCCACCACCCAAGGCCCGCAAAAGATCCAAGGCCAAGTTCGACTTTGACGACGACGATGATGACTCAGAGGAGGAGGATGACGATAACCGGGCGCTGATGAAACCGGACATTGTGTTCTTTGGCGAAAAGCTGCCCCAGATCTTTGATCGATCGTTGGCGGACGACCGGGAATTGGTCGATCTCTTGATTGTCATTGGATCCAGTCTCAAAGTTGCCCCCGTCAGCGATATCATGCGTAAGTTGGAATATATTGCTTTTCGTTTGCTTTGACACTTGCGGACAAAATGTTATGTGATACAGTTACTCATCGCGATCTTCGCTCCTTGCAACAAAACTTTTCACATTTGCAGATCAATTGCCGAACAAAGTACCGCAAATTTTGATCAACCGCACGCCGAACCACCAGATGGACTTTGACGTGCAGCTGCTGGGAAACTGTGACGCGATCGTGGCAGAGCTCTGCCGGATGGTCGGGTGGGAGCTTAAGCACGACAAGCTGCCCGGAGGAACATCGAACGTGCCCGACATGGACAACAATACCAACATGGATGGGTCTGGGACCGGTGGTCGCGCCGCTTGGACTTTCAAGGAACCTAATCTGTACCTCTTTGAGGGTGCTGATCTGGAGGAGTTGGATTTTGAAGCGATAAAGGAGAAGAACCGGAAGCGGTTGATGGAAATGTCTGGAGTTTATAAAGGAGCTCTTGGGGGACTGGGTGATAATGATCAGGAGGAGGATGATGAGGAGGATGAGGAGGATGAGGATGAAGAGGACGATGAGGAGGATGAGGATGACGGTGATGGTGATGGTGATGATGATGATGATGAGACAGGGCCTGTGAGCGAGGATATGGAGGGTCTGTTGACGGTCTCATCTGAGCGGCGGCCGCAGAGTCGTGAAGGTCGGGCGACGAGTGTAGTTATGATGGATGAGGACGGCGATGACTCAGACAATGCCAGTGGCGAGAGTGAGGATACTATCCGAGCAGCAGTAGTCCATACCTTTGGAGTCAACCCTGCAACAACATCCACAGCAACGACACTAGGAGCAGGAGCCGTACCGACACTCAATGAGGGGTTTTTGAGCCCACGGTTACAGCCTTCTGTCGGATTTGCGTCTGGGACTACGGAGCCTCGGTCTGGAAGCATCACGGAGATTCATCAAGATATCCTGTCTGCGGCTGCAGAGGCTGCAGCAGCGATTGCGTCTGCACCGCCAACGTCTGCAGCAGGACCAGGTGCCAGTACGGAGAGGGTCCGGACACTATTTACGGAACACATGCCCAAGGATCTTGGCGAGGACGAGACTGTGTTTGACACCAGCAGTACTTCGTCGTCCTATAGTCATGGAAACGTGTTCCTGAGCCATAGCCGTCGGCCGAGTGAGGACCTTGTTCCGATCACGGAGGATCCGCAGTTAGAGGTCGATGATGATGAAGAGGTCGATGTGGATGTTGATATTGAGATTGGCGGGCCGGAACTTGCACGAGGAGCTGGCGGAGGTGGTCGTTTGATTTGAAGTAGATAAGATGGGCGAAGCTGTAAATAATCTCTTTTTTTTTTAACCTTCTTTTTATTTGAAATTGATAAGCATTTTTTAGACATTCATGGGAACGGGTATTGACGGGCATTGAAGTTTTGAAGCTATCTGATATGAAGGGGAAGGTGTGGTACTGAAAAGGTGTGCACTTGGTTGAGTTTTGGTTTTTTTTTCTTCTTCCTTGTGCTATGCGTTCTTGTGGGTAGGAAGGAAGGCTTGGAAGAAGGGACATTGAAAGAGACGACGACAAGCACGAGTGCTATTGTTGTCTTGACTATCCTAAGACTCACACTTGAGCAGTGCAAAACGTGACAGAAGGGCGGCGGCGAGCTTTGTTGAGCCTGTTGGACTTTCTGTAACCTGAGCTTACAGCTATTGGTGGCGCTGGTTCTTTCCTGGACCTTGGATTTGGATAGCATCTACAAGGTTAACGACGGTACTGCTGCTACTGGCACTGTTAGCTAGGTCATTCTCCTGATGCGGCAGCTGGGGCTGGGGTTGAGTCTGTCTGGCACTTGACCGTCTGCGTCTGGGTGTGGCAGGGGTGGTGCGAGAGGTGGATGAGGTCTTGGAGCGACGACGCTTCTTTGTGTTCTCCTGGTAGTCCGAATCAGTGTCGTTGTCATTGACGGCTTCGTCCTCATCATCGCCGTCGTCGGTGGCTGAGCGCTTGGTTTCTGTCAGCTTGCGCTTTCGGGGGGTCTTGGGAGGTTCTGGAACGGCGTGTGCAGTAACAGCAGGTGCAGTTTCGGCTGTTGCAAAAGCGGCAATTGTAGAAGATGCACGACGACCTCGAGGTGCGCCAGTTGTAATAGTCCCCGACAAAGTACGCCGACGCGAGGCAGCAGTCGTAGCAGTGGCCACAAAAGAAGTACGACGACGCGAGGCGGCAGTAGGATTAACAGCCTGAGCCGCCGCCACCGCCTTCTCTGCCCTCCTCAATGCCGCCTTGACCTTCTTCACCTCCTCCGCCTTGACTCTCCTCGCCTCTTTTGCCTCCAATTTTTCCTGAAACCTCTGGATCTTGACCGCCAACGGCGGATGCTGCTCCCTCTTATGTCTCAACAGATCATGGTGCCTCTTATACTTCTTGACCTCCGGGATAGGGATCGGCATCCCTGGGAAGAGTGGGGTTGGATCAGCGAGTCGGGGTGTGATTCCGTCCTCGGAGCAGATATCGCACCAATGTGGTTTTTCAGGATCGTGCGAGACTTTGTGGGATTTGAGGAGGCCGTAGGTCGAGAATTCTTTTTCGCAGTGCGGGATTTCACATTTGAAGACGGTTGGTTCTGGAGTAAAGGAGGAGGTGTTTTGGAGGGCGCCGCCCGTTTTGGGGATGCGGCTGCGGGTGTTTTGGCGCGGTGCGGGAATAATTGGAACGGGTCTGGCAGGAAGTGGAAGAGTGGGAGAGGGAGGAGGAAGGGGGATAGATTCCTCATCGACAGCATCGTTGACGTCGGCGGCGGATCCGTGGTGGTGGTCGTGGTGGTAGTGGTGGCCGTGGGGGTGTTCGGACCTGTTGCTTCTGTTGCTGTTGTTACCTTGATCGACAGCGGCATTGCCGCCTTGACCGGCAACGACATGGTCGCGAGATCTGCGGTTGTGTCCATGGCCGTTCTTGTTGCCACCCTGGGCGTCGGCATTTAGATTGATGTAGTCGTTGATGGTACTCTCTCGGGCAGCAATGGCAGCAGCACGGGCGGCTACGGCAGCGGCCCGCCGGACAGTGATAGGAATCACTGTACTCTCCCTATCACCTCCATTCTCCTCATCGCCGTTGGCGGCGGTGGTTGTGGTAGCAGAGGCTTCAAAGTCCACATCCAACATCGGCTTCTTCTCGCGCTTAACAACTACCACGACATCATCCCTCTGCTGGACCTTGGAATCAATCACACCACTACCATCACCGCCAGGGCCAGTACCACTAATGCCGGTCGTCAAATCCAATCGTGGGTAGACCTTCGAGGACAATAACGCGTCTGGGATTGACATACCCCCATAAAGCTCCAACTGTGCCGTCTCATACTTGATATCCCCAGCCACACTGTCCAAAAACTCCTTCACTTCCTGGTCTGCTGCCCTGTTAGCGGTACCAGTGGCATTCAAGGGGTCACCAGAGACGATAGAAGGCCAAGACGCTTGCCTGGCGAAGCACTCCACAGGTTCGAAAGAAAAGCCGTAGTAGATGTTTTGATTTTGGAGGAAGGGTGGGGGGAAGTGAGTGGGTCGGTGGTTGTTGGTTCCAACAATGTTGAGGGCAGTATTGTCGCTGTTGTCGTTATTCAACAGTTGCTGTTGCTCGCTGCTGCTGTTGTTGCCGGTGGGGAGGTTAGATGACGATTGGAGGTTGTTGAATTCGGTAGGGGTACCGACGATAGACGAGGTTGCAGAGGCAGAAGCAGAAGCAGAAGAGGCAGTAGTAAGGGGAAGTTGGATGTACGCCTGAGCCGCCAACGAGGATTGAGGAGTGATAGTGCCAGTGGCAGTACCAGTTTCAAGGCTGCCTTGACTTGTGTCCACTTGGAGAGGAGGGGCTTGTATCTGTATCGCCGAGGAATTGCCAATGCCTGAGCCATCACTTGGACTGCCATGACTTGCATTCACCTGAAGAACAGGGATGTGCATCTGTGCCTGAGTCAAAGACTGCAGAGTTCCAGGGCCAATGCTAAGGCTACTATGACTCGAATCCACCTGAGGAAAAGGAAAACCAACTGCAAGCTGCTTTTGACCAACCGCAGATTGCTGCTGCTGTCTAATCGCAGGCTGCTGCTGATGACCGACTGCAGTTTGCTGCTGCTGAGTAGACGACGAAGAACCCAACGAAGAAGACGACGATGCCGAAAAGCCATTCCCTCCCTGGTTGTTCAGGACGGGTTGAGGGGCACCGTTCTTGTCGTAACTGTAATGCCGGTAGCCACGATAGTTTCGCAGCTGCTCTTGGTGGATGGCACCGGGGTACAGAGTCGGCCTGGTACCGACGTCGGACTCGCCAATGGGAGAGTTGCCGTTCTTGGGGCATTCTTGAGAGGACGCGACTTGAGCCTGAACCTGAGCTTGAGCTTGAGTCTGAGCTGGAACCAGAGTCTGAGATGGAGCCTGAGGATGGGACCGGGCCAGAGCCTGGGCTTGTTCCATCAAAAGATCATCCAATTGCTCTTGGAACAGCTGTTGATTCAGGGTCTGCTTCAATTCTTGAAAATGGAACTGAAAGTCCCTCACATCCATCGCGGTAGTCAAGAGCTGCTGTTCAACCAGCGGGATACTCCCATCTGAAATGTCACCGCCACCGGCAGAGGTCTTTTGAGGGTGGTTGGATCCGAGAACCATGTTTGCTTGAGGAGTACTCACACCGGCGCTCGAAGGGTGTGAAGACAGATCTGCCACGGGCGAAGAAGGGCTGCCGGACGAGACAGGGACGGTGAGGGCGCCGTTGGGGTTGAGTTGCCAGGAATGGGGGTCGTAGGCAGAAACTTGGTTGGGAGGAGGAAGAGGAGGAGGGGCGTAAGCCGAGGAAGAAGAGGCATCCTGACTGGAAAGAACGGGAACCGTGGAGGTGAAGGTGGAGGTAGCAATATTGCCTTGACTGTGGACCATTTGGGACTCAAGTTGCTGCAGCTTAAGGTGCAACTGTTCCTGTTCATGTTGCTGGCGCTGCCATTCTTGCTCCTGTAGACGCGTATGCACAGCTTCGTAGTAGTGGTGCATCTCTGGCGGTTTGTGGGGCTGTTGTTGCTGGTGGGGGTGTCGTTGGTGATGGAGGTTGTGTTGAGCAATAGCGGGAGAGGAAGAGGAAGTCGAATCAAAAAGGTGGATCGAGTTGTTATTGTTGCTGTTGCTGTTATTGTCAACAGTCATCGTCGGGGGATAGTACAACTGCTGCTGTAGATGTGGTGGCAGCATGAGCTGCTGCGAGGTCAAATTAGACGTCCGTTGCGAAGCCAGAATAGGCGTCTTTTGCTGTTGGTGCTGCTGCTGCTGCTGTTGCTGCTGATGAAAAAGGCTGCTGGGTCCGAGGTCGCTGCTCGCATAAGGAGCAACAAGAGTTTCATTGCTCTGCCCACCATTGGCACTGTGGGTTCCGAAGCCTGAGGGGTTAAGACACGACATGTCTTGCTGTTGGTGTTGGTGGTGGTCGACAGGAAGGCTGGAGAGAGGGAGGCAGTTGATGTCGAAGGCTTGATATCCGTTGCCGTTGGCTGTCGTTGGGAACTGACCTGTGTAGGCTAAAATTTTAAGTTTGAAAGCACAATATGGAAGAAAGGAACGATGGATGGATGGTTAGGTGGATGTTGATCGACGCGCTTTACTTACCATCCCGTAACAAATCAAAAGAGTAAGCGTGGCTTAGTGTCGATTGGATCTTACCTTGAGTGAGCTGGGGCATATTGGGCCAGGTAATACCACTGTTGGCTATGAGGCTCAAATCCAAAGGAGAAGGAGCATTGGAACCGTCATATGTGGTCAAGTTGTTGTTGTGGCCGGGTCTGTTGATGTGGTTCCCTTGCCATTGGGCAATAAATTCGTTAGCCAGGAGTTGGCCGTTGTTGGTTGGAGGATAGTTGGAGGTCGTGTAAGGGAATGGGGTCATGTTGCTGTGGTTGGACATGGCCATGGGCATGGGCATGTCTTGCAAGGTCGGAGGGATGGAAGCCAAGTTTGGATTGAAGGTGAAGGCCGAGAGGACGGCTGGCGAGAAGTCAGGGATGTAGTTGGTGTTGGTGTTGGTGTTGGTGGCGTTGGGCACGGCCGTTGTTTGAGAAGTACTGGCGGTATAAACTGTTTGGCTATTGATAGATAGATCAAGGAAGAGGGGAAGAAAAAGAAAGTTAATGTTGGCTGATCTGTTTGGGCGAAGGTGGGAACACGAAGGGAGCCAATGAGCGGTGAGAAGAGGAGTGGTGAGGATAAGAAAAGAAATAAGAGAGGGGCGCGCAAATTGAACCATGTAGGGTTGGCGTGCAAAGCGTAACTCCGCTCAACTGATGGCAATACATATTTTCGTGTAGGTGACTGACTGGATACAAAGAGCATGCAAGCATTTAAATGTCTGCACATGGGTTCAGGCAGGAGACAGGGGGTCTTACTTGGGGAAGTTCATGGCACTAAGGTTGGGCATGATCATGGTACTTGGGTTGGGGGAGAGAGAGTTGTAGTAGCCCTGGCTAGTTGATTTTGAGGACGATGAAGGCGTGTTGTTGTTGTTGTCCATTTTTAGAGGTGATTGTGACGCGAGAGAGGGAAGGGATAGAAGAGAGAGAAGCAAGCGATGGGTGAGAGAGGACGAAAGAGAGCGAGAGGAAGAGAGATTTTTTTTAGCGCGTTATCGTGTTTGTGTTTGTGAGTCTGTGAGGCTGCGGTAGGTGGATCGTTGCTTGTCTTTATACCGAAAAAACCCCCCTTCTAGAAAGCTGCCCTGGTGGTAGTGGCACCGATATGTACCGCAAAGAGAAAACCATGGAGACATATATCTCTCTCTCTTCTCTGTCATCACCAACTCCACAATGAACAAGGCATACACACATTCAGTCTGGACGTCCATTACACTCATAGAGGGTTCATCAAAGAACACTCTTAGAAATGTCCACAAAGAGGGTGGTGGAAATACGAAAATCAAACAAAGAACAAATTTGTCGATGCGTGGGTTGTGTTGGTTGTCCTTCCTTTCTCTTTCTTCACAAACACACATACCCATCATCGTACAAACCCACGCTAAAACCATGGCCCTTAGCATAAGAGAGAATGAACCCTTTTGCCTGAATTTTTTCTTTGATAGTTGTGTCCTCATTTTCACACTTAAGATCTCCAATCGTTCTTTTTCTTATTGCCGTGAAGAACGGGTTGTCGTTGTTCTTTTGTCCCAAGTACTCCGACCGTTGGTATTTCTTCTGTCAATAACAATTGCTGTTTGTTCGATATCTATTTATCATTTGCGCTTACCAGTGTTGTTTGTCGGTTTGATGAATGATGGAGTTCGCTGCGGTAGTAGATCCAGCTACTATTAGGCGATCGGATCAGAAAAAACCTGCCGCAGGGCATGTAAACAACGCAAGAAATTGTCCGAGCGAGAGAGAAGCGCTGTTGGATCCTTTGCAGGAAGCAAGCGAGGGGGGTAAAGGAACGTTGAAGCAAAGGGGCAAGATCGGCAGAGCGAACGAGTGGCAGGTGAAGAAAGGGAAGAGGATGAGGAAGAGGAGGAGAAAGAAAACGAAACAAAACAAGACAAGGAAAACTCTCTTCAGACGCGCTTTATACCCTTGGTTTTCTTCCTCCAACCTCTTGAAATAACAGTCGTTGTATGCCTAGGAGCATCAACTAGTGATGCTCTTAACGGGCATTGAAGCAGACGAGTTATGATGTTTTGATAGTTGTGGCCTGTGTCATATATATAGAAACATGTATATGTATTTAATCTATGATCCAGAGGACCTGCTCTTTATCTCTGAGAACGAGGGAGGGGGCCATGAAAAAAAAATACCCATGGTTGAATGCGAAAGACAGTCCTTGAATGTATCAAAGATGAAAGAACAATAGCAAGATAAGAGAGAAGAACGAGTGAGATAATCAGTGTCTACGACTCCAAAGGAAGGACATGCCTGTATGAGAAAAGATTAGAGAAAAACACAGGAACGAACTAGTCAGGTACGGCATGTTTTTAACAGATGGCATGGCTGATATACCGCGTCGTGTTTTGTATTAGATTGCATGAGAGAGGGGGGAGGAATGGTGCATGCATGTCCGTTAGGCCGAACCATCAAATGTTTAATTAGCGCACAGCGGGAAAACAGACAATTGACCCGTTTCAGGAAGAGAAGGAAGGAGAAGACCCTTGTGGGAAGAGGAGAAGAATGAATGAGCCCATTGCAAGATATACCCACGTTGCATTCAAATGCAAAGATGGATGCCAAAAAACAGGCTTTTTTTTTGGGAAGAGTATGTTGGAGGCAGAACAAAGTAGCCTCTTTTCTCGCTCTCTACTACCATACATGTCGTTCTCTTTAGAAAAAAAAAGTCATCACCGAGGTGAATGGTTGATAATAGGAACGAAGAGTGAGAGAGGGGAAGGATGGCCAAGACTAAGGGGATACAGTTGTTCGATCCACTTACTGCTTTAAATGACACACTTGTCATTCATCCATATACGCCATGGTGGACCATGACAGAGGAAGAAAGAAGATTCGAATGAGAAATGACAAGATCGGTGTGGCCTTCTACCGAACGCACACGGATGTATAAAAAAGATTCATCCTTCGCCAATATTCGTTTTGATTTTTTCTTCTCCACACTTCCTTCGACCACAGATCATCAGCAGACGACATTCATTAACACCACCGTCAACAACCGCAAGTACCTTCAAGTAGACACAACTGTATCCACCCAAACCACAAAAAAAGCATGCGCCTCAGATCTCCACAACGGTCCGTTGTCACTCTCTCCCTCATCGTCATCCTCATCCTCACCATGACGACAACAATGGCCGCACCTACTCCGTCAAAAGGAGAAGGAAAAGGAGGAGAGGGTCCGAGCACGAGGGACACCAACATATACGACACGACACTGGAGGTGGACCAGGGTGCGATCCAAGATGGGCGTGTGAACCCGCACAGTGGCCATAGTGGATCTTCCTCGGCGACTGATGCCAACGGCGAGTAGATCTGGGTTATCCTTTTTGCGGCGGTACCTGGGATGTCTATGTGTGACAACGTATCCAAAGTCCGCACAGAAAAATAAAAAAATGGGTCGCATGGTGTTTGCCAAAGTTATCTTTTTATGTTTGCTCACATATTAAACGGCCATGCATGATCCAAGGAGTATACATCAATGCAAGTGTACCGTACCCAGGGAAGGGAAAAAGAGGACACTGCCCTTTAGAAGGGCCCCCTTGCCCTTGCACATCACACCATCCTCCTCCTTCCTCCTTTCCTCCCTTCAAGCACCGTACTTTCTGACGTCTGTTTTTTCGTTTGTTTGCATCTCCGGTTGACCATTTTAAAAAGGAGCAGCAATTTGCCCACCCATTTGTTTTCTTCCTCTTCTTTCTACTTTTTCTACTTTTTTTATTTCCTTCCATTTCTTCGTCTCCCATCTTTCATCCTCTGTTTTTCCTCTCGATCTGACATCAAAACATATCTTCACTCCCTCTCTCCGATTGACCAAAACAAACAATAACGGGACTCATACCCAAGCAGCATCGGGCACTTCTTCCTACACACACATACTCGCAATGATTGTAACAGCAATGGTCCTATCAACATTCTCCTCTGCCGCCCTGATGATCTCCCTCATCGCCTCCTCAGGCCCTTCCTCCCTCATCAACGACCTCAAACAAAACGACTCTGACTCGGACGATTATCCCGGAATCGATAGCAATTGTACATCTTCACTACGGGGGTTCGCACGTAGGAGTAGGAGGAGGGCACAGAGAAGGTTGGCGGTGGATGAGGCTGTGGAACTCGATGATTATTTCCCTGGTTCTTCATGAGGAGCACCCCCAAGCAGGAGTCTTTTTTTTTTTTTTTTCTCTTTTGGTCCTGTTGACTGTTGACCATAACCCTCCCTCCCTTTCTTTTCGACACTGTATCTATCCTCTCACCAAATAAACCAACAATCCAACCCCCCCAAAACCTAACGACAACAGCAACAACGCTCCTTTTCAGTATTTGTGTTGTTGACAGAGGGAGGCGAGCTAGATCGTAATTAGGTTCTCTGTCATTGTATAAACCGAGGATCGCTTCATGAGAAAAGAAAGGTAGCCAGACCCATCGATAACAACCAATCCAAAACAAAAACAGTAACCAAAACAAAAGTCAGCAAAGAAACCCCCCCTTCGTGAGCCCATCCACTCTGCTTCGTCTCCTCCCCTCAGTTCTCTTTCCTTTTCCCATCCCCGCTTATTGAGTTCAGAGCGGCAAGGGACAGACAGACAGGGATGAGAGAGATAAACAACAGTAATTCCACGGAGGAAGAACAAAGGGAGAGTAAAAAGGAAAAGGAAGAAGGAGGAGGGTACAGAGAGCGAAGGTTAAGGTGAAGATCACATGTATGCAGAACGGGGTCTGATCATTGATGATTTTTTGTCCAGAACGGCAGAACGGATACGATCTTATCACTGCCTATTGTCCCAGGATCACTATGTACTCTTTTTTTATCAAGGTGAAGGACGGGTACAGGAAATCCTCATGTCCTCCTTGCATCGATTGGCAAAGCCAACAGCATGAGTGTGCTCAAAGAAGTCTATTGTTCAAACTACAAACACCAGCAAAGAGGACTAACTAGCTCCCTGCCCAGACGAGCCAGACCCAAATTGTCGTCTAAACCTCGCCGACGGCCGCTGACTCTCATACCTTCCTCCTCCTCCACCGCTGCTACCACCCGACACCGACCCGGACCGCCCACCACCACTCGACGAAAGCGACAACGACCTCAACGAAGACGACGTCCCATTCATGCTCACATTCGGCGACGACACCCCTCCACCAGCCTCAATATCCAAAGACCGATCACTGAAAGCGTACAGGACAAACCTTCCTGCAATGCCCGGTTCCAGAGTCGACACAACAACAAGGTAGCCATATTGGTTTGGCAACAGAGTGATGGCTTCTGTGGCAACACCTTGAGGGACAGAGGCATAGGGTCCCGAAGAACATACTTCCCGTCCAAGGACACCCTCATCCAGTCGTTCAAATATCGTAATGTTTGTCTTTGGCATCGACGGATTCGTCATCTCTGGTGTCTGCAACCGCACCATGAAAGTAGTCATTTCGGTGATAGGGACTAGGAAATGCGGGTTCTTGGCATAACTAAAACTCTGGTGGTGGTGCCATCCCATCGCACTCACTCCCAACACCCACTCGCCCTTCAAAATCTTCTTGAACATGCCCTACATGTATCACATTGACACAAAAAAATGGACGTACAAGAAGATTAGTACATTCATTTTTCAAAAGTACATCGCTGCATAAGCCGAGAGTGGGAGGGCTATTAATGTGAAATAGAGTCAAAAAAACACTTACAGCTCCCTCGATCGGGATGGGTGTGAGGGAGAGGTCGATGTGTGATTGGAGCGTCAGCTTGTACTTTCCGATCTGGTCTGGATCAAATGTCGACACCACCACCGTGTATTGCCCCGCTAATCAATTATGAACAGGTAAGGAGATTGGATATCAGTTCGTGTGTGCACAGGGTGAGAACATTCAACATAGTATCGCCAGCAGGAAACCTACGTCGCAGGTCGTTGGCTTCACAGTAGCAGAAACCATGGCGGTATTCTCCTGACTGGGCGATAATATCTTTCGTCCACACGCTAATGGAGATGGTAAACAAAAAAAAAAACAAGACCATTCAGTTAGTCGCTGGTATATAAACACACAATACAGTCTTTTCACAATAAAAAGTTACCATGAGACGCGCTTGCCCTGAGAGTTGACGAGCTGAACGTGGGCTGCGAAATCCTTGGGCGACTCCAACATGAACAGCACCGAGGTAGTTATCTGGGGTGCTGGCAGAACAGGAACCACCAGACGGTACTGAGGGTTGTTCAGGAAGCCTGCATTGTAACTGCTTCCTCCTGCTGTTTCTTCCGTCCATCCATCTTCGTACTATTGAGAAGCACGGTTAACAAGCAATAAAAGGTCAGCGCCATGCATCCAATTGATCGGACCATACTATTTCCTGCAAAAAAACAGAAAACACATTCCTGAAATCGTACCTTCTTCTCAAACGCATATTTGTTTGGAATTTCTCGGAGCTCAAACTCACAGACAGCATAAGCCCTCAGTGTAAAGTGCAGATCCCTTGTCTTGACATGCTGCGACAGCACAATCGTGTACTCGTTCTGTCCTGGAGGGACCTCAAAGCGGACCAAGATATGAGGGCTGTTCACGTACATGCCCTTGATCATCGAGTTGCCCTCATAGTAGATCCTCGTGCCACGACTCCGGGTGGAAACAAATGATCCTGGTGTTGCTGAGGTAGGAGTCGTAGAAGAAACGGCGCTGAGAGGAGTCGTTGGGGACAGTAGTGATGCCTGATTCTGTTGCTGCTTTTGCACATCAAAGACATGCAGTGTGATAAAGTCCCTGTTCTCCTCAGTCACTGTGATGTGTTTTGAGAGCAGCAGCCAGATGCCGCAAGGGCGAGACCCTTTGACGTTGGTCGCCAGGGTGAACTGTGGGTTATATCCAAGGTTGTAGTTATCCCGCTTTGGCCCATAATTGCACGGCCATGGCCTATTCACATCAATGACAAATTTAGGTTAGCTTGTTGGTAAATTCCATTGGAGTTTTAAGTTCATCGCTCCAGAATATCCACTTACGCATGGATGACGGCGCGGTGGTTGAGGGTCTCGAGGTTCCAGTTGATGTGGATGGTATCAAAAGTCGAACAGACAGACTCATAATCGATCCAGAAGATGCCATCATCGTTTTTCAAGGCCGCAAACTGGTCAAAGTTCAGCTCTGCCTTCAACTCGTCCGTCCAATGGTCTGCATCCAGATGACTGAAGGGTCCCTTCCAACGCTTGTGACTCCAGGGGTTCTTAACCTGAAGTAACCGCAGTCCCTGGACCTCCTTCAGGTCTAAGACTGCATACGCGTGGGTTGGCACGAGTCCCAGGCGGTCTGCTTCCTCGTCCGTCATATGTCCTGTTGCGATAGTGACCAGCGCCACGCCATTTCGTTGTCCGTTCACCATGCGCTTCCATTGCTTCTCCATATCAAAATTGGATTCCTTGATAAACAAATGCTCCGGAATCCACCCTGTCAATGCGCTATTAAAAATTGAGATGACAATTATTAGTTGTCTATATCAATTGGCCATCTCTAAGTTCTAGAGGCAAACGGTGACAAAGTAGACTTACTATAGGTCGATGCCAGAGTTTGAACCAGGAAAGTCGTAGCCTCCCATGAGTTTCATGTAAGCCTTTTCGATGATACTGGGCCACAACTCGTTCTTGTTTGTGGAGAATGTGCACATGAGCGTTCCTGACTTTGACACTGGCAAGTAGTCGTCCACCACTGATATGTTTGAAAAGGAGCGCGTAAAATTAATAAGTAATCTGATGGGATGTAATGCGTTCAGAGAGAGCAAAAATTGAACGGAGGATGTAGCTTACCGACGCGCCGGGCGATTCCATTGAAGGTGAGTTTCACGAGGTATTTTCCGTGAGGGTTATAGCATGGCTCGCCAAACTTGTTCTTGGGGTATATACACGCTCTAATGAGCTATTATTAGAAAATTGGTCACGCGTGCCGTTAGTGCTCGACATTTCTTCTTCGTTTGTTGACATCCTAAAACGCATAGAACTGTCAGGTTTACCTGCTTCTTCCATCGTCGCTCGTAGCTGGCACTAACACACAGACTTGCGACAAAGGAGCAATCTGTCACGATATCCTGGACGATACTGGTACTGGAAATCAGACAAATCATCTTGGGGTTCTCCATGATCTGCGAGACTCGCTTCCACGATCCAAATTTAGATGTTTGTTTGTCGGACAGAGGCAGCATACCGTCCGGATCCGTGAAAGGGCCCTTCTCTCGCAGCAAGTCCTTGACATCCGAGTCGCTCCAGGGATGGTATTTTTTGTTGTTGATCAACATAGTTGTTTTGAGGACCTCCAGTTCCTGGCGCGTCAAATTAGATGGTCCCGAGATCACTGGTGTCGAACTAGACTTGACCTCTATCGTCATGCGGACAAAAATGATACACTGTTAGCTATTCCCGTCAATGCTTGTTGAACATAGTGCATAGTACGTAGAGTGTCCTGCCGGGATACATACTCAGTTCTGGGACTAGGTTGACAGAGACGCCTTTTAGATCCTCTGCCCTGGACATGACATCGCTCAGTTGCTGTTTGAGCCCATCCTTGATCGGACCCTCCGGCGCACCTACGTGTCCAACGGAGAAGTAGTTCGACAACCAGAGTTAGTCTTGTCCTCAGTCATCAAGAAATCTTGCAGCTCAGACAATGCGTCTCTGCTGTCAGCCTGTTGTGTTTACCTTTCCAGGCCTGCCAAAAGAGATCTGCGCAGTCCGTGTAGAAGTCCAGTGCGCCCAGCTCATGTTGCTTCTCCTGTTCTGCGACCGCCTGTTCAAACGCAAACTAAAAATCAAAGCCGAAACAACGTGTCTGTTAAGTCCCTGACGTAATTTATGGCTTGCAGAGGACATTAACAGAAACGCTTTCAGAAATGTCAGTTACCTGTGCCTCTTGAGCAAGCTTCTCGTAGGCGGGCAGCTCTTTGATATCCTTAACGGGTCCAGTGCTAGCACTCCTTGACTCCCAGATCGCTTCGGCTCTGCTGGTGTATTGGTTCGACTTCCTTTGCACTTGGTCATTTTCCTCTCCTGGTGGTAGCACTGAGGTTTAGAGTATATATCAATTTGTCGTTAATACTCGTCCTCTGGTATCTTGTGATTAATAGTTCTGAGTGTCCTGAATAATAAAGCGTGTGCCCTTACGCTTCATAATCTTGATGAATATCTATGAACAGTAAGAAGACGAAGAAAAGGTTGCTAGTGAGTCGCTGTTTCTTTGTCGAAAAAGTTGTAGTTACACTGTCCCTGAGTCCAATGTGATGATAGTTACCTCGCACACTTCGCAGTAAAGGAGTCTCGCCGTATGATGGTCACCATTAGCATCCTCCTGGACCGCCTGGACCGCCAAGGGGTATGCCTCAGCATACAGATCAGACAACGAGGCCTGCTTGTACTGTGATCCATCCTGAGGTTGACTTCCAGAGTCAATTGGCGACAGGTCCGGATCAAAGCCAGGGGTCTTGGGAGTCCTTGGGAAAGGATAAGCGTCCATATTTGTTGGATGTCCCCTTTCACACTTTCGTCAAATAGTTTAAAAGGGAGTTCTTTGGAAGGTTGTTCTCTGCCAGCTGGGAGACGTCGCTCTTCTGCCGTGAACGTCACACACTCCTCTTTGTCGGACAGAAATAAAAAGAAAAAAAGAAAGGGTCCAAGTGATGTGATGAACGTCTGGTTGTGAGGATGATGGGTATGTGTGTGTGTGTGTGTGTGTGTGTCGCAAAAGAGGGAAGAGGGGTGTTGCTGTTCAATGCTTCCTTCTCAGTGCGTGTGTGTCCCTGTCCTGGCGATGGGATGAGTAACGTTGTTTTGAAGAAAGAAAGAAGGCGATGCTTGTGACGATGCGCCGTCTCTTTTCACTCGCCATGCCCACTCCTCTTCATATCCTGGCTTCTTCGTTCTCGGTCAATGCTAGTGGTTTGTCTGAATCAACCGTCACAAATGTCAAATGCGCGCGCCAGCGAGTGAAAGACTCCGCCCTGAACATAACTCGCGCCTGGAGCAAAGGATCCACACCCTCATGTACGAGTATACCTTTTGACAACTACACCAACACCATCACATTCAACACGACGACACCGACCCATGGGCCTTGCATCGACTTGCTTCTTCGAGCTGCCAGAACTGGTCGTTCTTCTGACCCACCATCTCGACCGTGCAGGAATTTCACAACTGATGCAAACGAGTCGACGCTTACATCAACTATGCACCCCAACACTCTATTACCACGTCGACGCCTGGTTCGAGCGAGGACGAGCCCTTTTGACCTTACAGAATCGACCCTAGCCTTTGCCAAGAACGTTCACCATGTTCGACAATTGGAACTCGGTCGCCCTGATATCGTCTACTACTCCAACTGCGTCACTGCTTTCCTCGACCTCCTTGCCACACTACAACGGAACACCACCACCACTATCATCATAAACGAGAACCAACCGGCACTTTCTCGACCTGCTTGGCTCGCGCCGCCGGATCCTCATATCTGTGCAGTGCTGCCGATACCGCCAATGACGATGTTGAGGAAACTGGAACTGGACTTTTGTGAATGGGGTGAGCACGACGATGAGCAGGGTTCGTACTTTCTGCCCAGCTATCGGGATCCCAAGGCGACTATCACTCATGCCTGCTGGATCATCGAATCCAACCCTCACCTTCTGGATCTCAAGCTAGATGGTATTCTTCTCAAGGACCACCGGGATGCCCACCTCTTGACGCGGTCGATTTCAGGGCTGCGGAGACTGCAGTACCTTACTCTCGAGATAGTGCAATGGGAGGAAATACCGGAAGGTATGATGCCGAGAGTTGGGACTGATATTTTGCGTGCTCGCCAACGCTTCGGGAGATGAGTATTTTCTCGAAATGGGAGGATCCGGGTAAGAGCCTTGTGTTCACGAGCGAGTATATCTTTAATCCGCCCGGGACGCCCCAGTCGTGGGAGAAAAGCGACGAGAAGTGCGGATTGACAATGACGACGCCGACGCGACAGGGACCCTTGAGGGATTTGAAATCGTTGCTGCTCGGCCGTTCCTTTGAGGAGACCACGGAGGGCGGTTTTCGAACGATACTCCAGCACTGTCCCAATCTCACCACCACCATTATGCCCGCCCTAACCGAGATACACAATATTCGACAATTGGCAAAAGATGTTGCGGAGTACTGCCCAAGATTGAGCGGCCTTTCCAGCTACATAGGAGACGATGCGACTCGGGGGCTACAACTATGGATGTTGGGGGCGCTACCCCCGCAACAGGTTATCAGATTCCGCTGCGGCGGGGTCCCGCTATTCCCTGTTCACAGCCTGGACGACGCAGGATATCTTTTTCGGCGACACTCAAGTACGCTGCGGAAGATCTTGCTTATTGACTGCCAGAGTATCGACAGCAAGGCGATCCAGGCAATTGTGATCGAGTGGGGGGGCTCTGGGACGGTTGATGATTGGGCGGTCGAATAGAGACCGACGACTGCGCTGTCTCGAGCTGCAAGACGCTATTGAGTTCCCTTGGGCTTGTACCAAGATACAGGACCTGCGACTGGCAATCGCCATCCCGGACACGCCATTGCATCACCCTGCCGACAGTGTAGTGCCTTACTACCATCGACCACTTCCAACAACATTTTCTGCAGAGGAGACACAGCAGTTCCGAGACCTGGAAACCCTTTACCAACAACTCGGCGCACTGACGGAACTGGAGCAATTGAACCTGCGAGCCCTCTATTTCGATCCATCCGGCGTCTGTGGGGTGTCTGACAACTATAAGCTGAATACTTTTCCAGGCCTGTTTAGTCTCGGAAAGAAAGAAACGGGGCGATCAGGGTATCTGCAGCTGTTGGGTGGTCTGACAAAGTTGAAGGGACTCTATGGATCGAACTGTCTGGTGACAGAAGAAACCGAGGCAACGGTTGGGATGGATGAGATCAAATGGGTGGATCGACATTGGGTTGCGTTGGAGACGGCACATTTTGGTAAAGGGAAACAGGAGGGACAGGAGTGCTTGGATGTGCTCGACTGGTGGGATGAGGTCCAACGGAGTCAAAGAGAACTTTAGCTTTCAAACTTGAACCATGGACTATTAAAGTATGCGATTGCCCTTTTCTTGTCTTATTCATATATTGCGGCTTCTTTTCTCTCGTTGATATGTTTCGTCCGCAACAAATGCGTCTTGACATTTCTTGATCAACTGTTAGGAAATTAAGAAAATAAAGTCATCAGCGTATTCGACCACTGATCTAGATTTTAAGCTATCAGTAGTCTACCATGAGGACAAGCCACCTCATTTTTTCTTGGCTGGCGTTTTTACTCTCTCACTCGTCTGTTCTTTCCTTCAACAAACACCAACAGCAACACCACTACAAGCATCAAACATCCTCTCACCAAACCATGGAGTCTGCTTTCATTCGCTTCTTTAATGTGCAAGAACTGGTCGATCACCTAACACTATACTACCTCGACCGCGCCGGAGTTTCGAGACTCATGCAAACAAGTCGACAAATGAACGCAATCTGCACACCAATACTCTACTTCCACGTCACCGCCTGCTTTGACGACAATAATAAGAACATCTTTGGCTCTACCGAATCGATAATGGCCTTATCCAGGAATGTTCACCACGTTCGACAATTGGCTCTTCTAGGTCGCAACGATATCATCTACTACGCCGATTGCGTGATTGCGTTCCTGGACCAACTCGACACACTACAGAACACCACGACCACCGCCACAATTGAACATTCACCGGCACTTTCTCGACCTACTTGGTTCGCACCACTTGATCCCAAAATATACATAGTATTCCCTATACCGCCGATGACAATGTTGACGAAACTGGACCTTAGGCTCTTCATCTTGTCGCAGTACGATGAGTACCAGGAGATCTGCCAGGACCGCAGAACGACCCTCGCCCAAGCTTGCTGGATTATTAGTTCCAGCCCTAACCTTTTGGATCTCAAGCTGACATCGGTTTTTCTCAAGGATCGCAGGGACGCTCAGCTCCTGATGACAACGTTGTTCCGACTGCAGAGATTGCGGGCGCTCTACCTCGGGTTTTTTCTGCCGAGTTTTACAACGCCAGGGCTGATCCACAAAGTCGAGATATACCTCCTTTCCGCATGTCCGCCGGCTCTTCGGAAGTTGACTCTCAAGTCATACGTGGAAGGCGGGGAAGACGACTACATGATAGAGGACTTCTCGAAGGATAATGCCGAGGCCGAGTCGGGGACGCTGCCTCCATGGGAGAAACTTGACGAAGAGTGCGGGTTGACGACGTCGACGATGCCTCGGCGACAAGGCCCATTTCTGGGATTGAGAGACTTGCATCTTGGCGAGGTGGGACGGAGCTTTTCGAGAGACGACCTTCAATTGATACTCCAACAGTGCCCGAATCTCATTACCCTCGAGATGCCTAGACTATCCCAGATCAGCGACGTGCAGCAGCTTGCGGGAGAGATTGTTCAGTGGTGCCCGAGATTGAGTGACCTGTCCAACGAATCTGAATGTGGAGATGATAAAGTTCGGGGGCTAGTGGATTGGGTCCTCAGAGCGCTACCCCCGCAGCAGGTCACAAGGTTCATTTCGAACGGGGCACCGGTACCTGCTATTCAAGGCTTGGACGATGGAGGATCCATGTTCCAGCGACACTCGAGTACCTTGCGGGAGATCTCGCTGAACGGTTACAAGAGAATCGACAGCATGATGGTTCAAACAATTTTGGTCGAGTGTGAGGCTCTGGAATCTTTTAAAATTCATCTCCCGAATTACGGCGATCCTCTCCCGCTCTGTCTCCACCTGGAGGACGCTATCGGGATCCCGTGGGCCTGTACCAGGATACAAGAGCTTCAACTGGCGATTGCCATTCCGGAGCGACCACTCATTGTCCCTGTGGCCGGCACATGGCCCTATTACATTCGACCACCACCAACCACACTCTCGGTAGAGGAGACACAGCAGTTCAAGGATCTGGAGTTCTTTTACCGACAACTTGGCAAACTCACACAACTGCGGCGGTTAGATCTCCGAGCCTACTATTATGACTCGACAGGCAAGCGTAACCCATCGGGAGCCCCTTTCCCGGGAATGCTGAATCTCGGGAGCGAGAAGACGGGACAGCCAGGGTACTTGCAGCTGCTGGGAGGACTGACAAAGTTGAAGACGCTGGTTGGGTCGGTGGCAGCTAATACCAGGGAGACAATGCTGACGATTGGGATGGATGAAGTGGTATGGATGGACAAGTATTGGCCGGCACTGGAGAGGGCTGGGTTCTTTATGAACCCGCCTACATCCCGAATCCCTTTCGTCTGGTTCCTGGAGCAGCGACGAAAGAGGGGACAGGAATTGGATCTTTGTGCATTTCATTAAATAAACTATTGTTCTTTTGTTTTCTTCCTATGCTGTTATTTTGTCCACAGTTCTTTAAATGTGAAAATCAGTGACCGAATCACTGGCACAAATTAAGTTATCAGTGAGCCAGAACTGTTATCCTAGGAGATGAGCGACGACGACAACGACGACGACGATGATGATGATGGCGATAACGGCGACGGCGACGAGAAAAAGGGCGAACTGACAGTACCTTGGCTACGGAAGGAACCGATGGCGCATCTGATCAAGTCTACAACTTTGGTACCCGGGAGAAGAAGATCTGTCAGAGGCCGAGTACCGGCCCAAACCTGATCACCATTGTCGTCCCGCCCCCCTCCATTCGATCCAGCACAACCCTCAACAACTCATACAAGAAACCCGTCCAGCGGCTCTGTCCAGCGTTGACAAACGTGGAAGGAGATTTTTGCCGGTAACAATGCAAGCTGGGAACTGGTGTTCAGAGTCCTGGAGACACTGCCGGAGCAACAAATTCAGATATTCCATTACCTTGGAGCAGTCGTTTCTGATCCTGGGACTGACCAGCGATGATGTAAGATCGTTGTTCCGGAGACAGTCGGGCACCTTGCGCGAGACTATGCCTGGCAGGCTGTCTGAACTTTGACAGCAGAGCGATCCTGACGATTCTAGTCGTGTTGGGCTCTGGAACGATTAGAAGTTCAATTTATGCTCGTGAAATGGTTCAACCATCAACAACAACCGGCACTATGTATTAACTTGGATGACGCGATCGAATCCCCCCTGGAGCTGCACGAGGATCCAGGATCTGAACTTGACGATTGCGATTCCGGACGAGCCCTCTCCATCGCTCTGAAGAAATGGGCATTGTACTCTACTACAACCGCCCATCCCCAATGATTCTCTCAGCAGCGGAGACCGCACAGTTTCGGTCAAAAGAGGCCTTTTGCCGAAAGCTAGGTGCACTCACAGAATTGGAGTGCGTAGAACTGAGGGCCGTTTTCTATGACTTAGCTGGAGCCCGCTCGACGTCCGCCGGGTTCAGGCTGAACTCGTTTCCGGGGATGCTGGACTTCAGGAACGAAGAGACGGGGCGCCTAGGGTACCTGAATCTGCGGAGAGATCTGACAATGGTGAAGACGCTGTTCGGGTCGATCTCGGCGACGACTAAGGAGACAAGGCGACGATTGGGATGGATGAAGTGAAGTGGATGGATAAGTGTAGTTCGTTTGTTCGTGTTCCCTTGCAACCTGTGTCTCGTAGTCATTGAGAGCTTCTTTTACTCCGCTTTTGTCATACCTCTTTTGATAGTGCATGGTAACTGATTATCATTCTATGTTGGGCCCCGTCATGGTATCCCATCCCTGGCAGGTGACCCAACACCCCTTAACCGTCTTTGGACAAATGACTTGGATCAAGGTTGGACACCTGATAATCTTTTCAGATGGGATCAGTATCTGATTTCTGAGTTTGAGTTTCGTTAAAGTTGGACAGTTGTTGTCCATTGAAGGAAAAGAGAGAAACTGCCGAGTGGCCGTCCTTGTTGTTTGTCTGCCCTTTTTGTCGTCCTTCTTCTATTTCTTTATCTTTTTCTTTTCTTTCTCTTTTTCTTCTTCAACCAACTCGATCAACCCTTCCTTCGACTTCCTGTTCCTTCCCTCGACCCACATACAACTATACCTCGACAAGGAACATAATACCAACAAGCACATCCCAACCTAGCAAAACCATTTTTCGAACCTGCAGCTCTCCCAGAGGTGCATTGACCAACAACCATACTCATATACACACTCAGAGCCCCTCCAGCATAAAAAAATGGCTCTGCATACCCTCTTCCTCTGGCTCGCTAGACAACAACAGCAGGACACTGGCTCTTCATACGGACTCGGACTCATGAGCCACCACAATCACACCAATGCAGACAATGTAATAGGAGGATCACCGACAGAGATGCCAACGAATGTGATGCTGTCGAGCATTGCTGGATCCCTCTCCATTCTCTGCTGGTTTATTGTCTTTACTCCGTAAGTCAGTCTTCTGTTCTTTTATTTTGTGTGCGCGGGAAGGCGGGAAGAGGTGTGTGTGGTTATGGTTGTTTATGGTTGATATTTTGTCACACGACATGCAGGCGGATGACTAGTGCAGACGTCTCGCCATTGGACTGTGGGAGAGTAATCTGCAACCACAATAACAACAAACATGCCCACCTGTTCGCCCCAACACCATCCAGGACCAACAAAAAAAATCCTGCAGCGAAGACAGAACAGCAAAGTTTTTTTGTCATTGTTATTGCTTCCATTTGTTTACCTTTTTCCTTTTATTCTCTCGCTAGACAAATCTGGATGAACTACAAGCGCAAGTCCGGCGAGTCCCTCTCATTACCATTTCTCTTCATTTGGCTGGCCGGAGACTTTCTCAACGTTGCCGGCGCTACCATGGATAACCTCCTCCTCACCATGGTAACTTGCCCACTTTTTGTTTTTTTTTTGATGACGGATGACTTTCCCCCAAAAGTTTTGGGTGTAAACTCCCCTACATCGTTCATTCGTCGTGAAACCCTCCCCTTTCGCCACCCCAACCAATTCTCCTTTACGAGGGAGATTGCGAAGTATGACGAATGTTGCCGCCCCAATTGAAGGAACAGCAAAATAAGGGGGAGAAACATGGAGGGAAGAACAATGAAGGGTTTTATGAAGTGCTAACATATCGAATCTCGGTACTCCTTTTTTCTTTTCTGTATTTGTAGAGGATTCTCGCCTGGTACTATACTATCGCAGATGTAAGGATCAACGACAGCTTTGCCCTTTCCCTCCTTTTTGTTTCTCCGTAGCAATTATTGCCTACATGAATCCTTAGAGCACCACTCTCACCCTTTCGCCTACAGCTCTCTCTCTCTCTCTTTATGCTGTTTGTTTTTTGAAGTGTGGTTCACCATGCAACACCAAATGAAACATTGCATTTTCCAGTTGAGAACGTGAGACACACACCCTTGACTCCTCCTAACCACTCCTTTCTCAATGTGACAAAAATTTTAATTAGATCCTCTTGATCGCACAAGTTTATTACTATCGGAGGACGTCAGTCCGGTCCAAATTCGAGTCGGTCATCGCCGCCAATGCCCACCCTGAACACCAACAGCGACCTGCATCCACCAAATCGTCTTCTTCATCAGCATCTTCGGAGGATGATGATAATGAGCGCAAATCGTTGTTGGGTGCTTCTTCGAATGCGATTGGCATCAACTATCTGACCGTCGCCGCCCCTGCAGTAGCTGGATCTTTCGCTTCTTCATCGGCCTCGGCATCTTCTTTCTCTTCAGGAGGTGGGATCTCGTTCTCTCAGGAACAGGATCAGGATTTGAGACATCAACTGTCTCGGGACCGGATCCGGTACCATGCTGCTCAAGCTGCCAACGCCACCGCTGCATCAAATACCTCACACAAGACCTACCAGGACCAGGGAACTGACTCTCCACCACCAACCACATCACACAACCATCCCCGTCGCGCTTCAGAGGCATGCTCAGCCCGCACCACCGCCTCGGAGCGATTTAGGTTTCTGCAGAAGCGTCGTTCCGTCAGGCAATGGATTCTAATCACTTTACCCATCCTCGCGACCGCGTTCTTTATCTGGTCCTATGTCGAGTGGCGCAATTGTGTCCTTGGCGAGATTGGCGATGGTGATGGAACTCCTGGACCTGACAACGGGAATGCGGATGAGTGGTGGGGTTGGACACAGTGTGGACGTGGTCATGGACATGGCAAGTTGCCTCCTTCTCCCAGCACCCCCTCAGTAACACCTGATGCCGACCTGCTGTCGTGGGAGAAGACCGGTACCCAGACCATCGTCCACCTCACTGAGGCCCCAATCCCTCCCACCCACCGCCGTCGCCACCGCCACCGTAACTCCGACAAGGACTCCTCCAATCAAAACTCCAACACCTCCGACGACGGCGGCTGGCTAGCCCTCTTCTTCGGCTGGGGCAGTGCAGCCCTCTACCTCGGCTCCCGCATCCCACAACTCTACAAGAACTGGCGTCTCAAGTCCTGTGAGGGTCTCTCGATTATGATGTTCCTGTTCTCAGTATTCGGAAACGCATTCTTTGTGGCTAGTATCTTTTTGAACTCGACAGAGAGGGGGTATTTGATCAGGAATATGCCCTGGTGGTTGGGGTCTACTGGTACTCTTGTCTTTGACTTCTCTGTAAGTATACTTTGTTTTCTTTTGTGTTGTTGTTTGTTTGTTTGTTTTTTTGCTAACGATATGTTGTAAGAGAATGAATAATTGAGTTATATCTAACACGTCTTTTTTTTTTTTTTTTTTTTTGGCTTGTTTGCTACTATAGATCTTTACGCAGTTTTACCTGTACCAGGACAATAGCCCGATGAACGATGCGCTGCAAAAGGCCGTTGCCACGGGCGAATTGGACTCTGAGGCTACAGAAGCCCTCTTGGCCGCCTCTACTGAGGACGACGAAGTCAGAAAACACAACCAGAAGGTCTCCTCCGCCGTATGAAAAACGTGCCACTCGTTACCTCTTGCGTTTCTTTCCCCCACCCTTTTCTCTCTACCTCTTTTGTACATTATCCGCAGAATAAACAAACGCATAGACAAATGTGTCATTTTCAAAAACTGAGCCGTTTTTTTTTATTTATTTGAAAGGCAAAGTGGAAAAGGGAGGCATATCAAGGAGAACAATCATCGAGAAGGTAATTTTTTGAAGGATATCGTATGTTGTTGGAGGTAAAAGGGAAGGGAACGGGGTGTGGGTGGGGGATATAAAAACTGACAGAAAGCAAGCTGAAATAAAAAGACAACAAAGGACTACATGCAAAAAATCAGAAAAAGGAAGAAAGGACTAAAGAGGATCAAGCGACATGTACAAAGTTAATAAAAAAAAGTTGTTGAGAAGGGAAACAAAAAAAAGTGAAGGAACCGACTGTCATATTAAGTGGTGGGTTCGACAAGGAAGAGACCCCTTCATCCTTCCTCTTCCCATCTGCACCAGAACACCGTCCGCGTTTAAGCCTGGACAGTGGCGGTGGCAGAGGCGGGGGCGGGCTCCTGACGCTTCTCGAGGCTAGCAACGCGCTCCTGCAGCTTCTTGACCGAAGACCTGTACTCGGACGAGGAGCCAGGCTGGTCCTGCTGTTGAGGTGGAGGGGTGGTCGAAGTAGTGGCCGACTCGGACGATGGTGGTGCAGTGGGCAGCTCCTCCTCATCCTCGACCTCCATGGCAGAATCCTGGGTCTTGTTCAGGGGTGGTGTGGGGAGCATACCGTCCTTCATCGAAGATCCCGATCCGTTGTGGTGGTTGTGCAAGGGTGATGATGACATTGAGGAGGTCGATCCAGCCTTGGGGGACGAAGAAGAAGACGACAAGGTCGAAGTAGAGTTGGAGGTCGAGACAACACCTGTCATGGCGTTCTGCGAGCTGACAGTGACAGTAGCGGTTGGGGTGGGAGGAGAAATGCGAGCCTTCTTGGGGGGAGGAGTCAAGCCTTGGTGTTCCTCCAATTGACGGACACGAGCCGAAAGATGGTCGAGTTCGCTCTCAAATTTCTCAAGAACACCCTTCTCCAGCTCCTTGAACTGGCCGCGGACAAGGCTCTCGATCATGGTCCCGCTCGATTGCAGGGTCTGAAGGAGCTGTGCAGATTTGCGGATCTGCTCCTCGAGGGTGTGCTTCAACGACCGGCTCGAGTCGACGGAATCAAACAGGTTCGAGACGGTCTCGATGAAGTGGTGTTTTGACATTGTGCCTGAAGCAGCAGCAGCATTGGTAGAGGCAGCGGCGGCGGCGGCGGCGAGGCTGGCGTGGCTGCTGGGGTGGAAGGGAGTGTTGGGGTGAGGGTACATGGGCGAGGGGAGTGGTCCAGTGTGGGATGACAAGATTGGTGCGGGCAATGTTCCAGAGCTATTAGGCGATTTTTTTTAGATCGATTACATAAAGGGCAGGATAATGTGTTAGCAAACAGAGACAACAATTTAAATTAATTTAGGGATAAAGGAAGAGGGAAAGGGGCAACAACAACGTGTATCGCCGCTTTGTCAGTGGTAATCGTGCAATTGCATAGGCGCTCGAACCCCTCTTTCCTTTCCTTCCTTCCATCTTGCGTCAATGCATTTAGACTAACTGTGCATGTGTTCACTTAGAATTGTGGGTCCAAGTCATAATTATTGTCAATTTACCTGCTGTCAAGTCCGGCAGTGTGAAGACCGGCACGAAGGGTGGCCCGAGACGACTTGCGAACATGTCCTGCAGTCTTGGGCGATCGAAGAGGTTGAGGGATCGATCCATGTGTTGACTGCGTCGGAGTTGCCTGATGTTGGTGTTGTGAGAAAGGATGGGGCTGGTGGTGGTGAGGCGTCTGGTGACGGAGGGGCTGAGACGTCCGGGGGTTAATGCTCATGATGTTGTGTCCGTGCGAGGGTTGGAGGGGTGCCGACCGGATCGAGAGCGACGATTCGGAATAGGAAGGTGCAAAGATAGTCAACGACTTTGCGTTCTTGGGGTTCTTGGGCGAGGTCAATGGGCGGCGGTTCAACGCAGCAAAGGAAGCGCTTCCATGGAAGACAGAGATACCGCTGGGATTCTTTTCCGTGACAGGCTGGCTGGTGGTTCCTTCCTTGGGTTTGCTGTTGCCGCTGTTTCCATTGCTGGGAGGGGATGAGGCAGTTGTTGGCGTGGACGCTGAGAGGGCACCTCCTTGCCTTGCCTCGATGATTGCCTTTTGTTGCTGTTTCAGCTTGAGGGTGTTACGGACTTGGTCCATGACCTCTGCCTGTGCACCTGCTCCTCCTGTTGATGATTGTCCTGGCGCGGTTGCGAGTCCGCCTCCGCTGGGGGAAGAGGAAGAGGGCGAGCTCTTGTGGTGATGGTGAGGGTGAGGGTGGCTGTTGCTGTTGTTGCTGTTGCTGTTGGAGTGCTGGTTGTTCTGTTGATGATGATGGCTAGTGGAGGAGAGCATGCGACGTTTCTTGTAGTTTCTGATGTCACTGTCTTCGTCGTCGTCCGAGTTTGAGGCGGGCATGGGGGATTCTTGACGGAAGCGGGGTGAGTTGGGCTGGTGGGAAGAAGAAGAAGAGGGAGCAAAGTGGGCGTGGTGCGGGTGGTGAGGGGGATGGGAGTGGTTTGAGTCTGATGGGTGTCCGTAGGCTCGTGAGGATGAAACGCGGGAGTTGAGGCTATATCGTTGTTGTTATTGAGATGTAATAGATGGTTGTTAATGTGTGTCAAGGGGTATCGTATGAATGAATGTATACATGGAGTAGGATGGATTGGATGTCAACAAGCAAGCAAAAGAACCAAATAAGTGTCAAAAGGTAAAGTAAATATATTAAAATAAAATATCAATAATATCAATACAATAATAATAATTTGAACGCCAATTTCATTTCCCCCTTCGACCCAATCACATCAGAGCATGACATGAGGGTAAGAAGGTGGAAAAGGGGACATTAGGACACACACACTCAGCACACATAACAAAAATTAGTTTGACACTCCCTGGCATGCCCCCTCCGCCAACCTCTCTTCTAAACACAGAAACACACAAACCCACAATGCAATATAATAATAATAACAACAAAACAGTTGCATACCGAGTGGAAGCGGTAGGGGGGTCAGAGAAGGAGCCCTCCTCGGGGGATCCCTTGCGCTTGAACGAGGGTGAGTTTTGGCCATCAAGGACCTCGTGAATCGCCATCCGATTGAACTTGCGTGTCGTCGTAGGGGTGATGGGCGATCGGCTCCAGCCGCTAGGGCCAGACTCGGCCTCGAGCTGCTGCTGGATCATGTGTGGGCGACTCTGGCTGTGGCTGCTGCTATGGCTGTGGCTCTTGCTCTGGCTACCAGTGCGGTTGTGTGTTGAAGACTCGTCGTGTTGTTGTGAGTGAGGGTGGTGAGTGTATTGTTGACCAGGGCGGGAAGAGGACGACGTTGACGAAGAAGATGAAGAAGAGGATGAGGCAGGGGGGTGGACGTTTGCATGAGTAGGGGAGGTAGCGAGTTCGGCGAGATGATCAAGGCGCGAGGTAGGAGCGGGGGCTTCGTCGAGTTCCATTGTTGTAGAAAAGAGTGGCGGTAGTGTGGTTGGCAAGTAGGGTATTTGAGTTGAGGTTGGTGCTTGTTTGCTTGTTGGTGTGACAACGATAAAAAGAATGGACGTTAGGAGAGTAAAGGCGTTAGTTGGAAGAAGGAATGAGCGCTAAAGATGGCAGGGATGAATGAGAGAAGGAGGAGTAGAAGGAAAGATGAAAGGGCAAGTGAGTGTGAAGAAGAAGAAGAAGAAGAAGAAGAAGAGGAAGAGGAAGAAAAGAAAGAAAAGAGAGGAAAGAGGAGAAGAGGAGAAGAAGGGGATAAAGAAACGAAGGAGAGACTGGACGAAACAAATAAAGAGAAAGAAAAAAAAAAGAGTCCCTGGGACAAAGGAAAGAGGCTAGAAAAGGGATAAGAATACCTCAACAAAAGGGTTGAGGTATCCATGCACCACATACTCACTCACTCGCTCACTCATTCATTCCTCCATACATACACACACAACACCACACTCTCTTCTTACTCCTCACTCCTGCCTCCTTCCGCTCTCCTACTCGTACTCTTCCTACTCCTCTTCCTCCGACTCTGCTCGACTTGCCTCTTTGTCCATCCACATTGTCCCAAATACCCTTTACATACTAACTAACCCCTTTTTACCTCACTCTCTCTCTCTCTCTCTGTCTCTCTTTCTCCTTCAACGTTGCAAAAATGATTGCATGTGGATCGAGAGGCGTCACTTTTTTTTTGTATTTTCCAAGGAGTCGTGTCTCGTTTCACAAACAGGGGGCACGATAACAAAAGGACATCAAGGAACAAGGAAGAAAGAAAAACAAGAACAAGGAAGAACAAAGGGGGTAGAAGGAGGCAAAGCTGTCTCTACGCCTATTGATGCTGCTGTTAATAAGCATACAACACCGTAACCCACAATGATCGTGGAGGTACCTAGGGGACAGAACAACAACTTCCTGGTCACAATGACTTGTCGGCCACATGTTTTCCGTCCTCTCCTCTAACAGTTCCTCTTACTGCTGTTGCGCCCAATACTCCATAAGGCTGTGGATACGGCAACCCTTGCTTTTATTAGTAATAACAACTAGCATCACCATCATCGTGGCTGTAGGTTTAAGTGTCCAACGGCATAATAAGACTCAATAATACCCATCCCATGGTACCCTGAAAGCCCCTGTTGTTGTTCTCCCCCATTGTTCAATCCGCGACCATGCACTTCAGACAGACAGACAGACAGACAGACAGACAGACAGACATCCCAATTCCATTTCGCCTCACTTTTCTCGTTTCGCTCTATTTTTGAACACCTCATGTTCGCCTCTTTGTCTTCCTCTGACTCCTGCTGAGTAGTGCTCAACAATAAAAAAAAATTGTCAGGGCACCCATGCAGGCGGCATCTGTAACAAGCAACGAGCAAACATGAGCTATGAACATGGACAAAGACCAACAATTTCCAAATGGCGCCACCCTCCTCTCTTTAACTCACCCACTCAATCCTCTCCAAGTCGATGCTCAACACACCTCTGGCGTAGAACTTGCCTTCCTCCCTCCTTTTTACCCAATTACCCTATTAAAAAATATAACTGGGGAAAAAAAAAGCAAAGGGCTCACTCGATGGTTTTTATCAAAAGAGAACTTTAGTTTGTCAACAACAATAATCCTGGCTCCTTTCTCTCCTTCTCACAACGTTTCATTGAAGGTGCTAGCCTACTGTCAAAGAAACAACGCCGTCTCTTTGAACCCTTTTGATACCCCAACGGCAACTCCTTCCTTCTTTCCTTCCTTCCTTTGGTTCGTTTCTTACCCGAACAACAACGTCTTGTTGCCTTGTGCTCGCCTCAATTAAATTACGATGGAACACAAAAAAAAACGATCAAAGCACACACACATACTCATATCCCTTTTATTCTGGGCTCTTAGACAACCTCAACCTCCTTTCTCTGTTTACTACTGCTGCTGCTGCAGCTGAACCATTTTACCTTTCATCTTCCTCGCTACCTCGACTGTGCTTGCCCTTTTTCTTTGTCTTTGGAGCTGGAAAACGTTGCTGTGGCAAGTAGACATACATTTCGTCCCTTTGCTCTTTGTCCACATGGTTTCATCTATGCCTTCACGCCATTGTGATTTAGAAAATCGTTGAGGATGGATAGGAGAATGCCACGACAATCTTCCATTCCAACAGACCCCTATCTATCTCTTAGCACCAATTTAGACAACCCCGCCTTCCCCTTGTCTTCCTTAGCGCCGCCAATTATTCAGGGCTTCGTACCCTGCTATTAACAACGCCCAACCTGCAACATTAGTCCCGTAGCGTTACCTCAGTGCCCTCACTAACCCTGGCTCTCAAATTCCTCTCGGTTTGAAAGCAATAATTCTAATTCCATATCCTCGAACGAGTAAAAAACGACGATGGCGGACGGGCGGGTGGGTGGATTGTTGTGGCGCTCAACAGATTGGACGACAGAGGCAATTAACCTAATTTCGAAAGTGCTCAGAAAAATAAGGCGGCACGGGTTCAGTTCTTACTAACTATTGTGTTTTTTTCCTTGTCTGTTGTTATGCGCTGCTGCTGCTGTTGTTGCTGCTAAGCGTTTCTTGCTATTGTTGTTGGCTTTTTTTTTTTTGGTTTGTTATTGATACAGTTTTTGTTCTTGAAGGGAAAATGTAATTAAGCCAAATAACTGTAAGCTTAGCGATCATCATAGATTGAAAGAACAGCGAGAAAGAGCATTCATCCCACTTTGGTTATTATTGATGAACCTAACGGCGTCCCTTGTTGCTCCTTGACCCCCCTTCCTTCCCCTGTCCCTACATCCCTCATTCCCCTGTCCCTGTCCCATGTTCATTAATTGAACCAAGCGATACGGAGTCATGAGTACACAGCGATTGCTTGGCTTGCCCTTTGTCCTGATTGCATTGTCCCTCCCTTTGCTTACTTTTTCAGGGGCACGACCTGATGGGCGTTTTTTTATTTCTGATCGTTTCACTTTCACTTCCATTAGTGGTTAAATTCCACGTGACGGGTATGCAGATCGATCGTAAGCCTTTCAACAGACAATCACAGGGAGATCATCCACGAAAGTGTGTCAACTCTCTTTCTATTTCTCAAGAGCGAGCTCTGCATGCCCTTCCTCTTTCTAACCACACACAGGCATGCGATCCTTAGCAAATTCATAGTATGCATCTCGATTATGAAGTAGCCACGCTCACTCATTTCGACTTAAAAACCTGTATTTCCTGCTCCCCTCCCTGCCCATGATCTTTGCACAGCGTTTAGAGATGTAGGAACAGTAAAGAGATCATCGCTCATATATCGTATATCGAGCTATTTTTTTATTTTTTTCCTGAAATGCTCGCTTACTTGCCCAATCCTTGTAAATTACGAACTCGATCACCCCTTCGTAGATAAAAAAAGATACATTGCGAAATAGTGGAAGGGGGCTATCAGGATTGAAAATCAAAGGGTACCATGATCGTTGGTCAGAAGTAGAAAATGAGGGTGAAGGGAAGTGTGAGAGGAAAAATGTTGATTCCATTTTGACATGCACCATTTGATCATATTTCGTAGAAGTGGTTTTTTTTTTGGTTGACTGTAGTGGGTTACTCCCAGGAGCCACCAGACAGAACGCGTCAACTATAATACAGCTGGACTGACGATCTATCCCTCTAGCCAAAAAAAACTCGTAGATAGCCACCATCATCATGAAGAAAAGGAACCCAGGATGTTGGAGAATCATCGGAGAAAAAAAAGAAAGAATGGAGCTTGGTTGTCCAGGAGAAATTATTACATATTTTGTCCGAACACCTTGGGCCAAGAGACCTAGACCCTTCCACTCCCCGTCCTTCTTGTGTAGCGTACCCCTTCCACTTCTGTAAGGTTTTTTTGTTGCCAATCCTATGGTAATTCCAGCATGCATCCTGGTTGGTTCTTTGGTCGTATTGGTGACGCAGAATGATGCGTAATGTACACTACTATTCATACAAAAACAAAGACCTGGGCGAAGAGCCTCGGAAATGTCTGACAGGCTTTCTTTTTCTCCAGACACACTACGACAACCAATGTTTCTTGTTTGCAAGGTGTAACAACAACTACAATGACACAACAACCAGGACGGGAGCAAACACAAGCGGTGAACCAATGGGGGAGATGAAGAGACGCAAGATTGAGCGAGAGATAAAAGGGAAACAAACAAAAACAAACAAAAACAAACAAAGATATGAGACGAGACTGAGGCAAGCGGGTTCATGTCTTTGTCTTGGTTCCTTTTCCCTTCTGTTTATGGAATAGGTTGCACAGAGGGATCATTACCGGAGTTCTGTCAATTACAAAAGGGAAAGGGGTTGTGTGAAAGAAGGAGGATGGTGTTCTGCACCCCAAGTCTCGCAGCTACCAGATTTAGGAGTAGAAGGGAGAGGAGATGAAAAGGTGTTTCTCGGCTTTAGTTTTAGGTTGTGGTCAGTCATCTCCTTATTTTTTTTTGCTGGTCCGACAAGTAGACAAGACAGACAACCGACGGTTGGGGACCGCGGACAGAAGACTGACTCTTGCACTTGCAGTGTGTGGAGCTGAAAAAAAAACGAATTGCACCTCTCCTCTCCTTTGCTGCAAGTTTTGTTTTTGTGCTCTGAGACAACCCGGTGCTGCGTCATATCATGTCTCTGGTTCCTGAAGAAAGAAAGGTAAACAAACGAACGAACCAACAGAAACGCATACAGTGAACCACCCACAACAACCCAGGGGATAGCGTCTATACCTTCTTTTAGGCTATTCTGTAGTCAACATCAGAGAAACCTGGCGTCGTTATCATTGGCGTTGTTTATGCTATCCTCCCCTTGGCGTCTCACTCTTTTCTCGTCCACACACACATACACTAAGAAACAAAGCAACCAATTATCTTTGGCCATGCATGCCTCCTTTCTATGAATGAACACTCCTCCCACTTTTTTTTTCTTTGTACTTCTCCGCTCCAAACAATGCCTTCCATGCCCATTACAGGCAAATCCTCTTCCCTCTCA